TTTTTTTTTTTTTTGCGTTCTTGAATTTCGGGACTGAGATCATCATATATGCACCGAAAAACGCCCACGCGGCGGTGATGATTCAGTGGTCGACTGCAGTCCTAAGCGCAAAGCATCCAATCCATCTTCTTCCAGTGTCCAAGCGAGATTTGGATTATTCGCAGGAAGACTCTTTACCCAAATTCCCCTCTTTGTCTGCTGATCCACGCGCCCTCACTCCCTCTCCGTCACATCTGAAACAAGCCATGCCAAGTGGCTGCCGCTAAACAAGAACCCGTCAATCATCAATCAAATCTCGAGTTCCTCGGCTGCTGGGTCTTGACCCGATTTGGTTAGATCTATTAGATAATACCTTGACTCTGGCCCGTGCATCCACGCTTTTAAAGATCACGTGCTCTTCAACATTCGTTGCCTCGCGCTCTGCCTTCCCTTGGCCCTTCAGTCTCGACCTTTGGATCATTACTGCATTTTTTTTTTATTTTTATTTTTGAATTTTGATTCTTTTCAGTATTTCTAATTAACTAACCTGTTGCAGGCTGTCTGCCGGGTTGTTCAATACTACAGTCTCTAGCATGACCTGATAATGTCCTCACGATACCCCCCATTATCTGGGTTTAATTCCCGTGACAGATCTCCCCAGCGCTTCGGCGACCGTCGACCTCCTGCAGGTCCTCGAGGTTCTGATGATGCGAATTTACCCCCGCTGGGTCGAGAGCCACCCCGGGGCCCGAAGGCCTTAATTGACCCCCCCCGGGGAGCCCCCTTTGGTGGCCGAGGTAGAGGATATCCGGGCCGTGGAGATTTTCGAGATCGGGACCGGGATCTGCGAGATAGGGACAGAGATCGTGACCGCGACTTTCGGGATGTTCGTGATGGACCACCTCCTTTCCGCCGTGATCTGGACCGCGATTGGGGTCGGCGCGACCGGGACTTCGACCCCAGAGATTCACGCATTGGCTTTGGTCGCGGTCGCTCCCGGTCCCCGCCGCCTCCTCGCGACTTCCGTGATATGCGGGAACCTCTTGGGAGAGATCCAGACCTGGTTCGTATGCGACGCGGCTCCAGAGACAGCCTCATTTCAGTGTCATCTACCACTGCGGACATTCCTTCTTCCGGGCCCGGCCATCATCCTCGCGGCGGGTCTATACGTGGTCGTGGACGTGGTGATTGGGATGTTGGACGTGGCCGGGGCCGTATTCCTTATCTGGATGATCGCGACTCATTTCGACGCCGAAGCCGTTCACGAGATGGCAGATGGGATCGTGATCGGGAAAGGGACCGTATTATGGACCGGGATAGGGATCGCGACCGCGATAGAGATAGGGATCGTGACCGCGACCGAGAGCGTGATCGTGATAGAGAGCGTATAATGGACCGCGACCGTGAGATTGATCGCCGCGACCGTGAAAGAGACCGAGAATTAGATCGCCGTGAAAGATTTGACCGTCGCGATGAGCTGGACCGACGTATGGAACGCGACGATCGAGAGCGACCTACCGATCTTTGGAAGAGAGATCGGCCTCCGAGCCGAAATGAAAATCGGATTCCCAGTATTTCAGCAGCACCGCCTGTTCCACCACCAACGTTGCATACTGCCCCTTCAACAACCGATAGAATTCCCGACCAACCGATTATTGAACAGACCCGCAAACCGTCCATAGCTGAACCTCGTCGTGACTCTGAACGATCTGAACCTGCTGTGGCACGCCCGGAGCCTCCTAAAGATTTCCACACTCCTATCAAACGATCACCGCCTCCTGCAGCTCCGCAGGTGCCAGCCTTTGGCTCTGTTACTGCGCCTATCCCTGACTTGTCTGCAGAGAAACGGCCGTTGGATGCAGGTGTTGCACCCCCGTCCGCCCCGAAGGCAGAGAAAGAACACTACGAACCTGTGCCACGTGGACCTATACAGCCTCCAACGGGGCCTAAAGCTTCCCGAAGTTCTCCCCAGCAGCCCCTGGAGCAACGGGTCAGACGTGATGAAGTTTTGGAAGCCTTGGGGAAACATGAATCGGCCTCGCGGCTCTCTAAACCTCACCCAATGGTACCTGCTGGGGCACAGAGGCAACCGGACCTTTCCCCACCCACTGCTCCAGCAGCAATGACGAGCAAAGAGCCTACACTACCCCATGTAGAGACGCCTTTGGCCAACAAGTCCGGGCCTATTGTCAGCTCCCCAGAACTTTCAGCGAGGGGACCATCTTCAGCCAACCGCGGATCGTCACCCGGTCCACACACCTCCCCACTTATGCCCTCGTCCAGTATCCCTACGGGCCCGCGTGCTCTCCAACAACGGCCATCGGTGTCCCGTGGGCCACCTAAAAGCAATAAGCAATGGGTTCGTCCTGGCTACAGAGGTCCTCCTCCGGTGCCTAATCCAGCTCTTCCCTCACGTGAATCTATCGATGGAAAAGAGCGGGTGTTATCTGTTAGTGAGGAACCGAAACGGGAACAGCGATTGTCGATTGACGACAATGCATCGGGCCCCGAAGCTGGCGAAATCATCCCGGGGAAAGACACACAAAGATCAAAGCGAGAGGTCTCGCCTGCATCTCCAGAACGCCCCAAGTCCTCCAGTACCCGTGGTCCTAGCCCCAGCTTACCCCCTGCGGAAGATGTCGGACCTAAAGACCAACCAGTTGGAGATAAAAGAGATGTTCTCATTCCAGACTTTAGTCGGATTAGCGACGAAGATGAGGATGAAAATGTTGTTTTTACGCAGGAGTACTTAGAAGAGCGGAAACGAACGTTTGAGAAGGATATGCGAGTGTTGCGTGCGGAACTGCCCCCTCCGCCATTAGAAGACCCGTACATTGTCGCACTGCTCATGCGGATTCAATTGCTAGGAATGGTTGCTAATGATGCGGTGTCAGAGAAGATATCTACTCCGCCAGTGCCAGGGGACAAAATGGATACCAAAGACCTAGACCAAATAGTTACCCCTCTAGAGGTTAAGCTGGACAAAGATGCCGAAGAACAGGAACCACCAACTAAGTTAATCCTGGATTCACTCCCTACAGCTAATTCCGTCACTATCGAGAGCCTACCTTTCCTAAATTCCGGCCCTCCGACTCCTCTCTCCGACCTTGAAGTCTACCAAGAAAACGCAGCAGCCCACCAATCACTCAAAGAAGTATTCCGTGGAGAGTTGATGAAACGCCGGAAAGAAATCGCCAGGAAGAATGCTGCCTTGCAGCATGATTACGTGGAACTGTACAAGGAATGGCGATTTCGAGTGCATGATCTGGACCGTTCAAAAGAAAAGACTTCGCTGACACCGGGTCCGGCATCTCCCCCAGTTACTGCAACACCAACACCTACGACTGCCGAAGGGAGGAGATACAAGGGCAACAGTGAGCTTGATTTTCAGAATGCCCTCCGAGCATCAGAGATTTCTGCCCAGGAGGAACTTGAAAGGCGACGTGGCAATAAAGCTACTGCGCAACCAGATCTTGCCCGAGAGGCGGTTATTCCAGACATGCTCGAGCTCGATGAAGCGAAGGCGCGTGTTTATAAGGACACAAATAACATCATCGACCCCGATAAGGCAATGGATGTTTTTGGTTTCCTTCCGCCGCCTAACGACTTTACTCCTGCTGAGCACGAGATCTTCACCGATGCGTTCATGGCTCATCCGAAGAAGTGGGGAAAGATTGCCGAATCTCTACCTGGTCGTGATTTCCGACAATGCATCGTCCATTATTATCTTACGAAAGAAGAAATCAAGTACAAGGCTAAGCTTAACAAGCGTTGGAGCCGACGTGGCCGTGCCAGAAGATCTGCCCGACCAAAGTCCAATGCGCTCATGGCTGATTTGGGGGTTGTCAAGCCGGACTACGAAGGCGAAGAGGAACCTGCCCCAGTCACAGACACTGGTCGGCCACGGCGCGCTGCTGCACCTACCTTCGGCGACTCCTCTGCTGATACGGAGCATACTAGTAATGGCCGTCGAGGAGCCAAGGATGGCGACCAACCAGAGAAGCCTGCTGGCCGAAGAGGGGGCCGTACCGGTGCAGGCTCACGAGGAGGCCGTCGGGGCAAAGCAGCTCAGCAGCAGCAGCAACAACAGCAACAGCAGCAGCCGCCACAGCCACAGCCACAGCCACAACCACAACCACAACCACAGCAATTACCACAAACCGTCCAGCCAGAGCAGTCAATTCACATCTCAACAGTAACACCAATCGCACCTTCTGTTGGAACTACTCCAAAGGTGGAGGTGCCCGAACCGTCTATGGATGGTGCGAGCGAGGCGGCGATCGTACGGGCCAGCGAACCTTCCGAGAAGTTGGCAGCAGAGATGCCCCCACGAGCGAGGTCTGGACGCGGCCGTCAGAAAGAAGGAGTTTTGGTCTTTGAGTCGGCAGAACAAGAGACACCAGCTAATACTAGGCAACCAGAGGTAGGTTACGGATCGCTGCAACCTACTAGTTACTGGTCTGTTCCCGAACAGCGCGACTTCCCTCAATTACTGGCGCATTTCGGCCGCGATTTCGAGGGTATCTCGAATTTCATGAAGACGAAGACAACTGTGATGGTATGCCCAATGTTCTTCGGCCATCTGCACTATCCTGGCGGAGTATAACTAATACCATGTAGGTCAAAAATTACTTCCAGCGACGCATTGACTCTGGCCAAAAAGACTTTGAAGACATCGTTGCCGATGCGGAGAACAAAAAAGCCCGAGGAGAACGTACAGGTCCTTTGCCCGCCGCTCCTAATATTGCGTCGAGACGGCGCTACGAAGCAACTCCTTCATCCATCATTATGCCTCGTCCTCTTGCCCCTCAAATAGAAACTACAACGCCTGAATCGGATGAAAATCGGCTTGTGTCGAAGAGCAAGCATATGGCGCCATCCCCGCAGACCGTACCTCTCCATGCTCGGCCTCCACCAGAGAAGGAGCGTAATGCTCCACGGTACCCACCACTCGCGCAAGCCAGCGCCCCTATGGCCACTGGGCCTGTCTTTAGCGAGGACTTTTCACGGTCTCGCGCCCATCAAGCAAGCTTGCCTCCGCGAGCTCAAGGTCCACGCCTCGGATATTTCGCTGAAGAAAGACGCGAGATTCCCACTACTATGCTATCTCATACGACTATTCGCTCCCAGGAAGCTCCGATTTCCGCTCGTCAAACGCCTGTTCCTGCGCCTGAGATGGCGCGTATGGAGCCGCTCCATTCCCAAGGATATCGGACATCGGGTGTTGATGTGCACGGATCGCCTCTTCTCCAAACACAGGGCACACTGCCGCCGACGCAGCAGTCCTACATGCAGCCTCAGCCTCAACCTTCGCTTATCCCCGCAACATCCCATTCCCGCCAGCATAGTCTAACAAAACCCCCCGGCTCACCAGCACAATCACTGCAGAAGCAAGAGCCAGATATCTCTCCGATTCGCCACGATAACATGAGTCAGCGACCATTTTATCCTCTACCTGGCCAGCAAATGGGCATGTCTCAACCCCCGCCAGTTTTGTCGCCGCCTAAGGAAGTCCCTCAACCTGTGGTAAACGCATCGGAGCCTGAGGCTCCTCGACAAGTGCCAGCTAAGCGGTCCAACATCTTAAACATTCTGAATGATGAGCCCGAGGAGCCTCAGCCACGTAAACGGTTCGCAAGTGATCAAACCTCTTCAAATCCCGCAGGAACCGTGGCGTCTCCGTCGCGACCGGTCTACACCGGCGCACATTCATACTCCCATACTGCGGGCGCGCCCCGACAAGAGGAGGTACATCCGGCGATGGTGGCACAGAAGACCCCTGTTTATGTTCAGCAAAACCAATACTTACCGCCATCCCGAGGTTATACCGACTATCATCAGTCTTATGCACCCGTTCCAGGAAGTGCAGGTACTCCCGCAAATAACGACTGGATGGCGCGTTTCGATCCTCGAGGTCAACACCAGCAACCACAACCGCAACCGCCTCCGCCTCAGCAGCCAAGCAGCCGCACAAGTGGGTCACTCGCACCACAACCTCCATTTTCGCCATATACTTCGGGCCAGTCATTATCTGGACACTCTTTGCCGAACCTTACTGCTCCGTCACCTGCACCAACGCCCTCACCAGCTCCTTCTCAGCGCGCTTCGTATCACACAACTGTCTATGCACCGTCGCCAGTGACACATGCGCAGCCTGCACCTCTTGGCTCGCGTGACCTTGGCGCACAGAATCAAGTATTCCGCCAGACAATTGGATCGCCCACGTCTCGTACCAACACTATCGCCTATAGCACCCGCCAAGGCCCTCCCACCCCAATTCAGTCGCCTGCCAATTTGCTTGGGATAACGTCGCGCCCTCCGACAACAGCAGCATATGCTTCCCCAGCATCGGCAACACCAACACCGACGCATGTCTCCGCACAACAACTTCCTGGCAACCATCAGACGTACCAGCAGCATGTGCAGACGATGGTTAGTGGAGCACATCAACAACCTTCGCATAGATCTGCGCTCAGTCTTGCGGGGGCACAGTACGGGCATAGTACACCGCCTCCGCAAGCCCAAGTTTCGCGAACAGCAGGTCTACCTGGGCCACCGCATCAGGCGATGTCCATGGGCCGTTCTTATACACCTCCGGCGATTCTCCAGCAAAATTCAGCAGGCGGACTGAGCTACGCTCCTGGTGGGCCTCAGACGGTTGGTGCTGTCCATCCCCTCCAAGCACGAGCCCCCGTATCTGGGAACTTGGGTGAGATCATCCCTGGCCCTCACGGGGTATCAGGCCACCATCGAGTCTACAGTCAAGGGTCAAATGCTGGGCCGCTCACAGGACACTTGACACCACAACAGCAACACCCGCCTCGATAGAGCTGTAACGAACCCTAATTTCTCATTGCATTTTTCTTTATTTGCCGTATGTATTTACCATCTGGCCGGCGCGAGAGGGGATATTGTCGATGTACTCTACCTCAAAGCTTCTCTTGCTTCTCCTATTACTCTCATTAATTTTTTCTTGTTCTTGCCGTGCGGGAGGGAGGCATGTCTATGATTCATGTATGTATAGTAGACGATTCAATCGATGAAAGAACTCAAGTATTATAAATCCTAAGGCCTACTGAGCCACCAAGCACATAACCAGCCAGCCAACACTCCGCAATCTCTTGAACCCCTCACTTGACCCCTCCCTCGACTCCCTATCGCAAGTCAGCGTAATCTAGCTGATAAGCAGATCAAAAGTGGGGGTAGAAGTGCCAACCTGAAACAAACCGAAACAGCCCTAACTCAGTCTAATCAATTGAAAACGATAGCACTGACGCAGCCCATGAGGCATTCATCTACACTTATGCCATTCTCACACAGATAGACACCTAGATTGCTTCCTGGCTTATGAGAACTGGCGTAGAAAATGTAACCTGTTCGGCAGGGTAGTAAATTATATATACATAACCGTGTAGCAACACACACACACCTGTCTTATACAGCCTCGATGACTGATCAATAAATGCTACTCTATACACCATCTCCCGGTTATTAGTAGTATTATAGATACCGACTTCTCTACAACCTACGAAAATGAATCCATACATCCAACAATCTTACTACCCCCAGACACTCCCAACACTGCAAAGTACACCCTCACGGAACCAAGCAAACCAGCCACCACCAACAACAACCCTTGAGCCAAACCCATCACCGGAGCTCCATAAAACAACCCTCGAAACTGCAAAACTTCACCAACGCCGTCTGGAACACGCCATCTTATTATCCGCTCTCCGGTCCCGGGTAACATATACTTATATCCCGGGGATCCTGGCATCTGTTTCTGGGCGGGATAGTCATGACTATCGTCCTAGTTATGGGTACCAGTATGGGTATGGGTACGAGGCTGTATATGTTGTTCCCCGGGGGGGGAGTGGTGGGGAGTAGGGGATTTGGTCCGTCGAGACGGGTTCTCGATGATAGTTTCTTGAGGCGGGCGTATAAGAGGACGGATTTGGTTAAGGGATGGAAGGGTTCTGTTGCAGGGAGGAGACAGAGCTTGGAGTCTGTTGGGGAATGAGAGTTAGTGGGTGGTTTGTATGGGGACTAGGGCTTATTGAGTGGTTTGTTGGAGTGTATTTTTTTGGTGTGATGGGTTTATTGTGAGCGATAGGTATATATATATATCTTGTTTATGTGTGTTGGCGACTCAAGTCGGATCTGAATCTGGACGAGTAACGATGGGTTGAAATGCGAAGTATACTTGCTCGGTAGCTTATGTATGTATGTATAAGACCGGATTTTCTCGATAGAAGAGTATGTACTTAGCGCTGTGGTCAGTCATCTGAATACTTGAGATTTAACACTAAGCTGATCTGTGTTGTGGGTTAGGTGTAGGTTCTGTGGGTTGGGTATGCAACTGAGGTAAAGGGGGTGAACTCCTTGTTTCCGTACTTGTATTATAGTCAAATGTAATAAAAGGTACATTGTGGGTGAAGTATTCAAAGATAACCTCCCGTGGCTGAAAATGGAGGATGCGGGGCGAGAGAAAGCGCTCTTGCACACACCATCCCCTGCTCATCAAAGTTGGGCTGTAATTCAAAGTATGATCACCCACCTCATAGTACTCGATAAGTACTACAAACTGCGTTCCCTTTACCATCGGGTAGGGCCGCTCCATGGACTGCCTTTCTCGAGAAAGCAGCCATCGGTTGGCGAGCCACCTCTAGTAGATCACAGAGGACAGCAATGGTGATGTACGTCCCTACCATTATATCACCCATACGGAATGCTTGCTCTGCCCAATCATCAGGATCATGTTGGATGATACAGAAGGTGTCGATCCATAGATACCGCAGCCCGAGCCATCGGGTAACCTTGACTGTATCATGAAATGTCTGAGAAAGCCCCTGCCGCGATAGCAACCGCTTTCGACACTCATAGTTCTCCAACGTTATGCACTTTCTGGCTTCCAAGAACTGTCAGCTGTGACTTAGGGCAATATACGGACTTGTCTGATATGTCTTCCCGGAGGCATATAGCTCCTTTATCACTATCTCCAAAGCTAATCAGCCATGTAGGCATGGCGGACTATCTCTGGCATCTGGGGCGGTTCTCAAGGCAGTCCTACACCCAGGAGAGGTAACAGTCTCGATGGTCGTCTGTGAGAGCATACCTAGGAGATGAAGTTTTCCCCATCACTTTCCAGGGCTTTAGCTGGTCTAGAATAATCAGGAATAGCACATTACAGATCAGCAACTGGCACCATCTTACCATCAAAAAGCGAGTATCTGGTATAACCAAAGTACTTCTCACACACCTAGAGGTTCCTGTCTATCTACTTCGGTTAAGGAACAGTCTGTCGCCTGTCCGGAGCAGATTCTACGCTGATATACAGCAAGTCTTCATGCACAAACAATTCGGGCTCCGATTCCAGGTACTGAAGATAACCTTGATATAGCAGCGTGCACTAATTGCAGCCCTTAGATGCTTGGTTGCGAAACTCGTCGATCCCTACAATAAGATAAGGCTTATACTCACCCGCCACATCGGTAGTATTACACATATCATATCTATCACTCCATACAATACCGTCTGAGGAGCGTCCAATATATTCTTCAAGCTCTGGCTGAAAGACATGACAAACCGAACAGTCCGAACAGTCTTTCAATCTGCTCGGATTTATGATTTTATCGTTGAGGATATGGATTTCAGCTTTCTTCTCTTTAATAATTCAAACCTCAGTCCATTTTTCATAGCATCGACTACTAAGGGAGAGGGGTTAGGTCCGTGGCACTACTAATTGGCTCAATCCCATAGACGAGGCTGAACCTGAAGTCGGTGCTAAAACAAACAGACCTATATTAGGCAACAGTCGGGGTTAGCGACCTGTTTATATGTCCTATATGTCCTGAATTTTTCAGGCTATCGTAGCGTTCCCGTCTTAAACGCCACTGCTTCAATCAGGATGCTTAAGGGTTTCCTCAGGAGGTATTTCTTCTGTAGAATAAGCCAGGATCTACCGGGGAGTCCGCGCTCGCCCGTTGATCGTGCGATACTTTCCATGACGAATGCGTCCGTCCGCAGCAGCTCCAGTGCACAGGGAGGTTGCCCTAGAAATTCCGGTACGTAGAGGTACATATATACGCGAGGGATTAATTACTGCGGGATTAAGAATAACCTAAATAGGCACTTCCGTGGTAGTAAATATGAGTGAGCATTGTCGATCAATATTGCGAGAATATGGGGATCTCGTGGGATCTCGTATTTATCGGGTGTCCGTGCAGGGAATTAGTGATGCACGATGTGTCTACTAGTTAATTGGCTTATTGCATGTTCTTCAGCCAGCCACTAGCCATCAAACAACGCAGAGAACATACCCGATTTTGTGGTCGCATGGTCTCCCGAGCCAGTTGTTATTTGTCACTCGTACTTAATATATTGGAGTTGTAAGTTGAGTTATTGGAAGTAGATATGTGGACTGGCAGATCACTAAATAGCATAAGCAAGGGAGGGTTGATGTACCCTTTTGAGTGAATTGAGTTGCTGATGTACTGGTATGTACACACTGGCTAGAAAATTCTGATATCTATATTATCGCAGTAAGGCTGTTTAGGGTAACTAGGGCTGGTTAACCCAGACTTGTATAGCTCTGCTGAAATGAACCATACAGTCGACATGAACTATTGCCTGGCGAATAGGTGTCTAATAGCTACTGGTAAAGATTTATGACTTTAGCGGATAACCAGATCTGTGACTAAGAAAGCGTCGAAGTTATAAAGTGAGGATATTTGCAAGCAAGTACCCTTGGATTCAGCTGAGCCATTATATAGAAACTTAGTCCTCTCAAGCTTCTGCCACCTGCCTTCGAAAGTGCCTATTGTTGGTATAAACTTTACAGTCGATTAGGCATCAATTGCACATGTTTGAAAAGAATGCATAAGAGTTGACGACACAACACTTCGATATCATAGCAGAAGCCGTATCTAACGTTCTTTCATAACATAGCATGTTTGAAGAAAGGAACTATGACAATATGAATAAGCAACTATTAAGCAGATCGGCAACAGGGTGAGTTTGCAAGGGGCTAAAGTCCATACGCGAAGTGCAGTTCCCTACAGTAGGTCAGTTTTCGAGAAAGATTGGATGGCAACAACGAGTAGAAGTTCTATAGGTTTTACCTTAGGGAGTATTACAATGCTTGGGAGTGGGGTTTGTGAGAAATACAAAAAATTTTCATCGATAGGATATTAGGAATTACCGACCCCTGCACGCTGGGTAGCATCAACAATCTATGAAGCGAGGAGGTTCTATATACCGATGGAAAAGCTAAGACAGGAACGATGCTAATAAATAAGAGCCCAATGAAAATGGGTTACGCACGGCATGCTATAAGCTTTAAAGTTTTCATCCCGCGGAGCATAGAAATAATTCGCGTTGATTTATGACCGCGACATCCAAATGTTTCATTAGAATGTTGAATCACCGGTCAATTGTCTCAGGCCGGGTTTCCAAATCCGTCTGATTCTCTGCCTCAACAAAATCCACCCTCGACCAGGGATGCATCTCAGAAGCACCGGTATAGGCCGAAATCGTCGTCCTGTATAGTGGTACTGATTATGTAGGATAGCCGGCATTTGGCTAGACTTCAAAGGAGACCAAGCGTGGATTGTTGTATCTAAAGCTAAATTTTGTAACACGAAAAAGAAAGGTATGCAGGGGGTCTGTTCTAGAGTTGACCAGTGTAAAAGTCAAAGGAGCTGAAGAAGTACCGCATGTTGGCAGAGAAATGTCACGTACCACAGCAGCATCGGTAGGTGATATTGCAGAGTAGAAGATGAAATTGATTACCTTTTTCTCCTCCCTTGAGTTGACTGTGTCAATTGACTGTGGCTTGGCAGAACGAATGACCAAATATGGAAATAGTCCTTACAGAAGGATAGATGGACAGTGGGCATACCGGGCTTCTATACTCCGATAAAATGCAAAAAGTACGAATCTAGCCAGCCAAAGACTTGGTACGCAACATGGAATATTGATTATATCGAGCATCTATGGTGTTGGAGAGCCGACAAGATAAGTGGCCATGAGGGGGTTACCTCGGACATCCGGTGAGCCCGTAAATGTAACATTCCAACTTGAAGCGCCTCGCTTCCGAAGCACAGAAAGTCACATCAAAGCAGTACCGTAGAAGTATCGAAGCAAAGGTGTTTCCATAACATTCCATTGCTTTACAATTACGCATGGTATTCTCCTTTTCGAGTGTCAGACAATCAGTGGCTCATTGAGGAACGTACTAATAGTAGGCAGCCACGAGTGAAGATAGGCTTATTATTGGATCAACGGAAACCTTTCCTGGTTGATTCAAGTATATCTGCTCTCAGATAGCTAGTTCAAATGTCAATAATCCTGGATTTGACTAGGTTAGAAGAGCGAAATAACTAGTTGAGTGATTTACGATCCAATAATGCTTTCCCTAAGTTTGTAAATCCGATTCGGAGTAAGTCAGGAGTAAAACAAGGAAAATTAATGGACGGAATGGTATCAGGCAACAATCGTGAACTGGTTTCCCCACGCATTCAAGGCGATGGAGCTGCTCGGGAGGATGTAGCACCCTCATCATCGTGGAGCCTTTTGCTTTCAACCAACATCCGTGACACTTGAGAATGCACTGCTACATAAGCATACTCGCGTATTTCGATATGCTAGCTACCATATGATGATAATCACACCTATTTTCACGAAGCACTCAAGCAAACATGATCCAGGCGTTGGGTGGGCGGGGATACACGGCGTGTGGGTCTGGTGTGTCTCTATTTGAACATCATCTCTCCTCGGCTCATTTCACTGGTTGATATTAGTGGAACTAGGTATCACGACTTATCATGACTTACCCAGTTTGGTATATGACCTGCACAGTAGGGGAGCTCATTTTACACTATCCTAGTATATGGATAATAGTGAAAAAAATCCCGCCACGATAGTACCCATAGCGAGACTCAGAATACCAATAGGTCGGTGTTCTTATACGGACAGCAATTCCACGCTATCCTTGGATTCCATTGAAGTGAGAAAACCATTCCACCCCCTGGAGCTTCATGTTTGATATCCAGGTCACCAGATGGCATTCAGTATCCCTTCTAAAAAAGTATTAAATGGTCTATAGAATGAAGAGTTGGGTAGGGGGTTCCAGGGCATGTGACTGCCGCAAACAGAGTAACAGTTGCACGGAACTTATCTTGCCGGCCCGATTTGAATGACTTCGGCTCGGCGATGGGTCCAGTTGCATAGGCATCCTCGGCACTGCCCCCAGGAAAAAACACCAACCACGTTTCGGGAGTCTCCAAATGGAGCAGTGGAGTCCATCTCTTACCCAGAATGCAAGGTGAGTCGCATGGGACCGACACCACCTTCAGACCCGACAGGTCATTTGACTAATGCATTAGAAAATATAATAGAATAGCAATTAAGATGAAAAGGGACAAGAGAAACTACCGTGTCAAGCAAGGGGTTAGCGTCTTGGATCAGAGAGTAAAGCAATCTTAGCATTGAGTAAATACTATCATGCCGTATAGCAAGCATACAAAATCCATATGTACATAGATCCCCATTATCGATAGCACAAGGCACGATGGTCTCGTACAACAGATCGTAGATTGATTGTACATGTTGCATCGGAGGGAGAGATGATGTCATGGAAGCATTCATAGAACGTTCAGAGAATGTCGGAACGCCCGGTAGAGAATCTCATGAACAATTAATAGCTAGTATTTGGGATCAAATTCATGCATGCAAACAGGCTTTGCCCTGGTGGTTGCGTCATAAACTGGGGCGGTCAGGCATCCTACCCAACCAGAGGTCGTAATTCGTTCTTCCATAGTCGCCCGGATTCCCGGTTCAGGTGTTTCCGACAAGCGCCCAGCCGCCAGTCGGCGCCGAAGCCAATCAGTATTCCACGGTGTTGTCCGGACTTGATGTTGTCCCCAGTGGCAAATACCATACCCTTCCCAGTAAGTTTTCAACAAAGAAGGGAGGGGGTGTTTTTTTAGCCTTACAGGACACATGGAGTTACCGTGGTATGCAGAAGCCGCAGGCTGTCATTGAAGGGTTGATCACTGACTGATGCATGGATTGTAAGGGTGTGGGTGGCCTGGCCTATCTGTCAGATGGGATTCAGCCGATCGATGGGGGTATGTGGAGATGCTCGATGGGCTAACCGATGAGATCGTCGGATCATTGAACCATGACGTTGAGAAACCGTTTCCTAATGCGTCGTATCATTCCTCTGATTTGGGACCACTTGCTGACCTTTGATATAAAGGTTTGGAAACTTCCATGTTCCTGAAGTTATTCCTCATTCTTTCACCACTCACCCACTGGTGCTTTTCTGGGGTTCTTCTTATCTATTGTCTTTTATGAATATCTCTTTATAGGGTATATCCTTCCCCACAGACCCACATACCTTGATTGTGGCAGATACCTATTATCTGAAGACGCCTGCTCCTCAGTCATGGCGTCAAACGACCCTTATAACAAGCCCTCAGATCCAAGCATAAACCCTGAAAAGCTTTCAGAAGAAAAGAAAGATAGCTTAGATCAGGAGGGTAAGAGCACGAGTCCTTCTCGCCAACCCGCGCCCTTCCATGCTGAACATGCCTCGCAGTCAGACCATGATAGCGAGGAGCATGGCAAGTTCCGCGGAGATGGAAAACGAGAGTTGACAGAGGACGACTGCTACGAGAAATTGGGATTTTGCTTCCCCTGGTACAAAAAGTGGGCTATCCTCACCGTTGTCTTCACGGTGCAGATGTCCATGAACTTCAACAGCAGTGTGTATCCAAATGCCGTTACACCACTTTCGGAGCACTTTCACGTTAGTGAGCAAGCTGCTCGAGTGGGGCAGATGATCTTCTTGGTTGCCTACGCCTTTGGATGTGAGTTGTGGGCGCCATGGAGTGAAGAGCTCGGCAGGTGGCCTATCATGCAGCTCAGTTTGTTTCTGGTGAATATTTGGCAGATCCCCTGTGCCCTAGCTCCCAACTTTGGAACTATTGTTGTCGGTCGCTTTCTCGGTGGCCTGAGCTCAGCGGGCGGTTCGGTCACCCTAGGCATGACTGCAGACATGTGGGAGCCAGATGACCAAGGCTTTGCTGTGGCCTATGTGGTGTTGTCCTCTGTCGGTGGTACCACAATCGGCCCTATATTTGGTGGAATGATTCAGCAGTGGCTGGACTGGGAATGGAACTTTTGGATCCAGCTTATCTTCGGCGGAGTTACTCAATTGATGCACTTCTTCCTGGTTTGCGAGACTAGATCGACCATTCTTATCGACCGAGAGGCAAAACGTCGTCGCAAGACTGGTGAAGATCCCAATGCCTACGGACCAAACGAGCTAAAGACTCCCCGATTTGACGCCAAGGATATTCTACGTATATGGGCCCGGCCTTTTGAAATGTTTTTAAGAGAACCTATCGTGCTCTTCCTCTCTCTGCTGTCTGGTTTCTCTGATGCCCTCATCTTCACGTGCATCGAATCTTTCAACCTTGTTTTCAAACAATGGGGATTCAATGCTCTTCAAATCGGACTCTGCTTTATCTCTATCGTCATCGGATATCTTGTCGCGTACGGCATCTTCCTCCCCGACATTTGGCGTCAGCGTAAGATTAGACAGAGCCATGGCAATGCAGCTCGACTACCTGAGCGCCGTCTCTTGTTACTTCTCTTTATTGCACCGTTGGAGACGATTGGGCTATTCGGCTTTGCCTGGACATCAATGGGTCCGGAGTATACCCACTGGATTGTGCCCTTGGTTTTTGTTTTCCTGATTGCCATTGCCAACTACGGGATCTACATGGCAACCATTGACTACATGGTTGCCGCATATGGGCCCTACTCCGCATCCGCCACTGGAGGCAACGGGTTTGCCCGTGATCTCCTCGCAGGGCTGTCTGCAATGTACGCGACCCCAATGTACAAGAACATCGGTGGCAAGTTCCATCTACAGTATGCCAGTACGGTCCTCGCCTGTCTCGCAGTTCTCGTGACGATTCCTATATATATTTTCTATTGGAAGGGACCTGAGATTCGTGCGAGCAGTAAGTTTGCCCAGACCCTGGAGGCAGACCGCGCACAGCACGCAGGCCGCCGGGCCAGTCATCTCGGCGCAGATGAGAAGCCTTACAGCGCCTGAAACCGGTTTGCTTTCTCGACTATGGATCTTTTTTTCCCTATGTCTCTATTGTATCGATATGATTCCCATTCTACATTGTTATTTAAAGCATTTTTTTAGCGGTGTTTAGATAAGACTTCTAGGGTGGAGTGGGTCTTGTCGGAGCGGCCGGTCAAACGACTGATGACTACAACATTATAGATACCCTATTATGATAGTATCCTTTAATACTCTCTGAGTATATTGTACATACTAAAGATTGCCTCTTGTATATTGAAACAGGCTTCATTTTGAACTCCTGAGCCGGTTCAATTCAGTTGCTTTATTAATTATAAATCTTACCCGTATTATATCCACACTACACTATATATCCTAAGGCACCTAGGGAGACCGACATGAACCCCTAAGAGCAACTGATTCAGTAAGACATATCTAATGGCCACTACGCTACTTGGATCATGTAAACCTGCGGCAAGCTGAGAGAAACAGAGTTGATAAATATTACTAGAGATGCTACAGTAGTTTCATTTTGGGAAAATCTGGGGCCGGCTTGGCAAAGCTTGGAGCTCCGTAGCTTCAAGTGTTTCGTAAATCCGCATGAAATTCCTTTGTACTATATATATGTTTTTATTCCGCAGTAACTATTCATTTGCAACAAGAATGAGATCACCGGCAAAGAAGAGATGATTTTACAACACTTATCGTTTGAGAACGGAAGCTTAGGCCGCACCTTTCCGTGCATGAGAGATGGTCCGCGCCTAGCCGTCGGGCGCGGAATGAGATCCGAAATACCGCAGTGCAGCTGCTTCAAGCTTGCTCCCTCAGGCAAGGGTGTACCAACCAATGTGGCGTCCCCGATTGGTGATGCAGTCATGCAAGCCCCTCTTCCGCCTGTGGATGTTATCCAACCAAGGGATGGCTCTGTTCCTCGGTCTGCGCCAGACTACGTGTTGAACTACGGTCGGAAATGTCCCGTGTCATGTACCAGTAACCCATGCGGAGGTCGAAGCTCAAAACTGGAAAGGCTTAGTATAAAACCTCAGTATTGAGTACCCCTTCAAGTGCAATGAGACTTTGTCTTTGACAACTGTCATCTACCCTCTTTTTTGTCATCTTTAAGATACCCTTGGCGTTCAAATGTCGATACAAACGATCGCAGTCGCCGCTATTGCGGTGACCTACTTTATCATCCGCTACTTGAACCGGACAGACGTTCCAAAGATAAAAGGCCTCCCAGAGATCCCCGGAGTCCCTCTTTTCGGAAACCTTCTACAGCTAGGTGATCAGCACGCCACAGTCGCCGGAAAATGGGCAAAAAAGTTCGGTCCGGTGTTCCAAGTTCGCATGGGAAACAAGGTGAGTCCTTTGACTTTCCGTAGCCGTCGTCAGGGGAGGGGGCGGAAATGTTAATATAGCCGGTTTTCCAGCGCGTGGTATTTGCCAACAGCTTTGACTCGGTACGACAACTCTGGATCAAGGACCAATCGGCGCTCATTTCCCGCCCGACTTTCCATACCTTCCATAGCGTTGTGTCCAGCTCGCAGGGATTTACCATCGGCACATCACCCTGGGATGAGTCCTGCAAGAGGCGCCGCAAGGCCGCCGCGACCGCGCTTAATCGTCCCGCCGTGCAGTCGTATATGCCGATTATTGATCTGGAGGCGACCGCGAGTATCAAGGAGCTTTTCAAGGATAGTCACAATGGAACCGTGGATGTGAATCCCACGGCCTACTTCCAACGGTTTGCGCTCAATACTAGTCTTACGCTGAACTACGGATTTCGCATATCGGGGAATGTGGACGATGGACTGCTTCGGGAGATTGTGGATGTTGAGCGCGGAGTATCGAACTTCCGCAGTACGAGCAATAACTGGCAAGATTATATTCCGTTGCTGCGGATCATACCCAAGATGAACCGTGAGGCTGAGGAATTCCGTGTTCGGCGAGATAAGTATTTGACGTATCTGTTGGATATTCTCAAGGATAGAATTGCGAAAGGAACGGACACGCCTTGCATTACAGGAAATATCCTGAAGGATCCGGAGGCGAAGCTTAATGATGGTAAGCGCATTACAGTCTTTGCTAATACGTGCATGCGGCTAACAAGGCGCACTGATAGCTGAGGTCAAATCGATTTGCTTGACGATGGTTTCTGCGGGCCTGGATACTGTGCCAGGTAACTTGATCATGGGCATCGCCTATCTGGCTTCCGAGGACGGTCAACGTATCCAGCAGAAGGCTTATGATGAGATCATGAAGATCTACCCAGATGGTGATGCATGGGAGAAGTGTCTCGTTGAGGAGAAGGTCCCGTATGTGTCCGCTTTGGTCAAGGAAACCCTTCGATTCTGGACCGTCATCCCGATCTGTCTGCCACGAGAGAGCACCAAGGATATCGAATACAATGGGGCGAAGATCCCAGCCGGAACCACATTTTTCATGGTAAGATTTCTTTCTCCCTCCTTTGAGCCTGCTTTGGAGTGAGTACTTATTTATCTGGACTGACAGAATGCCTGGGCCGCCGATTACGACGAGGACCACTTCAAGATGGCGGACAAATTCATTCCCGAACGGTACCTAGAACTGAATGAAGGCTCTGGTACCCCACACTACGGATATGGAGCCGGCTCGCGGATGTGTGCGGGGTCCCATCTTGCCAATCGTGAGCTGTACACGGCATTTATCCGACTGATCATCGCCTTCACGATGCATCCAGCACAGAACCAGGAGGATCGGCCTATCCTGAACGCGATCGAGTGCAACGCAATTCCAACAGCTCTGACCACAGAGCCAAAGCCTTTTAAGGTTGGTTTCAAGCCAAGAGATGCTGCGAAGCTACAGCAATGGATTGCGGAGAGCGATGAGCGGACTAAGGATCTTTAGCCCTTCGCCTTTATTAATTTCTTTTCACTTCAGTTTGTGCATTGCGCCAGCGGTGGGACTTGAATGCCTTTAGAATATGTATAACTAAACTATTTTTCTACAAGTTCCGCCCGGTTACCCGATACGGGTGCCGCCGCTTTTATGAGGGCAGCACGTGAGTGCTCACGGAGCACAACAGGCTGCTCCGGTCACTCCCGTATAGCACAGCACCAGCAAGCTGGTGAGTGATCGAGAGCAGTTTCCTGTTCCATACTGTACGTCACATGACTACAACAGGGCCTCTAAAGTGTGTATAGACTAAAGTTGACTGATCTATACATATCCCATTACTTTTATGAAAGCGTTATAAAGTCAAGGATTAAGTAAATTAATTTTACTACTACACACGATAACTATTTAAAGTATATTTCGCAGTCAGATTAGATGGAGATAAGAGTGTCTCAGATCGAATAGTGATTCGGCCTGACAACTATACAATAATACCCTGACGCAGGTGCATGGACAAATCGGCCTACGATGACCACCGATAAAGACTATCAGACCACCCAATGGTCAGGGTCTCAATGGGCATTCTGAAGCCTTAGGCATAAAAAAGCCTTCAGCTATAAATTAGCGAATCTTTAGTAGTATAGGAGGTCAAGAATCAGTCTCCTGTCTCAATAGTATCTCCTGCCTGTCTTTGATATTCCCACTTGCTTTAGCCTATGTATCCTTATCTAGTTGACAGGTCTTCTACCTAGGCTGACCGCTCGGACGGGAAAATCCCGAAATAATGACAAGTAGTGTAAAAATAGACTTGCTAAATTGAACCTCTTGGAACAGACCTGTGTAGTATAGAGCGGCAAGGCCTGGGGTGAATTTAACAGAGAATAAATACCACGCCGCTAATTATTATGAAAATCTGGTATACATATACTTACTCTTAATTTCTAGTCCCCTCCATCCGTAAACGCCAGCAATGTACGCCAGAACTCATTCTGTATAAGAATTTAGAATGAAAATACATTAGGAGTTGATACGTGCATCTGAAGCCCTTTCCCGGAAGTCCATTTGCACTTTTTTACCTCCACAGATATTGACGGGTATGATCGGCCTAGGCTTCTTCCTAGGACTCATAAATCTAACACATACGTCATATTTTCACGTACTTTGCTCTTTATTAGTCACATCGCTCATCAATTAGCTCGTCCTCGAGAATAGCATATCGTGCATATTTTTCAATTGGAGGCCGTAGGGGGTGCAGCGCAATAATCCAATATAACTCTGAGAAAAGTTGACGAAACCAGTTCTCATTCGCTTTCATCATATCAAAATTCCATGCACTGCATTTAATGCACAGGCCTCGAATGTTCAGTAAAGAATTCTCGACTTGACAGATTGGATAAACTCGACCTCTGAATGTACGAGTTTCCCAAGCAGTGCCGGCCTCGCGGCAGGTTATACCAGGAGCTGTTTTAAATGGCTCGTTAACAGAATGTAGTTGACCAGCTCCAATGCTACGGAACTCCAATACATGGGCTAGTCCATTGCCCAGTAAAACTGCCAGAAAGACCAGACCTGCTAGTTTCTGACTATGGGTTGAAGTCGAATTCTTCAAGAGTCGAATAATATTGTAGTCCAAGGTTATCAGATCTGACATCGCCTTGGGGCACAGAGTTGTCTCTGCAAATGGGGAAGAATTTAGGTGCGTACCAGGATCAAAGTCGATATCAGGAATGGCGTTTTTGATGCATCCAATCGTCTCATCCTTTGATAATTCTATTTCCACATCAGCACCAAGCCATATATCCGGGAGGCCTGAGTGTCGGCGCCGAATGAAAATGCCAAAAGATTCCCAGCGTTGAATTATGATTCGTGACATAAGGAGAAGCGCCGGTTGAATTAGTGTATAGGCATTGCGCGCGGCAGGGGTATCTCTTTCACGAAATATTGGAAATTTCGATCTCGGGAAAAGATTCTCGTTTTGTAGATTACAAAAGCTAGACGGGCAGCTTTCGTAATTCTCCATGACGAAGTCTTCATCAGCGAAGCCTCAGGGGCTGCCATCTGTATGCGTAGTAGCCATGGTGTGGGATTCTAAACTGTAACATTTAAGGTAGCAGCTTGCGCTTGCTTGTCCATATAAAGGTGCTGTGTACAGGAGTCCTGTAGGCAGAAATGGTAAGGGCCAACAGGACCGCGGTAAGTATCATTGTCCTGAAAGAGCGAAAGAGATTCCTATTACCTCAGCTCCCTCAGATGTGTAAGGTGATATTAGGAGCTGGTCCCAACACAGAAGGCGGCCTACTTAGAGGTCACATGTCGGAGTTGATAAGAGGGAAATGACCAATCTGAAGGGTTCGCTTGAGGAGGTGAAGAAAAGAAAGAGAAAAGAAAGAGAAAAGAAAGAGAAAGAGAAAGAGGGAGGGAAAGTGAGCGTCATTTATTTGTGCGCGGGTTTTTGTAGATCAAGGCATGCTGAAGTGGGTAAAAGCGGCCACCAGAGTGAAAACGCCCTTGCTAATCCCGAACAGGAAGCCAATTCTTCGTGCTGGGTAGGCGGTCGGTTGCAGAAGAGCCGCGGTTCAACAAGCTAAGATTTAGCGCAACCGAACCGTGGAATTGGATCAAATGCCGTAGATCGTCACCAGTCTAAGCCCTTCCAGGACATAGTGCAACCTCGGCTGCCGAAACCCCCCCGCATTAGCGACTTGTCCCAGCAACAAAAACAGCGATCATCTCTCCCCTTTCCTCACCGTTCTCGTCGGCATTAATCTCCTTCAAATGTCTGCCCCGATCGATGATCATGCAAGCCACACCGCGGGCCACGGGGACAATCATACCGTAGAGAACGACACAGACTCCCACGAGCCCCGTCCACCGCGGAAAAGACGGAAATATATTGCAAAGGCATGGTGGGTCACGTTCACTCCTCCCCGAGATTGAACATCTCTAGTTTCAACCTCTCACTGAGATGGCGAGTGGCAGCAATGAGTGCAAGCGGCGCAAAATCAAATGCAACGGGGAGTCACCATGCCAACGTTGCGGACGACAACGGATTAGCTGCGTGTATGCGGAAGGTCCACGACACGACACCCAGGGCAATGAACAGTGAGTTTTCCCTTAAATGGGCCGCCGGCGACAAGACTCACACTGACGGAAATGAACGGATTCGAGCAACTGTGCGAGCAAATGAGAGCTATGCAGGAGCAGATCACGGCTTTAACGGCGGCAGTTCATGCTCTGACTCAAGGTGCTACCGTTCCGAGCACGCTATCCCGACCGGACGAAAGTCATCAAGCTGTGTTCCCGCAGAGGCCGTTTCGGCGCGTGTCCTCGGCTAAAGAGTTGACGTTTCAGGGTCCCACCACTTCGGCGTTTAGTTTTGGTCTTGCGAAATCGAGTCTTCAGCGTCGTGGGATCGTGGAGCGGAATGATGGTGGTGAGGATGGGGATGGGGATGTGACTCAGGAGCCGTCGCCTATGCCGTCCCCTCCTTCGCTGACTCGAATGTTGAACCCGCGGCAGGGTGATGTGTTGTGGACTATCGGGAAGGATGAGGCTCTTCGATTGTGTAGAGTGTACGAGGAAGAGATGGGGATTATGTATCCTGTGTTGGATCTGCAGCAGCTTCTGAATCAGGTCAATATCCTTTACAGTCAGATACGAACGGAGGCCTGGACAGACGTTTCTGTACAGTCTCATGGTGGTGAGAAGGAGCTGGATAAGTATGATGTGGATATACTCCGGTTGGTCTTTGCATGCGCGTTGACGCTCGAAGCGAGTGGAAGCAGCGACTTGGCTATGAGGCTGTTTGAAAATGTCCAAGGAGTGGCAGATAATTGTGTTTGGGGGCCTCCTGACATTAGAGGTATTATATTCTTGACCTTGGTGGTAAGCTCTATTCCGGTATTCTGGCCTCTTGCATAGTCTAATCAGATTATGTAGTCGATCTTTTACTTTCAGATGGATGAGGAAACGCTTGCATGGCGGACAATCGGTATCGTGGAACGCATGTGTCTGGAGAAAGGTCTTCACCGACGGGAAACACTTCAGCAACCAGCTGTTCTAGCTGAAGGAAGAGAGCGCGTCTTACGATTGTTCTGGTCAATTTACGTTCTGGACATGCGTTGGAGCTTTGGAACTGGCATGCCATTCGCCTTAGAAGACAGTGATATTGATCCCTGGCTGCCGGAGCCAGAGGAGAAAACACCCTACTTGCGGGTAATGATCCGGTATAGTCGCATTGCGGCTAAAGTTTGGAAATTTATATCCGCTTTCAACAACACCAACGAGATCAAGAAGGATGAAATGAACTACCTGGATTGGCAGGTCCTGAGGTGGGCTGCCGCAATCCCTGAATCTCTGCGTCTTGACCAGCCATTTGAACAAACTCAACAGGAACCGCGGAGCATCCGTCGGCTGCGCTGCTTACTGTATCTTCGCGCTAATCAATTGCGGATGCTGATATATCGGCCAGTCCTGCACTCAGCAGCTCATATCGTACGCTATCCGGCAGAATCGCAGGTAGTCGTTGATCTCGCCAAGGACACTATCCAGTTCATCACCAAACTAAATGCAACGTCGGATATTTACCGGCTGCAGCAGGTCACGTTCAACTGGTTTCTCGTGTCAGCCCTTGCCGTTCTATTTCTCGCCGTAGCGCAGACACCCGCTCAATTCAGCAGCCACTGCAAAGAGGAATTCTACATGGCCGTGGAATTAGTGAAAGGCTTCTCGCCACGGTCATACGTATCTCGACGGCTGTGGAGGTCAATTAAGAGCCTCCGCAAACTGGGTCCACAACTGGGATTACAGACCCACCGACAAGGAGACGAGACAGATCAGAGTGCTCTCGAGCCACCAGATGGTAGCACGGCTGTCGAACCCCTGGAGCAAGTGCCGGCATCCAGTATACAGAGCCATACCACACCGGACGGGGTCCAAATGACGCGGGAACTAATGGAATGGTTCGAGGCGGTGGGCAACATCGAAGAGCAGATCATGTCAGTCGGAAACGGAGCGCAGACCTTTGACGAGCCGTGGCAATATGGAGCGCGCATGGGGAATGGGTATATGTTCGACTATGGGAGCGAGCTGTCCAGTGTGATGAGAGACTGCTTCTGATGGCAGTCCAAAAAGTTATAAATGGGGATCTGGATATTTCCTCATTCTCTACAATAGATTTCTGTATGAGGTAAATATAATTAGAGGGTTAAAAATAATTAATAGTGGACTAGGGTCTTCTCCACGCCGATTGAATAATTAACTATTTCTTCAGGCTTCTACTACCAACCTCGTACTTGACTGCGCAATTGGCAGCTAGCAACCACGCGTCGAACGTTATGGCAGTAAATTTCCCTATCCTTGCCAGAGGTCTGAAAGAAGATTAAAAATACGAATCTTAATGCCATGGGTGTCTTGCGGAAAGAATGGGACACTCGGTGGAACTGTCATCCGACTTTACCTCAGGCAGAGTATGTTGGCGTTTCTTAATGTCAACCAATGTGTCTTCAGATGGGCATCCATCGGATTCTAAGTCTATAACCAGTACATTTCATGATGGCCTATAGCTGGAATTAACTGGTGTACTAGAGTTATTACCTTCCTGGGGAACAATCTCAAACACGACTTCACCCTTATCAATTGTTGGCATGTCTGCCATAGCACAGCGCCACTGGGCCACGCAGTAGATAGAACGGTACTTATTGTCGGTAGTACTTCTTACGTAGCTGTTGGCCGGATTCCTGCATTGGTCCTTCTCTCCCACGCACAATAGTTTGGTTTGAAAGCGTTATGTATCCATTCTGACCGAAATCCCTCCGGCCACCAAGCGACCCGAGGTGCGCACAAGCACCTCGAGTTGGATGTATCGTGTTATTGATAACGACCTTTCTGTTCCCGGGGAACCTCGGCTTAGTAATGTCTATTTTGCGGACTAAAGGATCGCCTGTGGGTCGTGCCAGGCAATTGATGACACAGAGAAACAAAAGGTAACAGTAACAAGATAAGAGATCTTGCTACATATGATAAATCAACGAAGTAAAGGAAACCCAGATTGCCGTTGAGCTCCGGAGAATGAAAGAGACATTGAGTTTGATTCATAATGGTGGTATAGAGGGATTTTCTGATCTTCACCTGAGCTAGGTATCTTCGACGATCAGCTGGAGTGTTCCACCATAGCTTTGTTTGCTCTACCAGGATTATACCGACCGTGTTTTAACATAATACTTTCCATCTCTAGAATCTTGACTTCCCGCTATGAATGGCCTTCTCTATCTTCGCTTTGCGCGGTGAGAACTCGCCAGTACTGCATTTTACTAACTGGTGAATTACTAGAGGTATATACCCAAGGTAGCTCAACAGAGAGACGGAGAATAAAGGAAGTGAAACACTAGTGGGGTCAATTATATCGAGGCTTCCCCAATGATTCCAAGTCCTTGACGGTAAAATCCGTGATCAGCATATGGCCCGGTTCATGGGCAAACACAAGGCCTTCGATCCGGTCTCCTGCAGATTCAATTGCCATCTGTGGTGTCACACCACACGCCTGTCTTACAGTTAATAAAGCACCTAAGCAAAGGAGGAAGAAAGGAAAGACAATGGAAAGGAACTCACCCAGAAAACTGGAACTTCATCCTCCTCAAAATCCTGCCTCTCTCCGAAATCTGGGCTCTCAATATCTCTAATTCCCAGCCGCTCAAGCGCATCCCATCCCCAATCCACTGGCTCGCCATGTGTGGCCAAATAGGGCCTCGTGACAGCCCTAACCCTCTCTACATCTTCTGCCCGGTACGGTCGCATGGAAACAATGCAAGTCCCCCCTTTGAAGATCCCGGACGCTAACAATGGGATGCATGTTTTATACATTGAAACCATGGTACCCGTGATCTGGTGCTTAGGTTTCAACCCTGTTTCGGAAAGGGCGTCTTCGAAGGAAAACGAGCATCCTATTAAGAAGCCGACGTAGTCGTCTGTCCAGAGGTTAAGGAGGTCGGTCCTGCTCTCGAGGTATTTGCCATCTTTGTAGATGCGGTATTTCGGGCAATCGGTGCGGAGGTCAAAGTCTTTTTCTTGGATACATGTAGAAGGGTAGATGGTGTGCGGGTTACCCTTCGAGGTGAGGCCGAGTAAAGGGCAGGAAACAGGGTTGCGGAGACAGAGGTTATGGAAGTCCTCGGCGTATCGCGAGGGCAGAATTAAGAGGTTGGCTTGTAAGTATCCTGGGGCTAGGCCGGCGGTGTTGGTGACGTGATTTTGGCGGCTGAGGCTGCGGACTTGGTGGGCCGATTGCCCTTGGGGTGGTCGTGGGGAGGCCATGTCTACAATGCCCTTATTTTCTCTGTTTGTTATACTTATAAATTCTACGCTTAGGTTACATGGGCTTCCCCGCGGGATTATATTTGGTATAGTCCGGAATGACGGCGTAACTATCAATCAACAAGAGCCAAGCCCTAGGGAAAGCCAGCAACCCACTCAAACTTCCCCATATCCACCATCGGGGCCCACAAACCGATATCTGGGGGATTTATCAGTCCGGTTCACCCAATGACCGAATGCGATTAATAGGACAAACAAACTGATAAAGTCCACTCCACCACTTATCTGGGGCTATCGGCCCGAAGAGGCGCCTTCCACGAGCGGAGAAGCGGACCTTGGCCGAGTTTCTGTTACTCAAGTGATACCTTATTCTGATAACGGGACCATAGATTATGCCCGTTGAGGGGAAGATGCGCATCGGTTATCTCGATGGGTAATTGTGACGGAGATATCATCGGCATGGATTGTGGATTCTTTTTAACGCCAGATTCTCCCTCCCCCTGTCTGCTCTGGCTTAGTAGTTTTGGCGTGGGAGTCCAACTATAGTACCCTTTTTTTGTACACCTCCTACGACGAACCGGGGATTTGATAGATACAGGGTCGATTCATTTCGATGGCCTCAATGTCGATTGACCAGAAGGATATTCCATTGGAGAATAAAAATGATCGCAAGACCTCCGTGGAGGAATCGGGCCTCGGCGATGTCAACGATGTTGTGCTCGACCCAAAGAAGGAGAAGAAGCTCCTTATGAAGCTCGATATAGCTTTTGTGCCCATTATTATGTTGACTTACCTATCGTGCTTTTTGGATCGCACGAATATAGGTATGTTCTGACTCTCCAACTGGGAATGCGACGTGAATGAACTGACTCGCGACAGGTAATGTCAAAGTCGCTGGAATGCCCGAGGATATTGGCGCCTCCGAGACTCAGTTCTCCACCGCCGTGTCTATTTTCTATGTAACATATGTGCTTCTCGAATCACCTTGGGCTGTGTTGATGAAAAAGCTCACCCCTCGCAATATCCTTACTGGACTGTGCATCGTCTGGTCTCTCGCGACGATTTTTACGGGATTCGTGCAGAATGTCGCTGCGCTCTACGCCACAAGGTTGATTCTAGGTGCTTGTGAGGCGGGGCTTTTCCCTTGCCTAAACCTGTACCTGACAATGGTCTACCGACGAGAAGAGCAGGCGAAGCGCGTCTCCTATCTTTTCAGCTGTGCAGCTATCTCCGGTGCGGTCGGGGGCTTACTGGCCTATGCACTGCTGCATATGGATGGAATAGGAGGAAAGGCCGGATGGAGGTACTTACCTGCCCCTTCACACTTCTTTAGAAACAATACTAAAAAGAACCAATAGATGGGTCTACATCATCGAAGGCCTTTTCAGCATCCTCTGCGCTATCCTCATCTGGTTCGGTCTCCCCAATAACCCAGCAGAGTCCTACTTCCTCACGGCGGAAGAAAAATGGATGATGCGTGTCCGCAACGAACAACGCCGCAAATATATTGGCAGCGATAAGTTCAGCTGGGAAGAAATGTGGCTCGCATTGCGCGATCCCAAGCTGGCCTTCAGCGCCGTCACGCAATTCTGCCAAGATATTCTCCTCTACGGTTTCAGCACGTTCCTGCCGACCATCCTAAAGAGTCTCGGGTATAATTCGTTAATGAGTAACGTGTTGACCGTACCGGTTTATATCTGGGCTGCGATTGTATTTATTGCGGTGGCTTATTGTGCGGATCGGTTCTCGCGGTTTGCTTCCGTATGTTCTCACCTCTCTTCCATATTTCTTAAATTACAATATCGTGAAGTGACTGATATGCTAACATGCAAAATCAGTACATCCTCATTGCCAACATCTTCGGCATAATAGGCTACATCCTCCTCCTAGCCGTCTCCAGTGACCCTGTCAAATACTTCGCCACCTACCTCTGCGCCATCGCCTGCTACACCGGCGTCGGCCTAAACGTCGCCTGGCTTAACGTGAATGTCGCCCCCCAATACCGCCGAGCCCTCGAGATCGGCCTCCAACAGACCATCGGAAACTGCGCCGGCATCGTCGCAGGCCAAGTCTACCGCCAGTCCCCTTACGTCCTGGGCAATGCTTTCTCTCTGGGCTCACTCGTCGTAGCACAGGTTGTAGTCGCTGCACACGCGATGTATCTGAAGAAAGAGAATGCCGAGAAGGAGCGGATCATTGACGGGAAGGAGGATACGCGGCGAGTCAGGACGGGTGACGCGGATGTGGAGTTTAAGTATCACTACTAGTTACTTAGTTTTATTCTATTCGAGTTCCAATGGTTCAGGGGCAAGAATCCTAGATTGGTTATGTCATGGAAGCAACCTTTTCTTGGAATCTTCTTTTTTTAGGGTTACATTTATCCCATAACGTAGATATAGGAGGTTTTTATTGGTGGTTGCGTAGATGACGTCATGGCGTACGATTACTACAATCTTGGATTGGGAAAAAAGGTACCGGAGTGTATATTTAAATAAATCTATACAGTTCACTTGGTTCAGCCTTATGTATTATCTACTTGGGTTGAAAAATAGTTCTGTTTATTTTTAATTTTGTTAGAAACAATCTTGTGCGAAAGTTTTCAGTCAACGTTCCGTTTCAGCTTTATACTCCCTCCCTAAATAACCGACGAGCAAAACGAAGAATATGGGCTCTTGCTTCTCCCTCCTTGGTGGCGGGAATCGCCGTCACGGTGTGAACCCCGGCATGGGAATGGGAACAGGCGGATATCCGCCCTCACGAAGACACGAGTTCGGGCCTGGTCTTGGCGGCGGAGGCTTTGAGATGGGGCCTGGCGGATATGGTGGTGGGGGACATCATCACGGTGGCGGGGGACTTGGAATGGGGATGGGTGGAGGAGGGCTTGGTGGTCTTTTAGGAGGACAACAAAGCGGTCATCACGGAGGCGGGCTTGGTGGGCTTGCCGGAGGAAGCCATGGTAGGCATCATGGAGGAGGAGGACTTGGTGGCCTTATGGGAGGTGGCGGACACCACGGTGGAGGAGGTTTTGGAGGACATCACGGAGGGCACCACGGGGGTGCGTTTAGGAGACATCATGGGGGAGGAAGATGGTGAGTTGTTATCAATGGTGGAAGTAATGGTAAGTGACTTGAGGGAGCAGTTCGTTGAGGTTTTGCTGACGAAATTAGAGATTAGGATCCTTCATGGTTATACGGTATTTTACGATCTACGTTATGGGTTATGCGTGTGTCTTTGAGCCTCAGCGTTATGTATGTGGAATTAAAATAGATCTTCAGTTAATATGCCTTCTTGAGGCAAGTGACAATGTCTTCGCTCTTGATAAGGGTGTCCTCGTCCCCTAAATCTGTGTAAGTAGCATCCAGCTGCGCGACCGACTTCAATTGCTGTCAGAGCATCTTCAAAGCTCCTGTTGATCTGAGTGACTAGAGCGTCGCTGTTTAATCTGTTCACCATGCGATGGTCCTAATCCACCCTAGAATAGGGCAACGCAATACAAGGTCTGCGGTGTAAAAGTAGCAGGGTGATGGGATCGACACATTGATGTAGTTGGAAGATGGAGAAAAGCTGTGATTTGTATTGCCACGTGGTTGTTACCTAACGAAGGTAGTCAGTGAATGGAACCACTTTCTCGTTGAACTCACCAAAAGGTTTGTGGAAAGCATAGTATAAAGCTGATAGAAGTTGCACGTTAGAGTAATAATAATGCAGGCTTTGCTTTCCGAATACTGATATAGCGGTAGGGTTACGGTAAAACACGTGAGGATAATCCTACAAACATGTATACTTAGTCGTGACTCCTAGTGACTCCTAATTTCTTCTTCTACTCTCTGCATACACTACTCTACTTTCTCCCTCTCCTTCATTTAGTAATTTACACAAAGATTATTCCCAAGTACTGGAATACTAGAAACAAGGAAACCCTATGAACATGAGCTTTGCTAGGTTATCTGCGTAGAAGTGGTACTGCACGGTCAAATATTCATTTATCAAGTCCATAATATGCATAATAAAAGCCTCACTCCCGTTTGGCAGGGGAAGGAGGGTTGGCATCGAAAACTCGCGCAAGAGTGAGATGCCAATCCCACAATCTCACTTATTCAAGTTGCTGAGTGTAAAATCTGAACAATGATAACATGTTGGGTGTGGGCAGTGACAAGTGAATGTGTCGAAAGGCTATGGGATATAGATCCGAGTAGAAGCTCCTTCGCTACAAGAAGTCATAATGAGAACATTGACTGTCGTCCTGTTCTTACCGGAAAGCTTCTATAATTTCTCTTTCCAGGGCAGGACACATGATTCTTTATCCTTTTGTCGGCTCGAGATGGTTTCGTATGGCAACTTTATTAAGATTCAAGCTTACGGCCATGTACTTGCACCGAGTTCAAGCGATTCAGGCCGATTTAGTTTATTACAACAACCCAAGCCTACCAGAACCCATACTTTGCGTTACCCATAACTCAGGTACTTTGACTATATCTTATTGCGTACGGTAATATAGAATCTATCCAAGGATATGGTTTACTAATATAGCACTGAACTCCGATGTCCGGGTTAGCCCTGTATAAATGTCTGCATCCTGCATCATGTAAAATCTGTAAAGGACTATTCATCCCTCAAAATCCATCCTAGGTCTATATAGGGCCCGCCTCTTTTTCCATAGTTAAGCTATAAAAAAAACCTCTTAGTCCACACCATTTAGTCCACCAAGTTTCCGATATCCAGCCCTCCTTCACGCCTGACTAGCCTCCTTAGCAGACTCAGGATTACCTATAAACACCTCTCCTTGATTTAGCCATACATATATTGACTCTATCAGGTGAGACATACGCACCACCCTTTGGCACAGCCACCAACTGAAACTCCCACGCGAACGAAATCATCTTGTCCAGAGTACGGTCCCAGTCCTCCTCGCAGAATATATCATAGACTTCTTTCGTCTCATGTACGGTAATTCTGAATCGCAGAAAATACTTGTCCCTGCCGTAGCCCTTGTCTCGCAGTGTCTCTTGGATTGTGGTGTAGCGTAGATCTTTGATTAGGTCGAAGTCGCTCTCATTCAGCGCTTCTTCGGGGGTGTTCATTTTGATGGGGGTCTGGAGATAGTTTGGGTTAGTTAGGGGATGACTTGCTGTTTTTGGTAGAATTACCTATGGTTTGTGGTTTCGGCTTGCTTTTTGTGGGCTGGTTATAGTAATGACACTTGATAATGGGGTATATGGTTTGAGTACCAGGGTTGTGACTGTGGGGATTGCTAGCCAGTAAGTTCTGTTGTGTGAGTACTATGACAGGCTACGAGGGCTAGTCGAAAAGAAAGAGCAAGTTGCGGCAAAAAGGCAGGAAAGACCGTGATGGGATTGCAGTAGTAACGCCAGGAAAGGGCAAATATTCCCTGTACGTGATAAACAGTAACATTAAACGCAACACACATCGACTGAATTGGAAATTACCTTGGCTTCGTTACTTCAATATCACGCATCATCCGACAATCCCACCAGTTCCAATGAATTCTTCCACAGCCGAGTCTCATCCTCCGGCTTGTACGTGTGGCCTACAAACGTTCCCATATGATCCGGACTACCCTCGGGCCCACGAACTGCCTCCGCGCATTCAGCAAGGTACTTGCCGCCCTTGCCCTCCAGCTCTGTGCCGACCGCCGCCCAGACCGTTGTAGCAGCACCTTGCTCAAGGCTCTTCCACAGAGGCTTCCACTTTTCGTTGTGGATTATCATATGATGCATCTCTGCGCTAAGGTAGGCCCCCAGATTGGTACCAACAACACCGGGATGGACACTATGCGCATGAAGCCCGCGTGAGCCGTACCGACTCTCAATCTCATTCGCCATGTAGACCATGGCAGTCTTCGACTGTGCATATGCCTTCCAGGGATCATACTCGCTCTTCTGGAAGCTATAATTATCCGACGCGGGGATACCATGGTGTCTATGTTCGTCCGAGGCCACATTCACGACCCTCGACTGAAACTCCGGAGTGCTGGCCGCCAGCAGCGCAGGTTTGAGTAGGTTGAAGAGCAAGAAGTGAGACAGGTAGTTTGTTACAAACTGCAGTTCATGGCCCTCCATTGAGAGGTAGAGTTCCGGCGGGGCCAAGATCCCGGCGTTGTTGATGAGGAGGCTCACTTTGTTGGTTTTGGAGAGGATAGTCTTTGCCGCGGTGCGGACACTCTCCAGGGAGGAGTTGTCCATTTCGACGAACTCCATCTGCTCAGGCTTGAATATGTCGGCTAGGACTGTTTTCGCCTTGTCTAGATTTCTCGCGGTCAGGTAGAGAGTTGCGCCTGTTGCTGCGGCGGCGCGGACCGTTTCGGTGCCGATGCCGGATGAGACGCCGGTGATTACGGCTGCTTTGCCCTTGAGCTTGCCTTCCATTTCGGCGTCTTTGACAATTTGGAGGGCAGTTGGGCGGGCGTCGCCGGCACCCTGGGGGTTGGCGTGGGCTTCCCCGTAGCGAGACATTGGGGTTAGGGTTGGTTGGTAAGAGTGGTTAGCTGTTATGCGAAAGAGACAGTGACTCTGAAGGGGTTGTTGACGTTGAGTATTCTCCGGCTGGACAAACCCCCCTTTTATACCCAAAGTTGTTTACCACAGGAGCTAAGGCGCAGTGACAGAGCCGCAACGGTGTGCTTTCTGGTTCAATATGTGTTGGGTTTCCTGCTTTTATAATTGGCCCCATTCATCTGGGGTATGTTGGAAAATAGTGGGGGATTGCCGGGATTGCCAACAGAATGTAGCTTAGCGTAGGTGGTTGGCGTGCAGATTAGTTGATCTGGCCTGCTCTGTAAGAGCTTTAGCTCCAGTGGGAGCCAAGTTCCTAAGGTAGGAGGGGTTTAAGGTAGACAAAGGAAGACGGAGATAGATCTTAACGTTGAAAGTTCGGATTTAGGAGATAATTTAGATGATTTAGATCCTCAGTTGTGTTACTATTTATGCCAAATGAGCACAACTCTTGAGTATATAGTGCTAGCTAGTATCATACTAGGGCTGTGAAGTGAAGGAAGGCCATCAGCCACTATTCCACAAATGATAAAAGAAAAGAAGCCGTTCCATTCACCACTTTCGAATATGGAGTCAGGACCTCATGCTCGAAAAAGAGAATCAGACCGATGCCTACGTCAGCTCAGGACTGTCTGGCCTAGACAGTGATCATCATCTACTTTCCGTCCAGAGTCACACTTGGAAGCTTGAGGCAACAGAAATACAATTCCGATTTATTTCCCTTTCCCAGGAAGCGGGATAACCTGATCGCCTGGGAGGTGTGTTATGATCATGCGGAGTTCGTTGGGACTTGCTTCGAGATACGATCGATGAAAACATCTTCGCTTCACCGTTACTTAAATCCACTAACCTTCGAAGAAGGGGTCAATACTGTGGGAGTCAGTCATTCATACAGTTGGGAAGAGATACCGCAATGCCTACGAAAGTGGACTTGGGTTATAGGGGGATGTGAGAAGTTGATCGAGTCTACTAATGGGCGGAGGACGATCAGAGGGGGGTGGAGGTCCCTTGCGGGTCTCTGTGCGACAGTGGTCAATCGTAGACAACACGTTCATAAGACATCAATTATACATGGAAGAGAAAGACATGGGGCCATGACAACACATTCAAACAATCCACTTTGCATGAGGACAGGCGCCCATACTTTCAATTAGGGCATCAACTCTTTCTGTGATCCAGCCGGAAGAGACTCCATCCTTCTGAGTTCCCCACACAGCCACATTGGAGGTCCAACACCTCCCATCTGCATAGCTAAACTGTACACATTTAGTATCACTATAGCAGAGCACCCGGCACTCCACCAAGCTGATACTCGATTTACCCGGCGCCTCACCAAGCCGATTATTCCAATTGGTCACCGTCCCACCCAACTTCGGCCGCACAATATGCCGAAAAACATCCCGATACACAATCATCTCTTTATTCCCATCCCGGGCCCAAGCCCGCTCAAACTCCCAAAGCTCGCGAATCTGCTCGGGCTGCAGATGGTGATATGCAATCGGCGCATAACACCAGGGTTTCTTCAGATACCCCTCGGAGAAAAAGTCAATATCCGCCGGCTGTCCCGAATTTAGCACGGGCCACGACCAGAGCATTCCTACGTGCGCATCCGCCAATAGCTTCCCCAAAACGCAATCCCCGGCCCAATGCTCTCCCGTGTAGCGATCCCACGCTTTCACATCCCGCTCCCTCAACGTAACCGCGGCCCGCATTGCCGGCGCCGAAAGCACAAACCCCGACCCTCCATGCGCAAAGACCACGTCGGCGATCTGCATCTGATTCCCCAGATAATGCGGCTCTTGGTACTCCAGCTTCTCCAACCAGGCAATCAAATTCGGCCAGAAGAAATACGTATCAGCCTCCATGAAGACGTACCAGTTCGCGTTGTCGTGCGCTTTTAACGTCTCCTCGATCATGGGAAGGAACTTCCACTTATCCAGTTTCCAGCCTGGGTTGTTGGGTTTTCCGATGGCGGAGTTGACGTCCGGGTTCAGGTCGGCGGTTGTAAGGGCTTTTCTGCCATTTTGCTGGACGCGATTGTAGATGTCGAAGTCGGGGTTGGTTTGCTTGATGTCGTCGGAGACGCTGCGGAGGACATCGTGGACCTGGACGCCGTTGATCTTTTCGTCGTAGTCGGACCAGATGATGTAGTTTGGGATGCAGCGGAGAGTGGTTTCGAGGTGAATGGGGACTTTCTCGCGCGCCTCGGTCACGCCCGTTTTGAGGACAACTAGGATGTCCTTGAGGGCTGGGAGATCTGGACAATTGGAGGGGCCATTGGAGTGGTGGGTGATCGGACGCGGAATTGGCGTATGGTGGCGACAGGTGTAGAGGAAGAGGAGGACGAGGAGGCCCAGGATTGGGCCGATCCAGGTCAATCGTCCGGGGGGGCGACGTGCAGGACGGAAGGCTGTCATGGAGTGCAATTGGGCCGAAGACCGCGGCAGCAGCAGCGGGAGGCCATGTTGCTACTTAAGAAGGACTGGTGACAAATTAACAGCATATTATTTTTGGTTTGGGTGTGTGCGGACAAGGGACCCCTGAGAGGACTTGGGGCTGACGTGGACTTGAGAGTTGATTGATGGAAGTTCGTGGTTGGAGGTGTCAAGTTATTGGATGACAGCCTTTCAATGGCCCGCGGTGGGGTCACTGGACCTTTCTTTCTGCCTCTCTGGCACGGACACTGGTCCGGACCGTCTCTTCCTTCCATGGCAGTATCTACTAGGCACTCATATTTGATTTCTTTTCGAGGTCTCTCTACCCCTTACTCTTTTCGAACGGACTTCTGGATTTAATCTCAAATCGCTGTATTTTCTGTTCTAAACTGTTCAGGTCCAATTCAAACTAACCGGATAAGCCTGAGTGGCTGAGACATGAGTCAAGAGGCTATGCGGCGCATGACTCAACATTATCTCACGATGTTCGAGCAATTTAAGCCAAAATTAACTATAGGTCTACAATGACAGTATTCCACAATGCAGGTTATAAATCTCCCCCTAGCTCCCTCACTGTGGGGAAATAGCGCAGAAAGGGAGAAAAAAAGAAGAAAAAGGAGAAGGACAACCAATACACATCAGCGTGGATCAATCACGCAATTGGGGATCATCAGCCATGGCGATCGATATCTCCGAGCCTCAACTCATCCAGCGCAACCCCTTCGCTCGAGATCCAGCTACCCGACTACGCGCCAGATCAAAGCCAAAGGGTGTCAAGCAAGCCAGACTCAAGCATCGCACCATAATCGAGGCCCAAGCGGCGGCGGAAGAGGGGGCGCGGATGAAGGCGATAGCCGAGCAGAAAACTGAGTCTGATCTCTTAGATAGGTGCATATCTCTGATTTTGGACTGAAGGAGACCGAGTCTAACGAAAGAAGATTCTTTGCCCTCCCTTCAGAGGTGCGCAACCATGTCTACCGTCTTCTCTTAGTACAACCATGCAAATTCAACTTCACCCACAGCTTCTGGTGCAAGCCATTATATTATGAGTTCCCCGGTCCGGCAAATGAAGACTCTCGCCACCTGGTTCATGGTTGCGCCGACTGTCGATGGTACATCTGGGGCTCGAAACTACCCGTGTTTGTATCTCCCGCACGCAGTCAATGGGCACCACCGATGACGAATGAGCTCATGTGCGATAACTGCTACTCGGATAATGTCCGGTCGAAACGAGAGCCACATCCGCCTTTGCGGGTCCTCAAGTGTCTCTGCGCGCGTCGGGAGAATCTTCACGTATTCCTCATCAACAAGAAGTTCTATAAAGAGGCATCACATGTATTCTGGACGGAGAATTGCTTTGCTTTCGAAACCCCGACTGTTCTTATAAACTTTCTATCGTGTATCCGGCCGCAAACGCGATCGTTAATAACGAAAATATCACTTATGCTTGATCACGATAAGGTGGACGTGAAACTCGATCTCGATCGGAAACATGTGCAGCAATGTTGGAGACTATTGAGATTATGTGATGGCTTAACGGAGCTGGAGCTAGATCAGTTCTTCCTGTCGAACTTGCATTGGGTTCTAGGAATAAAGAATATCACTCCGAAGACGCGAATGACATTTTCAAGGACGCCGAAGCAGGCGGAGATCCAGTACCTAATGACGTACGATCGGCGGATTTGGATAGATATCTCGAGACGACAGCCGGTATGTAACACATTGACAGATACGCTTGCCCTTAGTATGGTTAGACAGACGCCGATGAGAGGAAAGGCAACGCGGGCACTGTTTGAAAGGCATCAACGCACAAAGAATGGAGATGTAAATGATATAGATTAAACGTTTGCATACATATGAATGCTGGGGCTCTAGAGCTCTGCTACCGGATAGACTATATCCAGGAATCCCCTTATACTAGCCCAGACTTCCATATTCAAATGAGTAATCTTACAGGGACAGATACTTATATCTCGCGAAACTATTTATTCTACCCCATATCGGCGCAATCGGTCACTTAGAATAATCTTGGCGCAGAGGTCTGCCATTGGCCCATTCATCTCGCTTTTCCTCTCTGAAGCGAGTACCATACGTGTAAAGTATGTAGCCTGGCGCACTCTCATCTTGAAAGGCATCTTCATCGATATCGTGGCCCCAGTCTTCGCTTCCCAAAGCGAATGATTGCCGAAAGGCGGATGAGGTTCAAAGTCAAGGGTCGCATCCTCATCTAGGGTCGGAATTTTGGGCATAACAAACAGATTAACAAACCCAACCCTGCATTCATTTGACCACTCCAAATATGAATTTCCCTCTCGATGATCCGGGGGGTGCGGGCTTGCCAAAATTGATTGAGACTGCTCCGGTCGATTGTCAAGCAAAACCGAAAGCGCAGAGCATCCGTCCCCCAGACATTATACTTTTTTGTAAACTGAGTATGCAGTTGACAAATCCTAGTATTCAACGCGCCTCCAGCTATGGATTCTGGATGATCACATTTCGATATCCATCCCAGAGAAACTGCATCACGACGGTAGATTTGTACCTCGAGGATCCCCGGCCTATTAGAAAATACCACATGTAACGATCTAAAATAGACATGGCACGCTCCCACTCTCCATCCGTTGTATCACAGTAAGTTGTTCGATAGGTAACAAATCCCAGGGCCCTTCATTGTCGGTCCCGATTCGCTCGGTGATGAAGTCTTGTCGCGCCCAGCCCCACCCAGGGAGAGAGAGTCTAGAAGCGAGACTCTCTGGTTATTGTTCAGTTCTTCTCTATCCGGGTGTTGAAATTTTACCATGGATGAACTCCATGGCTCGGACCAGGATTCGTTGGAACAGGAAAGATGCCCTTGGTTCTCCTGTAGCAGAGCTAGGTAGGGCCGACTGTTCTGCCATGGCTTTTTGAGTTTTCTCTTTGCTAATACCTGGTTTATGAAAAGAAAATGGCGCCGACAAGCTCCTCAAATATTAGGAAGTGTTGAGAAATGACTCTTAGGTAACTAGCCCTAATCAGGTGCCCGCTAGAAAGACCCATGCTAGCGTTTGGGATGTTCTTCGCATGCTTCATTTGGTAAGGCACCTCTATAGATGAAAAATTGCACTTCCGACTTCGTAGCCAAGGTTAGTTTGTCTTAGTTTAAGAGAAATCATTGTTCCATTCATCCAATCTTCCGTAGCGGGCCGCCCGCCAGCTCGTCTTTCCTATTTCAGCGCCCCCTGCCCTGTGCTAGTGTAGTTCTCGGTTGTCAAGGCACCGCTCATGCTTCAACTATATGAGACATGGCGAGTAAACATCATATTAAGCGAAACACTCTCGTCATCAGCTCTACTATACACGCATATTCTACATTCAGATCGCTAGTACTACACTTCAACTCTACTGCGTAACCAGCACGCCCCGGTACCTCATCCTCCCATCTTCCAATGTCTTCAAGCAATCCTCGATGCCGTCTTTCGTCAACGGATAAGACATATTGACCGGCTTGATACCGTGGAAGGCCGCGAAGTCCAACATATCCCTATGAATCTGCCTCGCCGAGACAATAGAGCTCTGAACCTTGAAACCATTGTCCAGAAGCGCCATATACGGGAACTTGAAATCCCCCCAGGCCCACCGTCAATGGCGAGGTCGTAGCCCCCGGATTCAGAAGGTTGATGTACAGATTCCAATTGGGCTGACTGCTAGTCGTCACAATAAGGTTATCCAGCTTCTGTGGGACCTTCAATTCCTTGACGCCCTTGGTGGCATAGAATCCCGTTGCTCCCAATTTCTTCGCCTCATCCTTCTTGGTATCGCTTCCGGAGAACACAACAACCTGACAGCCCATCTTCACCGCGAACTGGATAGCCAAATGACCCAGTCCTCCAACTCCAATAATACCCACTCGAGCAGTCGGCTTAACCTGCGCAACGTGCAGTGCATTGAGAACCACCGCACATCAGTGGCGCCGAGTCTTCATCCATAATCGCATCGGGAACTTTGAAAAGGAACAACTCGGGCCAGACGGCATGCGATGCAAACGAGCCCTATTCTAGATCGGCAGATGCGTACATCTTTCGCTCGGGACAGAATGTCTCCCATCTGGTTAGACACATGGCACATCTTCCGCAGCAATCGTGTTCATAGCCCCAGCCTACTCGATCTCCTTTTTTTAGATCTTGTACTTAGGGTCCGGTCTCTCCGACCACTCCGGCGCCTCCGTGGCCCAATGCCATGTCGGTGAGGCGGTAGTGAACGACTGTGAAGCAGACGCCGGAGTGGGTGACGCGCACTAGAACTTGGTCTTTCTTGAGGGCATCACGGTGCGTGGTTTACTTTTTATAGACCCGTCTTTGGATCCTTTGTAAACGGTGTAGTCGTAGCCCATTTTAACGGGTGTTTGGTTTCTTTTCGATAAGTAATTATCTATAAAATTTCCGATCAAAATATATAGTTTGTTTCAGAATTTATATTCGATCCAGAGGCGCCTTAACTATGCTTTCCCATTAGTATGATGTCATGTTGAAATACTGCCTCCAGATCCACAACGCCATCACCACTCCTTCTGCACGCCTCCGTATACGATCAAGCTTTCGTTTTTGACTACAGATTCCTTCTGACTTCTATCCTAATGTTTTCACATAGTGGAGTGCAAATCCCCCATGTGTCCAACTACCAAGGAATCTCCTCCCCGTCATACTGATTAAATCCATTCGCATGTTCCCACCCCGGCACATGAATATTCAAGAACTTCCCATTCGTCTCCGCATGGTTTGCCTCAAGAATGATCTTCAGCACGGCTTCGGCACCCGTCTCAACTGGGAGATCCGCCCTGTCCCCGCCCATATCGGTTCTCAACCACTAAGTCTCGTTAGCACGGTGCTTACACCACATTTTGCGCCATACTGTTAGAAAGTATATTATAGTACATACCCCAGGACTAACACAAAAAACAGTAAATCGCTCACTCTCAAGATTAAGCGCATATTGCACAGTAAGCATATTCAACGCAGCCTTGGTAATATTATACGCTGGACTGGACTTAGCCGTGAAGGTCGATGCCTTGTTGATCGAGCCGAGGGTTGTAGATCTATGCTTTACTTAGAATCTTTTCTTGTCGCATGGCATATAAGAAAATATAGAAGAGGGGCATACATGTTAGCGATGACCTTTCGGTCCCCCTTTCGGAGGAGCGGAAGGAATGCGCGGGTTACTTCGTGGGCTGCGTTTACGTTGATCTTGAATGCGTCGGTGAGGTTTTCCCTGGTGGATTGTTGCTATTATAGGCACATTTTACAAATTGAGGATTGGGAGGGCAAATATGGACATACATGTTTTCCACGCCCCCTTTCGTGAGCGGTTGGACACCTGCGCTGTTGATTAGGACGTCCAGACCTCGGCCTCGGAGCTGGTGCTGGACTTCTAGTGCTGCTGTCTTGATGCTGGTTGGGTCGGTTGTGTCGAGTTGAACGTAGAAGGCGCGTCCAGAGGACTGTTCGATAAGCTGCTTCAGGTTTAGGCTGGGCTGGGCTGCTCGGGAGGTTGCGAAGATGGATGAGACTTGGGCAACTGGGAGAGTGAGTAGTTGGGATACGAGAGCGAGGCCCAGGCCTCGTGAGGATCCGGTGATGAGGTATGTAGCCATTTTATTTTCTTTCTTTTTTGCCTAGTGGAGGGTATTAAACCTGATACGACTGAGTAGAGGAAGATTAAATGGTTGGAAATATAGGATATTTCGGGATTTGACTTCATTTGAATTTAATATCTCCATCCCACATAGATAAAGGGGTAGAGACAAGTTGTGGATTAAATCGACTGTTTTATGAATGCCTCCATTGCCTATCAGTCCAAGTGTTGCATATGTAATGGGAGGTTCATTTGTTATCTCCAATAACCTCCCTTAACCCTCTGGGGAAAAGTTAAAGCACGTGATTTGAAGACGGTAAAATATTAGTCCGTGAATGATAACAGTTGGAGATTATTTCACAGAAGCGCCTGCGCCCAGCTACAGTACATATTTCAGTTATAATATGTAGTTGCGGGATGCTTCCAAGAAGCTCAAGTTCATAAAATGTGCAATGATTTGCAGTATTTTTATTTCCTGGACTATAGTCCTGTTTGATATATTTGTAGCCATGAACTTCTCCATAAACTTATAGATTCCTTTCACTTGCTGTAGCTGCTGATCTATATATAGCCTATAATAGATATGTCATAAAGTGACTGCCATTGTGTAATTACTAAGTAAAGATCTAAAAGTAAGATAGCTTTAGTATAAAAAGCACTCTATTTATTATATATTATACAGTCCTTTTATTACAGAATAGATTGTGTATTCAGTGTCTTGAGAACTAAAATATATATACAGTATAATTCCAGTCAGTTCTTCAATCCCAAATTCTAAAGCTACCCCTCTTCTAAATTATCTTAGCAAGCTTATGGATTGTGTTGCTCATTAGAGTCCGGTCAACAGTACTATCCTCCAGTACTGACAAGCAAGAAGTGAATCTAACAGGTAAAATCTAGATTAAAGATATATTTAAGATCAAGAGATTATATTTGATTCTGCAGCAGACATAACTATAAGCAGACTATAAGCAAGGCTAGATTGGAGCTATACCAGATGATTTCAGATGTGAAGCTAGGTTTCAAAGCTGTCCCAGTCATTAAATACCCTATCTTGCGCTCTTTTCTCTCCATGTTGACTGCATAACTTCTTCTTTTGACCAGCGTTATTGGACTCGAAGCTCTCGGCATCGCGAAAGGTGTTACATTTAGAGCACCAGGTTTGGTTTGTTTTGTGATTTCAGGGAAAGATGGCATTTGAAAAGAGATAAGACGTAAATTGAGCAGTATCTTGCCTGAATAGATAAAGGAAGAAGGAGAGATTCTCAGGGGTTAAAACCCCCGCACACTTGCCAAGTGGCTAGCTATATACTAGCTATACACCATATCTTCAACAGATTGGGCTGATTGGGTCCATATTTGATCAGATTACTGCACAGAAATGTTGGAGCAAGGATTGGATGAAGGGACCAGTGTGTAAACAAAAATGCGCCCGGAGAACTTTAATTCAAACCACACGCTCAACTTTTTCCCCGGGAGGACTTAGGTCCTTCTTCAGTGCATTTAGTGTAGTGTAGTGTAGTGCGGGACCTTGCACTGCATGCACTGAAATATGTCAACCCCCCCCAACCACCAACCACACCACACTACACTAAAAAGTAGTGCGTGTGCACTGAATTGCATGCACTACTCCCAGCCTTATCTATACTTGTGGCGTTCTAACCAGACAAATCTGAACAGAATAAGAAAGCTGAGATGACTTGTGAAAAATACCTCACCTCTACATAACTACTACCACTGTCAAGATAGCAGTAATGTATTTGACAACAGTTAGAAAGAAAAAGGAACAAAGAACAGCCTTAGAAAATTTCAGAACAAGTATCCAAACACATATAAAAGACGCTGTGATAGACGTGTTGAATCCCCCGTCCAGTAAACATTAGAAAACGCCGAGCAGGCTGGCCAAGTCCGTAGGGACACAGCGGTAATTCTCGATCAATGCTTGTTGATAGCCTGTTGTCGATTCTTATACTGCAAGGTAAACTAACTTTGCTTTAGTTTACCTCAACATAAAGCTTTTGAGTCTGAAAGCCACCAGGGACGCCAAGTCGATAGTCGGAAATGAGCTCTGTAGACGGGTTGCGATAGGCATCAACTAAAGCATAATTGCCAATCTCAACGACAGATCCCTCCTCGTCACCAGTAAGTTTTAAATAGTTGTTCCAGGTCCTGAAGTAAACCAAAGACCTGGCATCCATGTACCTCGGAATGATTTTAACCAATGCGTTTTCCGTATACCATTTTCCGTGCCATTCATATTCTAGCCCTCCAGACTTCCGATACTCATGGCCAAATGCGTGCTCAGCAGCTGTCGCTTCACTTTTTTGAGATTCCGTTGTTTATCTGATCCTGATGCCTATCAAGCCTATAATCGTCTGATGCAACACCCCCCGTGTTCACGGTCACTCCCCAGGCACCCAAGAACAAAGCAAAAGAGGTATTGTAGGCAGAAATGACATCGCTCATCAGCTTTGCTCTTATAGGAATCGGAACATAGAGTTTTGTCTCATCGATTGTAGTATCATGGGCATATTGTGTCTTAACTGTCTTCATCCAGCTTATGCCGGTTTCCGCTTTAATCTCTGCGGAAAAGTTCAGCGGTCCATAGGAACCGGCGGAGTTGCCCCCAGCCTCTAACTCAATTGCTGCAGAGAGTTGTAATTCCTCCTCTCCTTCTTCGTGAAATATCCATTTTACTTGGGATATCGCTGCCATCAGTCGGATCTCCAAGAATATCAACGTCGACCTGCCATTCCCGAGGCTTCAGAATATAGCTTCAGATCTGCAGTCTGTCTGCTGAGGTATTGCTGTATCAGGGTATCAGGGTATTCGTTTACAGAAATGTATGGCAGATGTTCTGGCACTAGCGGTAGAGCTGATTCAATAATTTCTAAATATGCCTTTGCTTTTCCTCATATGGTGAGTTGATAAGTGAAGGCTTAAGTTCAATAGGTATGTCAATCCATTTGACCTCACCCCGGTAATAACGCGCTTCGTCTGAATCTGACATTATGGCAAGGTAAAGTTCTCCCCCCCCCCACCAAAAAAAAAAAAAAAAGAAAGAAAGCAAAAGTAATAGTCATGATTATCACTATCTTTCTTCCAAATTAAACAAGAAAAGTTCAGTACAGCTTTTTATATTTCAGTTGTGGCGTGTCAGACACACAGTTGCTTCAAAAATTCCGCTGTTGAGATACTGCTGTACCACCTAATATTCTAAGCTGTAATAATAGATCAGGCCCCCACTTCTACGCCGAATAATCTCTCCTTGATGATTGATACTAAGCTTCGACATCAGCTACACCTATAACTGTAACCTTTGCGAATATAGAACACGTAACCAAGCCAGAGCATTAACCCAATAATGAACTTGAATGACCGAGATCGCGATATGCAACACTTTTTCTGGCTGTGGCTGGCTGAGCATCTACAAGAAGCGGGCTGAGTGGCCGAAACTCTGTTGAGATTTTCCAATCAGTTAACAAGCTCAGCAATATATGGCATGCTATGGCCTAGCACGTACCATACACTTGTACGACGCACTTCTCTGTGCCGCTTACTGTGGGGAAGGGGTATTTACTAGATAGGATAACGCATGTTAAATTTTAGCTTGGATTAGTTCTTAATTATGATTGTATCCTTAGCAAACCTACGCGGAATATGATCTAAACTAATAACGGAATGGATACTAATGGCTGGCTAATAGTTAAAGGCAAGGTGAAAGCAAGGTCCTCTAAATATATACGCCACATGCTTAGTAGTAAGGACTCCACTAACTAGTAATAATTACTATTCACAGTAACGATGTTACGTGGTGACTGTGTTGAACTAAGCTATGTGGCAATGAATATCCATATACCGTCTCTGATTACCTGAAGCATAATTTCTGAGATAAAAGACAAGCTTAAAAATAAAGCAGTCTAACTATATAGCTATAACTATACTATATATCTTGGACATACAAGTCTATGTTTTATGGCTGTAAGCCATGTACTAGTATTAGGAGGGCACTGTGTCTACGTCACTGGTATGTTCCATAACTAGTGAACTATTTAGCCTTTTCACAGCCATACTAGTAGTCTATCTTTCTCTATTTGTCTACATGCATGTGTAGTGTATACAGTATACTGGAGCTAGTGCAGGAGAGCACATGATTAGATTTTGAAATGGGTCCCCCGTAATAGTCTAGAAAAGCATAACACAGGCTGATTGATCACTTGGACAAACATTGGTCCCTGTCTCAGCCGCAGCTGATATGTGGTGTATCTTAGGGAATCCCAGCATAAATTGATAGGCTTATTCATATCCTTTTGTGATATCTGCAGCTTCGTCGCATCTGGATCGTTGGTGGAGAGCGTACCATCCGTGCTGGCTTGGTAGCCCTCCATGAGACTATCGATAGTCCCCTGTATATTATCCACTCGACGAATTACATACTCCTTCTTAGTCTTGGTACCGTCGTCAGTGGGGATTGTGGCGCCTGCCTGCTCCAATACGCTGAGGCCTTGAAGACCAATTATGCCTTTCCCTTGCGCCATCACAACCATTCCCATGGCCGCAACAATGTCTTGGAAAGAGAAAACTTGAACGTGGTATTGATCTCTCCCTTGACAACTTCAACAAGTCGGTTGATCTCATCCTTTACCGTCTTGATAGGCCGAGCGAATGATTCGCGTCATACTGATGCAATTCCTCCACTGCACTCCTGTAGAGCTGGGAATTATAAATCTTAGCGCTTTGGCATGCCTCCAGACCTTTGCAGATGTGAGATCGTTTAACGGCTATGTCATCTGCAGCAATTTGGTGATTGATATAGGCCCCTTCGATTTGCCGTAAATTCTCTTTACGTGAAGGACAAATAGGGAGCGTATTTTTATCTTTGCCGTAAAAGTTCTGACCTGAAATCCGCACGCTCAAGGTTGCTGCAGCCTCGTCCTTGACCGCTCACAGCATTTGTAAGACTTGAGAGGGCTGATCTTCCAGCGTTATCAGGAGATATAGACGCTTCTCGACCGCTCCGTATTTTCTATTCCGGCATTGGAAGCACGGTCAAGAAACTCAAGTCGGTAGGAAAGCCGTTCCAGGATTTCTTTACTGTTGGCTAGAGTTTCGGCCTTGCCGAGGAAGAAATACATCTTCGCCTTCTCCAGAAGCATATGACACTAGACAGGGTGCGCGAAGCACACCAGCTCTCCCATAACTTGCTGGTATTAAGTGCCGTTTGCACAGAGAAACCGCCACGCTTTCTGGGACTCTGATTTTCCTTCCTGTTTGATCCTCTCTCACAGTCTCCTCCATCTACCCGTACAGATTGATGGAACAGTGACTCAAAATGTTTAACCACATTTTGAAGGGCAAGCAATAGTTCTATTACTGCGTTTTTGAAATCAGAAATGCTACCGCCCGGTGCTTCTTCTAAGTCGCTCAACGTAGAACGGAAGTGATTGATGTCCAGGATATCCCTCACGGTTGAGTTTTTGAGGCTGGTTGGCCACACTCGAGCGGGATGTAGAGAGTCCTTCCTAAGCTGCTTAGCTTGCTCAATTACTGCTGCCGTGAGATTACGACTCAACAGAATTCTGATCTGGCCGTCGTCTCCACTATCGCCACCTCCGCTTTCTCCCACTGGAAGACCGCTGCTGCTCTCGACCTATCCCGGGTTGATATTGGTATAGGTGCTTTGGATAGAACTGTGGTAACGATCATGGCATCATGCTTCTGTATTTTCGAGACACAACCAGACTTGCTGCAGTATCCTGGGCATAAATAGAGTGATAGCCGATAAACTAAGGCAAGCCAATATTGCTACCTTGCGACAACTGACTGTTAAATAGATTATTCTGGTACGAGGCATATATATTCACATAATATATTATATCTTACAACTTCTTTGCTAGCCTTGAGATAATAGAAACAATTGGATCTCAAGTCCTGGTTCTTGTGGTGCCTTACGAAGCTATCGAAGTAAATAAATATAATACTCATTCTACTTGTATCGCTAATGATACTTAGTCTTCTTAATTCCATAGTTTTACTTGTTATTACTACTCAAATACGCAATGTAAAGCGAATACTATTTCAATCAAGTCTCATACTACATTCAAGTTGATACATATAAAGCGTCACCATGCGAGGACATTGAATCAGAGGGCCCAGAACGTGTAACAGTGCCAATTATTTTCCTAGACTTTTGAGTTTATTTAGCACACCAACAGTGTAGGTCCAGCCGTCCGCATCTCAGATATACAAAAAATTAAGTGATCATTTCTCAGCCAAAAAAAAGCCAGCTTGTTGAATTGACTGTGGCATGGGCTTGCTATCCTCGGCAGCTGCCGAGCCAAGGGTATCGGCACCCTCCCGAACCTAAGTTTATCGGCAAGCTCCCGAGCCTACTATCCTTCCAGGGCACAGGTCACTAGGACTATAACTAAACCTCACTAGACCCCACTATGTTCTTTATGTGGAAGTGATGCGATTTAACCAGGACCTCAAATAACAATTTAACCCTGCTTTGCAATACGTTTACACCCAGTAACTAGTTGTCTTTTTTATTTCTGATTTCTTCCGATATATTAGTTATACTAGTTTAAAGCTAGTTCCGAATAGCTTCTACAACACATTGAGTTATCTCGGTTCGCATACTATGACAAATGACTTTGATTTTAATACCGTGTTAAAATCCATACAGAGTAATGTAAAGTTTCGGCATGCAGGGGGGTTCCGCTCGTCAGGCCATCACGGTGTCTTGTGAGTGTGAGTCGTGGCCTCCAAATTTCCGTGGCCTGGATGTCAGGATCAAACTCCAGACCCGCAGTGGATTGGGAATAGGGGTTTAAGGTTGGGGGCCACAGAGATAACCCAAGAAAAAATTCTTCAGCATTCTGGTAAAGTAAGGGACACATTGATATCTGTTTCGTATTAAAGAATTCAATAGATGCATCTGCAATTCATGTATAATAAGCTGTAAGGCAGAATATATGATTTATAGAAGGACCCAGTGATCTTTTTGAGAACTTTCATGCATTGTGAGAGTATGTTCCTCTACAGAGAGAGCGATCTATGTCGATCTAAAAACTAAACTCAGCCCATGTAGTGCAGGGTACATGCGATGTGTTAGTAGTATGTCGGCTGAAACCTTTCCTCGTATCCTTCGCTTCGTGGGTCTAGCCTCTAGCATTATCACCCCTGAGATGTAACATCATCGCCGAAACACGCTCATTGAGACATGCTGATGAAAATCAAGAGAAAAGGAATTCTCAGGGTATAAGAGCACCGAGATGTCTCGACTATCATCAAAAACTATCTCCAATCATCTCATTCACGAATCTTCGGTGTCTATTAGCTTCCTCGTCCCAGCACAATGCTGTTTTCCAGTGCTAAACTTCTGGCTGTGGCCTTGGCCTTGACGGGCTGCGCGGTAGGCTCGCCCGTTGAGGTAGACCTTGACAAGCGTGGCGCGCATGTCCCCATCGGCTTCAGAAGAGTCAGCGAAGTACGTATCTTTCAAGCTTTCGTATTGTTAATCACAATACTAATTGGCCTGCAGGCTCAAGCCAGAGAGTATGCGGCAGCAGGCAATACGCTTACGCTGACAAGAAAGGTGAATGGAGCTCAGCTGGGCCAAGCAGTTTATACCAGCCAAACCCGCGACGGATGGCCGGCCAACCCCCAGGAGTGGTTAGTACTGTCCCCAGATGCAAAAGCAAAAGCTCTCCCCGCAGGTGATCTTACATCCTCACAGGTACTGCGTCATCCAAGCGGACAAAGCCGCACTCGACAAAACCGCTAAAGCCTGGATCCCGAGGGCGGATTGGTTCAAGAAGGACAAGGTTATTGATGCCTATATCAAACAGCACAAAGTCGATCCTGCTAAGACTCTGCGCCTGAGTGAGATTGATGGTTCTCAGGATCATGTGCTCCAAATGGCGATTCCTCCTGGCTTGCTCGGTGCAAAGAAGGGTGACCGCGGTCCGTTGGATATCTCTGTCGAATGTGTGCGGCCGCCGACCACTTTGCCTGCTCCGCGGGATCCCATTGACTACGCCCATTGGCCGGGTTTTGTCAACCATCAATGAGCTGGTTATTGATGCTATAAAACGAAATGTAACTAGCTGGATAGGATGCCGACGAGGACATAGGCTCAATGGTGGATATTGGGGTGTTCTCAGCTCAGGAGGTACAGCAAGGATTGTCTGTAAATTTCATTTTTTTTTCTTTATTTTATTTTATTTTATTTCTATTTTTATTTTGGCTTCGACTAGTGTTTCGTCGTGTAAGATGTGGTCTATGATTCGTGTTGAGTAATACAGACGTCAATTTCCCTTCTTTTCGTATTTAGCTGAATGCACTAATATCGTTCCGATCGGCAGCCTAAAATAAGCCCCGCCCTTGGAAAATTAGGGCAAAACTATAGCCACCTTGTTGGTGCTACGCTTCGTGTTAGTTGAGGACAGAGTGGTCACTTGCTACATAACCTTTATATTTCCCGCAAACAGAAATTTCCAACGCATGTTAGATCAAAACCACAACCCTATCTTCACGACCAAAATATTATCATGAGCGATACACTGTTGTCTGTCCTGACCGGGGAGAGCTGGTCGTGGGACTCAGACGACGCCAACCAGATTACATTCAACAAGGACGGCACAGGCACTGTTCGTATATTTAATAATCCCACTCGCAAATAATATTGACTAAGTCACATCTCAACAGTTAATATGTCGCGCTGAACTGAACGTGTGGATTGCAGCAGAGTTTGACTGGAAACCCCAGGACGCAGAGTGTCTCGAGCAGCGCATCGACCTAGCCAGCAATACTCCCAAGCACCCATCTCTCCTCTCTCAGTGTACCATTGAGATAACGCTTACAAAGCGTCGGATTCCAAGACTGGGAGACGTAGATATGCAGAAGCGTATCATAAATGAGGAGCTGCTAACGGATGCTGCTTTCCTACCGAAACAATATGCAATCAAACTAGAGGTCGGTCAGTTTCTCTCGGCCTTTGACGCTAGAGAGCACGTCAAATGTGCTCCGAGGTTTGCACGTCGCATCACGTTTGACAAGTCACCATATCCTCCGCGGGAAGAGTGGAAGAACCCTGATGGAGCTCCAGATGCATTGAAGTTCTGGGAATGGAAGGAGTTCTCTTGTCACCGACTTCCTGAGAAAATAGAATCTAGTGGAGAAGGTATATTCTCTAAAATCTTGGGAAGCTTGGGCGGTCGTTAAAGCACACATTTTGGGGTTACAGTGAAGGTGAATAATACTGCTTTAGTCCGTTTGGAGGATTCGGAGGTTTCATGTTCTTGGCACCGCTATAACTATGTCACATTAATTTAATTAGACCCTATCTTTTGACCCAGGTATGGAGGAAAGAGGTAAGAAGCTCTGCCACCAATTCCACACCGCTATTCGAGACCAGAAACGCAAACACTGGGTAGAGTTCCCGGACCAGACAGAAAAAATCTGGACGGCGGCACAATATACCAAAGAGAGGACTCATAGAAAGCCGATACCACCACTCCAATCTAGAGTGGATGAAGCAAAATCGGAAGGAGATGCAGAGAAAGCAAAAGTCCTCCTTGCTAGCTTCTACTCACCAATACCACCAGGTCTTGAATGCCAGCGGACCCAGCCTAATCAAAACCCAACTGCCCTGCAGATGAGTCAATTAAAGATAGAATTTCCGTAACTCTACAATACTTACACAATCCTTCTTTTCTGTTTTAGATCTTATATAACTTATCTATATCAACCGCTCGATAGAAAGCTCTTTCTTATATACAAAATGCATTTTTGTACTGCGAATAATCTCATCACGCAGTGAACCAGGATCCTGGGAGATAAAGTGAATCTTCTATATGATATTATTGCCGTACACAAGAAGATCTTTAATCAGTAGATATCCATAACTCCTTTAAAGAGTGCGGTATCTACTATCTAGATAGATCCTCTATAATTAAAGCTATTCAGAATACTATACCCTCCGTGCCAGAGATCTCCGTGCCTAATCTATGTATATATGGAGAGACTACACCTTCGCTAAATCCTCTTCTTAAAGTATTGAAAACACGCCCTAAAGACCTCTCTACAGGTTAAAAAGAATCAAGAGAAGCTATATAATTTACTAAATAATTCAGAGATCTCTCTGCAGGTTGAGCACTGCTTAGAACGCCTATTTCATTAACAGGAATTATAATCTGAGCAACTCACGGTAATAAACTCTACTCTAGAGCGAATTGAAGCGGCTCAGGCATCCCGCCACCAGAGATCTACTAAAGTGAGAGATTCAACGCCGAGGAAGCAATGGTATACTGACTGTACAGGATATACTCTATTGTAGATAGGAGGGCTAAAGAGAAGTCAAAATTGAAGAGGAGTGCAGATAAGATATATAAAGAGGTATATGATCATCTCCCACCCGCGCCTCTTGTAGAAAATCAAAATCCTGCTTTGTATAGTGAAATGGTAGAGGAATCGAGTAATCGCCTTTTTATTATGGATTCTATAGGTTCTAGGAGTTGAAATGCGAATTGCTTCATTTTTATTCTTCTATGGTGCAAATTTCTCTACGCTGCCAACCACCCATTTCGCCGAATGGGTGGTTGGTCCCAGCACAATAATTCTGAATCTTGTATCTTCATTCGGTAGGAGGCACTCTTTATTTGGCATTTGCATACCGAAAATATCCATCTTCATACTCGTAGAGCTTCCATATCAGGATCTGATTTTCTCTGGAACAAATGTTTGAAGTGAACAGCTGTCTGTCGATGGCATCAACTATAGAGAAACAGATTGGCATGATATTCGACCGCGTGCTAGCCTAGAAAGAGGAAATTGTGTGAAGATAGTGATGGAACATACCTTGAGGACTGAGGATGCAGGACTGTGCGCGCAGTGACCGCCTGATTTCAAAATAATATTCGTTCCTAACCTGCTGTACCAACCATTTCTGTGAATCCAGTTTGAATCTCCCTTTCTGTGAGCTTGTTAAAACAGTCCTTAGCTAAGATATAGTTTTGTTGGGTCATTCTTTCGCCAGCTGGGTTTGCCCCACACTTTGTCCTCTGTCAGGTCCATGTATAGATTAGTTCCAATCTCGGTAGATATACTATACACTTGGCCTGGGATCGGTGGTGCCATGGTGGCTCAGAGACAAAGCTGTCGAGGATCTAACACTTTCTGGCTTGGGGAGGGAGAGAAAGGAGAGTCCAAAGAGAGGAAAGCAACGGGTTAGGAATGATGCAATTTGCGGGGTATCCAGCAAATGCAGTCAAATCTCACTTGAAACCATGATCTTAATACAAGGGGTATCACGCCTGAGCACTGGAGAGAGTTTTGAAACGTTATTGTCCTTGTGCCCTCGCTCTTTCGTGCAGTGACAAGGTCTGTCTGCTTTTTTCATATCTTTCTTGACCCAAATCCCTTGTACGGCAGACCTCCACATCTAGTTAACTGTTTCTTCCCTGGTGGCATTCTCGAAATGAGTATGTCGTGAGACAACATTTAAACCGTTCTCTTTTCCATGTGCAGCTAACACCTCCCCATCGTCGTTCCGCTGACAGAGATGTAGGGTAGATCTCCGCCATAATACGTCATGGACCCTTGATTAGAGACGCAGCTGAGTGGCGCTCTTGAAAGTTTGGAGATGGCAAACAGCCGCCGTATTACCTCACAGTATATAGAGCTGAACCTGTAATTGACACATACATCCACATGGGATTATGATCCTTTCTGTTACAGTACATATTGTATGTCCTAGCACCGGGAACCTAGGAGAACGGTACGAATCACGAATCTGCCAGACTGGCTTAGTGTATCCTTCTCTACCCTTCCTGTCAGGATTAATTTGACTTACAAATTTTCGAGAGCCAACTAATTACCCTGCCTGGACCAACAATAGAATCTTAGTGCATTCGGATGTGGTTGCTGAGCGATACACTGTACATTAGGTACCACGACAAACAAGACGAAAGCTTAGCTGAACACGCCAGTAAAACAATCATTCCACTGCTATCCGTGGTTGCTAATGCGTCGATTTGCAGCACAGTGGTCCAATCCAAGGCTTTCCATGACTTCACCTTCATGACAACTCCTTCAATTATGAGCAGAATAACCATTAAAGATAAGCATGCATTTTTCGCCTTTTTTATATAATCTTTGGTCTCTTTATGAAACTTCTAAGCCATTTAATTATAAGTTTATCATTTATATAGCCCTTTTCAGAGACCGCGGTGTGGAAATTCAGGAGCTTTTTATCATACCAGGCCTCCATAAATTGCTTGCCTTTAAAAATAAAAGGAGATGTCATAATCTAACTGTCTGCAGCAATATATTCAAGCGCAGTTATATTCTCTAAAATCCCTGCTATAGGAAGATCATGAACTTTTCTTCCCTTTGTACTAAGCACATTTTTGTGCCTTTCTATTACTTGGCTAAGATCCGCATTCATTGAAGTTATATAAAAGATAATCAGAGACCCCTTTAAACAAGTTTTAAGCTAATTATACCAGAATTAAAGCTATTCAATACTTAATTCATCTAGACATATTTTCTTCTTTATTATCTGAATCTCTGGACTAATTTTTAGGTCTGGAGGAAGCCTTTTAGTAAAGTGGTATGCCCACGATTCATTAACATCTTAGGATTATCCCGCTTCACGGCTAGATTGGCCCATTTATTAAGCAACCTAAAGGTTATAGAAAGGTGTATATCACACCTTTTTAGTAATCCAACAGACCAGAGCAGCCTCTTGATACTGATTAAGCACTCTATTTGCAGGAATTTGAGTTATATAAGGCTTTCTTTGATCGTGAACGCGGCTGTGAAGTGTGCGATAGGGAACCCAAATTCTCGCGCGATTTTTGCAATATTCAGAATTTTTTTTTGAAGACGAGCAGCTTTGTATGCCTCATTCACGCGTGTATCGTCAAATTTAGGCGTTTTAGGCATTTTAGGTATATTCGGCGGCGGCTTGCATAGCTTCATAAACTGAGAGGTTGATAATGTTCCTCTACGCTGCCAAGCACCTTCGCCGGATGGGTGGCTGGTCCCGGAACTAATGACACCTTTCGCGATGCCGAGAGCTTCAAGACCAATAACGCTGGTCAAAAAAGATGTTATGCAGTCGACACGGAAAGAAAAGAGCGCAAGATGTCACAGTGTGCTTGCGAGCCACCTACCTACCTGAATCCTTCCTGAATCCTGAATAAGCTTTATATATGAGAGTGCAGTACAAAGCTTTCGGCTTTGTATCCTAGACTTTTGCTGATAACGCGCCGGTTTAAGCTTCTGGATGCACCCAGAGGTCACCTGTGACACAAGATAGGGTGTTTGATGACTGGGACAGCTTTGAAACCTAACTTCATGTCTGGAATCACCTGGTATAGCTTCGATCTAGCCTTGCTTATAGTCTGCTTATGTTTATATTTGCCGTAGAATTAAATATAATCTCTAGATCTTAAATATATCTTTAACTTAATAGTTTGCCTCATAGATACTTCTCGCTTATTGGTACTGGAGGACAGTACTATCAACCGGACTTCATTAATTAATACAATCAATAAGCTTGCTAAGATAATTTAGAAGAGGAATGACTTCAGGTTTTGGTATTAAAGAACTGACTGAAATTATTCTATATATATATATCTTTATTCTTAAGATATTTAACATGTAGCCAGTTCTGTAACAAAAGGACAGTATAATATATAATGATGGAGCTGGTGTAGCTCACGTGTAATGGGATTGATCGTCTTAAGGTCTAAATCTATCATACAGAGATTCCTTGGTGTTGTGGTCAGGTCACGTGGTTGCTGCCTTAGGCTCCAATAGGCCTCTGACATTATATACACCATACGAGTAAGAGAAACGGGGCTCGCTACGACTCGAACTCATCGCTTCAATATGTGATCGATCTGCTGCTACCGACCCTTTATATTCTCCGAAGTTCCTCCCGTTTGATAGCCTGTGGGGTTGACAGGGTCCTGTGGATAACCACCGATTTGGCCTTATAGGGCGTACAACGAGAGAACGGTCGCGCCCTTATTGTACTCTTCTTTTTTAGGCCTATGTTGTTTCTCGCTATTTTCTTCTGTTCTATTCTACTCTTGCGGAGTAATGATGGATTAGCTATCATGTTTGAAATTCTCTGTCGGGCCGACGGTTGCGGGATGCCCCGATATCCGGGCCGACAGATCCCTACACGAACAACTGGACCCGAGTCTTTCATCTGTAGACACGGACGATAGAAGATAAGGTTATGAAACAAGCCCACGTTGTTTATCTGAATTGACAGCTAGGCACGGTGGTTTGGACAGCATGAAACGTATGGCTTCCCCAATGGGGGACGAAAACGTATCTGCGGATGACCGTTTCCATGACCAACGCCAAGAGAATGGCATAGCGATCGTTTCCGGAACCAAGAAAATGCCAAGGCCTTAGGCCACAGTCCTATTCTTCAATCACGAAATTGAGGACAGTCTGTCTTAGCAGATACTCCCCATAGACTCATCCACACTGAGATCAGTATCATTGCCCATAATGAATTGCCCCTCGCGCACCGATGACACCCTCTTGCACACTGAGTGGAACCAGAACCCGCCATTTCTTGCTCCGGATTTGACCACCCGCCAAGACTTGAATGGTATCTCGAACGCTCGCGAGAACAAGGACGGGACTGGGAATGGCTGTAGTCCCGAACAGTCAGTATCGTGTCTGGATGAGTCAGGGAGAGAGACTTCGCCGACCATTGATCCAGAGAAGAATAAAACGGGGAACAATGGGGCGTCACTGACCTTTAAGTCAGGTATGACTCTCACTCTCTAATATTTCTGTGTTTACTGGGCTGGTGGGTACTCGGTGGGAGACCTCGATGCTGATGAATATCGTCAGGACGCCCCATTGACCGAGTGACCAGCATTCAAGCTGGTCGGCCAATTGGTCATGGTCAAAATAACCGTCAATATTCCCTTCATACATTCAAGAGCTGGGCTTCATGGCTTTTGTCAGTTCTGTTCACGTCAGCACTGATTTCTCATGAGAGTATTGGGCGATATCTGCAAGGCTCGAAGGCTTCCTCCCCCATCTCCTCCATGGGTAAGGCAAAATGTTTCCGTGACTGCTTTACCCAACCTCAGGCACTAATTAAGTCCAGCGATGGAGCCTATTGAAAGAGATCTACCTTTCGAAAAAAGAGGAACATGCGCGCAGGGCGGTGTCCGGGGCAGCGACTATAACCTTCCGTTGCACATCGGCGGATTGTTCATCGTCTTGTCAGTGTCGACACTGGCTTGTGCTTTTCCTGTCCTTGCCATATGGTTTCCCCGTCTCCGCATCCCGTCGTCATTTTTGTTCTTCGTCAGTCATTTCGGTACGGGCGTCCTCATCGCCACTGCGTTCGTGCATCTACTCCCAACCGCATTCCAGTCGCTCAACGATCCGTGCCTGTCCAAATTTTGGACCACGGACTATCCTGAAATGCCGGGAGCCATTGCTCTCGCGGGAGTCTTCCTAGTGACAGTGATCGAGATGGTCTTCAGCCCTGCCAGACATTGTTGTCGCGGGGGAACTCGTGTTTCGGACCCTCCGCCATATCTCTCTGGCAGTGTAGACAAGCAATCCCCCATCGAAAGCGTCCAGATCGCTGGTCGCTCGACTGGTAGCAATGAGAGGGAGCGGCCTGCCGGCTTAGAGCCCGTGCCTCACCTACGCGATATGGGTCCCTTGATCGGTAGATCTTCTAGCATAAGCCGAGCTATCAACCAAATGGGCGAAGACCCGGAACGCATCTGCCGCATTTCCTCCGCTCCAGAGGTCCCTCAATGTTGCCAAGAATCGAAGGTCGAGCCTGTTTCGGAAGACGTGGAGCGCAGCGAGGATGTCATTACCATGAGCCCAGATCAGAAGCATCGGAAGGAAGTCATGCAGGTTGTGCTGCTGGAGATGGGAATTCTCTTCCATAGTGTCTTCATTGGGATGTCGCTCAGTGTATCGATCGGCAGCGAGTTTGTGATTCTCTTGATTGCCATTGTTTTTCACCGTTTGTCACCCTGTCTGCCTTATCTTTGGTGCATCATACTAAGTGGATATGTGGTTACAGAGACATTCGAAGGACTCGCACTGGGTTCTCGTATTGCTGCCTTGAATTGGCCCGAGAAAGCCCTGCAGCCGTGGCTTATGTCACTGGCTTATGGATGCACGTGAGTTTGCATTGTCATTCGTTGGTTATGGAATTCATTGAGGCTAATGTATATAGGACCCCAATCGGTCAAGCCATTGGCCTCGCAACTCATACCCTTTACAGCCCCGACTCGGAAGTTGGCCTTCTCCTTGTCGGTACAATGAACGCCATCTCTGCAGGGCTTTTGATCTTCGCCTCTTTGGTGGAGTTGATGTCAGAGGACTTCCTCAGCGATGAGAGTTGGCGTGTGCTTCGTGGAAAGAGACGTGTTTATGCTTGCATTATTCTCTTTATGGGAGCTTTCTGCATGAGTTTGGTGGGCGCTTGGGCCTAGTGGACCTGTAACGTTCAGAGTGATCAGGAGTGGACTCGGTGAGGAGTCCATGAGCTACTAGTCGAATGACGGATGTGTTTAGCTGGTCTACGTACATTCTTGATGTATATACGAAAGAAGTGCCGGTAGATAGTAGTAGATAATAGTAGAGTATTGAATATGATGGAGACTGTATTTAGACTGCTGATTGGTCAATTCTCATACCGGGTCCAATAGAAATCGAAATTTAGAGATATACTCTAGTGCGGAAGGACAGCGGAAAGTAGATACTTCATTCATTCTCTGAATGGTATGAGCAGCCTAGGATAGTCGAACATTGTAAGTGCTATTCACTCAAAGGGACGGAAGGTGGGAATGGTAGCCCCCACTATATGTACTGGGGACAAGGAATAATAACATTACTGGTATCATTCTGTTTTAGGCTCCTGAAGATGTTTAAGTACTTTGGATACACTCCAGCATATTTCTTCGGATTATATGGCCTCTGCTTTACACACACATTTAGCCATTCACTACTGTCTTTTTCGCACTTCATCGGGGACCTCGGAACCACTCTTGAAAACGAAGGAAGAGGTTAGTTGGTAATTCCTACACTATGTACTGGGATAATGAACCAAGCACATTGTGCCTCGGTTTTTGTTGGAGATCACCGAAAACGATGCCTGTTCCCTGCCTGCTGCTTACTAGAACTAGGAATGTACCCACTTACTAATAGGGGAAATGGAGAGGCTCGAAGGTCATATTTCCGTGGCGGACTACCGTTATAAGACGGTCCCACAGCAAGCCATGCTACCTTCAAATCGCACTCGTCAATTGCAATCGAGGCTTAGCAAGCTATACGGCCATCCTTGTCTAGTACTTATTCTAGATTCAATATGTGTACATGTTTAGTTGCTTAAGGGTATGCGATGTCAAATGCACAGTGCCCTTCTCACGCCGTGGGGGGAAAGCTCAATATTCTATGTCTATACATAGAGCCTGTTAACCTTGGAGCTGGCTTTTCGAGAATAGTATAGCAAGCTATACTGGCTGGCCTAAAAAAGGGTGCTATTTCTATTCCTTCATCAGTCAATACAAAGTTTAAACTCAAAACTCTCATATTGCACACTATGGCTTTTGATAAAGACTTATCAAGCATCGTGTCTATCTCATTGCCACTCACAGCTACACTTGAAGCTCTTATTCCCGGTTATAGTTTACTTATCTATCTTACTTTTATCTTTACGATCGATGCCTCATCCTATATACTTGCCTTTGGGACACCTTTGATCTTTTTGGTGTACGCTGTGCCAGTTTTCTGGGACCAATTTTGTCAATTCTCTTATGTCTTGCTACATCAGTTGAGATCCCGTAGCATATAGACTTATATAATGATATCCTCGACTGGACTTCGGACTATCCCGACTTGCACCAAACACAACAGTCTACCGCTGATACAAAATCCTACCTCGCCTCATATTGGAACGATGATAAATGGGATGAGAACGGTGAGGGGAAAGTCCTATCTAAGAAAGACAAGCTACTCTTCAAAACCGATCCGCTACAGTTCTGGACAGAACAAAGGAACCAGGACAGACTGAAGTAATTTATTATACACCTGCACCTAGTCAGATCTATTTTTTAGGTACCAATAATGCCAGTTTGCCTTTCGCCGTCAAAGCATATAAGGACACGTCCAGTCCTTGGGCTGTAAGAATGAACAAGCTGTATCTCTATGCGGCGCTATAGAAAAGGAATGCACGTATAGGTCCGTAGCAGAAATTCAAGAATATCTTCTACGATACAGGAAAAAACCTGATCTAGCAGTAAATGATGCAACTGAATAGACGAACGAGGACCTTCACCTTGGTTGCGATAAGGATCTGCCCCGCTTCCGCATATCGGACAATCGGTTTATAATCCACGGCACTACTTTGCCTCCAAGTGCGTTTATCTTTACCTAGCCATCCCATAATCCCCCTTTGGAAACTGATTGCTATAAGAGAATGACTGACTCCTTTATCCACCCCAAAAAAGTAAATCTTGGTGATTTCATACAAATCAGGCTCCATTATATTCGAAAAGTAAGAATCTGAGTTAGACTATTTCAAGGCCTATTCTTTCCTATCCCTCGTCTCCCTAGGATAGTGCTGCGGTCTCTAGCTCTCTCATTTTATACAAAGCCATTTCAGCTTTTTTCTTGGTTTGACAGGACAATTTGTCTGATTTCGACGATATCTCAAAGCCTTGCTTCCACTTATCCCATTTAGGCCATGTAAAACCGGTCGAACCATTACTGCCAGCATTTTGTGACGACCAAAGATAGATATCCGTACCTAAAATACTTATCCAAGCTGCTGCTGCCGGGACATGATAAATCCTTTCGTGCTCAAGGTAAGTTTCTGAGTCAAATGCTCTGTTAAAAGTTCGTAATGCGTAGTCTTCAAGCGACACAGCATGCGCTCGTGTAAGATATGCAACAAAAGTGTTCAAGGAAATCCACTCCTCAATGCACAGGTCTATTTCTTTTCCAGGGCTGGGTTTATCAGGTCCTATCAGTATAAAATAACGGTTAGGCTGCTTTATCTTTATTCGATGTTCCAATTATTTTGACATACCGTTCCATCTTTCCCGTATGTTCACACAGATTTGATATTTAAGCTCCTCTCTGAAAGGTGAAGGAAGGCAATTTACTAACAAGCGCGTTACTTCTGTAAGATCACTTGGATCTAGTGGTGAGGATATGGCGGCCTCAAACAGAACAGCCTGGAAGTCTATCAGCGCTCCTTCAGGGTTCTTTCGTGACTTGATAGCCTCTATGATTGATAATGCAACTGTCTCAGAGCTGGAGTCTGTCGTTTCGGCAGATTGTGTGTGGGCAAGTCCTTTCAATTCCGACAGTAAGTCTTCAAGAAACTGTAGCGAGTGTGGGGCATCGGGCTCGTTCCCGAAATCAGCCTGCCAGCTCTGGAGATAGTCTGTAGTCCATTTATCCATTTCGAGCTTCTTTTCATTGCGGCTATGAGTGCGCTGGAAATGCCAATTTATAGCACGTTCGCTAAAGTCAGTGCGAGGTTATAGATGCACGTTGACTCTTCGCGGCATGCATGAAAATCCCGCAATTGGGGCCAACCGATTTTCAAGTCAGGCTAGTGACTCATATTTCGTGCAGACATATAACTAGCGTTTGATTCATGTGAAATCTTCGTCAGCTGAGGCTGGCATGCGTCACATCTGAGACAAAAAACTGGATTATAGATGCGCGTTGACTCTTAGCGCATGTATAAGAACCCCCGCAACTGGGTCCAACTCAATTTCAAGTCGAGCTGTTGTTTAATTCATGTGAAGTCTTCCCTATTTCAGCTCGCCTTACAACAAAGAGATATTGTATCAATCGGCAATCGGCATCCGTTCTGATTTGTAAGATGCAAATCATTCCAAGTTCCGTTCAAGGATGGATTGCATTACATTAAGATTACTATGAACGAATCAGATATGCGTAACGTGATGCCAAGATGGCAATCCGACTTTTATTAGATCTTCTCTCTCTCCATAGTTTCTGCTTAGTTTCAGTATTCGTCTCACCCATTATACTCTGGTATGTTGAGTAAGTATCGCTGGTATGGTGGGTCACCGAGCTGCGTAGAAATAAGATGAATTTCGTGCCCTTATTATATATGGATATCTAATAGCCTATGACCATCAACATCAATTCTCTACCATACTGTCTATATAGCAATATGCCTCCTTCTACACCTCCTCATTTTCAGCTAACTAGAGATGAACGCCTGCAAATCCTAACTCTGCGCTCACTAAATATAAAATATGAAGATATTATAAAACACCTAGGAGTTTCTATATGTCAGGTCTAACTATCCTACCAAGCTGGTCACCCTACCCTCTCTAAAAGATCTGGTCGACTGTTGGCAATAAAGAATGAGGAAATTGGCCATCTTATTAGATTTACCACCTCATCAAGGTATACAAAATGTCTAACTTATAGAGAATTAGCCTTATATCTTGATCTACGCTATTCTCAATAGGCAATCCGATCAGCCTTACTTTCTAGAGGCTATCAAAGGTATATTGCTTGAAGGAAACCACCACTATCTTCCGAAAATAAGCAAAAACGACTCCTGTGGGTACAGGAGTATCTTAGCTGGTCTTCTAGTCAATGGGAGGCTATACTATGGCCTGATGAAACATTGGTAAATCCAGGCCGCCATACACGTACATGGGCCACTCGCTGTAAGGATGGGGTTCTCCATGAAGACTATATTATTGAATGGCGCCCATGTAAGATAGGATGGATTTTTTGGGGCTCATTCCATGGAACTAGTAAAGGCCCTGTAGTACCCTGGGAGAAGGAATGGGGTACAATAAATGCTTAAAGCTATATTTAACATATAGTGCCTCTTATAACAGAGTATATCCATCACTATCCTCGTCTGTAACTAGTACAGGATGGTGCTCCAGGCCATAGTGCTCAGTCTACTATTCAAGAGCTTGAGAGGAGTGAATCTATATAGGTAGATAGCTGTCTTTCTCTCCTGATCTCAATCTAATTGAAATGGTATGGAGTTGAATGGAGAACTATCTTCAGGCAAATTTCCCTGAATATATGACACTATCCGAGCTTAGGATAGCCCTTAGAGAGGCCTAGGATGCTATTCCAGCTGATTTTCTGCGAGACCTACTGAAATCTATGCCTGAAAGGTACCGTGCAGTCATTGAGGCAGGTGGTGGTCATACTAAATTTTGATATCATTGTGGGTGGATATATATTAGGTAGGGCGTGTATGTAGACCAGAAATTCATCTTTACCTAATAAAAGGTGTGATTTCCGGTGGAGCTTACGAACATTATATATGCAATAGTTAGTTATAGTTACCAGAGTACATTCTGATGCTTCTGCTTTTTCGTAGCCTTCCCTCGATAGTCTTATTCTGATATGATTTCTGCTAAGGGGTTGTTTACCTTTCCTTCTTTCTCTTTCTTTCTTTCCTTCTCATTTTCACTTTCTTTTGTTCCGCAGTACCTAACAGGTTGTTTCCTTCTGGGGCTGAATTTTGCTACTCGCTGATCTGGCCTTTGCTTCGTTCAGCAGGTACACAATGCCTTGGGTCCCTGGGACAAGTAATTGGATAACTCTCTTGGCAAAGCATGTCCGGTGATTGCACATCTATCATGCATTGCCCCACGGTCCTATAGCGTTTGATGGAAATTCCAAAGACTCAGAACTGCCCAGGCCACGCCGGAGGGAAATTCTTTACAAGCTGTTCAATGGAAAATAAAACTTTGTTTTACACGTATTACTGAGAAGTTATTTATATGAGTATTGTCTTTTTTGTGGCAGCATTCCGCTCAATCACTCGTCGACTACGAAAGAGAATTTGAATGTTTGCAGACAAACGCGTAATGCCAACATGGCTGCTGTAGTCGGCCGTAATACCTGTCTTGGCATTCCACCGAACACGCGGTTCGGAATTACGGATTAAATCACGTGGAGTAAATCCGTTATCGATTGGATTGCAAACAGATGAAAATCAATTGTAATAATGGCAATCACTATGGTCTAACTGAGCCGCCGAGGAAGGTATAAAACAGCTGTCACACCCACCCCTCTTTCATGGCCGAAGCTACTCATACCCCCCAGTCATCGGGGTGGCGGATATCCAAAGCATGCCAAGAGTGTAGGAAGAGGAAGATCAAATGCAATGGCAGCAATCCATGCAAAACCTGTCAACTGCGTAACACCCCCTGTATCTATAGGGATGTTATCCGACAACGCAAGAGGAAACCCCGAGGTATGCGTGAGAGTGAAGCATTTGATTCCGATGGGGCAACGCGCTCTGAGTATGGAGCTGGCCAGCAGTCCCCCGGATTACCGCCGCGGCGGAACCCATCAGGGAACTATACTATCAACAGTAGTGTTTCAGCCACACATGTGGAATCTCCATCATGCAGAGTTCAACTATACTATGGACCAACATCACATTTTGCCCTTATGCACGAAATATACAGAGATCTCGTTTCTAATCAAACGCTGGGCTTGGAAAAGTCTCATGGCGAGGTTGAAGAGGCGAAAGCAAGTTTGGATATGTTCAGCTTTCGTCGCATCTTCTTTGGAACTCCAGATGAGGCTCAGGAGTCAGTGAAAGGCTCGAAGGGAATGGATGTTCCGATCATGTTCCTATCTCGTGAGCTAGCCAATGTTTTCCTCCAACGGTTCTTGTCGTCCTTATACACATTGGTCTCGTTTCGCTCGAAAGAGTCGTTTGAACGGGAGCTAGACTATCTGTATAGCCCTGCGCCTGGGGCTCGTTCAGACACTTGGGGCCACTGTATGCTCCTGCTGGGCCTGGCTATGGGTGCCTTGGGCACCGAGCATTATCGCTGGGGCGATATCCTGTACGACCGGGTCAAAGCAATATGCGGCCCATTGGATGAAATTGTGAACGTTGAAACGGTGCAAGTATCACTGCTCATGATAAGTATTACTTTGTCCCATTGTGCAGCTATTTAGATGCTGACTCGATCCCTAGCACGCCCATTATCAAAGCGAGCAAGGTAGACCTAACTCAACGTTTCTTCACTTGGGTGCTGCGTCAAGAAAGGCTTTGTCAGCTGGGCTGCATAAAGAGGCGCCGCGCCAGGGTGGAGAATTGAGAGATAGTGTCCAAGAGAGGAGGACAACGTTTTGGGCTCTGTATTTCTACGAAACGTTCGTCTCTAGTCACATTGATCTTACCCGACCAACCTAACCCTGCCCCAGCTGGTTCTGTTTTCACCTAGGGCGTCCCTGCTCCTTGTCATTAAGGGATGTCGGTATTGAACTTCCAGAGAATCCTTTCCTGCGTGCTTTAACTTACGTGGCCAAAGTGATTGCTCGCCTAGCAGATGAGATGTTCGGGCATCACCATGACTCGCTACTGCAAATGTGGAAACTTGCTAGATCTATCACAGATGATTACAGAACGTATGAGCAACAAATGCAACAAGCTATTGGCGCTGGATTGGATACATGTCCTCAGCAAGGGCTTCTTGGCGTACAGCAGACGATATTAACGACTAGTAGGCTCCCTCCCATCATTCTTATCAGCAGGATCAGTAACTGACTATATAGTCTACTATCACACTGTTCTCTTAACGTTCCGTCCGTTTTTAATTTTCCGCGGCCGATGGCAGGAAGATATGAAGGGCCCCTCACAACATGGAGGCAATCGCCCAACTGAAGCTCCCGCGTGGTTGAACGAGGCCTGCAATAAAGCTCTTGGAGCCGCGTGCAAAACAATTCAGTTTCTAAGTGAAGCGGCTGTTGCCAATGAGCTTGTCAGAGTACGTCATCCTGGCAGCGAAGAGAATTACTGTATCGAAGTAGTCATCAATCTAACCAGATACTAGGAACTCCGTTATCATGGCTATTTTCTAGGAAGCGCCTCATTCGCCATAATCTATGACTTGATGCATGGTAAAAACCTTGCCTCCACCCATCTTCCCTGGATCTATGCCGCTCTTCACAGTCTTGCAACCATGAGAGCGGGTGATCCCATCAAGAGCACCATAGCAGCTATTCAAACTGTTCTCAAAAAGCTCAACCCCTCTTACGAGTGGATCCCTCCCAAGGGGCTTAACCCTATCCTGGACGAGCAGTTTTCCACCGTGCGGCTATACTCCACTGATATTCCAACATCCCAAGCACAAACTATACTGGAGCCCTCCTCACCGGAAGTACCGCTGCAGCCCTTGCAAACTGGAAATGGTCTCCCAATCCTGTCCGACTTCCAGAACAATTCCTTGCAGGCAGGCTTTAACCCTCCCTGTGGTGGTGTTGGGAGCGGCGAGGACCTGTTGGACCTCACCTTGTCTGATATGGGATGGGACTTTGATTTTTCAACGATGGACCTGGAGACGTTCTTTTCCATTTATCCGCATGTGGAGACTCCGACTGGATAACTGCTCATGTTAGAATGCATTGTATTCAATATCTGGCGGGCGAGATTGCGGTTACTATTCTAATGTTGATCTCTGAAAAGGGTGGTGGTTCATCATAAAAGTACTAATCTTGATACTCTTTCATAATGCGTCACTCAACCACTCCCTAACGCCAATTGCTGAGCCAAACCAATTTCCCCATAGAACCGGTAACCGACGTATTCAATCTCTAAGTCATTTGCATGTGATCAACCGCAGTCTCGGAATATCAGAAAAGCAAAACATTTTACGATTGACTTGAATGACACAGACATCACTGCCTATAGATTGGACTATGACGTTCCGGGCCGGCAAGCAAATTCAGCTAAGCTGTGTCTTTGAATAAAGTATTTCTGGTATCGGTACATGATAAATAGTGAGTTATCCCAGTCACTATGACCCCTTCTCTCTGGGCCGGAAGGAAAATTAGCAGTGCTCCTGTAGACATATATGCACACAGCTTTTTAGTGTACGCTGCGTGGATTTGCGATTTGGGTGAGGTGTGTGGGAGCATCTTCAACGTTGTTGGCTCGTGTTAACACATTGAGAGATTAGAGGGCACGAGGAGAAAAATGCTTCATTTATCTTGGTTGCGCTGCGTATGCGGGAACCTCGTTGCTGGGGAAAGAGGAAGATACATTCGACAGCACGCTTGCTCGGAACATGATCTAGAGGAGGGTTGTGGCGAAAGAGGGATAGCTGTCAACTTCAGATGGTATGAGGAGTGCCGTGATGTCGAGAAGAAGGTAGAATTGGTCAAGAAGGTACTGAGTTTGTGAAGGATGAACCTAGGGCGTGATACCTGGTACATTAATCAATTAGTGGAGGGATCCTAAAGGCATAGCCTACAGTGAGATAGATATCATCTGGGGGGAGATCACTCATGTCCTATAAAAGCAGGGAAATGAGAGACATATAGGCGGTACTCGGCAAGCGCTCAGACTGAGAATGATGGTGAGATTTGGCCTTTATGTAGAATAGGTAAAGCGTGGCTTCGTTTGCTGTAGTTGTGTCTGGGTTTCTGCCTTGATGGAACGTGTTCTCCAGAAATGGGCGGCTCAGAAAGAACTGATATGAGCAGAGAAAATGGAAAGCCGAGATGAGGGCCACTAGAACCGCTGTGTAGTCGCATAAAAATTTGCAACGTTTCCACAACGATAGTATTAAATTTCTACGTATAGTGATTTAGAGAAATGCTAAAGTTACATCTTGGCTTCTGCTTTGGTCAAAATTGACCCACTTGGAAAGCTTGTTGCCTGAGCCGGCAAGCGGATTGGTTGCTAAGCATAGCAGCTTCATTCTGACTCGCCAGGGTGGGCCCTTGACCCTAACACCAGATGCATACAGATATCTGCCTCGAACAGGATCTTCTAGTGCTTGGATTCTAAGTATGAAATCAATTACGGACCTAGGGGGGTAAACTGAGAAGCCTTGACCCTTCCCACCAAAAAACTTCTTTATTGTCCTTTCCCTTCGCGACAATCCTATCAGATCGCCAAACAGAGTGCGGCTTACCTATAAGGCTCTCGATGACTATGAAACTTGATTCCCAAAGGGAAGCCCGTGATAATGACCAAGGGGAGGGTGACCAGCAAGGTATTTCGAATGAAACTCAGCTCGAGCAGCTTGGGCGGCAGCGACCAGCCATATTTGCCAACAACCTGATAGAAATTGGGTTCTGTTTCTCGTTACTCACTTCAATGCTTCTGGCAGTAAGAATCCCTTCGAAAGCGAGAAAGAGCTTGTCTCACCCAAACAGGAGTACTTTATTAGTGGTTTCAACACGATCCTTCCGGTTCTGACGGGCGCACTTGACATGCCACAGGAGGCGAAGACATGGCCAGCAAGCGTCTTCTCCTTAGTCACAGGCGCGCTGCTATTGCCATCTGCTCGCCTCGCTGATATATACGGTGCTCACATCGTATTCAATACAGGGCTATTGTGGTTCTTCGTGTGGTCCCTTATTGGTGGCTGTGGTAGAAACTACATAATGCTGATATTGTGTCGGGCGCTACAAGGATTGGGACCTGCTGCATACTTGCCTGCTGGGATCATGCTTCTCGGCACAATATACAGGCCTGGCCCTCGTAAGAATTTGGTGTTTAGTATGTATGGAGCATTCTCACCAATTGGCTTTTACTCGGGCATCAGTGTTAGCGGTGTGTGTGGACACTATCTCTCTTGGAGATGGTACTTCTGGACAGGCGCGATAATGCTGTTCGTCGTGTCGATCATCTCGATACTATCTCTGCCATCTACCAAATCACCGAGTCAGTCAAAGATGGACTGGTGGGGATGTTCAACCATTATTCCAGGCTTGCTATTGACAGTGTACGCGATTACGGATGGAGCCCACGCCCCAAACGGATGGCGAAACCCCTACATACTCGTCACCTTCATCCTGGGTATCATCCTTCTATGTGCAGCATTCTACGTGGAGGGCTGGATAGCTACCTCGCCGTTACTTCCATTTGACTTGTTCAAAGTGAAATACATGACACCGCTGATAGTATCGTTACTCTTCTCATACGGCGTGTTCGGGATCTATCTTTTCTACGTCAGCTTCTAGTAAGTCTCGTACCCAAAACCTACTATAAGAACACATACTGAATATCTCTCTAGCATAGAAAACGTTATAGGCAAGAGCTCCCTGACGACAGCGGTGTGGTTCGCCCCAATGGCTGCCGGTGGTCTGATCCTCGCCACTGTTGGGGGTTTTACCCTGCACTTCCTCCCAGGAAAGCTCCTGCTAATGATATCCGGCGCCGGCTACCTTGTATCCGTTCTGCTATTTGCGCGTATTCCCGAAAATCCAAATTATTGGGCCTATGTCTTCCCCGCAATGGTTGGAACAACTGTTGGATGTGATATAGCGTACAGCGTCAGCAACATATTTATTACTACTAATTTGCCTAAGGATAGACAAGGGGTGGCTGGTGCAGTGATCAATAGTACTGTGTTTCTGGGTATTAGCTTTTTTCTGGGGATCGCTGACCTCACGGTGTCTGAGACTGCTTATCTGGGGTTGAAGGGAAGTTATAAGGCGGCGTTTTGGTTTGGTGTCGCATGTGCTGTTGTCGCCTTGATTTTTTTGAGTTTTATAAAGATTGGAAAGGCGGAAAGTGAGCTTACTGTGGAGGAAAGGGGGCAGTTGAAGGCTTCTCGTGCAGATGCTGAGGCGTAGTTAGTGTTCCCTGTGCTCTAGGAAACTCGCGTAAGGTCCTTTAATATCCTGTATGGATTTGTTGTCAGATTTCAACGGGCTGTGCATCCTTTGTATCGCTTTTGCTAGCCCAAGAGGGAGATTCTATATAGACTACAGGTACGGGCTATACCTCGCATCTTTAACCCCGGCCATCCTTTCCCGCATTCGATGATGCGGAAGAGGCAGTGTACAAGAATTAATACCTTATAATTGTGACAGTTCACCTATTCCAGAATTTTACTACAAACTGCACTCTCCTCGGACTTTATTAAATATGCCTATGATATTACCTAGTATCGCAGGCAGCTGACATATGCCTAGCGAATAGGGATTCAAGCGGAATGATGAATACTTTGCTAAACAGGCCGCATATAAAAGCGCTCCTAATTCCCACCTAGATAGGTTTTCATGATAGTCCTTCAGTACCATCGAATCTCGTTTACTGATCGTCTGATACAGTTTAAATATGATATCTTCTACAGATTTGATTCCAAACTTGGGTAGTCCCATCATCCCCTATGGGCACAAACATATCTAGATTTTTCTAGAATGAATTGACACCGCCAGGTCCAAGCTCCTCCAAGATCTTTAGAAGCATGCACTATTCCGGTACCTCACATAGATGCGAAAGCCATCGCTGACACTGATGATCATGGGGTCATCTGTCCCAAAAAGCATGCTTCGCTCGTCCGATAGTTATGAGTGATGCTCAAGCCTATCAGGCACCACTTGGGACCGCTATGATAACCGCGCCTTCCTTTTGGACGAAGATATAATCTCTGCTATTATATCCTAACTTCAGCTTCAGAGCCACCTTTCTCCCCTTTCTCCTCACTTCAGTCTGGCAGCAAATCTCCTATTTCGGAGACTCAATCTCTTTTTCATGTTGCAGATCCAGCACACGGACAATACCGAAATGGACGAGCAGTAGATATAGATGGCTTATGCAATCGTTTCTTATCTAAATTTGGGTCCGCACCACACAGTGTCACAAAACGGAATTTCTATAAAGGATTGTGGTTAGTTTAGCTGTTTTTTCCAGGCGTGGAAATGGCTCTCGGGGGTTTGTATGCTCCTCTCTCTTCGAGCTAAATGTACCGCATAGTTCAATGACTTTAAATTCTTTGTATTTGTCACACCAATTAAACTCATATCGGAAAGATGTCCGAATTGAAGTTCTACGGGGGTTTCAAGAATGGCGCCCCCTACGTTGCATTTCTTAGCGAGAGCGTAAGCTTTACCAATCATCTCCGTTAACCCGGATATGATAGAAGTTGGTGGACCGGCCCTCAACCCACCGCTTGGTTGGGGAATTCCCCCCACGCTAAGTTTGAGTAAGAAGGAGAATGTGGATTCCCCGCTACTAGGCCTAAATATAGGATGGGCTAGTGGTATAGGTAGACACGTGTTGGGGAGTAATGTTTTGATTACCTGATATCATGTTACTGTCATTATATAGGGCTAAACGGTATTGAGCCGCCAGTGCTTAGGCATCGCCACGTTCTTGGAGCAATAGGATTAGCTACCTAGTACTGTATAAAGGATCCACTTATTCTTGTCCTGAACAGGATGCATATGATTGGCTTTATCCTGTACTAGGTCCTCGATGGGCCACACAAGCACACGCTAAAATGTTGTAGGATTAGGAGCGATTCTCAATATCCGGATCTTGCTACAGTCGCTTCAAGGATATAAGCTCGCAAACTCCTCTTTAAATCAGTACTCTATTAAATCTTCTTTACAGCAACCTAAAAGGTTTTCACTTCACCAGGTTTACTCTTACAACAATGCCCTGGTCCCAAGTCACTCCTAATTGATGGGCGCGCTCTCTAACCGGCTTCGAGGAATACCTCGTTTCCCGTGCAAATGCCTCTCTTAGTCTCTCAGATAGCAATGTACAATATATTGTCTACTCAAAAGTGGTGGTGGAACTCACTATTTCCGACATACAGTCCGCCCTGGAGCATGCGTGGAAACAAATGCGGTACGAAGAGCCCGACATTGCAACAACCCTTAAAGGCGAAACGAAGGTGTATGAGACACCCGATGAAGCGGCGCTCCAGAAGTGGCTTGATTCTACGTTTACGTTTATCGTTACCGATATCCCCGATGCAGAAGAACTACAACGCAACGGTCAGCGAATCGAGCTAGCCACGCTCTACTACATACCCAACTCCAGAGCTTGTCCTCCGTGCACATCATTGCACCATCGACGGTGTAGGTATTCTGATGTTGAAGCATAAATTCTTCAGCGCCTTGGTTCAGCCGAAATCGGAGGTTACCTTTGGTGACGGGTACCAACGGCTGGCCGTTCCTTTGCCTGAGGCGCTCGGAAACCCCGAACCCCCAACTCCAGAGCAAACTGAAAGGGCTACGACGATGGTCATAGAATACCTAACCTGACTACCTGGCATCGGCATGGCCTCCCAGCGCCAAAAAGGCACCAGTCGGCCAGTGCCAGAATATCAAGTGTCGATTATCTCCGGATATGACGGCAGCTATCGTCCAGGCTTGCAATGGAAAGGGGATAACCGTTGCAACTTCTGTACATGCCGCATACAGCCTTGGTCTGATGAAACACGCCAACCCACTATCAAACACTCCGCGCTACACCACAGTAAACTCCTTCAATCTAAGAGACTACCTCCCGGCGCCGTATAACAAGTCCGCGGCGGCGAACTACCCTACAACTATCCCGTTCACAATCGACCTACCGGCAGATTTTTCTCAGCTTGCACAGGCACTGAACCATAGGTGTAGAAATGGCGTTAGAGGTAGCCCCGAGGTCCTCGAGCTCGTTGGAGCCTATAACCGCTTCCTGGTAGGTATGGTCCGCACGCCTAAGGCCGAGGCTGCTCCCGCTCCTACAGATGCATGTGTGAGCAGTTTGGGGGTTATTGAGAAATACCTACAGCGCTCGAACGGTAACACTGTGACGGAGAAGGACTACAAAATTGTTCTTGATGTAGTTTTGGGCATAGATGCATCGCTTTTGTCTACGTTCAAAGACCAGTTGCGATTGGTCTACAGCTTTAATGATGGGGTATATGGGTATGAGGAGCCGACAAAGATTACTGAGTATGTAAACCATGTTGCGAAGGTCTTGAATGAGGAGTTACTAGGCTCGGCGGCTGTGTAGGGTTTGTGCGTTGCTAAATTGCTGTAATTATGTCACTTTTTTATCGTTAGCCTTTGGAAAGCTATGGAGGAATGCTGCATGGCGATGTCAACGAATAGTGTTAGCCCAGAATGCCGCTATCGCAGATGCTACCATGGCATTGGAATCGGTGTCAAGATATGTTTTCGCCGCTCCCGGCCATTATGCCTTCTATGTAGACTATGGCGTGGCAACTTGAGTTAAAGGCCATAGGGAAGCCCCACATTCCAGTTGCATTCCGGGGAGTTTGGCTTTGGACTGAATTGAATCAACCATATCACTCCGGATTTGGCAATTCGCCAAGGCCTTTCAAACCCTAATGCGGTTGAATCTGGCAATAGACTATGGGTATGAGGTCAGTACTCGGTTCGTCGAACGGACTTTATAGGCCAATGATGTATATCTAGGTCGACCTTTTTCAGCGAAACGTCCCTCCTCACGCAAGATCCGATTGTGTCCAGGACGCTCAGCCCATTTTTTCGAAGCACCGTTCCGCTGCCTACAGTATCTTTCCTGTTGGCTTCATCCTTTTGAATATAAAACTAGCTATAAGATGTCAACTCCCACGTCATTTATCATTCCGTGCACAATATTTTCTGCTGGTTTAATACGCGCGGGCCGAATCAGTTGTAGTCGTGAGTATATCCCATGCATACATACAGACCCCGCTGGCAATAACGTTTGCTAATACTCGTTGAGGGCCGAATGTAAGAAGGCACTTTTTCGGCAGTATAGCTAACCTATACGCCGGATCACTTTCTGATTCACACAACGCGCACCATGTTGGTAGAGTTCACCACCACTTAGAACACAACGGGGTTCTCAAGATAAGCCTAGCTTTTGACGATGACAAGAGCAAGTATCTTGAGCAGTTAGTTCTACACTTACACAAGAACCACGGACACGGGCTTCCTATAACACACAGCTCTTCCCGTGGCTGGTTCTGGGATGTTCGCCCCAGCCCAGAGACAACCTCCAGTCATCAGGCTCGTTCAGAAACCATGGACGAGTTCCCTTGGCACACAGACTGTAGTTATGATCGTGTACCACCCCGGTACTTTGCCCTGCAGGTCCTGCAGCCAGACACCAATGGCGGCGGCACACTCTCAGTCTTGCGCTCAGAGCACCTGCTATCACGTCTATCACCCACCACCCGTATCTCCCTGACCCATCCGGAGTACGCTTTCACGGTGCCCCCAGAATTTACTAAAGACGATAACGACAAACACATTGTCGGGTGTCTCCTTAGTACGACCGAAGAGCAAAGACATGTTCAGTTACGGTTCCGAGCCGATATTATCTCCCCTTTGACCACTCGCGCGGAGTCTGCCTATCGAGAGCTACAAGGCGTTCTCTCGAGCAAAGATATCGAGGCAGATATAATACACCTTACAAGTGAATCAATGCCTCGCGGGTCTATCATACTGCTGGATAATCGGCGGTGGTTACATTCGCGAAATATAGTAAAGGATCCAAATCGTCATCTTCGCCGTGTCCGGTGGGATTCTCGGCCGTTTAGTGAGGATATGTTACAGACTCCTGCGCATATAGGGTCAAGCCCTATTGTGCGCTACGGGCAGAATGTGTAGGTCGTTCTTGTGTTGCGTGGTCCTGCTCCTTTGTCTCCTTTCGGCTCTCCCTGTTCCTTTTAAAAACCCAAAAAATTTTGTCTAGAGACGATGGGGCGGACGTTGGAGCGGACGGATGAGCTTTGGAGGGCCGAATTGTGCCACATGCTTTGCAAGATGCTGAGGTTGCTGAAATTGCTATGAGGGGGAAGGTGATGAGATTTAAGTAACTTTGTTATTTTTATATGTGGGCCCACGGGTCCACCGAGATACATATATAGTTAATGGAATACAGTCGAGCGTGATATCCGGCAGGGTTATAGTTGATAATTGGTTGTGGTTTTATTCAGTGACACTCGTCCACTTAATACATGTACAGTTCAGTATGCGCTCTTCCACGAAACTCCTAGCATCCGACATCCTCTAGCCAAAAGAAAGATCAGAATTCATGTAATGTTCATAATTCGTTTAAGGTCGTGAAGAGAAAGCGGTTTAACCAAGTAATCATCAATCCCAGCCGCAAAAGCCTGTTGCTGCATTGAGCTCGATGCTACTCCAGTAACCGCCATAATAGCGCTTCGAGGTAATGAATTTTGTTCTTCATGTTCACGGATCTTACTTGAGGACACAATTCCATCCATGATGGGCATAGAAATATCTGTTGGTGTCAATTTAGCCGTGAGGGAATTTAGGGTGGATGTATACATACCCATCAGCACATAGTCGAATCTTCCTCCACAGGCTTTGTACTTTTCTAGTGCCGCGAGTCCATTGCTCGCCGTCTCGTAACTGCAACCTATCTTCCGCATAAAGGTTGCCAAAATCTACATTCCAGTTAGGCTTTGTCTTGATGTAAGATATATGGGCTTGGTTTACCTTAAGGTTCACGTCGTTGTCATCCACAATCAAAACATGTATATTTTTCTGGTTCAAGGCCTGCGGCGTAGGAAACGGCGAAAGCTCTGTCACGCTATCTCTAACCATGGGAGGGGATTCTGAGCCCTTGGCGGCGGCAAATGCCTCGGACAAAGAGCGCCCGCGACCTGGGAATCCGGAGAAAGGGCCGGATACCGGGCTTTCCGAAGAGGGGCTGTCTTCGCGATGGGAGTCTATATACCGTTGCAAGGCATCGGTAAGTTTCCGTGGACCAATTCTGCCATATGTTAGTGTGCGGTCAACCATATGATACAAGAGTACGTACGGCTGGGACAAATAGATAATGTCGGCATTCTTAATAGCAAAGTTGCCTGGAAGAGATATCCCGTGTTCACCAAGCACAATAAGTGTGCTGAAAGGAGTATCAACTGGGCCAACACTAGCGATCTTCTTCAAGCTAGACTCCTCAACGACTCCAATGTCGCCAGATCCCTTGTCAAGCGTGTCCGCGAAACACACCGTCCATCCTGGTTGCCCGAGAAGTACATTGCTGAGTGCTCCGCGAATTGACATCTTACGCTTCGCTTCAGTTGTGATTACTCCTCTCGATGCTGCCTTGAGGTCAACAAATGGGTTCAGGCCTACCAGACAGACACGAGTCATAATCCGTGATCCCGGAGCATCTTCTCGTCTAGGGAGCTGGATTGATAGTGGCAGGGCGTGCGGGGCCAAATTAATAGGGATATGCACATCCACCTCTGTCCCTACACCGACCTGGCTTTGCACCTCGATATAGCCGCCTAGGCTGGTTACCAGTTGTTGCACAATACTCAGACCCAATCCGACTCCTTCCGTTAACACATTTTCCTGCGAAAATGGCTTGTAAAGCTTGTGCTTTAGGAATTCGGGTGATATCCCACATCCTGTATCTTTGATCGACAGATGGGCTGAAACTGTCTTCTGGTCACCAGCACCCTCCACTTCTTTGGTTAGGGAAATCTCGATAAGGCCTGAACGAGTGAACTTGAACGAGTTGCCGAGCAGGTTCATAACGATTCTTCGCCATCCGCCTGAGGCAGAGTGAATCGACCACGACTTTTGTTCTTCAATACGAATAACGACAGACAAGTCGTCCGGATTGTCCGATTGTTGGACATCAGTGCCGACGGATCTACCACCAACGCCAGCACCAATTGGAAGATACCGACCAGCTATTTTCGAAGCGTTAATGAGAGATCGATGGCCAGTATACAAGGTTTCAGAGACGTCTTCTATCAGACGGCCCAGATCAAAATCTGTGACAAGGTTATCAAATTCGGGCCCCTCAATGCCCTCCTCCTTATGTACGACTGTTAGGTTGTTTATTTTCGTAAAGTCCAGCCTATAATATACGTTGTCAGCTTAATACATCCATCCTGGGTAAGTCTCTAATCATACAGGTAGTTCATCGTATCCAATAATGTTAGACCACATGTTTCGATCATTGTGAGCATGTCACGCTGGGTGGGCTCGAGGTGTGTAGTTTGTAGCAGTTCAGCGCTAGCAAGCATCCCATGCAACGGTGAACGGAGTTCATGACTGACGGACGAAAGTAGGTCTGACTTCGATTTCTCTGTGGCACACCAGCCAATCTCGGAGAACTTCGCAACAATACAGTCACCAAAGGCTCTGAGATAGCATAGGTCATCCAGCCCTAATGAGTGCTGCTTTTCGCTCGTCCAGGCTATGGTAGCAGCGAGCCATCGAGACTTGTCCCAGTTCCATAACGGAAGGAATATGAGCGACTTGCTTTGGGGGAAGTCATGTCCAAGACGGACCGTTATAGCATGGCGAGCCGAACGACCGCTGTCACTACCTTGTCGACTATGCCCTCGGGTGCTGGTTGATTGCATGGAGTGCGATCTTGTTGCATCTTGAGGATAGAATACTTCGCCATGGGGAAAGGCCGCAAACATATCATGCAATAAGCCCTCTGTCAAGGAAAGTTGGATGGGGCGGTTATCGTTTTCCAACGATTCTTTTGACAACGCATGACCCAAAATGTCACATCGTTTCTCAGACCACAAACCCTGCGATGACAATCCAGGAGACGGAGGAGGTGCAGAGGTTTCGGTATCTTTGTTAGGTTCGTCCCAGTCGCCAGCACTATCTGTAGAGAAGCTGCAATATTGGTTGTAAGGTTACTAAGGTTCGTCATAGACAGGGTGCAAGAGACATACCTTCGAGAGTTGCTGCGTGACGCATCCAAGAATAAAACACCCTCTAGCTCCATACATTCCTGGAGCAAGTCACTAGCTTGGGAGAAGAGTGAGGAAGTACCGGAGGGGCTAACAGCGCTCTCCGATACTGTGACTAGGTTACTGGACTCGTCTGAGTATCTCCTGACATGTTGCTGATGTTGCTCCGGGGACGGAGGCGCCATTATCGGAACGTCACTGGGCTTGAAGAACGAGGGTAAGTGGGCTCTATCTCGAGGTTTCGGCGTTGCTGACAATGGAAAACCATCGCACATAGTCTCTGTTGATAACGAAATGCTATCGATATCTGGGAGATCGGATGAACGAGGAGAGATGATGTCCGAAACACCCTTGCTGCTGCGGGTGACTTGCTCACTCTCCAATCCGGGCTGGCCCTTGGCAATTGACATGAGCGCATCAAGAAGGCGCCCAGATTTTCGGGAGTTGTGTATAGTCCAAACATTCTCAAGATGATTCGCGACACAGCCCGCCACTTCCTTCAAAATAGCTGCATCACTCTTAGTAAACAATGAGCGAGGGACAGTGCCAGTAACACAGTATGTCCCAATTAAACTTCCTGAGGAGCTGCGTAGAGGAGCCTCCGCATAGAAGCGTGTGTGAGGAAACCGAATCACAAATGGATGGCTACTGAGAGTGCCATCTGAGCAGATATCAAGTACAATCCGACATGTATCATCCAATGATTCACGGAAGCCGTCAATGAGGTGGCTTCCGTCCCCGTGGAAACCTAATGTCTTCAGACCAAGCGAAGAGCAGCTTTTCATTCGATGCTCATCCCCCGTGCCAGGAATTGTAGCCTCCGCGATCACACATGTCTCATCATTTTCAATCAACGCAACGAAGGCCTGATGGCAGCCTAGTCGATAAGCACCCAGCTGCGCAAGGCCAACTAGGGTTGTGTCCACCGCAATATCCTTCGTCGAGAAGGGGTTCCGGAAATCGAGAGGTGAAGGCGTCGATTGATCTCTTGCGCTTTCTGCAGCATTCGGTAGTTCAGGGCGATAAAGTCTACTCAGTGTTGAATGCATTCCGTGAGTGAGACTGGAGGACGAGACGAGCGGACAATCCTAGAAAGGGGTCCGACGGCAGCAAATCCTACCTTGACGGATCTGAGACCATTTACTGCCCGGCTGGTGACGGGAGAGGGTGATGGGGCGTTGATGAGCCCAGCAATGCCATCAGACGGGTTAACGTGCAGCCAGTATCCAGCAAGCATTGAGAATGGTCCAAGGGTGGGGAGCTTTTCGCGCGGCCTAGAGCTCCGAGAGGATCGTTATATAGTTGGTGGTAATCGTGGTTTTATCCAAGTCGGGCTGAACAAAAAAAATCTTAAGAGACATGGGCCGGCCAGTGATACTCGACCTGGAAACTTTCTGAGATTCCTAGGTGCTGGTTGCCCTGAGATTGGTCTAGGCTGTTGGTGACTGGGAAAAGAGCCCCATCGGCCCTGCCTGCGGTTGAAGAAGTGCCACCCAAGATAAGGGGATCATCGATGGCTCTAGATCCGTGGTCCAGCTGACGTTTTCCGGAATAGACCGCCACTCAACCATGGTTCTCCGTCGCTCAAATGTTGAAAATCTTCCGACCGGTCGAGCTCAGGGCTACTCGGCTCCGAAGCCCCGATATTTATGCTGGCTTTGCCATCATAGTTGAGGTGATCCAAAGACAAAGAATCTGAGTCGTCTTCTGCTTGTCTTTTCTTTTCTTAACTTTTATTTTGTCATGTCATTAGGAACGCCTCGGCACCTACCGAAGGAGTGGTAAAATGTACGCTCCGTTCCATTCAGATAAGTTGGTCCTTTGACTCAATAGTTTTTCGTAGTTGTCGTTACATTGGATGTCGCGATCTCCTGCTGCATTCGGCCAGGGGGAGGCCTGAGGCCGCGACGAGTCACAAGACGTCGCATTCCAAATCCCTTGATTATGTAAACGACGCCCCATTGCACCGTCTGATTGGTTCACACACCCTTCAAACAAGGTGCAAGACGTGACAATCGTGCAATATTTCCCTCAAATGATGTCTAGCATTAGACCTTGGGAGATAAGATCCTGTGGGGCTTGACGAATTAAATCATGAAATCCCTGGATGATCGTCGACGATCCTCCCTTACTCAGCCTTATTTTACTTGGGTGGTGGCTGCTGGGGTAGTATTCCACTCATTGACCCGAAGATATCCAGGGAGAGGGGGGATTTGAAAGAAAAGAGTAATGATCATCCCCTGAGTAAGGCCGAAGTACCCCTGTGGTAAACTGACAATAGACAATCTACACTCGTGTGCTATGGTTGAACATATGCCCATTACAAGTTCGACTCACGATGGTTGGAGCATGCTGTATATAAATACGAAAGGTGGAAATTCTAATCATTGGTTTAGGATAGAGGAAAGAAGCCTTCATCGGCTAGGAAGGTGGAGCTTTTGGGTACCCCTTGACAAATATCCGTGAAATTCGCGGCAAAGTCAGTTTAGGTGCTCTCGGTGATAGAATCTTGAACTGAGTGCTCTGGAAATGCCCCACGTCACATTGACCTTAAACTGGTGAATGGATAGGGCCAAAATAGGGAGTCTAGTTCTATAGCAACTGGATCATCTCAGTCCGCCACGCATTTTCAGGTGCAATATCAGTCTTTGTCTTTGTCCGCAGACCAACAGGTCAGCACCGGCACCCACTAGGCTCGCCTTGACATCAATCATCTGGAACGGATAACTCTATGTTAATTAAATGACTCAAGGAAAACTTTCTGCAACACTAATCCACTAGCCTATTTCTTGGCTTGCGGCTTTCTGAACAGGTGCCTAATCCTCGAAACGTTGACTGTTTACTCCTTTTATTCTGAGTACTAGCTCACCGTCTCCTTATATCTGTAAAACATGTAAATCATCGTCTTTTGTTCCCTTGGGGTCCAAAGTGTTTCCTTTTGCTATTGGACTCTTAAATAAGCTTATTCTGTTTATTTATGTAGTAATAAACCCATTCAAATACACTCTCAAGTACTATACCAGGTCTTTGCAGGGCTCTCTGGCTTCCTGCAGACCTCCCAGGCATCTCTGCCACGCTCAAATGAACAGATTCCGAATAAGGCGGCCGCTTCTTTGATACAGTTCTCTAACTCCAGAGGCGCTCACGTTGGACAACATACGTAATAGGAGAACGAAATATTTGCCAAGCTCAAACATCGAACCTAGCTTCATAAACCCCTGTATTTATGTGGATGAGGGACCATTGGGCGGTACATCGACTATTATGTTATATTCTCCTATATTGGGATAAGAGTGTGAGGAGCTGTGGGCTCGTATTTACATACATCCCAGGCCCGAAACCCGTACGCTTCTCCACCTCATCTCGAGACTAACGATGATGCTAGCAATATTCGTCGCAACTAAACCTCCCGTACAAACTCCGCACATAATCTATGATGTGCACTATTGCGTCTTCTCGGTAAAGTGGAGGCCGACACGAGTCAGTCGCGGGATGCCAAGTGTGGGACTACTACTCTCAAACCCTCAATCTTATATGCTTGCCGATAATGGCAAGAGCCGTACAACGCCGAGGTGCGGTACAAGGTGATTTTCCTCGCTTAGCCCTAACTAGGTGGAATACGAACAAAACTTCGTTGTACAAATTAGCCCTTTCCGCCAAGTGGCGACACATAGCTAGAGATGAGTTACGTACTTTACATATCGGATGATTGATCAAATACTGGTAATGAGGAAAGGAATATGTTGTTGACATCCAACAAAGGGCAGATATACTGGCTATAGGTTGCAGAAGACTAGAGCGGAAGTAGATAGGCAAGTCATACGGGAACACTTGGTTACTATACGAGCGATTTTCGCGGACATGCCTGATCGTAATGATTGACGTGAGATGCTGTGCGTCAAGAGGCTAGCATACAACTCCTTCATTTGGCTATAAAGGTCGTGATAGCGATTGTAGGTTACAGGCATATCTGTGGAATGGCCATTAAGGCATATTCACTATCTCACTTTTCACTAGACAGACGATGCCAGTGTGAAATTCCATGCAACAGCCTGGATATTTTGTCAGGGTCGCATATACAGACACACGGCTGACCCATGGTGACTTATCGCTTGTTGATTGCCCAAATCCCAATTTTTCCCCTTCCCCTCCGGCGTATATGCCCTGGTGGGGCCAAAACAAAATGACTCTATATCCATAGTGCTCGTTCTACCCATTGTGCTGGTTGAGCATGAATGTTATATTGTTCCTCAGTAGATTAAGTGAGCCACTCCATATTACCCTGTTTTGATCAATAAGTCGAGCCATGGCACTGTGTGAGGCTCAGAAGTTTCTGCCTGTTGTGCGTGTACTAACCATCAAGCCCGTAACCCATAGTCATCCTACTATCTGACACCGAATTGTATCCGACCTTTGGAGGGTAGCTACCTTTCTCCCAAGTACCAAGCATTATACACAACGTCGACACTTGTCGAAAACCCATAAAGCGGCCCAAGTGTTGGCTCCACCTCAAGCCTACGGAGCAAGCAACTACTTCTAGAATAAAGCTACAAGTCCCACTTCCCCTTTACTCCGTTGCGGACTTAAACATGGCCAATGATACATTTCTTGCTGGTCATCGTTTGTAGATTCCATATGGCTCTGAATAAGGCCAATGTCAAATAGAGCAAAGAGCCCCCCGAAAGAACCATGACGCCTGTGGTTTGGTTAGGATTTTGTAACATCAAGCCTAGCAAATGCCTGTGCCTCTTGAACGTGCTGGCCAAGAGAATCGGGTTCTTTATCTAACCATTACATATGATAATGTACGGACAAACCTATAATCTAGCATTTAGTATGACCCCGTGGCGTAGTGGCGCTGGATTGAGCTTGCCCCAGTTAAGGAACGCTGTAGAATGAGGAAATTTTCTACATCCCCATCTTATCGAGTCATCTATATCCGAATTATTCTGGGTCCAAGTAGCCATAGAAGCAATATGATTGGTTTGAATCACCGGATAACGGAAATGCGGCTGTATCGTATCAGCGGATTTACGGATTTACGGGTGTAATCCTGTCAGGTACCAGGAACCGTATAATATAAGAAATTAGATCCCAGGCAACTACTATAATAGATTGTTTAATAGGGTTGCAAGGTAGCTTTTGGGAAGACGTCATTGTCGGTGTTGTATAGGGTTGAGATATTGGTAGGATATGATTATCAACAGAGACCGATCGGTATAGTACTAACTACATGGCTCCTACAGGACGCTCCGCCGCTATCAACGTTATTCACCATGGATACACCATCCTCCGGCACCGTCGACTTGGAATGCGGTGGTGGTGCGATTCGCAAACGTTTAACCCTCACATTTCGTAACCTGAATGTCCGAGTCACGGCCCCCGATGCAGCTCTGGGCGACACCCTGTTGTCATACGCCGATCCGCGACAAGTCCTGGATATCTTTCGCAAGGGTCGACAGCACAAAAGAGTAGGCATTTAACTTTTCGACGGAACTGTTTCAAAGCGCTAACAGGGCCTAGACCATCCTGAAGGACATCAGTGGGCAAGTGAAACCGGGTGAAATGGTAAGGCGAGCCAACTGATCATATACACCTGCCACACTAATACTATTACAGCTGCTGGTATTGGGTCGCCCTGGCGCTGGATGTACCTCTCTTCTCCGAGTCCTGTCAAATGACCGGGACTCATTCGACGAAGTCACTGGAGAGACTCGGTACGGAAGCATGGACCATAAAGAGGCAAGGAAGTTCCGACAGCAAATCATGTTCAACAATGAAGACGACATCCATTTTCCAACTTTGACGGTTAACCGGGCCATGAAGTTTGCCTTAAAGAACAAGGTGCCGAGGGAGCGTCCTGAACATCTCCAAGACAAAAAGGAATACATACAGAACACGAGGGACGACATTCTGGAGTCCCTAGGAATCGCCCATACCAAAAAGACGCTGGTGGGAAACGAATTTATTCGTGGTGTATCTGGTGGAGAGAGGAAGCGCGTTTCTTTAGCCGAAGTAATGGCTGGGCAGGTGAGTATAATCTCGGCTTCATGTGCAGAGACCTTACGGTACTGATATCTTCTACTAGAGTCCCGTTCAGTTCTGGGATAATCCAACTCGCGGTCTTGATTCCAAGACTGCAGTCGAGTTCGCACGCCTCCTTCGCCGTGAAGCAGACGAAAACGACAAGACAATTGTGGCCACTATGTATCAGGCAGGAAACGGCATCTATGATGAGTTTGACAAGATCTTAGTACTGGCGGAGGGGCGTGTCATCTATTACGGGTCCCGGACTATGGCACGGACATATTTTGAGGATATGGGATTTGTTTGCCCGAAAGGCGCCAACATTGCCGACTTCTTGACTTCAGTAACGGTGCTTACCGAACGTATTGTTCAACCTGGGATGGAAGAAAAGGTCCCTAATACCCCAGAAGAGTTCGAGTCCCACTTTCTTGCAAGCGCCATTAGTACTCAAATGCTGGACACCATTGAGCCGCCGGAAAAGTTGAACCACGAAAAGGACGACCTATCCATGGCAGTAGCTAGCGAGAAGAAGAAGAAGCACCTTCCCCGTCCTCAGAGTGTGTACACAACTAGTCTCCGGGACCAAATCATTGCTTGCACAGTTCGGTGAGTCGTTCCCGCAAAGTACCTTCAGCACGCGTGAAACAGTAATTCTAACATCGACAAGACAATTTCAAATCATGGCAGGAGATAAGCTCTCTCTTGGGATCAAGATTGTCTCCGCCATTCTGCAAGCCCTAGTGTGTGGTAGTTTGTTCTACAATCTCAAATTGGATAGCTCCTCTATCTTTCTTCGGCCGGGTACGCTCTTCTTTCCTTGTCTTTACTTCCTCCTTGAGGGTTTGTCCGAAACAACTGGTGCGTTTATGGGTCGTCCAATTCTGTCCCGACAAAAGCGTTTTGGCTTCTACCGTCCCACAGCATTTTGTATCGCCAACGCTATTACGGATATTCCAGTCGTTATTGTACAGATCTCCTGCTTTTCCTTAATCCTTTACTTCATGTCTGCACTGCAGATGGACGCGGGGAGGTTCTTTACCTACTGGATCATCCTTATTGCACTGACGTTGTGCTTCATGCAGCTCTTCCGGGCTGTTGGTGCGCTATGCAAGCAATTCGGAAATGCTTCCAAGATCTCGGGATTGCTCTCCACTGTCTTCTTTGTTTATGGAGGTATGTTTTTAATGAACTACTCGGCCCGACACACGTATTGACAAATTCAGGCTATCTCATTCCTTTCGACAAGATGCACGTTTGGTTCCGTTGGATCTTTTATCTCAACCCTGGCGCATACGCTTTTGAAGCCCTCATGGCGAATGAATTTGTGGGATTGAAGCTGAAGTGTATTGCGCCTGATTACCTTCCCTACGGTAGTGGATATCCAGAGTCATCATCCGCCGACCGTGGCTGCTCTGTGTTGGGAAGTGATGAGGATGGACTGATCGATGGGGCAACGTATATTCGGGAACAGTACCACTACTCGGTTCATCATATCTGGCGAAGCTTCGGTGTTATCGTTGGCATGTGGGCATTCTTCATCTTTCTGACCGCCATGGGCTTCGAAAAGCTTAACAACCAGGGAGGTTCATCGGTACTTCTCTACAAACGGGGGAGTCAGAAGGAGCGCACTTCGGACATGGAGAGCAATCAGCAAGTCAGCCCCCAGCCAACAGCGGATACTGGAGCTCTTACCCAGACTGTTAAGCAGTCAACCTTTACGTGGAATCATCTGGACTACCATGTGCCTTTCCATGGCCAGAAGAAGCAGTTGCTGGATCAGGTGTTTGGCTATGTAAAGCCTGGAAATCTTGTCGCACTCATGGGTTGTTCAGGTGCGGGAAAAACTACGTATGTGTTCTGGTTGAAAGTTTTCCTTGTCATAGTCTAACTTCCTTTCCCAGGTTGCTAGACGTGTTGGCTCAACGCAAAGACAGTGGTGAAATCTATGGGTCCATCCTGATTGATGGCCGTCCTCAGGGGGTCAGTTTCCAGCGGACTACTGGCTACTGTGAGCAGATGGATGTCCACGAAGCGAGTGCCACCGTCAAGGAAGCTCTAGAATTTTCGGCCCTTCTTCGGCAACCCGCTTCAGTTCCTCGCGAAGAGAAATTGGCGTACGTAGACAGCATCATTGACCTACTGGAGCTGCGCGACATTCGTGACGCTCTTATCGGAGGTACACGATCATCCAATTGACCCAGATCTTTGACAGCCCATTGACTTGCTATAGTTCCCGGCGCTGGCCTCAGCATCGAGCAGCGGAAGAGAGTTACACTAGGCGTTGAGCTGGTGGCAAAGCCGACTCTACTATTTCTTGATGAACCCACATCAGGTTTAGACGGTCAATCGGCGTACAACATTATTCGCTTCTTGAGAAAATTAGTGGATAATGGCCAGGCTGTCTTGGTATGTGCATCCACATATGGTATCAATATTTAGTAGCTCACAGATCATAGTGCACCATTCACCAGCCTTCTGCAGTATTGTTTGATGCATTTGACTCATTGCTTCTCCTGGCTAAGGGAGGTAAAATGGCATACTTTGGCGAGAGTAAGTCTCCGTTCTTTCATTGAGCAAGATGAAAGGTCTAACCAATTATAGCTGGCAAGGATTCCATGAAGGTCTTGGATTATTTTGCAAGGAATGGTGCTCCCTGTGCACCTGATGTCAACCCAGCCGAACATATTGTCGAGGTCATTCAGGGCGATACTGATAAAAAGGTTGACTGGGTCGATGTGTGGAACCAGTCCGAGGAGCGTCAACGAGTCATCACCGAATTGGAAGCTTTGAACAGTGATCGTAAGGCGAATACACAGGAGGAGGAAAACCAATCCGACTTTGCAACTTCGCACTGGTTCCAATTCAAGATGGTCTTGCATCGTCTTATGATTCAATTGTGGCGGTCACCGGTAAGTTATAAACCGTCAATTGTTTGGCCTACAGCAGGTGCTCATCGTTTGTTCAGGATTACGTTTGGAACAAGATATTTCTACACGTCTTTGCGGCTCTTTTCAGCGGTTTCACGTTCTGGAAAATGGGCAATGGCACATTTGATCTACAGCTGCGCCTCTTTGCAATCTTCAACTTCATCTTTGTCGCTCCAGGCTGTATTAATCAGATGCAGCCGTTTTTTCTGCACAACCGTGATATTTTCGAAACCCGCGAGAAGAAGGTATTTCTATTAGCTATCCTTAAATTTCACTGACAGTGGGCCACTAACAAAGATCAGTCCAAAACCTATCACTGGCTCGCTTTTATAGGTGCTCAAGCCGTCTCGGAGATTCCATACCTAATCATTTGTGCCACTCTCTACTTTGCCTGCTGGTATTTCACTGCTGGATTCCCTGTCGAGGCCGGCATCTCTGGCCATGTATATCTGCAGATGATCTGTTCGTTCCACCACCTTTTCCTGAAGGGTTCCCCCCTAACTCAATACAGTCTACGAGTTCTTGTACACTTCTATCGGCCAGGCTATCGCCGCCTACGCCCCCAATGAATACTTTGCCGCTATCATGAACCCGATCCTCATCGGTGCTGGACTGGTCTCCTTCTGTGGTGTCGTCGTTCCTTACGCCCAGATGCAGCCCTTCTGGCGCTACTGGATGTACTACCTGGACCCGTTTACGTACCTGGTAGGCGGGTTGCTTGGAGAAGTCCTCTGGGACGTGAAGGTGCAGTGTAAAGCCTCCGAGCTCGTTCATTTTAGTGCGCCATCCGGCCAGACTTGCGGCCAATACATGGCCGACTTTCTTTCCGAGCAAGCGGGCTACCTCCTCGATCCGAACTCGACATCAAGCTGCTCTTTTTGTCAATACTCCACTGGTGCTGATTATGCGAAGACTTTTAACCTGAGAGAGAAGTACTATTCCTGGAGAGATGTAAGTCGATCACTGCTACAGAATGAAACGGACACATGCTGACTAGGGTATGCAGACTGGAATCACCGCACTATTTTGCATCACTTCGTACGGACTTGTGTTCTTGATGATGAAGCTGAGGAGTAAGAAGACGAAGAGTGCGAGGTCGGAGTGATTTATTGATCTATTTTGTCTTATGTGGAAGCGATTGGACGTAGATTTACGTATATCCGTTGGATGGGTAGATATACTATAGAGATAGACGCATAGAGGGATCAATATAATTAATGTATTTGTGGGGGAAGATTTTTCACATTGATCTTCAATCCCAAGGTCTCATTGAACAAGGCTGTTTCACATCTTTTCTAGAAAAATTCAGGATGTCATGCCCTGGCATCTCTCAAATACGGGAGAGTAGCTCATTCATCTCTGAGCTGCAGTCTCTTTTTTTTTTTTTTTTTTTTTTTTTTTTTTTTGACCAACTTCTACAGAGAAAGGTCAATAATATATATTTACAATCCATGAATAGTATTAGGCCGTCTCCCACTCACATCAGTCCCGCGGTTTAACTTGAATTAATCATAGACATGTATCTACCGACCCATACCAGTCAATATGCCGAACGCATTGGACCTTTGCCAAGAGTATCGCTTACGCTGATCAGCATGCGGGGGAATCTCAAGACATAGGAAATCCGGGGAACAAACAAGTTAACGAGCCAAGACTTTTCTTTTCTCCTTTCTCTTTTCTCTTTTCTATTCCAAACTCTTTCAATTTACCACCATTCACAACTGCCTTTGACAGTATCATCCGACATTCCTTCCCACTACTGGACTTCGGACGACGAACTCGGTAATAGCTCTTTCAGCCCTTCCGCCTCTCATTACTCGGTTTTTGCCTTTGTCGTTTTCACCTAGAATGCAGCTGACTCTGTCCAGTTCCTCCCCACACAAGCTTATTGGTTTCAACACCAGACATACTTTGATTACTCATAGTGGGCACGCTCTTTATTCCCGATGCTGGCGAATTGAATGGCTCGCAGCAGCTTCCTATCCGACGGACAGCGTCTTGGCAACTTGGCTCACAACGAGCTTTGACGCTGGAGAATCCGCGATAGGCCAAGTTGAACATCAGCATTCAATGTCCCGCTAACAGCCAAGAGCGCCATGAAACTTTGAAGGCTCTGCCAGAAGGATTGAGCTACCACTCTTTGAACTCTCTCCCCAATATGCCGCGGCTCGTCTAACCCCCCCCCCCCCCCCGCCCCCGGGATGGGCGAACGCATTCGCTGGCCCTGCATCTCGGCAATTCCATGGGCGTCTTAGCACTACATCCTTTATCCTGAGAAGGACCTTTCTTTCCGGTTCAACTACCGCGCATCTAAGCAAAGTCTTAGAAGCCGACCAGACAATATGCCGCGTTCCGAAGGGATAACCGTGTTGGCCTGAATTCCCAGGCTCCCAGGTACCCACTGCCCAAGACCCTGGCGGCCAAAATCTGCTCAACCCCAGATTCTGCACGCATGCATGCTTCCGCGCCTCGTTGCCGCACTATCATTCGGCAAATCCGATCAGTTTATAGTATCCGATACGGATTACTGCATTAATATCCCTTTGGCGTATAAATTATCCCCGCATCTCCACCTCCTGCATGGCTACCTTTGGAGGATAGGAAGCTCGGGGCGCGCTGGAAGATCATCATTTGTGTCTAGTTCCGGATTCTTCCCGGGTCCTTCGTCTCTCTGAGTGATAAGGTGAAGCCCAACATGACAGCCGACAAGGGCGCTTTGCAGGGGATGGCGGATGAGAAGGCCGAGATCACTGAGCGGAACAAGGCCACGGATGTGGCTGAACACGGCCAAGCAGCAACCGACCAGTATGGCCGCGTCCTCATTGAATTCGACCGCGCTGCGGAACGTCGGCTGCGACTAAAGATTGATCTTTATATTATCCCGACCGTGGCATTGCTCTATCTTTTCTGTTTCATTGACCGTGCTAATATCGGTATGTTATTTTAACTGGGGACATGCGACGTAAATCCACGTCATATAATCTACTACTGGTGTAATCGGCCGCTGACCATGACTGCGTAATAGGCAATGCCAAACTCGCCGGGTTCGAGAAAGACCTGGGCCTGACGGGGTATGATTACAATACCGTCTTATCTATCTTCTATATATCATACATCATCTTCGAGATTCCGTGCAATATTGCGTGTAAGTGGTTGGGGCCAGGCTGGTTTATTCCGGGGACCACTTTGGCTTTCGGAATTTGCTCCCTTGGCACGGCCTTTGTTCATAATATCCAGGCGGCATCGGGGGTTCGGTTCCTACTGGGAGTGTTCGAGGCAGGAATGTTACCAGGGATCGCCTATTATATGTCGCGCTGGTATCGGCGCAGTGAGCTTGCCTTCCGCCTAGCCCTTTACATCGTCATGGCACCACTCGCCGGTGCATTTGGTGGCCTATTGGCGTCCGCAATACTGAGTCTAGACCACTTCGGCAGCCTGCGTACCTGGCGCATGATCTTCGCGATTGAAGGGATCATTACGATCGGCTTGGGCCTAGTAGCCTTCCTTACGCTAACTGATCGGCCTGAGACGGCGCGCTGGTTGACCCCGGAAGAGAAGGACCTTGCCATCGCCCGATTGAAGGCAGAGCGCGTCTCGACCACGGAGGTGTTGGACAAGATGGATCGCACCAAAATGCTGCGGGGCATCTTCAATCCCGTAACACTATCGACGTCGTTTATCTTTTTGCTCAATAACATTACCGTACAGGGGCTGGCATTCTTTGCCCCGACTATTGTCCGGACCATCTACCCGGACGCCAGCGTCGTGTCACAGCAATTGCACACTGTGCCTCCCTATGTCGTCGGGGCATTCTTCACCGTTTTGTTCCCCTTCCTCAGTTGGCGTTGGGACAACCGCATGTTATTCTTCGTCATTACACCGCCACTCATGGTCACGGGTTATATCATGTTTTTGGCGAGCACCTCAGCTATGGTGCGTTATGGTGCCACCTTCCTCATCGCCTGCGGGGCGTTCGCGTTCGGTGCCCTGTGCAACGCTCATGTCTCGAATAATGTGGTGTCGGATACGGCGCGGTCATCGGCGATTGGGACGAACGTCATGTTTGGTAACCTGGGCGGGTTGATCTCGACGTGGTCATTTTTACCGTTTGATGCGCCGAATTATCATATCGGGAACGGTCTCAACCTGGCAACGGGATCGTTGATCATAATACTCGGGGTTAGCCTTTGGCTGTGGATGAAGTGGGACAATAAAAGGCGGGAGAAGGTAGACATTGACCAAGCACTGCGCGGCATGACACAGAGACAGATTCAGAATCTAGACTGGCGCAATCCGGCCTTTCGCTGGCGCGCGTAGCGCTACGGGTAAAGGGGGGGGGAGAAGGTTGGCCTTTTGCTATTTTGCCAGTGTCCAATATGCAAGACGGATACCATTTATGTATGGGGTGCATGCATACAAAAACAAGGTCGAGTCAGGCGAGAGATGCATGGCGTGTACTTTTGTTTACTAGTCATACCGCTGTAGCTGAAACCTAACAAAGAAATATAATCAATTTTAATTGGGATGCAGAGTCTTATCCGAAAAAGACACGGGGAAACTTGTACACAAGAGCTTCCCGAGTAGAGGCAGCTCAATGCAACGTCGGCAGCCAAATAGCTGACATTTAGCCGTGCCGAGCTCGTTGCTGGGTGAGGAGAATATTCAAGGATAATCAGATTGAGACTACCTACTACTAGGCACGCCACAAGTCACAGTCTCGCCCGAACCCTACTCTTGCTAACGAACGACGAAGAATTCCTTTCGCTAGAATTTTCACCCCCTCTCGCGCTATCTTCTTCGTCTCTTATCAGGTACCCGGCTTTAACTTGTGTCTTCGGATCTCACAGATCCGGCGCTTCTGTGGAGGGGGGAATTAGAAGCTCTCTTGACTAATTCGCCTCTTCGGAGGGGGGGGCTGGCTTTGGGCCGTATTCGGCCGGTGTTATTGCAGTCGAGACAACTAGCGTTGCGGCGACGAAAAGCACGACTGGATAGACCGAGGGAAAACTAGCAAGGACTACGAATCCTTCGTGGGGGATGGACCTGGGGGCGAATCCCCTTCAATAGGTACATAGAATTGGACTAGTTGAGCTCCAGTGGTGAGACTTCAACTTTTTCCCTTATTAATCCAGAGTGGGGAGGGGTTAGTAATTTTTTCCCAATTATTTGCCAGATATGTAACCATGTGTTGAATTAGCTTCTAGGTTAGGGTTTTCATTCCCCAGAAACAGCCAAAGAAATCTTGGCCACCAGATGTGGATCACATATGGAGTCCGTGCTGTAGAGCCATACAAACTGTTCGTTTGAAAGCCCTCATCACCACTCACGGTCTTTCCAGCATCTCCACCTCTCCACCCCCCTTACGCTACCGTCCCGCATATCCTCGTGACTCCAGTTTCCCTCCATTTCCCCAGGTCCGCCAAGCGGTCCCGACGGAGGATTTTCTCGTGTTTTGGCTTCGGGTGACACCAGATGCCCTTCGGACGTTGACCGAAATGGTCCCATCCTGACGGTTTTACCGACAAGAATGCTCCTTGGAATAGGCTTGACAGGAACCCAATCCGATGCCGGGGAAGAGACCTATTCCTTCGGCCTCAACAATCAGCCGCGTGCGATGTCTAGTCCATACCGGCGTAGGATATAAGCAGGGTGTCGTAACTAGTGTAGTTTTGGCGATGATACATCACGCGGGCCACACGGGATGTCGATTCTTTTTTATCTATGGAGTATGATGTCTTCTGAGCAAGGCCCAAGGTCATACAATGACAACAAGGCTGAGAGTGAGTTTCCAGTTAAGAGCTGATAAGCACTCAACGTCGCGAGATTTCGGAACCTGGCCGGCGACAATCCATACCAAGGCCAGCGCCCTACATGCTCCCCCGGCTCAAGCACCCTTGGCGACAGCCAGCTCTTGGCCAATTCAGGTCCACCGCAGACACTTTCCTAATAGAGTGAAACGAGAACTGTAGGCTGTTGGATCTAGCTTTAGGGGATGGTAGAGTGGGTGAATTTTGGCTTTCTAGTAATGATGCTCCCCACGCTCAACGATATCCCCCGCATCGCTGCGTGCCACCAGCCCGACCGTCGTCTGGGGTATATAAACTGTTCAGCCGGTCTCGATCAATGTGTTTTGTGTCACCATTGCCTTGTACCCCTCTTTGTCTTCCTTCTGCCCCCTTACATTCTTGGTACCCTTGCTCGACTTTTTCAATCGCCTAACAGGCGTCAAAGTCCCCCGCAAATCTCCCCTCTAGCACAATGGCGGGCGCAAAGAAACCCGTCAATATCTTTCAGCTCAAAAACCTGGGTGATCCGAAACAGGTCTACAATTGGAGACTATGGCTCGCTGTGGTCTCGTTCGGGCTCATGGGCGCCGCCCGGGGTGTCGATGAGGGTTTGATCTCCGGTGCTTTCAACTCCAAGGATTTCCAGAGGACCATCAACTATGACTCCTACAGTACTGTGGAGAAGGCCAACATCAAGGCAAATGTCTCTGCGATGGTCCAGATTGGCTCTGTCGGTGGTGCTCTCTTGTAAGAATATCGTTGAGATCGGCGCTCTCCTCTGGAGGGAAAAGAAGAAGAAAAACCAAGTACTAACTGCTCGGTCGGCAGTGCTTTCTTAGTTTGCGATCGCATCGGCCGTCTGTGGGCTACTCGTCAACTCTGTGTCCTGTGGATTATTGGCATTGCCATCTTCATGGCAGCCAATGGCAACCTGGGTGCTATCTACGCCGGCCGTTTCGTTGCTGGTCTCGGTGTCGGTCAGACCGTAGTGGTTGGACCTGTATATCTTGCAGAAATCGTGAGTGAATTACAATGGCTCTATAGGGGATCTCATTGACTGACCATGGTAGGCACCCGCATCCGTTCGTGGTCTCTGTACTTGTGTCTTCACTGGCTTTGTCTACCTGGGTATCGTTCTCGCCTACTTCACCAACTATGGTTGTCAAGTGAACATGGGAGACAACACGCACAAGCGATGGGTTAGTACCATCTATAGACAACACCAATCGCTCGATGTTCTAACCCATGCATACAGGAAGTCCCAACCAGTCTCCACGTTATCTTCGCCGGTCTCATCTTCATCCTTTCTTTTACACAGTGGGAGTCCCCTCGCTACTTGGTCAAGAAAGGAAAGCATGAGGAAGCCCTGAAGAATCTATCTCGCGTCAGAAATCTCCCCGAAGATCACGAGTACGTTATTCAAGAGTTCTCTGCCATCCGGACTTCGCACGAGGCCGAGATGGAAGCCACCATGGGATCCGGTCCGATGGGGGTGATCAAAGAGGCATTCCTGGTGCCCAGCAACCTGTACCGTTTGTACCTCGCCCTCATGGCCCAGCTCCTGTCGCAGTGGTCCGGAGCCGGTTCAATCACCCTTTACGCTCCCGACCTGTTCGAATTGCTCGGCATCACTGGATCCAACGAGACGCTCCTGGTCACTGGTATCTTTGGTATCATCAAATTGGTCGCGGCCATCATTTGCGCCCTGTTCTTAGTCGATGTCATCGGCCGGAAGCGCTCTCTGCTGATCGGTATCACTTTCCAGGCCATCTCGATGGTCTATGTCGCCGGTTTTCTCACGAGCGTCCCGGAGATGGGAGTTGTGGACGGCTTCGAGCTGCCGGCAAACAAGCTGGGTGCCAGTCGCGGTGCGATCGCTATGATCTACATCTCCGGGTTCGGCTGGGCCCTCGGTTGGAATTCGATGCAGTATCTTCTCACAGCGGAGCTGTTCCCGCTGCGGATCCGTGCCCTCGCCACGTCCCTGGCGATGTGCCTGCACTTTGTCAACCAGTACGGAAACTCCCGTGCGGTGCCCAACATGCTGCTGGGTCCTGACCATGGCGGCATCGGCCCCAAGGGCACGTTTTGGTTCTTCGCCGCGGTGACCATCATCGGCTGGTTCTGGGTGCTGGTAACCGTCCCCGAAACCGCGGGTCGCAGTCTGGAGACAATTGACAGGCTGTTCGAGCTGCCCTGGTACAAGATCGGTCTATATGGTGCTCGGGATGCTGAGCAGCGCGACATGGTGATCTCGGACAAGGCACAGATTGCAGAGCAATCTGACCACGTGGAGAATGTGGGCACTAAGGATAACTCGACTAGGGTCTAGATGGGCACTTTTTTTGTTTTTTGATAATATTCCCCAAGCTCCTTCTCCCCTAGTTTCTTTCTATATGTATTTTCAACGAGTCAACATCCGTTGAACAGATATAATTCCTATAGTCAACGAACTTATGAAACGACCAAGATGAATATGAACAATTCATTACCATTCCGCATCAGACATTACATACGTTTAATCGTAACCGAATAAGTACCCATAATCCAATCCTCTACAACATTCCCCCCCCCCCTTATCCTGACTTCCCCGGCAAAGGTATAATCACTATCCTCGCCTTCCTCGCCTCATTGTCTCTCTTCCGCTCCCCCTTGGCATCCCTCCCCTTCCCATCCAACACATCCATCATCTCCATTTGCTCCACCTCCTCAAACGGCAAGTCAACCCTAATCAACACCCCCCGGGGCTCAAAGAACCCCTGGTTCCATCTCTCCACCACCCCCCTCAACTCCTCACTCCCCAGGATCATATTTTTCTCTTCCCGGCTCCGCTGCGCCCGTCGCGCAACATAGTACGCTGGTATGGCACCCACCAACCCGACCATCAGCCCGCCGATCGCCATTACGCCGAGACCCTTCCCAACCGCCGTAGTCCATTGCTTCCGGTTCATTCGGGCCGTGGTAATCACTTCAGTGGTGAACTTGTCCCAGTCCGCAGCCGTGATATCGAATTGCGAGAGTAGAGGCGGATACGTGAAGCCGGAGGTAGGAACAGCCGATCGCGTAGGGACTTGAAGACCACGAGTGAGGAGGCTCTCGCTTTTGAGGTTCTGAGGAGCAGGAAACGTTTCTTCCAAGGTGGAAGTGTCACTCGGGGTGTAGGGTGGTGGTGGTGAGGTGTTATGCTCCATCTTTGTAATATCTGTTTTCATCAATTGATTGATTCGCGAATGGGATATATTGATTGCGTATTAAATTTTTGATATGGCCGCTCTGACAGCGTATTGTATGTAGTCCACCGCAGTAGAATGAGTAAAAATAGATAGATGATGCTAAAGCTCTACTCGAATAAACAAATCGCTCACCAAACCAATTTATACTTATTTCTTTCCCAATGAATCACCAGAATGACGTCGCACCCAGGCATCCATGAATCATCAGAATAGCACTATATCAATCCAATATCACCCTAGTCATCGTCTTGGCACTCCATTTTCTCTACCCGAAAATGGCAACCATGAAGCTTCGTAATTACTTGTCCGAGGCTCAGCCGCCCTGACACCCCTGTTCGGTCCGTTCTAGATCGCCTATGACCTCATAAAGGATCGTTTAGACTGTGCTTCTAATTGGTAGTCTTAATAGAGCGTTATTTCTCGTGAGTCAGGGATCTGCGATTTTCGTTATCTTTATTGATCGGGGACGGTATGGGGCTATGTCATGGATGACTCAGGCTGCAATGATAACGTATCGTTTTTGCCTGGAAGGCTTCAGTTTTTTTTTTTTGTTGATTGGGTCTGGACCCTTTGTTCGTGCTGGTGGGGTTGTGATTGGTGGTTTTGTCGTGACCGAGAGAGAATACGATATTGTGGTTTTTGGTTACATTGTTGTACGAGGGTTTGTTTAGTACATAGTACTAAATAGTGGAGAGAGTCTCTCTTTCGTTACTTTTCTCTCTCTCTCTTTTTTTTTTTTTTTTTTTTTTTTTCTTCTCTTTCTACTGGATAGGACGGTGCATGTGCTGAGGTATTAAGCGGTAAAACTAATCCAATCGGCTCGATATTTTACATATATTGTGTTACATTTCTTTTTTGGCTTTGTTTCTGGGGCAGTCAACTGAGTCAGTCACGCTTCCGATGTACCTCGCACCTCATCAGGGTAGGACAGATCTCCCCGAGAAAGTGCGGAGTGGGCACGAGAGTATTATAAATACCCGACATCCATTTCCGTTTTCTTCGATTCTATCAATCTTGGTTTTCCCTGGGGACACCTCAGCCCTGCTTTGTCGTTGGAGAAGTCTATTTGAATCCATAACCGACTTCCAGACTTCTGTCTACCGATGGTTCTAACCAGATTCAATTGGACACTCCCTGACCGGCAAGGATGTTATTCAGATTCAGATTCGAAATATAACGGCTGGAGGTCCTCAACGGGCAATGCCGACCGACGCGTGGTCTTCGTCCCTAAATAAAGCACAGCATAGCTATCCCAGCCGGACTGTAGTCTTCTGGGACATTGAGACGAAATCATGGAGTTTCAGATGCTACTGGGTTTGCCCCGTGGCTGGGTCCTCGCCTGTCTGTCTCGCCGCAAGGCGCCGAAAATCGTAGTCCAGGTTAAGGATCCAATAGGGGAACCTTAGCTTTCGTTTACGACGACCACTTCCGGGGGAACTCATCTTCTCACCTGGTGGACGCCTTTCGTATTTCAATGCAAGGGCTTTTTTTCAACCAGGATGGTAGGTCTTTTGAGATCACAGGGACGGGTATCATCCAATATGTAAGACATAGGAGCCAGCAGGTGGAATGTCGCCATATCCAGCCGGACCTCCAAGTAAAACCTATAATCTTCCGGGAAATGGACCATACCCCGGAACTCCACATGTAGCGCGGATTTATGACCCAGATACGTCAGAAAGCGTCAGAATTGCGATTTGATTGAAACGGACCATCGCATCCTTTGCTTTCCCTTCCAATGCGGGGTACTACATATTTTATATTTTAATCAAGGGGGACGGTGTATCTTTTGAAGTTCACGGTGGCATTGACTGATGGAAATCATCAGCGCGCAGCAAGGGTCCATTTCGGCCGAATGACACATACCAACCTGTGTCTTATGCCATAGTCAGTCGGATTCTGTACGTATTAGTACTTGCCCATATTGTCCCTGAGTAATGGGTCATGGAAAAGGTCCTATAGGTCAATTTCCGGTACACCGACAAGAGATGCATTGAAAACCGCAGGGAGACGTGGCTTCACAGGCTGTGATGGAGAATGAAGGGATGAAAGAGCAGATGAATCTGATTTGACAGATCTTATCTCCGTGTCACGATGTGAGCTTGGCACAGGACTCAACTATAAATACCGGAGCTAAACCAGATGTGGGGTAGGCCAAACATCTACCTTTTGGGGTACTCTTCTCCTCCCGTCTTCCTTCCCTCATCCTCAACATCCCCCCCATTCGCTCTCTGCAATTGAGAAGACACCTTATTCAAAATGACTACTCGCTACCGCGTTGAATGTAAGTCTCAGGATTGACCTCGTTTTGGACCTCCAGCTAATCAACCCTACTGATGCGCTCAAGGTATGACGCAAACTGGCTCGGCGCTCCATGATGCTAACTCGACCAGTCGCATCGCCGAGACCAGTTGATTGAATGGATCAAGGGCCTTCTGGCTGTTCCATTCGTGCTGCATTCACAGCCTACCGCTGTCTACCAGGAACATAGCGAGAGTCTGACCGCCGTCGCAAATGATACCCACCAACGTTATGCGGAGATCTTTCGGGATGTTGAGAATCTCATGCGCGATCACAGTACATCTTCTTCCTTTGCAACGGCTCAATTGACCGATACTGACTCATGACAATGCAGTCCAGCACCAAGCAACCAAAGCCCCTGGTAAATCTAAACTCAATCATTTGGTTCCAACCGTAGGCTCTTTCTTCACGCCCCTCCCCCTCGAAGACGCCTTCAAATACCAAGACAGTCAGCGCTTCATCAGCCGGCGTCGCTTTGTTGCCCCCTCCTTCAACGACATCCGCCTCATCCTCAACTCAGCCCAGCTCCTCGGTCTCTTCCGTACCTCCGGCCTCGATCTTATCACCTTTGACGGAGACGTCACCCTCTACGATGACGGCGCCTGCCTCACCGACGATAACCCCGTGATCCCCCGCCTCATCCACCTCCTCCAGCAAGGGCGCAAAATCGGCATTGTCACTGCTGCAGGGTACACCGAGGCATCCAAGTACTACGAGCGTCTGAAGGGTCTCCTCGATGCCATCCACAGCTCGGACCTCCTCACTCCGGCCGACCGCGACGGCCTCGTAGTCATGGGCGGTGAAAGCAACTTCCTTTTCCGCTACGACCACACCTCTCCGCATAAACTCACCTACGTCCCCCGCGAACAATGGTTACTCGATGAGATGCACGCCTGGCAAGATTCAGACATCACCCAACTTCTAGACATCGCCGAATCCTCGCTGCGTGCGTGCGCCACAAATCTGAACCTCCCCGTCGCAGTTCTACGAAAAGATCGTGCCGTCGGAGTGTATCCCCTAGATCGCAAGAAGGTCACCCGTGAGCAGTGGGAAGAAACGGTCCTGGTCGTTCAAAATACCGTCGAGAGATCGGTCGTTGGGACTAAATTGCCCTTCTGTGCCTTCAATGGTATTTCCCCGCCTATTCCAACCCCAACGCAGACCATTACCTATCCAGCCGCGTTTCAGACCCTACTAACACATAATCAACGAAAAAGGTGGAAACGACGTCTTCGTCGACATCGGCGACAAATCCTGGGGTGTACGCGCCTGCCAACAATATTTCGGCGGCATCGACCGAACCCGCACACTCCATATCGGAGATCAGTTCCTGTCTGCCGGCGCCAATGATTTCAAGGTTCGTTATCGCCACCTGTCCCATCGATATCTCCTCTCATAAGGATCAATTATATCAGTGGTTCTAATAATTGTTCAGGCACGGCTAGCTTCGACAACGGCGTGGATCGCTAGCCCGGCAGAAACTGTACAGCTCTTGGATGAGCTGGCCTTCGTTGAGAAGGGATTTGATTAATGTTTCGGAGTATTTTTATACTCCCATCCTTGTTTTTTTTTTTCCTTCGGCTCTTGTCAGCGGACTAGTTGTTATCTCTTCTAATTTCGGGTTTATTGAGCGAGCGTCGATTTCTCTAGGAAATGTCTTGCATTGTGTGTTGAATATGCATTACATGAGATACGTGCTATGGGCAGGGGTACGAGGTTCATTCTTGACTACGGGTACAACGACTGATATAAATAAGGGAGATCATAATTTTCATTCAATAATTCCTGTCATGATACATACGTAGCAGCCATCACTGCATCTTGAAACTCATTCCGTTCTTTCCAGGTCGAACGTGTAAAGAGATGAAGAGACCTATCTTTCCGAACCGCAGCGGATTTCTACCCACCAAACTCATTAACGCCCATCACAGTGCAAGTGGTTGTTGTTCTTGTCACAACGCTTAACAATTCTCATAGCAGGACCAGCTTGTCTTGCCAGCGCTGAAGCTAGCACGTCCGGATAAAATGTTGACTGTGTCCTGCAACCCGAGCCAGTATTCGGTCTTGGGGCGACGGCGGGCCCAGTCGGTTTCGGTCGCCTCCAGGCCGGTGGCGCCGCCCATGGGCGAGAAGAGAACCTGGGATCCCTTGATGCCGATGACGGACGCAGAAAGCTCGTCGGCGGCGATCTCATCGGGGGTTTTGTCGGCGTAGCCCTCGATGTGCTGCATGCATCTGATCGCCATGCGCAGGGCACGGATCCGATCCATCGGAGAGGGCTTGCCACCCTGCTGGAAGTGACCGGGGACCGCGGCGCGGGACTCGAAGCGGCCCTTGGCTTCCTCCTTGATCATATCCGCGATCACTTGTGTGGTGTAGGTGCTGGAGGCGGTCTCGTTGCGGAGGATGATCTTTCCAGCACGGTTGGCACCCTTGTCGTGGGCGAAGTTGTTGCGCAGGAAGTCGATATCGCGTGACAACATCTTGATATCAATGCCTTCCTCGGGAATGTAAACGGCTGAGGCGCCCACCGAGAGACCAGCTGTCGTGGCGATGTAACCGGACTTACCACCCTGGGTTTCAACGACGAAGACACGGCGGCGGGAGGACGATGCGGACTGTCGGATAGCATCGCAGAACTCGATGAGGGTGTTCAGGCAAGTGTCGCTACCGAGAGAGTATTCGGTACCCGGCACGTTGTTGGAGATGGTAGCCGGCAAGACGACCATGGGAATCTTGAAGGCAGGGTATTTTTCGCGGGCCTGGCGCAGCTGACTAACGGCTGTGAAAGCCTCGAAACCACCAACCACAAACAGTCCGTCGAACTTGTACTTCTCAAAGCACTTGGCAGTAGTCTCGTAGTCCTCCGACGGCAGACTTCGGTTTGTTCCGATATCCGAACCACCCTCGTTGACCCAGGTATCCTGCTCTTCCCAAGAAACCTCGCGCACAGAGCTAACCGGGGTGTCTGCATGGTGCCGGCAGAGGCCGGGGAAACCGTTGTGAACGGCAAGGGCAGTGTGTCCACGAGTCTGGCAGTAGGCGACGGCCGCGCGGGTGGCCTGGTTCATACCTCCGGCAGGGGCACCAACATGGATGATGGCAATGCGCTTGCGCTTCAGGGTGTTAACGCTGTTCTTTTAAAGAGTCCTCGAGTGCGACATACCTTGTTTTCTGGAAGGATCAGCTTGGGGTGGTCGGGAGTGGCAGTGTTCTTGTAGGCGAAATGATACTCTTTGAACTCCGAGTCACGCAGGTGCATAGCCTCATCGAACTTCCGCTCATGAATGAGATCGGCAACTTCCTTAGTGGCCTTGACGGCATCCATTAACGGGGTACGCAGCAACTTGTTCTCGCGGACGGTGATGACCGGAGATGGGGAGTTCGGCTTCATATCCAAAACAGCGCGAACAGCCTCCACACCCTGCAAAGTCGAGAGGGTACGGTCATAGGCACATGCTGCTCCTCCACGTTGGGTATGACCCAGAACAGTCACCCTCGTGTCCAGACCCAGTCGGTTGGTCAGTATGTCCTTGATCTTGCTGCTCGACACCTTGTTGAGTTGCCGGTCGTGAGCACCCTCGGCCACTATGACAATCGTCCTTCGCTTGCCTCGTTCTTCGCGGTTCTATTGGACAGGGAATTAGCATATGGCTGATCCAATGGTTCCGCGGTCATTTACCTTGGTGATGATAGAACACATGTCATCTTCCCAGCCTTCTCGGGGAGGCATCTCGGGGATGAAGAGCCAGTCTGCGCCAGTGCTAATAGCTGACATCAAGGCCAACCAACCGCAGTGACGTCCCATGACTTCAATGACGAAGCCTCTCTGGTGGGAATAGGCAGTATCGAAAACATCGTCGACCGCATCGCAGATACGAGTGAGGGAAGAATAGCAGCCGATGGTAGCGTCTGTGCCGGACATATCGTTATCGATAGAACCCACCAGGCCCACAATGTTCAACACCTTGTACGGGACGATCTGTTCCTCGGTCAATTCGCCCGTCTTGACCAGCTCCTCCAGCAAACCAGGCCATTCGGAACGGAAAAGGTCGGCACCAGTCAAACTTCCATCACCGCCGCAAACCACAAGGGCATCAATACCCCGAATAACCATGTTCTTCGCGGCCTTCAGACGACCGGCGCGTTCCCGGAAAGCCATGCTACGAGCGGAACCAATCAGGGTACCACCACGGGAGAGCCAGCCACGGACATCTTCCCAATGTACCTGACGGATCATATCGCCTCCATGGACCAAACCCTCGTAACCTTCGTAGACGGCGTAGGCCTCGCACTGGGAGTAGATAGCCATACGGACAACGGCCCGGACGGCACCGTTCATGCCGGGAGCATCACCACCGGAGGTCAAGACACCGATGCGGCGGCGCTTGGGGGGCTCCGCGGGGGCGTGTGTCGTAGCCATCATGCAGATGACAATTCCCTAGAAAAACTATAGGTAAAACAGTTAAGGGTCAATGATTGAAGTGATAAACAAAGGGGTTCCGAATGGATAGCGGAATAGTTGAGGTTTAGATAACTTGTGTGACGGTGGGGGGAGAAGAATTCCGGTGAGAAAAAGCGGGAGTGGGCAAGTAGTACGTCACTGAACCTGGGAACTTGATAAGGAAGTGAAACTAACCTTCTACTTATAGTTGGATCCAGATGTTTATTATATGACTAAGGAGAAGGATATTCCCATATAAGTTAAACTGCCGACAATGAACCTCCAGGGTTGATCTTCCGGTGTGATCCGTCGAATGTCAGCAATTGCTCAGTTGTTCTGCAGTTCAACAAGAAAGTCCGAAGCTGATGAAGAACCATCATCACTGATGTCACTGACATTGCCTGTTCGGGTTAGGCTCCCCTTTGTATCACGTGATAACCCCTCTAGGGCAGGGTTACAATGGGCACGTGTGGCTACAGGATGGTTCTCTGCGGTGGGGACTGAAGCAGAGTATCTATCACCTTGACCTTCTACAACCTGTGGTTGGCTATGCTCCTCTCCTCTTTTTCCTCAATGATTTCAAACCCGACCATCCGCTCTCCATGGCCCCAGTTTTTATGATATCAGGCCACAGGGATCAGGACATCTTGTCTTGCCATATGGCTCGGCAGGGGTCTCACCCAAACCAGATAGTCGAAATTCCAATAGAGTTTTGTCCCTATACATGCTAGAACAACTGTCAATCATACGTAACATTCCATCCCGTTCCCAAATGATTGGGTATTGAGGCAAACTTCTTGACCGGTGTGAAATTAAGGCCGTGTCTCATAGTAGCTGTTCTATATATCGGTCAGGAGCTCCACTTCGTCACTACCCATTTGGGTCACCAGAAAGAACTTGAGATGAACAATGTACATACGCGTCGTACCACTCATGAAAACAAAGTATGTATAGGGTTAAACTCAACAGAAAAAAAGGATGTCTAGAAACCTATTTGACAATGTTGGTTCTGAAGTAATCCCTTTCGTAAAATATACAAGTGCTGTCGAGATGACAAAGCCTAGGCAAACGATATAGTTATATATTCCTCTGTAATATAACAAGGACTAATAGAGTATGCTTTTAGCGCAAGACAACGATATATATCACTTAATATTAGAATTGACTAATTAATCTCAGTGATCACTCCCAATCTCTAAATTATTGTGACTTATCTATTGTTTTTCTGACGGCCACGAAGAAGCGTGATTATAGTTGAAAGATTGGCGGTCACGTGCTGGACACTCACCGCGTTCCCTCCGCTCAATCAAATCAATATCCCGATCAGCTTCCCAAAGCCAATTTTGTATCGTCTCCTGATCCAAGCTCTGCTGTAGCAGAGTGAGCACCGGCGTCATGTCCGATTCATTTAGCCTTCCTCTTCGTCCCCTGACCGAGAAGCCCGAACGCCCAGATCCGCTCCCCGTAGAGATTGCTCAGATCAATGCTCAGTATGGTTCCTTTCGCGAGGTTACGGAGGATAGCCTGCGGGCCAAGATCGAAGCCGACAAGAACAAAGATCCGTGGGCAGAAGAGGAGAGCGACAATGCGTCTGGCGATGAGGATACGAAGGAACGTCTAGATCAACTATATAAGCGTCGCGTGGCCATCATTGAATTCGCCAAGTAAGGCTACAAAAGTACCGACCGCCCATCTTGTGCTAATCCTTCGTAGCCAGGCCCATGCAGAAGCGTCGTTTGCCCTCGACTTTATCTCCCTTTTGCTTTCGAAGCATAATCCTCGTCAGGCCGAAATGTCCATGTCGCCATACCTGAAACAAAATGCGCCCCTCGGATCGCTAAACGCTGAAATCATCAATCCGCCTCCGAAGCCCGACTCCGCCATCAAAGACACCAAGACCGTTTCGCGTGGTTGGAGATTGCAGAACTTTAGCGCTGCGGCAAACAAACTTCTCGACTCGGCGAACAGGCTCGAAACTGAAGTCACTTCGGAGACCAGGTATTGGAATGAAGTGCTGGCGGTTAAGGAAAAGGGATGGAAGGTGTGCAGGTTGCCGAGGGAAAGACAGGCACTTGGGGTGCAGTATGGCTTTTTGGAAGGTGAGATACATGCGGATTTCTGTATTGTCTTTATACTGACTGGCGGTAGCTACGCCGATCTTCCGCGACCGCGGCCTGGCCGCTCTTCGACGGACCAACGACGGAAGCTTAATACTCGACAAGGGGTTGGTTCCACACAAGATGCGTACGGTGCGCGTACGTGTGAAGAGTCATGGTCGGGTCACAGGATGCTCGAAATCCCAACCGGTGTCGGATGAGGCCGAGTCAATTGAGAGTCGCATCCTGCAGGCGCGTGATACGCTATACGAAGAGGAACTATTCCATGAGCTGGTACGCGAAGCAAGAATACTGGGTAGTCAGGGGGTCACGACCCGCCAGAACCTAGTTCAGTTCCCGGTGTCGGAGGAGCAAGATGTCTTGCTAGATTTGGTCGACGACGATCAGGCGTCTCTAGCCGAAGATGAAGCTGTGTCCTCCAATGAGCATGACGTGGTGGCAGACGCTCTCGCCCACTCCATACGCATCCTTCTTGCCTACGCCCACCGTCAAAATCTACGCCGACGAACACAGCCCCCACCGCCCCTTAACCCAAAGCGCCGCCAAACCCCAGAATACCAAATCCTTCGACCGGTCATGGCATACCTACAGCACAGCTCACATGTTCGATGGGTAGAATCTTTGTTGAAGGACCTCCACCAAGTCCTGAAGACTGCTGGGTACGCATGTGGCTTTACAGCGATCCCATTCTCATCTCTCAGTCTCAAGCGCGCCAACAGCGCTCTCCCAAAAGTGGAATCCCTGGTTCAGGAATTTTTGCTACCTTATGAATCGATATTTTCGGGGCAACTGCTCACACCTCAAAGTTCTTTCCGAGTTAAAGTTCGCACCAACGTTGTATCACCCCCGTTGGGTACCCACTATGAGATCTCGGTCAACATTCCTCAATATCCGGACGTCCGGCCGCCGAACCGCATCGGCTTGCAGGAGGAGGCAGCCTTCGTGATAGTACACTTTGTGCTGTTGGATATCGTCACAGCCATCACTCAGGCCACGAACACTCCCATGGATGGTATCAAGCAAGAAACAGGGCGCCTGTTAACATGGGAAGCGACATATCCGCATAACGGCGAGTTACTCGCGCTCTCTAGTACGGGCGAGTGCAAGAAAATGAAAGTGCGCTTATCGCGAAGTGAGCTAACTGTGCAAGTGTACTCTGCGCGAGTGACCGATGGATTTGGTCACCTGGCTGTGGACAAAACGCCAGCCATGCGCTCGCAGACATGGAAGTCCGATGGCACTACTGGCGAGTCTAGCCTGATAGACTTTGTCACTGAAGTATCCAAAGAGGGACCGCCGACCCTAGTTTAACTGAAGGTGAAAAAGGAAAAGGAAAAAACAAACTATTAGCTGTCCTATGCGTTGGGCACAGGACAAATGGCGCGGCGCAACCGTACACTTAGAGGCTTCCAACACTTCTAATAGAGGATGATATGCTTTCGGAGACCACTCCTAGATAATCACATTAAGCTGCCAGTTCGAAAGATTTCACCGCTTAGTCCACCGTCAACAATTCTTTCAACAGTGTCTCGTGAATCCGGTATGCCGTTGGTAACCATGCGCTGACATCCTCCCCCAGCATTATCTTCGCCAACGCCTCTCCTGCCAACAAACAGTTGGCCATTCCATACCCATTGGATGCGACTGCAAGAAATACCCCCTCGCTCTGCCGCCCTGCCATCGAGGCTTTCGCGCGTCCCACCACAGGAAGGCCATCTGCAGAGAAGCCCATAATTCCACTCCATCCACCAACTAACCTCCATTGCGCCGGACGGTTGTGGCCAAGAAATGTTGGCAGTTTATCCTGTAACTGCTTAATCTAATTTTCTTCAACATGACCGTCATTTGTTGATAGACAGTGATTGACCTGGGTATCCTCTCCGCCGAAGAAGAAATATCCTGTTTTTGCGTTTTGCATAAGATAGTACAACCCGGCGGCATACCGACTCGACTGTTTGTCATAGATAACAGGATAGTGGAATCCCCATGAGAGATCCGCTCCGCGGTTGGGAAAAGCACTGCCTGCATCTTGCACTGTCATCGTTCCCTTGAAGGGGTAAACCGCACCGCGGAGCCCCGGGAGTAAATGCCCCGCAATGCCATTGGTACAATGTGCAACCTTGACTGCGCGCAGACATCCCCGGGGCGTATGCAAGACATACGGATAGGAAGGGTTCGATGCATCGAAAGCGATCGGGGTAACGGGGGAATGCATTTCGATGGAATGCATTTCGATATTCAATCGGTGACCGTTTTTCTCCAATAGAGAGGCAAAGGCCTTGGTGACAAGTCGGTAGGGCCAAATAGTCCCTGCTGGAAGCAGAGCACCTCCAGCCCCGTCGAGCTGATACTCCCTCTAGACTTAAATAGACAATGAGAAACAAATGGAACCATAGTATACCAATCTCAGCTCTCTGCCGTCAACCACCATACATACATACATACATACCTTCAATACCTCCTTCTCAACGACCGTATAAACCCCTTTCAAATCCGGTAAATCCGGTACCCAGGTAAATGGAGCTTTGCAAGCAGCCCACTAACCCACTGACGACACCCCATTCGCGAATATCTATTCCAGTGCAATGGAGGCAACAATGGCGATATCTCGTTTATTACCTATTGTGGAGGTGGTTGCAAGGATGGCGGTTCTGGCAAGAGTGATTATTGCTAAATATTTGTGGGAATACTGCTGTTCACTAGATTCAGTTCCATTGAAGGGACTCTACCGATGGGAATATGTATACCTAGTATATAAGTGGATGACCATTACTAGAAGTAGTGAGTGGAGCGGAGCCAACAGCGGCTGTGGATTAGCAGAGCAGCTTAGGGTTTTTTGTTGATTAGAATATTGTTTAAAACACTCTGCAGAGTGTATAAGTGAACTGTTTTCTATAAGTTTTCTTGGCCTTTCTATCCTAGTAAGGTTCAGGATTTATAGAAAAACAGTTCAGTTATACAGTACTGGAACCTTTGTTAAACAACTCAATATAAAAAAAAAAAAGAATTAACAAGAAAATCTACTGTAAAATAATTATAGTTATTTTAGTTCTTTAAGTCCCTTAGTATACTGTCCAGTAAGATTTTGTCCAGGCTCACTTATTGCTCTCAGTACTAATCTGATCTGTCTAGCCTAGTCCTGAAAGAGCGGGGAAAGCATAATATCATAATATTATAAATATACTGAAAACACTCACTCTACCACCTAGACACTATCCAAAATGGCTTCTACCTACCAGTAGTGGTACAATACTATCAGTTTCACCCAAGGCCAGCGGGATGCAATCTCTGCAGGCCGGCAACAATTCTATACCGCCGCCAATGACCGCAGCACGCAAATCCACCGTGCACGGATTGCAGATACAGTGATCCCTTTATGCACCACTGCTAATGCCCTGGTCGAACAGTGGCCCACGGTGATCCGAAAATCTTTAAACCGGACCACCTCCTGTCCCTCCCAACAGACCCCTGAATTTGACTCGTGGGCGCGGCCCCGGGATCTCGAGAAGCGCAAACAAGCGGTCTCTGTATGGACATCATTCCTAGCCTTTCTGACCTTTCACTGGCATGGCTATGGTTCCGATGGAGCTCTGGAGGGCCATGGGGCTTCAGTTACTATGGCCGCTCAAGGACAGCATCGATACTATCCATGACTACATGGAGTCTAAACGTTTCCAGACCGCACTTCAACATGCATGCTATCAAAGGATTCCTGATTCAGGTAATTACCGACATCCAGGCAACCCCCCAGACTAATTCCCTGGTCTGGTGGTTAGCCGTACTGATTCAGACTAAAGTGCTAGACGATCAGCCATGCTTGCAGGTAGCCTAACTACAAGATATATTGGATTTTCCACAGAAACTTGAGGCTGTTAACCATTACGCCCGCGTTTTGGTGCTGGAATATGCCTTTTCGCAATGGCTGGGCGACACATCACCTCACGGGAGCGAGCCAGGCCGAAAAAGAGCAGGTTATAGAGGCCCTGGACAATGTGTCTCTTAACTGGCTTGATCGTGATGAGGAACGCCCTCCACTTGACATCTTCAAGAAGTTTCGGGAAGCCAATTCACCTGAATAGAGATCATGCATCTGGTATATTCACTCCATTCTGATCAAGTGGTTAACTGTCTAAACGATATGGGTCCCATGTCTATTGTAGTTAAACTCTGCCATGGAGAACCTGCTCGGGTTATTCAGATAAAACAGTATCAGATAAAGGTGGAGATTCATGAAAATTATACAGTTAAATCCCTGGTGGCAGAGCGCTATCCAGCTCTAGTTACAACCAAGACCACTATCAAAAGAGCTAACCAGGCTGCTCGTGAGTATCTCCGGGAGGAGCTGGGCCCCAAACACCTTGCGCGGAAATGGGATAAGGTATATGAGACTGGTGGTAAAATCCGTATTCGAGCCATCTACAGAGACCACACCAACAATGCTGAGGCTATTGTATGGGTAAAAGAAATATTGATAGATGATGAAGAGGTTAACAGCACTGGTCTAGAGATATAAATACTGTTATGCTAGATAGAGATTATTATATAATAACCCGGTAGTTAATTATTCGAGTGACATAACCTACCAATTTACCTGATTGCTGGAACCTAGCCCTAACCTAGACCCAACCGGTGGCAGGCAGATACCCGAAACACACCCCTCTGTGTTGTCCCGGGTGAGCCACTCACCCCAGGCTCACCCCGGGCTCACTGATCACCCAGGTGAAAATCTTGATACCCGCTATCTTGCCGTATGAGATCAGAGATTGGCTCCTTATACTAGCGCTTCAAACACTGGCGCTCTTGGCAAGCAGCAAAATATTGCTGCCAGGACAAAAACCTAGCAGTTGGGCATTGGTACGCTATTGATAAATTTCCGGGACGAAGACTGACTCAATTCAGTTTAGATAAATATCTCAAGAATTGATATACCTACCTTAAGAGTCATGGAGAGATCAGATGTTCACGAAAGGCGGTGTCTATAAATAATAATGAGTTGTTCCCCTCCAACAAGGCTATTGAGAAATTCTACAGGCAGTCTGGGCATCAGGAGCGCATTGTAAGCTGATTAACGTTACGATTATTATATTTGCACGTGGTTGGGGTGCTGTCGTTGATATTGTAATTCGCCTGTTAGGGTTACCAAGCTGATGCCCAAGCTGTGATCGCCATGGAAAAATAATTTAAAAAAATTAGTAAAATTCTGATCCAAAGATCATTTAAGATTGATCCAGAAATGAGGGATAAATGGAGTATACGAAATCCGGACCGTCGTATACCCTTTGAATAACCATGACACACACGTATGAGGGTAATCCAAAATCCATTTATCTTCTCCTGGTGCTACTCTTGCTGCTCTTGGCAGTCTTGCCCTTCTTGCCAGCCGTGCCGGTCGTGCCACCAGTGCTATTCGAGCCGGTCGTGATTCTTCTTTCCGCTTTTTTCCCTTCTCGGGTGTGTTTGCTGCAGTAGTTCGAGTTGACTTTCGAGCTACTCTCCGTGAGGGTCCTACCGCACCATTTCCCGTTCCCGTCTTTGCAATACTCAAAGGTTTTTCTCAATGCACCTATGTTGCAGCCGCACTTGTATTTGTCCTGAGTATATTTCCATTTACACATTTTATATCGTATCAGACTAGGGTCTGATGCTACTAGTGTAAGCTCATACTTTCTAATTAGTAGGGTTCTGCGTACCGTGTCGCTCACTTTGTCTTTTCTGACGACGGTGTCCTTCGAGCAATAGTGCTAGAAGAATATACGATTCAAGAGCGCTGAAGCGGACAATATTCGGTGTTGGGTACAGGGCAAATGAAGGAGGCACGGTAAGAGTAGAAGATAGAACGACAGAGAGGCTACATAATATAGCTCTTCTCCGGGTCCGTTCAGCCTCGCGACGGTCAGCTGCTAGGAATCCTTCTGCCTCACCTCCAATAGTTGGTTGAGGGAGATTGATGATGCATAGCCTGGTGTCGCGTTAGCTTGGCACACATGCGTTAAACCGAGTAGGAATACAAGTCCAGTCAAAAAGACCCACGTCTACTGAGGCTGCGAACCTGTGTGATAAGGCTGCGTCTTGTAGCTTGCTTAACAGGATTTGACGGCCTCGCGCCCCTGCAAGGCATCCTCACTCAAAGCGCTTCCCAGAAATCCCCCAAACAATGTGCAGATTATGTCTCTACTGTCGCACCCTTGAACGGATGGATGAGCCTTGTCCATTGCTCCAGGGAAGGTCACAGACAACCCCTGTTAGCATTGCCGGCGCAGGCCGCCCAGTGTCAGGACTTTCACCTCAGGATGCTCAGCAAATTATTGCCCTCCAGCAGCAGCCTAGTTCGTTGTGCGCTCGGTGCTCTAACTCCAGGATCCTTAACTCATTCATGAATTTCCAACCTTGGGATGAAATCCAACGCGATGGCCAACTCTCATCTGTGACACAGTATTATAAGGATTTTGCCGAAGCCAGACTTTACCTTGGTCGCCCTAGTTCGCTTCTTCTGACGCCATCCTGCCCGTTTTGCCGCATGCTTTACTGCATTCTACCAAGATATGTCGAACTTGCCCGTTTCGACGGCGGGGGTGTGAAGTCAGCGCGGGTAAGACGAACGGGTGAACCAGACATATACTTCGAGCCATACCGTACATATCTACGAACAGTAGGTTGGGAGATGATCCCGGAAGAGTTGAGAAACCAATGCGCCATCATACTGGGGTTCACTACCAGTGTTAGGGGTACCACTCTTTTGCCGGATTACGATCCGCTCATTTCTGGCGCTTCAAAGATCAAAGACCGGTACATGACTGGGCCTGCAATTGCCTTAGAATCTCGATTTGCGGCACCCGATCGAAGGCTATTCGGTCTCAGACCACTCGAAAACACCCTCGATTGGTCCAGAGTTCGACAAGCTCTCAACTATTGTTTACAGAGGCATCGCAGCTACTGCCACATCGAGAAACCGCCGGAACTACTCACGACTCGGATGATCGACGTGGTCGAGCGAACCGTCGTTCCTTGTCCACGAGATTGCGATTATGTTGCCTTGAGCTATGTCTGGGGAGGCGTAGAGCCAGCTTGTCAAGCGCTCGAGAACAGGTGCCTTCCGCAAACAATTGAAGATGCCATTGAGGTGGCGCAAGCTTTGGGTAGACGCTACCTATGGGTATGTCCACTCTCGCACTACTCAATCCCTATTGATTGATTTTCTTAGGTTGATGCGTTGTGCATCGATCAGTCTCCCACGCTTACGCCATCACAAATGAAAGCCAAGATCAAACAGCTGGACATGATGTCGACAATCTACAGCTGTGCAACTGTTACCATTGTTGCACTGACCGGCAAGCATGCGAACGCTGGCTTACCCGGCGTATCCGTTCCACGCTTGGCTCAAGTCAAAGAGAACATCGATGGTGTCACTCTCTTTACCATCCCACAGCACTACACTCTAGAGAGAGCGGGGGCTCTATGGTCGCGCCGCGCTTGGACGATGCAAGAGGAATTGCTGTCTAGACGGTCGCTAGTTTTCACTCCAAGTCAAGTAGTATTCAACTGTCTCGTCTGTGAGGTTGAAGAAGGATTGGACGTCACTACGTTTCCCGACAAGCCTTTCGGAATCCATCCCCACGGCTTGCAGCTTCAGAAGCTGTATGCGGCTGTCCCTGTAAGGATGGCTCCCGTAGGGCCTGCCAATGACCCTCACTGATATCCGCTTTAGGTCTCGAAGGCCCCACAACCGAGTCATGATGAAGGTTCTATGAGACGCTTATCTATCTTTTGTAACCTGTTAGGAACCTACACAAGTCGCTACATGACCAATGAAAGCGATTCCCTCAACGCCTTCCGAGGGATGCTCACATTCTTACAAAGGCAGCTGTTCCCAGAAGGTTTCGTACATGGCCTTCCATTACGAAGCCACCCATCTTCCTTAGCTTGGATGCACCGGAGGGGCGTCAGCCCAAGACGCCGAGCAGAGTTCCCGAGTTGGAGCTGGACGGGATGGGAGGGGGAAGTCGCTTACCCGGAAAAATTGTTGGATACTGCTGATGGCCATTCTCCCTATACCTCAGACAACGAACTCGAATTGCACTTCCTAAGTTCCCATGAAGATGAGATCGAGATTGAGGGCTGGTTGGTTGATCTCGACGTCCGTACCGAACCGTTCAGTGAGATTTTCATTCCTGGCCAGGATGACTCGATTGGGACTGTGAAGGAAGGTTTATCAATACATAACAACACCCTGAAGACCGGGCAGTATACCTGCCTGGTCATCCAGAGACTTTACGAAAAGATGCGGGGTCCTCATGAGTGGCGGAAAGAGACTGTCTTCATGCTGGCGCTGGAACGAATAAACCAGCAGACCCGCAGACACACAGTGCTAACTGTTACCATGTTTTCTGGGCAAGGTTTTGATCAGATTAGGCGAGAGAAGCAGGTTATTCGATTATCTAATTAAAGTAATTAACTAACTAGTTAATAAATCTGCCCCAGCTGGAACGTACGGGTTACGTGCCTCCCGTCTTTCCCAATGTAGATATCCCGAATGCAAGCAAAATAGACCCAATCGAAGAGGCTACCCAATTTCCGGATGTTTGTCTTCCTATTGAATGCGACTACGTACAGGAAAGTGGTCATATCCACTGTAGCCAAGGAAGCGCGCATACACTGCCACTGCCACACCCACCAACGCATCTCTGCTGGGGGCCTGTTTGTGGGGACTGTAGAGTTTCTATGAGTAGCAGCGCAGACCATTTATCAGTTTGAGAACTTCTCCGTATTTGAACACAGAAAATAAAACAGTCTGAGTCTTCTCGTACGGAAGGGTCTCATCTGCCCTCAGGATTTCACAGCTCCTTTCAAGTAACTCTCTAATGTAAACTTCGAAGGTCTTTCACTCACTGTTCTCTATTCAGGAATTCAACAATAAGTAATGGAGTCGTTCGAGAGCGCCCTGGGCCACGTCTCAGAGGTTCGAGTACCAGTAGGCACTCCTACACTTGGATCCGATCGTGGCCTCTCAACTAAGATATGGTCAAGCTCTGTAATAGTATCTTTGACACTTTCGGCTTTCTCCTCAAGACCTGCCTTGTCCCTAATATCCCAAATTACTCTCTGGAAGACATTAAAGTAATCTTAGATCATTGTGACTGTTATAATAGACTTATCCTCTGTGTTCATCTCTGGTACAGGCAGACCTGAGCAGATCGTACTGTTCGCAGCCCGCTGGGTTCCTGAGATGTTCTCTCTCTGAGCATTTCCTAGATAATGGTCAGCGACTACAATGGGCAGATTCCCCCCCCCCCCCCCCCAAGTCAGTCACTGGCCAGAGAAGAAAGACTGCTAAATACTCATCAGTTATCCCTTTCCCAGTTCTACACGAGACTAGCTTTTTGTTCTTATTCATGTCCTTTTTGCTTTATCTATACTAGAATAGCAAAATCTTAATAACAATGGACGTAAGTGTTGTTAATACCTTCAGCGGGATCATCAGACAAACACAGGTTGGCTATAGTTTTACAGTGCCCGAAGTCATTCTCGCCTTTATTTTGCTGTAATTCTCATACTTCCGGCACATTAAGTCTTTTTAAATGCGCTGAATTACATGGGTTTGTAGATACCGACTATTCTGGTCTGCTCCTGGTGTTACAATCATTTTCTGTACCCACTACACAACTACTCAGGGCCCAATCTATAAGCAGCTTCAGGAGTACACTATACTCAAAACTTCTAACGAGGTCAGGTACACATAAAGGTGCTAGAGCTTCACAAGCGCTATGGTCCTGTCATTTATGTCGAACCTAATAAGCTACTTTACCATCACGCCGAGGCCGTAAGCCACATCTAGAGCCGTCGCCGACCCCAGGACAGTCGGCCACAGTCAGCCCGCCTTGATTAACGCTTTGGATCAAAATAACATCTTGTGTGGACCGCCAGACAAGCACATACGCCACCAGCGCGCCCTTCTTCCCGGATTCTCCAAGCAGGCTAAGTTGGATCGAGGAGGTATTATCCAAAGGTATGCCGGCATATTACTCGCCAGGTTGCAGGAGCATTCGAAGCCCGTTCAGCCCGTCAACATTACGACATGAATCCACAGGGCCCAAGGTGACATGGTGAGTGAGTTGAACTATGGTGAAAATCTCGGATGTTTGCAATCAGATTCCAAGTCTGGTCTACTTGCTGCACTTTTGGATTGGGACGTGTTGGCAGTATATGGTGTTGCCATATTGTCATTTCTCCTGATAAAGCTACTCTCCTTCATGGTCTCTTTGAAACCCTCCAAGTTGGGAGAGTGGTATGCTCTCCGAGTTGACCACTCTGTCTAGAGCATGAACCCGCGAGCGCATGGGTTCAGCCCCAACTGAGTACACTGACTTTGAACTAACTATGGAATTGTCTCACAGGCAACACCGATACCTTACTATTTGTTGGAAAAGCATTTCCCGCTTGGAGTAGATCAACATTCTTATTCCTCACATAGCTAGATAACTGAATCCTAGGAACCCAAGGAAGGTCAGGTCGTTCCACTGTCGCTGGTATCTGTTCTTTGGCTGAGGCTACTGTCAAAGGCCCAATACACGCATGTGGTCCTAGCATCCATCATAAATTGATCTTCTGTTGTTCCAGTGGGGCTGAGGGCGGCCAATTGGTCTTTTCTTTGCTAGTCACCCTCACGGCATCCATTGGTAAATGGCAATCCAGATTCCGCACGAGTGTGATGATCCTATATACCTTGATAATATGTATGAATTATATCTAAAGTGGCAATCTAACGAAACATCAAACGTAGAGAAGGAAAGAGAAAGAAAGGAAGGATTCTATCATACAGGAACTGTGGGATATCAGTTGTTGTGGGATCCGATTAACAGTGAATAAAGCAGTCATGGTGCCTCAGGCAGACTTCGACCTAAGGCTCTGACAACGAGCCTATCGAGTAAGCTTGGCAGTGGCAGGCCGCTCCTTACTAGTCTTCAGCCTAATGGATTCGTTGACATAATAAGCACCATGCATAAGTGTAGGCAGACTTGCAGCAAGGCGGCTGTGCCCTCTGTCAAGGGTATCTACTATTCAGGGTAGAAGACCTGTCAACTAGGTAAGGATACGTAGGCTAGAAGGGAGAGAAAGATCAAAGGCAGGCAGTAGATACTATTCCGACAGGAGACTGATTCTTGATCTCCTACTACTACTAACAATTCGCTAATTTATAGCTGAAGACTCTGTACGTAAAGGGTTCAGATTTCCCGTTGAAAACCAAACCGTTGATGGCCTGATGTTCCTCATCGGTGGCCGATTGTCCATGCACCTGGGGCAGGGTATCCTGTACGGCCATCAGACCGAATCGTTATTCAATCTGGGACAAATATACTTCAGTATCAATATATTATAGATATATTTAATAAATAGATAAGTAAGTATTTATATATCAGAAAGAAAATAAAATATTTATAATATATATTTTAAATATTACTTTTAATACTCTTAGAGATAACTCTACTGATTTTTCTCTCTTATTCAGTAATAAAGCAGGATAAATTATAGTCTATACTATATTAAAAAAATATTTTCTCTTTATATAGACAGATAAAACTCTTAGAAAAGAGTTTCAAGATCTGACTGAAAGAATCTGACTCCAGCTTTAAGAAATATCTATCTTCAGGTTTATTTTAGGCCATTATCTATCTAGACTTGAAATAGAAATATCTCTTAAATAAAAATATAGTATATTTTAATTATATATATTTTCCAATTTTTAACAGCTCTATTATATCTTTTATCAGTAGCCAGGACTCTCTTTTTGTGGCATATCTTATTCTCTTTCTTTTTTATATCTTGCTGGTACTCTCTGGTAAAACCATATAATTCACCAAGCTTATGGAGCTTATCAACCTTTCTCTATCTTTCCTCAGATAGCACCGAGTCTCTACCACGTGACATGGTTGGTTTTTGTATAGGATCGCACTTGAAGCTGTTTCTTGAGAACGTGTAACTCGAAGGGATAAAAAAGTGATGGATAAACAGGTTAAGTGCCCCTACTTAACTTCACAAAAATTCGACCAGGTTGTCTAGCTCACCCACTCGCTCACCCACTCCCTCACCCGCGCTCTGGACAACATCACCCAAATCACCCACACTCATCCTGCGACTTGGCGGCGCTCACCCGTAAAGCAGCAACTTCCAAAGGGCTCATTACTAAGTCGTCTGCGTTCAATAGGTGGCTTAAGTACGGCTGAGCGGACGGGAAGCCCTGTTTTCCACACCCTATGGTCGTATGTGATGGTATTGGCCGAGGAGAGCGCGATATAGTAAGTCTGATGAAGCCACAATTGTGTTAGCCCTGCCAGAATCCGCGATGACAGACAATTTCCACGAGCCTCCACCCGTTTCCTAAACCTCTCAAACCCACCCTCCGAAAAAACCCTCATCTGAACCACCTCCTGCACCTCACTTTCATTCACAGCAAACCCCGCCGCTAACGCCCTCGTCCTTGCCAAATTCTCAAACGTAAACCGCACAATCCCCGGCTCCTGCCCGCCCATACCTCTCCACCAGGTACAGATACTCCTCGCCCGCATTCGTAGCTAACTGCCCCCCATTCCGGCCTGTCGCGCCCGAACAGAGAGACCTCGCTTCGAGAACCGTGATGGTTAGATCCGGGTGATTGTGATTCTCAAGGAGGGTAAGCAGGACCGAGAGCCCGGTTATTCCGGAGCCGATGATTGCGATGTCGGTTTTGGGGGATTGGTGGGTGCTGAGGGGGTGGGGTGGGGTTTGCCAGTATGAGGGCGTCGGAGTCGGATTTGGAAGGCCAGGGTCTTGGGTAAGGTGTGTTTGGAGGGTGGGGGGCATTTTTGGGTATTTTTTTTTATTAGTTTTATTTGGATATCGGGGAGTTGTTGAAGGTCAGGGGAGGGATAGGCTGTGTTGCTGTTGTTGTTTTTGGAGATTGGGGTGTTTGTGATTTATCTATGAGGGGGTGTGGGGGTTATTTGATAGTTGTGCGGGGAGATATTGGATTGTTGTATGATTGTAAGGTTGAAAGGGGCACAAAGGGGTTGTTTGTGTAGTTTGATGTGTAGCCTTGGTATATCTTGTATAGTATACCTGGGATATCTTGTTTCCTTGTCTAGAGACCCAGTAGAGGACTTGTAGAAGAATACGTTTAAGCAACTCATACTTTGACCTAAGAAGTTAACCTTATTTGCTACCCTGCATTCCGTGGACGATGATTGGCCCGCTTCCATCCGAGGTTACGCATCAACTGGAAAGCTGAAACGACATAATAAGTCACATACTAGTCTAGCAAACACCTGTCATTCTCACACCCCTTTAACCAGTATACAACATGCTACTCAGACGCATACCCCTCCAATCGATCTTCGAAACCCTCCGCTTAAACCCAGCACCACTCTCAACCCTGAGTAAACCCCAAAAAAGCCTCCCAGCCGCCTACTACCGCGGCGGAACCTCGCGAGCCGTAATCTTCAAAAGAGAAGACCTGCCCACCGACCGCTCAGCATGGGATGACATCTTCCGCCGCGTAATCGGCAGCCCGGATCCAAACGGCCGTCAACTCGACGGCCTCGGCGGTGGCATCTCAAGCTTATCAAAGATATGCGTAGTGGGCAAATCAACGCACCTCGATGTCGACATCGACTACACATTCATATCCCTAGGCGTCAAAAATGCACACGTCGACTACTCCAGCAACTGTGGGAACATGATTAGTGCCATCGGGCCCTTTGCGGTCGATTCGAGGTTATTCCCCGTCCGCTCTAACGGACCCGAGGACGTCGAATTGCGCATCCTAAACACTAACACGGGCAAAGTCATCCGATCCCGATTCCCCGTTGTAGACGGCGAAGCGGCCGCATCGGGGGATTTCGCGATCGATGGTGTTGCGGGCACGGCTGCCAAGATCCAGCTGGATTTCTTAGATCCCGCGGGCTCGAAGACGGGGCAGTTGTTTCCGACTGGGAAGGTGGTGGATGAGTTTGATGGGATCCGGACGACGTGTATTGATGTTAGTAATCCGTGTTGTTTTGTTCTTGCGTCGGAGATGGGCGTGGAGGGGAATATCACGCCCGAGGAGATCGATGCGCATCCGACGCTTTTGGCTCGGTTGGATTCAATACGGAGACAGGCGGGTGTTGCGATGGGAATTGCCGACTCTCCTGAAGATGTGCCGGGGAGTGTGCCTAAGATTGGCGTTGTTTCTTCTCCGGTGCCGAATACGCGGGCTTCGGAGCAGGGGCAGACGGGGGCAGACGTGGATATTCTTGTGAGGGCGCTTTCGGTGGGTCAGCCGCATAAGGCCGTGCCTATAACGGTTGCGCTGGCGTTGGCTGCTGCTGCGCGGGTGCCGGAAAGTCTTGTGGCTGGAGTGACGAGCGAGAAGCCTGTTGATCCGGCTGGAATTACGCTGGGTCATGCTAGTGGGAAGTTGGTTGTTGGGGCTCAGTTTGAGGAAGATGGGAGCTTGGGTCATGCGACGGTTTTTAGAACTGCGAGGAGGTTGATGGAGGGGAAGGTGTTTTGGAAGTGCTAGACCGTGCCACCGGGCCTAGCTGTATGGGGTAGATTGTTTCATATGTATACTGGAATTAGTCTGGATTATGTTTATGGACTGCAGTTGCATCGAAGAAGAGATGTCTTTCTAGTTCTAGACTCAATGTGTACTATAAAACCATTGCATATCAAGGCTTACATTCACTAGTACAACGTACGGCATAGAGGATAGTCTGGTCCCAAAGGCAGAAGAGAGACAAGTAGAACATGAAAGCCAATAACCAAAAAGTAAGAGATGGACAAGGAACAAATGTAAAAATATGACTAGGTAGGATGGAAATTTCAGAGGCAAAAAGCATGGCCAATGCGCTATAAATGCTCGGGTGTTGAGTAGTATATGTATGAGATCATATAGATGCTCCCCGGTGAAACCCTTGCAGGTAACCCCATCTTGCATTGAAATTAGGATGCTGGAAACTCAGACACATAACTCAACCGTGCCGTATTCCCTTTATTCTTGTCAATGCGCCTTTTCCCGGGGTTTGCCTTCCTCCAGGAGTATCTCACGGAGCTGTTGCATATACACCTTGCGGTCCCTTTTTGTGCTAAACTGTTCTAGGACCTTTTTCTGCGTAACCTATCCACTATTGTCTCCGTGCCATTTGCCCCTCTGGTTCAATAAGTACTCCTTGTACTTGCAATGTTCCTTTTCCAGAGAGTTCACTAACCCTTGCCAGACTCCATTGTTCTCGCTCTTTTGCCCATAGAAGGAAACAATATCTCCGATGGCGTCCGCAACGTCATTGATATCACGGCTAGCATTGAGGCACAACCTGAGGATTAAGATCTCAGTATGCCAAACTAGCGCGGGTATTTTTGCCGGATAAATTGTTTCCACTATATAGTTTGGAGGGCCCAGAAGGTTCTTATACTCACCCCGAACACTATCTGTTACACGTACTGGTAGCTCCTCATTGGTAACAGATATGTAATCGGAGCTTGGTATAACTCGCGGGATCAGAGGTGGCATGCCAGAAAGCCATCTCCTTGGATGCAAAACTGGTCGCTAGGCGCAGGCTCGAGCTTATCGACGAGGCATTCTTTAGGATCACATGGGCTAGCATTATAGGCCTGGTACAAATTTCCAGGCGCCTTTCCCCTATCTTCCCTCGGATGCGTTCTCCCATCCACCCGGGAGTCTCGTCGAGAATCAGGATGCGGCCGACATCTTGAGTGGCGAACAGAGGCACTTTGTTTGATACACGGGTTACCCAGGGACGCCTTAAAGGAGTGCGGGTCGTCAAGAAGTGGTATAAAAGGGATAATGTCAATACAACCATCGTAGATGATGCCAGTGTTGGCATATGCTGCCAGAACGGTGTGTTCATATCGGCGAACGATCCTGAGCCAAACAGTGCCAAGGCGATATATAGAAGGGGTCCTTCGATGCCGGGATAGATGACATTCAAGGTAGCGTTGAGCGTAGTCCATGCTGTATCGCTGTCTAGATGCCGAGGGGTGAAGTTTCGCTTGCCCATGCCATACGGGCTTTCTTGGATCGATGGCCTAGGGTCTTGGCCATTTGCGTAGTTAGGAAGCTGGAAGGAGACAGTCGTGGTGTGGAGTGTCAGCTTCCATGCCATAAATACGATCCCTGGGCTATAACTTAATTTTAGACCATTCTAACTATTTTTTGTTGGGCATAAATGAACCCTTGAACATTCAGTTTAGTATAGGAAAATGGTTTATCATTGAGATGGCGGGGTCATTTTGTCTCAGAATCTACACACTTTTTTTTATGAACATATTTGAGTGGACTCTACAAGGACATCGAACGTGTACTGATGAAGTGTATAAGGGTATAGATATATTGTCTAGGGAATAGCCGGATTCATTCAATTCCAATAAGCAAGACTAGGTTACTCTTAAGGCCTCTGGTGTCCTCTTACTTCAATTTGCCGAAATGAGGGGATTGGAAAATTTCCTGATGAGGGAAAGAATACTCCAATATATCTTCTTTGCCTACATCCGCGGCAAGGTCAAGGTCATTCCAATTGAAGCCTAGTAGCTCAATCCTGTTGAAGATATCTGTCATCCATCCCCAACCTGGAAGCATATCAAAAATCAAGGCAGTCGTATGGTCTAGCCCCGCGTACAGCAGATACCTCACATTAGTGCCTTCCTCACAGAACTTCCGCACCAGAGCAGTTGTATCTTCGATTGTGGGTGCAATGTCATCATTCGTGCCTTTGTAGATGTACAACAAAAACTTGGGGAATCCGTGTCTGCCCATCACGCCGATTTCGTCGAAAAGATCTTTGAACTCATATAGGAACTAGCCACCATTGTCGAAGAAGGATGAAATATTCATGTGCATGAGAGGAGGAGGGTCGTTTCCGTCCCCACTACGGGGACTGCAGCGTTTCAGATTACCAAGAAAGGCATCATGGTACTCAGGTAGAAGGTCGTCGAGCATATAGGCCTTGAGGTGAGGATACGCGTTCATTACCCCCAGCATGGCCCAGGCGTTTAACCCTGCGGCCAGTCCCCCGCTGACGGACAGATAGCTCTTTGTAATATTAGTAGGAGGACCGCCGATCGCAGCCCCGACGATTTTAAGTTCCGGTGAGTAACTGAGATGGAATTCAGAAGCCCATTCTGTGGCGTAACCGCCTCCAGAGTAGCCGAACATGATCGTTTTGGCCACAGGACTGAGGCTGGTGAGGTGTTCTGAATTCAGTGCCGCACGGATAGAATCCAGAGTCTGGTAGGCACTTTGCGGGCCCACGGTAAACGCGGCATTGGAACCCTCGTAGTCCGGTATATTCAGAATCGGGCCATGCTGCAAGTACGGAAGCAAATAGCTTAGCTAATTCCGGTTCCAGTTAGCAGCTGCACCGACCACACCAAACTGGATCCCGTATGAGGGAGAGCAAATTGATATCAGGCGAGTCATAGGCAATCTGGAAGGAGAGGAGCCGGTCGAACTTTGGGCTTTGAGGGACAACTATCGTCGTAACTGTGTGCGCGGGCTGTTCGTGCACGTCCCGGGTGACATACACTCCATGGACCTTCTTGCAGGCAGATAACTACCCTATCGACCAAGAGAAAATGTAATGAAGTGTACTAACCTCCGAATAGGTGACATAAATTGTAATCTCAAATCTTCTCTTAGGAACCATAACAGGCTCTCTCCTTCCTACCCTTCTTTCCATTCTCTAATTCTGCGGGGCGAGAGTCTGATATGAACCAATATTAGCACACTTCAAGCCCTTGAAGGATACATGGGGCCTACATTGCGATAAGACGTGAACTCCCTTTTCTGGAGAAGACTTCTCAACCTCTTTTTGTGGGCTGGGAGCGCAAAGGTGACATAATGGCGTGGTGTTGGCTCGCCGTTTCCTGCCATGCCTCCTCTGCTAGTTCCGAAGACGACTCCGACCATATCAATTCTCTGTCCAAAGACAACTGGTTGCCCCACCTGGTCGCACTCAGCGTGAGTGGAAATCCAGCACTGCCAGCTATCCATTCAGGATCGTAGTTTCTCGTCTCTAAGACGACCCCTACGTTTTCCCACCCAGTGCGGAACATATGCCGACGATATAATATCTGTTGATCCAATTCTTATTCGCTTGCCCACACCGAGCAGCTCCAGCCATTGCCCGGTGCGACAGACTGTCCGACAGAACTGCACGACAACCGCCCACCAATGGACAGATGAATACTTCTCTGTTCCCTTCTGGGATAGAATTGAGACTAGCACCTTGGCTCAAAAGTATCTGAACTTCTCTCGGTACCGGCCCGCAAGACCAACACGAAGTCTCCCTTCGAAGTCATCTACAGAGTCTTCGGCATCGGTGCCCACCAGGATCGCGATATATTTACCGCGATAAGTCCTTCGTGGCTTTTCTCTCCGTGGCTGGCACCAGCGCATGCGACACCTTTGTCGACCCTGGCAGAAGACCCCATGGTATTCCATTTCTGTATTGGTAAGACTACCCTGCCAATTATACCCAAAGCAAGCAATAATTTTATCAGTGTTTATAGTGACTAAACTGCTATATTCCTTAGCTGTATTTGCTTATGCTTAAAGTACAGCAAGACCTTTCTATGCCTTTGTAATACTCCGCCGCATTTTAGTAACTGTTATTAGTGGAGAGTTAGTTATAGAGCTTGAAAATAATAATATTTCTGATTAAGCTCCTAGTTCAGTATCTAGTTAAGCTTTTAGTTAAGCCTTATCTTAAGTATTTTCTTGAGCTTCTTGGTCCCAAATTAGTAGCTCTGTTGTCTCGTTGCCATTATAGATAACTAGATCAGGAGCTGGGGATTCAGCACCTTAAAGTGGCTGGAAAATAATATCAAGCTTCAATAGATAAATCCCACAGTTTTTAAATACATGTTATATAGTAGAACTCTTAAAAGTCTGTATCCGAATAGTGTAGATACTACAGAGAAAATCTGACTTTTCTTTAATAGAGCTATTCTATTATATAGTAGCATTATTAGCCCTCCAATAATAATGCTTATATACCTGAGATGGATGTCTATCTAGAGGCTGAAGCACATGTATAAGATCTGGCGGAAAACACCAAGGAATAATACAATACTGGTAGCAAAATTAAGTAAAATCCTCAGTAAGATAGGACTGGTAGTTATCTATTAAGAGTAAGCAATAAGATCCATATTAGACATGATACTTTGTCTGTTCATAGAAGAATTAAAGCTATTGATAAGCAATAATATTATCTGTCCAGTCATTTGTAACTAGAGCAATATAATAATTGTCTGGAAGACTTGACTGATTTTTATATTAATTCTCCATATAATACTGGCCCTTGAAGAGAAAGAATGGGGGCATTATCTAACCATCTACAGTAATACACTCAATTGCTGTAAGCGATTCTCCTGATCCTCCGGTTCCAATATATGCTGTAGTATTCTTGTGTTTTGTAACAACTTTCTGGGATTTTCCCTGCCTAAACTGGAAGCCGGATTCATCAAAATTGTAGATATTTCCAGGCCCAATATTATGGCGTTCAAACTGCAATGCCAGTTGATCAAACTAGGTTGAAATAGTAATCCTGAGACAGGTTGCTACAGTGGCAGTTAGCAGGAGCCCGAAGGGTCTGATTTACAGCACGCAATAGCAGGAAAATGGAGAAAGCTATGTTGACTTTTGAATGGCGTAGAATATCTGAAGGTATACAGACGCTGAATGCATGCAGAGTGAGCCGCTAGGGAGTTCTTACTATGGAGATATAGCGCCTCAATTGCCGCATGGATGTCTCATGGTGTGGTAGATACGAGAAGCATACCAGTCTCGAAAAGCAACTACGACATGGTTGAGGCAAATTCCTTAATACCGGCTTCAAGTTCATAAGGCCGATGACATGCAACATAGTGATCGCTCCAGCGTAAGTGCTTCCGTATGAAAATGAAGACTAGGCCATGGTGTAACAGAACCGGTCCTCATGACATAACTGAGAGTCTAATTTGGCATATTTGAGAATAAGTAGGAGATGGGCAATATTTGGAAGCCCCAGAAGATCATCGAGAACCACCCGATGTAGCAGCAAGAAACATGGCATACTGGAGAGCATGGTACAAAATATATCAAAGTAGGTAGTTAATATTAATGAGGCATACTGTGGAAACATAAAGCCTTATATTAAACCAAAACAACAGCAGAACTTTCTCTAAAAGCGACATTGGTGACTAACGCAAAGGCAAAAAACTTAAGCCCCGAAATTGAACCACAACAACGCGATTAAGATGGCCGGTGGACCCTTTGCTCCCAGGCAAGGCTCTTCGTATCCTCAAGGCATCTCTTGAACCGTTCGTTATCGTCTTCACCCCGCATCAAATAATCCCGCGTCCAGTTGTCTAGCCAAGGGACCAGACGTTGATCCACATCCCTCAGTAGTTGATTCCAGGACAAAGGGTATCCCTTTATCGATTCATTCTGATGATGACGATACAACCAGGCGATAGAATTTATGTAGACGAACCAACACCAAGCATCATTCATACCGGCATCATGTTTCTTTTCGAGACTGCGCTTGACACCTTCATCCTTACAACGGCGAAGACTAGCCTCAATCTTCGCAAGGTTCTTCGCAACCTGGTAGAACTCATAGCCCCAAGCGGAGACCGATCGATCTACTTTTGGGATCTGAACTGGACCAAAGAATGGAAGTCGACGACCACAGGTCCTGTCCGCTGGGGATTCGAACTGTGGCAGGGATGTAATGAGTGGCGCGAAAGGATAGTCATCTAACGCCGGCAGTCGATTATCGGACAACAGCATGTAGTTTCTATCTCCGTCTTCTGGCTGCCGTACGGTCGGCTCGGGCATGAACTTGAAATGTGTGGAGTGCTTGAACAGGTCGACGCGACCTTCGCCCTTCCTGAAGTGCAAGTGAATGCTAGGTTTGGGCCTGCTTCCCTTGGGGCATTTCTCCAAGCATTTGTCCTTATCGTCGCATCTCTTGAACCTGGCACGTCGAAGGGCGTCGTATGCCTGGCTTAGAAGATTATCAGGTACAACGATCTCCGCATGCTATACACTGTCAGTAACCCCTACTAGTAAGATGTGGTATGCACTCTTGGTTTGCTCACCTCAGACATTGGTGCAAGGCCATAGCAGCTCAATGTGGTTGCATGAGACACATAGTTAGCAATCCCCGCATGATTGAGGGTGTCTGCAATGTATGCATCTGAGAAGTATGTGCGTCCATAGACATAGTTTGCTGCCGTGGATGGCTTGACCTTGGAGGTGGACATCTTGGACTTCCGACGATAGATGGAAATTGTCTAACACTCTCGAGACGTACGAAGGGGAGCCTACTATATATACCCACCTCTTTACATGTGTCTTTACACATAGATGCAGAGATATCACGTATCTAGCGATAGCTATTATGCTAATGGCCGGAGTCTATGGACAAGGGGATTGTTAAAGACTGCTGATATAGCCTTTGGTTGAGTTACAAAAGGTGGTAGTTAAGGGGTGCTTTCTTTGTGAATTCGGTAGAGACCAGAAATATTCTACTTCTAACTCAACATAGAGATAGCACTACAGAAATATTCCTTCCATCGCATGCGCTACCCTTTGAACCGCGCCAAATACTGAATGGAACGACAATAAGAACACACAAAACCTTTCAGAGGTAAACGATGGCTGAGTTGAACACCTCTTTATCGAACTTTGAAACTTTGTGTAATCACCTAACTGCTCAAACATATATTAGAAAAGAAATGTGCCTCATGGCATATCTATGAAAGAAGCATTCACCGACAAAAGAAATAGAAACATAGGCAGAGAGCAACTCATTTCTAGTTAATGCATTGCCCCGTCTCCCATATAGCCTAGAGGTACTCTCCAGGATTCTCCAAAGATAGATACCGTTACTTAATCCAGTTGAACTCTTGTTGAGCACACTAACAGACATACACTAATCTCAACAGCGACTTGCAGAGAATTTACGGAAATGCTCATGAGTTGGGGGCCCACACCTCACGTACAAAATTGCATAACTCTGAAGACAAGCAAGAGTACAAGTATACTCGAAATAAAGAGGAAAGTCCCTTGGTTACCTCGGGTGTTGCCTGGGAAATTGAAAAAGGTGCAAGGGGAACGGTGAAGATAGAATGATAGATGTGTGTCAATGTTTACAAGCTGTAGTTTCCTGCTTGAGAGTCGCGGGGCCGTAATTGTAGCCTGCTCCTGGTTATTGAAGACCCTCTACAGTTTGCCTAACCATGCCCTATCATGTTTATACGATCCAGCCCGCCGTCAAGTATGTTCAGACTAGTGAGGGGAGCATCTTAGCTAGCGATACTCTGTTGTATGATGTGTTCTTTATAATTGGAATTGGGTTATGTGATACATCCAAATTATAAGCTAATCAAGCTTATAGCAATATGATATTTGGTGTATCTGAGAATGAAGGACACGAAAGAAGCGTTCATATTGTCAAAATATTGATCCCTAATCAAGAAAAACTAAAGAAAGCATACTTCGTATAAAGAAAACAGTCTCGAGCAACAGGAGCCAAGCCTGCTCATGTTAGGGCACTAGATAGGCTATGCGATGATACAGCACTTCACCTAGTATGTAGATAGCTAGGGGTAAACGGAAGCTTTCAAAAAAGCTTCGCAATAGGGTTCGTATGGTGAGCATTATTCTCCGGCAGCGTTCATTCGAGCTTCAGTCGGGTTCTGAGTTCAGTCATGAAGTCATGGAGATCTATTTCACTTCCACATACAGACCCATACCTCATATAACCTGGAGGAAGACCTCCCGGCATACTTCCTCATTCCCATAGTAGTTGACCATTTTTTCGAGGTGGCCATACCATAAGTTTCTATAGGTATCATCCTCGAGGTTCTTGGAAACAAGAGATCACAGCAGAGACCGGAGCGTTGACGTATAATACCTTGGGGCTAGGAATTCTCACCCGGTAGAGGGAGCTGCCGTCTGGGGATATTTCTTCTCCTGAACACGTAGTACAGTTGCTACCAACGTTGCCTGGGATCTCTTGACATGATATGGGGAAGTCTCACATAACAGTTGAGGCCTTGTAGGTATATATATGACCAGGTTCAAAACCGTTACAATGTTCAGGCTTCGCCATGTGAAAATGGCATTCAGGCTAGGGTTTGACATGGCCAGCTCGTTGGAATATGCATTTGTATTGCTCCTTTTCTGTACGGCCCTGCAGTCACACCAAGGAACCCCAACCCTTTGGGAGGCGTGCGACTGCCCGATTGTAAAGGTCATTAGGGACTACCCATTCACAATTCTACCGGCTGTCAGTCTAGCGCAGTAGAAGACGTGCCAATGTTTCGGCTTCTTCATCTTATATTGTTTACCATCATGAATATAATGTGACAATGCAGTTTCACCCCATGCAATAGGTAATACATTAAGTTCATCAAGGTAAGATGCGATCTCTGAATTTAATGCTTCCGAGGCACGAGAGTAGGGGAATTTGAAATCGGGCTCGTAGCTGGGCGACATCCTGGGTTATCGAACATATACTAAATAGCATGGTACCAGCTAAAGCAGCAGCGACTAGTCTTCTTACTGTCAAGTACCTCAAAATAGGTTATGCTAGGCGCATAACGGGTATCACTGTAGGAGCCAGCACTAAAGAAGATTGATAATGTGATTATGAAATGACCGTAGAACTTGGAGAAATGAGATGCATAGAGATCTGTCTAATTGAGCGACCATAAGGCCCTATTTATGCAAGATCATATAAAGAACCACTCTCTTTATTCGCATGTAAGAATACAAGAAGGCCGCCAAATCGCTCGATATAGAAACAATAATAACCAACGCGGCTTTGTGATGCGGTTTGATGTCTTTGTACACTAACAGTTGTCACCTGGTGTGGACATATTATGTTTGAATCTAATTGCAACCAAGGTAATATTAGTAGCCACACTTGTATTCATAACACTCCAGAGTTCCTTCTTAGTTGCCGTGGCTGCTATACCTGGAGACTCATAATGCATGAGCGAACGTTCTAAAATAATGTACGTGACTATATCTAATACGGTATCCCCGAGGACAACAAAAGTGAAGAAGAGAGTAGAAGCAAAGGAAATGTATCAGGGAACGAATGGACACTGTTTCATACGTGTTTTATGTTGGTTCTTGATAGCCAGCCGTGCTTTTAGGCATATAAATGCGAATCAAGTTCTTTATACTGAATCCCGAACTGTCATCTATCTCAATTATTCTCAGCCCGCGTCCTTTTGTTCTCCAACTGCGTATGCCTTCCTCTGACGGCTTCAATCTGTCCGAGTAGTCCCACTTGAATCATTGCGAGCTATAGAGTGATGCGCGCCGACACTAGCTTGCCTCCGTGAATATATACAGAGCACCCCATACTTAATGAAGGGAGAAGAATAGAATTTTTTTGATATAATACAGAACCATATATCTCAACAATATGTGGGCTTATAATAGTCTTGATGACATTCGAGAATCAGCTAACCACCGACCTTCCCCACTGAGACTCTGACGCCGAGTATTAGCGTACTTATGAAAACGGTGCGTACGCCATGTCATAACTCTGCCGACTCGACTTGAATCAACGATGCAGTTCGGCGACCGTAACCCTAATCTTGATGTGTCAACACAGCCTTTGATATCCATGGTGGCCAATATAGATTTCGGCCGGCGTAACATCAAAAGATTATTTATAAATAATCAAGGCATACGCATATCACGTTATAAGGCTGTCATTGCTATAATATCATTTAAACCTATATCTAGATGGTTATATTCTCTCAGCCGTTGGCTCCAGCTTTCTCTCGTCCTTGACCCGCAAAGACCCAACATGCGTATTTCCAAGTCCCTGACGCCCCTGGTCTGCCATCGTGACGGCGGCGAATACTGTAAGTGATTTTATTTTGTTCAAGAATAGCTTCTATTAAAGAAAGACCTAATTACAACTCGGGCAATCGGTTTTCGCGACGAAGGTCAGAGGGGCGGGTGCGCGGAAAGCCATCGAAAGGAAGGATCCTTGGTGTTGTACAGGAATAGTTATGATCCCTTTTTGGTTTTTACGCCTGGTACCTCCAGTATGGATCTCTATATTGCCATACAAAAGGGAAAGGTATACTCTGAACTAGTTTTTATTCGCTTCCAGTCGTATAAATCCGTATTCGGCATCACATGATTGTCATTACAGAGCCATGCCTGGTTCTCCTCCTTTGGGCTTGCCTGGTGGTGTGTACTTAAGTAGTTGGCCCCGCTTACGGTGTCTCTTACCTTCGGGACAAAAGAAATTGCTGACATTCGCTGATTATCGCATTAATTTCCCTTAATTAAGGGGCATTTTTTACAAGACCCACCGTTGAAGATCATCCGAGGAATGGGCTTTGTTTTCCCCGTGATTTGTCACTTCCGCGAAGTCAAGACATTCGACCTCACGACACAATGACAGGTGCCAAACATCACCAATTCAAAGACTATCCCGAGCCTAGAAAGGGGTGAGTGTGCCTCCGGGACTCTTGTCAGCAATTGACTGAAACATTCACCGTAATTATCGATAGGCCTCATCTTCCGCCCACCTATGACCGGAAGCCCAATCCGGCACTTCGCGGCTTCATCGTAAGTCTTGGCGCATGGCTGTATGTTTCACCTCAAATAAGCAATTCATACCTATCTGTCTAGCCATGGAACTGATCTGGAGTAGGCTGGAATGGTTTTGGTTTGTGCCGCAAATAATCTGGTCGAACGCGGGCTTCGGGAGTCTCCGCAACATCCGCCCTCACCTGGATTTCATTGAGCCTCGCTATGACCCGACTGTCGTCCCTTTGAAGGCAGTTGAAAAGGAATTTACCGAGGATGCTGCCTCAGAGACCGTGTCAGCTCCACCGATCAAGCATGACACTAAATACTATTCGGTTGCGGATTATCATGGGCTTTACAAATCAGGAGAGTTGACGCCCACTGCGGTCATCAAGGGTCTCCTCCCTCTGATCCGCCGCGATCTATCAACTCCTGGTAAACATTCGATTGCGTTCAGCGACAGCAAAGTCGAGATGGTCCTTGCCGCCGCTGAGGAGTCCACCCGTCGGTACAGCGAAGGGCGACCGCTCGGGCTATTCGACGGCGTTCCTACCGCGGTGAAAGATGAGTTTGACATGGATGGGTATCGTACTAAGTTGGGCTCATTGAATGACTACACCGGTGAAGCGAAATGCGACAATGGCTCTATCACAAACTGGTGTGTTAGACAGTTGGAGAAGGCCGGCGCGATCGTGGTGGGAAAGCTCTCTATGCACGAATTCGGACTTGGTACGTGTCTTAGCACTTAACCATTTGATTTGCGCTAACACAGCGTCAGATACTACTGGAAACAACGTTCACTACGGCACTCCCCCAAACCCGTACCACCCAGATTATTACACCGGTGGAAGCTCCTCTGGCTGCGCTTACGCCGTCAGCACGGGCTTAATTCCTATCGCTCTAGGCTCAGACGGTGGAGGTAGTGTGCGAATCCCATCCTCATTCTGCTCTGTCGTGGGATTGAAGCCGACCCATAACCGACTGTCGCATTATCCCGGCGTCAACTTCGCCAGCACTACCAGTGTGAGTGGACCTCTCGCGGCAGACATCCGCTCCCTCGCCGAAGCGTATCGCATCCTCGCCGCGCCCGGTCCAGATTCGCCTTTCCCGGCCCCAGGACCCCTCTCACTCTCCCCACCGACTACAAGAAAGAAGCTCCTCGGAATCCCCGAAGTCTGGTTCTCCCGCGCGACCCCAGAGGTCCAAACTCTCTGCCGTTCTCTCCTGGATAAGCTCGTCACTGAAAAGGACTACTCCCTCGTTCCAATTGACATCCCCTTCCTCGTCGAAGGTCAGACCGCCCACGCCATGACCATTCTGGCCGAGGCCTCTGCCTTGCTCCCCGACACGACCAACATCACTGCAGCTAATCGCATCCTCCTGGCTTTGGGCCGCACCACGCCGGCCACCGATTATCTCCTCGCGCAGAAACTCCGCCGACTTCTGATGGAGCACCTCGCTGCCCTCTGGGAAGAATTTCCGGGTATGATCATCGTGACACCTACTACCGCCTGCGCTGGTTGGCCCGTTGTCTCTAAGTCGGAATACACATGGGGACTTAGTGATGGGGACCGCACCCTGAAGGCAATGGAGTATGTCTGGTTGGCGAACTTTACCGGCATCCCAGCCCTCAGTGTACCTGCGGGGTATGCGGAGCCGGAGGGTAAGAGTGGTCAGGATGGAGCGGTTCCTGTGGGATTAATGGGAAATGGAGAATGGGGAAGCGAAGAGCAGTTGTTGCAGTGGGGGTTGGAGGCGGAGGAGTCGGCAGTTGATCTGCGAGAGAGGCCACCTATTTGGGAGGATGTTATCCAGAGGGCTAAGTGGGTTGGTTCAAGTGAGCGTCGGGGAGAAGCTGCGCAAGAGTAGAGGAAACGGTAGAGTCTAGGCGTGCCGATCAGAGACTAGATACAGATAGGCAGGTGTAGGTACATGTGTATGTTGGCATCTTGAGCCAAAACGTTGTAATGTGACCAGCGTGTATATTAATTATCCTTGATAGCCGCCCTCTCTCGCTCTTCATGTGGCTCTCCATGTGGCTCTCCATGTCTAAACCCTTGATCCTCCTCTCTCACCGTCCTCCACACAATCCCCACAGTCCAGAGAACCAGTGCAATCGAACATCCGATCATCGCCCACATCCCGCGCGTAAACCGCGGCGCCAGATTCGCCGAATAGAAAATAATACTCCACCAGGCATTAACGGCATTATTCCCCATGTTCATGCTGGCGATGACCACTGACCGCTGTCGCGCATCCTGCGATCGCATCGCATCATTACACCACGCGAAAAATGTAGCCTGACACGCGTATACAGCCCCAGCCCAATAGTATGCCCCGAATACTGTCGCTGTTGAGTCAAAGCGAGTCAAGATCAAGACGGAGGTAACAACGCCTGTTACTCCGATAAAGTAACTAACTAGATATCGCTTCCCTTGAAGGATATCGGTGAGGGTCGCCCAGAAGAGAGTCGAGATGATTCCTACAGCCGGGACACCAGTCGGGTAGTTGTTTAATTGGGAGATGGAATAGTGGATCGTAGGGTGGGCCTTCATGTACAAGGCTAACAGGGAGTTTGAGGAGAAGGACTCGGTTTCTCCGGCGATGACCCATAGAATGACGAATCCCCACCAGTACCATGTGGTGAAGAGTCGTTTGATAAATGCGCGGTTCACAGGCGCACGGTTGGAATTGACTGTTGGTAGGCGTGATACGGCTAGTCCCCTTTCTGATGCTGTTAGGTACGGCGCTGTAGTCGTTGTTGGTGTGTCGGGGAATAAGAGTAGGCCGTAGATGGCTATGGGGAAGGTGATTAAGCCGTCGATCTGTTTTGTGTTAGATTGCGTCTAGGGCATTCAGTGGGACTGACATACGATAAAGAGCCACCGCCATCCCGATAGACCCCTGACGCCATCTAGTGATGAATGAATGCCTGTTTGGATAAATCCGCCAAACATGGTCCCCGCGAGACCCGACGCTGTGAAGATGCCGCTGCGTTTGCCCAATTCGCGCTCTGTATACCATGAACCCAGGATATAATGAGTCCCCGAGAAGGTGCTCGCTTCTGCTAGTCCAAGGAAGAATCTAATGGCCATGATGCCCTGGGGATTGTGTACAGCTGCGGTTACCATAGTCAAGGCCCCCCAGAAGAGGACCATGGCAGGGAAAAAGATACGCGGGCGGAAGTAGGTCAAGGCCAGGTTGGACGGAACCTGGCCTATGATATACCCCACGGTGAAGATGGTATTGATTACATTGAGCTGGTTGCCATGGAAAGCCAACTCCTCTTTCATGCCCGAGACATATGCGTTGGAGAGATTGGAGCGATCTAGGTAGTTGAAGAAATAGGTGACACAGCAGAATGAGAGGATGAAGAAGTCTATCTTGGCCACGAGCTTCTTTTCCGGGTCGTTGATCCTCCACATACTCGATTGAAAGAGTAATGATCCGGATCTCCCCGCGATTTGCAGTGTCCCGATCACTATCTCATCGCAGAGAGAAAAATGATGTCGATTGCTGCCAATTTATTTTCAGATATTGAAGTTGATTGGTGAACCGACCTGGCGCTATGCCGCTTCGGATGAGATCCCCGCTGATGCCTCAGGCTGTTATGTCACGAGGGGATGCGCATCACGGGTCGGTCATGACAAACCCTTGATTGCTCAATGCTTGATTGTTTTGATCGACTAAAGTTCAATAGACTGAAATTGGGTTGGAGCACAAGGTAACAACGGTCAATAATCCCCACTATGAGTGTCTTCTTTGACCCAATGATTGTCTGGTTCTAGCTAAAAAGTTTTCATCTCAAGTTCTTGGCATTGACACAGCCTCGACTATTGTCACCGCTCTTGCACATCCACCACTGAGATATCTTTATTTGCCCCGGACCCTTGGGGTTAGGCTCAAGGTTGAAAACTGCCGGCAGAAAAGAGCACAACAGCGGTGACAGCTTGGCTCATCCTCTGTATCCCACCAAATTTATATCACATATCCTACCTTTTCGGTCTCATGTTTGGTTTTACAGCCACCCATTGCAAGACACGTCAGGATGGTGTACGGCCTATCGCTGCATTTACAGCTCACATGCTCAACTATCCAAGCTTTACTGCCACTTGAGTAAACATGGGTCGGGTGGCAGACATCCACCTGGACGACGCTCCTGGTGAGCGTCCCGATGTCAGCCCATCTATGAATGACCTTCATGTCCCTACCCCCGAGCTTAATGGGCTCGATGAGTTCAAGGACAGAAAGATGTCTCTGTATGATGCGAGGGGAGCAATCCCTCCACCTACACAGTTCAGTTTCTTTACATCGCTGCTGGACTCTGTCATCCATTCGTCTACCATCCAGTCGTTGCGGTCGTTCTATAAGCCCTTCGACACGCTTTTGGACACCAGGGAATACACCGGCCTCTGGTGGCTGGATGTGACAGCCCCGTCGGACGATGACATCGAAACACTCTCGGAAATATTTGACCTCCACCCGTTGACTACGGAGGATATCAAAGTCCGAGAGTCGCGAGAGAAGATCGAACTCTTTGACCGCTATTACTTTTTGTCTTTGCAGCCAGCACGCCAGCTCGAGGCGGCTGACGGAACACGGTCCTCATCCCCCAATGTGTATGCTATCGTCTTCCGCGAGGGTGTTCTTAGCTTCAATTTCGGAAATAGCCCCCACGGATCTCATGTCCGAAATCGGATTAAGGAGCACCGGAGCCATCTAGCGCTGACTAGTGACTGGATCTGCTACGCTCTCATGTATGTCTACCTAACTGTTCCTCTAGTTTCGATCTTTATATACTAATTTACCCAGCGACGATATCGTCGACGGCTTTGCGCCCTTCATCAATCGCGTCCAAGCAGGTGTGGAAATGATCGAAGATGACGTCTCCATAACCCGACCGGATGATATCGGTTTAGCACTTCAACGGATCTACCGGTATCGCAAGGAGGTCTTGCAAATCCGTCAGCTGATGAACGACAAGACCGACGTTGTTCGATGCTTCGCTCGTCATTGCGACTCGTTCGGCCCCGCAACTACGAATGTCACTCTTTATCTCAGTGACATCCGGGATCATGTCCTATCCATGATGGCTAATCTGTTACATGCGGAGCAGATGCTCTCCAGGGCGCAGGAAAAATATCTGAGCCAGCTATCTTTTGATTCAACGCGCATGCGAAACGAGATTGCGGCAACTCTCAGCCGGCTAACAGTCATTGCCGGGATCATTGTCCCGATGCAGTTTATCACCGGTCTATTCGGTATGAATGTTACTGTTCCAGGCCAAACTCCCGATGACGAAAAGCCTGGTCCAGTGAACTGGTGGCTTGGTATTTTGGGCGTCATATTAGGGCTGATCTTTCTTGCTTTACTCGTTGCGAAACGGTTACGGTTCATTTAGATCTGATTGTTCAGCGGCAGTTTATGTGGCATTGAGGATGTAATCATTTCATTAATATATATATACACATATATAGACTCTCGCTTTGTGAAAATATAATTAGGCTTTCAACTATTACAGTCCACCGGCCCTTTCTCCAATAATTACGGGGATGTCCCGAGTGATCCATACATATCGGCGAAATTCGGGCAATTCCAGCTCCAAATATTTCTTCACACTACCAGAGAGTCGGGCATCGTACTGCAGAATATTCCTGACCAAAGCAACTCCATACACCTTGTGGTTTATGCTCGATGTTTTTCCAGGCACGAGGAATGTATGCAAACCTAAACAATATAGCGAATAGATATGTCTCCGCATAACAGTCAAACTTCACACTTCTAGTAAGGACATTCGGGTAGAATCCTAAACTCCAACACACGAGCTGAACAGAGTCCGAAAAGCTTATACAGAAGCGAGCCAAGTCAATACGGTACTTCCATGTACCCATACCTGGATATTTTTTTTCCTTTTGACTTTTTTGCCCGCCCTTAGCCTTGATCCCAAGCAGAAGATCGATCGTTCATCGGTTCCTTCTCCCTCCAGAGACACTGGAACTTCAACTGGAGAAGAGATATCCTGCTGCTTGCCTCGGCGTCTTTGACTTGGATCATGTTTCATGGCGGAGATTTGCAGCATTGATGGGCATTACAACCGTACTAACGTTCTCCATATTTTTTGTTGTCCATCTGGTCATATTAGTATTGGGAGAAAATAAAGGCCCTGTCGTGAAAACGGTGACCCGATACGGCGTGAGATCGGCACGTGCGTTATATATGGGCAAAGGCGCAGTTGACGACCGTTACTGAGATTATTTATTATACAGGCAAGATGTCTCGTCAAACATGACTTCTACGACCAAGCCTACCGAGCATCGCTAGCGGATCTTTCGATATAAATGCACTTCTCCACGGACGATGATCATGCTACTAGGTCCACTCATTGCAATCATCTCGGTTGAGAGAATGCTGCACGCACGCCAACCACATTGACACAGGTGGTATTTTTGAGCTCCAGTGGCCAGACGATGGCTCTTATCACGGATATTAGCAGTATATGCATGACGTTAATGGACCGGATGAAAGGCATGTCGGCCAAAGGGGAACAGGGCCCTGCACACCACTGTGCTAGGAAGCTATCCGAGGGTATACAGCGGTCGTTGAACTGCTTCTACGTAAAGCAGAGAGACAGATGTATAAATAGAGTACGTCTTTCTTGGGCTGCTAAAAACGGAAACGAAGGTGTTGTGGAGGTCTTGGACATTAGAGGACTCGACCGCTTCAAGGACTACGATGATCAAACAGCACTTTCTGTTGCCATACACAATAATGGTGTGAATATTAGCCGGAAACTGGTTGGGCCATACCAAGGCAACAGCGGGGCCGTTTTATGCTTCTGATGCTTCAATGCACATTTAGATACCATCACCACGCCCAGTCATTCTCCAAGCCTTATCAGCAGGCTGAAAGAGAATATGTTGGCCAACAGCTCCGCCAGCTGTACTCTTCTCTAGCCCGAAAGGTGTATCCCCAGTTTAAAGTCACAAGTTCATATCAGAGGCAGCCTTTCGCTACTACCTCCCTTCCACACACCATGGAGGCTTTCTCTATGCTCTGAGGCCCAGGTAAGGCAAAGTAACCCGTTCAACAGATTCAATACACAGCAATGCGAAATATAGTCGATTTTCTAGCAGGCTCATTAGGTCCTTGGCTAATTTCCTAGGAACAGCACCACGGAATAGCCATTCCGAACAGAATTACCCAGTTTCATAACTTGGTATTTGCTAATCGAGCCGCATAAACGACTGTTGCGAGCAACTCATTGGCGCACCATTATACAGACCAGTATTCCCTAGATTTATGTAGCACAAGTTGTTTTACATAAAAATATTATCGAGTTAAGAAAAGCTACTTTTCGATTCTTGGCTGAGTCTGTCTAAACAAAAGATATTCGGAAACAGCAGGGACAGTCGATATTTGTGCTCCAAAGCAGACTAATGCAAGGCTACATGGATCAATCTAGCCCCAACCGCCTTCTACTCCACACTGCGCCATATTAGACGGCAACGTCTCTGATATTTTGTATTACTGATCCATAATTGGTTGATCTACATTGGGTCTGGCCACAATGATCCTGACAAGTGCTAGTCGGTCGCTTGTGGTTGAACTAAAGGTGTCACCAATGGCTAGCTAACGTACGCTGCAGAATGCGACTCCTGAGGGGATCCGGCCAACAGGAAGTCTTATTATCTTAATGGCGGAGGGGAAGGCGTAGCCATAAATTGTTGTCTTCTCCTAAGTGATCCTCACACTATCTCGCCAGGTACGCTATCCTTCTAGCCTGCCTCCCCACGTTCGGAGTTTCGACAAAATACTCAGTATGGCATTCGCGATTATTGGCACCTTTATTGCATTGGTAATTCTCCGCTTAATTTATGAATATCATCGCGATCGTGGCCTTCCACCTGGTCCGCGCCGTCTTCCCTTCATCGGCAATATCCACCAAGTACCCCAGGTCCTGCCCTGGCGCACCTTCGACCAATGGAGCAAAATATATGGCCCAATAATGAGCGCCCAATTCGGACGGCAGACCATCATATTCATTGCAAACTCCACCATCGTCCGAGACCTACTCGACAAGCGAGGGAGCCAATATAGCGATCGGCCCAAAATGGTGATGGCGGACGACAACCTCATGAAAGGCATGCACATCCTGCTCCGACAATACGATGATCGCCTACGACTACATCAGCGAATGGAAGCCCCCGTCCTCAGTCCGCGAGCGTCCGCAACCTATTACCCAGTTCAGGACCTCGAGAGCAAGCAGCTTTTGTATGAGCTCCTTTCATCCAATAACTTCAGCCTTCATCTTGAGCGATACAGCATCAGTCTTCTCTATTCGCTGGCGTACGGATTCAGGGTAGCGACGGGAGAGGAGCAGGACGTGGAAGATGCACGACGCATCCTGCATAATTTCGGGTACGCTTCTCGTGTCGGAACTTGGATTGTGGATGCTATCCCCATCCTCAATATGCTTCCGGCATGTCTGGCGCCGTGGAAGCGGACTGGGGAGGAATTTTTCAGGATCGAGTCGAGTCTTCATATGCGGAATATGAAGAAAGGTCTGGCGAGCTCGGCTTGGAACTGGAGCAAGGAATTTTCTGTTTCGAAGCAAGCGCAGGCGATGCCACCGTTAGAGCTCGCGTATGATATTGGGGTCCTAGCCGATGCAGGGCTGGATACAACCTCGGCTGTTATGAAGATCTTCGTCCTCGGAACACTGGCATATCCGCGCTTTCTTGGTGTGGCTCAGCACGAATTGGATCGCGTAGTTGGTCCTGGGCGTCTACCCTCATTAAGCGATAAAGATAACTTGCCGTATATTGTTGCCGTGGTGGAAGAAACGCTCCGTTGGCGATCTATGGTTCCCGGGGGAATACCTCACGCGGCGAGAAAGGACGATACGTATATGGGATACCGTATCCCTCAGGGTGCGACAATGGTTCCTCTACAATGGTCTATGAGTCTGAACGAACACCAGTTTGAGAGCCCGCTTGAGTTCCGTCCGGAGCGATGGCTCAATAAGCCCGATGAGGAACCATTTCGCAATTTCTTTGGGTATGGGCGGCGAATTTGTACTGGAAGACATATTGCACGAAACTCATTGTTTACGCTCATGGCACGCATTCTTTGGGGATTTAATGTACGGTCGCCTCTGGGAGTAGATGGCAAGCCAGTGGCTGTGGATGATATGGACTTTGGCTCAGGATTTGTGTCTTTGCCGGCACCATTTGAAGCAGTTTTTGAGCCACGCAGTGAGCAGCATCGTAGGGTTATGGAACAGGAATGGGATTCTGCGGAGAGGGATATCAACAAGCTCATGGATTCAGTCAAGGAAAAGCAAAAGTCCATCGGACTGGATGTTCGGGCATGAACACTGCACACTGTGTGGGTGCATGCTATACGCGATATCAAATGGACCAATCAGTTATGAATATGTACATTGAGTAACAAGTATCCTATGTACATAATTCAGTTTCGTCCAAGGATACGTCCAGTGACTTCACTGAACCACCGGCAGAACGTCCCTTTTGTTAGTATATGCATATATAGACATGCTTGAAAGAGACGTGAAGGATTGTGCCCTTAACAGACCTCACATTCACCTATTCCTCATTAGTCACATGGCATATAAATAACTAGGCGCCACGATTACAAAGAATAACTTCACCCTCCTAATCACCCCAAGATCTCCTCAACATCTCCTTAAGACCCTCGCACATTCCAGTCAAGATATCTAGGACAATAGATACCACACAATACACCCAAGCTCAACTAACCCAGTCCAGGTGATGGGTCTTAGGGAAGTGTGCCAGGTCGATGGCCATCACTTCAAGAGAATAAGGGGCCAAGAGCATTGGATCGCGTACAAACCAGAAGACATCTTTCCACCACCTGGAGAGCGCGAACCAATGTATCTCTCCCTCATCCATAAGGCACACGGTCCAGATGAGCCGATCCATTGGTCCCTCTTTGTTGCCCGTGAGAATGAGCCCGGCTGGTTATTCCAGGTCCCGGAAGATGCAGAACACATGACCTACCAGCCATCAGATGGCACGATGTCACCATCTCTGAATCATTTGTAACACTTTATCAGCTCGCTCCTGTCACTTTTGGATAAATGACGATTGTGAATGCGATTACAGCCCAGGAATCACCTCATTACGCTGTCAACCGGCAAGCCGTCACTGATAACTGTCAGGGCTGGGTGATACGTGTGCTTGTTTTGGCCGAGGAAGGTATTGTGTGCGCCTCGAAACTCGAAATTGGCGAAGTCAATGATTAAGCCTGTCTAAAAGGAGAGCGGTTATGCGTGATGTCCGACAGTCATGCTGGAAGCAAGCTTTTGGAATCAATAATGTCAATCTTCTTGCCATTGGTACAGGGTTTCGTCGACTTAGTTTCGGTGCACGATTCATTGTCTCATATTCTCATAGTTTGGTCTATGGATTTGCAGAAACTACTATATTCCACACACCCTGAATTTGAATAGTATCGCATGATGAGGATGAGACAATCAGAAACCTAAGGGATTATTCCTAATTTCACGAGTGTTGATAAGGCTATATGGACTTAAACTTATACATCGACTCCGTTGAGTAGCCGCAGCACCCCTTTTTTGGACAGCTGCAAGTAGGTCGTAACAGGTAACTCCGAGCTGAACGCAACCGTGTGTCTTTGTATTTGGAGGGTTGGACTCAAAGGCGCAGTGTGTCCGAGTTTCTCGTATGATTGAGTGAGAAAGTTTGTACATAACGCTGCATGATGTAGTATTCATAAAGCATCTGTTTTATGTACAGTCACAAAGTAGCAGTGATCATGGTGGGAATTTCCCCAACTACCTCTCTGCTATAGTGAATTAGAGAGCAACGAACCTCTTCCATCCCCCATTCTACCAGTTTGAATTCTAAGTAACACTATCGCCTCAACGTGCATAGCAATTTCTGTATACTAAGACCAGGGAGCAACTCACATATCAGCATGAATATCAAAGTGAGGTGAGATTCTGCTGTATTTCCCTTCCTCTTGTTATGTAAGGAGTCTCTCATTAACGTTAGCTCGACCGAGTTACAAGCTGATCAAAAGGTGTTTGCCTAGCGATTGGACGGCCACTAATTGCTACGACCTTACACGGTCGCTAGGGAAAGTGTGCCTCGCTCTCTAAAAAAGTTCTCCAGATGGAAGCTTGGAATGATAAAATGCCATAGGGTGGGCAGCAGCATAGCGTATACTCGCCCTGTAGTGTATCCGAATACCGGAGGACGTAGACGTGATTTTGATATCAGCTATCGGAATGCACTTTCCGAGTGTAAATTATCAAAGATATGGATAGCATGGACTCTCCGGGACAGCCGGCGTATCCTAATCAATATGGAGTCAGCCAAGACGATTAGTTGCTACTTGGCGTCGGGTTATCGCGACACTGATAAGCGTGTTATCAGAAAGCAAAGAGTAGCGTATCTGGATCATCGTACTTGTGACTCATGCCAAACCTCAACTGTGATATAAAAGGCAAGATCAGCTCTTAGCCAGGTAGGGATGGCAGGCAAAAATCTTCATGTTTCTAGGTACACTCCTCTCGCTGGCAGTCGCCGTTACCGGCGCTGTCATTCCCAATGGCCAGACGCTGTCTCTCAATGATATTCCTTACTATGTCAGCGGAATTCCTGTCTCAAGATTGCACGGGCACGATGCCATTACACATACATCCCCTTTGGCAGAAGGTGTGGATTTGGCTCCGTTGATGGTCATCCCTGTCACCTCAAACATGGACTTGAAATCCTTGCTGTCTGAATATGTTGCCCGGGATGATGTGTTCCAGCCGGCCTTCTTGCGTAATGTGTATCTCACATTTTCCACTGGGGCGGCTATTGGATCTTCACTGAGCAACTTTCTTTCGATTCTGAGATCATCTGGCAATGAACTGCTGCTGTCAAATCTTGAAATCCATATTCCGTCGTCCAACTCTACAATCACAGCCCAACTTAGTGATGAGCTTCCAAGTGGACCTTACTTTGTGTCTTTGCATACCGGTGAGGTGTTCCGGGCATATCGATTGTATCCTGATGACAACCTCGCCTTCATCCAAGCAGCCATCAGCAATGAAAGAGGTGGCTTCCTACCCTTACCAGCAGTGACGGAAAATGCCATGACCAAAGATGTCGCGGTACCCTCTCGTCTGTATTATACGCCGACTCCTGAGAAGCCCCTTGCCGGTCTGAGACTAGGTGTCAAAGACATCTTCCATGTCCAAGGGCTTAAGACCAGTGGCGGCAGCCGTTCCTACTACTACCTGTACGGAACTCAAAATGCCACTGCCCCCGCTATTCAGAGGCTCCTAGACTTGGGGGCCGTCTTTGTCGGTAAGACCGGGACCGTGCAGTTTGCCAACGGAGATCGCCCTACTGCCGACTGGGTGGATTTTCACTGCCCATTCAACCCACGCGGGGATGGATACCAGTCGCCTAGTGGCTCCTCCTCTGGCTCCGGTGCGGCTATCGCATCATACGGCTGGTTAGACCTCGCTGTTGGCAGCGACACCGGCGGTTCAATGCGCTCGCCAGCCGCGGTTCAAGGGGTCTACGGCAACCGGCCATCCACAGGAGCTATCTCTCTAGACCACGTCTTGCCACTCTCACCAGCATTGGATACAGCCGGTGTATTCGCCCGGAATGCTTCGCTATGGGCTCATGCTGTGCAAGCTTGGTATCCTCATTTCCAGCACAACTATACCTCCTACCCTCGACAGCTTTTCTTAGCCGGTAAAGAATGGGATGGCAAAGGAATTTCTGCAGAAGCTCACCGAAGTCTTACCAAATTCGTCCGTGGACTGGAGACATTCCTCAGGACCAACCATACCAAGGCCGATGTATCACAGAGGTGGCGTGACACACACCCTTCCACCAGCCCAAGTCTGGAGGAGCTACTATATCGGACCTATGCCACGCTTACGTCTGTCGATCAGTTCAATCGCCTCGCCACACCCCTCTTTGCAGATTACAAGGCAATCTATCGTGGTCGGCAGCCTTTCATCAATCCTGGCCCATTGGCACGCTGGCAATGGGGGCAAGAAAATGGCGGAAACGCCTCGTACGAGGTCGCTCTGCGTAACATGACTACCTTCCGCGACTGGTGGGAGACATCCGGTTATGGGCAGTCTGACGCTGACTCTTGCTCCAAGTCCCTTTTCGTCAGCGTGTATTCGGTCGGCACTACTGACTACCGTAACCAGTACTATGATGAACCCACGGCACCCCCGATGGGATTCTCAGTCGGTCGCATCGCTGTGTTTGGTGGCGCACCGGAGGTGGTGGTACCTGTGGGCGAGTCGCCATACAACAGTACGATTTCATTACAGACTGAGTACTTGCCTGTGAGTGTTGCGCTGCAGATGGCGCGGGGATGTGACCATGTCCTGGCTTCGTTGGTGGCTGGCTTAGGTGAGAAAGGGGTCCTGCAACCGGTGGGAACAGGTTCCCGGTTGTACAATTGACGAAAGGATTAATGTTTGAGGAATACGTCGCTTTTCCTACTGGAAGAAAAACCAACATTGGCTGGAGGTCGTACCTTGAACCTCTATAATTCAACAATGTCTGATGTGAAAAAGAAGGTGGCCGAAGCAAGTTTCCTTATGATATCTTCTGTTGTATATATGGACATAGAATGGTATAATAGACAAATAGATATATTGCAAGAGGCCGGGAGATTTCAAGTCATGCACTTGCAAAATTTCTAGTGGTGAACCTCTGTATCAAGAGGAAAGCTTCTGCTCATGCTTTTGCTCCTGTTATCCCAGGAAGAAACGGCTAAGAGAGGAAAATCGCACCGCTTAATATCCATCAATGAGCCCGTGTAATACAAGGGGTCTGAGAATGTGACTGGGTTCGACAGTGGGGATGTACTTTCATCTTTGCATATAGGATCAATGGCCACATTCTCCTCTATCGACATCTTTAAAGACTGAGACGATCGATTCTATGGCCGCTCAAGTCGCCTTCCTGAACCAACTGCTCGCGTTGATGCTCTAATTTTTGTAACCCTATTCATGAACTACATTGTTGGCCTATAGTGTTTGACTCTCGTACACCAGAATGGCGAGATGCGGATGGCCTGGGATATCTTGCATTCTCTGTCGCCGACGCAAGACTATATGCAATGACAAATAGCCTGGCATCAACTCTCTCTGCTTGCGAAGCAGATCAGCATTTACCATAGTCCTCACTGAACTCTCAGCGGGGGCAATACCCATGCTTCAACTCCCGCCAGTGTGCCACTCTCGACACAGACTAGCTAATACTTGGCGCAAAATTGCGAGCTACGACAATCAAAGCGGTATCCTTGTGAATCCAAGAGACAACTTGCCACGGCAAGAAGGTGGCTATTCCCGTCATTTGGTTGCGACAGTGGAAACAAAGAAAGGCAAACAATGCCCCTCCTTTTCCCAACTTTTAAATCGACAATTGGGTAGACTTGGTGGGTATCAAACTTTAAGAGGAAAAAAAATTAAATTCTGCTGGTTATAAGTTGGTGCTTTCCCATCCCATTGCCTTGACTAACGTGTTGTTCACCGACAGCTGCGAGGATCCAAAATAGTCGGCTATCTGTCGGCCGAAACAGGCCATTTTGATTCCCAGGGTAGATATGCTAAATGTCTAGATTTCGCCGCAGAAGCAGTAGTACTCCAAACATTTCTTGAACCCTCTAGAGGGCACTCGCAGTATCTCCCAGGAGGCATGCTGTTATGTCAGAATACAAATCTGTGTCCATCGCTGACCCTCAGCTTCGCTCCTGTTTCCTTGCAAAAGAGGAAATTTCTCAAGTAATATAACTCAACTAATATATCTTGGAAGTCGGAAATTTCTCTAGTGCTGACCGGTTCTTCCCGACCAAAAGACCCTTCCCATGTAGCGAAAACAAGGCTAGCCAAGTAAAGTCACAGCGGTTGCCAATGGCTTTTCTAGGCTAACTTCACCCCCACTGAAGAAGAGGATGCCCAGGCTTCAATGTAACCTTTTGATAAATCGTGTGGTGTTAGGCCACTCTGTGCATGACAAGGATCCGTTAGGTAGCAAGTGGCCATGTCTTCAGAGGGGGCATTTTTAGTATGCTGAACTAAAATGGTACGATATTTCGTGCCTCACCGAGGGGGCGAGAACAGGCACTTTTTCGACCGTCTAGTGCAGATTCAAAAAGCCCTAAGATGTGTAGGATCTTTGTTGGTCAGTGAGAGGGCAAACATAGGTCTACTAGGGTCAAGCTGAGTGCCCTGTGGTTGGTCTGACCTGAGCATGCAATGTAACCCTGATCCTTCAAGTGGATATCACATCCCGCCAATGGTGGGAGCTACTAATTATCAATCTAATCTGATCTGGACCTACTATCTCGTAACCCCTTCCTTGCTTCGCTTGCTTTCGCTTTTTTGGAAAAAGATAAAAAAAAAAAGAAAATAGTTTTAGCAAGCTTGGATGCTTGCAGCCCAGTCTTCACAATTTTTTTTTCTTATTTAAAACCATGACACCACCTGCGAACCGACTCTACCAGATTCAAAGACAAAAAGTCCCAAGTATGTTGAATCAAGCTGTGACTTCAGCCATCGAGGCCCCTTCTGCCAAGGAGGAGTCTCACGAGGAGACTAAAGAAATCCAGGATGGAGTCCGTATTGCAGAAGCTGTCACCATGTCGTGGTCCAAAAGGTCGTTGATTATGGTGTATATCTGGTTAGTATAGGTATTCCTTATTGTTAGGCAGAATAACAACTAATGTACTAGCCGTGTATAGCATGTGGTTGATATATTTTGTACGGGCACTGAATGGAAACTTGACAAGGAATCTGTCTCCGTATATCACCAGTGATTTCCAAGGCCATTCGCTACTTACCGTGATTGATATCATCACCAGTATTATGAGCGCAGCCTGCACGATGCCGATCGCGAAAATTCTGAATCTTTGGGATCGGGTGATTGCATTAGCTTCCATGCTGTTGATCGCTATCATTGGCCTTATACTTATGGCATGCTGCCATGATATCACCACCTATTGCGTGGCTCAGGTAACTCCTTTAAGCCCTATATCCCAGAATCAAGTACTAAGTTTATACCTAGGCGTTTGTGACTGTGGGATTTACTGGCCTGATCTTCTGCATAGACGTGTTGACTGCGGACACGTCAACTGTGCAGGATCGTGCGCTCGCATTCGCCTTCACCTCGTCTCCATACATCATCATGGCCTTTGCAGGTGCTCCACTCTCCGAGTCTTTTAACAAGACCAATTGGCGCTGGGCTTATGGCACGATTTCCATCATTCTACCGACTGTCACCGTACCACTCATCATCGTTTGGTGGCTCGCCAAAAAGAACGCGCAGAAAGAAAACCCGATAATTCTCACCTCCGAGCGACGCTCCTGGATAGAGCACATCAGGTGGTTCATCATCGAGTTCGACATGATCGGTATCTTCCTCCTCATCGCCGGATTCTCTCTCTTTCTGTTGGCATTCGTCCTGGCAGGGTCCCAGGCAGGTACGTGGCACTCCACAAAGATCATATGCATGATAGTCATCGGCGGTGTCACGATCGGAGTCTTTGTCTGCTACGAACGATTCCTGGCTACAAAGCCCTTCATTCCCTACCATCTCCTCGTATCCCGGACCATAATCGGCACCTGCCTCCTGAACTTCACCTATATCATCGCTGCCAGCTGCTGGGACGCATACTTCACCTCCTTCCTGCAGGTAGTCTACAACACAACCCTCATGCAGGCCGGCTACGTGACCGCCATCGCAAACCTGATCTCCCCCCTCTGGCTCATCGGCGTCGGCTGGCTCGTCCGTATCACCGGCCGCTTCAAGTGGCTACTCCTATGCGCAATTCCCGTCTACATGCTCGCCATCGGACTGATGATCCATTTCCGCAGCCCCGGCTACAGCATCGGGTTTATGTGCATGTGCGAAGTGTTCCTCGGCTTCGGCACAGGTACGATCATTGCGCTGGAGCAGACGGCTGTCCTCGCAGCATCGGAGCACGAGAACTATGCGTCGGTGCTGGCGGTGCTGGGGCTCAGCGGGAGTATTGGCGGTGCGATCGGAAGCAGCATATCCGGCGCGATCTGGACGAACACACTGCCCAATAAGCTGAAGGAATATCTGCCTGAGGAGACGAAGTCGCAGTGGTACGAGATTTATGAGTCGTTGTCTGTGCAGCTGAGCTTTGAGGTGGGAACCCCGACAAGGAACGCGATTGAGCGGGCGTATGCTCTTGCTCAGCGGAATATGCTGATCGCGGGTGTGTCGATTATGGCTATCACGATTGCTTGGGTGCTTTTGATTAAGGATATTAGGGTTAAGGGAAGGACAGATACGAAGGGGTTGCTTTTTTAGTTTTTGCAAGTTCTTGGAATGACTACTTCGCGTTTATCTAGAGCTATATATGTTCTGGGAGGCATTCGGATGGCCGCGCCGTTGGCCCGTCAATAGATACCGCGCTATACGGGGATAGATGGCTAGATGCTCCCCAATTAGACGGTACAACCCCTAGCAATCATCATAATCCACAATGTTGTCCTTAAGGCAACCGTTGCTCGCTGGGTCAATAACGCTTCAACTCTTTCCGATGCTCCCGCCTAGAAAATCCGAGGTATATGTAGGTGATACAATTTTGTCGGTAGGTTTATCTGAGGCTATGAGCTAGGCTTCATTCTAATGCTGAGGCCTTTTAGTATTCCAAGTTAAGGCATCACTGCCAATAGGAGCTTTGTGGATTCGAAAGAGTGCTTTTATATCTAACAATTGCAGAGTAACTATCAACACGAGAAAAGTCTTCAACATATTCACAGTCAGTCATCGATTACTCATATACCGCCCACCACACGGTTCCGAACACTAGTAGCGCCATCAGAACGGTTAGGATACCGGCTCCAGCACGATCCGCAGCAGTAATGCTCCCGGTGAGACTATGGGTTTGCGGATCCTCAGATTTAGACCCGCCACTAGGATCGCCTCTGCTGGTGCCTCCCGTATTATCTGTTACCGGGGGATCAACGTCGCCGACGAGAATCGATTGTATGACCTCCAATGCAGCCATCTGGATACCTACATCATCACTACCATCCCATTTCTCCGATGTCCATTTGAGACCACAGGACGATTGATCTGACCCTCCGGTGCACGTTTTGGCTGCTGCCCTCGCCGAGGCGCGTAGTTTGGGCATTACCTCATCAATGGTAAACGGGGCCATTTGGGTAGTCGCTGCCATCCACCGGGCTAGGTAGCCTTTGAAAGACCGCTGGTCAACCTCGCAAGTGTTAACGGACTCGCAGGCTCGTTCGTACATTACGTCTTTCGTAAAGAAAACCTTTGTGGCGTTGAGAATGCGCTCAGTCCGTTCCCTCCAGATCGGATCGCCATTTGTCTGCAACGTTAGCCTTGACCGATTTGAAGAAGTTGAAGGCGACAACGATGCGCTTACCAGGTTGTACATGGTGGCAGCGCCGAGAAGATACACCCCGGAGTTGTACGTCCACTGAAGTTGGTTGAATACGGTGCAATTTTTGAGGTCGTCCGCCCCGTCCCAGAACAGATACTCCTCTGTCATGAACCCGACCGATGTTGTCCAGTCCCACGCGCGAACGGCCCAATCGGCGTATGTCTGATTTCCCGTGTACCTGGCCAAGCGTGCGGCTAGATTAAAGAAGCAGCCGTTCGAAATTGTGTTCTTGTAATGGTATCCGTTATTGAAGCTGAAGATCTGCCACCTCAACCCCCCACCGCAAGTCTCTGTGTTCCATCGCCGAGCCTGAGTATTGAACACTGACTGGACCATGGCGAGCCAGCTTATTTGTCCCTCAGGTGGATTGGGAAAATTTCGCTCAGCGGCTGACATGGCTGCAAAGGCCCAGAAGGATTGGTCGTCGTTGCCCTCGGTGCGTGTCTGATTCATTGGCATAAATGTCCCATCGTCGCCTGCTTGCCAGAGCACGGCCTGCATGGTGATATCGTTCCACGTATCGTCCCCTGTGTAAAACCAGTAATCAATCAACGTGCTAAACATCGCACCGGCCTCCCACCAATAGTAAGGATCAGGTAAGTTGCCCGGTACATCGCCTATATATATGGCAAACAAGGGCACAAGCAAGCCGCATCTGGTCAGTCTTCTAAGCCGTGGAACGTAGAGGGGCATGGATGCTCTGTACCTGGGTTCATGCCGGTATAGTGAGCAAGCATGTTTTTGGCCACCGCATGGCTGGCTCTTTTCACTGATTCTGATTTTGTGAGTAGTGCCCAAGCATTCGAGATATTTTGCAGTGTCTTACCTGGATTGTCTACTTCAATCTCGATAGCCTGGACACTGACCAGCAGTGTCAGGATGAGATGCCATGGTCTTCGCATTATGAGTGTGTCATACGTCGCTGAGGGCCAGATCGAGGATTAAAAGTCCTCGGGCTATAGTCAATGATTGTTATCGTGCCTCACAATCGTAATCGACATTCCAATAGTGGGAATGTTGTGGTTGCATAGAAACAACCGCGAGACGCTGGCGCAACACATAATCAGGCTCACGAAACTCAACTTAACATTACTGCTCTCCGCAAATTTAAATTGCACTCAGGACCAATGCCTTATGGAGAAGTGAAGTTAAAATCTCACCAACCGAGCAGAAGGCCTTGTGTAGAGTGACGGAGTCGAGATTCTATTGATAATAACTGACAGATCCGGATAAGGCCACATTCCAAGGAAAACTTAAGAACGACACAACACCACGCGGTCAGTGCCGATCACATTCTCAACTGGTTTATTGTCCCATGGATAGTGTCCACGAGGTTTCTTGAGGAAATATACGGGTGTCGACCACTCTTAAATGCCGCGTGCCATAAAGCATTCAGCTGAGTGTCGACAACTCCTCCCAACTCTGAAGGCGCCATGGCGCATGTACCTACTGGGTGGAAGCAATGGAAGAGACATTGGCCTGATGCAAATCAGCTAGATTGCCAACAGCCTTTGGCGCTGCCCCAGATGTGAGGAGTGAGCTGAGAGGCTCTGTCCCAGCAATCTTGTCAAGGAATTGAGTGTGTCGGGCGAGGATCTTCAGGTCTAGCGGGTGAGAGCGATACTTTGGATCGTACTCGGCCTTGTCATGAATGTTGGGCGATCGGATACGTATCGACCCCCTTAAAAAAGGGAGGTTATGTAGGACTACCCCAAGTTTCCTTCGTGGAGCTCGACCGAGGACTAAACTACCTTTGGGCCCTGGGCGAAGTCTGCAGAGATCTGTCCTTCTGTTACTTTCAAGCTTAACAGTAGACATGCAATGATCTTGAAGAATTCCCCCAATCCCTGGCGGGTCGATCAGCACGGGGACACTGTGCTTTTGCAACAGAGGTGCGGCGCTAATACCCGACAGTTCCAGCAGCCATGGGAGTTCAAACACCCTCCGCGCATGCTCACCTAGCGTGTAGCGGTGGTTTCCTGCCACTGACCGTCGTCGGTCCCGATTTTAATCCAAGTGGCCGTCGCCTAGCCATCATCGGCTTTCCTCAACAAGACCATGCGCTCCACCATGGTTTCAGCGAACAGATGCAGGTTTGTGCGCTGTGCCACATACTGGCTGTAGTAAGCCCCAACATAACCCCATTGGCCAGTCTTCACGTTGACTCATAGCGGCGGCGTGAAAGGGACAACATTATGCCCTGCGACCGGGTCTGCGTGAGTGCCCCAGCGCAGGCGGGCGAATGTTTCCTTCCATGCCTTATTGGACGGGAAATAGACATCAAGGTAGGCAATGGGGACCGGGCCCTAGCTGCCCTGATTCTCAGCCTTCATGTAATTGTCTGTAGGAAGTAACGCCTTAGTTGTCTCGTTCAGGGGCGTGTATGTGTGTATCTTACGTAGATATCGTGCCATGGCATCTCGCCTTCACAAACATTGCCTAGGGATACCCACGCCTCCAGGTTCGCGCGCAAGGGTACACGAGCACCCAGAAGTTCAAGACCGCAGGACTACCAACCATCCGGCCCCGGGGCTGACCCATTTGAAGATTGTTGCATGAACCTGCACAGGGCGCTTGTCAACAAACAAACAGCGATGGCCTGGACGGCTCAGGCATAGCTGACCTGTGGCTCGGTCAAATAGTCCCGATTGAAATCCGGATTCGCAATCATGGCGCCTAGGAAGCCCGGGGCCCCGACTAGCGGATCTCGTATATAATCGGACCCTGCTTCGATGACGAAGTCATTGATATTAGAATATTCACTGAGATGTGAGGCTAGCACCAGGCCTCCAACTTCTGCACCGACGATTGGCATAGTTTGTACGGGTGTCCAATGACTGTCATGATGAACGGCCGCTGTCTTTACAAAGAAGGAAAGGGTGATGATTGGAATTCAAGCTGCCTGAAAGCTCACTGGAGATTGCGGGCGGCTTTACAATCTCCAAAGGGATGCGCTAGGATTAATGGCCTGCTTGTTAAATACTATTATTTTGAGCGAGGCCGCAAATGAGATAACCGACCGACGGTATTCGTTCGTTTAATCCCCACCAGCCATTTGAATGCCGATTTGTCACCATCGCGGGCATCTCCGACCCGCTCTACCTTGAGAAGCAGCATTGGAATTAATGAAAGCTCTAGTGGCGTGCTAGCTCTTACCTAGTTGTTTACTATGGCCCGTTGAGCCGTCTTCACGGAGGCCTCGTGGTCTCTCTCTGGAATAGAGCGACGGTGTGCGAGATATATAAGCTGCTGGAGAGAGCCTACCTTTAATACGCCCATCTTGACTATTGCTATTAATGGAGGATCAAATAAGACCCCCTACTCTTGACACACAATCTTCATCGTGAGACTGTCGGTGCGCATATAATGTTACTCATGAGTGTGTGCCCGCAGTGTTGCATACATGCGAGTCTTGGCTAATGAATACTACCCAGTCATACCACTGGAATAAGGGAAAATGGCCTTGTACTTTAGACACGCGGGGTACTGCCGAAAAGGATCTTCAGTTGTTGATCCATGGTTTCACTGTTCTATCAACATCGTGACATGCACTTCGGAGCGTCACCGACAATCTCGGGATGATCCGAACACGATGTAACAATGAGACGGTTACCTTGAAAATCTGAATAGTGCATACGAAATTTGTGCGATTAGGTAGTAACCCCAGTTTTGGTGTTTACTTCACAGGGCGTGCTGAATTTGCGTATAAATTCAACCCTTGCATACTCCTCCCTCAACCACGTCCTGTCCTGTGCTTTACCACAACCAGCGTTGAACCTACTGCGCATGAACGATCTTCGGACGTCATGCAGCTGCGAGGCCTCCTGTCCACGATGGCTATATTGCCATTTAGCGCAGCCTGTGTCTCCTCTCCAGGAGACACCGCCATAGTTCCTGGGTGGCATTTGCAGTCCGCGCTTCATGCCCCTAATAATTTGACTGAACTCTCTCTTCCTACATCATATAATGTCAGCTCCTGGTATCGCGTCGGCCCTCGGACTACCGTCATGGCGGGCCTGATTGAGAATGATGTATACAACGACACATACTTGTTCTACTCAAACAACTTCGAGGCCATCGACCTCACCCCCTTTAAGTCCCCATGGCTTTACCGTGAGGAGCTCACCCTTGTAGCACCTCCAAAAGGCCAGCATATTTTCCTCATCACCCATGGTATTACTTCAAAAGCCGATATCTATTTCAACGGTAAGCAAGTCGCCTCGAACACGACCCAACAAGGTTCCTACGGCGGCCAACGCTACGACATCACCCCATTCATCCAGACCGGCAAAAATGCCCTGTTAATCCAGGCACACCCGACAAACTACCTCCGTGACTTTGCGCAGGGCTTCGTCGACTGGAACCCGTACCCGCCCGACAACGGTACCGGAGTCTGGAGGGACGTAGAACTCAAGCAGACAGGACCGGTTTCCATGTCTTCTCCACGAATTCTAACGGACTTCACGGGCTCACGCACCGAGAGTGTTACCGTGACGATCAATACAGACGTTAGGAACCACGAGGCGCGCGCCGTCAGTGGTGTTGTGCATGGTACTGTTCAGGCGAACGACGATGCATCGCAGACGGTCGCGTTTTCGAAGGAATTCAAATTGGAGCCGTACAAGGCCACCACGATCTCAGATACTGTATTGCTAGAGAACCCTGAAATTTGGTGGCCGGCCGCATGGGGTGAGCAGCCATTGTACACTGTGCGAGCCGAGGTGTCGGTCGGTGACGATGAAATCTCGGATATTGCACTGGAAACGCAGTTTGGGATCCGACACGTTACGTCAAAGGTTAACTCGTATGAAGACACTCAGTTCACCATTAATGGGTACCCATTCCAAGTAAGGGGTGCTGGGTATACTCCCGATATGTTTTTACGATTCGACATCGATCGTCTTGGGACCATGTTCCAGTATATGCTAGATATGGGACTAAATACTGTGCGATTGGAAGGAAAGCAGGAACATCCGGAATTGTACGAGCTCGCCGATAGCATGGGAATGATGGTGATTTCGGGATGGGAGTGCTGTGATAAATGGGAGGGATGGGACGTATGTTTGACCACTTGCTATGCTTCGCATAATGTTATGGGCTAATGGATACAGTACAATCATGATGCGGACGGCGTGAAATGGACAGAGGAAGACTATCCAGTCGCTGAAGCCAACATGCTTCATGAAGGAGCAATGATGCAAGCTCATCCCTCGATGCTGGCATTCCTCGTCGGATCGGACTTCTGGCCCAACGACACGGCTACGAAGATCTTTGTTGACGCCCTGGGTCGCATGGACTGGCCTAACCCGATCATCGCATCAGCGAGCAAGCGTGGCTACCCTGAACTCCTGGGCCCATCCGGCATGAAGATGGATGGGCCTTACGACTGGGTCCCGCCTAATTATTGGTACACGGATAAACTGGGGGCAGCATTTGGGTTTGGCTCTGAGCAGGGGTCAGGCGTAGGGACGCCAGAGATATGCAGTTTGAAGGAATTCATGTCCGAGCAGGATCTGGAGAGTCTGTGGACGCAGCCAGAGAAGCCACAATGGCACCAGGGGAGGAATAACTCGGCTTTCAAGGATCGCACCATTTACAACGAGGCACTCTTCGCACGGTACGGCGCGCCAACGGGACTGGAGGATTATCTTCGCAAGGCGCAGATGATGGATTACGAAGCGACCCGGTCTGAGTTCGAGGCATTTGCTATCCGCCAGAACGCAAGTCGTCCAGCTACCGGACTGATCTACTGGATGCTGAACGGCGCTTGGCCTAATCTGCATTGGCAGTTGTTCGATTACTACCTTCGCCCTATAGGGTCCTACTTTGGGACGAAAGTAGGTGCTCGTTTGGAGCATGTGGCTTATGATTATGAAGCCCGCACTGTTCATATCATCAATCACTCTTTAGACAAGTCGGGGACACGGATCGTTACAGTCGAGTTGATTGATTCTCACGGCAAGCCCATCGCTAGCCAGAACATCACGACCGACACAACCCCAACGGCATCGAAGGAATTGACCACAATACCCGAGGTGAAGACGATGAAAGATGTTGGGTTCCTTAAACTGACGCTCCAGGACCCGGAGAGGAAAACTGTTCTCAGCCGCAATGTTTACTGGCTCTCGCCTACGGTCGAGACCTTCGATTGGGACAATTCGACCTTTGTTAACACGCCCGTGAGAGAATACGCTCCTCTGACGGGACTGACTGATATACGCACCGTTTCCGTGTCGACAAGCATGAAGACATACGCCTCGCAACACGGCTCGACGCTGGCTGAAGTCACGATAGAGAATACATCCGGTGTGCCAGCTTTCTTCTTGCACTTGATGATCACTGATGCGGAAGGCCAAGAACTGACCCCAGTATACTGGTCTGATAATTATGTGACTCTGTTCCCCAAGGAAAGCTTAAGCCTGACGGTGGAGTTTGAGGGCAATAACTGGGTTGCCGTTATTTCTGGTGCCAATGTGGAGAAGAAAGTCATTGGACAAAGCTAGGCTATTATATATGGCTTGCTTGAATATATACAAGGTATATTGGACTTGAATGGGTTTGCTTATTTACAATATAGCTCACATCGATACTACCCTCCTGGATAGTGAAGGTCATAGCTGATATACCTGTATAGATAGCAAATACATAACTTGAATTACATGCTAATTTCTCTCGAAGGGATAATGAACAACGTCATGCCATGAAATCTGCAGCTAATAAAACAATACCGTGAAGAACGGATTCCTAGACGTCATGCCTTTACTCTTCTGTTAGAATGCCTTGACCTTTGCTATTCCAAAGGTATCGACCAATGTGGACGGACAATGGGTACACGTTATTTTGGGGAACAGTTCTTATCAATCTAAGATGTGTCCGAGGGGTTGTCAGTGGATAAGGATAACGCATTGAATTTTTCGTGACAGCTGGCTGTTGCATTGCTCGCTATCTTTGTTGATGTATACATATAGGCAACATGTTGTAGACCCCCTTTTATCATTACAAATTTAGGATTAGCTTATTAGTCCAGGCCTGCATGATTCAATGGAATTAATAAGGGAAACTCACAAGTTGCTTAAGAGTAATATCGTCACCTGTCTATACATTATACTAACTAATCATGCCCGGCTTAGTCAAGCCTTGGGTAGCCCATCCTAGGGTTACCGTAGGCAAATACAAGAACTGTAGCTCAACTATGGCTCGACATGGAAGTAAGGGACAACCTAGTGGGCCGGGTACCTCACGTAGCCTCACTCACTGGTTGATTCAACATTAACCAGGTTAACCAGGTGACTATTGGGAACGATGTGAAACCTGGGAAATAATATGTGTTCGCTGTATACCAACCTTTGTGACGTAGAGACGATGTTCCTGTTCCCCTTCCTGATCATATACCTATGACCATTTTCTACATATAAATGTCAAACTACCTGGCCAACTTAGCAACGACATCTCACATTCTTTACAACATGTGTACGGCACCATCGTTCGAGGCTTGTAGCCTAACCTCATTAGATCATATCCTCTTCCATTTCCATATTTCCAATTTCTGTACCCCTACCCTTGAAGATCCAGCCTCGGGCATCTCGATCCTAGAAACAGTCGTTGACAGGCTAATAGGCCACCACGCATTCCTGGGAGGAAATCTAGTCGAGCACCGTAAAGTTGGACAAAGTGATGATGTGTGCAAAGTGCACCCTCCCACCCCGGAGTAGATACTCGACCGCCTACTGCTCAAGGTGAAGCAACACCAGTACCGCCTCCCAGCGGAAATTCAGGTTTGGAACCAGGCAGAATATCATCTGATTCTATTTTATATGGAGACTTTTTGCCGGTACCTTTCGGTCAAGACCGAACTAATCCTCAGCCAATTCTACGAATCCAAGCAAATGTGATGCTGAATGGAGTCCTCCTCGGTTTCGTAATGCCTCACAGGACGATGGATGGACATGGTGTAGGCGTAACCATGAATTCTTTGGCTGCATACTGTGGTGGTGCTGAACTGGACCGGAGCTTTCTCCCTGATCTTGCGATCTAGACTTAATCTAGAAAATAGATCACACAGTACACTGGGGAGATGTCCCTGAACTATAAGACGAGACGTACGTACCTAGCGAGCTGATAGGTGCGAAGAATAACGCTCCTAATGGGCCAATCTGCCGGCTGTACCGATTGGGTGCTGAGAGGGTTCGCCAGTTGAAAGATTCATGTAATTAGCTTCTGGGCTTCTTGATGATCTGCAGATGCAAGACCTGAAGCAAAGCCGGAGATACCCCAGCATTAGCTCTGATGGGCTCTTCTCTCAAAATGGCATTTTTATAGCCTTGCTACGCCTCTGCAGAGCAAGGGCAAGAAAGGCGTCTCTGTCTTCCCCATTATCCCTGGTTTGTGGCCGACATAAGTTCAACGCTTCAACCTCCTCTTCCGGAGAACCACGCCAGTAATTCTATTTCGTTCCCCAGACTGTCTTTTTCGAAGGATGACGTTTCGCTCGTGGAGAGCCTCAATACAGACTTCAAGGGTCAACATCCGTTGACAAGAGCGACATACTGTTGCTCTTCAATCTTGCCCTGAAGGTTCGTGAATATACAGGCAACACAGATTACAACCATGGCCGTGGCCTAATCTCCTACATGGATAAGACGCCCGGCTGAAGCACGCCTATCTTCCCTCCAGTTGATGCCATGGTGAGCAATTTGCGCCATATGCCGTTTTATCAAGCGCGCCGTCGACCAGTCGTTGGAAGATTGCAGGACATGGACCTCCCAGAGAACAGTGTCGAGGGTTTCTCCTGGATCTTGCCCGCTCGTCCTCTATCTCCAACCGCCCCATACAAGGAGGTCGCTGATACTCCGTGGGATATCCGCTTTACTTTATACCAGGAGGTAATTGATAGAATTTTGAACGATAGGCTTTTTAGGTCGATCTCTCCCACTGGTAATCGGAGACAATTTTATCTGGATCGTTGTACAAGACACCATTGTACCGGCATATGTCTGGATAATGATGATGTATTGGGCAAGCTGTGACATGTTCTGGCTGAATACCTTTCTATTCGTTTCACCAGAGGACGACTGTATATGATCGTTCACCTCTTTACACTTGCGAGACCGTTAGACTTTATAATAATACTTAGAATGTGATAATTTATTTCGATACATCTTAACGCAATCTTTTACTTTACATAATCAGGAAGACACATTTTGTATATGCAAACATTATATCAATGCCCCAATACAGCTCATCAATTCTAGTACAAAGTTCGCCAATGCCTAGGCAGGCATCTTGAGGTTAGAGGAAGCAAAAAAGACAAATTTGACATTCAAAAATGATCACAAAAGGCCCATTGAATGTTCGAGGTATAATAATCACTTACACAAGGTAACATATCATCCAAAGTTTGAAGAAATCCTACACACAGAGATACGGTCCACATTGTAGGGCATGATTCAAAGCGGACCAGCAATCAGACTCGACAAAAGGCTGTTGCCCTGAAATGCCGTTCGCAATCTCTGTGATATCATTTCCATTACATCGAACTTAATATTCGATTCTCTTGGGGCCTCTCTTGTCGGTCCGGGTGACTTGTCATACAGATTTAGATCCCCGCCCTGTTCATCAGACGCACGCACCATGATAGTGAAGATCCTTTCGGCCAGTGCCGGATCCAGGTCATTTGCGTCCAAGACGGCATGCATTGGTCTCCTGCCCGAGAGTTCTTTCGCAGTAGGATCGGCCCCGTGCTCAAGGAGTAGCTTTGCTCCTTCAGTGGAGCCTGCCGAAGCAAAGTCGTACAATGGAAGAGCGCAAGGACGGTCGAATCCCGGATCCTTATTTGTGGAATCAGGTATTGTGGCCTCGGTGAAATTTATATCATCTCCGTTCTCAAGAAAGACCTTATTGGTGCGTTTGGCCGTCTCCCAGCTCAGGGAAGAGGTACTTGCGGCGCCCAAGGCGGATGAACCCTGCCCATCCTACGCGACAGGATTAGCCCGACGATCAAGCAGTACGTTTACCATGTCATCGTTACTCTCGAGGAAGTCCTCCATCAGAGCTGTCCTATTATATCCATCGTATCTAGATGGGTCGGCTCCGTGATCGAGCCATAATTTGAGACACTCGATATTGTCGTTTCGGGCCACAAATTGTATAAGCCCTGGGCACCTGTCCTCGTTGATAAAGTCCGTGCGGGTGGGTAGATTCTGCTTCTTTAACTCGATCTCTTGCCGCAGTACAGTGCTTGAGCAATTGTTAGCGTCGAACCAGATGATGCTTTCTACACGGTGACTCATCCTTCCGGTCACGTCCGTCCCTCCGTCAAGCAGCCACATTACCATCTCACCCTATTCATCCTACATGGCGAGCACCAATGGAGTCTTGTTGTTGTCGTACTTGACAGGAAATGAGAATTTTCTCTTCTTACATACACCAGCTCTCCTCGACTCATGATCATAGATAATCACAGAAATAACATGGCTGTCCTCTATTTCCTAGCAAACCTCAAACAGTACCAGTGGATAGCTTGCCACCCAGGAGCTTCCAAGACCACAACAAATCGACAATGATAATCTCCACAAAGGTAAACACCAAGCTTCCTCCAAAAACAAGACTATGATAGGTCCATGCGTTTGCCTGGTTCAGATCAACGACCTGACAGACCACAGCCCATGGAAGAACATAGCAAAGGTTTGAAATCAGGGACTGCGTTAGATACCATATGGGGCGGGTAGCGAGCAGTACAGCTGCCAGCTGAGTAGATATAGCGTACATCAAGTAGCACCTTAGGCTTGTTAGAATCTTCCATCGCTTTACCGCAATCCACAACTCACCAGTCTATGGTTTGCCACATATGTGCAGTTATTTCGGCAACGGCCTCGGATTTACTCAGAAATAATGCAAATGGTTTGCAAGCCCATATTGAAAAGATGATGTATAGGGGTATCTCAATAATGATAGCGATTATGACGGAAAGTAGTGCTGGGCGAATAACGGCTACAGATATCAGCATCCTAGGTGCGGTCGTTTTTCCACGGGAATAATACGTACTGAATAGTCTTCGCCTAGACAAACCTACCAAGGGGATAGTATCCTTGAGCTCGCCCCAAGCATGGCCAACAAATGCCAAGGTCGTAGCCTCCAAGGCCTGAACCGGCACCATGACCAGTCCCCACCGAATAGTCGTGAAGATCGTCCAGGCGGTGGCATAGTCTGCTGACATTGAGACAACGGTATGTACAAGCCAGAGATATAGTGCATTCCTAACCGCCGACTCAAGGAAGGTAATGAACCCTGGTTTAAAGAGCACAAGAAAAGCGTGCAAGCTAGGTCTCTCGCCACGCCATTGCCAATGACGCCCGTCCCTGTTGATACTTGTCGTCATGAAGAAGTAGAGCAACCCGCAAACAGCCGCGGTCATTTCACAGCACAGGCGAATGGCAGCTTGCATGTTAATATCTGGCGTCCAGCTGCCCACATGGAAGGAGGAGATAAACAGTAAATCCAGAACAATATTCACCGTCACCTTGACAGAGCTCATGAAGAGAGGCACATCAGGCTTATCCAGCGCTCGAGTAGAGTTAGAAACTGCAAAGTCTATGGCAGAGCTCAGAGCCGAGAAGGCACTGATCCTGACATACTTAATGCTCTTCTTCTGCACCTCGTGGGGCACAAATGCGGAGGCGAATGCCTGTGCCGCCCCGGCAAACACAACGCTCATAATCATTCCCAGAATGGCCTGGAATATGATGAGAGTATGTGCCAGGCCTAAGCGGGATTCGAACGACCGCGTTTGTTTGTCGGCGATCGTTACCCATACCGCTCGCGGTAAACCCTCATTGAGCACCTCAGCGACGGTGTTAATGTAGGTATATATGTCCGTGGTAACAACAAGAGAAGGATCAATCCTTGCGACCCAGAGCTTCACAAGGGTATTATAGAGCGCGGGAAGGATGAGCGCGCCTGCGTTGAAGATGAGGGCTCCCACATAGCTTCATGGGCTTCAGCTAACAACGAACACGTATCTAGCTCCATCAATATGACTACTTACCAGGACCGATTCCACCATCTCTCTCCAACAGCCCACTCGAGAGACAGGAGGCTAGTCCACCAAATGGGATCTTCCCTGCTGCTGCTAGTAGCGTGCAGGCTCGCTACAGTCTCCTCTTGCTCCGGCAACATTTCGAATCAATCCTGCTTTACTGTGATACCGAGGTTACGGCTGTATTGCTGCGGAGCTGTAAACAAAGATAAATAGTCCTCGCTTCTTAGCGCTAAAGGGTTGGCCAAGTTCTTTGTGGGGGTTAATATTCGACTCTGTCTTAGGTAAAGGCTTTGGTGGCAGGGTTATTGATTGGCCTGAGAAGAAAGAATATGGTAAAGCAAGGGGCATCTGCGGGGTAGTCGATGACTAGGCTATAACTCCTATAGTATAGTTCAAGGACCATTCGTCTAGTGGTTATCTTTTCTTAGTTATGTTTATTTATTGTCTTTCCCCTCTAGGGTAGGGCTTCCTGTTATTGAGTGGACTCTATGGCCAGCCCAGCATGATCTATCGAGTCAACGCCTGCACCTTCCCTTCTGCCGCCCACCTATGAATACAACGAAACCTCCACAATAAACATACACTGGTCAGTCGTGTTACAGATTCTGCAGTATCAGTTCGACCTCTGCATCAGCTGCCTCAAGAATATGCTCCGCCGGATACTGAGGTTCCCATCCGATACTCCGTCCACGCACGGCCGTGAATGTGCAACTGATCATTTTTGTCAGTTTTCTTCAAATTATCATTCCGGAAAAGAAGAGAGAGCCCAAAACGTACTGGCCACCGAGTTCCACGGGTACAAATTCCTTTGGTCGACTCAATGCTCTTCCCATCCCACTTAGTGCTGCGTCGTCGGCCAGTTTGACCTTTTCGTCATCCACGACATTGCGCTTTGCCAGCGCCTTGGCCATGGCAGAATAAAGATCGTTCCATGTCACCGAGCCAGACGCAGCCAGGTAATACCCGTTCTTACTGTACGGCGGACTCTGATCGAGAAGAATACTGCGAAGCAGTTCTAGGTATAGGCCCGTGGTATCTGCGATGTGGGAGACGGGCCATGACTGAGAAAGAATATTTAGCGACAGAGCGGGAGTTACCCAGGAAGGGGGTATCAACTTACTGCGTAGCCTTCATCAACGCTATATACCCGTCGCACCCCTTTCGCTGCTCGAACGACAGCGGTGGTCTGGATTGAAATAAGATTACCGAACCCCTCTCCCTTGCCGTATACGACGCATGGCGTGAAGATATAGCTCCGGACACCATACTCGTCGGCAGTGTCAATGACATCGATATTTGTTTGCACGGCCTTTCCCGATTGTTAGTATTAATCATCGAAGATTATCCCGAAGAGGCAGCCTGAAAATATAAAGCACAATCATACCGTTCCAATCAATGGATGAGACGGCTTAGCAGCCTTCTGGATCTCATACAGCCCTGGTTCCGAATCTAAGAGAGGCCTATCGGTCGGATGGCCCGCATGGCTACTGAAGAGCTTTGCACCACTCGTATGCAAGAAATGTACGTCTTTTCCAGTCTTTTTCTTAACCTCGCCAAGTGCGCGGATCATGGTCTTCTGGACGCCGGAGTTGAGCGCATCGATGAGATAGTATATGATGGTGATTTCATGCTCGATGATAGCTTTTATAGTGCTCGCTTCGTCGTTCATATTGATTTGGATTGGCTCCGCCCCATAAAGCTTCTCCACGGTCTTGGCCTGTTCCTCTGTCCGAACAAGGGCGAATAGCTTCTGGTATGGGGGAAGGTTCCCATGTTTCATCCGAGCGAGTAGAGAACCTCCCAGATATCCGGAAGCGCCTGTTATAAGGATGTTGTGTGGCATGTTGACCAGGATTTGAGAAGTAATAGGATAAGTTGGCTAGTATAGTTCGTAGTAAAAGGTTTCTATATTCCAGGATGGGAGAGTTCTTATATATATATATATTGAGCTAGTTCGGAGCAAATACGGAGTTGGTAACTGCCTATTGCTAAAATTATATTTGTAATCGACCACTAGCTGAGCATAGGAAATTCATAATCCCAATCTATGAAATTGGATAAGCGGCAAAGGAAAACCCCATAGTATAGACTAAGCAATTAGTCGATCATAGTAAGCAGGCCATGTTCATGCGTCGGGAACGGAGTCGGAGTCTGGAGACCCACCGATAGACAAACGGCGAAATTAATTGTACCGAGCTCACGATAATTGTGCCATGTTTCAATATTGGTCAATATCCCCGGATATACCTGTATCTAACTTCTATTCAATATCTCCATAAAATAAATGAGAGTGCGTGAGAATGCGAGCACTGCTTGAGATAAACCGAGGAAAGACAGACAACCAGATCACTCAAGAAATAACTATGGCAGTTTGGGCTGACCAGGGTCATTACTCCTTGCCCATGAACCCGATATCGATCAGGACCTGTTTCAAAGAGCCAGACTCAAAAGGGGGATAATCTGGCTCGCACTTTGTCCCCGCTTCGGGAAGCGTTCCATTTGTCCAGTAGTTTCGGATAGTCTTGGACGTGCATGAGGAGCCTTGGGCCAAGGTAGCGTGCTAATACTCTTGTTAGCCTTGAAGACATTGCACTTTCATGGAGAAGAATGAAATGACGTACCCCCCATCCACCATGCTCGAGCAGAGCGCTGCCCTCGAAGGTGGCACTAATATTCTGCGCTGACCGGAACGGGGTTGCAGAGTCGTAAGTGTTGCCGATGACCAAGACAGGGCTTTTTGTCTTGACCTTAAAATTGCCATGATATCTTTCTTTAGCTTTCACTTTCCATTGAGAGCAGACCATCGCGACGCCGTTTCCAACTTCCCCCAGTAGCCTACTTGTTTGCACAAGGGTCTCGAGGTCAGGCTTGATCTCATTCAAGGTGTGTTTTCCAGTTTCCTTTTCAGAACAGGGGATTGCGAACGGAGAATCGTCAGCTATGTCACCAGCCAGCACTCCTCCTCCATCCATTTGCGTTTGCCAATGTTGCATAAACCTCGTGGTGTTCCCGTCTAACAATGCATTGAATGCAGCGGCAAGATTGGGGTAGACGGGAGGGCTGTAGAGAGACGATCGGATGAACGCCTTGATGAAGCTATGATCTATGATCAGCTGTTCATGAATTATGGGAATGCGTTTCACGTCGTCTAGTAGATCGTAAATGGCTTTTTCGAGCTGTTCAGCAGTCTGGTTTCGACTAGCAAGTGCGCACTGCTTCGGTGATTGGATGCACTGCTCAAAAAAGCTGGTAAAGACCTTATCTACATCTGTCCATAATTCGGTATCACTGTGGGAAGATACAATCTTAGCATCATTCGCCAGGAGGGCCCGGAATCGGGAGACATACTATGCGCTGTAGTATTGATGAGGATTCATAACTCCATCCAAGATCAGCCTTTCCACCCGATCAGGAAACATGGCAGCAACAGTGGAGCCTAACACTGTCCCGTATGAAAAGCCTAACCAGAAACGACTTGTGAGCGGGCGGCCTCTAGATGCCAATCATTTCGTATGGATTGTGCTCTTACCCCAATACCTAAGCAGCCCATCATCGCTAACGGCATCCACGATTTGCATCAGGTCCCTGGCCGTAAATGCCGTACTCATTAGTGCGCCCTTGTCTTTCAACTCCGACTCTGCGCACGCATCAGCATAGAGACCTGACCCAGCCCATTGCCTCCCTAGTGCCATCGTATCAGAGGGCGTTGGGAAATCGCTTAACCGCGCTTGTACAGTAAGTGCAGCTCTCTCTGTGCTGTTCTTGAAACAGGAGGCTGTAAAGGTTTTTGCCGGCCCTCTGGTCGATAAATGGTCAGTTAACCTGGCCACTAGCTAATGGTCAAATAGACATACCGAGGGTCATGTGCAATAATATCATGATAACCACCCGTCAAGCTGCGAGTGCATTAGCATTTTGAGAGCCCTGCTGCTGGTATCACCCCAGGGGTTTTAGTGACTTACGCTAGTAGCACATCGCTGACTCTAGCTAAAGTCAATCTTGCCTCAAGGCCCGGGCCACCGAAATTAACAAGGATACTTCCCTTCTTGGGCTCATGCCTGGCCGGAACCTTGAGTAGTTGAAGTTCGATTGTAGCATCTGAATTGGGATCAGTGTAATCCAATGGCACCGTCAAATTGCCACATTGCATCGGCGCGGTGACAATCTCGGCTTCACAAGAGCTCCAAGCTATCTTTTCAGACCGGGCATGGTTTGGAATAGTAAGGGGTGTGGCGTAAGAGCCAATAAGGAGCGAGGCTAGAAGAATGGTAGGCTTCCAAGCCATTGTGGTATAGGTCCCGGGAGTTCTCGTGAGTGTGCTATCTTAATTTGGCCAGAACTCATCTAAAGGGCTGGACTCCATCCTCTATTTAAATAATCAAAACCCTGGATTGAGCTAAGGATATGTATATACATCCAACAGACCCGACAGCGCTGAGTACATCCTATCTGGGTAAAGGTAGGGCCAACCTTCTCCACTCGACATAGGCCTTAGTCCATCTTCTTTCAATCAAGACCATCCAAACCTATAACTATACTGAACATGGTCAAAGATGACATAAAGTGGCGATGACCCAAAGGCCTACCAATGTTGATAATTGGATGATCATATCCAAGCCACCGCAGCCTCAGGCTCTTCAGGCGTCCACACTACCCGATCGGGTGCAATGGAGCGCTGCCAAGCAGTTTATTTCTCGTGATGCATGTTTCTTGATTGGTCCATGGTATTGTGTTGTAGCCCGGCTAGGTCACATGATGCCATTGGACTCCCTATTCAGGAGAAATAGATGAATAACTGTTAATAATGCAGGGTTCATGCAACCGGATGACTCAGCTCAGAGGCACAACTTGTGTTTTCTCCCAATTGGGACTAGAAGGACATAACTGAAGTACTATAGCAGTACTTCGCAATTTAATACTATTCATGCTTATTAGGTACAAACTTCCTCAACTATCTAGAGTCGTTTACCATCATTTCAATCTGCCTGTAATCATTCATAACGATCGGCCATTCTTGGCAGTTGGGTTTCCTGCAAATTGCAATCCTGCCGCAGGTAAGCCTAACACTCGAGTATAAAGAATGCATCTGTGAGGACGCTGAGGCTTTTTCGGTAGAACACGTCGGTCTCTGCTTCGGAGTCCCTTTCAATCTCCATAATCAACTACACTTTCTTTTTCTGTTCTGCTATTGTTGCAATATAACATGACTTCGTCGCACGAGAAATACGAGGGCGGCCTTAAGCCTCCCAGCAGTTGGGCCCTGACGAAAGACGAGGGCGTTCTCCTGAGTCGTCCAGTTCTCCGGGAAATTGCCAAGGACAAGACCTCCCGGGCCACTCTGTATAGATACGGTGGCCATAAGCGAACCACTTACCGCGTCGCGAGTCTTATCTACATGACTGGAAATCGTCTATCCGATGAGAATGCGTGTGAGAAGTGTAAAGAGTCGCCCATCTTCGACGGTTGCGTCGTTGCTGAAGGTGTCCAGTATGGTGCCTGTGCAACATGTGTACATTTCTCTGCCAAAGAATGCACGCTGTATTCACGCGATAAGGACGCTTCCCTCAATGCTGGAGAGGATCAAGGGCTTAGTCACAACGAAGATAAGGACACTGAAGGTAAAGCGGAGGAACTTCTCGCTGCTTTCGACAAGCGATGTAAGAGACAACGAGTTGGCCCTGTTCAGTCGAGCCAGGAAATAGCTGGCAATGCCTCCCGTTCAATTGCTTCTTCTTCTCATTCCACGCCTACCGCCCACCGCACTAGTCTTGCCCAGCTATCGTCTAGTCCCGAGACAAAACTTGCTGCCCTCAAACCTCGCGTGGACCAACCCAAGCGTGCTGCAGCTGCAGCTGCAGCTACTCCTATTGCGACCTCACTATATGCTGCCTCCGACTGTTCTCCAGGCGTCTCAAAGAGTCCAGAAGACATTGTACGCAATCGTGGTCTCCTATCCCTAAAGCTCGCGATGATGATGGGTGATCTCCATCAACAGATCGCCACAGGTGGCTATGACCATCTTGAATTTGTGAACTGGCACCAATTCAGTATCGCGCAGATCTTTGACGCAGAGAGGGACCGCACCCTTCCGATGCTTCGTCCCGGCCCTGGGTTGACGCTTGAGAGCCTTGATACAACCACTATCTGTGAATTCTTGCAGTCCGGCCATAGTGGGCTATCCTATTTAGATATCATCGCGGCGGCCTCGGCTGGACTCTTGACACAGACGGTTGCGAAGGTTTCGGCCTCCACTGTTCCAGCAGCTTAAACTGGACTTGCAATTACTCTAACTCCGACCCCCCAGAACCACCCGTGCGGTTCGACCTTCTAGTTCGGAATAAACTCTTGGAGGCTAGGTTCCCGCATTCTCAGAAGATGTCTGCACACGTATCAGTGTTAGCAACGAGGTGGCTAATGATGGCACGAAAAACACAGGCTTTGACACACAGCGACCGTTTGCTTAAGGGATAAAACGATGGACAACGAGGCAAATAAACCTGATGGTATATGTTCGTGAAGGTCATTATGTATTTCAATTTTCCCGCTGGAAAGCCATTATGTAAAATCAAAAAGCCAGACTAAATACAAAGATGGTATAACTATAATCATTCCACATCTCACCGATCCTTTCCCGGTCCGTCGAATGAGCTTCTTTTCTCTACTTGGTATCCATGTCGTGTTTCTTGGGAGCCTCTCCAATCAAATCAGCGGCATAGAGATCTTATTGTCATAGTCGACATTCTCCGTGTAGCACTCAACCCGCTCTCCGCAGGTGCCAAACACAACGTCCCATAGGCGTGTTTGCTTCCCGTAGTTGGCACTCTTCTTCCACCCCCGGCGATGGTGCATGTCATGATCTTCAATGATAAGTTCGGCGTTGAAGATCCTCAGAAGCCAGGACAGGGTATTGGGCGGCACGGCGTGGAGGCGCAAACCACTGTGTCCCGCCAGCTCGGCGAAAACGACATACTGGTGGCAGATCCACCACTCGTAAAAACCCATTGGGAGACCCATGAGCTTCATGCTGAAATACGCGAGGAGTGGGATGCCAGCGATATCGAAGAATTCTTGCTCTGTATCGGCGTAGAGCGTCAGAAGTGGGTTGGGGTGCTTCGTCAAGTGGTGGGTCCGGTGGTACTTCCAGAGACCGGTCACCTCGTGCATTAAACGGTGATACCAGTAGAACCAGAAGTCGAGAATAATACCGTACAGGCCTGCTTCGAGGGGTAGCCAGAGCCAGTTCATCGTTGAGGGCGCCTGACTGCTCCGATAGCTGAGGAACACGGTGAAGATCGGTCGAACGGTTGAGGTGGAGACAAGGGAGTGGACAACCTTTTGCACGCCGACATCTGGCACCCCGTCGCGCTCGTGGACGTCGCCGTCAAGGAACCCCAGCATGTGGCCCATTCGGCGGAGGACGTGGATTTCGTGGATGGCGATCAGCTTAAACGCGGCACTGTAGAAGAGGAAGGCAGCGAGGGGGCTTAGGTTGTGCCCGGTATAGGATGTGTAGACGTGATGGATGGCGAGTGGAATAAAAGAGTGAACCAGCACCCAGCGGTGCAAGTGCCACTCGGGGATGTAGGGCACCTTCTCCTGCTTATCGTGAACTGGTACTTCCTTGTCCAAAGCGACCGGGTGGATGCCCAGGATCTCGTAGAACCAGTGGAAGACGGACCACTCGGCGCGATCCAGGCGGCGCCAGGTGGACTTCATCGAGTCCTTCGGATTGGGGTGGGTACTCATTATGAGTGGTGATGATGATAACGTTTGGGTCCTCACTTCGTACCCCATGGGGAGATGGACAGGCCCCCGGTATTTATTATCAACTAGCCCATCTTTTAGTTGCTGGATCTTCGGCAGATCTTGATACTCGGCATGTGAATAGGCCTGTCCATCGGGCTTCATGAGGCAAATGGGGGAGAGAACCCACTGCAGATCATCAGACGCAAAAACGGGCCACTGGCTGGCCCCAACCGGCCGATTAGTGACATTTAGTCGGTCCCTAGTGAGCGACTAATCTACTGAGGGAAAGGAGTTCCTGATTGGGACCTCCCTCACACGGATTGTTCCTAGCCAACATGATGTCAGTCGTCGACACTCCCCGCATTTTTCGTGCCTCGGACGGTCATTATGGGGAGAATGGCCTGACGGTTTGACTTTTTGGCGGTTGGAGATCTTCAATTAGGGACTTCTGGATCATGCCTTCTGGTATCCTGAGACACACTAGACCCTTGTCAAAACCTATGTATAGCGGATCGGCTATAAGGTGATCCACGGCGCATGCAGAGAAATGGGTTCAAATCCCCGCGTGCAAGGCTGGCGTGCCATAAAATGGCCAGTTTAACCCCTGATCCGTTCCGTATACCCGTGGGCGGTTGGAACCCTATCCACAAATGTTGATTGTAAGGAAGGGGGAGAACAGATGTAGCCTCAGGTTACAATGGACAGCTTCACACTTGTCATTTTTCCTTAGTAATTTACTACACTTGCCTCTGACTTCCAGTATAGTTCAAAAACGAGGGAGAGGCCAGGGAGGAGTTTTGTTTGGGCGCACTTGACTCTGATGGTTGTTTGTTCGGAACCGGAAATTGGGCGATGATCACGCTCCACCTGGCTGCCGAGAAAAGTAAGAGTTGCGAAACGCCTAGCCTAAACTCCTGACCCCCCTGGACTATGTTTTTTTCAGTTTTCAGTTTTCATTTTTCTTTTTTTCCATCTTTCCCGAGACGATGTCGAACACACCCAACTGGTGGGCCATTTCGGGTAACCATTGCGATTTGATATACTGCCCGGTAACCCACATCGCAATGCATCACCCACAACATTCCCTTTCCCAACACACGTCAACATAACGTTTTATTACTATTCACATGTGTTTAAGCTATAACGGGTAGGTTTATAGCTGTCCTTTTCCTATTCGATGTAGGCTCCAGGCAGAAATGTTAGAGTAGAGTTCAACATGCCTCAGTTCAACCTTGTTCCTCGCCTGAGTCATGTTCGAGGACGAGACGAAGCGAAACGAAAGAAAAAGAATTAAACAAGATGTGAAAATCTCATCACTACATCAAGTCCAATCACCATGTGACTCTTGGATTCTGTATGGAAGCTGTATCCGGCACCGCTGCGGGCATGTCTCTACCTAATCATTATAAGCTAGCACGATTCTACGTGGACCTCTCAGGAACACTATATCACATTCGTTGTACACTCTCCTTCCATGAAGACCAAAGGCCTGATCATTTGTTGAGCCCAGATTGTAAGTCGTCAGTTCTCTCATCCTATAAGGTGGCTTTACTAGTGCTCGTTTCATAATTGAACAGCATATCGACGATGAGTTCAAGTTCACATGGGGATTGACCATAGGAAAGACGCTGGAGCTCAGGAGCTTTGCCGTGTCGATCTGCTATTATTCTGGGGCCTCGGTGTAAGCCTGAGTTAATCATGCATGCCATCTAATCAGCCTGAAGCATGGGAAAACACATGTGCCCGTGTATGCAATACTGGTGTGGCGGTTGGCTGAGGCAGACACATAGTATTATCTAATCGAGTACCCAGGCTGCTGGTCGTAGTTAGTAACGAGCCTTATTAATGGCCCTGGTGTTGCCTGATTCTGCTGCGTGGCTCGGACTTGGGCTTGGGTATACGTTGTTTCCTGCGTTGGCTTTCGGTGGATATACACACCTAATTACATGCCAAATACAGATGCACAATGCAAAACGCATACGCGCTGTCTGACGGATTCCGAGCTGTTTAAATTGGACTGTGCGCGAAACGCCAAAAATAATAGATTCCCCCTCCCCACCTTGTACTTTCTCTGTGCGCTTGGTCCTTCCTTTAGAACTCAGGAGAACATCACTGTTACTTTCATAAGCACCCCAATTATATGTCGACTTGACTGTCTCTACTTGACTCCGAGGAATGGGCTCTCGCCAGGTGAACTAACCAGATATTGCTCAGAAAACACAACCCAAGCGTACATGTCGTATACGCGTACAGCTCCAGTACATTAACCGCCCAGAGGAACAAATTGTTAATGTTGGTCTTGTATGGTCCTGCCCCTTTCGAAAATAGTAGAAATATGCGTAGTAGGGAAAGAGGATAGAAGTTTTCCCAGCCGGAAGGTACAATGTTTGGCTGAAAATATGAAGGAACCCCATACCCTTTGCATGACGCTCTACACTCTCTCCTTCGTTCCAATTCACTTCATACCGGGTGTGATACTACAACCCCAATCTCTGTCAAGGCCTACTCCACTACCACTGCGTCAAGGATACTCGCCATGAAGATACTCGGTCGAGTAGGTTTAGTTCCGCTTGCTCTTCATCGGCTCGTCTATCGCGCAGTCGCTACCCCGACTTCCCATGGCCCGCCCACAGTTTCTCCAAGGTTCCTCCATGATAGACGGTTCGACTACGTTGTTGTGGGTGGCGGTACGGCGGGGATCGTCATAGCGACTCGACTCGCACAAAGGTCGTACACCGTTGCACTGGTTGAAGCTGGTGGCTATTATGAAACTCAATCACTGGCAGCGGTTCCCTTGGCGGATATAATTCCGGTTGGATCAGATCCAAGCACGAAGATTAGCATAGACTGGGGGTTTGTGGCGGAAAACCAGCCGGGTGCGAACAATCGTGCTATCCACTATGCGCGAGGGAAATGTCTAGGTGGCTCGTATGTGAACTGATCCGCTTCCTGTCTCCCCAGACATCTAACGAAAGTCTAAGCTCGGCGCTGAACTTCATGGTTTATCAACGGTATGTCTCACCGTGACGGCTGGCAATACTAGTGTTCATTGATCGAAAACGACTAATCGGTATGTCAACACCACAGACCAACAAGAGAGTCCATGGATCTATGGGCCACGGCTGTAGGGGATACCAGCTACAGTTTCGAGCGGGTTCTTCCTTATCTTAAACGGAGTGTCCATTTTACTCCTCCTAATCGAGAGACCCGATTTCTCAACGCAACACCGACCTTTGATCCTGCCGCGTACGACCCCGAAGGTGGGCCATTGCAGGTATCGTACTCCAACTACGCTATACCATTCTCATCCTGGATGAGGCTTGCAATGAACGATATTGGCATCAATGATACGAAAGAGTTCAATCTTGGATCGTTAATGGGGGCGCAATATTGCACCAACACTATCCGGCCGCGGGACGAGACCAGGAGCAGTTCCGAGAGTTCTTTCTTGGGAAAGAAACCTCCACTCCTGACTATATACACATACGCATTGGCAAAGAAGGTATTGTTCGACCCACAGAAGCGTGCTATAGGGGTTCAGGTGGGGACCACCCTCGGGATATTCACACTGTTTGCCAACAAAGAGGTCATCGTCTCTGCTGGTGCATTCCAGTCTCCTCAGCTTCTTATGGTATCTGGTATCGGCCCGGCACACACACTTGAACAACTTGGGATACCTGTTGTGGCTGATCGACCTGGTGTCGGTCAGGATATGTGGGATCATCCACTGTTCGCCCCTTCCTACCGCGTGCAAGTAACAACCGCAACTAGAATTGTCACTAACTTCCTGTATCTTCTCGGCCAAGTGGTCAATGGTGTTATTCTTCACGACGGTCCACTAACCAACCCTCTCACAGATTATCTAGGGTGGGAGAAAATTCCCACTAATCTACGGTCCCACTTCTCCAACCACACCCTAGCGGATCTGGCTCACTTCCCTGCCGACTGGCCGGAGGCAGAGGTATGCAACCTGCTCTCCTTTTGTATCGCACGGGTCTTGAAAAGGCATCAAGGGAAGAAGGAATCTTCGGCTAATTAATCCTCACTAAGTACATATCTATGGCAGGATACGTTGGAAATGTGTCCAACCCAATTGCAGATCAGCCCAGGGATGGTTATGACTACGCCTCAATAGTCGGTGTTCTTGTCGCTCCAACATCGCGAGGCAACATCACGCTTCGCTCGGCAGACACCTCTGACCTTCCGATAATCAACCCAAACTGGCTGGCGACCCGGACTGACGAAGAAGTCGCCATTGCGATGTTCAAGCGAATACGCCAAGCCTTCCAGAGCAGATCCATGGCGCCTGTGTTGATCGGTGACGAGTACTATCCTGGGGACCGCGTCCAGTCCGATGCAGACATTTTGCAATACATTAAGAACAACGTGATGACGATCTGGCATGCAGCCTGCACCTGTAAAATGGGGATGTCAAATGACTCCATGGCGGTTGTAGATTCTCAGGCAAGAGTTTTCGGGGTTGAAGGCTTGCGGGTTGTGGATGCAAGCGCATTCCCACTCCTTCCTCCAGGACACCCACAGTCGGTCGTGTGTACGTTACCTCTTCATTCGCCGTGTGGAGCATACTAACTCTTTGTTTCAGACATGTTGGCAGAAAAGATCTCTGATGTCATGCTCTCCGACAAGGCAACACCCGGATGCTAGAACTGTGGGGTAATTGTGTACGCCATATATGTGTAGAACCATTATAATTTATTAAACTTCGGGGAAACAGTAGGTGAGATAACCCTGACAAAAGGCGAACCATATCATGTTTTTCTTAAATAACAATATCCTCCAAGGATACAGCTTAGGGTGCTTTAGCTACAATATAAGACAGGGCACATGGACCCGGATGCATGTTTTACCTCAAAGTGATAGCCCCCGGAATAGTATAAATTGGCTGTAGGGCGATATGCAAAGCCGAATCCTTTGCACGATTGTCCAGGTGCAAAAGGAGATCGGCCAGGTTATTCTCGTTACATCGCTCGGCTACGCCATGGAGGATCTGGAGTATATATGTCTCGCATATGTATATCTGCACTGCACCAACTCATCGACGCGAGAAACAGTATTTAAATACATCTTCATTGTCAAAGTGCCGATATTAATAACAACCATAATCTGACAGAACCAATAATGCCATCCATCATCCAGGCGCTACTGATGTTCACCACCCAACAGGCCAACCCTAAGGTTGCTCCCACATGGTATGACACTGGATTAAATTATCCTATCGCAAGATCTAGAGTTAACAGGTTTATACCGAAGCGAAAAAAGAGCCTATTGGAACAGACCTTGGTACAATCGCTCCGTATTCTTCTCGTACTTGACACTAATCGACGCGCTGCCCGCTGGGTTATCTCTAGTTAACTTCTCTACTGCTAAACCACGTGTAGAGTGCTTTATGAACTCCAGCCTCGTAAAACCCATAAACAATTGCAGTATTATAGAGTTTAAGTTTGGGAGTTCGGAGTAAAAGGCCCCCGGCCCCAGCCCATTAACAACTCTAAGTCTCTCAGCGATCCTAGATATATAATATGGGCACTATCTCCGTAGCAATCCGCAATCAGCGCGAGCCCTCAACAACTGTACTTTGGAAAGTTCGAGGCCACCGCTGCGCTTTCTCATCCTCCAAGGCTACGAGTGCTTTGCTATTGAGGCTAGTCCGGACTAATGTTGACTAGAGCATAAGCCATCCATTCTAGGATTTTATTCGCTGCCCCAACTCAACTACTTTGAAGTCCATCCCCTCGTTGTGTGCCTGAGAAACCATAATTACCTGTGATTGGTCCGAGATGTTCTGTACTCTTTGTTTCTCCCTTGGCTTCTCTGGGGTTGAGTATACTGCCATCTTCCGTCCACAAATTCAAAGTGAATTAAAACTGGTAAAAATTTTCAAAATTTGAAATTACAAAATTCATCCTTAATGGCAGGTAGCCAAGGTCACATGTAAGCTACATGTGGCACGGCGCCCGCGCACGCCGTGTTAATTCTCTTAGGAACCTCGCTTGTATGTATCTGCGTTGGGTGACCCACTGCCCACAACCTAACGGGGAAATATAACGAAGGAATGGAACGAGTCCTGGCTTCACAGGAGGACACGGTACTCGCCAGTGACTTTGCCAAGCGGGCCCAATGGAACGTACAGATGCACTGGCGTCCAGGGACACCCTATTCCCTAGCTAATAATCGTCTCTACATCGGCCTCAATTGGCTGGCTACCCGTCAGCTTGGGCTAGTGCAGTTGACAAGAGATAGACGACACATTCGCTGGGCCCGCAAACTAGTGTCCGTTTTGTCCGTTCTTTACCTAGCCTAGAGTGGTTAGTAGGGGCCGATTCTCTAAAGCCCGTCCTCGCGAACAGCTTTCAACTCCAACTCTTGCCCTGGCCCTGTTTGCTTGTTTGCTTCTCTGTCGGTCTACGAGTGTACCTGACATGCTGGCACTTGCAGTACTCCCGCCATGAACCGAACTGATAAGACAGATTACTCGCGCTGGCGGATGCTGGACGAGGATGGAAAGCACACATGGCATTATCTCGACGACGATGAAGCCGTTCGGGAATGGCCCCAAACACTCTCGGATAAGTATTATTTAGGGCTTCCTCTGGTATCTTCACCACACGCGATCACCATTCCCCCATGGCGCGGGGCTCCAAGGACCAATTCTGATTGTATATGGCATAGGGTCTCCCAGACCTTCCTCCTGCCACTTCACCATTAGAAAGTGCGATGAATGGCCTGAAATTCTTCTCGAAACTACAGCTTCCACCCGGGAATTGGGGATGCGAATATGGAGGACCCATGCTTTTGCTTCCCGGGGTGGTGATCGCGTGGGTGGTGACTGACACACCCATTCCGCCCGCCTATGCGACAGAGATCAAAAACTATCTGATTGCGCACGCGAACCCGGTCGATGGAGGATGGGGTCTACATTCAGAAGGTGACAGCACTGTGTTTGGCACATCCCTGAACTACACCGTGTTGCGACTTCTCGGGGTGGACAGCGAGCACCCGGTCATGGTGCAGGCGCGAGGTCTTCTCCACCGGCTCGGAGGCGCCCTGAACGCGCCGCACTGGTCGAAGTTCTGGCTAGCGGTTCTAGGGGTGTGTGACTGGGAGATCGTTAATCCTGTTCCTCCAGAGGCATGGCTGCTGCCAGATTGGATGCCAATAGCCCCATGGAGATGGTGGGTGCATATCCGACAGGTGTCTCTGCCTATGTCGTGGATCTGGTCCAAACGGTGGACGGCCGCAGAAACGGACGTTGTGAGGGCCCTCCGACGGGAGCTGTTTGTCCAGGCGTGGGAGAGCATTGAGTGGGCGGCACACCGCAATGACATCTCCCCGACCGATAATTACCATCCCAAGTCGTGGGTGTTGAACTCAGTCAATTGGTTCCTGTCGAATATCTGGACCCCGCACCTTCGGCCGAGAAGGCTGGCTACACGGGCGGAAGACTGGGTTAGTAAATTGGTTGACATGGAGGATGCCAACTCAGATTATGCTGATTTGGCATCTGTTAATGGACCTATGAATCTGATCGTTTGCTATATCCGCGATGGGCCCGATTCGTATTCTGTGCGTCGTCACCGGGAACGCATGGAAGAATTCCTTTAGGTGAATAAAGAGGGAATGTTGGTTAATGGGACGAATGGTGTACAATGCTGGGACACAGCGTTTCTGATTCAGGCTGTGTGGTCGGCTGGTCTAGCTGAAGACGCGCAGTGCAAGCCTATGCTGATGCAGGCGCTGGAATTCCTGGATCGACAGCAGATCCGCGAGCATTGTCAGGATCAGAGCGTTTGTTATCGTCATTTCCGCAAGGGGGCCTGGGCTTTCAGCAATCGCGACCAGGGATACGGGGTCAGTGACTGTATTTCAGAGGCACTGAAGGCTGTTATTGTGCTTCAAAAAGAGACCGATGGATATCCACATCTGCTTGAAGACCAAAGGATCTTTGATGCTGTGGACACCTTGCTTACTTACCAAAATCCCTCGGGCGGTTGTGCGTCTTATGAGCCAACTAGGGGAGGTGAATACCTGGAAATATTGAATACAGCAGAGGTCTTTGGACGTATTATGGTCGAATATGATTATCCCGAGTGCACAAGCGCCGTGCTGACAGCTTTGGTATTGTTCTCCAAGCACTGGCCTGACTATCGGCGAGGAGAACTCCAGTCATTTATCAAGCGGGGCGTGAATTATATCAAGAGGGTGCAGCGCCCTGACGGGAGCTGGTATGGTAGCTGGGGAGTATGTTTTACCTACGGCACGATGTTTGCCTTGGAATGCCTGGGATCGATTGGGGAGACTTATGAAAACAGTGACTATGTCCGCAAGGGGTGCCAGTTCCTGCTCTCCAAACAACGCGAGGACGGTGGATGGTCAGAAAGCTTTCAGGTGAGTATGACATATAAATAAGCCACTACCCCTATGCCCCCATAGATATTGAGAACTGATCTGTTTCAGAGCTGTGAACAGATGATGTATATCGAGCATCCCATGGGATCTCAAGTTGTTCAAACCGCATTCGCTGTCATCGCACTCCTGAGTGTTGACTACCCTGATGTTGAGCCTATCCGCCGTGGAGTGCGCTTGATTATGTCCAGACAGCAGCGAAACGGGGAATGGCTCCAGGAGTCTATCGAAGGCATCTTCAGCAAGAGCTGTGCTATCACATATCCGAATTACAAATTCATCTTCACGACCCTTGCACTAGGCAAATTTGGGAGAAAGTACCCCCATCTCAAGTAGTTCATTCCATTTGAACATATGTGAGGCGCCTCAATCAAATAATATTCTATGATTTTTCTCTCCTTCTTTCCCAGGTGGAATGCTAAGAACCTGAGTAGATGAGCGCCAAGGTACAAGACCCTCTCACTAATGTACTCTGTAGCATTTCTAACTCTGAATGAGACTCGAGTCTCCTCCGTCTAGATGAAATGTACGAGATAAGCTATGCCTTCTGAACAGGTGGATGTTCCATTGCGGTCGCGCTGGCTAGAATCAGCCAATAGTCAACTAACAAATCATATGTGCAGCTCTATCAACGAATAGTAGCATTCCGCAATCGATCATATGGCAACGTTATCATGGCTGATAATCAAGGAAGGCCAAGCAGCAAGCCACCTTGGGGCTGGTCACCCTATCCGTAACAAGGCAAGTACAGCATAGTATATCTTTAGTGAAATGACCAAGGTTTATTTCGACACCAACTAAACCGATTCCGTGCCAAGTGCATGCCTGATGTGACTAGAAGTACAGTAGCGACTGATTATTGCTCAGCTCGAATGCATTTGCAGATTGTACAACGTTCTACCCACTGATTGCGTTAGTACGGTTCGACTGCCTACTATCCCAAAAAAGACCATAGAGATGGGTAAATTCCTTGAAACCAAGAAAACTAGACTAGTTGAGAAGTGCACGTTGGGATATAACTCCTGTCTAGCTTGGACACACCACAATCCATGGTATCCAGGAGGTTGAAGAAAGTCCGGCCCGTGGAGAATAGTAATTTCGAAGATTGGAGCTGTATTTCTCAGTATAACAGAGCCTACTTCCGTTCTTCCAATCTATGCTGCATGCTTCGAGATGAGCCTGCAGACACAAAGACATTTATACCGTTGAGACATTCAAAGGGTCTGCGATTTACGCCACCCTTTTCCTTTCTTTCTTTCTTGATTACCCTTGAGCAACTGCTTAAACGCCTAATCCACCTTTGATATAAGGCGAGGTAGTTCTTCCAGTTGGTTTAAGGGGATGTAGGCAGGAGGAGGCTTGTTGTAGTATATATAAGGCCTGATGAGAAAAGGCGATCTATATGATGTTTGTGACTTAGGTACTATGTATCTGTAAGAACGACTGTAGGAAGTATTGAAGCTTGATCCGAAGAGGAACGAAATATCTATGTGTCCCATCCCTGGCGAGCTTTAATTGTGGTCTTCTCTCATTCCCTCTTCTTGCACCGCGCCGCTTATTGAAGGAGAGGATGGGGTCTCGTCCTCGACTGACTTACTTGTTGTTCTACTCTGACGTAACCCTTGATAGACTTGCGTGATCTGTTGAATACCCCCGTCGAAGATAGGGTAGAAGATAGCGACTAGCATTGTTAACCAGAGCCAGATGATAGCAACGACCACCCAAGCCGAGAAGAACTGACAAGTTAGCTCAGGGACCAAGACAAATAATGCGATTGAGACACTCACCCCCTTTCCAAACACATATTTCGAACCGTACATCGGCAGGGGCCAAATAACCCAATGCCCCAGGAATGTCGCGATTGACCAGAAAGCCGCAATCTGACCCCATCGCTTCAAGTCTTGGGCATCGAACGCAGAGGACTTTTGCTGACCTTCCTCTAAGCGACTCTCAGGTCGGGTGTCTTTGTCGTGTCTGTGTACTGTTGTAAACTCGCTTTCAAGCTTTTCGAGTGCGAGCTTTTCCTTCTTGAACTCATTCCAGTCGTAGTTCTGCGGGCGAAGAAGGGTGATAGCAACTGAGTATAGAATCGGCGAGAATGCAGACGCAACGGTTCCGTATACACATGGGAGGATTTGCCCTGTCGCAGAGACAGACACAGATCCGTAGAAGCGTTGTGCAGTCCCAAGCCACACGGCAATACCCGTAGCCAGTCCCAGAACGGGGGAAAGTATAGCAGCAGCTTTGCTTTGGCGGCGCCAGAGGATGGTAAACGCCATCGGGAAGATGCCGGGACATGTTACAACTCCTGTGAGGGTTAGTAAATATCATAATCCTGGGATAACGATAGAGGTCAGGGGTGATATGCATATACCTAGCATGTATAAAGTCCAGCCTAGATCAATGCCAACGTAATGAAGCATCGTACTAAATCCGGCAGAGAATGCGGCAAAGAAGATCACACCGAAGTGACTCGAGCGAATAATGTCACGATCGGATGCATTGCGCTTGAAGTATTCACGGTACACGTCGAAACTGAGAATTGAGCTCACTGCAATGACTTGCGCGGATAGCGTCGATGTCACGGCCATGAATGTGATAAGAAGAATCGCAGCGGCGCCGCCTTTACCGGCGATGGTCATGGCGGCATAAGGTAAGACAAGTCCTCCACTAACCTCGCTTGATGTCATTCGCTAGATGTAGTCCTCAGTATAAGTCGAAATGTTATGGCTAGGAAAGTATTACCCTAGGATACGTGGGAAAGGACGGCTGGTTCTCAAGCCCGATGGCCACCGAGCTCATAATGGTTCCAAGCGCCCAAGGGATAGCGAAATACGAAACTCCCCCGATTGTATACCCAGGAACTACTGATGAAGGGGCAGCCGAAAATGCTTTGATGAAGTAGCTCGTGTCCATCTAGAATGCAGTTAGCACGGCTTGTAGAAAGAGAATGTCACACTCACAATTACAAGGCCAAAATTGGAGCAAATGTGAAGAATTCCGAAAAGCATCGCCTAGATTTAAGTGGTTAGTACATTACGCTGCGCATAAATCCGAGATGACTCACTCCTTTGGACGTCATTGTCAAGTATGTTCCATCGTGATTCCCAGAAACAGGGTGCCTCTGGGCGGCGGCTTGCACCAGGTCGTATAGCTTGCCGATAGAGCCAATTTCGTCAATCGTGAACGCTTTGACGGAGAAGTAGCACGAAATAATGAGAATTATGGCCGTGTGGAAGTAATCGGTCAGGAATCTGCATCGAGACATGAGTGCATGTCCCCAAGGTGGTTACCCCTCCACTTACGTAGCTTTAATTCCGCCAACAAAGGTGTACACAGTCACACCAACGGGCAAGAGGAAGGTGGCGGCGATGATGTGCATTCCAGTCCTACTTTAGCTATCAGCCTATACATGTGCTACAGTAGGTGCGTTACTCACACAGCCGAAATGACAGCAGCGGCTCCGAGGAGCATGTTAGCACAGGCGAAGATATTGTTGACCAGACAAAGTGTCATGAATACAATATGGGCGGTACGCCCTGAAGGAGTTAGCTTAGACAGGGACCACTTTCGACGTATAGTCTCACCGTATCGAATTCGGACTACCTCAAGGGAGGTATGCGCTTCGGGGATCTTTCGTTTGCAGGATATTCCCAGCAAGGCGAAGAAGACAATCATCGGGCTGCATCCAGCAGCGAACCAAAACGGCCCTGCGACACCATAGTCATACCCGACAAATGAGGATCCTAGCATCGCTGTTGTCCAAAGCCAGGACTGTGGATATTTTGGGTTAGACTCCACTCTCTCTCCTTTCGACTGCATAGGTGAGCTGGAAGCGTACAGAGATTACGGCAGATGCTGTTAAACCAGCTCGAACAGTTCGATTGGCCGTCATGAACCTGAAGAACATGAGTAGAGCTCGACAAAAAGCATAGCACTAACTCTCCTACATTTCAGTTTTTTTATTATCCTCTCCCGTTGTTTTCTTTAAGACCTTGGTGATGAGCATCATTACTAGGATAATGTTAGCAAGCACGATAGGTATCGCAATGTAGTGAGAGATATTTAGCGAGCACACCAAAAGCAATGATTAGACCAACGACGACCACAATCACATATCCGACCGCCTGTGACAGCGGCGGTTGCACCGAGCCATCGCCACTCCCCATATCTGACTGTTGAAAACACACGTCTCTCTGTTACGGCAGAAGACACCCAGTGTTCTTATCGATTAGAGCAGCAGGAAGCAGGAGTGAACTATAATATTGCTTCGGTCAGTACATCAAACTGGTGGGTATCGTTTAGAATAAGTACCCCATGGTCTCATCCTGCTGCACCATAGTCCACAATCTCAACGAATTGGGATCCTCGTAAGATATCCAAAAGGTACATGATCGACACCCTTGCATATTACAGGAACTATGAGATACTAGATGATATGATGCAGATTGACTATGATGTGATTTCCCGATGTTCATGATGATATTGGCCGGCATATCTTCTTGATAGGGGTTTAGGCTGGGTGGACAGCCTCATATATGGCCCACCAAACCGACGGTCTGGTACCCGGAGAAAGCCAAAATAATTTTAATCACACATAGACTATCTTGTGATAGACCCACCTTCTCTTATCACATCTAACTCTCGCACAGTATGAATATATGTAGAGAAGCAACATAGCCGGCCGCTCCGGTTGACCAAATTAAAGAGGGCTAATCTATACTGTGAAGTAATAGAAAGCTACAACAAGAATATGCCTACCAGGGCCACAGTTCCGGTTTTGTTCTGCTGAATTTTTGGCTTGTAAATTGCGTGATGGTTGTGGTTGCTGACGAGCAACGGCGGATCGTCTTGGTAGAAGAAACCGCAAGAACTAATTTTTGGATCTTCGCTCCCTGATAGTAACCCGGTTATTTCATGGAGCAGACTATGTGCCGAGACAACAGTGCTCTAAGCTTAAAAAGATGTGATTGTCGAAAGTGCATGGCTCTCCTCTCATATCCCGCATGGTGTCATCGAGACCCACTTTGATGCTATGCAGCAGAACAAGGAGGCCCTAGCCCGATGGAATCCCTGTAATGAGGGGAGTCCCTGCTGGTCTAGGTTAATACTTATGAGGGGAGGACTTGCCATAACCTCCCTGATCACCTGTTGTTCAACTAAGTTACACAATTGCAGTTATACACTTATACAACCATATCTGGTATATTCAGGCTTTTGCCTTTAAACACTATTCCAGCACCGAACTTCATAAACATTGTGCCGCTTCAAAAATGACAGCAGTGATGGACACAGACACAGCTCCGCCTAATACCACTAAAAAGTCACTCATTCTCAATGCTTTCGTTGAAATGTGTACGGGCTGCCCTTCACGAGGATTGTTCGTATCCATCGCTAATGGAACATATAGGTAGTGGCCACCAATCGCCTGGCTTATGGCGACATCCCCAGGACGAGTCCCATCGCTTCAACGACATTGACCATTGGACCCAGCTAGCGAAACTCCTCGAGTCAGCCAAATTCCATGGTATCTTCATCGCTGACGTTCTCGGTATATGGCCTACAAACTTTCACCGCCTAGAATACCATTCTAAAAAATAGTTTAGGAGGCTATGATGTGTACAAGGGGCCGAGAAACCTCGAGCCAGCGATCATATCAGGTGCCCAGTGGCCAGTAAATGAGCCCTTGGCAGTGGTTCCTGCGATGGCAGCTGTGACGAGTAATATTGGGTTCGGAGTGACAGTGACGACAACCTATGAACAGCCGTACCATCTGGCGAGACGACTTTCGACCATTGATCATCTGACTAGAGGACGGTAAGATGTTGTCCACATGTTCGTTTTATAATGTGGCTGACTCGTTTCCATGAAATGTAGCGTTGGTTGGAATGTAAGTTGAGCGCTTATGTCGATTTAGGTCACATCTAACCTAAAGTCAACGCATAGATCGTCACCGGATATCTCGACTCGGCTGCGCGGAACCTCGGTCACGCCGAACAGCCACAGGTAAGAGAATTCATATCTGCGACCCCCACTAAGGACTTGAAATCTAATCTCTAACAGCACGATGACCGCTACGCAGTCGCCGAGGAGTACATAAAAGTAGCATACAAACTCTGGGAATCATCTTGGAGATCAGACGCCGTAGTCCTTGACCGAGAGCGCGGAATCTACACCGATCCATCGCGCGTGCGAGAGATCAATCACGTCGGAAAGTACTTCAATGTTCCAGGCCCCCACATCACTCAACCAAGCCCTCAACGAACGCCCGTTATTCTTCAAGCCGGTACTTCAAAGGCTGGAAAGGCATTCGCAGCCCAGCATGCTGAGGCCATCTTCGTGGCTGGACATAGCCCTGTGGTCGTGGCCAAGAATGTTGCGGAAATCCGCGACCTGGCTAAGACACAGTTTGGTCGCGATCCCCAGGGCATCAAGTTCTTGGCACTGCTCTGTCCGGTGTTGGGCCGTACAGAGGAAGAGGCTCAGGAAAAGTTCCAGTATTATCGCAGTTTGGGATCGATAGACGGGGCACTGGCGCTGTTTGGTGGGTGGACCGGGATCAATCTGGACACATATGGCGATGACGAGGAGCTTCGCCATGTGGAGAGCAATGCCATTCGGTATGTATTCAGTCGTGGTACTCTTTCAGTGATTATAGCTGTGCAGTTGTCTAACCGTGGCTATTCACAGCTCTGCCGTCGACGGCTGGTCAAAAGCCACTCCCGGTGTCGCCAAATGGACCAAATCCACAGTTGGACAACATATCACTGTCGGTGGCTTGGGCGCAACTCCTGTTGGCACACCGGAACAAGTAGCCGACGAAATGGAAAGGTGGGTCCAGGAAGCCGATGTTGATGGGTTCAATCTTGTAAGTGCGACACATATGCGAGCCTCAGACACAATGTATCAAATTTGGTCAACTAACTCTAGTAAGGCCTATGCTATAAAGCCCGGTTCGTTCAAGGACATCATCGAGCTTCTCATTCCCGAGCTTCGCCGCCGTGGTCTATTCTGGGACGACTATGCAGTTAATAAGGGCACCTATCGAGAGAACCTTTACGGGAAACCTGGGCAAAGTGGGCCCCCGGCTGACCATCCAGCAGCGAAATATCGTTGGAACGCGGGAGTCGATGCGGCTGAGCATAAGATTCCTGACAACTAGTTCAGCCATATCGGCGGAGGCTTTTGTAATAAACATTACAAGGAAGGATGTGATAGTATACAAGTCAAGAAGCACGTACGCGTAATTATTAGTATACGATTGTGAAGTCGAATATAGGCTTCGGCACAGATGCTAAGCACTACTGCATGGGGGCCGCTCATCCTTCGTTCCTGAGAGGTTGAAAATAGCCTATCCGAATTGCATTCATTGGTCACTTCGACTATTGTGTTCACAGGTACATTTAGCTTCGCTCGTACCTGGCAGACCATTATATATAAAGTTGAATGTCGCCAGTCTTCCGCGGGAGAAATACCAGCCAGATCCAGGAAATCTAGCTCCCATTGTGCCTGCGTCTCGGAGCTTTACCAGTCATTCAATTGTTACAGGACCCTATCAGTACAATATGATCTCCAGCAAGCCCACTCTTCTCATCTCTGGGGCATGGCATAGACCAGAATCCTATTCAACGTTCACAAAAGCCCTCTAGTCCAATAGCTACGAAGTTCATGTACCCCATCTACCAAGCATAAACAGCGCAAAGCCCCCCAGCGCAAACTGGACCACCGATACAGACCTCATCCGCACGTACGTTGAAAGCCTCGCAGACGCCAGCCGGACGGTAGTAGTAATAATGAACTCCTACGGCGGTAAAGTCGGAACGAACGCTCTTACCGGTCTTGGCGCCAAAACTCGCCAAAACCGAGGGCTTCTCGGCGGCGTTGCTCAATTCGTCTACATATGCGGGTCACTTTTCACAGAAGGGGCCTGCATCGTGGACATAGCCAAGGAGTTTGGTAGCGCCGATCGGCTAGCCAATGCATCTGATATAGTGAATATACTTTCCAAGGAGGAGTTAAAGGCTTTGATGGTAGGTCCTGGGATTGACGATGCGGATGCTGATGCTTTGATTTCTACGTTGACGCGGTGGAATGGGGATGCGATGTTTCAGCCGCTTGAGAGGTGCGCTTGGAAGGAGATCCCGGTGACTTATATTCAAATGACGAAGGATATGGCTATGCCGCTTATGTTTCAGAAGCCCATGGTTGAGAAGGTTAGGGCTGAGGGTGGTTATAGAGACCGTATAGTTGAATTCCGCTCATAGTGTCCGCTTGAGTATGACTGAGGAGGTGGTCAGGATTGTAGGTAGAATTGTGGGGAAGAATGTGTAGTGAAGACCAAGGTTTAATATGCGATATAATTTACACGGAGGAACTCTCCATGGTATTGTCACTTCTCCTAGGATGGAGCCATATACCAGTCCAATCGTTATGAAATAATCTTTCAGTGCTTATGTAGGTGTGTGATACTGGGCGCTAAATAACGTATGCTTGAATTATGCACATTCCATATGGCAAGCTTTGATATATATGTATGCAATGGCGATGGGACTTTCCTAAAAGTCGTCCGTCGAAGGAAACACGCCCCATTCCAACTTCTCTGCAGGAGGTTCTTCCGATATGCACCTTTCACACTTACACAGGAAGCGGAAAGACGCTTGCAGGTGCTCTCGTCGAATTTTGAGGTCGACAAACCTCGTTAGATCGAAGTATGATATACAACACTCCTCACCAGGCGCTATGTCCTTCGACGCAATGAAAACCATCCGACCTTGGTCGTCTGGTTTATGGATAATCTGAAGGAGGTTTTAGCCGACATACAAGAGGACCCATTTGACGGTAGATGTAACTCACATTCGGACAGCATGAGTGATTGGCTATAGCAGCTGTCGGATACACTCCTGCCCCGAACTGTTCGCCCCGGTCAACCAAACGATCGGGGCAAGGGAATACCCCTGTTTCCCTAGGGTAGAGACCGAACGAGTTTGCTTCTTCTCGGCAAATCAAGGCAAGGACATCGTTCGGCTTCAACCCATGTGGCAAGGATGGGCTATTACCCAAGTATTTCTTAACTAACAAGGTCCAATGTCGCACCTGCGAATGAGACCAGCTCTCTTGTGAGCCGCAGAATGACCAAATAGCATTCCAACCCGACTTAAAAGGATTGAAAGTTGATTGGCCCAAGCGGTCCTCGCAATTTGACATCGTATTTTGTTGAACTTGCACATGTCTGCTGGCAAGAATGCGCACGATTAACCACAGCATACCATAATCGTACTCGCCCCATTTTGAGCGTATTGAGGAAGCGAATTTCTTTAGCCAGGTACATTCAAACTCGTGGCGGGCTTTATCGGCTTCCCGACACGAGGAGTTACACCAGACCACATCGGCCGAGCATCGGTTCGGGCAAGATACCCGCTCTACGGTCCGGGCAACACGTCTATGACAAGCGGGATTGCTACATCGAATATCTTCGCTTTGGTCTGGACTATCGACAACGGGAATTAGGGCATAGGGCCGGTCAACAAGGAGCAGTTCGCCTTTTTGGACGGGTTGAGAGACTCGGAGTTGGCGGCCTTTAATCGGGTCTTCGCTCTGCGTTAAATGAGCATGGATCCATGACTCTTGAGAATTATTAAGATTTTGATCCGGTCTGAGAAAGTGGTCTGTTGTAGCGTGTAATCGCTCCGTTGCTATGGGTGAATGCATCTTATCATATATTAAGCTGAACAGTGTTGGTGGTAAGGGTGCATAAATGTCGGGTGGCACCTTGGTTCATTTTTTCCACTTTTTTTTTTTCCTCCAGCAGCTGGGTTTGCCTCATTCATGGTTTCTTATCTACTGCCCGGTTCCACTCTGTTCCATACATATGCGAGCTTATCTGTGGAGGGCTAGCGACGTTATTCGCCATAGTGGAGTCTACACCCAATAGCCAATAATTTGAGGGTATTGTGAAGAAAAAGAAAAACTTGGCTTTTGGTTTTAGGGCACTAAAGGCTCACAACCTCTTCAATTGGTGGGCTACGGCACGTGGCTTTTTCCCAAAACCCCTATATGCCAGTATTTATATCATTAATTGGCTTGGAAAAAAATTATTTTCCATGTTGGCTGGCCTAGAAGATTGTATCACTTCCTCTCGGCCATTATCCACTAACTGGCTTCGGCGACCCCGGGGACGTTGTGTAGTGGTCGGTGACATCGTACCTAATGATTGTTAATATGCGCCCTGAATCCCCTGGTTCACCATCAATAGACGGAGTAGAGCTTCCTTCCTCCCGCAGACTTAGTATCAGGGTAAAGCAAGCTTAGGCAATATATTTGCTTCTATGCAAGTATCATTAATTATCGTTACTAGAGTTATAATTTGTGCCGATCCTGGTTCCACACCTAAACTTGTAACCGCTATATTTGCACACACATTAAGACCGGCTTCTTATATCATAGTCCTCTTATGGGTGAGTTTTGATTCTGCTGATCGACTTGGGTATAATAGGCCCTATTTGAGCATCATGAGCCAAAGTCATACTCGTGCTCGGAACCACAAAGAGAAGTGCACACCTTATGTTTCGACTTTTGTGAACTGGTGACCATGCCCAGAAAATGAAGCCACTGGTCCATGTTTCGAATCAGATCTCGATCGAATACGCCGTTTCTGTTGCCATGATGGCGCAGCCACTGTCTATTTGGAGATTAAAAGCTGTGAGTGCTATTACCCATTTTTCTACGAGTATTCTCAGCTACGAATGGCAGTATTCCATTATTGGCGTAAAGCACACAACTCTCGTCATAAATTGGGAGTAGCATGCAGTCCTATCAAAACCTATGAACCACCATCACTCATTATACCTCAGTTCCCCAAGAAGGCCAGTTAGAATAAAATGTCACACTGGCTGCAAAATTGCCAATCAAACATGGCCAAATGTGTGATCCTGGAGTTCCTCCACCTCCACCCAGCGTATTTCGATTGATTGATGTCCATAAGGGTTGTCTAGCCCCAACCTCTAATCCTGACAGATCCGCATTGAGCTACGTCTGGGGAGGTGTCGCAGCAGATGCATTTCAGACAACAGCTAAAAATATCTGAGATCTGGAAAGGCCCTGTTCTTTATCACAAAATGTTCCTCGGGTGATTCTTGATGAAATCGCCATTTGCAAAAACCTGGAAATTCATTATATTTGGGTTGATCGGACCTGTATTATTCAAGATCCTAAGGAATATACTAAGGCCCAGATAAATGCAATGGATGGCATTTACGGCCATTCCTGTGTTACCCTGATTCTATTGGAGGGGGTATCCATAGCGGTTTCGCAGGAGTATCGGCTGACAGGCAGTGAATCTAACACGCTGAACAGCGAATGATGACTATCCACATTTGGTAAACCAGTCTAAGTGAGCAAGCCGAGGCTGGTCATTCCAAGAATGCTTCCTTTCTCCAAAAATTTTGTTCTTCTCCGACCAAGGGCTCTTCTTCGAATGCGAACACTGGCAGTACTGCAGAAGAGGAGGCAAAACTATTATTGTCGGGTGAGAAAAACCCTGTCATAAGGCTGCAGCCAAACATGCCTTATCCATCCGACGTCTTCAGGGCATTCATAGGCTTCTTGAACTGTAGATATCGTGACGGGCACTACCATGGACTGCCATTTGGAGATGCGTCACTGCTATGGGATCTATATGCATATTTTTCTAATGTTGCATACGTTTCTAATGTTCTTTTTATCATCTACAGACATTCATGTTCAGTGTCCGCCAGAAATCTCCTTACCCTAATGGGAGTGATATGAAGGTTACCGCGAATGAATCATAAGGTTGTAATCCCTGCATATTCGAGTTGCAGATCAAAATTCGCAACATCTTGCGGCCTCCGCACCTTGTATTTGTACCCCAATTTTTAGATATAAACTTTAAAAAACATATAGGTTTGGCGCAAATTCAGTGCAGGTTTCAATTGGCCGGGAGATACTATTGAAAACTCTTGTTCTCGCCCAATGTAACATGAGAGAAAGTGGAAAGTCCTGCACTAGAATGGGCATAAGAGTACTTCGCATCCCTTACACCCACCCCACAATCAATATATTGACTTATCACGGCGATAAAGCATCTGGCCACCCCATTCCCTTAGCAGATCTCAGCGGTGAAGCGCTGCTTTCTTCTGAGGTGTTATCATAGATTCTTTCCCGCAGTATGGGCAGATACCTTACTACAACGTCCATGGCTTTATATCATTTTATGAAGAATTAAATTCGCTTGGGATATCTTTTCACGAAGGATAACGCTGCTACTTCTATGCTACCAGTTCCCATATCTACAACCGCATCCTTATTGTACAGAGGAGTGAAGACAGATGATATATGGTCAACCTTGTTATGCGAGGAAGCCTGCCTTCTACTTAATCACGCATGTCCTTACTAATGCTGATAGCTGCCTTTACATACGCCTTTCTATACGGATATACTATTGATATTGCGAACAATATCCGGCTCGCCCTCTTGCATCCAAGGCAACGCCAATGGCTGCGACGAAGGCACGATATATCATCTTGACAACTATATATGTTGCATACAGCTATACAATGAATGTGTATGGATGGACCGTACTTTGGATATGCACGGTTTTATGCGCCTATTTCCTTCGCACATCCAAATTTGGGCCTGCGAAAGACCTCTCTATATCTGTAGGGGTCATTGCACAATTGATGGCCTCTTGGAAGATTGGAGGCTCGGCTCCTAAAGTTGGATGGACTTGGGTAAAGCATATCAGTTGTGGGACACTCTTCACGGTGGCAATCCAGGACTATCGTGGCGTTCCGGGTGACAAGGCCTTTGGCCGTCGGACAATCCCGATACTATATGGGGACATCCCAGGTCAGTTTTCAACATTGTATCGCTTTATTGTACTGCTTCATAGCGGTTGGCCTTTCAAAAAAAGCTGCATTTATAACTCAACTGGTCTGCTGGTATATCAAGTAGGTCCCTTGGCCTAGTAAGTGGAAGGGCGCGCTAATATTATGTCGGAGTATAGTCTAATTTACGATCGAGTCTTAAAATTCCGCCACGACACATCAACTGTGGTTATGTCTATTATCCTGATAGTCATGACGATGACGATTGCCTTTCGACTGTTATTATTCAGGTGTATTAAACATGATAAACTTACATACAATCTGTACATAGCCTTGTATAATCTTCAGCTGATTTCTGCCTGCTTTTCCTTGAGGGCAGGGTAAGATTATTAGAATGGTGATGTATTTATAGCTATACTTGGGTTAACCATATGGCTACCACTATATAAAGGAACCTTTCTAATGAAACAATATCCAGAATGCTGCAGTCGAATACAACCCTAATTCGCTGTTTGATATCGGAATTTATAGTGAGAAGCTATTATCTGCTGGGAACACAACAGCGCACCCATTGCCGAGGAGGTCTCTGTAGCTATAATCAAGATATTCAACGCCTAATAGCTATATAGATATGATGGGAACTAGAATTATAATCTGGCTTCCAATAGGAGTGGCTTCGCTGACTGTGGTGTGGGGATGACTGCGTAACCTCGGTCCACGGGTATAAAATGCCCCCTCACAGGCGATACTTTAAGCTCGGCCAAGTGCGTTTATTTGAGATGTGTCTTTCTAAACTTATCCTCACATTACGAGTAGAAGACAACAAAACCCACAAATCAAAGACAGGATGAGCTCAAACAACACAAACGCAGTCTACGTGCTAGGCGTGGGCATGACCCAGTTCCTCAAACCACGCCGCACCCGCGAATACCCTGAGCTCGGATACGAAGCAGGTATTAAAGCTATGGTCGACGCGCAGATCACCTACGACGATGTCCAAACTGGTATCGCATGTTATTGCCTCGGAGACAGCACCTCTGGCCAACGGATCTTCTATCAATTCGGCATGACCGGTATCCCCATTTACAACACTAACAATAACTGCGCAACTGGCTCGGCTGGCCTACATCTCGCTCGCACTTTGGTGCGGGGTGGTGCTGCAGATTGCATTCTGGTTGTCGGGTTTGAGCAGATGCGACCTGGTGCCATTAAGAGTGTGTGGGATGATCGGCCAAGCGCTGTAGGGCCTTCCACGAGGCTGATGGAGGAGGTTTATGGCAAGGATCCTGCGCCGCGGAATGCGCAGTATTTCGGAAATGCAGGAAGGGAGTATATGGCTAAGTAAGTTACATGTCGTTTGATCTCATACCTGCATCTAATGTAATTATCAGGTTTGGAGCGAAACAGGAAGACTTTGCGGAGATTGCACGCATTTCGCACGAGCATTCCCAGAGGAACCCATATGCTCAATTTCGCAAGGCATACACACTGCAGGAAATCCAAGATTCAGGCACCATCTATGCTCCATTGACTAAGTTGCAGTGCAGTCCTACCAGTGACGGTGCGGCCGCCGCTGTTATAGTATCCCAGCGATTCTTAGACGCGCGCCCTCATTTGAAGTCCCAGGCCATCCTTATTGCCGGACAGCAGTTGGTGACTGATGGGCCGGAAGTGTATTCACGAAGCGCAATCGATTTGGTAGGTTTCCACATGAGCAAGCAGGCAGCCGAACGTGCCATGGCGGAAGCCGGTGTTACACCTAAGGATGTCAAGGTCTGTGAACTACACGACTGCTTTTCGGCAAATGAACTTCTCCTTCTGGATGCCCTCGGCTTCTCAGGCCCCGGTAAAGCTCATGAGATGGTTCGCCAAGGTGACATCACATATGGTGGTCGGGGACCCGTCATCAACCCTTCAGGTGGTCTGATATCCAAAGGTCACCCCCTGGGAGCCACTGGAGTGGCACAGTGTGCTGAGCTTACTTGGCAGTTACGTGGATGGGCTACCAATCGGTTAGTCAGGGATACCAGCGTTGCCCTGCAGCACAACCTAGGGCTTGGTGGTGCGGTAGTAGTAACAGTGTACAAGCGCGCCGACGGTCAGAGTAACCCGGTCCTCTCAGATGAGGAGGTCGTACAAAGGTCCGCACTAGGTTATAATCCGGCAGTTGAGGCGCGCTATGTCAAACCAGAAGATGGAGAGAAGGTCAGGAGCCGCATTAAGCGCCACGACTACCCTCTGCAGGAGACCGTGGGTAAGCTCGCTGCACGCATTTAATAGCGTGTTCGAGTAGTCACTACTGGTCAGAAAGATGCTGCGAAATATCATAGTAGCGCTCATTACCCTAGTAGTAAGGTTATCGACGACCATGAACAATAAAGCTCTAAGTCCTTCTCGTTCCGATATTTTACACCAGCGATCGACGTTAGATTGAAGACCATATTTAACATATACTAGATAGGTAAGATAACATATATCGAGCCATTCCGTTTGCCGATAATAAACACTCTGTACATCAAGTTTGCTGTTAAAACCTGCAAGGATTCAATATTAACCAGTGACACCGGGCCCAATCGGCCCAGACAGAATTGTCTTGAGAATAACAAGGATCTCCTGTCCCAGAACTGCCAAGGCCCTAGGGTCTAGGAGACCAGAAATCGCTGTTGAAGTGGTGCATCCGGGTTTGATAGGTTTGTTGTTCATACGATCCATCAGCCAAATCATTGCATCTGCAGAACCAGTAATTTCCAGCGATGCGTGCTCGGAAAGTTCATCACGCTTGTACTCCACGCTGGCTCCGCCCTGGCAATAAGTGTGTATAAGTGAATCAGTGTCTTTGACGGGGCTTATCTCATCCCCGACGGATTTGTATACCAAAAGAGGGATTTTTGGCACATTCTGGCCCATTGAATTGGCATTAATCACTTCAACGGCAACCGGCTGCTTGAAAATATTCGGGTCTTTGGTAAAACTGTAAATATCCTTGCCGAGGTAGTGAACTAAATCTCCCGCGAGACACATGTTTTGGGTCTTGTTGAACTCCGCCATCATTGATGGTTTTAGGCCATCAGCAAGCAGTTTCTGAACGTCTGGATACTCATTCGCAAGTCCCTGAATGCCGGCAGGAACCAACCCGACGAACACACCTTTATTGACTGCCTCAATAACCGTATCAATCTTTGGTACCGTGCCTCCGAGTGCGGCTCCGGCTATCTTGAGTTCAGGAGCATAGCTGGGCTGAAGCTCCGCCGCAAATCCGCTTGCCAAACTTCCACCTGAGTACCCCCACAAAGCGATTGTTGGATCAGACGTGATATGTGTGAAGCTTGAGGATGCCAATGCAGCGCGCAGATTGTCCAAGACGGCATGGCCTGAGAGTCTATTGGCTAGGAATGTTGCCTTTGGTCCGAGATGGTCTGGGACCGTCACCACCCAACCCTTATCAAGGGCTGCACCGACAAGGAGTAATTCTACTTGTGGCATCACCAAGCCTAGGATGCCATCATGTGCTGCTTCAAGCTGAAAGGCATAGGAGGGGGCACAATTTGGATCCGCCGCATCTTCGGCCACTTGATATGATAAAAGCTTCGAGTAGTCGGCATTATGCGGGATCAAGATCGTAGAAACCGTGGCAATGGCGTTACCAAACGAATCTGTGGTTCGGTACAGAATCTGGTGTGCCGCCTCTATATTGACTTTGGCAAAGCTAAGCGCTGCAATGGGGTTGGGGGGAGTTCTATGTCGTAGGATAGTTCCGGGCGCGGAGGTCTCAAATCCTTCCGGGGGAACATAGAAAGGGTCGTCCACTGGTAGCACAGGTGCCGAACCCCGAGGAGGGAGGCCAGTTGGGACAGCGGAAACAAGTGGAAGGACGGCAAGTATTTGCGCCAGCCAGAAGCTTAGCCTAACCATGTTGAGTTGAAGCCTATTGATTACTGCAGTCGACAACACGGATGGCAAGCACTTACTGGGTCTTTATACTCCTTCCTCGCGCGCCCTAGAGCCCGAAGTCGACTGAGAAATAGTATCTTATGCCGCTAAGTCTGACCGAAAAAGGAGACGCACACCCAAACTACGAAGGTAATTCGTTGGCCGGAGCATGGCACATGAAGAGGACGGGAAAAGCGCATAGGTATACTGACAATGCTTTACAGCCGAGGTCGATCAGGGTTACCTTAATTAAAACGCTTTAGGCGATCCAACGATCAATGCCACAATCGGAGTAGCCTGAATAAACAAAGTGCGGGGAACGTCGTACAGGGCACAAATATAGGATCTTCATCCCCAGGCTGCCAGTAATGGACATCCGAAATCATCCTGGAGGATGCCGCTAGACATTCCTGTCACGTCTAGTGACCATCTGCTTCCGACAATGTCAAGCGTGAGTAACTAGTGGATTGTGCTAACCAACAGACTCCAGCATCTAAGCCTCGGCATTGTCGATAGTTGACCTCCCGTTGTAGAGACATCTGCGATTTTTGTCTACTCTTATTGCTGGAATTTATCTAGAGTATTCTAGCTCCTTGCTTTGAACAAGAATGGCTCGAGAAACGAGCACTACTAGCAGTTCAATCTCGATTTTACCAAAATATAAGTCGTGTCTAAGGCAATGTGAGAGGCCCACGGATATTAGAGCTGATCCATTTCCTTTTCCAGCATAGATCATAGATCCTGGCAATATAAGCACCCCCACCCAGGTCTTCACGTTGATTCCGCAATTAGACTATGGGGTAGAGTCCTGGGCATCGTATTCAGCGTACTCGCGGATATTTTCTCCTGGTTACTTTGACTGCGTGGAGGTCTTTCTTTATCATGACATGTCAAATAGGAATGGAATTTTTAAAAATCTCTATGAACTATGAACTCATATAACCAATTACTACCTTTGCACGTACCACTTTTCACGGGCCTAAACGTGAAGGGACAGCCACATAACGTGATGTGGTCCAGAATTACAGTCTTAGTGTTCGCAGAGCCATCTCAACCTTCGCATGTTGGCAGTTGATTTCGGGGCGCAATATCCAATTTTGAGGCCTAGTTTTCGGAGCTGATTGCTTGGCACGGATCCAAAGCGCTCTAGATTTAGGATCAGCAACTGTCGATCCGAACAGGTACCAAGACGAGGCGCCCGTTCCTGAATTCATAAGCTATGATATATCTTATGCACCATGTAAACTAACGGCGAAACGATTACTGATATATGCGATTTAGATATGAAGACTGATACAAAGATGGAAACTTCAGTTGATACCTCACATTTTTCTAATATCTCTTGCTTTTTAAGCTTTAGAATATCTTCGGCGTTCGTAAGTGTATGCCAAACACGCTTAAAGCAATAGCGCAGTGGCCTCCTGCGTGAAGGCTATGCAAGTAGAGTTCCAGAAGAAAAATGTACTTTTGAGTATTTGCTCACACTGGGTAGCAGCCATTCTATAGTTTGGCTTCCAGTTAAATTACTTTGGCGCCTTGGCTGCCTACAAGAATCATTCTGTGTGTCACAAGCTTAAATATCGAGACATTCATCCACATGTCACTGTACGTTTTTGCCCAGCTCAGGAAGAGACTAAGCATGGGTGATAGCGAGTACTCCTGTGGCTTGTATATCCGGGGACCATGTGACTTTGGGTGTGGTGTCTAATATCACTTTGGCCACGGCTGGGAGTCCGGGCAACCGGTTGAAAAGGTCTCACTTACTAGGTTTACCTAACAGACTGACTAAAGATCTCTATACTCGTTTGCTTGTCGTGTAAGGGCATACTACCACTAGGGTACTCCTATCTGAGTAGGGCAGAGCGGAGATCGTCTTCTGATTGGTGGACAAAGAGAAGCCTTATCGTGCCCACCTTTCATCTCGTGATCAGTTCCTGATCTTGCTGCAAAACTTACACGGCTTGACCACTCTATTTCCCTCGTCATTTTAGTTTTGCATACTTGGACCTTTCAGATTAGACTACCGCGAGTAGCCTCGTTGCTAACCCTATACTTCCCATCCAACTACCAACCTTTCACTTAGCTATCTGATAGTTGAACATGACGGAAGAACGCAAGCGTGCTACACGAGCGTAGGTCTACGACTTGGAGCATCCCGTTCCTCGGAGTATTAACCCTGTCTGTAGCTGTGATGAGTGTCGGAGACTAAAGGAAAAGTGTGAAGGCGGGATACCTTGCAGCAGATGTTCACACTTCCGTCGGTTGTGTGAATTCAAAAATCGCGCTCAAGGAGTCCGAGAGTTCCGTCCATATGTGCCGAGGTGTGTGGAGTGGTTATACCCATGTGTTCTCCAGGCTACAGAGATCCTGACATTCTGTGGAAGCCGACCTCAGGTCGCGAGAGGCGATGTTCGAGAATTAGTCCAGCGTTCAAGATACATGGAGCGCATACTAAGACACACGGTGCAGGGAATCTCCCTAGACACGAGCAGTCTTTCCAAATTGGCAGATGCCCTCACTACAAGCAAAGACGCGCGTCGAGCCTCGTCTCAAGTGGCCGAGGAGGCTGACAGCCCTTCTATAGACGACGAAGCTTGTACGCTTGATCCAGTTGGGGACACCACCACTCGTTCGTGCCCTCCCTCCCTCCCTTCCTTGGCACTTCCTTCTAGCAATCATGCTAAGTAACAGCAGACTTCTCCGGCGAATTCTCGTACTGGAATTTCTCCATGCGGATTAAGCATCAAATAGAACAGCAAACGAGACGATCCGTTGCTCATGTATGCGCTGTTCCGTTAATACCATGCCTATACTCGGAGCTAACTACTTAGCATATACACAATGCTGATCAACGGGTCTTTGAATATTGGCGAGCGCAGCATCTACGATCCAGCCAGAGCTATCTATCAACAGCCATCTCCTGCTGTCCACCCCCGCAGATAGCCCGGTTTTTAGCTAATGTCTTCTTCAAATACGCCGAAACACATTACTTTTTTATCAGAAAGAGCTGGCTCCTTGAGAATCTGAACGCGCTTTACAATGACCCTAGTGGTTTCAGCAGGAAGGGTGCGGCTGTAATAAGCATCATTCTCACTGTGTTCGCAATTGGAACACAGTACGCCTATCTTGACTCACCAGGTAACAGTACGGGCAGCGAAGGCATCCAGGATTTCTCGGAGGATGACATTGGTAATACCTTCTACCAGAATGCCGTCCGGTTACTACCAGAAATTATCGAACTGTCTAGTCTAGAGAGTGTCCAGGCATGTTTACTCTTCGGGTTTTACTCACTGCCAATCGATGCGTCTGGCCTCGGTTACATTTACGTTAACCTTGCAGTCCGGCTTGCGATGCAGAACGGCATGCATCGAAAGTGTAAAAGCGAAGCGTTCAACTCAGGCATGATTGAAACCCGGAACCGCGTTTGGTGGACTGCTTATTCGCTTGAGAGGTAAGATATCCTGGTTGACTGCAAGACCACATCACAGATCTGACCTCGTCTTGGCAGAAAAATATCCATCTTCCACGGCCGACCTCTTTCGGTACTTAGGTCAGATGTCGATACAGAACTACCACAGTATCGCGAAGAAAGGCAACCCGAAGATTTTCCGTGCACTGTTGCACGCAGCGTGGCATCCATCCAACTTATTCACTTCCTCGAAGACTTCTTCCATGAGCTGTAAGTGTCAAAGACATCTAATCAATGAAAATCTGGGCGATGACACTGTCAAATGGTGTAGATCCCTTCTGCGCAATTGTGGAAAAGGAACTGTACCTAGCATTCTATCTCGCTTAAGGGATAAGAAGAACGCCATGCAAAGTTGGTGGGATTCGCTCCCTGCAGACATGCTCGGTGAGATAGCCCCGAAACAAACGCAAGACCGTGCGGCAATGCATCTGCGTCTGGAGTATTGTTTGGTCAATATGTTTATTGGACGGCCTTTCCTTCTCCGAGATCATACTTCACAATCCCACCACGGGTCTCCCAGTGAGCCCCAATCAACCAACCCAAGCCATGACTATAGTGAGGGTACTGAAGGGGAAAGTCCGAAGCAAACATCCAGTACGCAGGGCCTCATCGCCGGCTGCATCCAAGCGGCAAAGGAGGCAATTGGAGTTTGTCAATTACTGCGAGACAACCGACCAGGTCTAGCCCGAGCATCCTATATCGAGTACAGCTCATGCCGTGCTTCATTATTAGTATTAATTGCCTACTCCATCCAGACTCGATCAGAAGAGTTACGCCAACCACTATTGGACGGCTTGAATATGATCCGCGAGATGTCTGCTACTGGGGACTCGGCTCGATCCGAGGTCGCCTTGATTGAGGCACTCGAATGTGCGCTTGCTCGTTTACATTCCGAAAAACAGACTACCATACCAGCCCAAATCCCGTCGGAACCAGAATCGTCAATATCGGACTATGATGCGTTCAAGCAGTGGGGCTCATTGTGGAAGAGTGTTGGAAACCTGGACATACTGGAGAACGTCCCTGTCCCTTCATTCGCTCCCCCTGCCGCATCACCTTTCCCTGTCCTTCCACTTGGCCATCTTGAATCTAACCAAATCAGCTATTTGGGAGATACCATCGGCCTCGGTGCGTCGTCCGGTACATCCAGCGGAGATAGACGGATGGATCCCCTCAATACCTGGGATCCGGTGAACGAGTTGTCCATTTGCGGCACCGGGAATTCGTCGCTTGCATCCGCATGGCCAACGCAAACTGAAACACACTTGCTGGAGCAATTCCTCGCCGCGCCAGAGTCTAGTTCAATGCCTCAAGTTGGAATTGGTAGCCAAAGTGGCTTCGAACAAATCTTCAACCCTCGTGGGTCTCAAGACAACCGGGCCTCTCAACTGTAAGAGTGGCGAGATTGACCAGTTAATTTGTATATACACATTAATGAACTACGCTGGGACTGTACGTTTGAAGCTAGGGAATATCAACATGGCCGATTAATGTATATCACGAAATTGATAATCATACCAAGAACAGCTCAGCTAAAACTCACACAGCATCACCTACGCCGACCTCGCAATAATCCTCTCTGCCATCTCCGGCAACGAATCCGCCACAACCTCCATCTGGGTATCGAAAATCTCCTCGCAACTCTCCTTCTCATAAACCGTACAATACGCCCCCCGAAACCCCACCTTTACCGCCGCCGATACATCCCACATATGCGCCGCCGCAAACCACTTCACATCCTCCAGCGCAAACCTCTCCAACGCAGGCTGATACGCTGCCAACGCCGGCTTTGCCACCCCCACAGAATCACAACTGATAAAATTCTCCAACGGCATCACCACGCCTGCCCGCTCAAAATACCCTCTCACCCGCCTGGTATCCCCCGTCGTCAAGCACCAGACCGTGAACCCCGCGTCCCGCAACTTGGCAAAACACTCCCGCGTCCCGGACCGGAGTTCCAGCTCCGAGTATCCCTGTACGCATTGGTCTCGCTCGGCGTCCGTGGCGAAGGATCGGGGGTCTTCGATCCCGGCCATGTAGAGCGTTCGGTAGAATAGGGCTGTGATGACTTCTTTGTAGGGCTTGTAGCGTTCGGAGATGGAGAGAAAGGTGAATTCGAGCTCAGCGGCGGTCATCCAGCTGAAGCCAAAGAAACGGGGTGTGATGTTTTGAGCGTCGAGTTTGGGGCCGATGACACTGGCGATGCGGGCGTAGAATGCATCGAAGGAGACACATGTGCCGACTACGTCAAAGACGACGTGCTTTTTTCCTCTCATGATTTTTTCTTTTCTTTTTTTGTCTTCCTTCTTCGGTGTTTTGGGGATCTTTGTCTAGGATATTTGGGGGTTTTTCGTGGCTTGTGGGGACGTTCCGGTATCAGTCATGGGTTATTTATAAGCAATTGAATTCTCAGGACAAGGCTATAATACTCGAATATAATGGTTCCAGTGGGAGAATGAGAAATCCATTGAACCGATAACGGAGAGATCAAGCTGATCGGAGCTTTCCCCGCCATCTTATCACTTCTTTCCATGCAATATGCCGGATCAGAACTGCCTATTTGGGAATGTCCGGGCCGGTAACCGGTGATTGGCTGCTCATGCCCCGATGGGGAGTCAGGTGAGGGATCTGATAAGAATCAGCTGATAAGATAATGGGCAAGCTTTAAGCATGACAATGGAATTGCTGTATAGAGTCTACATCAGTAGTGAGATGAGTGGCATGACCCGCAAGATGCATTACAGAGGCAGCATTCATAGTTTATGGTCGTATGATTATTGCTTGTGGGCTCGGTGCAAAAAGACTCAGTATATAAATATCATTGTACTGTGGCTAAATGTTTAAAGATTATATATCTCAATCAAGTTCAAAAAACTAAAATCATGACCACAATATATCCAACCGGCGAAGTCCCTTCTTTGGCTTAGCCTCTAGATCAGGATTATTCTGGTAATTCTCAATAAACGGACGGATCGGGATATCCTCCAGCGGGATAATATTCGTCTTCTTCAAATACTTGTACCCGAGGTATAGGGCGATAATGACGGGCGCATTCACGTACGACGAGATGAACGTCTCGGTATCCCACCGTCTATTCATGAACGTCTTATACCCTCCCGTGAAGAACAGAACGATAAGGAGGACCAAGGAGAACCAGGTGGTCCATGGCTGGAACGGAGCGGCCCAGGGCAGTTCCTTGTGGCGGTCAATGCCTTGCTTTTTGCACCCATAATAGAAGCGGAGGTACACGATGCAGATACAGACCCAGTTCACAAGGGTCGATATGGAGACAATATCCTGGAGCCAAGTGAAGACGGTGCTTGCCGAGTCGGAGAGGGTCATATATCCCAGAGCCATGAAGATGCCATAAAGCGCGACGGAGACGTAAGGGACGCCGAAGCGATTCATCCGCTTAAAGACCTGGGGCGCATGGCCGTTAGAGGCCATACCATAGAGGATACGGGAGCCTCCGAGCATGTTGGAATTGCCTGAGGACCAGGCGGAGGTGAGGACCACGGCATTGATGATAGAGGGCACCGCCGAGATACCTGCATTTTTGGCGGCAATGACAAATGGAGAGTGAGCTGCGGTGCTAGTCGAGCCTAACAAGTCGGGATCATTGGATGGCACAACCAGGCCGACCATGAATATTGTCAAGACGTAGAAGAGAAGAATTCGGATGAAGATCCGCCGGGCAGCCTGTGGGATTGCCTGGCGAGGGTTACGCGTCTCTGCAGCCGCTACCGTAATATTGTCTATGCCGGAATATGCGTACAGAGCATTATTCAAAGTCGTCCAAAATCCCAGGAACTGGCCTAGGGATCCACCAACCCCTAGGTACTGTACAAAAGGACCGGGGTCCTTCCAGTAGCTGAATCCGATGGCTTTGTGGTCAGGGCCGCCGCCGCATGTAATGACTAATGCCATGATATTTATGCCAATCACAAGCATAATCTTTAATATCGAGAAACCGAACTCAAGCTCTCCATAGATGCGGACGAAGAGGAGTGAAGTTGCGAGCATGAGGGCCCCAAACACAGTGATCCATATGGCGTTGTTGATCGTTGCCCAGAACTCAACAATAACGGCTGCTGCTACGATCTCGGAGGGGATTGAAACAATATAGGAGTAAACATGGTTCCATCCGATGGCAAAGGCTAACGCAGGATCGCAGAAGAGTTCAAGATATCGAATGGCACCGCCAGTAAGGGGGGCCAAGGCACCCATTTCTCCGACACCGAACACAACGCTCGACACCGTGAGCCCGATGATGCTGTAACCGAGAAAGGCTCCAAGAGGTCCCGCTGTTGCAATGGCTCGCCCAGAACCTAGGAAAAGACCAGTTCCAATGGTGCCAGCCAAAGCGATCATCTGAATGTGCCGTTGGTGGAGGCCTTGCTTGAAGTCGTGCACCTCTTTCAACTGGCCGGCAGTGTTCTCCACATCGTACGATCCAATATTGTCGTGAAAGCCCTTCTTCTCTGCGATTGCTTCCTGACCAGCCTCGTCAAAGGAATGGTCCTCTGCTGTATGGGGAGTCATGCTTCATGAAACTACTATGGGCTGAGAAATTTAGGGTGGTGTATTATGTGTTCGACGTAAGGGGTGACATCTTCCCTTTTTTGTATATTTTTCGTATACCTACGTGTAGTTTAGGTCCTCCATGGTGTAGCTTCCCCCGCTTATCAGAAGCTAATGCGAAGCCAATATCAAATCTCACCTTCTTCATTGGCGGGACTTTTGCACATGCGTGTTTAAGATAAGAACTAAGTCCACCGGATGGATCTCGGCAGAAGTTAACAGCGTTAGACTTACCCTGGGGGTGCTGTTCTAGCTAGGTGCATGAAGGAGTTAATTGATATTCTGATAAACCGGAGTGTCTATGCTGGTCCGTAGTTAATTAAACAGTGGAGCGCCGCCGATGGATAGATATCCGCCGGTTCAAATTGGGCAATTCCGGTCCGGTAGCGAGCTTTTAGCGGACTTGCGATCCAAAGACGCCTCCCGAGGCCGATAAGATAAGCCTGTGGTCTAGGAGCTGCTCCTATAAACGTAACTCCGTGTCATTTTCTCTAGGCTCAATCCAAGTAAACAGCAATTACTCTGCATACATTCAGGACAGAATGCAACCGCCTCTTCCAAACGGGTCCACAGCTACCTCAGAAGCCCCCATAGCGGGATGCTTTCCTGCCCCCAATCCAGGAGAATGCTTCTGGCAAACCCAACCTAACCCGAAGGCTGACCATCGCTCGACAAAACAGTTGCCTGAGCACAGCGATATCGTGATAATTGGCGCTGGATACGCCGGTATTGCAACAGCCTATCATCTTGTGAAAGACCACCAGAATGTCAATAAATCAATCACCATTCTGGATGCGCGAGGAGTCTGTTCTGGCGCGACGGGTCGCAACGGTGGTCATCTCCGACCTGATTTCTACGGTCATATCCCCACATACATTGATCGTGCTGGCGGACGAGCAGGCGCCGAGATCGCAGAATTCGAGATTGCTCATCTGCCGGCGCTCAAGGAAGTCATTGAAAAGGAGAAGATCGATTGTGACTTTACGTTAACGAGAACGATCGATGTATGGTGCAATGCAGAGGCAGCCGCAAAGGCAAAGGCGACATTCGACAAGATGGTTGCCCAGAACTTCGAATACATGAATGATGCTATTTTCTATACCGGCAAAGACGTCCAAGGCGTATGTATTTGCTCAAGGCTTGGTGAAATGGCATAGGCTAACTTGCCCTAGATCTGCGGCGTCAAGGGCGCGGTCGCATGCGCATCCTATACGGCTGGTACCGTGTGGCCGTACAAGTTCATCATGCATCTTACCGAGTGCCTTCTTGCGACCGGCAAGATTAATCTTCAGACATATACACCTGCAACATCAATAACCCCTAATCCAAATGGTGACTATGTTATCGAGACGCCCCGCGGGAAGCTGCACGCGGGCAACATCATTCATGCGAACAATGCCTACGTTGCTGGCCTTCTCCCAGAATACGAAAAGAATATTATCCCATGCAAGGGTATCTGTTGTCGCATCACAGTACCCGAGGGAACCACGGCGCCTCTCCTTAACAACTCATACATTAACCGGACTGAAGACAACACACTGTCGTATTTGATCCCCAGGGCCGATGGCAGCATTATTGTCGGCGGTGCCGCTGCCAAATTCCGACCATTCAGAGATCAATGGTATAACAATGTTGATGACAGTGTCCTGATCGACTCGGCAAAGGACTATTATAACGGCTATATGCAACGCACATATAACGGATGGGAGAACTCTGGGGCTAAGATAGATATGATCTGGACGGGAGTTATGGGATACTCCTACGATTCAAACCCGCACATTGGTTCGGTCCCCAACAAGGACGGCCAATTTATCATCGCTGGTTTCAACGGTCATGGCATGCCAGTGATCTGGCTAGCCGCTAAAGAGCTGGCGAAGATGGTCGCACAGGGGACGCCATTCGAGGAGACCACCATGCCTCGATTATTCAAGACAACACAGTTTCGTATTGACCGGGCAAGGGATGGGAAGGAGGAGGATGGTGATATCTTAGGCACTGGCAATTTCCCGGCGACGAAACAGTAATGCTTTTGCGTGGCTATAGGGATTTCGAGCATGACTCTGAAGATGTACGACTTATTCCTTTGGCGGTGGTTTTGAATGCATGCCTCAACGGGTTAAACATAGGTTGCTTTGATCACTTAGTTTGAATTTCCTTCTTTTCAACCTTTTTGCCTTCCCTTTCTGCTCTTGAAACCTGGAAATATAATAGGGATGTCGGCACTTCCGAGCGATCCTCATAGCTAAACCAAGATATACTTCATCTACATAATCAAATGCCCAATGAACCAAATAGTAAGGTTAATCACAAACAATACAACATTGCACGCTCTTCCTCACTCTGCCAAGTGTTCAAGCAACCCTAAGAAAGGTTCTGTCTCCTGGGCTGAGAACTGCAAACTAATTTGATGCTAGTAATTCCAAGGTACCCTGGCTTACACAGCTTCGCAGCACTTGAAGCAGCCCTATCAAGATCACTAGAAGCCGCTGAACTCCTAACAGATTGTGAGCATAGTTCTTCTCAATCACAGCATAGCGAGTGAGAATGCGAGCCAGAATAGCCGATGACCGAAACTAGGCACTTTGTTGCTCACGATAATTCTGGGTCATCTATGGGGGCAGAATTTATGTCAAGAGCCTGGATAACATTATCAACCTTATACATACGTTAGCCCAAGAGATACGATAGTCCACGCCTTCGATGTGTGGCTGGTGGGGTCGCATGCCACGAGTGCACCGATGAGTTCTTTGCAGCTCAATGTAGCAATCAGGACCTTATTTGCGGTGTCTCGTAGCTTGGAGTCCTCTCGTTTCGACACTACGATCTCATATTGAGCATTAACGGTTTAGATTACTTCATCCATAGTCTTGCATACGCGGTTCGAATCGGCATTATTGCTGCTTTCGGTGCTCCCCTTTCCCCGTCGGGTTCGACGTCGCTTTTTGCTGATATTATACTCTAACGTTATTTCTCATCCAGCGTATCGTACGCTTCTTGCCATAAAAATTCGCCTCTAAGACACCTTGTGCTTTGGATACTAGGGAGCATCATGTTCGATCCGACCTGCTCGCCTTCCTCTGCTCGGGAAGCATCTGACTAGGAGATTGGTTGAGTGGCTTGCTGCGGGATCATGAGGGAGCAAGTTTTGATGGAGCGAGTGGTCGAGTGCTGCTTTGGTTCCGGGCCTGTTTATTTGGGCGCCACTTTTGAAAGGGATTCCGTAGCTTGGGACAACTCATGTTGGGCCGAATGCTTCGCGTGCTGTTTTGCTCGATCGATGAAAAGGCTCCGATTGGACGGTGGTAGGGATTTATTTTAGCGAATACATGTTTGGCTTTTCTCGGAACTTAGACCGAAGGCTGAAAATTGAGCCAGTATTCGTTTATGTGAGGTGTCTATGTATAATAACTGATGTTGCTGTTCCAATGATAAGGCAGAAGACACATAAACCAACAGGCACTTCCGAGCCAATTACGGACTGGATCGAAGTAAATGAGACCCTAAAATCTATCATGATCGATGTTTTACGCTCTTTGTAGATGAGGTCGTAGTGGAAATCGATGTGACGATCAGAAAACGATTAGATTGATGATCCCGAGGACTATCAAGATATCCTATCTAGGTGGGAATCCTGAGCGCCTTTACATGTCGGCTCATGAAAGAAGGTTTCAAGGCCCTATGCTTGAATCAGCAAAGACCCTATCCACGAGGCGTAGGTTATCTGCTTATGACACTAGGTAATTTCATGGGCATGGTCCACAATATTCAATATGATGATGGTGATAATAATATACATACATGTAGTGTGACAGGTTCGTGGAGACGGCGCGGCCCGCAGACCCCCCCCTCCGTGTATGCAGGGTTACCGATGGTCATGCACATCTCCGAAAGGTCATCTGAGAAGTGAGAAAAGGCATAGAAAAGAAGAAGATATAAGAATAATTTCCTGGCATTGTGGAGTCTCTCGGTCGCATTTGGTCCCCTCACAGTAAGTATGCTTAGTGCTAGCATATGCCTATGCCAGGTAAAAAACCATATGTACGGAAAGATCACAACTGACAGCCTAACGGTGGTTTTGATTATACACAACACATATTTTATTCTAGGGCACGCTATCTCACATTCTGCTAGTCTTAGTGGCAAGCCTTCCCATATCTCTTCAGACGTAGGTAGTTGTAGGGCAATGGAGCCAGATAGCCGGCTGTCATCGATACACCGGCTGCCATCCAAAACTTGGGATCTCCCAGTGCCACGACTCCGCCAGTGAGGTGGTAGTCTACAATATTCTCCGCGGCCTCCATTGCAATCATGGACACCATACTCATCCCCATCGCGGTTCGAAGTGCCATCGGCCATGAGAGCTGGTCCACTCCCCGCCGGAGGAGCACTGTTTCAACGATAATCGACGTAGTAATTCCGGATGCCACTACATTGCGGTCCATGGTTATTGGCAGCTCTCTATGCGGTGTAGTGGTGTAGAACATGAAGACTTACTAGACGCGGCCATGATTGTACCCATACCAAGATCAGGATAGTACGTTTGGAGCATCCATAGCGCGGAAAAGTCACCTAGGGTGCAACCCACTAAACAGCGAAGCGTATTGATCCCGGATCGCTTCCAGGTATGACGGCACTTCCAAAACCCGAGATTTAACGTCGATAGGGAAGTTGTGCTAGCAACAGAGGTAGCAGGAGTCGGTTGAGGGATGCAATTAGGGTCTTGGCGCTCAGCGGGTTCCTTGGCGTGACTGGAATAACCAGTTCGAGTGCACGAGTATCTACAAAAGAATGGGACACGGCGAAACAGCAGGCCAGGCGCACAGCCCATCCTCGAGGCCAGAAGCATCTGACCGGGTCTGTTCATGTTGGAGCTTTGTTGGGACGAACCTGAAAGGTCTCAAGTCTGGGGGAACTGCTAGTTTTAAAGTGTTGACCCGCTCTTCCGTACTTCCGAGTCCCGAGAAACAACGCAAAAACCGCGCATCTAGGGGTGAGAGTCGGTGGTTGGATGTTCATGGCCATGACACATTAAATTACAGGTATCCACACACACGGGTCTAACAAATGAAGGAAATAATAGCAGCAGGGCCTGTAGTTACTGCACAAATCCCTCATCTGACGGACGCGGTGCTCGAATTATAAATATCCTACAAGTCACTGTGGACACCTTGAAATCGGAATAATCATACCTTTGAAAACCCTCAAGTCATTCCCCCTTCTCTCCAATTTTCATTTCGATAGATCCTCTCTGCACATGCTCGTACATCATGTCTCATCGATACAGCTTCAACGTTCAAATGGGCTGCTCAGGTTGCTCCGATGCCATCCAGGAGGCTCTTGGCAAACTCAGCGGTAAGTGAGCTATGAGACAACCCTGTCTAATTTTCGAACGAAAACGCATTGAGCGATACACTGACTAGAGACGTCTGCTATAGGTTTGAAGTCGCTTGACATCAGCCTCGAGATGCAGACTGTTATCATCGTAGCCGAGCCTTCCCTTTCCTACGAAGCTGTCTTGACAGCCATTCACAACAAAGGGAAAAACGTTCGGAGTGGTGAAGCGGATGGTATCCCTCAGGCGGTATGATTCAACAATGGTTTGTTGTATGAGGGAGAGCTGGCCTGACCCGCCAGAAGACCGGAAAGGCGGACGGCTCGCTGTTCACTAGGACATTTAGTAGTCTGTCTAGCTTGGATCTAAGTCGGCATAGCTCATGCTTTATTAGATCTCACTAGTGTATATCAAAAAAACAAGTGAAAGGCTTTCTATGGATAGACCTCAATATATCTACTGTGTAAACTGATGGGCATTTGATGAGGTATATAGCGCACCGATAACAATAAGGCGACGCTGGCATCACCGCGGGCCTTTGCCATCATGGTTTGAGTTAATCATGAGGCAACTGACAACCATGATTTAAAACCAAATAGCCGACAGTATCGACACGCAACGACCATAAGAATGGCTCGGCTCGACATAAAACTACAGATCTTGGGAACTAGACAGGAATTGGTTTTGTGTGTGCCAGTGCCAGTCGGTCACGATTCCACTAATGAGATCAGTTCCCAATCACCTTAACAAATATTAGTGAGGAACCAAGTAGGCTTACCTTTCCACACGAGATAGGCTCATATAGAGCTGGTTAGTCCTCATCAATGCAAAACGGAACTACCCGGCACACCGACTCGGGGTTTAGAAAGAATGGCATGGAATACCACGATGTGCTCTGTTGATTATAAGCTCCGTGAACTGTTGACTTGAACGTTATTAAAAAGCTGTTGCAGAGAATCGCCAATGTTAAGTAGTGTGCCAGGGATGGTGCGCGCGTTTGATCCATTCATCATTCGTGGACAGGACCTGCAGGCCCCCAGACAGGGTGAAACATTGAATCTTGGTATGCGATCCGATTCCAACGTCTAATTCAACGTGAGTGTCGTGCTATTGCTCTGGTGTGCCCGGGTAGTGAATGCATAGTCTGTCTGTGCCAGGATGGATGACTATGATATTGAAGTAATTTTCAGGAATATCGAGGGACAATGCAAAAATGCGACCATCTTACGAGCCAGAACAAATCGAGCTTGCCAGAACGCTATTGTAGTATTGCGAAAGTTGGGTATATTAGCTGTCTGTTCCCATAAAAGTGTGTCGTTCTCAGTGTCTGGCAAACGTCCTGGGTCTGTATTGGTTGGGTCGATGCGTGCATTGTAGCGCACAGTGAATGTCTCTTTCCGATCTGAGCACCGATGTCAAGACAGCCTGTTTTGGTGTATTCCTTGAGGTGCCAAAAATGGACATAGATGCGAAATGCCTCCCCTTTGATTCGGTCCGATTTATTTGAGTGGTCCCTACCATGAAGGGTCTACCAATCCTTTCCCCCCTTCCTTTGGAGGGCTTGCAAGGAGTGCCATCGCAAAAAGACAAGATGCGACATGCAATGTCCCACCTGCCGGTCTTTGTGTGCGGAAGACAGTGTCTAGCGCCTTTCCTGGGAAACGGGAAACCCCGATCAGTTCCTATCAATCGCGATTCACGCGGCGCAAAACTCGGAGCCCGCCTCCTGCGAGCAGCATGGGATCTCTGCGGCCACCAATTCCTCTGCAATTGCTGCAGATCACTTACCGACGGTCAGGCATCCTTGATGAGTATAGTTGTATCATGCATAGGTAGGTAAGTAATTCAACAGCTGATTCGAGTCTCTCTCGGGGGGAGTAGTCTCACGCTCTACCGGGTCTCAAGCTCATGGAGGCACATCAATTTCCACTTTATCACAGACATGATGCAGGTCAACATCATGATCACCCTGGCTGTCACCACCTTTTAGCTTTCTGGTTCCTATATACCATCATCGGGATGCTTTGGTAACAGCCACCTGGTCCCAGGCTGCGAAACTCTGTCATTTCAGCAACGTCGCCTGACCTGTCATAGTTTTCACATTCGTTGGTAGATTGTCCAGGTGAAGGAGGATCAAGTTGCTTTCTGTGCCTCCACGAACGGGGTAACAGAGACAGTGTTTCTCCGGGCCCATCCAGTCTGCAAATTGGCGCCGTTGGCACAAACTCTCGACTTCCGGATTATTTAGCGCTCTTAGCTGCTCCGAGGTGAATATGGTACGTCGCTACTCCTCCCGTTCAAAGCGTGGGAATGGTATCCCTGGTAGATTCTCCCGTACGAGCGACTATAAACCTGTCAGGCAAACATAGAGGTTAGCGGAATAGGAGCTTGGGTGTTACTTGGTAAGGTAGGCCTCGCCATTAGCGCCGACAATGCCCCGGCCGGTACTTAAATTCACTAGGACTACGAGAGCCAATGCTACCGTCTCTGTATTATATAAAATCGAATTGTCCATAGAATAGCAGGAACCTTTAGGGGTTACCCAAAATTAAAGTATCATATTTTATATTGGCCGCATTGGCCTGGATTACTCTGAGACTTTTTTGCAGAAACAGAGTTGATCATATTTCATGAGACCCACAAAGCTATCATGCAACGAGGGAAATTTGAAAGGGCCTTTGTTTACCACACTGCATGACCATAGAACCGTTCTGGCGCCAGTAATTGTGGAGGCTTTGCTTCAAGTCAGGGCGGACCCAAATGGCACGTATCCTGGGGTCTGCGGAACCCCGCTGCAACAGGCTGTAAAGGAAGGATATTTTGAGATCGCGGCTCTACTACTGAAATGCTGAGCTGATCCCCATCTGCAAGGCCCTGCACGAGGCTCCCATGCCATGAGGCCGCCTCTGCTCTTGGCTGCGGAGCGGAGATGAGATCTTCTGGCCCAGCTTATCTTAGAGAATGGGGCCGGTCCACAATTTGCAAGGAAGGCTAGACAATTTACAAGACAGGACGGGATGAATGAGGCTGTTGGGGTATTTAATTAGGCCGAAACGTGGGCGGATGAGGCGCAGATAAGTCTCGTATTGATCGCGGGATGAACCCAAGAGAGGCATGATATGTACCCAACCAAGCCATTCCTGAATCATGAAATATCATGAAATCCCCTTTGATCCGAAACAAGGGTAGCCTTCCGACAAGCAGCTTTGAGATGTGTAGGTCTGTTCTAGGCAGTGCCCCAACATCGTGTGTCGTGATCTGGACATCTTAAACGACATTTTTCTCTCGATTGGTTGGGGGGATGAACGCCAAGGCAATTGGAGGCCATAGACAGAGACTAGTAATAATAGTTGGGGAAGCCCGGGGGCGCATCGGTGAAGCCAGGCCTTCACACATCCGCGATAGTGAGGGTGCCGACAATTTTTTCGATTATCCTAGCTTCCTTTTCGCGCATTGCCACTGCTAAGGCGGTTGGCTACTTCGAATCCTCGGACTGTGTGGACCCATTAGGGTTAGAATCATGTTATAAGAAGGCCGAACAGTCCTTGGCCAGTTATATAAATAACAGCTGCGCGGGGAGGGAGCAAAGGATGCGCCGATTCATGCGGTGGGAATACTGCATGTATGCAAGCGAAGTGTCCAAGCCTTGGAAATTGATTGCATCCATGTTTGCGAATGTGTACAATACATTGATCATATCGATTGTGCCGCAACAAGCTGTTGGAATCAGGTATCATACTTCTTTATGTGCCAACAAGAAATCCGATGTTCTAACCATCCACTTCTCAGGCATTCTCGTGTGAGTATCAGCGAAGCGCCTACGATCTGATGGAGTCCTGCGTAAATACAGACATTGGCAGCATACCATTTTTTCTGCCGCCTGATAATGCACCCGGGGGGATGCTCCTGTAATCTTGGAAAGCTAGCGAAAGTACAAGCCGCGACGACTGAAAAGGCAGATCAATGTGCAGACAATATAATCAAATTGAACCAGCAAGGTGCCTATAAGGAGGCGATGGCTTACGGCAAAGCGTGTAGCTGCTGCGGACAGAGTGGTAAAATCTTCTCGTATGTGGTCCACCCAATACATGACAAAAGCCTGAACGGTACATATCTAACGAAGGCTTTAGCATATGAGACTTCTGCCCAAATACCATACCTTCCTTAATAGGTGCCGATGTGTGGTACGAAGTGCTCTTAAAGAACAACGATTGGGGGCAATGTGGAACTTCTCTTGAGGGTGTCAATTGCCCTGCGGACCTGGAATTTACCAACCAGACCAAATATCACACGCCGGGAAAGCTACCTGTGAATGGAACGGAATCACTATACAATACCGGTGGTGTCATCTCCACTCCGGTGAGTGGGAATATATCTATCTGGACAATGCGCGACGTGCTGCACCCCATCACAGCCGCAGCGACGAACAAGGCCGTCCCGACCAAGTCAGAATCCGGTGATAAGGGGGCCACTACTACCTCCGCAGAGTCCAAGGCAGGTTATCAGTTAAGCATGTCTTTCTGGGTCACCGTTGGCGCCATTAGTACCGCATTCCTTGCTATCGCCATATAAGCCCTAACTGTTATACTACTCTTCCTCTGAATATGACATGATATCGTATATTGCGTATCCTATTCACGCCGACACCCCTTGAACCGTCCTTTATTCCCCACTTTCGTTCAGTTTAATCACTGGACACCGAGAGCTATATAGTAAGTGACAAATTATGTATGTAGGACAGACTCAGTAGTGGAATATATGTGTATTTCAAACTTAAGACGCAGGAACTCGATTTTGTGGTCACTTTGTAGTACCCACACGCATTCCCAACCTTTGATACGTTCTTTTTCGGAGTCTTTTTAGTAATGGATCTTTTCTCACTATTTTCTCTGAGAAGTGAGCGTCTTGTGAGGTAGTAGTTACTTGCTATCTCACCTAGGCAGCTTCTGCTTGCTTTGTCAGACTACCATCGTGTTGGGGAGCCTTCCGATACAATAGCATGTTACGATTTAGTCTTGCCATTGTGACTGAGAATTTAAAGTATGTATCGTTTTATGCCCCTAACGCGATTTAATCCACATCAGCTGCTGTGGCAATTGGTCGGGCGGCCTCCAGGTCTCTCACTAGCTCTCCGATCTTTCATTCTAAGGCAACCACAGCCCTTCCCCAGTGGCATCCGAAGATAACCATATCCCGTAACCGTTTCCTTGACGATTACCTGGGCCGCTTTATCCGGGACTTCCTTAACATAGTCCGGAATCGATGTAAGCTGTCGAGATCCAGCGACCATCTGCTTGACCGTGGTACCCTTATAGCCGTCGCTGAAGCCATTCCCAAATTTGAGAAGGGTTAACGATGCGGCTCGAAAAGGGGGTACAAAAGGAACCAGGTTCCTCAATCAGGACTTTGACACCGAGAGTCTTGATTTCGGGGGAAAGCGACTCGTGAACAGCCTCTATGGCAAATTTACTAGCCGAATAGGTCTCTCGTCCAGGACGCGCTATGAAGCTATTCATTCTGTACAATATCCACTATTAAGCACTATCCAAGAAGGATGGAAACATAGGTACATTGACATACCGGGCGCCGTGGCTGATGAGAATGATATGTTCAGAGCCTCTTGCACGCGTGACCGGCAGACAGGCTCGAACAGCGCGAAGAGTCCCATAGAAGTTCACTTCCCTTTCATCGCGGACTTCAATCTCACTATGTAAAATTTTGTCACGGACCTATAGCATGTCGAAAATGCTCTGTAACCGCGAACCTTGTATCTTCAACGCCGCCGATGAAAGGATAGCCCGCATTCTTCAGCCAGAACATCCACGTTGAGCTCCTTAAAGTACTTCGCGAGTTGATCGTACGCATTGATCTGGGCAGCATCTAGGCCTATCTAAACGCCACCTTTGGCCGAGAAGTCCGGATAAGCGGCCTCTGCCTTGCTAACATCGCGGGTGGTTCCAATAACCTTGTAGCCAGCGTTGAGAGGTTCTGAAGCAAGGGGCTAGCTCAGACCCGACGAGGCGCCTGTAAACAGCCAGGTTAACCAAGTGGCGTAAGCCTATGATGGTTATAATTAATGGTATTGGCCCAATAATGTTTAATAATCTAGACAACACCATAACCCATAATCCAATGCCCAAACGTAGTTTAGACCGTAGATCCGTATCCGCCTCGCACCTCTATTTCAGCGGCTTCAAACGCAATAATTCGGGGATAGCCTCTTCTGGACGATCTCAATCAAGATTCGCGACTTGAGTAGGGAACCGAGCGGTTCAAACCCCGGAAAACAGCCCCTCATGTCCTTCTCAGAGTGTTATCCCGAGCAACGTTCGTTGAAAGTTTACATTCTTTGTGCCAAGAGGGGTAGTTGCTTATACCATAGATACCGTGTGAGAAATATCGGCGGCAGCCCTTGCGGGTGTGCAAGTACAAACTGCCTTACTTGAGTGATGTATAATGGTCGGCCCCTTGCGTCCGCCCCTACACAAATAGAACCACATGCGCATATTAATAATTACTACCGCAAGATTGGAATGTGAGCGCGTCTGGAATGCACTGCATGGTCGCTCGACGTCATTGTTCTTAGTTCTCGCTGTGCATATATTCAGCTCGCCGCCTCAGATCGAGATTCCGGTCAACCAATTCACAGGATACCAGGCTACTTATGATGGCACTGAGAAAATTCATCCTCGCCTCTATCATAGGCGTATCCACATGTATTCTCTCTCCATTTCTGATACTAGGGGATAGCTATCTAACACTTTCGACAGTACTATCCGGTTGCCGCGCACAAGCACCGGAAGCAACCATTTATAAAGACCCGGCCACAGGCATTACCTTCGACACATGGAGCGTACCCGGAAGCTCCAAGGCAGGCGGCCTCACCTTTGGAATAGCTTTACCTAGCTCAGCCCTGAAGTCTGATGCTACTGATTTCATAGGATACCTTGTGAGCGCCCCCGCCCCCTTCCTTGTCTACCATCACTGCTCATATACCCTAATTCATACCCTATCAGCGTTGTACCGCAACTGAAAAAACAGCCGCAGGTAGCTGGTGCGGTCTCACTCTAGGCGGCTCGATGACAGATGCTCTTCTCTTCGTTGCATATCCCGACGGCGACGCCGTGCGAACCTCGCTGCGCTTCACCTCCGAATACTCAATGCCAGGCGTCTACACTGGAAATGCGACTGTGAAACAGATATCTTCTATTACGAACTCGACTGGTTTCTCGTTGATCTTCCACTGCCAGGATTGTCTACACTGGTCGCAAAATGGCACGACCGGCAGCGCGTCGACCAGCAGTGGCCTGCTAGACCTAGGCTATGCACAATCTGTTAACCCCCCGAATAACCCGTCCTGTTCGACCGAGGTGAAGCTGGCACGACATGATATACAGGGAACCTGGACCGCGATGTTGGACGAGCATGCTGCGAGCGAGTTATTTGATGAATGGCGTGCCAGTGCAAATAGTGCTGTGCCCGACAAGTGTTCTAAAAGTCGGGTGACTATATAAGCAGTTAGATGACCATTCTCGCAGTCCGGTTCATTAATATGAATACTGTCCCTCAATCATTCGACATCAGCGGATATGAAGGCGTCATTCTCAACAACTCCAAAATGAGTATATGTTTCTAGATCCGTCGGCGCTATATACCGTTTTCCACTACGAAAGTTTACTTAGAAGCACCCATGCTCTCAAGGTTAGATTTATAAGGAGTGGCAGTTAGTCTATCCATGTTCGACCGTCCTTCTCACGCCTGCAAGACCAGTGACTTACCTCTCAATAATTATGATATAACTTACAAGAAATATCATTTTCAAACAGTTTAAGACCATCAATGTTTGACGGAGCGTACTTTACATAGATGGCAGGGCATTTGTCGCGCAAGTAAACTCGTGTAATATAATAAATTCGGCGAAGAACGTTCTCCGAGAAGGGCGAGCTTGATAGCCCTTATTTGCTCATGTAGTATATGTAGTATGTTTCAGCTGAGTATCGCAGCACGGTGTTATTGACGTCGTCGTCCTATCGTTGGTACTTGGGCGTCCAGGTAGAGCACATATCTACCCCTTACTAACCTTGTGATACTACTGTACAGTCTATCTGCGGAAACCTTTCAGGGGAATCATTTCCGTTTTAGGCTGGACTAGGCGCCGCTTTTTGCTCAATGAGCAGCCTGGAGCTGTGTTCTGAGCACTTTCTAAGCTGGTGCATGCTGCTTATGTGGCCCAAATAAACTGTGACATTTCGTAATTTAACGCCGCTTACCCGCGCGATAAAGAAGCTTGAGGCTTTATATCCTTAATCCGGTCTTGTACAGCCCTAAGTTGAACGTGTTCCTCCGACCCGCCCATGCGGAACTGATATTACAAGAAAGTAGGGGCCAACCACCACATTATAATCCATCCGTAGAAGCGAATGTCACAATGCGGGCACCTATCGGGTCGGCTAGAAGTGGCTGATCTATTCTTAGAAGACTTTCTCGTGCCTAGCTAGCTTTTTAGCTGGCATTTCTCAATATTGATACATTGCTTTAAATCAAGACTGCGTTGGCTGTGTCAAGAAGTGGAGATAGTACTGAGATCGGACGCTGCGATAATCACTAAACAACGCCTTATCGCTCCCCCTTGCGGAAACTATGATCCGCGATGAAAACTAGTTGTATTTGACTAAACTTGACTTCCTTGATTATATGTAGACTAGTGGGGGGGGTTATAGATAGGAAGGCGAATGAAGTCGGTGTCAAGGGGCGGTCAATTTAATTGCCTGACAGTACTTACTTTCCAGGGTATGAAACTTCTTGAGAGTTCAGTAAGTGGGAATCAGGTGGGGATTATTTAAAAGATGATACGCTGAAAGAAAAGAATGACAAAGAAGCATATAACGGATGCAATAAATAGAGAGAATCCGCTCGCCACCTAGATACATATCCAGTCACCTCATACCTAGCGCCTTCGCATCCCGAGCTCCTGTAGGTCCTAGTTCACAAAGCCAAGATTGTCGTCCGAGCCCTTCTTCGTCTGCAAAGCTCTGTACTTCTGCCCCCGAGGTGGCCTTATGGGTTTCGGCCCTCAGATTGGAGGCTCCTTGAAACCTTCGCAGCTAACCTTTCCTCCAGAACCGAATTTCCTCGTAAGTAATGGAAGGATTAATGTGGCTCTTGTGCTTATACTTTCGACCTGGGTTCGGGTAGATCTATAGCACGTCTCCATTATCATCTGTCTGCTGCGCAGTGGCAGACGTGGCTGGCCTAGCTCCAAGTGAGTCCACAGTCGAGTGACAGAATTCCCAGTGCAGGCTGTAAAGGGTCACAGTGCTGCACTTGCCTGAGTAGACCATTTCCTACATAGGAGCAATCGAATCCTCCCAGGGGTCATCCAGATCATTGTCCCAGATGTAGAATTTGCAGACCATGTCCCTGGTGCCGTCCCCACCAGCCGCGGTGAAATACGAGACAACAACCGAACGTGCAGGCAGTGGCTTTGGTTACCACCATGATGAGCACGATGAGGGTGGAGTTATGCATACTGTGGGCTCCGGGGCTATCAGTTTGTTTGAATCAGATGCAGAAACCCAGGCGTACCGATAAATAAGCACTATCGCTCTTGAATGTCTGCTTGTCTGCCGATTTGATTCACGAGAACCAGGAAGTGGCTGGTTTTACCACTCTTGTATGTCTGTCTCACGGTGCTGTGGTTTGTACCGAATACACGAGGCATTCTCCGTAGAACTCTGTCAAGCTGAATATTGGAGTCGGTTTCCGGCCCATCTTCGGATCATAAGTAACTGTGCTTAAGCGTTGTGCCTTTGCGACCATTATCAGTTCTGCATTCATCCTTGGCGTTTGTCCTTGGCGCCGGTTCTTGGTGTTGTAAAAAGGAAAAACAAACATGCTGATCTTCTTCGTTAAGCAGAAACAGCTCCCAAGGCGGCCCTTGAAGGCTGGGGTGCGTTGATGCATGCTACTAATGTTTGGCTTAGCTGAGACCGGAATAGCCGGAGAGAAGCCTTTAACGTGAAGACCCGAGCATATGGCAGCGAAGAAATGTTCTGTGGGTTTCTGGTAATAGTGCTTCACCCTATCCGCTGCCAGCCATAATGTTGTGCACCTTGTAGCCTTCGGTATGTCTTCAGAGGGTTATTTTCTCAGAAACCCCCCACATCTTATTTTCCCTCATATGGCTGACAGCAGCCCTGGTTATTTCGCCGTCAGAGATTCGAGGCCCTATACGCCCACGCAAAGATAAAACAGGGGTGGGCAATCATGTCGTTGGGAGAGTGATGGAAGGACTTAAGAGGAGTTGATATTATCATTGCTAAGCCGAAATGCCTCACCGGGCTGCCATCATACACAAGTCATATATCCCACCGATTGTGATGCTGCAAGGCGACGTATTATTGCCCCCAAAGACACTAGACCGTCAAAAGTTTCCGAAGAGCGAAAAAGACACAGCTGTATCGTATCATCTGCTCTTCGGCGATGCTAACAGTGTTTCCAACACCCTCCACTTCTTGGATGTTCTCAATCAGTCTCAGCTTCAGCTCACAATGCTAAGATGTAAATAGGCTCATGGATGATGAATTCATCCGAGGGATTCGCTAACCATGCTTGAAATGTAGCCGCAGCGACTACTACCCGCGGAACTGTTCTAGTCTCCAGGGTTTCCAGGTAATTTAATAGGCATCTTATACAAACCTCCACGCCGAATCACGCCACCGGGTGAGAAAAGATCAGGCTCAGCTAAGTTTCTGAAAGTACACAATAGCGCGTTTGGTATAAACAAATCATGACTTGTCACTAAATCCTTATGCTCGGGTTAGCGTAGAGCGCGACATTTGTGTCAAGAACCCTCTACGCAAGATTCCAAGCTTCTTTTCTTTTCGCATCATCCATTATAAGAGTTAGGAGGCTGCATAGTCGGAAGGCGTTAATGACAGATCTCACAGCCCCGTTGGCTGATAGATGTAAATGGTTGACGATATCGTAGTATCAGATATTCTTCTTTTCTAACTTGCTTCCCCCTCATCCATCTCTCTTTTGAGATCCTTCAACGGGCTCCTCTCACCAAGGGAGGTTGGCGCGATTCTGAGGAGAAACCTTGTTCCCAATTTCCAGGAAGAAGCCCGGAACGAACTCTCTTAGGCCTGCACCAAAATCGTGTATAGAGTCGGTTATATATTAGAAGTAAGTTTGCTCTACACAAATTCAATAAGCCAGAGAATAAACTCTCTAATCCGTTCAAGTGTATGGGCCGGATATCTCTCTCCAATTTTATAATGTTCGGGCAGGTTCTTCTCCTCGATAAGAAATCCAGGAGAAGAATAAACAGACCAGCCTATATCTTAAAAGATGTAGAGATATATTTATTTTATATTTTCTTCCTCTATACCTCTCTCCCGCTTTTATTAATACCCTATCCGTAGTTCGCCCAGTATCTCTCTATCGATAGATATTTACGTAGTATCCAAACTACTAAGTATACCGCAATTTAGTGAACGGGGATCTGATAGCCCTAGGCGCTGCCAAGTCCTCCTAGCCAGGGGTACATTTGGGGTCCACGAGCGTCCAATTGGTTAGATTTCAGCGACGTGGTACCCTTCCAAACCGGCCGCTTTTGAAGCATCTTCTCGGAGTGTCTCATTGGATGTCAATTGCAAGCACGCTTGTGTGGACTCTTTGTCCTGTTCAGCTCTGTTGGTTTCTAGAACACCATATCTGTTGTCAATTCTCATCGACAACCGCATGCACAGAATCCTCTTTCAGATAATATACAATCCGCAACTATGCAGCAGCCCAGGAGAACACTTTGGGTTGTAATTTCTACACTGGCACTGTCCATGATCAGTTATATGTTTTATCTATCGACCCACAAGAACCCAGTGCGGGTGCCCACCACAACCGACCTGCTGCCTCCCAATCCCGAAACGCCAGAGCCCCAAGATATCTCCGGGAACCCTACGCCTCTACCCCCATCTCCATGGCTTGAGCGAAATGCAACTCGCACTGTCATTGTCGCACAATTACAGGATGAGGACACCGCCTGGGTGAACAACCTTGTTCGGGAACATCCCTACCTCACCAGTGCACTCTACGTGGTAGACAACTCCAGTGCCCCACTCACTGTTCCCATGAACAAAGGCCATGAAGTAATGGTATATCTCACCTATATCATCGACCATTACAACAGCCTCAGCGATGTTTCGATTTTTATGCATGCTCATCAGTTTACCTGGCATAATAATGATTTCCTCGGTTCCGACTCGGCCCAGATGGTCCGGAAACTGAATAGCAAGCATGTCCTCCAGAACGGCTACATGAATCTTCGTTGCCACCTGGAACCCGGGTGTCCGGATCACATTCACCCTTACGTGGGAAAGGACTCCCAGGATATTCTGGATGTTCCCGAAGCAGCGGTGATTGGAAAGGCCTGGGGTCAATTGTTTCCTCAGGATCCAGTCCCACCAGTACTTTCCCAACCATGCTGTGCTCAGTTCGCGGTCAGCGCCGATCGGATTCGGCGAATTCCTCGGCAGCGCTATGTTGATTATCGCGAGTGGCTTTTGGCGACCGAGCTTGATGATGAACTATCTGGGAGAGTCTGGGAGTATGTATGGCAGTGGTTATTTACGGGCCAGCCGGAGCTTTGCCCCGTAGAAACGACTTGCTATTGTCAAGGCTATGGGGTTTGCCTTGACCCTGAGGAATATCGCCTCTACTACCAGACTCGAGATGAAGCTCGCAAATTACAGGAAGAGGTGGTGGAGCTGGAGCTAAATGAGTCAGGGCTTATGTCTGAGGAGAGAGCTATGGAATTAAAGGAAAGGATTCATGAGCTACACGGGCAAATGAACAAGATCGAAGCCAAAGCGAGGGGCGAGGAGTTATAATTATCTGACGCCGGTGGGATATGGTTGGCTGGAGATCAAATATAACAGGCAGGTTCTGTTAGGTTCTCTTTCCTATCTTTCCTCATTCCTTTTCTTCGAGCTCTAAATGTGTATTGTTGTGATCTCAGGGGAAAGATGGGCAGAATGATGCTGTATCAGCTACACGTACGTAGCCTACTGAGGTCCGGATGCCATTCTGATAGGTGCTCTATTCTATGGACGACTATATCAACTATCTTGACTGCTTCTTCTTCTCTTCCTCAACTACTAATGGGTAAAGCCTTCAGGGGCTGAAGGAGTGGGTGATCCGGCCAAGCCGCTAGGCGATCACGTGTCTCCTATAGATTCATATCATGTATAATAGTACTTTTGTCTGACTAGGGTATCGAACACCCGATATTTATTTTAGCGCGCAAGATCGGAATGGACCGAGCACCATCAGTAGGCTAGCTTAACACTGGAGTTCTCGTATTCACGAAAAATCCATGATAAAACCTCGCATAGACACCCCCACAAGTTCCTGTCTGAATGGAATCAAGGTAGGGTATGACAACATCAGATGGGGACCACGTGGTCCGTGCATACCCGCGTTGTTTACTGGATTGCCCGAAATGGATGTGTCAGGCTAGCCCCTATTCAATCTTCTCGAACGGCGACGTAAAGATCCTTCAAACAATAATTCACAGTTATTCTTTCTTTTGATATAGCGTATTTTAGAAAGGTCATAAATAAATCCAAAGCCATGCCTCGCGCCAAAAATTCGGATGCCCGAGCCCCTCTGAACCCCATCCCCGCCAATGGGGGCGTGCTTTATCCTCCAAGCCGGAAGACTGACACTCCCGAGGTGAGATCCGGTGATGAAAACACCAATCCAATCATTCTCTCACCCGGTAAGCCTTCTAAACATACTCCCTCCTCGACCACAAAATCCTCTGCGGCTGGTAAGAAGCGGAAAGCCGACGACACGCCTGAGCCCGAAGAAATAGATGACGATGACCCGCGTCTTGATGTCTACCAATGGGACTGCAATCAAATCCGGCGCAAAATCAAAAACTTGATCGAGTCGAAGGAGATGAAAATTGGCGAGTTCCAAAGGGTGCTGGATGTCTCGGCACGAAGCTATAATGCTTTTCTCAAAATGAGTGGCCCAATGAAAGGCAGCGAGTCCAACACATATGTTCACGCGCACCGGTTCTTTCGCAAACGCGAGCTTCAAGGCATCAAGGAGCCCAGGAAAAAGCCAGTCAGCAAGCAGGCCAAGTTAGACACAGAGAAGAAGTATGATGTCAGCGAGATTCACCTCCCGGGCGAAGAGGAAGTCGAGGTGGAGGTGTATGATACATGCGATGTGGTCCGAAAGAAGATCCGTGCTCATCTGCGTGAGCCGAATGTCACGCAAGCCAGCTTCCTCAGAGAGATTGCGAAGACGTACCCGCCACAGATGAAGAAGAAGTTCCAAAACAGTTCCCTGACCCGCTTTTTAGACTTGTCTGGTCCCAATGCGGGCAACACGAATGGGGTTTTTTACGCTGCTTACGTTTTCTTTGAGAAGTTACGTATCCGTGATGGACGGCCCAAGACCGAGTTTCGTGAGGATATGGAAAGGATTTGGGGGCCTGAAGGTGGATTTGATATCACGTCGTCTGCAAATAGAGCTTATATTTGCCATACCAGTCAGTATGTGTATGTAGATGAATACGGCTGGCCGAGGTGTGGGACACTTTGATCCTGATGATTTGTGAAATGGTGTAGAAGGCAATCATGTTTTTTGTCACGCCTTTCATTTTGTATATTTTCGTTGGGTGTAATTAGAGACTCGCGATTTTGACATGCTACTTTTCTTATGGTTTGAGCTGGCTTGCTCTCTGGTTTGGGCTCGTAGAAGGTGTTCTAAATCTGCATTTACTGGTCGTGCTTAATTGCCTAATTAAAGAACAAACTCAAACGGCCTTGAGATTGGCCTTAGTCCCGGTCATAATGAAGTTCTATTCTCGATGTCTATGCGTACGGAGTAGAGCAACCCCACAGGAGAGAAGAACAACAGTATAGGACAAGAAACGAGTAATCAGGTGAGATATACCAGTCACCAGTTCTCATAGGTTTAACTGTTCTGTGATTCTATATTAAAGAATGCGATTTGATGATGAAACAACGTTTTGATGGCTGTGGGTGGTGTTAATATATATTTTTCACACGATGGAAATGAAAAGCAATAGCGGTAGTAGGTTGACAAATACTGAGTGAACAATTGTGTATATTGGGGCTCCTACTGGCTTGTCTTTAGCTTTTTCTCTCCCTAAGGCTTGCTTTATTTTTCTTTTTACAAAAAATATTGACGAAGTGATGGGTGCAGAAATCGAGGTTACATGATAGTGTTTCCATAACCAGTAAACATCTAGAATACTACCTATTTAGGACAAAGATTGCCAGAGGTGTTCTATGGAGCTAAACTAAGAAAGGGAAGATCTTCAAAAGAAAATCGTCGTATTTTGTTTCTTTTATTGTTCTAGTCTGACTGTGAGCTTCTCTATAAATAGAATAGAGGGGTCCACAGGTCAACATGAGCCCTTCCGTCGCTCTGAAACGAAGACTTGAGCGCAATCATATGTTCTCAAGGGTTTCGCTATACATGCTTAGGCCTTAAGATGGTACTGCTGTAACGTAAATTGCTCTGGCAATCCTATTGATCAAGTCTTTTCTCGAGAGATCATTGGTTTTCTGAACGAGCTGGAGAAATCAACGATCGTGATGAGACACATATAGAGATTATGGATGGTGGTATGTTTACGGCGAGAGATGAGGCTAGGTCGGAAGTCCGGTGACATCTTTCCCACAATAAATTGGCATTGGCATAAATTGTCTGCGTTTTATGGTGATGAATACGAGTTAGTATATTATTTTCAACTCTCATTCCACTATAGAATCCGAGATGTGGGTATGGAGATCTACGGTTATACGAGGACTATCCACCTCTCTCTGGATACCCGCCGCTCTGTTCGCCTTGGCACGATCGTCCGCTCCTTATAGAAGATGGAACGCCAAGAATTTAAAGGGTATATACGAGAAAAATTGTTCGGAGTTGTGGGTAGCTGGAATATTATAAATATTAGCGATACCGCTCTTGCAAGAATGGTCCATCAAACGTTCCTTGTCTTTTCTCCTATACCTCTCGCTCCAGCATGGAACCCCAAATCAATATCCGCAATGCGGCTCGTTCTCCCTTAACTATTGTCACAATCCTGGCATACCTCACCATGATCCCAGGAGTATCAGCAATGAACTTTGTGTCTCGTGAAGAGTGGAAAGCACGCCCCCCGAAGGAGGATTATAAGCCTATTACCTATGCAAAGGGTGTTAAGATACACTACCTGGGACCTATGTTCAGCGGAAAACCCCATTCTGAATGCGATGATTTCATGCGATCCGTGCAAAATGAACACATGGACGATTCACCGGAGGATTACTTTGACATTGCATATAACCTTGCCGTTTGTGAACATGGTTACGTTTTCGACGGTCGAGGAAAAGGCCATCGCAGTGGTGCCAATGGTAATGTCCCGCTGAACTCGAATCACTATGCTGTTCTGGGGTTCCTTGGGAAGTATGGTGTCACGGAGCCTAGTGACGCGCAAATTATTGGGTTGCAAGATTCGATTGCCTATCTTCGTCGGGCTGGGGCAGGCGACGAGATCAAGGGCCATAAAGATGGTTACAATACTGAATGCCCCGGAGGGCCACTGTACAAATTGGTTACTGATGGTAGTCTCGACCCTGGAAAGCTTTGGGACGGGGGATCTCACACAGTGAAGGATGGCGAGGACTTGGACAGCATCAGCACAAAATACAATGTGCCGAAGCAGTACATCATCGCCGTCAACGACCTTAAGTCGCCCTATCATTTGACCGTGAATCAGACGATTGAGGTCCCTGCTAGAGGGGTTCCACTCACCGAGGCTGCCAAGTGATAATTTCTCGACTTTTGTCTGTTCTCTGAAGTTCTGCCGGTTTAAGCCAAGACACATGGACGAAAGCAGCAGTTTGGTTGACGCTACGACCTTTTTTCCCTGTTGCAAATATTTCAAGATCTCCTGTGATATACATATCCATGTAGCTAATGACAACGCAAAGACTACATAAAACGGCCACTCTTGCCAGTAGTATACTAAATATCGAGAATTTTAACAACAATGCGCAGTTAGGAGCTCAATTGCATGAATAGTTATCTGACCTCTCCCTCGCGCCTTGATTTTTGTATGCCTCTTACTACACAACTCAATAGTGCTGAGCCCTGGAGCTCTGATATTGTATTTGAGTAGGCTCTCCATATTAAGAGCTTTGACACCCTCGATGCTCTGCAGTCTTTTAAGTCCCATCCATTCTTGTTGTTATTCTTGCGATAAGAGCGGACAGTGCTTTTCCCGATTAGCTTGAGATTGTGGAAGTACCTGCAGCAGAAAAATAAGTACGATGGAAACAAAACATCAGCTTACGTTGCTACTAGACCCGCGAGGGCTGGGCCACTATAGTCGTCCCCTTTCCCAGTCAATAGCTTTATGCTTGAGGGGACTCGGAAAGATTTTGCCCATATATTGGCAGGAGAGGCCACATAGTACTTTTTTTTCAGAGCACATGCCAACAGCCTTCGCGTCCTTGTCTGATAAGTAGCCGGACACATGGTTGCTTCTATAACATTCATGGTCGGCGTCAATGACAAATGCCTTTGTGCTCGAATGCGCCAGATGCTAGAAATCACAAAACTGTATTAGACACGTTCTATAGTCGGATGTATCTCCACAGGTGACATAGATGATGAAAGCTCGTTGCCCTCCGTGCTACCCGAGATAAAGTGACCATCTTGTATAAGGTTACCAAGATCACGGATCGCCTCTTTCATGCTGTTAAAAAGGTGCTGGGTGAAGGTAGAGGTAGAGGTGTCCCATGTCCCCCTGATACCTGACATAAGCTTGCGAGTTCAGATCGATCCTTATGCGGTAAGAAACTATTCGCCGAACAACGCTTGTAGAGTGTTGAAAAGAGTGATATAACAAAGTACTGCTTAGTAGTCGCTTGGACTGCTGTTTTTAGATATGTTCATCCATGAGTGTATGAACGTGTATGTTACGTCCATAAGATTATAAGCCATAGACGGATTCACAGTAAAATAATTGGTTAACTTTTAAGTCTGTGCTTGGATTTTTAGCAATAGGTGGCATTAGTCTGGAATATACGGATAAACTACCAGCCATGAAGATGGATCCCATTGTTTTTGGGACAAGGAGCCTCAAAGCGTCTATGATGAGAGTGCTGTTTATGTTTCCGTCAGTATTTAGATCGAATTTATCTGCGAAATTGCGTGAGTCGCCCCCAGTAGCCATGGGAACCGATCGCAGACACAATGCTATGATAGTATCTTTGAAGCATTTATATTGGGTTATATCCAAGCCTTCTGTGCGGCAGAGGCACGACTTACACGTACGATGTTGATCACCACCAAGGGATTCATGATCTCATAATCTGCTGTCAAATCCGCCATCCACGAGCAGGGAGATTTGAAAGGTCCTAGTGAAGGAGTCGACAAATTCAATGTTCTTAGCACGGCAATGTTCGCGGTAAGCGCCCACGGCATCTGTCCAGGCAGTTGCACAGTCCAGCCTTGCCATCGCTTCTGAGCTGGGATCTCAAGTACGTGCATGACGGCATTACTCGAGCAAGCAATGAAGCCATCCGACTCTTTGGTTTCCAGAATGCTAGAGCCGCCTGGCCACAGGGATTCAGCCTAGATTGGGACGTGTACCGCCTGGCTAATTCTGAGCGGCCTAAGCAGCTAGGTTATGGGAGCTTTCCACCCCAACTTTCTACTGTTATTATAAACTTTACCCAAGGCGACGCATTTGTTGACACCAACTTCCACTACTTCTTTCCATCAATTCTGCGCAATTTCACTGCAGGAGAATGGATGCTTGAGGGGCAAGTTGGCTTTCTCCGGAATTGCCCGAATATAACGGCCTATGCGGACGCACACTTTGCGACCCTGCCATAGACGGTAGTTACATTTAACACTACTACCAGAGGGAAGAATGTTGATATTCTTGCCATCCATAAAAGTAGATGTGCAGGGGACTCTGCTGCTACCTATTGAATTCTTGACTGAAAGGCTGACCAGGCAACTAAGTTTAAGCGTTGTCCAATGTTGAGTCAAAAGGATGCTAAGTCTGGTCCTTGTGCATTGCAATTCAACCAGAGCATTGTCCACAACATTATAACGGTAGCAAGAGAGCTAGCAAATCTCACCGATGTGTGTGAAAGTCGGGCCTCGCACACAAATGGAGGTGGCGTACTAAGCTTACTTAAGATGGTTCTATTTATGTATGTAGCTACTACTTTCTTGCTGTAATATTAGTGAAATTCAAGCTGGTATCGTCGTTTATCGTGAAAACTAGGACTACAAGGTATGCTTACCTTTTTAAGGTTGAACCCTTCAGATTTTGATATGTCAAGGCTAATTGTAGTTGTGACCTGACTTAGTTTAACCATAGGGAGTTTATAGCTACTGTGCTCTGGCTGTAGTCAGTGGGACCTATAGCTGAACAAAGTCTAGACTTACAGATGACGCAGGTTTCTGACTAGAAGTATTTTTCACGAGCAGAGGACAGTATCAGGGTGATTCCAATAGACTAATCGATCATGTGGACACAGATATGTAGAAACTTGCGACTTCCACTCAAACTGTGCCCAGTTAAAGTGATGTCTCAAATTAAATGTAGCCAAGTTGAATACGAAACAAAGGAATATTTCTGCTATGGATCCTATTCGTCATTCACATCATCTTGGCCATCGGTGTGATTGGTACGTAGTAATTCTCTGTTGGACAGACTGTCCGCATGGCTGTATCACTTTGCTTCGTGTGAACTGGGGCCGCCATTAGGACCACCATATAGATGTTTCAGTTATTACTTTTAGTACTGAATAGCCTTGCCTTGTTAAGTACTAGATTTCATTCCGCAAACACATGATAACAGTTCTCTGCTGGCTGCTGCATGTACAGTCCAACCTGTTCCTAGCCTGAGTGAGTAACGCCTGACTGGCAGAAGGATGAATATTTGTTGCCGCATAGGTTTATTATTAGTCCGAAAAATGTAGAACACGGTCTCAGCGAATAGAATATTGTCCGATGTCACCACCGTGTTGCAAATCGAGCTAGGATATTCAACATCGAAGTTGTAGGTAGGGAGGTACACTCTGCGGGGCCTATCGGGTATTTGTGCAACAGAAGGACAGGTAAGACACAACCTGGGGTAAGGTGGATGAGGGATTTACTCATCAAGGGAACTTTCACTTACATCGCCTGCGTTGACGAAGCAGAGGAGGTTTCATCTTATCTTACTCTAGTCTGCCGTAGTAGCGCTCCGAACTTTAAAGCACTGGAATCCATGCCTGCTGGACTGGGACTCTTGCTTTACATTAGGGTCTCAGTGCAGTATCAAGTGTATCTCTAGTACAGCAACATGCGCAACGGGCATAAGGCGAAGTGGCTTCTCGTGTTTATGGTTGTCGCTCTGGTACAGGCGATGGCTCTGTTCACTCCTCGCGTAACGCATACTAGCGACACGAATCAAGTCTCACTCCCTCCGGAGCCTACTATACAGAGCAGCGATGGGGGAGCTCGTCGTCACAAAACATTCTTTGGCCCCGCAAGCGACTGCGGTTACTGGGGCGATATTGGTGAGTGGTAAAGTCCAAATGGCGGATCCTACCTCTCGCATAACGTGTACTGAGAATCCCTTTCCGAGCTAGGGACATACCGCTGTGATGACAACTACCCATGTCGATTCCATGCATCTAATGCTGCCTATCCAGCGATGATGGGCTGCTGTCCGAATAGCCCTGCCGGACCATGTGGGGGATTCTATAGCGTCTGCTACGGCCGTCACCAAATATCCCAAGCTCCGTCCTTGGCCTCCTTCACTGACGACATCTTTGCGATTTTCTGCACGAAAGACGATTATCCACATTGTCTGCCTTGGACGTGGCCTGAAATTAGCGTTTCTGCGTTTGAGTGCACCAACTTCACTCTAAAGGGAACCGCCACGCTCTATACGGCTGCTACGTACACAAATGATCTAGACGTCGGTGTAACAATGGTTTCGACAGTGTCGATATCATGGATGGAGGATGATGAGCTGATTAGACGATTGAATCTTAAGCCCTGGTCTCGCCCTGACGTTTCTTTTGCCTTGGTCGGAGCGGTAATTGGGGCCGTCGCTGGAGGGGCTGCGGCGATATCTGCCGCCGTCCTAGTTTTGTGGATGCTGCGGAAGAAAAAGCGATCCAATAGGAGAGTCCCATTGAACAGCGAGCCGGTTCTACGGGGAGTTTCTTCTCCTCTGGCTACAAGGCAGCAAACATTTCGTCTTGCAGAGCGGAAACCGAGTGAGCTTGGGGGCTTAGGAGCTCCTTACCTACACTCTGGGCCTGATACCCATGATAATGATCAGTATCGTACGACTCGCCACTAGTAGGGATGACCCATTATACTGTGCTTCTTCCCCGTGAGATGGAGAAAGTTTGAATGTACGCCTTGCATACTTTGTCTTTGAGACTCCGGGGATGCCGTTGGTGTTTGCACCAAGCATCCAAATTCTGCGGTAGTAGCTCCTTTGCAGTATAGGTAGTGTTTGTCATGACATACGCTATTCACCTTAGTATTAGCGCTATCAATCAGTGGCCGGTCTAAGTATTGCCGTATCCAGGGGCAACCAGTATCTCGAAAAGTAGCAAAGACAAAGGGCGAGAAGTTGGACCTATGCTTGCCAGCGGATAGTTGGAGTTTGCTCAAACTACTGTAGCAGTACCATCAGCTTCTGGAAAACAAAGGGTTACTGTCATGAGCACAGGCAGCACACATATCCCTTTATGTATCATAGTTAGTTTTAACCTCAGCTCATATTTGAGCGCACCTCTGGTATGGCGAGTAGACCTCGCAGGCATTCCTCTTAACTTCACCAGTCAAGTTAGGCAGCTTTAGAAGATATATTTGGAAGGTTTACCACATTCGCTCCTCCATCATTCACAATCGCATCTAGATTCCACAAGATAGTATTATAGGCTATCGCTGTACTCCAGTTGGCAGGTGTGACTATAGCTCAGCACATAGTCACGATACCATAACCTTATGCCGAAGATAAACAGCTTACGGGGAGGGTCCTCGGCACAGTAGTGTATATGTGTTTCCGGGAATGAAATCTGCCTAACGAAGCCATGGAACAGACCGGTTCGATAACATCTTACGCGATTGACTACGGCACTCTCCCTTCAAATATTCAACCATGCCTAGCAAATACTGAGTTTGTCATGGTAGCCGCAAGATCCACACCTAAACACTTGCTATATGATTATTAAAGAGTAGGTCCTTATATTTAGTAGTTTGATCTCACGCTGACCGCAATTACTCAAGCAATAGGTCCATGTCCTGTAGTCTCGTCAAGCCTACGCATATTTCCTGTGATGTAACCCTCAAGGGATACACAGCATCGACCAAGAATTACTATCGCGAGAATCTGTGCTCCTTGGCCATTAATGCTATCGAGACTACTCCTACTGCGATACTACTTCTCTAGTATTAATTATTACTTAGCAGGACAGAAAGTGCTTTATTTTAGTAAGATAGTTAACTATAACAAGTATAGTATTAAACCCTTTGGCTCTGGGATAGATATATAATAAAGTCAATAATGATATTTTACCAGGCTCACTCAGAAATAGGCAGTGGCTTCAGAATCCCTTGTCAGGTTTCTCAGGATACTGTTACACAGCAGCAGATATAACAGTTCTGGGTCTATTAGATTATATACTGATGTCGATACTCCATCAACGATTCGGCCACTGTACAGTCAGACAGATTCTACAGAACAGGTTCATGATCACCAATGAGATCAATTCAATCAATCATCATGAGATTGAAGCCTGCGAAGCATGTAGACTAAGCAAGGCCAAACACCAAGTCTCTAGGTAACCTAATCCGTGTACCACTAAACCGTTGGAGCTACTACACATCGATACACAGGAGCTTAAGCTAATAGATGTACAAGGATACAGATACATGCTGATTATTCTTGATGACTACTCACAATATCTCTTTGTCAGATTTCTCAGAAAGAAAAGTGATGTATTACCAGCTCTTGTCCAGGTTAATAAGGGATAGTTTAACCTGACCAATCACTATCCTGCTAGGATCTATTGCGATGCTGTACCAGATTTTAATAGCTATAAAGTATATACAGAAGTAAATAGTACTGAATTTGAATTATCTGTCTCTAGAATACCAGAGCAGAACAGTCCTGCAGAATGATTTGATAGATATGTTATCTAAACTGCCAGAACTATAACTATTGCAGCAGGCCTACCTGGAAATCTATAGCCTTACACAGTTGAATCAGCAGCTTATATACTGAATCACCTCATATAAAAAGATTACAAAGTGATGAAATTACCCAGGCGCGGTATATATAGTATCGCAACTTGCCATCGGGGCCTTAAGCCTAAGGCTTACCCGTGACATTAATAGCTACAGAATTTATTACGTGGAATATAGCTACTAAACAGGCTGTATAGCTACTTAAGTTACTTAATAAAGTCAGATTCCCTATACCTAACAAGCCAATCAAGATCTAATACTGACTTACAGAATACTATTGACATACTGAAATGCCCTATTTACTCTATCATATTGCGTTGGATCGATATACACTACTATTATATAAAGGAAGCAGTGGAAAACAGAACCATTAAGTTCAAAGTAGTCAAATCAGAAGAGAATATAGTAGACGGGCTCACCAAACCATTCCCTATGGTGAAATACGCCTCCTTTGTGGAGAAGCTGGGCCTACTCAACGCCATGGAAACTGAGGATACTACCTAATTAGGAAATGTGAAGGGAATAAGGAAGGTCCAATTAAATCATTTAAAAGAGATAGCTGTATCAAAGCCTATAGGGAGCCTAAGGCAGCAACAACGTGACCTGACCACAACACCAAGAAATCTCTGTATGATAGACTTAGGCCTTAAGACAATCAATCCCACACACGTGAGCTACACCAGCTCCATCATTGAGTGTTATGTATACCTTGAATGGAACTTGACTATTATAGATATGCTCAGTGCTTGTGAGCTAACTGTGGTGTGGACGGTTAGCAAACTAAGGATTTCAACTTGCTATTTCTTAGCTAATAGAGAGAAGGCCGTTATACCCATATCTTCTACTTCCTGAAAGAAGCTGACGATGTTCTGCGAATAACTGGTTGGGTTATAGCAGTACTGGCACTTCCAGGGAGGTCCAAATCGCTCGTAGGAGCACCATCACCAGTCCCGAAGACTTGACCACACCTCCTGTAAAAGGTATTGACTCTGGAAGTGGCTTGGGTTTTTTCCATGAGGACTGTCAACCTTCGCCCTTTTAAATTGGTTTGCACGGGTATTACTATGCATGCCTGCCTGGAACTTATCACCCGTAATGCTGCTGTAGATTATCAAGATACTCTTCAATCCTTCCTACAGCTACGGTGCCTCAACCGGTCAAGGCGTCTAGTCGGCAGTGGGATTCATTAACAACCTGTAAGATTGCACATCCTAGCCGGCACTACGCCTGTAATGGGTTCGCCAAGAATAACGACCTGTGTAGGAGCAAGATATCCTGCCAATTTGTTGGTCAGTCTCAGGCACTGTGAAACGGGGGAAGGGGTGTTATGGAGAGTCCCTGATCAAGCCTACTGCTAGAAGGGTATGATTAGCTGTATCACATGCAGCAGTCACGCTAGAATGTCTGCGCCGAGTACTCGAATTGCCAAGAAATATATGTAGCTGTAAGGGGCGTTGGGATAAGCTAAGCTCAGTCTCTTGCGTATTGTTCGAGTGCGAAGTGATGGACTAAATTTCAGCGTGCATACGTCTCTTGATGAGCCAACTTAGGTTGTTGGCAACAGTATACTTATCGAAGGATGCACGAGGGGAGAGGAATTACCCTGCCAGTGAGCCACACAGTGCAACTAAATTAATATTGGCCATTGCTAGGCGAGAGCTTCGTGCTTTGCCTAACGCATATCATGGCAGCAGCCTTACGCTAGGCAGTCACCACGCATCATCCAGCAACCTCTCCTGAAAGGCTTTTGTACACTACAGCAATCCCTCGGAAGCTCTCTGACTAGATGGAAAGTAACTTGAGTGTAAATAACTCGATGCGACAACGTTTAGCGTGAACATGATATTTTTCTAGGAAGTAGACTATATGAATAAGGAGGCACTTCCCAGATCAGTGTCCAGTGTTCTGCTGGATTTAGAGCTCAGCCAGTTAACTAATATCTTACAGATATTAGATAAGTCTGATGCATCAGTGTGACAAGTCCAATAGTCCCGGCATAGTGTCGGGCGGAACTGCAGCAGTGCCGATCGTGGGTTGTGATTTGAGATTAGGCCCCTACTAGTAGCCAAAAAAAAAAAAAAAATGCAGGCAATATATCAGTACGGGGGTGCTTTAACTCAATTGCATAGGGTGCACCGAAGTACCAAAATATCTGATATCTTATTGACAAGTACTTTGTGGTGTAGCGGCCTTTTCCCCAGCATTTGAAGATGGAAACTTATACGGCTGGCTGTAAGCATATCTCTGTAACGATATGAGATGGGACTCGTCAAATTTTGCCACTGCAAGGGCGGCGGAGTTACGATTGAGTAGTCTGAGCTGCATGCTGCATATATATGTCAGAGCTCCAGTGCGAAAAGGAATTCTTTATTGATCGCTGGCTTGACTACACTATACAGACTTGTCGGGGCAAGCCTCATAAAGGCAGGTTTCCGCTGTCTCGCCTACTACTCCGAGCCTCACTCAAGGCAGCAGGTTTGAGGGCCACGAAATGCGATTGCTACATACAGAAAACTTGAGCTTTGAAGAATTTACAAACACAAACTTGCCTCGGTATGCCATCCTCTCCCATACTTGGGGTAGAGATGAGGCAACCTTTGAAGATTTATCCCATCCTTCTTGGAACACCAAGGAGGGAAATGGATTTGAAAAAATAAGGAGGTCTTGCAGGCTAGCGCAAGAGGATCGGATAGACTACATTTGGATTGATACATGCTGCATTGACAAGACTAGCAGCACCGAGCTCACGGAAGCCATCAACTCCATGTTTCGCTGGTATTCGGCGTCCGAAGTGTGTTACGCTTATCTGTCGGATTGGAGTCCGGGCGCAGAATTTACCGAGCTTTCAAAATGTCAATGGTTCAGACGGGGCTGGACTTTACAAGAATTGATCGCTCCTCGCGACGTCAGGTTCTATGACCACGATTGGCATTTCCGAGCAACGAAGCTACAGAACGCTAGCATGATCAACTCCATAACGCGCATCGATATGGATGTTCTTCGAAGTCCAAAGGCTATCGCCACAGCTTCGGTAGCGAACAGGATGTCCTGGGCAGCTGATCGACAAACCACACGAGAAGAAGACGTTGCCTACTGCCTCCTCGGGGTTTTTGATGTTCATATGCCGATGATGTATGGGGAGGGAAAGAGGGCAGCATTTGTCAGGCTACAGGAAGAGATTATCAAGCAAACCAACGATCTAACGCTGTTTGCCTGGCAAGCAACCCCAGCCTCCGAACCGGGTCGCTTGGCCTCCGAATTGTGTGGCATTCTCGCACATTCCCCGGCTGACTTCTCGAAAGCAAACGACATCGAACCGAGCTACGATAAGAAATTCAACCCGGAGTTTAGCATGACTAACAAGGGCTTGCGAATTAGTATGCCTCTTAAACTGAGCCAAGAGGGTAGATCTACCATGATGTTGAACTGTTACCGGAAGACATGCCCAGATCAGCAAATTGGTATCCACCTCGAAAAACACGGACCGGACCTGTTTGCCAGAATTAGGCCACACGAGTTAGCTGATAAGGCTCCCCGAGGTATGGACAGGCCAAGCCCCGTATACATTAGCAAGGAAATCTACAGCGTTTCCCGCCACGCATTCCGATTGCAAATGTCCCTAACCTCAAGGGTTAAGCGTACTGCTACTTACCCTGAAGACCTTTGGGATAAGGGACATCAGCTCCATTTTACAGATGGCCGCGAAACCTTTGTTGGGTATCATCATTTTTACGTACTCAATGGACGGAACCAGCTCGATGTCCAACGGACCAGGTCTTTTATTGGGTGTCCCCGTGTCCCAGACCATACTGGGCAAGATGAATTCGTGGTCGTGTTCGGTATCACACGTAGCGAAAGAACATGGGCACGCATTGCGGACAGGTCATCCAACCCCCATGTATTTGAGGCGATTGAAAAACGGGACATGGTGAGGCTTTTCGAGGAGGGACCCAGGCTTCAAGAGTCAAAGATAAGTCTCTGTAGGTACACCCGTGGTGATATGGTGTACTGGGAATCCTTCTCTATACAGTACAGACCAAAACAAGGTAGCCTGAAACACCATATCGATATTAAATGTGAGCCTCGTTGTCGGAGAAGACCTGAAAGAATCCCGGCAGTTGTGGGAGCTGCGGGTGTTGGTGTGGTCGCCCTATACACGTATGTTGCAACGCTCGGTCTGGCGTCACTCTGTGAATATTTGGTTGCAATCTAAGTCAGATGAATCACTACAGTGCTATTTCACTCCCCCAACGCCGACGGCAGCAATTGCGGCTAATATATCAACGGAAATAGATTGCAATCGAGCCATACCAAAGATCTTTAAAAGCGCATGAGACCCGCCTAGAACTTGGCTTCCGGAGGCATGTCAGCAAAGAGGAAACCGATCTGGCATTTCACCAGTGTAAAACTGAATATTGACAAAGGTTCTATAATACTTTCGTTGTACATTAACTATGCTAGAAGCAAAGGACATCTTACTGGTCATACATCCTAAAGTCTCTTGAGTGACTCACATTCTCTCGACTTAGCACTTCTTCCAATTATAACAAAAACCGGGATCCGTGGTATGTTCCATAATTATTGGACATGGAGTACAACCTTTGTCTTCAAGTAGATTCACTAATTACCTTGCTTTTGTTTGTTGCTTTTGATTCTTTTTCCTACACTATTAATCTATAACTAGAACAGCCTATTTATCTGCAGCAGGGAAGGAAGGGGACTCGCGATAGACAAGGTCCTGAGGCCCAAGCTAGAAAACATATCACACAGAACAGTAAATCTTGCAATTAAGAGATGGAAAAGGCATTTTGGGCCTTGTTTGAGCAGCCTACTTTGCGCCATGGTAGTCTTCACCCGACAAGTCCCCCATATTCCTACTCTGAGCATCATTAGTGTGCACCTGGCAGCGGTGGTTGCAACGGGGCCTCCTTTCTGACGAAAATTGCTGACAATGATCCTACGCCCCATTTGTACCGGCCTGTATGGGTTCTTTCCTGACTCCTTCTCCTGGAAGACACGGTATGTAAGAGCTCTACTTCCTGTCAAAGCTGATTGCTACGTTTAGGAGACTACACTAGGGGGCCCTACACAAGTCCATCCCATTAAGGAAATATTGTTTTTCCATTCACTAGCATCTTTTATGCAAACATAATACAGAAGAACCTCATCGTAGCTAGGACCGGTATAGTACGAAAGCTAGTAGAATCATCTCAAAACAGGGGGATCTAAAGCACATAGTGAAGTATCTGCGCATGTAGCCTGGTGGATGATTCGTTAGCATACAATTGTCCGGCGTGGGCTGTCTTCAAACAAAAAAATAAGACATGGAACATGTTATCAGAAACCTCAAGTCTAATCACGAAAGACATCCAACTTAAGCAAAAGGATACCTTCATTTCGGCGAGTGAAAGGTTGATTCATCATGGAAAGGTAAATTGCAGAGGAATAGAGTAAACATACCGTAAGTAAGAGGAAGCTAACAGCTTTGAAAGATTAGAGGTCGGGCTGGATAGTTTGACCACGCTTCATTGATCATGCTGAATACATCAAGCGATGGGGAGGGGACTCGGGGCGATTATTTATAGGCTGCTCGCTGTACGGCATTCCAAGGCGTCCTTTGACCGTGTCTATACAGGGTTGCATTAAGATCTGTGGGACGATGCAATTGCCAATCTCGGTTTCCGACAAATACGGAGCATTGAGCCATACAAAATTCCTGACGGGGCCCACCGTGACTCACATTCACACTGGTGAGCGAGGGATAATCTCGCATTTCGGAACAGGTATGGCCAGAACACGAAGCATGCCCTCTCTAACTCCTAACAATCGGCCCAGTGGGGCAGAAGTAGAGAAGCAAAATAGAACCAGGTTGGCTAACAAGGAGACGAGCTATACCTACAGCAGACCCCTTCCGGATAGCTCTTCAAAGCTTGTGCACTGGGATATCTCAGAGACTCTCCAACGTGTTACAGAATATAGCTCGCATATGTCGTAGTTGTATAGACGGCGGTCACCCCTACTTGGCCTAAAATGACTGTATATTACAACACATACTTCCTACGTAATCTGAAGATGTTTTTCTCTATGCCTATTAAGAAACCAATTGGGAGTACACCTTCATCACGATGCCAAGGAGAGACCCTTAGATGTATACGAAGCCAAGCACCAAGACCCACTGGTGCTAACTACACATTCGGCTCCCGCTATCCACGGAACAACCAAGATATCGGACATTGATGCCCGATGCGGAAGTTAGTCAAATCTCCTCCTTGCATTTATGACTACACAGGCATCCATCGAAGGCTTTTTCCCTTCGGAGCTTTTCGGTTTGATAGTCCCTAGTCGCACGTCTAGAATTGACACAAAGGACATAGCTTGAGTAATCATTCGACTTCCTCTGTCAGCTCGTGGTTAGCCGGGGCCACAATGGCTTGAACCTACTACTGTATCCACTGGTTGAATCCTACATTGGATTGTACGTCTATACATACTGAGACATAAAAAAAACTTACACAATAAAAGATGCTGTGTTATAATACTACCACCGCAAGTCCAGGCCAGGGCATCCTAATGTTTGAAAATACAGTATCTGGTATCTGAGCAAATTGGATCTCAATGGCTATCTAGACGCATACCTCTGATGGGCTGGGGTATTGTTCTGGGCCTGTCATTTACTATGTAGCGGCCCCAAAGCATCAGAATATTCTCGTGGTAGATTATATTTTCGGACATGAAGTTCAGCCATGATCTTCTGGCCGGGAATTGTCGATAGATATTTGTCTAAACAACAAGCGAGCGAGCCCGGCCAGCGTTAGTCCCATCCGCTGTCCCTGCTATGTATTGCCAAGCTGTATCCATTCTGATATTCACACGATCCATCCATCTTCATCACTGATGCCTCACTTCCTGAAGTTGTCAATCCGCAAGCCTACCATCAGTGCCTGATGGGACAGACTATTCTGCCGCTTGACAAGGGAAAAACCCAAATATTGTGTGTGATACTACCAACACTGTGGGGGCGGCGCTCGGATAGTCAAAAGGTTCTAGGGGTAGTTCCGGCCTATTGTAATGGTAAGCAATAGAGGTGAGAATAATAGAATAATAGCAAACAATATAGAAGAATGAGTGACGTTGCCCGCCTTGATCTCGCTTCCTAAGAACATTCTTCTGATGTCGGTCCGCCGGAATAGATGGGTTTATCCGTGTCGCAATTCCACAACTTGGCATTAAGGGGACTTGTCTTCAGACCGAATGTAGGGAAGGGGGCCATACCCAGGGGCACCGCACGGGAGTACATATTAATAGGCAGACACTAGAACCGCACTACAAGGGATATCTTGTTCTTAGATATTTTTCAACCGGTTCAAAGGCGAAGTGTGCTAAGCTCTGGAGGTCGTACATAAAGGTTGAGAGGCACAGTAGTTTTTGAGCTACCTCCATGCCTTTTTTACCTGTGACTTGCTTCTCCCACTTGTCGATCCTCTCGAAGGTCCAGAATGTTCTTAAAATGGACCAAAAGCGGAACCTTTCAACTTTGGTCTTCTTTCCCAACGCAACAGGAAAAAATGTGGCATACGATGGGTTCGGTACTATTTTTTCTCTCAGTGGGCGTCTTGCCAAGCCAGTACCCTCGGAAATGAGGGTTTTCCTCCTTGTCCCCCATCAAATTATGGGGGCTGGAACATGACCTGCTGTGTCGTGGAGGTATAACTAACGTATGTAGCCTTGTAAATGAAGTCAAGGCTTTCCGGAGAGCGACAAGTCGTCGTAAAGCGTTGGATTGAGCATAGCAGGATAAAGGGCTATCGGTCTGCTCCTGGTGTTTTCATATCTACGACACCTGTAGCCTGGCTAACTTTTACTAGACTCATAATACCAACTGGGATTCCTCCGCACTCTGTGGTAGTCGATCCAGCCGAGCCAAACTTGCACACCCACGTAGGAGTCCGCCACCAATCATTGACATTTCATTCCAGCCAACTGCTATTGTCAGTTATCATTGCTATTGCACTTCCGTGTATATTTGGAACTTGACTTGATCAATGCCACGTCGCTGCAACCAATTCCTTCTGCCTGAAGCACGGACTTCATTGGGCTGCTTATAGTGCATGCTACCTGCATTGAACATCGATCTCATCGGAGCATATGTATCTCTAATTTTCTCAAATCATGACACAATCTGAGGAGGTGGTCCAAGATAGGAGGTGCATATTGCATGGGGACCACAGTTTGTCGAGCTACCATCTCAAAGTCACTCCATACGTGGATAGGAAGCCGTGATTTGTTTCGGATAAATGGAGCCAGGGTTATACTCCTTGACGCCTTGGAGGCCAGGTTTGGAGAGCTAAGAAGCGTTGAAAGATGATACTTTAGACGTTCTACCCTATCGTAGTAGGTGCCGCGTGATATGCTGTTAGTTGGAGGCATACATATGTAGCTACACCGATATAACCATGTAGGCACAAGCTAAATTAACTTGAGTTCCGGATTGAATATCATTTACAGGAATTGTCGGCCCGTGAATGAGCAATGAACTATTCCGCGACGTAAGACTTCTACTATCCTTTCCGTTGTCTATATAGTCAAGTAGGTCTCAGTACTTATAGAAAGCCCTTGTTCCATAGAATTAGTCCAAGATCCCAGTAGCATATGTATTCACTTAGCCCTAACACCGGTCATTGGGCCTCTCAGCTCTATCTTCAAATCTATCAAAAGAACATATAACTAAATCACAAAGAACGTCCGAACTCTAGATGAGTCTGTACACTAATATTTGGCTGAAAGTATTTAGTAAGTACTTTCTCTTCCAAGTACCGCTGGTACCTAAATTATTGCACACTATTGCACTACGATTACCTACTAACCCTTACCTACCTTACTGATATAACTGCATTTGTTGTCCTTGAACGTGTTTTGTCAAGCTAGCATTGTGAATTTGTGAAGCCACAGCCTGGATAAGTCTGATCTCTTAATCAAATAGAAAAATAAGCAATATATATAGACATAAGACTCATCGTACAGTTATGTAATCACATGATTCTATAACATGATTTTATAATCAGCGCACTAGTGTAAATCAAGTACATAGATAGCTGATAGCAGGCCTTAGGCTGTAATTCGGGTTGGCAGAACAATATGATGATTCTAGATAATTAATTCTCAATCCCGCAAGGCTTCAAAATCCGCTCGAAGTGATGAACATATATCATCAACCAAGGGTATCTCCTCCTCTATAGGCACGCCCAAGGCTCCGGCTTGCCAGGTTATCGCGCACATTAAGCTACCCCCCTTAACACTGATAACGTTAAAAACAAGAGGCCCACTAGGAACATTTCCGGGCTGCACGAAGACCATCTTGCTGATCTTGCATTTATCACTTGCAACGCCATTGTTACCATCAAAGGCAATTAAATTGCTCACTTCGTAAGAGCAATCCCGCTGCTGCCCAACCTTCCCCAGCATCCAATTTCTGATACTAGGTGCATATCTCAACAGGCCGATGGCTTGATCCTGCAGCCTCGTCGCGCATTCGGCGAGCCTCTTGGTCATCGAGCTTGCAGCTGCCCACATCTCTTCCGACAATGCAGGCTGGGCTACATCGAGTACACGCGGATGTACGTCGTAATGGCCAGAAACAAAAAGCCCCCACGTGTAGCCTGGAGTGCCAATAGATCCTCTCATATCAACAGCGGTCGTGGAGACAAAGTTAGTTACGTCACGGTTGGGAATGGCCTTGCTTAACGCCCGAATGATCAACTGGTGCAATGTTGAGGTAAGTTTGGCATCATGCTTTCTAGATATTTGCAAGGCATTTTGTAGTAGCGGAGCCTCGATCTCGAGGAGCTTTAACCTGCTGTTGTCCGTGGACGCCGGGTCAAAGAAAATGCGCGAGCCGGTCCAAGTGCCAGCGTCGACTGCGCTGGCAGTTGCGCGGAGTCCCAGCAGTTCAGCCAGGAACTTTGGCAATAATACTGCTGCCAGCGGTCCAAGGAGGAACTTCCAGGATATGGGAAGCCTCTGGGGGGTGTCAAAGGGCTCCGGGAGCGTTCGACTCTGTGGAATCACCAGGAAAGATTCTCCTTTATCGGCACCAGTAGTCTCCCGCCATGCGTCTAGAAAAGTGCGATGAAAGGCGAGCCCGACCATGCCGTCCCCCAGTGTATGCGAGAACGCAAAAGCAATAAAGCAGCGCGCTATTTTGGACTCATCAGGGGACGCCAGAGGAAGGACAACGATTCTCCAAGGGGGCACGCCAGCCGGCCATGGTCGGTCGAGTATTGGCGGCAGGACCTTCTCCAAAATTGCCGTCTCTCCACTACTCTGTATCTCATCGTCGTGAATGATCGAGATATGTTGCTCGAGGCTTATACTCGAAACCCCTTCGTAGGCTGGTTTTTCAGTATCCTTATCCTTGACCACCACGCTGAGGTATGGGTGCTTCAGAATACAGGATTTTAGAGGTGAAAGGAAAGACTGGGCCGAGTTCAGGTCTATGTCTTCACTCCCAACCTCGTATACTGCTGCGATGACAAGCGCGTTGTAGAACCCGACGTCTTCGCGACTAATTGTGCGGCGCTCATTTGGACCTGCACCGTCGTTAACCTTTACTCCTCCCTCATGAGTGAGTCGCCACTAACTTGCGAACCTCAAAAACGGATTCCGCCGCGACATGTCTATGATAGACTTGGTGAACTCTCTTGATAGGAGGTTGGACGGGTTTATGGGTCGCTGCACAAATAGCGAAGGAAATAGGGGATGATCTTACTAATTGGCCCGAGAACACTGCCGCCTAGTTAGTCCTTCGTATTCTCTCCTGGTGGATCCTTTATCTCCGGGCGATCCGCTATCCAGTGACAACACACTGGTAAACATTAGATTAGCTTTCATTGTTGATCAACGCCCAGGAATCCAATATGTCTGTAGCAGCAAAGTAACTGCAATAGGTCTATGACTGCTACTTTTTCAACGTCTTACAAGGGCAAGCTTCATTACTGTTTACTGAAATTCTGCCTCTCTGCTCAGGGCTTTCGCCAGGCAGCCTATTGCATCGTTTCAGGTCATCACAGTTTCTGCGGGCCTGTTTGAGATAGGGATGAGATGCCTCACGCTTGCAATCCTGCGACTGATGAGAGGAAGCCAGGACCACAAAAACCATGATTACTGTACAGTACAGTATGTCTAGGTTGAAAGGCCGTTCTTCAACCAATCTTTAAGCCCTCGGTCCAAAACGGGGCTTTTGGCTTGACCCAGGCTCCAAGGGAAAACGCCATAGCAGATTATCGCTAAATGGTATATGCATTGATGTGTTGGCATGGGCGTATACATGTCCCATGGTGTAGTCACTCGGAAGTGATGTGATATGGTGTTGTACGGGCGGCGACCGCTGCTTTTAATGAAACAAACTTGTGTCTCTTGGGCTGCAGAATCTGAATGCAGGAAGAGCATTCGCCGCCATGTTGCCTCTGGCCAGTCGAATATATCGGGATCGTCTCGTTGTATGGGAATATATGCGACATATTCTCTGTCGTCTCGGCTGTACGGGCCTGTGCTGGTAGCGGTAACTGGATGAATCAAACCACTCTATAAATACTTCCAGTAGAAGAGGATTGAAGACCATTGGGCCTTGACCCCGTAGGTTTGAGCCAACCCCACCATGCTTTTTACCATCCGGGACAGGACAAAAGTAAAGCGATTGCTGTAATATAAGCGAAAAACCAATCATATCTTTCTAGTGTCCGCAAACACGTTAGGAAAGGAGAAGGTCAGGCATGACAAGGTAAAGTAGGATCTGTTCCAAGAGTTCCGGGGTCTACAGAAGGAATTAAAAACAATTAATCTTCCTCTGAATCTTAACATTTTTAACCCATGCCCTTTATCTGCCACCCAACTCTTGTTATCCAGTCGGTTTCTTCGGCTTGGTTATGCCTTTTTCTGGATGACTGCTCCTAGGGGAACTGGAGCTTCAAGTATTATTATTTACTATGGATACGGAGCTTTACAAATACGCAGTATATCCACAACCAATTCAAGGTGAACCCAGCACAGCGCTCCCCAGTCGATCGGAGGAGATCTCTTAGAATGAAGAGCTCAGACATGAGACCGACTGGGTACCGAGTAACCCGGGCGACGTATACACCAACGACTGTCACGGTCTACCAGGCCTACTTCTCTGGAACTGCGGATACAGCCATTCTCGCCCAGAGGTTTTGTCTAGCCATTCCGTCGCCAGCGGATGACCTGGATCAAACCGTCTTTTCTACAGACGGCGTACCGATCTGGCTATGCCACTAAGTCTCAACAGGAGAGTGATTTAGCAATCGAGATCAGCTGGGAAGTGTTCGAATGGCAACGCAGCATCCCTGCTTGAGCGATTGAAGTGGAGAAAAAGACGGCACATGGCGCAAACGGCTCCAAACCGCCCCTGTCGGTGTCCTGTGGGATCCCGAACGAGACCTATTTCTGCGGCCGCTAGGTACCGAGCCATCCAGATAAGGTTGAGTAGGCAAGCCGTAGACATTATGCGGACGAATGAATTGTTCCTATCCCAGATGTGGGTGACAAAATGAAATGTATTTCTCAACACCTGGCGGATGGTGATATTAGGCCACCAGGGCATGCTTACCGGCAGAACAACTATACTCGGTATCTCAGGAGCTACAGGCAATATTACAAGCAATATGATGGGTGCGAGCTTCTACATTTGCGATACTTTTATAATATAGTGATTTGTGCCTCGGCTACAAAAGAGGGGAAAAAGAAAACCAAAGTTCACCGTTGTCTTTTCGGCCTATCGCTATATAAGAGGCCGTTCAATAAACAGGTATTTCATTTTGTACATGAATTCTTTAGAATTAGACGCGTTGTTTTCGACCCTGATGTTTCCAATTAGCTCGGCTGTTTGCAGGAGAGAGCATTTTCTGGTATACATATATGGTTCTCGCCCATCCACAACTTGCGGCCCGGAGTCAGCAAGGACTAAAGGCAAAATGACGGGAAAAGAACTTACTACTTGACGGCCATATCAGAATAGATCTATTCAGCAATAATCGCGGTTGCCTCTATCTCGTACAGCAACCTGGGATCTGCGAGAGCAGTAACGCCAATGAGGGAGCTTGGAGGCCGATGATCACCTATAAAGTCCATGTACTGTTTCCGAAAGCTATCGGATGCGTTGCTGCCGACGTCAATAATGTAATGCGTGATCCTGACGATATCGCGTGTTGTAGCCCCAGCGGCGATGAGGCACTGACGTAGATTTTCCAGAGCCAGTTCAACTTGAGCAAGGAAATCCGACGGCACTTCACCCGTTCTAGGATGAACGCCTATCTGGCCGGCGATGGTGATTAATTTGGATGGACCAGAAATGGGGGTTGTAGCCACGTGGCTGTAAACCGGCCGCGGCTTATGAACATTTTCCGGGTTGAAGGTCTGAGGCTTTTGGGCCGACATGGCTATGGGGAAATTGTTGAAAAGGAGCTGTACTGACGCCCGAAGGTTGAGTTGGAGGGACCGTAACGCTTCCGAGTTGTACTAGGTGTGCTTTAACGACGAATAAATCGCGATTTAATCCTGTGGAGCTTCCGCCACAGTGAGATTTATGGCGATGTTACTTGCGTCGAAGGTTCAAAATACGGGCGTGATCAATATATATGTACTGTATTTGATCAACTGATGTACAGCCACATAAAAGGCTAGATAATTCCATATCACGTGACGCTACCCGTGTCCCGTGTTTGCGGGGCATAATTCTCTTCATTGAAGGGTTGATTTGATTTGATTTGACTTATTCCTCCGGCTGTGCGCAGCCGAGGTTACATACATGTTGAACACATATGAGTGCAAATGGGTACACTCCTTCTAATTGTTACCTGGTCCTTACTATAACAGGCGCTAATCCGTAATAGACTAGCTACTAGGTGAATCCACCATACATATGTTATCCCTTACCCAGGGTGATAAGTGTTTTAGCCATTTATGCACTAGTGTGTCTCCACTGCAGGAGTGTGAGCTCCAATTTTACTTAGTGTACTGACTGTGCCCTTTTAAACTTGTATCGGTTTTTCCTTCACATATCCTTCTCCCCTTCTTTTAATTGTTTCGGGGCTAACAGCGTGCGCAGCACATGTCTTCCAGTCTCTAAGACCTGAGTGATGAAAACCTAGCCCACTGCCTTCTTTCAGTTTTGTTGTTTCAGGGCACAAGCGTATGAAGTGTGTGTCTTTCCAGTTCATGATTGCACTATTTTCTGCTCTAATGCACTTTTCTTACTGAAATGCACTATGTCATATCACCACGCGACTTAATGCTGATATGCCCCTTGCGGAGGCACATTCTTGCTGGATGTGGCGCCAAGCCCTCGGAAATAGCGGGTGCAAAATGGGGGAGCATTCTTGGAACTGAAATATGAATTCAATAAAACTTAGCCTAAAGTAAGATGGTAGTAAGAAGCTAGAGTGACATTAATGTATATATTGTATTTTCTTCTATTTAGGCCGTTTTGTAAGAGTGCTGCTTTAGATGAATATTTAATCTCTTGTCTTGTTTGCTTTTGTCAGCCGTATTTCGGGATAAATCATTGGTTGTACAAAGGCCTTAGCCTTGTAGACACGATGCTACCCCTCTATTTCCACCTCGTCAACCTGAGGGTTCAAATCTTTCCGCTGGATGGCTCCGAGCCATGGGGTTATCTTTCTCAGGAGACCAAAGTTAGCATATGTCACTAGTTTCGGCTTTAGTCATTGATTATCTATGACATGCAAGAATGGGCTTCAGACACAACGACTATAGTAGCATGGATCTATGCCCTGCCGCTGGAAATGACAGCAGCAAAGGTCATGCTGGATGAGGTTCATCCTTCACTACCCCAGCCAGAAACCGACCATAACGTCTACACACTTGGGAATGTTACCGGCCCCGATGTGGTGGTCTGTCGATCGACAACTTCTCTATGGAGGACGTTGGCAACTATTCCAGCCACCATCACGGAGGTCGACCAGATCAAGGCCTATCAGGTGTCCAGCCTAGATTATGAGCTTGGTTATCTTGGTGCCGAAGTGTACCGTAGTGGACAAACCTCTTCTAGTCTGTTGCGGTTATTAGCCAGTTGAGATTTACTAGGCCGGCCAACTCGGTTAAAAATGGGAGACATCGCTTAAGTTCATCCAGCCAGTTGGCTCGCAATTTTGCCAGCAGTCGACGGCGACTGTTGTTTGCTCTCTGCTAACAATGTGAGATGGAAACAGATAAACCAAGGCGCAATAATAAAGATGGCAGAAGAGAAAAGCATTGCATAGTCAAAGGAGCTTTGTCAGGGTCTGAACCAGGCCATTGCCGATTAGGGTATATGATCAAATTACAGGCATGGGCCATTGGGGCCATTGGCAAGTAAGCTGTCCGATTTGCCACTATCTTCCATCAAGCTTCTGACAGTCAGTTTCTCGAATTATGATACGCGGAATGGAGGCGTTGTTGGCAGATTGGCATCTGGATAGTGATGTTCCGGTTTGATGTTCATCTCGAGTCCCTTCTATATCTTTCGATGATCCACATACTTTAGATATCAGGCTTACTATTATATACAGCTGTTCATGTGGAGGTTGGTTAAACACAACAGACGACCTCATAAATACAAGCCAAAATGGTAGAATTATTGTTGTTGCCAAGTACTGGTGGAGGACTCGACAATGGATACACCATGATTTAACCCAAGTTCCGTATCTTGTAGCCGTTTCCTGTTTGAGATATTGCATTAGAGGGCAGGGCGACTTTATTTATAGGACTATGGATTGACTAACGATGGCACAGAGACCGATAAGTGGCAAGTACCACATACGAGCTCGGCCAGACGACATCGCGTTAATTGTATAAATAAACAGCGGTGCGCCATGACCTCGGAGAAAGCTTTCCCCGGCTAATTATTAAAGGGCTTGAATCCTTTCTAAAGGTTAGCCCTGCTCTATTCGGATCCTTCCTTGGAACTCAATCCTCGTGACCCCTCAGGGCATGTAGGTGAGCTTATTGTTACAGTTGGCTTGTCAAGAGTTCAACATCTTGATCTGCTGGTTTTACACTCGGTTAGACCATGTGTGTCTGATACAAGCATGCTAATGTATGATGGGCCTGATCGTTGCCTAAACAGTGGCCTTTGCGCGGAGCGCAGCATTCCATTGTCCATACCTTCGCTCAAGGCCATTGCATCTCGCTTCTTCCCCCGGCCGCTTGGGGATTATCCCACCAGTGAGCCTGCAAGGCCCTTGGCCACTAGTTCAATCTCGCAAGCCTCATCCTAGATAGAAATTACAGGTTTTGTAGGTACGAAGAGATTGTTGGATATTAACGGTTTTGTGATTTCCCGGCCTTTAAGTAAAGAGCCCAGGATAGTATTCGTAGCTTGCCTTGCCTAACTGCCGATAATGACGTGGCAGTCAGAAACTACCAACACCCATGCATAGCACTGTAGCGTGGATGGGCGAGTAGTGTACTCCGTACAGCGTAAACGATATCAACCATTTGGCGAAGATACCTGAGTGGCCAAGGGGGGCTTTTTGAGTTTGATAATTCAGAGGAACTTAGCTGAGGACGCCGAATATATCTACTTTATTGGATGCCCTCCTACGCTAGCTACACGCTCAGGCTAACTAGATCGCCCATGAAGCATTGCATTGGTGACTCCCTGCAGGACAGTGGGTCTGTATGGCAGTGGCTGTGGATGCCCCACCGCTGATTTTTGGGGAATGTGAGATCTTCCGTAGGTAATATTCTGCAATTGTAGATCTAAGATTGCTGATCTCCCCTCCCCAATTATGGTATACCCTCGATGTATGTTTGAGTCTACTTCAATGTATAAGAGGCAAGGAGTCTGGCACATATTCTGGATTACGATAGTAAAGGCAGACTGTACACTATATTTCCGGGTTCCGATAATAATTAACATACTGCTACCCATTCTAAACAAGTGGGGAACTAACATACCCAGCCCCAGTCATGGTGCACATCGGACCATCCTGGCGGCCTGAAGATGATGATAGATCAAGTCCGAGATTGAGCATGCATATATGCCCCTCAACACGTCACTGCTCGGAGTGTGAATGGATTGCACACGAGCCGTCGACTCTTATTCCACTCCCTTTCAGCTCTGAACCATGGCCGATCATTCCCCTGTGAGGTAGGCGGGGTAGCTGTACAGCTGGAGAGGACGGCTCCCTCCGGGGCGGAATCTCGAGTGTAGCATAGGGAGATAATGGTATAAATATGGTAGCTTGGACGCAGGCATTTTCGGACAGACAGCAGCTCTATCTCACCTGGATACCAAGAGGAGAAGCATCACACAATAAACAACGGCACTATGAGCGGCAATTCAAGGCCAAAGATCAGTAACCATGATATCATCAGCTCCTACTTCATTGGACCTAAGTCCGAGAATATGTCCGACTTCAAAAAGAATATTTTAGCCATCCTGGAGGCGGTTGTGCAGACTCGCAAAGACTACAGCCAACCCGGTGATAACGTATGACCGTTCTTCCATTTTTCCTTGCCTTTTCTTTTCATCTTTCTCAAACTGTAGTGTACATGGATAAACTAACCTGAATAGGAGAAATTTATCTCTGACGATGCGCGAGAAAATTTCAAGCCGATCAGTGATAACTTCCACGAGGCTGTCAAGGAGGCTGCTAAACTTTTGGGCGAGCACTCAATCCCTTTCTGGCATCCCCGCTATCAGGGCCACATGTGTACGGACATGGCGATGCCTGGTCTACTAGGTTATTTCATGACTATGATCTATAACCCGAACAATGTGGCCGTTGAAGCAAGTCCATTCACCACAGTTGTTGAGCTAAAAGCAGGAAAGCAACTGTGCGAAATGTTTGGTTATAATATCGATGAGAAAGCTAAGGGCCTGCCTCTCTCATGGGGTCACATTACCTGTGATGGGACCGTGGCCAATCTTGAATCCATTTGGGTTGGTAAGCAAGCCCTTCTTCAATAATAATCGTTGGCATTCGCCTTACTTACTCATCTGCAGCCCGCAATCTTAAATTTTATCCCCTCACCCTATATCAGGCTATGAAAGAGGGACCTCTTGGCTTCATAGCCGACACCTTCCAGGTGACCACCTGTGTTGGAGAAGAGAAGCTATTCAAAGACCTAGGCGTCTGGGAACTGCTCAACCTTCGATCTGACGCCATCCTGGGAATGGGAGACGCTCTATATAAACAGTTTGGTGTCACTTCCAAGTTCCTGGAGGAAGCCTTGAGGCCATTCACCATCCAAACGACTGGCAAGGACGTGCTGGAACGTGAGTTTCGTATCACGAAGCCCGCCAAGTATTTCCTTGCCCAAACACGGCATTACTCGTGGCCCAAAGGCGGTGGTGCGTATTTTCCTCTTTCATTCGAACATCAGTTGCTAACTTAGATAGCAATTGCTGGCATTGGGTCCGCCAACATGCAGGGCGTGGAGCTCGACATGGAGGGTCGCATTTCTCTTGACGCCCTAGAGCGAGAGCTTAATCGCTGCCTCGAAGAGCGTCAGGCCGTGTATGCAGTAGTGGCTGTCATTGGGACAACGGAAGAAGGTGGGGTTGATCGACTGCATGAAATCCTGGCCATGCGTCGGCGATTCCAGGACAGGGGACTATCGTTCTTGGTACATGCCGACGCAGCCTGGGGTGGGTACTTTGCCAGCATGATTCCCCGGTCCATGATGGACGCGAGAAAGCCCAGCGAGGCCGGGGATGGAGATAAAGCAGTGGATAAGGTCCCTTCGCTGCCTTTGAGAGGGGACACCCTGACAGATATGATTGCACTCAAGGAGGCCGATACCATCACGGTCGATCCTCACAAGGCGGGCTACATCCCCTATCCCGCTGGAAGTTTGTGTTATCGGGATGGTCGCATGCGGTTTTTGGTCACTTGGACCAGCCCATATCTGACGCAGGGGTCCTTGGAGAATATTGGTGTGTATGGTGTTGAGGGCAGCAAGCCCGGTGCCGCAGCCATGGCGGCTTGGATGTCCAACCAGACAATCGGCCTAAATCCGACCGGATATGGTCGTCTTTTGGGAGAGGCAGCCTTTACCAGTGCGCGGGTAAGACCTCCATCTATGTATACTTTAGACTATATTTTCTGACTTTTCCAGCTCTCGGCCTGGTACGCCGCCATGCACGTCGGCCAACCGCCCGACGACAACGGCAACCGGCGCTATATTATCATACCCTTCAACCTGTTGCCAATCGAGAAGAAGGGCTACGGCAGCTTGGACGATGTGGTTGAGGCGCGTCGCAGGGAAATATTCGAGACAGTGCTCGACAAGAACAATGCCGAAATCAGTGCAGATACGACTTCCATGGAATGGCTGCGGGATGTTGGCTCAGACCTTAATATCAACGCCTTCGCGATCAACTGGTATCGGTCGGATGGCACGCTCAATACGGAATTGGAAGAAGCAAATTACCTGATGAAGCGGGTGGTGAATCGATTGTCCATTACCACAACCACTGGGGATCCCCATAAGGTACCGCTATTCCTGACTTCAACGCAATTCGAGCCAGCTTTGTACGGCCAATGTGCCCAGAATTTCATGCGGCGTCTTGGACTGGATGCCTGCGCTCAGGATCTCTGGGTCCTGCGCAACGTTGTGATGAGCCCCTTCCCCACAGACAAAGACTTCATCCAGACACTTATGTATACACTTCAGCAAGTGATTATTGAAGAAGTAGAGGAATGTCGCAAGCGAAACAGTCTAGACAAGAAGGAAGTCGTGTTCCTTCTCCGGGGAACCGATATAGTCTTCCTGGATTTCCAGACGAGTTTCCACCGCGCTACTCAACGCCAGCAGATCATTCTAGGCGCCGATCTAGAAGACAAGACAAAAGAGGACTACAAGAAGCTGAAGAGAGAGTACCCTATGCATGACATTGCGTTCAGGTCCAAGGACCCCCAGCATTTAGAGGAGTTGATCAAGCGTATCTCAAAGGGAGAGGTGCCTGAAATAGAGGGCGAGATCGGGGTCCGCGAGGGTGAAGACTTTATCGGCGGCACTATTAAATGCAGTGTACAGATGGTCCGGATTATTAAAAGTAGTCCTTTGAACTCCGCTAATCGCGACGACCACTACCCACGACACTTTATGCCTTTCTATTTGTACGGCTCTCCGGATCAGTATCATATTTCGCATATGCTGCTGCAGGCACCTAACGTGAACTTGTCTGCCTGTGACGTCAAATTCAGCAAGGCGCTGTCCAAGACAGTGCATGCTTACCTGGAGAAATCCAAAGGTTTGATCCTCACTTTAACCGGGTACCGCGAGGAAACGATGCATCCATTCCCACAGAAGAACGACGATTCTGTCCTTACGAGTGATGACTTCTTCTTCCGCTCGGGGCAAAAGTTCAAGGTCAAGGTGTACGAGGATCCCAATGGGAACTGTTCCGAAGGTCCGGGATTAATTGACAACCTTGGTACCCCTATTGGACGAGGAGAGATGACGTTGGGCGACGACGTACATGTCGATGTGGAGCTTCTGAATCAGGATCCGCTAGTAAAGCAAGAACAGGTTGTTGAGTGGGATAAGGAATTGGACAAGATTAAAGATGTTTTGAATGCTGGGCGAGAGCTGGTGTCTGGTACGGCGCCAACAATTAATAATTGAGAGTTAGGTAAGGCGAACGGTCAATCGAATTCATCTTAAGGCATCTCAATCTGTCGTGTGCTATCCTAGGTCTCGTAAGAGATGGTTAAGTTTAATCCCAAGAAACGCTTTAGTACAACGTATGGGATATTGTTTAGCTCAATAATTACTATCAACAATGGACGAGCAGTATCATTTGGCTAATGTTTACGTACACACTACACACGACTTCTACTAGACACTCGAAAACCCATACATAGTGTACAGTAGCGGGTCAGCTACCCGTTCGTGCAAATCCCATACTCAACAGCCTAAGCCTTGAGACCAGCAACCAGCTTGTCGCAGATCGACTTGATGCTGTCCTCGAAGTCCTCGGTCTTCTTGGCCTTCCAGTCAGCATTCTTTCCAGGTACGGCATCCTTGCCAGTGTATCCGATATAGAGGACATCGTTGTCATTGTGGCCATGATCACCATCAGGCTTCTCCTCGCGGAAGCAAAGCTCCGCCATAGAAAGGAAGCTTCACCGATGGAAGTGCCACCATTAGTGTCACCCTAATTACCATAATGTCGAATAGTTCGAATTAGCTGGCAGTATCGCCTGGGTAACATAATATACGTACCAGCTTGCTATTGCATTCAACAGCCATAACACTGAACGGCTCCATTCCTTGATCTTGAGGCTTGAACTTGGGCGAGTGATCCTCGTTTCCAAATACAATATAGGAATGAAGATTGGCATCGAGGTCGGAAATACCGAACTTCTTCATGTCATCCTGGAAAGTGGTCACACCCTGACCGGAGGGATCATTGGAGCTCTTCCCTGCAGAGTCGCTGGCTCCATCGCAGTCGACATCCATGTTAGTGTACTGGCTGCCCTTGGCCGAGGAGTGTATGAAGATCGCTCCCTTGATATCACCACAATATTCAAAGGACCTGCCATCACTGTGGTCACCGTTGGTAAGGCCTTTTGAAGTACATTATACTTGCTGGTGAAGTCCATATTCCAAATCGGGATATTTCTTCTTTCTTTTGACTCTCATCGTTTCAGGGTAAAAGCGTGCGACAGCGCGCGTCTTCCAGTGTTTATTACTGTCTGTCTGCTTTTGTGGAACACTGCTATTCAGCATGTATATGTCTATTTCCATTCTTTTCTTCTATTTGCTTTGACTTGCACTGCTAGTCTATACACTTGTGCTACATACTTCCTTTAACTCTTCTTTTTATTGATAAGTCAGTATATCTCACTATACCGCTACTGCTTTCGATGCACTTACTATATATATTATATAATCTTACTATAAGAATGATCTCCAGACTGTCCGGGACCGTGGCTTTAACTAGGACAATAACAAGTCTCTGATGACCGGTTCTGTCCCCACAGACTTAAACAGTGAATGCCAGAACCTTAACAAGCGCCTCTTGAATGCCTTGCTCAATATCATGTCCGACCAATCGGCCGACATCCACTCAACATGTACACCTGGAGGGACTGCCAGCACATCCCGACGCTCTCTTACACAATCCGCGGCCAGGCAACACCCATAGATCCCTGGAACGATCCTACTTACATTACTGCCGCATTCCCTACTCTGTTTCCACGTGGTATTGGAGGCTATCTTGACAACCGCCCGTTTACGGTTTCCGTGGCATCTTTCGCCGAGTGGGGATATATTGTATGCAAACAGCCTATTATGGGATGATCCGTATGGGTTGCCGCATGTGGAGGACCCTTTGACCCAGATGGCAGTCAACTAAGCGCAGTGGACTTTGAGTCGATAATACTGCACGACGGGAAGATGGTTGACACCAGGTATATTCGCATGACCACTCAATTCTATCCCGATTCAGCAGCCAGCTCTAGTCAAGGCAACCCATATTTGGTCAACTATGGGCTACGTGGCAGCGGACTGATTAAATCTATCCACAAACCTGATAACCTTGCCACCCGTGCTACTCTTCTCAAACCCCTCAGGCCCATCGACAAAGACAAGTCGAAAAAGATATCGGTTCTCAGGAAACACCCAAAAGAAGAATTCTTCTCTGGGCATAATATGGCAGGCATCAACTGCGCGCAGAATCCGCACCTCCAACGTCCCCTGCGGCGAGGAGTCGAGACGATCAAGGATAAGCTGCCACTGCAGAACCCCCAACCGCGCGCTCTGCATCAGGTCGCTGACGTTCTGAAAGTCGAAATACTCGCCGAACCACTCGAAGCTGAATCGCCGATCGCGGCCTCGGAGACGGAGGACACGAAAGTGCTGCAGTTCGGACTCAGGGATGCTGCTCCCGCACGCGTTCTCGGGCAGCGGGTGTAGTGACCCAATGTCGCCTGTGATGTACCACACGAGAGGGTTGCGCCAGCGCCTGCAACGACGTCTAGACGATGATGCCCTGTTCCCCAGCTGGGACTTGGTTCGCGCACGGTTGCGAGTCATCGTTTAAAACAGACGGATGGAGGATCTCAATCGTCATGGAACGGGAGTCGTAGACAAAATCTCGCGTGCCCCCGCTGGCATTTTCCCCCGTAAGTTCTGGATTGCTAATCGCAAACCCGCCTGCCTCGGCACTGCCCAGGACGGAAAGAATTCTAACAGGCCCCAAGGCCGCGATAATGTGGCTCTCCTGGGCTTCTGCCAGCGTGTCAGAGGTATAGGTCACCTTGGTCAGCCGGATCGCTTAGCTCTGCTCGGGAGGAAGCATCGAGACGTGGTGGATGGACTTGGACAATCTGGCTGCTGTCGCCGGTCTACACGTTTACATGGTAATGGGCAAGGAGTTGTGCAACTTCGGCGGGTGCCTAACACTTATAAAGAACTTTATCAGCAGCTTGCTTTTTCTTTCTCTCTAGAACTAATCGCTGTTTCCCTTTCTTAGCCTGCTATTAACAAAGCCGATCTTGCTCTTTTGAAGCTTTTGTGAGCTCTACTTCTTGCTCTTTCACTGCATAAAGCTCACGCGCTTGCTGTATTTTCTCGTTAGATAAAGCTGTTTTAAGGCTAGTATTCTCCAGTTTTAGCAGGGTATTCTCTGTAGCAAGCTGATGTATTGTAGAAGAAAGCTTTTTTGCATTTTTATTATAGTAATTGGCAACCGCAGCTCTAATCATTTGCTGGATAAAACGCTAGTTATCACTACTAATAACTGATTTAGAGGAGAGATAAGAACTGCTAGATGTTAGCCATTAGTCTTCAGGACACAGGAATTATTGCAGAATAGCTTCCGGATTAAATAGCTATATACCAGTACTTCTGAAGCCAGATTAGATATTTTTAAATATTAAAGCCTTCTGCAATACTGGCCAAAATATTCTGAAGAAGTCCTGCTTTGTAGTACTGCAGAGGCCTTGAAATTAATATAGAAATTACTTTAGTTTATCTGAATAGGCTTTAGCAAGCGGGAAGAAGATACTGACATCAAATGGCTGTAGAGAATATATTAAATAAAATAGATAAGTTATTATATTAATTCTATTTACTTTATAGAAATCTAAAAACTTTATTATAATATAGGATCTATAGCTATCAAAGAATAAAAGTCTCTAACTCTACTTTATCTTTAGCTTTGTTTCTCAGTTAAAAACTTAAAAATAGTAGTAAGCTATCAATACCTAAGCTTATTATTTGTCTGTCCAGATTCTAAAGAGATAAAGAAGTAATTATAGAGCTTTTTATTAAAATTTTAAAGCTAGGAATCCTGGATTTTGCCAGAGAATACTTAATAGATCAGATCAGGCACTATAGCTGTTCTATCAGCGTAAACATATATAATTATTATTATCTATTCTTGATTACTATCTTGCAAGCGTTATAGAGAACCGTTCCTCTTATATTTTGCTTTAGAAAAGATCCTGCGGCCTTTAGATAGTATTCCAATAAGAAATTTCTTCTTATCCCTGTTATAGATATTCTGCGGTTCTATATTATATTTATCCATTTTAGCAGCTGAATATTTAAAGTATAAAGAGTATTTATATGCTGAATCTACTTATTTTCTTGTTCAATTGATTGCTCCAGTATATCGCGAGATAATATCATTTTGATAGCGCTCTAAGAAGCGCGCTGGTCACTGTTTTCCTGGCCTTTTTTCCACAGATTTCTTTAGCAAAGTTCCGAAGCATCTCATGTATAGGATACAGGCCTCTCTGTAACTACTTATTCATATATTTTATAAGCATCTTGGACTGCGTGTTGTTAAGTAATTGCTGGCTTTCATCTCTGATATCTCTTGGCACCTGTTTTCCTTGATGACGTCTAGCAAGCGTGGACCAATCAACGCCAAACTGTTTCGCAATTCTAGTATATGTAAATGGTTCTGATAATGAAGCGATTGCTACCAGCGCTTCGTCAATCAGAGCCATATTGACTGAGATATGTGGTGTTGAAGTTGTTGAGTTGAACAGTCGTCGAGCAAAATACCGGGTGTTGGTTGGTGGCGGGCGTTGGGCGGTGACCCACGTTATAGGAGCTATTCCGTATGAGGTAGTCCGCACTCGTAACACTGTTCAAGACTTTTGGTGGAGCTAGGGCTTGCTTTTCTTTGGCTTACTAGGTTTCGAAAGCCCCACGTTCCCCGTACCTATAAACTTGGTACATCATTCTTATTACCTTAATTTCCACGTTGTTAACGACCCCCTACATCGCAAATCAGAGATTTTTAACCCTAAATAACGAAGGAATATGATGAATGTGGCAATGACAAACATAACTAAGACATTTTTAGTAAATCGCTCTCGTATTCCTAGGGGATTGTACCTATTCTACCCTGTGGATCTTTGCCTGTATAGCACATATCGTTAGCCTTGATATATTAGGCGAAAGGTGTTGTCCCAGGGATAGTAAAGAATATATATTCGGGATGGACCTGCGACACCAGCCTGATAACTACCTTTATTCTTTATTTCATTTAGCATCTACCTAAGATGGTTAAACTTCTATGCGTGACTGCTCTACTGGCAGCCGTGTTTCGCGTCACCGAAGCAAATTCCCTGCCAATCGTTGACCTAGGATACGAAGTGCACCAGGCAAGCTCATTCTCTGTAAGTATTCATCATAGAGAAATGACCTGGTCCATTGCAGTGATTAGAGCCTAGTATATTGACCTAGTCTTCAGAATGAACACGGCTGGTACAACTTCAGCAACATTCGATATGCTGCTCCCCCTCTTGGCGACCTTCGCTTTCGACCACCCGTACCACCCTCGACAAACCGGTCCGAAATCCAGACCGGGAATGTGGGCAGGGTCTGTCCTCAGGCGGCTATGCCCCAGTGGGCTACTACGGCTTCTGCCTTTATCGTAAAGACGTTATATGGATCCACACTGAACGCCAGTGATTCGAAGTTTTCCATTATCGACGGGGCGAGAGTCCACGACGGTCGAATCACTGAGGATTGTCTGTTCCTAGATGTCGTTGTCCCCAAGAAGATATACGAAAGAAGAAGACAAAACCATACCCAAACAGCTCTAGCTCCAGTTCTTGTCAATATTTACGGGGGCGGATATGTTATGGGGGAAAAAACCTCCATCGATCCGTCTGGGCTTATGAAGCGCAGCATGCAAGAGGATGACGGATTTATTTGGGTTTCTTTCAATTACCGGGTGAGTCAGGGCTTTGTTAAGTTATTCCCCAGTTGACTGATTTATTCTGCAGGTTGGAGCATTTGGATGGCTTGCCCATGATGCCACCACGGAACGTGGAGTTGCCAATGCCGGCCTGCATGACCAACGTCTTGCGCTTGAATGGGTTAATAGAAATATCCATTTGTTTGGTGGTGATGCAAACCAGGTCACCGTTATCGGACAGTCTGCCGGTGGCGGATCCATTATCCATCAGATAGTTGCGTACGGTGGCAGCGTGCCAGGAAACTTTCAGAAAGCAATTGTTCAGAGTCCTGGACTATCACTTACCACGGAAGAACAACAAAATGAGACTGCCAAACAATTCCTGCAGATACTAAACGTCACCTCCATCGAAGAAGCCCGCCAACTGCCCACCGAGAGACTCATCGCAGCGAATTCGTACCAGATCACGAATCTTTCTACCTATGGTTCTTTCTCCTACGGGCCTGTTACCGATGGTACCTTTGCACCGGACGTCCCCGCTCACCTCCTCGCAAAGGGCCAGTTCAACAAGAATGTTCGATTGATCGTAGGGCATAATGCGGACGAGGGCTTGTTCGTCACATCCCCCGAGACAAGCAACGGCAGCGTTCTGACCACACTTGTCGGCGAAGCCTTTCCGAACTTTGGCTCCGATCTCACCTCCCATATTACGAGCAACCTCTATCCCCAAATATACAACGGGTCCTACAGCTACAAAAGCCCTGTGCGGAGAGCGGACCTACTGTTTTCTGAAGCATACTTTACTTGCAGCACTAATGCTCTTAGCAGAGCCCTGCCAAACCAGACCTATCCTTACCTATTCAGTGTCTACCCGGCGCTTCACAGTTCAGACTCTTCCTACGTTTGGTATGATGGGTCAAGCTCTGCAGTTGGGAACGCAACAATCGCATACATGATGCAGGACCACATCAGCAGTTTCATCAGAAATGGAACTCCTGTTTCTACCATTGGGCCACCCTTTAGATCATGGAGTGTCAGCCGTTCCGTGCTGGATATTGACACATCTGGTGTCTCCGAGATGATGGATCCCACTGACAATGAGCGCTGTCGTTTCTGGCAGCAAGCCCCATACTAGGTGACAGCAAGCAAACTGTCACGGTTCTGTCCTCGTTCTTCTTAAAGGGACTGACGTGTTCTTCTGTCGAATACGCATGGATTTATGCAGAAAAGCTCTAATAGCTCCCTTCTATTGATCTTAACTGTATGCACAGCCCCATGCTTGTCTCACTATTACTTTCGTTTTACTTAACATTCCTTTTGTCACTTTTCATATTGATTTAGATTTGGTATTTGTATCTTCATGAACTGACTCCTGTCACCTTATCTAATCAATTATTGGTGCAAGAAGTTCGCTTGTCTGTCGTAATTCAGAAACTGAAATGTGATAGGAGTGCCCGTGGGTGCTTCAAAATGTAGGGGACGAAAAGACAAAACAAGAAAAGATAAAATATTTACAAAAAAAAAAGGGGGGGGGGTTGTTTAGGAAGAAATGAGAGTATAAGACGCCAGCAGGTGTCGGCTAATTGGAAGCAGTGTAGGCAGCTCCCTCGATTGCTGCTGCTGGCCACTGAATCCAGGGTCTATGCCCTTCATCGAGACACTGGTAGATCCCAGTCATGATATGCTTCGGCCATCCATCGATAAACCAATAGCCAGAAATATCCTTTAGTAATACCACAAAGAACGCAAACAACACCAGGGAGAGGGGTCGTTGCTCCTGGAGATCGGTAACAAAAATCTTTGGAAGACGGTAAAGCCAACCGAAGATGAACGGGACCCGCTCTCCCTTAGATAGATCTCGCATGTGGTTTCTTACCGATTGGAAGGTCGAGACTAGATCCTCATAGACTTTCAAATACGTCCCATATCGAAAATCAGAGTGCTCCAGCTCATTGAACACTGCCTGACGAATCTGGTTCAAGGGTATCAGAAAATCCGCCCTGCTGGTATTACTATCCTGGACAAGCAGTGATGGGGGAGCAACTGCTTCGGCGCCTGCGGTTTCGGCGCCTGCACTAGTACGTGACTCTGGAGTGGGTGACATTTTGATTGACATTTGGTCCGTCGTCTCCATAATCGATCGAACGCCGTGTAGGAGTGTCAGCCACTCTGCTTGACCACTACTGCTGAATGTGAGATAGTCTCCTGACTGCGGACCTCTAGCTAGTGCGCAGAAACACATGAATGAAGAAGCCGCATAGACAGCATGGCAGGTGCCAGCGTTTAAACTAGTCACAGAAGATACCAATTGGCCAATGGCGACAGTATAGTGCCACTGAGCTCGCTCTGAATAAGTTGCTGTGTCGGTAGTTTTCTGCGTACGTGCGAGGTGAAACCCACTAAAGGCCAGGAGAAGACGCAGCACGTAATTAAAAGAAAACCCCAGTCGTGGGAGCTGGGTCTGCAACAGCTGCCGACCTGCTTCATTCTCCGCCAGGGTCAATGAGGTAGATGACATGTAAGTATGGAATAGCTCCATATCTAACGCAGAGAACTCAAATGGGCGGTTGGCCAAGGCCGACAACGGCACCTGCTCTAAATTTTGGGCTGCTTGACTAGGAATGTTCGGTTTTGAGGACTCGCATCGTCGAGTATGCTTCCTTTTTGGCGGTTTGAAGCCAGTCTGAAACGAGGAGATATATGTATACCCTCCACCCGGTGTTAACCGCTGGTCATCTTCTTTCGATGGGGTTAGTGAGGACAAATTTCTGTCGGCCGAATCCCCTACTTCAAAATCGCAGTCAGTCGAGTGGCGCATGCACGGCCCGCAAGAAGGTTTGACTTCGTCACACTTCGCGTTCATGATTAGCACACGGAAAATGAAATCATTAATTGATATCCGAAGCTTACCTTAATCCTCCGCCGCTTGCAATTGCCACACCCCAGACGCGATTTCTGGTGGGACTTCCGGGAAAGTTTTCCTCTGTAGGTATTTGTCCTAGACGCCATTGCTTACGTGCTAGCCAAAGGACGTGTGGAGCGGGTCTGACGCCCATCAGACATTGACTGAGTCTGCAGATAATTCTGACCCGTATGGCTGAGGTGCTGCGAACGCCAAGGAAAGAGTTTGGCTGCAGCCCTTTAGGGCGCGCCGGCGCTGGGTTTGAGATTTACAGGGCTGGTGGATGCCGGATTTTCCCCGAACCTTTGCCGAGAGTTAAAGAGAATTTTCCGACTTTGGAAGACCCAAGTTTTGCAAGCATAATTATGAAGAGCTTCCGGTATAATTGGGGTGGATAACCCCTAAAATTTTTCATTTACGTGAAATAGAGGAAAAGAAAAGAATAGTGAGTGCTTATAGACACAGAATATGTATGTATCGGTTGGCCACTAGGCTTCTCTCATCATATTTCTTTAAATTGCTCTAGCCCTGATATTTCCTTGTCTTCTTTTCATATATCTTTTTATATAATATACCTTTATACTCAACAAGGGTGTGAAAACCTGCATTTAGCTTCTTCTATGCACATTTGGTGTGACATACTTCGTTGTCTATGGAAACCTGTGAGTGGCAAGCCTTTGATTGGCAAGTCTGCAGTAGAAAATATACCTGCTATAGTAGCCTTAAAGTTCAAACGGATATGAATACTTAATCGTGTTAGTAGGTATGACCGCGACGTTATTAGCCCCAGACATTATAGGTAGCTTGTTTACTTATCCCGGAAGTGGTTTTCGAACAAGCATCTCCACAGACGATGAGCCTATACTACCGAGAAAGGTACGCGCTGGGTACCTCTGATTGTTGGCGAAGTGAATTTAAGTTTCATCTAATATTAGAAGGGCATTTTCACAACCGCTCGAGTCTTCAAGGTGCGGACTATTTGTGAGATAGCAGTCTAGAGCCGGCCAGCAACAGCCGGACATTGACTAGCATTGCTGTAATCACATAGCACAGGCACCTAGACACTACCTGAACGTGTCTTCGCTGCCATATCAGAAGCCTTGGTCTGGTTCTTCGGACATGACTACAGGTTTCCTGATCTCTGTGTCGCAAGTTGGTAGCAAGAGGCTTAACATGGATGAGTTGAAAAAAGAAGAGACCATGCCATAGCAGCAGGAGTGCAAGATACATTCAGTAAATTGACTTTCTTAACCTATGATACATTTAAAGGTTTGCCTAAATACCAGCAGGCCGCAAGGAGCCTATTGTGCCCGCGTTGACTTTGCTCTATGTTATCGAGTCTTGGCTCACATAGAAGAGGGCAGAAAAGCTGCTCATTTTTAGGCCGCAATACTAGCTTCTATTTCCCCCTGCTTTTTCGAGAGCTACAAGCATCTCTCCCCATTTGTGAGCAGCATAGGTTTGCGCGCTAGAAACACTCACAGCTCGACGGCCCCGCTTGAAAATATCCGTTTCGTACTCCAAGACCGCGTCCGCAGGGGACATTTGTTGACATGGCACACGCTTCATTGCAGCGACAAATGCAGCCGTGTCCTTGACTGCATTGTTCGCACCTTGTTCAAGATCTTTAGACAGTAAAACATCTGCTGTTAGTATGGGTTATTCGGGTGGACGAGCGGGTTCTTTTTCAGTTAAAAGGAACAGCATGTAGCGTACGAAATGCCATTCCATGAGCTGCATCACCGCCCAGAGTCAATCCGCCTGCATGGTTATTCCAGGGTTTCGGGATCCGGTGTCGTAGAAGATCATGAATATTGATAGTATCTGGCAATTATTCAGCCGCACTGCGGTGCGGCTGAATAATTGCCATTTCTTTGAACTTTTGCAGGCGCTTTTCAGGGCTTACCTCCTCGTCTTCATCCGAAATGCGCCATGTTGACAGGAGTTGGAATATCCAACTTTCGGGTTTCTCTGAGTCTGCAATATCGAACATATTCAATCGATAGTACATTCCTTTAGGATGAATGCTAATGTCGGCCACCGGATGTATCTTGCTGCGAATATAGAGAGCTTGCTCCGCAGTGTAAGTGGTAGTCACATTGACCATGTTGACCGGCAGAGGTTCCCAGTCGGCCAAATTTGCAGGCTCCAGAGCAGCACGGCGAACCCGAGACGAATTCCCATCCGTTCCGATCACAATTGTTCCCGCCGCTTGACTGTCGTCTTCAAACACGGCCGTTACACTGTTCCCCACGAAATCCGCATGTGAGAACATTTTGCCCTAGTACACATCGATGGCTTCGGACAAAAGAGCCTTCAGCCGACCGACGTTGTACTCCCGGACGCCAGGGAAGGCTAACGTGCAGTATCGTTCCCCGGTCGAGCCATTGCGCAATGCAATCTCCTCATGGCCGTTCATTGCTTCTGCGTCCTGCGTGCGGTCTACCTGACCTTCAACAAGGCGGTTCTTCAGGTGCTCAGGGAGTAAATCATACCAGTATTGAGCCGCTCAGTGCAACGTTACTCCCCAGTTACGGTCTCTGTCACGGCGTGCCTTCTCATAGACACTGCATGATATGCCGCTCTAAGCAGCTCTTCGTTAGTCAAGTGACATACTTCATTAAGATGGATATTGAAGATCAGATTGTTGTATGTGCCTTTTTGAGCCCTTGAGCAGTAAGAAGGCCGGTCAGCCCTGTGTAAGGTCCAATGATTAGTGTGTTTGGGCACTCCCTCTTGATATAGAGGAAGAAGTAGTAAGTTACCTGCACTAATAATGAGAACTTGCATCGTATGTCACAACTATATAAGGGACTCCAATGAGGCACTTGCTCCTGATTTTTAGCCAAGTCCGCTGGATCGAAGGTCCTGATGGTGCACCAGCGTCTAGCACCGTAGAACCCCTTCCCCGCGGCCTTACTGGATGTATTCCATTCCTATCTTACTCTGATAGCACCGCCTCACGGGTCTCCGCATCAAGCTGTCCCGCCATCATCGGTAGTGCTGGCAGGAGACAGCTCGGGTACTTATCTAGCCCTAGGGCTACTGCAGGTTTTACTGCGGCTGATACGAAAAAACACCTCTATCACGTTCCACGGCCAGACTATTACACCGGCGGTACAGGCGGGGGCAGCACTGGTGAGTGCTGTGACGGAACTGGTGAACGTGTTCCACTCCTTTGAGCGCAATGCATTCTATGACATCTTCCCAGTGCCGATCGAAAACTTCCATACCTGGAGAAGAGCTTCCCGACTTGCCCAGCCCGCGCGAACATCTACTGCGAAGCAGGCATGCTGGCGCATCCCCTAGCCAGTCCAGCTGCGTCAGAAGTCTGGACTGGAGTGTGCCCGATATGGATCGCATCGGGCCAGGAGCAAATCATTGCGCCTCCAAGTTTGTTATCCAGACTGCCCACGCGCAAGGACGTTGTTTCCAAGGTATGGGCATGGTATTTATTTCTGTTTTCCCAAATTATGAAATTCTGAGGTGCGGTGCGGTGGTCTTGCACGAAGTGTGTGCAGAAGGGCCCAATGTTTGTCGTTTGGTGCGATGGCTTGCGAGGGTTTGTGTTTGCGATAAGCATACCTTATATGTGAGGATCACCAGTAAGAAGCGCAATATACTACAATTATTAGGTCTAATATCTAAACAATGAAGTGGAAGATTTCAGGCGGCTCTCGAAGCAAGATTTGCCCGTCAACTGGGGATGGATTAAGTATTGGATATCGCAATGATATCATGGCTATCTAGAACAAAAGAAAAGATAAAATATGGTAGCGAGTGACTGGTGATGACTTTGGGGGGGAATTGCAACGGATAAGGGGCTATTAAAAGTGAAAGGACAAGAAACCGAGAGAACGCAGTGACAGAAATTTCGAAGTTTGCCTAGACGAAAAACAAATAAACAGCCAATCTGACATCGATTTTAGATGCCTTACAGCGCATTGCTCCGTTTGACTTAAGGGTACAGGGTCTGCTCACTGCTCATACCTACACTCATACTCCCAGCACAGGCGGAGAGAGGTGACGTGTTAGCGACGACCTTTGCCCTAAGCGCAGATCTGATTTCCTTAACACTGTGCCCCTTCCACTCTGGATATCCTGCTGTACTCAATGGGTACAGTACGAGGTTATCATCGTGCGAAGCAAAGTCCGCAACGTTGGGAGGTGGCATCGCGGTAATGAGGTCCAGCTCTACGGCAATATGCCGGCAATATGTGTCAAGGGGTAGGTCGTTAACGTCGTGGCCGAAAGGGTTTTCAATTTCACGACCGATCGCAGCAAGACCAAGGATGATGTATGCAGCGGCTAATTCTCGTTGTCAGAATCTATACACTTGGCAGGTGGGCATATTTACCAATTGAGCTTGGGATTGTCACCCATGAGAGTGTATCGTATAGTTGGAATGGCAGTACCAGAATATAGATCCAGGTGATTTGGGCAATGGAGATAGTATATGCTGTCGGGAGAGGAGTGTCAAGGACGCGCTCGGTTCCTGTAATGATTTCATTGAGTATGGCTAGGCCATTAACCGCCTGTGTTTGATGCACGTTGAAGCTCAAGGTTCCATTCGCCATGCACTGATCGATATACGCCGATAGATGATTAAGTATTTCTAACGGGAGATGTCCCAATGGCTTTTTTGAACGCTTGATGTACTTCCTTGGATCAGATTCTGCCATCGAAAGAGACAGATATTCACCAAGTGATTTCCACAGAGACTTTTTGGGAGATATGGCATGCGGATCATGTGCGTCCTTGGCGAAGGTATCAAGATGGCCCACTAGAGCACCAAGATCATCGTACGCGATGTCGGGTTCGAAGCGCAACTTATGTTTGAGTGCAATGGCAAACGCAACGATTAGGTTCATAGCTGTTAATTTCTCCAAGAGGTCTTCCTTGCCTAACTCGCCCTCTCTTTCGGTGGTATTGACCCAGATTGTTCGGGCAAGATTCCGAGATGTTTGTTGCAGCAGAGACCAGTATTTCCGACCATCTGCCCATCTATACGGTTTAGCTATGGCTCTGCAGTGTCGAGAAGGAAGAGATAGGTGACACACCTCTCGTAAGCTGTTGAGCTTTGGAAGGACAGAGCCAAGCCGACAACAGTACCCGTAACAGTAAGCAAGATATTGTCAATGCCAACTAGTTGCGAGTCAGTCAATATCCCGCAGACCTTGTACCCCATCTTTGTCTTTGCCGGTACTGGCAGGTACTCACGATCGTATACAAATCTACACACTATTGTAACCACAGTCGACCACACGGCGACAAGAATAAGAGGAACAATCAACTTGGGCAGCACACTGCCATGCATTCGAAAGAAAATCGGCCATTTTGTATGCTTTTCCAAGTCACGGGGCCCATGCTAAGATAAAAACACGTTAAACTGTTATCTTCTTAGGAGCGCTAGATCAATGACATACGAAATATCGAAGCAGATCGCTGGTATTGCGTCGTTTTGGTGCGAATTGGGTATCTCCAGGGTTTACGAGGCTTGCAAGAAATGTTTGCCGCGGTGGGAAACAGCGGGCAGGGGACGGTTGTCGTGGCTGTGAAACGTGCTCTGGTTTGTAGTGAACGTGTGGGACAGCTCTAGGACAAGTCGTCGGTTGTACGGGCTCGGGTTCGCCTCCACTTGGCGTTGTCATACGTGCAGCAGGTGCTGCAGGTTGACATTCAACAGGAGGTGTACGCACCATCCAGGCGCGAGTGCGCGAATAGAGGGGAGGTAGTACCGAGGGAGCTGGCTGATAGGCTAGAGTAAATGGACTTGGAGTCTCGCTATTCTCCTTTTTGGTCTTTTTCTAAACCCCTATATGAGTGACTTTAACAGACGGCGCTCTAAAAAAAACGAGTGACTGAGCAAGATTTGCAAATGAATGACAGCCTAATAATAGGTGAAAGCGATGGGATGAGTGGCCAAGTGACGGGAAAGAAGTCCAAGTCCCACTTCATCTAGGGCATGGGCGCGGAATTTTATATCTGAGGACTGGGCCTAAACCAATGGCCTGGATTTCGACCTCGACGCCATCCTCCAGAAGCGTAATTTTACTTAGTGGCACATACTGTGACTCAATTCGGTAGTGTATAGGTAGCTAAGCAATACAAAATCTTCACTGGTTACTTGTTGGACTAACTCCAACAAAGTGGAACTAATGCTTGCAGCATCGGGACATAGGGCACGTATTAGCCAATTGACTGCCGGAATCCGCACGGGATATTCAAGAATCCAGACCTATTTTGGACTTTCAACGGTGGAGCGGCGGCCGTTGTGGATGTGACTGACGGCTGATGCGCCAAGGCCCTTGTTAGGATCTCCAAGCCGATCAACCTGATATGGTTAGATTGATGTATACCATGAAGCCGATCTGTTTCACATTCCCTCATCCTCCAACGACACAGGAGCGCGATAGCCCAGACTCCACATCCAAAGCGTCTCCTGGACCCAAGTGGAAAGTAACCTATACTGAGGCATTGCATGTTAGTCAAGAGAACCAATGTCAGGAAGTTGCTGACACAATGGTCCTGGTGTCCCAAGAGAAGAAAAGGCTTAGCTCCACTAGGTCCTATAACAAGACAGCATTGTCAGTTTAAGTTTGCAGGAAGTCCGAGACATTGACCTTGGAGGATACAGTAGCGTATGTCGCTCTCAGAATCGGGTCCCAGGATGCCTTAGCCCTAAATGCAATCTTTGAGAACATTTCCGCAGCTTAATACTTACTCCACTTAACATAATGCCGGTTCCTCCCCTACTATGCGCTGCGCAGCATTCGAATAGATCACATCACGTATGTCCCCTACTTTCATCCCTTGCATCTAATACGGCAGCCACCGGAAACCAATCCCTGTCTAAATCTTGTTAGTGTCTCGCAACCCAGCACTGGGGTCTATTTCTTTTCGTGAGTATTCGGTGTCGCGCTCCTAGCTTTGATGCCTTAGCTACCGGCCAACATGAATGCGCCCGAAGAAGATCGGTTGAGCATAACTGGGAATACAACTGCGCGCAGCTGAGGAGTGTGTTGCCCTTTTGCCCTCCACCGATGACAGTACGATTCACCCCTGTTTTGCGCCCAAGGGACAGAGGACTAGGCAGCAGCTTTACACTAGCTGAATACGGGTGCTCTGAAGGCCGCATCTCGTAAGTATATTGATAAGAATCTAGCAGCTGAGTGAGTGCGCTAGTTGATGCAAAGTGCATTAGGCGTCTATTCTGGCACACATTCTGCAACGCTCGTATTCAATGACCCCCCATCCAACGATATCTCCAGTCTATCAACTACCATAAACGAGACATTGGCTCGTGAGTCAAACAACAAAACGGTAATATTCCTGTTCAGCCTCCCAGCTTTTACTAGCGGACTGTTCCTGATGGTATGGTAGATATTGGGCTTTCGACGTCAATACTGGACTGGATTAGGTGCCTCCAGATGCCCGAACGCTACCTGTTATCGCAGGAGGAAATTGCGCTCAGTGCACATACTGATTTGCTTTGCTTCCTGGAACAACGGCATCGTGAGATACGTCCGCAGGGTTTTCTCATACTCGCGATACCAATTTCTAGTGAACTGAAAACAAGAGCCGAACTCGTATCACTGAAAGGCTGTCTCGAAGGATTGGCCCATGAGTGTGTTATTTCAAGCGAAGTGGCAAGTCGATTTCAATCTGGTGCATACCTAAGAAGTTGGGAGGAAGTTTGTCTTGCACTATGGCAGGTCACGGACAAATGGGCAATCGAAAGCCAATATGTGAAGGATACTGCGGATCCGGCCTACTTGGGCTTTCTAGAGGCCGCCGCTGTCCTCAAAGAGAATTATGGAATCGTCGTCGGTAGGTTAGCTAAGAGCATGTATGAAGTATTCCTGGCAATGACTGGCGAGTGTCTCATGGAGGTTGTTGATACATTCCCATTGGCAGGCCTGAGAGCCAATTATTGGGAAACAGTGTTTGGGCCGCGTGCGGGAATCTATAGAAACCCGACTATTGAAAATGTATATTGAAGACCCGTTTTGGATATACATTCATGTATCTGAGATTCGAGATCGTGAGAGAAGTCTATTTGGCTGCTTATTTAAGCTTTATTTTGATTTTATATAATCCTTATGTGATCTTTATCTAATAAAACTCTAAACTACATTGGACTTGGTTTTGTCTAGTGATATTTCAGGTACATAGTAGCGGACAATTTTAAATTCCCTATGGTAGTCCATAAAGAAATTTCGGATTTCCTGCAGCGTGCTTCTTCTACTCAGGGTCTGCAAAAATAGACAGAGGGGAGTCGTGAGGTCATACAACCCTTTAGGGCCCAAGAAATGTTGGCCGGAGCCACGTGTCAGCTCTAGACCTATCAGTAACAACATACTACTCAGAAAGATCTCATCATCTCCCAGGATCTTGCATCGTCAGAGTTGGAAATGCGATAAGAGTTGTGGATGCACTTCAGTCATGGATCGCACTACCTTCCGGGTCCAAGGGGAACACGGAACGCCCTTCTCAGACAACATGACCCGCCCGAAACCCGTTATACAGCCGTTTGTCGGACGAATTGGTGGCAATCAAGGGCTGGTGCTCGACCGCACTGATCCCGATAATGCAGACCTCCTAAAGAAAGTGCCCGATGCGGCACCGTTGATGACGTTCCGGGAAGGGTTTGACCTGCGCGGATTTTGGGACATTGATCTTTGGAAGTTCGGCTTCATCGAATGCATGGGTGAGAGGCTACCCTGGCATATGTTAGTTTACCCATGACAGAAAGACTGATGTGCTACCAGGGACCATGATGATGGTTTTTGTAACCTCTTGGATATCAGTGCGACCACCTTCATCTTCAGCCGATGCCGGCGCGTCTGCTCCATCCGGTGTGTTTTCCACCTCGACGTTTTTGGGTCCACTGTTCGGCGGTATCAGCAACTGGCTGTTCTTAACCCTCTTCATCTTCTCTTTCTCGAATGTCAGCGGCAGTCATCTCAACCCAACTATCAGTCTAGCGACTTTCTTCGCTCGTCTGATCTCGTTACCCCGGATGGTTATTTATGTACTAGGTCAAACTCTTGGTGGCGCTTTGGCTGGCTTTATGCTTCGAAGCGCGTATGGGTCCAAGGATTTCACCGTGGGTGGTTGCTCGGTGGATACCCGTATTGTGCCTGTAGACGAGGGGTTTCTACTCGAGTTCATCTTCTCCTTGGTCCTGATATTCCTTTCCTTCGGGGTTGGTCTTGACCCGCGGCAGGGCTCCATCTATGGAGCAGCCCTGTCTCCCTTTCTGGTCGGGATGACACTGGGCGTTCTCAGCTGGGGTTCTTCTTTTACTCGAAGTGGTTATGCGGGAGCTTGTGAGTCCAACGCAAACAGTTCACATGCCTCAATCCTTTAAGAGATGAAATCAAGAGATGATATGCTGACATGATTTCTACACTATAGCACTAAATCCGGCCCGTTGCTTTGGTGTGTATGTTGCTACCACCTTCCCTGGATATCACTGGATACACTGGGTAAGTGAAAATGAACAGTAAAATAAATATCTATGCACGTTGAGTCTCTTGAAACTAACATAGCTTCCACTAAAGGTTGGCCCTCTTACTGCTTCCGTAGGCCATGGTATAGTTTACTTTGTGGCGCCTCCGTGGGGACGCTAAAGGTCCAATGTGCCGCAAGGTGCGCCATAGCATTCACTTGCAGCTTGCTTAAGCGTGAGAATCGTTAGCCATTGAGTGACTGGAATAGCTCTTTACACCAATTCAGTCGTGAGTAGACATCTAGGCTTTATTTCCTGTCTTTCTTCTTGCCCGCTATTTGTAGTATACTCCGTAGCGGAAGTTCCCAAATCGCACTTCGTCTGGAGATGGAATATGGAAGACCACCCTGATTTTATATTTCTCGAAAAAAAGCACAGACTGCAAATTACAAGAGCGTCCTAATGATCCAATGATAGCCTAGTGTCTCTATGGACCCACATGACCTAGTGTTTCAGTATGCCTTCTTTTCGCAGAACTTCGTCAAACAACGACAATAACCCTGACAATTACAACTCACCAGATAACGTATAGTAACTGAGGGAAGCAGAAGCGTACCCAGAAATCATGGAAACTAGCGAGCGAACAGCGCTATCCAGCCCCGAAATCCTAGAAGCCATTCTCCTAGAGCTGGACATGCGCACCCTCTTAACTTCAGCCCAGCTTACATGCAAGGGCTGGCGGGCGCTCATCATACACTCTCCGTCACTTCAACAGGCGCTATTCTTCCGCCCAGTCAAACAGGATGCTGAAAAGCGATATAACCCTCTGCTGGCGGAGACATTTCCCTCATTCTTCCCCACCCGTCATGCAACACACCACAACGCAGACTCGGCTACACCGACATCTTCTCATTCCTCAATCCGGGTGCCAGGCGAAGCTCCCTCTCTACTGCGTCTAGAAATCTCGAAAAATCCAGAAAAACGGGGGGCATATCTCCATGTAAACGCCAGTTGGCGGCGAATGCTGATCCAGCAGCCCCCCGTGCGGGGCCTAGCTCATATTAGCGTCACAAGCGGCCAGATTGGCTTCGGCTATTCTCGCTACATACTCCATGGCAAGGACCTACCTGGCGATGAGGCCGATGCGAATTATGCCGGGATTCGTATGAACATCTTCTATGATTTGATTCTGAAACAACCCATTTCTGAGTCAAGGATTTACTGGTGGGGGAAAGTCCCACCAAATGTCATGGATCACAGGGCAGATGGCATACGAGATATGTTCAAGAATACGGTGGCGGAGTCTGATGTAATACTCTATACAACAAGTGTATATCAGTGTGTGCAAGGAATTCAACGGCCGCCACATCCTGAAGAGGAGATGATGCGACAGATAGCGTTTCCTGTACGGGATTGGGGAGCCAAGCTCTCGTTTCACAATTCCACAAAGCTACTTCCACCGGATTTGGAAGGGCATGCTAGATACACAGAGTTACGCCGACGCTGACACTGACACTGGGTGTTGAGTGTCAGTTACTGGTTTAGAATGTAGAAGTGTTAAGTCGCATATCGTGTTGTTTTGTGGTCTTACTCGCCTGGAAGCTGGTGTCACCTTGGACAGGCCACAGAGGTGTGGGCCAATAGCGGCACCCTTAGAAATAATATTATTTCCACCTTGTGCCTCGTTAGTTTCAGTTGACCGATGTACTATTCCTCATTATGCACTATTGTAGCCCGGAGAAGCCTTGGACGGAGCTGGGCTATATATACCTGGATAACGTGTGCAACAACAACAACAACAACAACAAGATGAAATCGTGGATCGATAAGAAACTGCCAAGTAGCCATATCTCCTCCGAATGCCTACTCCATGTGTTTTATATGATCTAGAGGATACTACACACTATACTGAGCAAGGGTCTAATATAGACTACTGCTAGTGTCAAAAAAATTCGCTAGACTACAAAAGGTGCCCTCTACTTGAGTGCTATAACTAGTACGCACAGAGAATACCACCTGACAGGGGTTGTCGCTGGTGAGTCACAACGATAGGAAATAGGTCGAGAAAAATCTCTCTGTTTCTATCTTCCATGGTCGGGCTTGGATGTATTGATAATTGTTGAGTGTATCGTATATTAGCTTGCGTGGGAGGGAACTGGTTCTACCAGATAATGCTAAAGGGCAGGGAAATAAGATTGTTGTTCCTCTCTCAAGTATACTTTTTTCTGGCCCCAGTGATGCCCTTTTGTCACCCTTTTTGGTCTAACCTACCGTAGTATTAATTAGTACAATATTACTAAAGGCTTTCTCATTTAACTAAATATGCGATGGCACTCTGAAAAACTAGAGAAGTCTGTTCAAATTAGCTGGTCCACTAGTCTTGATCCTATCTAGCCGGAAGATATAAAAATCTCAATCCCAGAAGCGAGGTCCCCGGTAAGAGGTCGCCTCAGGGTCTGTTAGAATACCTCGGGATACTAGGGGTTAGAGGCAAAATTAATTCATATCACGCGAGACTTGAAGTGGCAAACCCGGTAGGAGAACAGAGCCTTATGGGTAGAAGAAGGGGGATTTGAGGGTACATGAGAGATGTAACCCTGAACAGCATCTTTAGCGCCCGAAGTCTCGCCCACAACTTCCACTGCCGGATCCTCGCCGACTGAAACCCTGCCAATCATCATGCATTTGGAGGCGACTTTCTTCGATAAGGCAATTTCCACCTAGCTTGGCAAGGTCATGAGGCTCGACTTACTTTGCGTCGGCCATCGTCCGATGCATAGTATTAAAGCCATGGCTGCCAGTCCAACGTCCCGGAGGGGAGAGGGCAGAAGGATTTTCCCAATAATCACGCCAGGATGGCGCCCTCACATTCGTTTCTGCTAGCTCTGTCGCTCATTTCTACCTATCTGTGTTCTCTCGTTCTTGCGGCCCCGTGGATTGCTACGGATTACTATGAACAGGCGGTCGTCACCGAAAAACACTACCGCACTACCGAGGTATTCACCACTATCCAACAAGTTAGTCCGACGGTCACCTCTCTGCCCGAGGCCGTATCAACAATCACTTCGATCGGCACCGGCTACCGCAACTTAGAGGAAATCACCGTCATCCAGAAGCTATATCCCACCGGCATTGGAAAGTCGATCAGCCCATACGACTACCTTTATTACAACGATGCCGATGGCGATTACCACACAACCATCTACAAGGTCATTCTGACCTACTCAGCCCCAACAGGCTGCTCGTCGCAATGGACCCAGACCACTGAAGCCCGAGTGAATCCGCCCTCGGAGGTGAAGAACTTGCTCCCCCGGACCGCCACGACCACGTCTGTCTCAGTCGATTCCAGCCAGCCCTTCCAGCCAACCACATACACGTACGACGTGGTCTATGTCGACCCGACTCAGCTCCCCAGTCGCTCCCTCAGCTCCCTCAGCCGGTACAACCTGCCCACCTCCCTGTATACAGGCGCAGGATGTTCTTACACTAGCACGTCCGATGGCTCCTATTACAGTGGCAACAGCTACTACAACGGCTACTACCGGGACGACGGCAACTGGTTCACCGATGATTACTGGATGGGCATCTCCCCACTAGCCCTCACCCTCATTCTCACCTTAGGCTGGATCGGTCTGTTCCTGATCCTTGGCTTCATCGAAGCCTTCATCCGGTTCCGCCGCCTAATGACCGGCTGGCAAACTCGTCGCGGCCTACCCGTCTGCTGGTCTCTCACTATTCTCCCATTCACCCTGCTTCTCCTCTGCTTCTTCCGGAAGGGATTCCGCGCCCGCTCCCAGGCGGACGCAGAGATCTTAAAGAAGCGATGGGACGCAATGGGCTTCTGGACAAAGCTGCGCCTGTTCTTCGTCTGGGGATTCCGTTTCTCCTATCCGCCGATGCTGGGCCCCGCCCCGGCGCGCGTCAAGACGAGCAAACAGCCGGGTAAAAACCCAGGTCCCCGCCTGCTGGACCCTAGCCCGTCGCAGAGCGTGGCGCCCGATTCGCGTCAGGGATCGGCCGCTCAGCCAAGTGCCACCGACCCCGAAATGGCAGAGGCTTCTCCGGAAACCGCGCAGCCTCGGCCGCAGGGTGCTGTCCCATCACCGACCACCTCTGGCGCGCTTCCATCCCACCAGGATGACGAGATCGGTCGGGCGCACTGAGTGGCATCTACCCTGCCAGAGCGGTGATAAAGTACTACCTACCCATCCTGTTGGTGTTTAATGCGAAATACATGGAGTAGGGCGTTGTAATGCTCTAAAGCAATATCCGCACATGCCCATCAATGCGCCAGGCAGAGACGGTCGGACTCCGGCGCCAGTCATTCCTTTCTTTATATTCTATCCTTGTATCAGGATCCTCCTGACGCCGTTTCGTTCTCTAGAAGGCTTCTCTGTTTCCGGCGTGTCTTTTCACTAGGTGGTTAAACAACTCCCAGTGGATCCTACATAATGTCTTAATGTATATATTGAGCATGAGTTGCATGACAATAATACCCTATCTTAGTACCCCAAAATTGTTCTTCAGAGTATGAAATCGCAGAGGTATAAATTAAAAAGGCGTCCAGACGCTCATGCATCCACACAAAGCGCCATAACATGTCCATGAACCTCTCAATACATCCCTCAGATGTTAAACCCCCAAAATACTCACGCAAACTTCCCACTCTCCGGGAGAGGCAAATACGAACACCCCTTCCAATCACACGTATCCTATAATCCCGTCAGTTCTCCTAATCCACCTAAACTGAACCCCAATAATCAAAACCAGGATATATACGATTGTACTCACCTTATAAACCTCCGTCCCCCACCACCCAAAATGCTTCGAAGCCCCCGAGTAAAACACCGTAAAGAAAATAACAACCCCGGCCACCGAAACAGACGAATCCAACGCCGCACTCAACACAAAATTATACTTATACCACCAAGCATACAAATGCTTCCTCACAAACAACCCACACGTCAATCCCACCAGCGCCCAACTCCCATACGTCATCCCCGTAGCCGGCGGCAGGTAATTCAGTCCCCCAAGGAACAACGGAATATGAATTTGCTGGATGATCCTGTTCCTGGGATACCGACGTTTGGCATAGACCGCGGCGACGGGGAGAACGGCCCCGATGATGAAGAAGTAAAGCAGTGATCTGTATCCGATCTTATTGTTGAAGAAGCGTCGGGGTCCGATGGCGCCCCAAATTAGACTTGTGTTGAAATGGGTGCGCGAGAAGGGACAGCTGAAGCCATTGACAGCGTCTGTTGTGCAGATGCCTTCGATGTTGCCGAGCCCCCAGTTTAGGACGCAGATGCTGCTGAGGGTTCCGGCTATTATGCCGGCGCATTGGACGATGAAGACTTTTCTAGGGGGGATCTGCGGGGCGTATGTGGTTAGTTTATGGGGGAAGGGGTGCATTCTAGGGACAGAAGATAACTGACATTGAAGTAAATTCCTAGCTTCATGTCTTGGCAGAAGTATAGGCCCTTGATTGTGGTTATGTAGCCGAGGTTGAAGAACCAGATGTTGGCGAGGACTCGGCCTTCGAAGACAAAGCCTGCTACGATTCGGCAGAAGATGTCGATGTTGATTTTTTGGTTTGCTGTTGCGTAGACTAGGGCAAGCTGTTTTTATTCCAAAGTCAGTGTATCGGTTTGGACAGGTGAATAGTCCTTGTTTCACCTACCGGGGGGAAGAAGAAGAGAGCAATTGCACACGCCAGCAAGGCGCCGTACCACCGCAACTCCACGTCCCAGTATTCCACGGAAAACACGGAGAGAAACAAAGCCAGCACTGTGGTGCCCACATACCACCACATCGGCACCTCAGCGTTTGGTGACGTGTCCGAGGCAAAAAGGTCCTTTATGTTGCGCTTTGAGAACGCTTGATGCACGCGACGTGCAACACCTGCAATATCTTTTCGCTTCTCGAGGAACATCCAGACCACTAGCGAGCTTAGGGTGGCGAATGACAGACCAAACATGTTCAACGCGTAGGTTATAGGCATGAATACCTATGGTAGTCAGCGAGAGAGATCGATAATGCCATATCCAGTTTAGGGTAGACTCATACCGGTGAGTATGCCTCGTACTTTGCCACGTCTATCTGATATTTTGATGCTTTGTTCACGATCTTGGCAGCCTTGTACACACTCCCCGTGTTATCAAACACTGTATTTATGATCATTAGCGCACTGCATCAAAGAAGCAAGACGCAGGTGCTGAGAGATCCGTACCGGATGAACTTTGGAAAGGAAGGTGAGCGGAGTACCACGTATTAGTGTAGTAGCAAGCAACAGCGACTATCCAGATCCAAAACACCAATGATCCGAATACATTGACAATTGCCCAAGCTGGGACCAGTAGCGGAGACCCGACGTAGGATATTTGACTCCCTGTATGATTGTCAGCGGTAGGTGATCGCAAGAAATTCGGATGCATGCACGTACAGTCAAATGTGAGTGGTAAAAGACCCATTCCGCTCTTCATGCCGAATAACTGATTGACAACGGTATTTTCGGGTGCAATCCAGCAGGGGAAAGCAAAGTAACCCAGCGCGGGAAAGATAAAATCTGGGAACCAGTACCAGCAGAAGGAAAGGCAAAAGACCAAGCTGAAGAAGGCATAGCGAGATATCTTCCACGTGGTGCCGCGGGAGCTTCCAATGCACTCTATAAGTTAGTTGTGTCAGATGTCAAACAGGAAGCACTCACTTTGCCTGGGCCTCTTTTTGGTTGGCTCGATGGAGCGTAGATGTGAGAGCTGAGGTGCCGAGGAGCCCTGGCCACACGAGCTCATGAGGCAGAACCACCAGAGACCGGAACAAACCCGCCAGCGAGATACCAACAAAAAAGGTTGCCATTGTTATAAGAATCTGAAAGCCCCATCCAGCTTTGTATCCAAAGAACATCTGTTGTTCAGTCAAGACGTCTGCGCCGAGACGGACGTAGATGCTGAGATTCGACATGATATACACGAGGATATGCTCCTATTGGTAAAGCCCAAGTCAGCACTTATACTTTCAACACGATTCCTAGGTGCTAACCTTTTTATTAAATGGTCCTGGATTGAGGTTGAACGAGCATGCGCCGAGTGGGACGTTCCAACTTGGGATGGCTTTCTCCCAGAGCTTGCCCAGTGGGTAGGCCAGTAAGAGCACAACAGACGAGGAAATAGTAATGGATGGAACTCTCAGGGTATACAGGGTGTTCAAACCGCTGACAATGATGCAGAACCCGATTCCCAACACCCACATCCGGAGCGTCAACACAGGCTCTGTCGGATCATCGTCTTCCGCATCAATGCCAGCAGCTCGTAAAACCTCGCCGATTGAAGAGTCTGCAGCGATCATTATTAGTAAATCAGATCTTTGAGTCGATCAGACTGCCTCACTATCATCCTTTTCTGCAAGGTTCGACCCATCCTTCAGCTCCGGCTGCTGTTGCTCGTCGGCAATCGCCTGCTTAGACTCGAAGGTCATAGCGCTGGAATTGACTTTTGAATCTGACCCAGCCATGATAAAGTTCTGGTCGGATCAGATATGATTTATCTATTTATCAGATAAGATCTGATCTCGACATCAGGCGAGACGGAAAAGGGTGTTAAAAAAGCAACAAAAAACTCGGGACATTTCGGTGCAAAGCATCTGTCACCTGCAACTCTTTTCGGCTAAGTTCCTGTGGCTGCAGCCCTGTGGGACAACAGGCAGTCCTCTATCCTCCGAAATTAGATAGAGTGAGTGGGGCATCACATCGTGGTATTGTCTTGCCTGACAAAGAGATAAGAAATCCTTGCCGGTGGACCCGTTTCCTATAGTCGAGTACGTCCTACGAGTGCGTTCTTGAAATATGCTTACTTTTTTACATCATCATTGATATTGCTACCTTGTACTCTGCTTTTGGGAGATTTTATTTGGTGAATCTCTCCAAAAGAGATGTCCAAGAATGGGTCAGCCCTATCCTCTTAACAAGACTCGGCTAAGCTTTATAGCGCTGAGGGGTGGTCCACGGGTTTCCACATTTGGAGTATTCCGTGGAGAACCGGCCAAGAAAATCCGTGCATATAATTATGTGGACCCTGAGAAATTCTTCTGCCTAGAATGGAGAATCTCAGATATCCTAGTGAGTGACTTATTCTCCATGGAAGTACCAGAAAATATCTCATAGCATCATGTATGTGTACATGACATTAACGGGTAGTCCCTGACGCGTGTACAGGAACGAGAAGCTGCGGCAAATAGAGCGATGGAAATAATATTCTAGAGAGAAGTAAGGAGCGGGGAAAAGGCATGAAACAGGATATTATTCTAACATTAATGCATATTTATTTTTAATAACCCCAGTCGGGGTGATTGATGAGACTTCCATAAGCTCTACATCTGCACTCCTCTGTAATTGGAAACACGTTCCCCGCCTCTGTTGATTGATTAATTTCTCTTTTATCAGATTTTTATCAGATCTTTATCCCATTCCCTATAGGGCTACACAGGGTTGCCCAAAGTTTAAACCTTTTTAAGTATTAGACATACTAAGACTCCCTCACCTTTCGGCTTTTCACGGCCAAATTCAAGAAAAAAAAGGGGGGGAATAAAATGAAGCATAAGAATAAGAGCGACATGCTTATGCAAATCACATAATAATAAGATAGCGGCGCTCTTGACGTATTCAGCGGAGAAAAGAGTGAGATTCCCTCACTCAACTCTGATGCTAGTGGCCTCCAAACACATCTAATCTCTAACAGCAAGGGCGGGCATCTATGTTTCACTGCGGACGAATGGAGCAGTGGCAAACGAATTATATAATTCTCCCGATAGCGCGTGGTCCGAGACGTAACTTGATAGTGCACCGTTAGAGGCACTAGTGGCCATCGTGCATCCAATGCGACGGAAGGGGGTGTTTTACGCGCATTTTCACTTTGTGAAGGTCGCATTCGGTTTACATAACTAAACGGAGATTTCATGAGTCTGTATATATCGAATGGCGAGTAGTAGCTAAATCAAAATACATGCAACAAGATTGAAGGCCTAGGTATTCCAGTAGCTTTTGGGCAAGCATCATAGGTTGGCTGACCTCAACCAACACGCCGAAAATTATTAGACTACACCAGGGGTGGTAATATGCGTGAAATGGTATAGTATTAGGACTCAATAAACAGGTAAGGGGAGGATTCCCTCTCCGTCCGGCTCCGGCTTATCTCCAAATAAGAACATCCAAGGTATTAAGCGTGCCGTGATATGGTGCTACATTTCCCACTCTTCCTCGAGGCTTCTTCGGAGAAGTGTTTCCTCTTTGAGAATCTGCGGTGAATACATGACTAATTTATCTAGCAAGCCGCATCGCCACATTCTCCTAAACAAGCCCATATAATAGCAAGTTCCACGGAACATATCTCATCCGGCACGCTAGAACGACGTCCGTCCTGGCATGAATGGCAATACTGGTTCGCCAAAGCTCCTATACATTTTGGGTATTGCCTCTAGGCATGTGCACCGGATTGGACCAGTCATGACAAGCGAGTTGTTTGAAGGGTCAAGTCTCTCTGTAATTTCCAGTATCCGAGGAAACGCAGGCTATAGATCAGGCAATTGAATAAAAGCAAGCTAGAAGAGGTGGAACAGCAAAGGATCTCTGGAATCCAGGTAGCATTCGGAAAGTCAGACAACGTTTCGCATCGCGTGGGAGCAGGGGAGCAGAGCATATGCACCAAGGATGCCCCTTATTGAGTTTAGGGAGATGTGGTGAGCATTGAGGAGTCACGACATACTATTAGATAAAGGTATGGTTCAGAGTTTCATTTGCCGACATTAAAATATTTGCTTGGGATGTGCAAGTGTCTCCGGTTAAGCCCGGGCCTGAATTAAAGTCATTGAGTGTACGCAGACCAGGCGGACAGGTGAAAAGTATCAAGATAGCATGATAGCTAGTTAGCACGGTAACATCATTGTAAGGCAAATTGACATTTCCAAACGAGAAGCACCAAAGGTGTCAAAACTTCATCGGCTATCTGAGCTGCATATTCTTGACCCTCTGCATGCATTGGCACTGTAACTGCGCCGTGCACACAGGCTCCCCTTCTTGGCAGCAGAGCATCGCAATCAGAACAGCATGTGACGGTTTTCTGGACCACCCACTCATTTGAGCTATGATTTCATGACGTGAATAGCACAGTAGACAAGGCATTTTCACGGCAAATCAAGATTTCTGCGTCTTTGAGACCCATTCCATAGCTCGAGTGTTTAGACACCGCAAGAATCTCACAAGCGCAGCCCGCTCGAGCAGTCTTCCCAGCCTACGTCCCAACTGTACGCTCGCCCTCCATCACACGAGGGCAGGATTGACTGCGACAGTTCAACCCTGATCCTGGCCCACCAGGTGGAGATTTCGAGACTGCCAAGTAGGTCTACCGTTGTCTCGGGTTTCCCATACCCGAAAGCTTACCTTGATGGACAGTCACGTGTTGAAGGTTATGCTCGCTTAGTCAGTTTTTGTGTCTGTTGCTTAGAGAATCTCTTCATGCATGAACCATGATGTTTACATACAACAACCAAAGTCGACAATGGTGTATATACACAGATAACTTTCAAATCCGAACGCTCAGAAAGGACAAAAAGAAACCGAAAGGAAAAGTGAAAGTATAGAGAGCATAGAAAAAGTGGAAAACGATTGAACCCGGCTGGTATTGGATATGCAATGTTGCGGCCTGCAATATTTTCTCCCCTGAAATCCACACATAGAGTGACAAAACTCTGAACATGTATAGCGAAAATAGGGAGCAAGCGGTCGGTTATACGAAATGGTGGTCGAAAGATCTAGCGCTTATATGCTTTCAAGGCAAGAAGGTGTGCGATCGTGGTATATTAACTGATTAAACCGTTGGATTGGTTGGCACGGTATTCCACGCGTAGGGTAGGCGATTATGGTTATGATAACATCGCGATCAACGTATTAAACTCGGACATATGAACGTTGGATTGACCCGGGCGATGCTCAGCACCGCTCAATTAAACTTCATTGACGTAGTATTTGCCATTCTCAGAATGGAGGATGGAAGTGAAGGGGGTATTTGGAAAGGAATGTTGGATTATTCGGCGATTTATCGGGCCAAGTGGGTAGAGGAAAGCGACTTAAAGGTCGCTTTGGTGCCACTTTTGATCCGCCTTTGCTTCTTCGGCATCTCGCTTCTTATTGCGATAGAGGAAATAACAGCAGACGCCGGCTGCGCCCAGGAACAAACTAGGATGGCGATCAGTCTCCCGAGGAACTTGCAGGGTCCAGGGTGGGTGTGGTACTTACATCCCAGCAATGATGGCGGGAATTCCACTCTTGGTGAAGTTATTCACAGGCTTCTCGCAGGACGAGGAGTTCTCATCTCCATCGCAGCCGCGAGACCACAGGGACAATGCCATTGGAGGCATCTCGAGAGCGGGATGCAGGGTGTGGGTGTGGTCGACGATCGTTTCGAGAACATGGGAAGAAGGAAGATTAAAAGGAAAGATCAGGGGTTGATCAGGTTCGGGGACACTTAAACTAGCGTCAAAGAGTAAAATTAGGGTCTGAGCGACAGTCCAATAATGGGGGCGGACTAGACAGAATGCGGGTAGAAGATGTATCTAAAATTGACATTCTGAAACAAGGGCTTCATTCTCCAAGGGCATTTCAATTCCCGCGCCCCGACAAGTTAAATCCGGTTTACCGCAATTCCCTATTCCGTTCATTCTTCATTCTTCATTCTTTCTTTTCTTTCGTTTCCGTTTTATTAACTGAATATTTATATGTTTTATTTCTTCTTTTGTTGCCCGGAGCACAATGGTTTCACGTTGACAAGAGCTAACAACCCCAAGTGAAATCGAGACTGGGGCGACATTTCGATGGCCCACGCCAAGACCCCTAGAGAAATGCACCCATCCAACCCTTCAGAGAGAAAGGAACGGAAGGGGGAAACAAGATCAACCAATCGGTGGTTCTAATTGCTTGGTAGTCGTTCGACCTTTACTACCCCTCCCTACCCCGTACTATGTGATGTCTCATAGACTTTGACATGGCTAGAATACATTTTGTATGATCGTTTGACGAATTGCAAAACAAATTATAGCTCAGAACAAACAAAGAACCTGACTACATAAAGAGTTAACCTCCTTAACTCTGAGAGGAACCGAGCTTATGATATACCACTTACTAGTACTTGTTACAAGGCTGAGTGAGGGTTGACGTCTCACCTGACAGGGGATTCTATTCGCTCTGATTGGCGGAGGCGCGATCATACATTCCCTTGATAGCCGCTCAAAGGCACCACCCTTGAACCACATTAGATATGCTTCAGGAGGCTGGACAAGGCGACAGGATGCCCCAAAAATGCTCATCCTGCAATTTTAGCACGGATTGGGCAAGACGCCACCCTGACATGCGGCGAATATCGCACAAGTAGAGGCATAACATGTTAACACAGCCTTCCTATATAGGCCTAGCGCCTGCGTGCTCTTTGTTAGATAGTCGCCTAGGTAGAACCTCTGTTGTAGAATAAACAATCAACATCAATTTCCCCTTATTAGGGCCTTCGAGATAACATCTCCTCTTTCCAAATACAGCGAATTGCTTTTAGAGTTGTTTTACTTGCTGTAGAGTAAAGGTTATATCGAAATTGTGGGTGGTCTCTTATTATACTGCAGTGCAGAGTAAGGATCTGGATTCGAATCGCTGCGAGATGTGATCTCGACCTTAAAAAGAGTGTCAGCTTTATTACTTCGTTCAGGAAGCACTCGTACTCGCAGCGAAACTTAACCCTACGGATAGGCCGCCTATTCCACCAGCAACTTAATTCAATGATGTCCATGTCAGATCTGAATGAATGGTACAGAGGATGGCCTCACAAGTTGCGGGATTCTAGACACAGGACCCGAGCATTGACTAGGTACCTTATGGGTAAGATTGATGGGAGCATTCGAAATTAATATGAGAATATAGAGGTGACAAGTCGACAAGATAATACCTTCTTAAGTAACTTTACTCATCGTAGTAATCGATAAGGGAGAGGTCCAAAACATTATTATTACTCCTGAGGTACCATCAGCTCCATATACTACTAGGCAGTACATGAAGTCAATAAACACGAAGGAACGGGCAGAAGGTATGGTTGTACTAATCTACCCAGCATCTTCTAGCAGAAGGGTGTTTCAGTGATTCCCACCAGAAGAAAAACGCCTGCATCCGATACCAAGCGCAGCCGCTTATTCCGTACCAGCCGCCAACCCCAAGAGCCATGTTTAAGACTCAAAGCACCACAAGGATCCGCGATCCAAATTCACCCAGGCGCCTCTATCTAAGAATGCCCAAGTATCGCTTGCAGTTAATGTGGTGCGTACAGGTGTTGTTGGCTCAACGATTCGGCATACTGTATTTTTATCGAACTTGGTGAGCTGTGCGCTTGTTGCAAGAATATTGCCGTCCTCGCTTTGGAGGGCTGAGCCGTCAAAGAGAGACTTGATTGAGTGTTTTTTGCCATCGGCTGAAATTTTAGCTTCGGCGTGGGCACCAGACCAGTCGTTCGAGAGTTGGATGGTCACGCTGTCCGACCAGGTTTCAAAGAAAGGATGAGCGGATATGGAGGTAGTGAGGAGGGTCAAGGTAAGTCCAAAAATAGTTGTGAACTTCATCTTGGGCTATTAGTTTGCTGCTTTTAAAGCTTGAACGATGAATAAGATAGTAATGATTATTTAGGTACTTGCTGTGCTTTAAGGTCATCCAACGGTGAGAAGAATCCCCAGATATATAGGTTGGGAGTCACCCTGTGTACATGCTTTGAGTCAATTATATCATACATGCTACAGTAATGCCACAGTTCCACGGGTGTAATATGATAGTCTCAAGACAATACGGTTCATTTACTATATGCGGGCATTTTGGGTATGAAACCATGAAGCAGATGGTTTAGGTTGAAGCTCTGGACTATTTTGGCCACTATGGCGTCGACTTGCTGCCTAGAACTGACCGACATATTGATCCAGGCCAATCTCCAATGATTGTAAGAGTCATTCTCTGATAATAACTGGATTGGGACAATGACGGTATTTATATATTTCAATATATGCTATCCGCGTTGTTTCATGCAATTCTCAGCCTAGATCTTTCTCGTGGTACTGCGAAATACACCCGTAGTTGTCGCTATATCTGTTTAACATAAAACACACTCAATTTAAGCATGATCATCCTTGTCATCGATATTGTGATTTATTCTGCCGACCCAATGAGGTCAACAATATTGGGGTGAACACTTTTTTACTCCGGATATTGGCGGAATTCAGAGACTGCCGGAATTAACGGTGCATTGAGGTAGGCATGGAGCTACCCATGGTGCGAGAGATTAAATCCGACAAAAAGAAAGAGAAACGATTGTCTACTTTACTCGAATATTTTATTTAGCTTATCCGGGGTGCTGGATAGACTCAAACCACGGCATTTTCACTTGATTTAAGCTTCAAGATCGAAGTTCCGGCTCGTCCGGTTGACATCATCGAGCCACTACAAGAACAAATGAAGGGAATAAGTTCGTCACGTCGATGCTCTACACATGACTTAAAGGTTACCGAGAAAACGGTCTAATCATATATCGGACTGCGCGGAAAGTTAGAAATCGATCCTGACGTAATACTCAATTGGCAATGAATGGCTAATTCTAAATGGACATGGTAGGAAGGCAGGTAATTGTGCTTTAAAGCATATCCTATGCTCAACCCTTTATTTTACTAGATCTTGCGAGGGAGGGTGATTTGTGGTAGAGATCCACCGATCTTTGTAGCATATGGGTCCCCGGAAGTTGAACCGCTACCAGACAAGGCTAAGTAACAAAATCATTAGGTGCACAACTCCATATGACCTTCATCTATTGAACTGAGGTGCGTATAGACTTGCATCATTCAGATTTAAAAATCCTACTCAGCGTGTATGGTGACAAGATCTAGCCTAATAGAGTTGTTCTGTTTACTACTATGCATGTCCATGCCTAGTACCAGGGAACAATTTTCCGTGCACGGAATCTTTTTGTTAGATACTTTATGTTAAACAAATATATATACAATCCGCTCATTGTAAAAGGAAGGTACGAAATGAGAACAGTCCTTCGTGCAAAAATTTGCGCCAAAGAACGAAACGCTAACGAAACGCTACAGCACAAATTTAGTCAGCCCAGCAGGGCTGGGGCTCCTTGGTCTCAACAACGTGAGCAGCAATGCCAACGCAGTCCTTGTTGCCGCCGGGGTTGGAGACACCAGCAGAGGCCCAGATGCTGTAGCCGTCGGTGCTGGGGCAGGCGATGAAGTCGCTGCCGTCGAACTGGAGGTGACCATCCTTGACGGCCCAGCCCTTGCGCTCGGAGTTCTTGGGGGCGGGCTGGACTCCGACGGTGTAACCAATCTTGCCCTGGCCTATTATATTGTTAGTTTCACAATGTAAATTGTGAGGGTGTACTTTAGAAGGGAGTCACGTACCCATGCCGGAGCGGTCGACGTAGAGCTCCTGGGGGCGAGCGGTGTCGTCGTAGATGTTGAGGACACCATCGCTGATGTAGAAAGAGGTGGATTGGCAGCTGGAGCCCTTGTCCTGGAGGCCAGCGATGAGGCTGCCCTTGGCGGCGCTGAAGCCAGCGTTTTGGACACCGCTGCCGGAGTGGATAGCGATGACGCCGAAGAACTGAGGAGCATCAGCGGCAGGGGCCGGGGCAGCGGCGGCGGTAGCAGCCACGGAGGCGGCGAGAGCAAGGTTCTTAAGCTGCATTTTGAAAGATGGGTGATAAACGAGTGAGTTTATAAATAGCGAAGGTGATCTTAAGAGTTTGGATTGATGGACTAATTGTGTGATTGATGAGTAGGATGATGACAGGACGGAGGGTAGCTTTTATATCTTGAGGGTAACAACCTGATCATATGGATGGAGGCTCATCCAAGACATTGATGTCAACTATCAGCTACTGAGTCTTCTCTCGGGCCCCTCCATAGATTGATTGGATTCTTAGGGGAAGCGGGAGGGTGCCGCGGTTTCACTGGAGACATGTTGTCATCCTGCAGAATAGCTATAATTAGCCGGTTCCACTCCGCTGTCCCTTGATTTTAGTCTCATTTTCCACCCACTCTCAGGTTCTCAACACTCCCATTGGGGTCTTCACCATCACGTGCGGACTTTTGCCCTCAGTTGCCACGGTGGAGGGCGCTCGGAACTTTCACCCGCAGCAAATCGGGTATAATTTTATGAGAGACATGTGTTTCGCAGAGATGGCCGGGTAAATGGCTGATTCTCCACATTACAGACATTGTCTCATTCCACAAGTCGTTATTGGCTCCTTATATTGATGCCTATCCGGAGCAACACTCTAAACATAGTAGATGGGATGTCAATCTCCGATCAGTATCCTTGTTCTCTCCTCACGCCACTGAAAATCCCCCGCCAACAAGATGGGAGGAAAATGAGACAGAGTCTGTTGTCATGATGAGGTGTAGTCCAATCACTCTGTCTCAAGATGTGCCGCAGAAGAATACGTATGAAACCACAAAGCAATGACAAAAGAGGGTCTGCTACGGAGGACACCGTACACTATCCATGGAGGAGACCAAAAGGGGGTCTGCCGGAAATTCGATAGCGGGTGCAGATCCCAGCCCCATCTCTATTCTCGGGACCGTTAATTCAGTTGGAGGCATAACCTTGGTACCGAACGATACAGCAGTGGCGCAACAGAAACAGCCACCTTTCTAGAATAAACGCAAGGGCCTTCGGAGAGAGTCGCCCCATCTTTAATGCCAAATTCAACATGCTATACATAGATATAGGATCAATAGAGCTACTCTGTATTACTGGGCACGACATGTCTCAGAGCCCGCAATTCGCCGAAAACCCACTTGGAGGACAACGGCTATTGCTAGTCCGCGCTATACATTCACGCCGTGCGGAGTATGCTTTCCCGAACTGGAACCCTAGCCTCAACATTCTGGCCGATACGGAAAAACGTAAGGATTGACTTGAGGTCTTGTACAGTAATTGCTTTCAAACCAACTGTCGTAGACTATTATTTATCACTCTTAACGTATTTCAAAAAGTGTGGATTTCATTATTTCTGTTGCCGTAATGGACTACTGGGATCGTAGCATATGTTGTGACGGCCATCCAATTGGGCATTGTGAATACGAGTACAGTCCAAGACGTAGGCATTATATACCGTAGCTTGGTAGTCACATAGGTCTCCGCGCTTGGAATATTTCCCCTAAACAAGTAATAAAAGCGAGAAAGTGATGACGATCACAGTGCTCAGCTAGATGGACCCTTCCCCCATAGCGCATAATGAGAATGAGACACGATGTTGGGAACCTCGGACTGATCTAAGGATGGTTCTTTCCCCTGTCTTATAATGGGCGATTCTATGAATTCAGCCATGGCTTTTTTGTGGGCCATACCCCATTCAACACACATATTATGGTAGGAGAGGTGCCATTCCACCGTGGTTGACACTAAAAACAATATGTCTGCATATGGACGTTTCCTTCCATGTCTGCGTGCCATAGTGATATGACTTTTCCCGCGTGACATGAACTCTATACGAAGAGCACTTAAGCTATACGCAGGATGCAGAAGTATCGTAGTTTCCAGTGACGGAGCTTAGTGTATGTCCTTGGTTAACGAGATACCCTGTGTAGTGTCACCTGCCCCCGTTTACGTCTTGACAGAACTACTCTCTGATACAGATTTCATGTCTTGGGGTCTCCAGGTATAGCAAGCATTCGCGACTCTCTACAATTAAAGGGGCTGGATTCGAAATATCGTAGAAGATAGCTCTCTCTAGGGTATTTACATAGACCGAAGTTGCTGGTATCAGAGGGGATTCCCTAGACCCTTTTTACGTAGTTGAGACAATGATGATACTCTTTGAGCGACAGTACTATACAATAGGGGCTGGTAATAATTTGAAATATGCGTGCGAGCTCAAGTAGCTAAAGGATCACTTCCAACAGCCTATAAGAGATATCTCGTATGCAGGAGCTATTGATTTGGAGTTGGACTGTAGGCTGTTTTGGGTATGATCTCACACAATCGAATTTTGTGTTGTTGTTGTTAGGGGTTTCCTTAGACTGGTCTTCCTGCTAAACATTTCGCAATAGACAGCCTAATCAAATGTCTTGCTTACTTGCGGCGACCATGCTGACCCTGATACGTGTCTAGATTTCTCCCATAATTTGGTTACGAAGTGTGTGCTTCGTATATCTGTCGAGCGTGCAGAGTACGTTAATGAAGTTATTACCATTTCAGTAAATCCTATATAAATTTTGTGTTCTCCTTTCTAATATTTTATATATGTTGTATGATCTCTTACAGACACAAATTTAATTAAAATAACTAGGTCATGCTACGATTGCAACGTAGAGAGGGTTAGATATATATTTCCTACCATCAGCCAGAAGCTCCCGATTCTAGCATACCTATTGTATTACATTTGTGTACCATCTATAGGTCCCATATTTTCTATTCTGCGTATACCTGGCGTCTTCTCCAGAATAGCACAGTAGAACAAAAGAGAGGAGCTTAAGACTCGCGGCCTCGGTGCAATTGGCGACCATTGCTGTCAAGAGAAGGTGAATTAGTCGGAGCTTACTTAGCAGCAGTCAATGAGGAAGGAAGTAGTGTTGTGGGTGCATCAAAAAGTTGAGAATCCCACTCCTAGTTCTACCTACCATCGAGGTATGAAAGAAGCAGACCAAAAAGGTAAAAAAAGTAAGATATCAAGATGGACTTGAGGGGAATTGAACCCCCGACTTCTCGCATTTTAATTAAGCAATACTGCGAAGCGAGCACTCTACCACTGAGTTACAAGCCCTAAGAACCATAAATTTTAGGCTTTTTGTAAATTAAGTGAGACAGGGCTGCGCACGATGAATAACTACTGCATCCGGTGCTCCATTCCTTCAGTTGACTGGTATGCGACTAGTTCCGCTTGCATTATGGATAGAGGGCTTACCGCCTACTCGCCGCAGCCTAAGGGCCCTATCCGTTTCTGTCCAACGATATCACAGATTTGGGACGGAGTGATCAATGCAGATGTATCCCGTGTGAAAGGCCCTGTGAGGGCGATAGTCTTGTGCGCGGAGACAGGTATGAATCCATGGAAAACCCAATGCCGTTGGTTATAAGCTGGACCAAGAAATCCATGCGTGGAGGTTGATTGAAGCATATCCCTTGCAACTCGTGGGATGATCGCACTTCGCTTCTCATAAATCATGCATATTTGGAGAGCATAGTATTCCTGTAGCACCCAGGACTAACCATAGCGTTAAGAGTATAGCGTTATATATTGAAATGGGTTGTCAACTCCGCGAGATGACTACATGCACAGTAACCGCCGCTCATAGTTTGGGGAAATAATTATGGGTGCGATCGAATCTGGTTCCTAATTCGGAATCTCACAGATACTATATGCGTCCACCATGACCAGCCTTGACATCCTGCACTGGGCAAGGGCGCCGCAAGGCAAGTCATTGTGAATTCCTACAACTTGTAGTTCTCCTGCGGAGGCATAGTTGGGTAGGTAAGAACCCCGCCGGTCTACCGGGTGGCGTTTATATAAATAAGAAACATTACTAAACACCAGAAAATCATGAAACAAAAAAGGTCTTCCGTAGTAAGATCCGGCGGGCCAATGTCCAATCCAGTTTGATGGGAAATTCCGCTCCGCCATACGGAGGGCCTTAAAGCAACATTTGTTGCCGCGGCACATTTCCGCCCAGCTCCGACCGTAGAGAAGGCACGGTATGGAGTGGATTACTATCTTGCCGGCCGATCAATGCTGGCAGATTTGGTTGGCACTCTACTGTAGCTAAAATTGTCGCGCAGCCGCGGTTTGCCACCGAAAAAGTAAAAAAAAAAACACCATGCCACGACCCCCGAGCAATGCTTATCAGCTCAGCTCACTATCCGAGGTCGAGTATATTCCAGAAGCTCCAGCAAAGTAACTAGTGGCGTTCGCAGTCACGCTAAGGTTGATAGCGGGATGGATGGCGTGCGCCCCCCAGGAGATGGATTTATCAACACGGCAGGTCTGGAACCTGCATTTGGTCAGATGACCCTAAAATCGCCGTTGGCAACGAAAGAATTACTGACACTTGTTCTACCCTGGGTAGCGACGCAGAGATAGACAGCGATCGAGTGGTGTGGTCGAGAGGACATCACCCAACATCGTGTAGACGTGTCAATTGTCCGAAGTAACCCTATAATGGAGAACCCCGGATTTTAGTTTCAGGAGGATAGGGTTGACTTAGAATTGCCGGGAATTGACTCTGGGACGCTGGAAAAATGGATCTAAATTTTAGCAATCAAGGAGAACGGCAAAGGAAGCTCCCCTGGTTCATTAATAAGCCTCTTATTAGATGTCTGGCTGCGTTCGTCGAAGAGCCATGGTTTCGTCGACCTCCGGGCGGTGAGTGAGGGCTTCCGGAGGAGATCGAGGACACTTCATACAATATCATGATTGTGAAATGTAAGAGAAATATCAACATTCAACCAGAGCAATGGATCAGACCCGCTCTCAGCGCTATTTTGCATTGAAGAGGGGGATGACCTGGCGACCTTTTTTAGCTGAGATGGCGGTCAGGATGATCATCGCTAAGAGTTTTCTGCGCGTTCTCCTATCATGATTGTCTATTTATTGCCCCCGTCCTTCTTCTCCACTGTGGACCCCCCTGAACCATTTATTCTGGAATCCAGGCACCGAACACTTTTTCCCTTTCTCTTTGATTCAGACTCAAAGGCCAACTCTGTGTACCCTCCATTATTCTGAACGCCATACATACTATCTAGCATATTCACCATGGCGTACGATTGCTACTGCGCGATCTGTGGCGTGGGCTTCAGTGGCATGCACATTGAATCGCCCTCAGAGACAGCTATCGAACGCCGAAGACGGTGGATTGAAAAGAGATGCCGGGCGCTCGAGGCGGGCCAGGACATCAGCCAGATTCCTGCAGAAGAAAACGATGCCCCCGTGCGCAGCTATGATCCTCGCCTCGTCGACACCGATAACATTTCCTGGCTCTTCAAGGCATACTGCCTGGGATCCAATCCTCCAGCTCCAGGCACTTCGGGGACAAACAAGTATGTGCTTTTATACGCTATCTACAAATCGGTTCCGATCTAACCGTGTCTAAGAGCATTTATTTCTGGTCCGGGATATTATGCGGACATCGTAAGCGGCATCCAAATTTAATTATCAGGAAGCCACCGTTCGAGAATCTTACACGGTACTCTTACAGGGAGAGCTAGTTGTGAAACCGGGGAAAGGTACGGGTTACACGAGGCTTATGAACTGCATGAATTGTGGCTAACTTTATCCTCAGATCTCTACCAGCCGTCGTCCCGTAAAACCTACATGTGGTTGGTTTTGGCGCCCTCCAATCCATTTTCCCGAGCGTCGCATTTCTGACCTACCCTTTGTAGTTACGATGAGGGAACCGAAGAGGCCTCCGGACCAGTCCTCCCCTTCCACTGGAGCTGTTTCGAAATCCTGACCCGAGCACTCACGGACGCCACGGAGATCGAGAACATCAACCTCGACGCCCTCTACAGCGTCATGTCCGCCTTAACCAACCATAGCTCCCTCCATGTAAACTACGGTGATGACATCTCCCGGTCGCAGGGCCGCTACTGGGAATGCGTCCCAGGCGCAGAGGTAAGCGTGTCCACAAGAGATTAAGCTGTAACCACTATTAACAGACCTCCCGCCAAACAGTACTGCGCCAAGTGCCCCACAGATACCCCCATGGTCGATGAGCTTTTCCAAAACCTAACCACCGATAGTAAATTCAAGTACCGCTCTGAGGCAGGATTCGAGCCTCAAGACCCATGTCCGTCCGACCCATTCGGCCATTTGCCGATGGAAATTGCCCAGTACATTTGCATGTTTTTGCCTGGGGATTCGGTGAATGCACTTGCGCAGGCTTCGCCTAGCGTTCAGGTTATCGCAAAGGATAACTCGTTCTGGAAGCGGTTTATGCGGTGGGATATGCCGTGGTTTTGGGAACTGCAGACGCTCCAGAAGCAGAATGATGTTGACTATAGGGAGCTTTATATGTGGTTGAATAAGATGACGACTCCACGGTATGGTATGGATGATTTGAAACTGATGGGCGTTGCCAATCGGAGGCGTATTTGGGGTGTGTGCGAACAGCTTGCGAGTCGGTATAACAAGACTACTCGCCGGACGCCTGTTGAGGCGATGAAATGGGGGCGCGATTAGGCGCGTGCATGGGGGTTTTCGACGTTTTAATACAATGTTTGACTGCCGAGGTGAGTTTCAGCTGTTCCCATTAAAAAGGGTGTGAACTATCATGAGAGCTAACGTGGCCCAGTAAATATACAGGGGTTTCTTTTTCTCGAGGTTTATTCGACCATATGATACCACTACAGCTTCGATTCTTTCGACTCTTGCATTGCCTCTCTCATCTTGATTTGGAGTTTGGTTGTTGTCAGGACCGCAAATTCGCATTTCTTTTTGTTTCTTTTCTTTTGCCGTGATTAGCGCCAAGTATAGATATAGACTACCTTTGTTTCTCCTTGATGAACCTATAACGAAACCAACCAATATAATATACCACCATCGCACCTTCACCCGAATGCTATCTTTCGTCCGTAAGTCTTCTACTAGAGATTCACAATAATCAATATTTGCTAGCAAGAGTATCAATTTGACAGTATCCCGTGGCATCATCGTCAGTACGTCGGAGAAGGGTCGGAATATTGTCGGAGATGTGGGATTTTCAACGCCACCATCTTATCAGCATCGGCTTTCCGTACGGCTTTCAAATCACTAGCCGAAGAGACCTCTTGTTTCTCGGTTGTGGGAGCGTACCGTGGTTGGTCACAACACTAATGAAAGACCGATCTCCCTCTCCTGTGGCGTTTTGTTTTCCTTCAGCTACGCTGTCCAGTATGGGATGTAGTGTATACCACTGCCAGGTCTTACTCTGATATTATTGCTGCGCCTACTGTGTTCTAGTTCAGGAGGCAAAGGAGGCTATCAGTAGCTGCTCCAAGATCCTCTCGATGGTTGGGGTTATATATATAGTTATGTTTACATCATTATAAAATGATATTAGCGGACCCTATACCAAGTAAAGACCAGCATATTTTGTTGGTTGCCATAACAAATAGATCAAATAGTCTGTCCCTACTGATCCAAGAGCCGTATAGCCGATCCTGCCGATTCTACTATTCTAGATTAGGGGGAGCCAATGCCGGAATGGAACGGAGAGAGTTCTGGCAGGGGAGCTAAAAGTGAAAGACAGCAGGGACGGCTGCTAGCAGATTTTACAACAACTGTCTAGTCGCTCGCGAAGGAGTTCTAAGGCAGCTCTATTTTCCTCCACCTACCCATAGCTTCTGTGTATTCATCGGTTGAGACCCAGCCATCGTTACCAACGATGCTTGCTCGAAGCCTGTCAAATTCACCATAGGCGCCTGCCCATGCTTCTATCTGCTCCTTACGCTTCTCGATCACCTCTTGAGTGAAAGATATGGGACATGGCAGCGCTACACCTATCCGCGCCATAACTTGATCCTAATTCTCATAGATCTGTATTATAAGCTCTTTGAGCGGGATTGGGCCAGCCAGAGAAGACTGCCTGGCAATGTGAAAGATGAAGGAAGTAGGAACCTCATCGTTTCTCATAGCATCCACCGCCTTGATAAGAGGTTGGTTAAACTTTCTAGAGGCTAACTCGTAGAACTTCTTCAACCTAAGCCTGCTAAGCTTGTCTTTGGCAGACTCGTTCTCTGGCTGTGACGGAGTATTGGAACCTTCCGGTAATTTAGTCTGAACAGCAACTCATGGGTACGGGTCATCGCAATCAAATATCGAAGGAAATTTTGCCTGTGTAAAGGGTGGTGCCGTGTGGACCGCTTGCCAATCAATTATACCTGATATTTTCGACGGGTCAGAAGAACCCACAAATATATTATCCGAATGAAGACCATAGTGCAGTAGAACCGGTCGAAGGGCTTCTTTTGGGGGTAGTATGTGAGCTAATACGGGTAGAAACTGTGCAAGAAGATGCACATGCATATCACGTCCTAGCGTTGTCTTTCCCAAAAGTGTAGAAGTGTCTAAATTTCGAATCACAGCAAACTCACGATTTGCAATGGATGAAATGTATTCCTGAGCCGTTTGCCCTGCATTGGTAACTCATTATTATGTGGTACACAAAATCAAACTAATTGCAATTTCAGATGCGCATACAGGGCCCCGGATGAATGTTTACTTCTTGCTTTTGGTCTTCCCAGAAGGACCATTGGGTTGTTAGGCCAATAACGAAATTCGATTCAGCCTCCTACCCAGTCTGATCAATAACACTTTTGCCATGTAGATATGTATCCTTATAGTATAAGCTTCCGTGGAACGAAAACTTTACATTTGCCAGTTTCTTCTCAATAGCGACTAGGCTTTTCACTAAACCGAAGGGTTGAGCTTCGGACATGGCATCCCAAACCTCGCTTGGCTGCCGTCCGTTCACTCTCTCTATAAGAATATACTCGGAACCCACCGCGTTACCTTGTGATGAGAGCTCCGGGAAAGAACTCTAGGAACTGGGATATGAAGAACGTTGCGAAGCTGCAAGGTGTTTTACATCTAGAGTTAGCCAAAGCAGATTGAATGCAGAGCATCTAGCATCACGCACAAAATCAAGTGTTGCGACTTCACTGGCCACAACATATTGGGGATGGCCAGCATTTGGGTTGGAGATTCTCGCGAGAACCTCCCTCCCATACTCCATTTTCAAGGAGAACGCCTTATTGTACAGCCCCTCGGGTATCTAGGTCATTTGGACACACCGACTGCCAACTATACGACTGGCGGTTCGCTGCAGAGCTAGGACGCCAAATTCTACATAGTGCTTCTTAAGTTGTGATTGCTCATTATACACCCAACGACCTGATGTGTAGTGAAAGAAGGGGCTGTTTGCTTTGATTCGTCCGAGTAGTCCAGATCGAGTCTGCTGGAAATATTGTGGGTCTTTCTTGGAAGCAACAGGTATCTTCGTTCTGAAACGTAGGATGGGTATCATGAATCGTACCGCTAGACCACAAGAACTATGGTCCATGTTTGACAATACTGAAAGTTCAGCCCTACAAACCATAGAATATATATCTCAACAGATAGACTCAGCTAGACCAGCACTACCCTTCTGTTGTATGCAGAAGGCTTACAATAACCGGATCATTGTTCTTACGTCAATGTACCACCCGCGTTAGTCATGGAAGGATTGGTAGAAGTTGGAGAAGATCCAACTTGCGTTCCTATTTGTTAACCCGCAGCCGTTGATCCTGAATCCCGGGGTTCCATGCATGAACTATGACTAAAGGAACGATGACCAACGGAAGGTTGATGACTCAGGGCGTCAGATCTAGATTTAGGTTGTTCGAGAAAAAGAACTCATCACGCTACTTATGGGTATAAGTTACCTAAAATGTAGGAATATACTTCACACTCAATAGGCTCAATGGGTTGGATAATAGTATAGAAGCCATCAATTGAATAATTCATAGGAACATATCCACGTTACGTCGGCCCAAAGGGAAAGGACCCATATCCCCAGTTATATCAGACCATACTATATATACATCATACCATCCCGGTGACTGATGTGCCTCTGCAAGGTACACGGGATGGAGTGTGTATTCGGAACGGAGTACAGAGGAGGAAAAAAAAAATAAAGGTAATAAATAATGAAATTCAATTCCCCAACCCACTGATGAAGTTTAAAATTAATAAAAACTAACAATTAAAGAAAATATCATTTTTAAATTGAGGCAGGGGATCGAGAGTGGAAAGGGGATGATTTTCTAGACGACTCGGGAGAATTACTCGGTTGAGCGACCGGATTTACTCCGAGTGGTTGATTTTGCGTTATTTTTGTCATTTAACCGGGGGAGAAGGTCACGGGGACGGTTGGCGCCGGAAGGCCATTGAAGGAAAAACGGTTTGTTTAGGACCGAGGCGGTTGGTTGATTATGCAAGTCTGGGGAAAGGAGATCGTGTTAACGTACGGCCAGGGTATCTACACGTATAGTGACCATTTTGATGGAGGGGGAAAAAAAATAGTGAAAAATAAAGAAAAGAAAGAATATATTATTCTATCAGTCTATTTTGCCAAAAAAGAAAAAGCTCGTAATAATTGCATTGTATGTGGAGTGGAGGGAAATAGATTGTCTAGATCGAGTAAATTCTTCCATTCTGAATGCAGCGATGATATTGGTTCCCCGCATTTAATTCACTCTTTTTCCGTAACTGACTTACGGAGTACAAAATGAGGTCTTGAGGTAAATTTATCCCTTTCAAGGAAACGGAGACACATACATACAGACATCTCTAGGGGTCAATGACTTTCCTTCGTTCTTCCAACGAAAAAGAAAAAGAACTTGTGATCGGAATGCCGACACGTGAATGTCGTCATGATCGGGTACCTTCAATTCCCTCGGCTGTTGAAATAGACGAGTTTCTCTCTATATATATTAAAGCAAAGGACCATCATGTTGTGTCCTCTCTCATTTGGTTCCCCGGTGTGTATAGACATACATTACTTTACTTGAATATTGAATGTATCCTATATACAAGATATAATACCAAGATTACTATTATTATATGCGTTATATTTCCCCTCATTATTAGGTAACGATACTCCTCAATACCCCAACTTTTCGCAATTTGCCTCACTGACGAAAAGCGCCGCCGGGGATTTTCAGTCTCACCAAGGATTTCCTTTCCGGTGAACGCAAGCAGAAACTGTGACTCTTTGCAGGTGGTGTGACCCAACTCTGTTTTTTTCATTATTTATTTATTTTTCCCTTTTCCCCTTTAAAAACGGTCATCATGTCGCCTTCTTCCTCTTCTTCCACCACCGCTCGAAACCGTCTCGCGACACTCTCCTCTCACATCATGGGTTCTGCCAGCCCCTCTATCTTTTCCACCTCCGTGGTTCCCGCTGCGCCCGAAGATCCTCTCTTTGGGTTGGCCCAAGCCTTCCGGAATGACCCTTCCGATAAGAAAGTCGATCTGGTTATCGGCGCATATCGTGATGACAACGCAAAGCCCTGGATCCTTCCCGTCGTGAAAAAGGCCGGGGACCTAATTCGCAACGATCCCTCCATCAACAATGAATATCTCCCCATTAAGGGTCTCCCCGATTTCACCTTCGCCGCCCAGAAAGTGATTCTGGGATCCGACAGCCCGGCCATCCGCGAACAAAGAGTACATACCGCGCTCTGTCCTCCGTGGTGTCTGTCCCGCATTCCCGCTAATCTGTCTATTGCACTCCGTTTTAGGTAACCACCTTCCAAACCATCTCCGGCACGGGAGCCGTTCATCTCGGAGCCCTCTTCCTCGCCAAATTCCACCCCCAGAACCCCAAGCCCACCGTCTACCTCTCCAACCCAACCTGGGCCAACCACAACCAGATCTTCACCAATGTCGGCCTCTCCCTCGCCAATTACCCCTACTTCGACCCCAAGACCAAGGGCCTCAACTTCGATGGCATGTTGAACGGCATCCGCGATGCCCCCGCTGGCTCCGTCATCCTCCTACATGCCTGCGCTCACAACCCCACCGGAGTCGACCTCACCCAGGACCAATGGAAACAGGTCGCCGTCGTGATGCGCGAGCGCCGCCACTTCCCCTTCTTTGATACCGCCTACCAGGGCTTCGCTTCGGGTGACCTGACCCGCGACGCATGGGCGGTGCGATACTTCATCGAGCAGGGCTTCGAGCTCTGCGTGGCACAGTCTTTCGCTAAGAACTTTGGTCTGTATGGTCAGCGCGCAGGCGCGTTCCATTTCGTCTCAGCGCCGGGCGCCACCGCTAAGGATGACAACGCCCATGTCTCGAGTCAGCTGGCCATTCTGCAGCGATCGGAAATCTCGAACCCTCCGGCCTACGGTGCGCAAATCGCCAGCCGTGTTCTGAACGACACCACCTTATTCGCTGAATGGGAAGAAGACCTCCGGACGATGAGCGGGCGCATTGCGGAGATGCGCAAGGGCCTGCGTGAGCGTTTAGAGGCCAAGGGCACACCGGGCACGTGGAACCATGTGACCGATCAGATCGGCATGTTCAGTTTCACGGGTTTGACTGAAACGCAAGTGAAGTTGCTGCGGGAGAAGTGGCACATCTATATGGTACGTTCACCGCTACTCACCCGCCGGCCGGGGGTATCCGGTCGGCATTTCCGTCGGTTCTCGGAGGCCCAGCCAAGCTAACGATCATCAACAGACCAAGAACGGACGAATCTCCATGGCCGGCCTCAACACACATAACATCGACTACTTTGCAGAAGCCGTCGACAGCGTTGTCCGGGAGACTTCGTGAAAAACTCAATCCCTCTTGTATATTCACTGATGCGATTGTTCCTCTGTACGTCATTCAGATAGCGTTTATATATCCACATACATATAGATCAGGTATCTGCATCATTCGTGAAGATTAGTCTGGTAGTATAAGTACAGTACGCTCAAGAAATACACCCTATTATCTGGCCGATCGACCTAAAAGATCAAATCCCAAACAATCAACGACGTACACAGCCCAACGGTGCCCCAGAACACCGCCTGCGCCGCACTTCGCCGTTCACCCGCCCTCTTCAACTCCTTATTCCCCCGCCCAATATTCGTCTCCGTCGATGCAGCATCCGTAACCAACTGCCCAATATACTCCTCCTGCGTCGAAAGGTGCGACACAAGCGTCTGCTGCAGCGACGAAATCTCCAAAAGCGACTTCTCCGCATTCCTATTCCACCATTCATTTAGCGTCAACCCATCTTTCCGGAAACCCCAAAAGAAAAAAAAAAAAGAGAGATAAAACATACTGCACCTGACTCAACGTATCCTCATAGTACCTCACCATCGCCTCATTCTCGCTCTCAAAAAGCTGCAACTGCTCCACCGACAACTCCGCCTCGATAGCCCGCACCTCACTCTCCTCCATACCCACCCCCCTAACCTCCACGCCCGCCATAGAACCCACACCGGAACCCCCATCCACAGCTCCCAACCCACCATCCCCGCTCTTAAAAAGCACACTCCGTTCCCTCTCCACAACCCTTTCAATCCTTTTCTCCACCATCCCCCGCTGCAAGAGGACCACCTCCTCCAACTCCCGCCGCAAAAACCACACCACACTCTCCCTCACCACCCTCACCACCCTCTCCCCTTCCTCTTCCACAACCTGCTCCGCCCCCTTCCCAGTCTCCTCCCCACCCCCGGCAGCCCACCGTGCAAGAACCCTCCCAGCCCCACTCCTCCCATACTTCCTCCTCAACACACTCTCCGCAGCCTGATGTCTCAAATCCTCGGCGCTGGAAAGCGTCGCGATAGAGTTACTTAGATCGTGGAGAACGAGACTAGTCGAGGAATCGATCTGGTCGCGGTCCGCATCGCTTAGTGTACCTGTGCCTTCTTTTCCTCCAGGGGCGGAGGCACGTTTATGGCGTGGATGCGACGTGAGAGAGAGGTATTGGGGCCGGATTTTTCGGAGGTAGGTGTTTAGGTCTTTTGTATGTTTGGTCTGTTTTCATTCATTCATTCATGAGTTAGCTGGTTGATTTGGGGTGCTTGGTAGGGTAAAGGGATTGGCGTACGATGCGGTAGGCTTCTTTGAGGAATTCGTCGGTGAGGGTGGTGTAGTTTTGTTTTGTCGGGGGGATGGGCATGGGGGGTTTGTTGTGTTGGGAGAGGAGGGTGTTGAGGATTGGTGTTAGGTCTGTCATTTTCTCTTTTTCTCCTTTTTTTTTTTTTCTCTTTCTTGGTCCTTATGTGGTGATTCGTTTAATAGTTGGGGAGAGTTGTTGAAGTTGGAGTGCTGGCATTAACTTGGGAGGTTAGCTATACGGAGCGGAGCTATCGGGGGATTGGATGGGTTAGTTATCGGGTCCCGTGATTTTGGTGCCCTAACTACTGCCCTTGGTCTTGGGGGTGGTTTGGGGGTAGGGGTTGTTTGCTACGGTGGGTTACATAATTTCGATAGTTGGGGATTTAGGATGTGTACTAGGTAGAGGAAGTAGTTACTTTGATTTTTGATTCTGAATTTGACTTGAGGCGTAGTTGGGGTTGGGGAGAGGTGTTAGCTGTAATAAAATATTCGACTGGCGCTTTCTATCACATGGGGCGATCAGAAGCACAAGGATTCGGGAATGCCTAGTGCTTATTGCTTGCATCGAGAATTTTTAGACCCTTTTTCTTTTTATATCTCTTGCAATTTAGGCTTTTAACTGTGGTTAAAACTGAAGGGCTAAATTAGCGGCACTCTGGAGTTGAGGTCGTGTCGGTCTCGCCGTGGTTGGTCGGTTCCCTATCTTTACACGCAACACCAGAACTATCTAGGTTATTGGAATTTTTTTTGTAACCTACTTCATATATGAGAGTTGTGTATCTGTACATAGAGAACAAAAGAAAAGAAATGAAAAGAAAAAGCATTATGTCATAATCGTGTATTTACATCGTACGTTCAGAAGGGTATAACATGCCAATGCAATGCAAGCCGACGCCAACACCGTAGGTCATCAAATCATAGATCGCTCTTCAACCCATATCTGCGATTGTCAGTCTCGGTACACGGACGTAAAAAAGTTGAATAACATACCTCCAACTTTCCCATTTCACTCCCTTCCCTCGTGGCAGTTTCACGCGCAGCACTAAATAGAAGGTCTAGGTCTTCTTGATCCACCATCGTGATCATATCCCCGTCGTCTTGCACCCGAATCTTCAAAAGACAGCGGAAGCCAAACTTATCCCGGATCTTCGTTTCAAACTCGCCGAAGCTAATGGTAGGTCCGATAATGATGTACCGCGTGTCTTCAACAGCATGCACCTTAACTCGGAACCGTCGGACCTCTGGCCGACGAGAATTGGCTCTCCTTGACCCTCGGGTGGGCGATCGTGTGCGGCGTCGCGATCCGACAATCTCGAAATCTTCGTCGGCTGCCCCGCCTTCTTCAGCTTCGCTGATATACTCCTCTTGCTCATCGATGTATCGCTCCCGCTGACGGGGTGCGCTCCGTCGGCCTCCATTGACGACCACGGTTGGTCTCGGATACCCGTTGTACCCATTCTCTCCATACATCTTCGGTGGCGGCGGAAAGCCGGTATCGCTTGCCCCCCTTCGATGCCCCATTTCTCGGTAGACTGGGACTTCGCTCTGGGACGTGCGGTGATTGAGCCGAGGTGGGCCTCGCGGCTCGGATGCGGTGCGCGTCGTCCCGATCCGTGACTTGTCCGGGGTGGCATCTACTTTACATCCGGTATGGAGGGCACCCGGCCGATCTAGATCGAGGCGGGGCGGACGAGCCGCGCGGATGGATCCCGGTCGACCACTCATCCCCGAGGGGCTAGTGAGGTTGGGTTTCTCGGCATCTGGCGGTGGCGTTGGGGGGAATAGATTGCGGTTCAAGGGTGGCTCTGAGTGTTGACGGCTTCTTGTGATATTCCGTTGTACTAATTTGCTGGCAGCATAAAGACTTTCGGGAGGGGCTCGATTGTCTATTGCGGGCTGGATTCTGACGATCTCGCCTGCTTGGGAAGGAGTTCCACTCCGATCCGATGCAGCGATCAACCTTGCCTTGCCCAGATAGTCTTTGGTTTTGAGATTCTTCACCTTGGCCTCGTTTGGCCGATAAAGAACCCCTACGGGGATCGAAAATACCGTGTAGCCCTAATAAGTCAATACGAATCGAAAGTCAAACCTTGGGTTCAGACTGACATACCTCTGCTCGTTCTCGGATGGCGTCGTTGATCACACCATGGTCCGGCGTGACCTGTTCTTTCGCCGCATACTCCAAGTCCTGTATACCGGACCCCAGTTGCTGGAGGTAAATATAACACAGGCCACGGTTAAAGAGAACTTCACACGAGTATAGACGAAACTTCAGGCCCAGTTGCTCATAGTCAATGGAAGTATTGCCTCGGAGGTAGAGCAAGGTATCATTGAAGTTGGCCAATGCCTCCTCGAAATCGCCTAGGAGGAAGTTGGACACCCCCTCTTGAAAGTAGGCAATGGCGAGATATTGGTCCAGGCTGACGGCCCGCTGGTAGCACTCGACCTACATTTTTGTCAGTTCCACGTCGTACATGTCCAACGTCGGCACATACAGCCTTTTCATGCTCGCCTAGTGTGGCGTGGATCACGCCACAGTTGAAGAAAATCTTGGACGTATCGGCAATGAGGCCAAAGACCCGAAGGGATTCATCGTATTCTTGACGGTCATAGTGTTCGAGGGCCTGCACCCACGTCTCGATTTCCTGACGGCCTCGGTTAGAGACTCTGCCACGTTCCAAAGACCGCACCGCACATACCTGTTTGATGGACATGACTCCAGCTCTCCGAGGGCCTCGCTATACCTCGCTAGATCTCCTGGGGTCTAGTCGTTCCCTCACCGGACAACAGGGTCGGTTTCGAAGGTAGACAGGGTCTCAGGCAGAGAGGTACAACCCACGGGGTTGCTGTTAAGTCAGCCGGACACCTCTCGCGGTGCGTTCAGGTAGCAAGCGGATATATACTAATGGCCAAGAAACCCAACCGCTGCAGGTAAACCACGCAGAGGCCAGGGGTCTAGATGGGACCGGGAGGCCGAGAGAGCCGGTCTGTGCCACGAAAGGATAAATCGGTGGATGAGCCCTCTTAGTCGGTGAGCGAGGGAGTATTGTCCCGCGATGGAGCCAGTGATAACACAATTCCGCTAGTTAGTCTTGTTTGGCGGGGAGATAGATCGGATATATATTTAGATCACGGGTGACCAGGGTCGTTGAATGGCCACTAGTGACTATGACAAGCAGACGCAAGGATGATAGATGGAGAATTGGGGGGTTGGTTAGATCAATTCGCCTCTTCCCTGGTGAATATTCTTCACGGATAGACTTTTGCGAACTGAGGACCTGGCGTCTTTGCCGTGTGTAGTATAGGGTATTCCGGGGGAGGAGGGGGGGGGGGGCTTGTTCAAAAAAAAAAAAAAAATAAAAAAAAATAAAACACAAAAAATTGAAAAAACGGGTAAGAAGGGAGTAACTCAAGTGGCAGAGGAAAGGGACCAGGGCACGTATGAAGACTAGCGTGCAGAGGATGCACTGCAGCAGTAAGGCACTGCTATACTTAGACGATAGCTCCGATTCGAAGCGCCGAACTGGCAGAAAAGGAGGGGGAGAGAAAGAGGAAGGAATGCCAAGGGAGTTGGGAAATATAAAAATAAAATAGAATAAAAACCCTTTGACCAGCCCATCTTAAGGGGCGTTAAGGGAGGTTGATATGAATGGCTGCTTCTGCAAGTTCCCTCGCCGTGTCCCGGCATGATGATTGGTCCCCTGCAGGAGGAAACTTCATCACAGTACAGGGGCGATCCCTCCCAGGTGTTGATACCTTTCGCTTATTGGCTGACTCCTTTTCATTTGGCCATTTTCGGTTTCTTATTTTTATTTTTTTTTCTCTCGTGAGGTCCATGCATTCAATTACTACTCGTCGTTTATATTGAAGGAAAACGAAAAAGAAAGAAAAAGGCCCGTTCCGACACCCATGCGGGGGGAACAGGGAAGGGTATCCATATTTTTATTATGACTTAGTACAAGGGAATGGGGCATGGAAAAGATCACTAATATTATAATAATAACTGCCACCTAGTACTACTAGTATTCTCTAGGTCGTACGAAAAGTCTTAACAGGATCATAAGATCGTTACTCAGAGAAAGAAAATAATAAACGAATGAGAAATACTCCGGAGAAATCTGATATGAGATTGGCAAGAATATACTTTTCCCGCCCCGCCACGGCGCTTCGACCTCGCTTCTACTACTAGAGCTCCCTTTCTCTTTCACCTTCTTGCTCCCTCAATAATAATCATACTAATAATAATAATTCACGCGTGGCAGGATCCAATGGCACTTCGCGACCGCTATGATTTTATTTTCCTTACCTCCAATGAGGGGCTTTCTTTCGTCATGGGTTTGACTCTTTTCTAACCACTGAAGCTAACTAAACACATGACCCGGCAATAATTGATACTATCGACGGAGTATCTTCTTCTTCTTCCCAGTTCCACTTCCTGCGCACTGATCGATGGACTAAATCACAACCTGAATTTCTATTACTCCTTCCAGTTTAGTTTCAATGGCTTCTAGCCTCATGCAATTTCATTCACACAGGTACAGGACTGACATCATCGCACGAAGTTAAGGTATCACAACTCAAAATAAATCTAAGGCAAATCCCGCCTCTCCAGTCACAGAGTCAATGAGAGAAACAAAAGAGGAAAAAATGGGGCCAAAAACCGAAATCAACGGATAGCCAACAAAAAAAGAGACAAGAGACAACCAGAGAAGAGAAAAAGTCTAAATCATCCCCTGAGACACTTGTTCCTGACGCTCCTGCCACACATTCTTCCCGGAGCAAGAACACACCATCTTATCATTATCCCACACGCCCGCACTTCGAGCAATCACACCAACCAATGTATCGGGGTCATCCTGTCGGAACGGACCCTCTTTACTCTTCGACACAACCATACTCCGGCCAATCATCTCCCAAACCGCCAACGGCCGGTCCAGAAACACATTGCCTCGTCCCTTCTCGTCCACTTCCACCGTCCCAAACACGCCGCGCGGCTCCTTGGGCGCCAACACCCTGCTCTTCAGCGCCTCCCAGATGCCCCCGGTAGACGCGGCTCCCTGTGAAATATCTCCGGCCTCACGCACCGTCGCCCAGTATTTGCCCGGCGCCAATCCGTTAATAGTCAGATCCACCAGCGTCATGTTGGACGAGACCTGCACCATGCGTGCCAACCCACGGATCTTGTTTGGGACCGATTTCGAATGCGTCTCCAGGATGCAAACCGCCGAACCTGGTGAGTTCATCTCAGCACGGCAAACCCCCTTAATACGGAAAAAACAAGAGGGAGAGAGGAAAGGGAGAGACCGAAAGGACGTACTGTTGGAGGATCCACTGCCCCGTAGAATTGCATCACGACCCGTAGCCTGAATCGCGGAAACGATCGAACTAGGCGGCGCTGTGCCTTCGATGAATACGAGCTGGTCTTTCAGACTAGCATCGACTTTGTTGATCCCTAGATGCGTCGCCCAATGAATTTAGCTCCGGGAACCGCAGGTGAAACCCATATTTACCGGGGAAATTAAATACCGTCTAGCTTAGTGAGAGACCTGGAAATGTCTTTCACGCAGCCTTCGCAGGTCATGGGGACCGCGAAGGTGGTCTGATTTTGAGGTTTCAGCACTGATTTATAATATACTTGGCCACCCACGGTATAGAGCGGAACAAACTCACCTGGAAGGGTTCAATCATGATGGGATGTCTGGGATGGGTATTGCCAGCAGCACAAAGTATTGGACAGGCTTGAATCAAATATAAGGCGGTTGTAATGATCGTGGAGTCACCGAGAGGATTATATTAATAAACACTGCGTAGAATGGAAAAAAACAGAAACCCCGCGGAACAAAGCGGGGAAGGGGATTTGAAATCGGCTTGGAATTGTTCTGATAGCGTCATCCCTCCAATCAAGTTACCGTTCCCGGAAACCTCAGGCACCGAAACCGAACCTCCGACAATTCAAGCTCTGGAGCTTCAACATCTCCGTAAAGAACTAATCTTAATCAACAACCCCTCCCCATTCCACAAAAAAACAATGTCCTCCCGCTGGGCAAACGAAGACCCCGAAACAGAAGCGATAATCGCCCAACGCAAGCGCGAAAAAGAAGCGAAACGTCGCGCCAAAGCCGAAAGACAACGCCAGCTTGAACAAGAAGCCGAACAAGCAGCCCAACAACAAACCAGAGACACCGAAGCACCCCCCAAAAAGCGACGACGACTCTCCAACGACCCTGAATCAGCAGCCGAAGTCCAGGTCGAATCCAAACCGCAAGAAAAGCCCTCGAGTCTCATACAATTTCCCACGCAAGAATGGGGCCCTTGTCGCCATGTCGACAATTTCGAGCGATTGAATCACATCGAAGAGGGCTCATACGGCTGGGTGAGCAGAGCCAAGGACATCACGACAGGCGAGATCGTTGCTCTTAAGAAGCTCAAGATGGACAATTCCCCCGACGGATTTCCCGTAACGGGATTACGGGAGATTCAAACTCTCCTGGAAGCCCGTCATCCTAATATCGTGTATCTTCGCGAGATCGTCATTGGTACGAAAATGGACGAGTACGTTTTCATACCCCATCTTACATCGATATATGGCTCTCTCCCTACCACCCCCCCCGTGACCTGAAAAGTTCAGATACAGAAAGTTAACCCCAAAGCCCGGGGGTTGTGAGGATCAACCCTCCTCCGGCCCCCGATCACCGCATAAAACAGTGTCTTCCTCGTCATGGACTTTCTCGAACACGACTTGAAGACGCTCCTCGACGATATGCGCGAGCCCTTCCTCCCGTCGGAAATCAAAACTCTCCTCTTCCAGGTCCTCTCGGGTCTTGACTTCCTCCACTCACAATGGATCATGCACCGTGACCTCAAGACCTCAAACCTATTAATGAATAATCGGGGCGAGATTAAGATAGCGGATTTCGGGATGGCTCGGTACTACGGCGACCCACCACCGAAGTTGACGCAGCTGGTCGTGACGTTGTGGTATCGAGCTCCGGAGCTGTTATTGGGGGCGGAGAAATACGGCACGGAGATCGACATGTGGAGTATTGGATGTATTTTCGGGGAACTCCTCACCAAGGAGCCTTTGTTGCAGGGCAAGAATGAGGTCGATCAGGTGTCTAAGGTACGGCTTTTACTTAGTCCTCCTGCTGAGAGATTATTGTTCGGGTTGATGTTAATGGGTAATAGATATTTGCTCTGACTGGCCCTCCAACGCCACAGATATGGCCTGGCTTCCGTTCTCTTCCTAATGCAAAGTCTCTCCGCCTTCCGCAGACGTCCTCGGCGCCGTCCGGGAACCCACCTCTTCTCCCGCGAGCAAAGTTTCCCTTTTTGACAAATTCTGGTCTTCAGCTGTTATCTTCGCTCTTGGCGTTGAATCCGAGCTCGCGGCCAACGACGCAGGAGTGCCTGTCGCATCCCTACTTCCGTGAAGATCCTCGTCCAAAGCCCAAGGAGATGTTTCCTACGTTTCCGTCGAAGGCGGGCATGGAGAAACGGAGGCGGCGGGAGACGCCGGAAGCGCCGAAACGAGGCCAGGAGGCCCCGAAACTGGACTTTGCCAGTGTCTTTGGAAACCAGTCGAGCGGTGACGGTGGGGAGACAGGTGCGGGTTTTACTCTACGCTTGGGATGATTACTCTGTGGTCCTGCGGAAGTAAATATCACAGAAAATTCAATATTCCTATGGAGTCCTCCGTTTGGCTCGTGGAAACATCGAGTTCCACAATATCCAAATTTCTACTCGGAAATGGTAACTGTACCAACAAGGCTGCGCCGTAAAGGAGTGGTAGCGTTGAGAATCGACTCAAACTATAAACCGCGGAGCTGGAAACATAATCATATGAGGGCCCTTAACAATGCAGTTTACACATATTCTAGTGACCGTACAGCATATGCTTCCGTATAAAAAGTTCAGCTAAAGGATTGTATACAGTTGGACTGGTAGATCGATGGTTGTGGCGGCCAAGCATCAGGAGAAATAGCGTCTTTGATACATGGGATACGTAAGAAGATATTCATCGATAGAGTCGTCGCTGGGATCACGTTCTGCTCGATATGCCCGGGGAGACGGTACTTGAACCGGCCTTCCAGGGCCAATGATTTCGGGGACGTCTATCGTTCCAATGGAGCCGCAATCAAAACCGGGTCCACTGTACAAGCTCCCATCGCTGACGATGCTCCGTTCTGCTTTTGTAGGATTATCACCTCTATCCGGGTGGCCACTGGTTTTGCCATCAACGAGAAAGTATTCGTCTGTGAGGGATAATAGTGAAGTGAGGTCACCATTCTCGATAGGTGTCCATACATTGTTTGATACCGAAGTGAGGTCCGTTGCCGTAGCGTCTTCGCTCGGGCGGGTTGACCATGGCGCTTGCCCCCTGGAGAAGTCGCTACAGGCCAATCCGTTGGTGTCGCCAGATGGACGCGACGGAGTATCATGGCCGTTATCATCTTGCACTTCAGATGCCACGGTTTCAGGACCCAAGCTGAATGCTAACATCGTTTGCACAGGGTTGTTTGATGTGCTGGCATTTGTCCGAGCTTCCGAGTTGTCCTGTGTCTGGGTGCTGTTAGTGATCGACGGGCGATTTGACTCGACAGGCTCTGCTTGTAGGTTTGAAGATGGCTCTTGACAGGGCGCTGATTCTGAAGCGTCTCCTTCAGTTCCGTCTTCCGTCCTAGTGATACTATTATCGCTATAGCCACTAACTCGATCAATGAGCCCGCGTGACTCTGCTACTAGTGCAGCACTAGACACCTGAGGAGTCCTGGACGCGTAAAACCGGCCTGGTGACTGTACCGCTGAGACTACCTTCGGACTTTTAGTTTCACCGTCCGACGTTGGGAGCTTAGGTGTCTCGGGTGAACTGATGAGAGGCAATGGGGACATGGTCCGGTGAGTATTCCCGTTCATACTTGTGGCTCCAGGCGAGGTTGGTGCAAGTGGGCTGTTGGAAAATGGCGTTGGAATGGTTGCAAGGGTGGGCTGGGTGTTAGCATCTCGTATCTGAGAGCATCCGGGCCCGGGAAGGCTTTTAGATAAACGACTCAATTCTGGGCGGGAATCTTCGGATTGGGAATCAGACTCATTCATGAAATAGTCATCCAGCTGAATATAATCTCCAGTAGTTAATTCTCTGGGCATATGTGGCCCTAGCCCATTATTCACGTCAGTCGAGTCTCCCGGGAAGATGCAATGTGCTGCCTCTGTTAGAAAGAGACCGGGTGGCCAGTACCCCCCGCTCAATTCTTGGAAAGGATTGAGATCATTTATGGTGACAGAGAACGGCCAATTGTCGAGGCATTTATCCACATCACAGCTCAACGATGAAGAATCGTTGCATTCCGTTCTGTGCAGATGAGTTCCAAACTCGGAGTCCTCCTCTGTGCTGGCTTCGGAGATTGTCGATGGAAAGGAGGAGTCATCCTGTTGATCTCCCTCCAGGGTATCAGACAAAGGCCAAGGTTGCAGTACATTGGCAGTGCGGCTTGAAGCGAAGATAGCAGCGCGCCTCTGCATTCCAGCCCTCAGAGCTACAAGTCCTGAACGTGCTTTCCGAAGAGATCGTTTGGGCAAACTCTGTACCCAACTTACTGGGCTTTCAAGACTAGTGCTCGGAGAGATATAATAACTATCCCTATCCCACGAGGATGTAGCCACGGCAGGATTATGCCGAGGATCTCGAGGATTGAAGACCGGGTAATGGACGCTTTCCTCGCACGATGGAGGAGGAGCGGGAGGCCTCACGATCCTAGCAAGCCATTAGCTTCATATTCTACGTGAAGGAATTGACTAGTGGTACCTAGCTCTTCTCGCTATTGAGGGACGGAGGGTGACGGAAAAAGAGAAGGCCTGGTGCCGGCGTCTGGTTCTACTGCTACTTTGGTCGTCTGATGCCATATCAAGCGTGTTGATTTCCACAAGCGTATTAACAGGTGAAACAAGTTGGCTCGGTATAACTCGACAGTCCAAGAAACGGCTCCCGAGGGTATGGATAGGACAAGTCAAGATCACCAAACAATTTCTTCATAAAAGGGGAATCCTGTCCAAGGACTGAATAGGCCAGCAGCAAGAAGTAGGGGTCGTCGTGCCTGAACCCAATCAAGGCAGGTACGAGGAAGCCACATGCGTCGTTGATTGGACATTTTGGGGAAAAGGTCGGTCAGGCAAGGGTTCATTCAATTGGAGCCACTGGAAGAAGGTGCTGCCAGTGCTGGTGGTGTGCATCCAGTCCTCCACTTAATGCTTGCATGTTTGCCTTCATGAGATGAGTTACAGTGCATGCGAAAAGGGTTGCGATGAAGTCACATGGCGCAACGGCCGAACATCAAATCTCGTACATTCTGCAGGACAAGAGTCTGTGGTCGAGAGGAATACTATGGAGGAGTCGTTTAATCCAGAATAATGCGCCGATCAAATTATAGAAGTGGGTTGGTTTGTATTGTTGGCGTTCAGCAAGTGATCTTCCAATAAATACCCAAAACTAAATTTAATGTGTTGAGAACCAAGCTTCCAATACAATACAATACCGTCGCAAAGCTTCGACACCTTTTCTTTCGATCGCTTACCCTCCTTCTTCTCACAACCTCTCAATCTATCTCCAACCACCGAATCTAACCAATCTATCTGTGGAAAATTTTACCATTTTAGTAGTATCTTCTTCGACCCCCCTTCTTCGCCGATATTATTCGTTTGATCTCCCGACCAGTTATCGCCGTCCAGTCCCTTCCGTCCATCATGGCCGCCGGCCAGCAAGCTGTCTCTTTCAATGAGATCATTAAAGCTGGTAAACTTCCGGTCGTTCAAAGCTGTTCTGATTGTATTGACTTATTAATTATTGCTTTCCACTCATAAGATCGCCAAAAGAGGAAGAATGAGGAACTAGCCAACAGCATTCTGGGGAAGAACCGACGGACGGGCGCTCCAGGAGCTGGGATCAACAAGGCGCAAAATGCGGCGGCACAAGGGAGTCTGGCAAGTCGGATTGGCGTAGCCAAGGTAAACGAAGATTACGAACCACCAAGCGACCGTCCGACCAGGAGAACTGATTGCAATGCATTATTACCTAGCGTTCTGCACCTGCCGCCTCCAAGCCTAAAAAAGCCAATCGGACGCCGTCTGCACCTGCACGAGTCGCAACCTCGAACGCGAAACCCGGACAGAAGCGTCGCCCCGATGAGGATCGCCTGATGTCTGCCCTCAATCCGGCAAAGGGACAAGCAACAGTTCGTGATGGCTCTACCGGCCTTTCCATCAAAGGGGCAGGCTCCGGGCCGTTTGTCGTGGTTGGCGGCAATTTCGCACCAGGTACTACCGCTGCAGACATCCAGTCGGCCATGGAGCCTGTGACCGGCGAAATCTTGCGTTGTTGGGTTACCTCGCAGCACCCTACTGTTACTGCGGAGGTGACGTTTGCAGAGAAATGGGCGGCGGAGAGCGCGATTGCCAATTTCCACAACCAGAGGGTAAGTTCATTACGCGGGCGCGACAGGCAATAAATGAGACTAATGCACAAACCAGGCGGATGGCAGAGTCCTTTCGATGCGAATGAAGTCGGCTGGCGCCGGTTCCAAGAACTATGATTTATTCGACCGCTCTGCCGGGTCTCACAACTCTTTCAATGACCTTCGAGAACAAGAGGACCGCAAGCGCTTGTTACACCGTGGCGCAGATGCTGTTGTCCAAGACGGAAGCTATGGATTTGGCGGACAGAACCAAACAGCTGGTCGTGATAATGTCTCCGGAAATCGCAACAATAGACGTAACTTCCGAGGCAATCGAAACGCGGGAGGCAGCAGAAACCAGGCTCAAAATTCAAACGAAGGGCTCTATAGCGATCAAATGATGGTCGATGCGCCGCCGCGGGGTCCAAGAAACAACCGGGGACGGTGGCAGCGGTAGACTACTTTTAATGGCAGTGTTTCAATATTCGGGGTTTTAAAAACTACAGTCTGTACGATATCAATCGAGGGTTTAGATTGAACATATCCCTTCAAACTGCAGATGCAATGATAGAGAACCTTCTTACCCTTTTGGTAAATTTGATATGATAAGAACTATCACGTGCGGCGGAACTTTTGCGGAGAAGATTTGGAGAAGAAACAATTTATTTATATAAACACAAGGTCATCATGATACGCCCTTTAATGCCCCTAAATTAGCTCTCTCTCTCTCTTTCTCTCTCTCTGGCTTTATAATAATCCCTCCGGCTCATAAAGGTCTATCGCCTCAAAATGAATCATGGAGCGCGGCGATCCCTGGCGCAATTGATCAAAAACCATCACAACCGATCACTGGTCCTCAAGTCATCCCAACGATGGTCTTCGACCTTTGAAACCCGACAATGGTCTACACCATTGGCACGCACCCTCGCAAATGCGATTAAAGTATTCAGACCCCAAAATCATAGTAGTTACATTAATAACTAACAACACCTCAAGGTAACAGGACCCATCCCCATCGCAGCGTTCATGCGCCAGGTCCTCACCTCCCCAGAAGGCGGCTATTACACGACCAGACCCTCTGGCGACGGAGAGGTATTCGGAAAGAAAGGCGACTTTGTTACGTCGCCAGAGATCTCGCAGGTGTTCGGTGAATTAGTCGGGATATGGACGATTGCGGAATGGATGGCGCAGGGCCGGAAGAGTAGCGGGGTGCAGCTGATGGAGGTTGGGCCAGGGAAGGGGACATTGATGGATGACATGTTACGGGTAAGTCTTTGTCCCTCTACTCATAGAGGCGCTGAAAAAGGCAATCGAATCGAGTACTGATCAACGGGGCCTGGGTATATCACAGACATTCAGGAACTTCAAGAGCTTCACCTCCAGCATCGAAGCAATCTACCTAGTGGAAGCCAGCGCTACGTTGAGGGAGGTCCAAAAACAACGCCTATGCGGCGACGCCCCCATGGAGGAAACAGAAATTGGCCATAAGAGCACCAGCAAGTACTTCAACGTACCTGTGATCTGGGTCGAGGACATCAGACTCCTGCCTCACGGTTCGCCCCCAAACCCCCTTTCCCTCATACAAAGTCTCAATCCCAACGAAAACGAAAACTAACCCCGACTTAGAAGAAAACAAAACCCCCTTCATAATCGCCCACGAATTCTTCGACGCCCTCCCCATCCACGCCTTCGAATCCATCCCCCCCTCCCCCGAAAACCAACCCCAACAAGACCAAGACCAAATAATGACCCCCACAGGCCCAGCAAAACTGCACAAACCCCTCAAACCAGCCAACACCCCCCAATGGCGCGAGTTAATGGTCACCCTCAACCCCAAAGCAGTAACAGAGAACCTACCGGACGAGCCCGAATTCAAACTAACCCTCGCTAAAGCATCCACCCCCTCCTCCCTAGTCATCCCGGAGATCTCAGAGCGCTACCGCGCCCTCAAGTCCCAGCCGGGCTCCACGATTGAAATCAGCCCAGAGAGCCGTATCTACGCGTCTGATTTTGCAAGACGGATCGGTGGCGCGTCGCAGCCTCCCAGGACTGTTACCCGTGGATCTGGATCTGGATCTGCGCCGCCGGCGAAGCGTGTTCCGTCTGGCGCGGCGCTGATCATGGATTACGGGACTATGTCTACTATTCCTGTTAACTCGTTGCGGGGAATTCAGCACCATCGGAAGGTTCCGCCTTTGTCGTCGCCGGGGAAGGTTGATGTTAGTGCTGATGTGGATTTTGTTGCGCTTGCTGAGGCGGCGTTGGAGGGGAGTGAGGGAGTGGAAGTTCATGGGCCGGTTGAGCAGGGGGATTTTCTGCGGACGATGGGGATTGCGGAGCGGATGCAGCAGTTGCTTAAGGGGGTGAAGGATGAGGAGAAGAGGAAGACGTTGGAGAGCGGGTGGCAGAGATTGGTGGAGAAAGGGGGCGGTGGGATGGGCAAGATCTATAAGTTCATGGCTATTGTGCCGGAGAACTCGGGTAAGAGAAGACCTGTTGGGTTTGGGGGTGGGATTGATGTATAGGTTGGGATGTTTGGACGTTGAAGTGGTAGGCTATGGGAACTGTAATATAGATGTTTAGATTTTATATTTACTATGATCTAGAGGGGTGAAGACCCCAAAATATTGCTCTGGGAAGGATTATCCCAATGTCAGTTTTAAACCAAGGTTACTACCATTTTTAAGTGAGTCGAGGCGTTATGGCTGGAAGAGCGATCGTTCAGAGCTCAGGGGTTTGTCCCGTCTTTGGAGGCGCACCTCTGAGAGACTTTGAGACAAAAGGAGGTCATTGAATAGTAGAAGACTTTGGAAACAGAACTTATTCAATAAGCCTAGAAATATCCCAAACAAACACACCTAACCCTCAATCCGGTACACGTAAAACCGAACAACGCCAACCCAAGACGCAAATCATCCATCCATCCATCCATCCATCCATAACATAACATAAACATAACATAAACATAACATCGGTGGGCATAAGAGCTAACAGACCATATAGCTATCCTTCTATTTGCCACCGAAGAGAGAACCAAGGTTACCAAGATTTCCAAAAGGTGACAAGGAATAGGAAGAGGAGGAACCGGAGCCAGCAGCACCAGAAGTCGAGACAGAAGAAGTGCCTGAAGACGAGGATAAAGAAAACGAAGGAGAAGCGCTCAGCTTGCCCAGCAAGAACTGAGTCGCCTCACCGGTGTTAGCCACGTAAGTGAAATGCGCCGGTTCCACAATCAACGTGCCATCGCAGACCATATCGCCCATGGCACAGTAGATCTTGACCTTGTCCTTGGGGAAGTTGGCGATCTGACCGTGCTCCTGGGCGTTGCGGGTGTAGCCGAAGAGGACGACACCCTTGATCTTCTCTTTAACGTTATCCGGCAGACGCTTGATGGAGTCATCCATCACGGCCGTACCTTGGCTGTTTCATTTTTAGCGTCAGTTCATGGTGGGCCAGAGGAAGTGCGAACGGACCTGTATCCACCAGCAACAATTTGAGTGTCAGGACACTTGGTGACGGCCTGCTGGAACAGGTCTTGCGCCTCTTGAATGGCAGCCGGTGAAGTGTTCTCTGGCAGGGCGTTTGACATGAGATCCGCCGTGTAATTGGGACCAACGCCCTGGCACGCCACCTGGCCCGCTTTGGCCTTCTTCAAGCCACTGCACACTGCGGGACCCGTTGAGATGCCCTAAGAGAGGTATGTTAATGTTGGCCGAACGATTGCAGCGGGTGAGATTGGGACCTACCATAAGCCCAGGCTCCGTGGAAGCACGAGCAAAGATGAAGGTGATCGGCTTGCAAGGACCAACTCGCAGCTCGTTTCCGCCAGAGACTATAGTCAGGCATGGTTAGCAAGCGTCGCTAGCTCTGCTGAGAGGCTATCTCTTGTCATCACATACGTTGACGCTCCTGAATGTCAACTGGGGTTGCCGCTGCGACGGCAGCGAGAGCAAGGGTCAACAGGCGGAGATTCATTGCGACCTGGGTAGTGTGCGTATAGTAGTGTTCGAGCTGGGATGGTATCCTGCTTTATAACATCCTGAGGAGAGAGGGCTATCTTTATAGTTGAAGCGCTATCGGCACCAGCCAACAGGGTATACTTCGGCATCCGCTACAGCAACAACTTGGAAATCTCACTTCGCATACTTGGTCAGGGTCATCACTCTATCGAAAACACCGTGCCTGCTTTAGCGTTTGGATAGGTAAAATGTAGCGGCGTTTCAGAGTGCCTACTAGTGATAGTTAGGGAACTACTCCTCGGAGCAGATCGCCGGCTGAGGATAGCGATCAGTAGCAGATTAAGTGCCGAACCCTACAGCCATTGTCCCTGACGAGTTGATGCCGAGGCGAGGGCGAGGGTCTGGTAAGGCCCCCTTTAGGGCTTCTTTAGTTTATCCGAGGAGTGAAACATGATCAACGGATGCCCTGAGATTTGGGTTCATCTTCGGACGAACTCCCTAAAACCGCATGGGTTCAAAATTCACACCCAATCAAAGTCTTTAAGAATATGAGAACCATTATTGAGCAAGACATCTCGAAAACCCGGACAAAGCCCCCAAATGTCCAGTCGATCATTTGAGGGGAAACAAAAAAAAAATGCACGGATGAATGAATGAAAAGAGAAAATAAGTTCACCACTCGGGCTTCAGTCAAATAAACGATTCCTCATTCAATAATAAACAAGAATAAAACCTAGAGGAGCATCAACGCCCAGTCTGTAAGTCCATCAGTTATGCCAAATATATAGATGCATCATGGCATTGCATGCATTCGAAGAAAAGCGTGGGAAGAAATACAAGCGATAACATCTTGGACGTCTCAGTCAGACCAAGGATCAGAGCCTGTATCAGGATCGGGCCATCCGCACGCCTCTGCGGTGTTTGACCACCGAAGTGTTTCAGAGTCATCGTAGTACCCACCGTACACATCGATATCGCAAAAGCCCTGGAATACCAGGGACTGCGGCGCATTTGCAGGAGGTCCGTGTGATTGATTCGCAGCTTCTTGCTGTTGTCTCTTCTGACGTCTCTTAGCCTCGCGCTCCGCTTGCTCCGCTTCATGTTTGGCCTTAGCCATTCTGGCCCAAGTTATTAGGCCTTCAGGATCCCGCAGAAATGATAGTACCACATCTCGTGTCGCGAGAGTGTCCTCCAAACAAACATGGGGATGGTTCTCGGGTTGAATCTGTAGGTTGAGGAACTCCTCCGACAGAGTCTTTAGGCTATAGAGGCGACTAAATACTGACAATATACCAAACACAGCTTCACTAGCTACTATCACAGAATCAACAACTCTCGAGTGGTATATGCCCAGGACATCGAGGTCAGAGTTGAGGGCGTGCCCAATGAGGACGGTTTGCGCATCAACGTAGTTGAATAGTGCCTGTCGGGCAGATTGCCATCCATTAAGTGCCTGCCCATTTGCTACAGCCTCGGCCATCGCAGCCGGTGTTATGCCGCTGACCCTAGTGGTCCAGTCGGTCACCTTATCCGTCGGCTGGACATAGTGGTTAATGAGCACTTCCCCGGTTAGGAAGTCCACGGCGCTGAGAAAGGCAACTTCTCTTCTCCACCTCTTGACCTGAACCATCTCACAATCGATGACGACGGCTCTTCTCTTTTGATGCAGGTTCGGTTTCGGCGTTTCCTTAAAACGGTACCTTGGAACTGTTGCTTTCCTCGTATTGTAAGCCCCGTTCCAGTTTTGCATAGTATAGCCTTGTTTCAGCAGACGGGCATCAGAGTGGCATCGCGTAAGAAGATTTGCATATACAAGTTCTTGCTCTGCTGCAGAGAGAGTCATGAAGAAATTGCCATTAAAGTATAGCCGCACTTCATTGAGAGAGCCACCAACAAGTCCAATGGTTTCTGATTGACCGTACAGCGTGGTGCCGCTTAGCTGGGAGAATGCTAGTTTTGATAAGATTAATAACTTTCATTTAGGGTACCTCAGAAGACTGCCCTACCAAAAGCTAGGTGTTCTACCTCTTGGGCAACAGACAGCTGGGTTTTCTGTTGCTGCCGCTGCATCTGTTGATTGACTTGCTCTGGTTCATGCTGTGTAGCAGAGCCTGGCATGGGGGCCACTGTGCTTTTGTTCCTCGGTTTAGGGCGCCGTTCGTGTGATTTCTTATGATCATTCCGACCTTTTTCGGTGCCAAATTCTTTGTTACATATTGGACAAACAACAGGATGATGTCCTAGGGCATCCTGATGCCTTGCGAGCCCTTTTGCCGACTTAAAGTCATCCTTTTTGCACCGCAGACACTTGATCTTCTTGGTCGGTGACGACTGGTTGGCCAGCGATGGATTCTCAGTGAGAGCCATGTCATAACGAAGAGACAAAGGTTGGAATGTTATCTAGCATCAGACTAGGTAGAAGGCTACTTGGAAGGTCAATCATCCAGGATGTCAACGAGGTAGAGCAGCGTCTTATGTATCCCTTACCCCACCCCAGCCTCATTTACACGCAATTAGGGCGGAGGAGGTTATTGGTTGATATCGTATTTTCTCCCTTGCGCAGCCGCAACATGCTGGCGCCTACTACTTGCAACATACTAGTAGTTGAAACGTTCTCTGAACATCCGTTATCACTTGGCGTGGGACATAATAAGTTGGTTGTCTTTTGTCCACTACTCCGCAGTTAGTGCTTTTCTTTACTGTCTTTACTGTCTTAGATGTTTTGGACCACATTATTACCCTTTGATCCCTGTTATGGGCCAGGATTTAGTACATTGCTTCTCACCAGTTTTGCAAAGAACCAACGGTGTTTCTCCAAGCCACTTGGCACCATCAGGCAACAGACAGCAAAGATATGCATTGCAATGCAATCGATTATGCCGCTCACCATACCCCGCATTCCGAGGACCTGCTGTCAAGAAGTCCATTAACAGACCAGCTCTGAATCCACGCGTTGTTCTCCCCGGGGCTTTGTTGTCAATGCAAACAACTTGGGCTTTATGCCTTAGGCATAAACACCAATAATGAGCCCTTTGCGCCACCAACAAAGCCATCGCTAAAACGAAGGCTAATAAAAGAAGCAAATAAACTATCACATACCATCTTCCCCATATCCAACATGCAGGAACTCACTCCAGACTATACACCACCACTAACAATCCCAAAATGGCACAAAAAGAAACCCCTAACCCAAACCAGTCTATTCTATTAATCACTACCCGGGTATCTCCCAACATGCAACCCAAACCAATCAAAAGAAGATATTAAAACCAAACTAAGGAAACCAGGACAACAACCATCTCAATACTCCCTCCAGATATCCTCCACATAAGCCTCTGTCAACCTCGTATCCTTCCCGTACTTCTCCTGCCACTGCACGAACCCACCCTCCAACACATAAACCTTCTGCTTCTGGCTCTCCTCGACGCCCAACAATCTCTCGCGTTCGCGAGCATAGCGCAGAGCAGCGGACGGACCGCGCTGCTGGCTCAGCGCGCAGTGGAACACGACCTTCTCTTTATCTTTCAGTGTGCGGATGAGTTCGGGGAGGCGGACGTCGAGTGAGGAACTTGGGACCCAGGTTGAGGTGTGGATGTGGCCTCCGATGTGGTCTATTCTCGTAGGTTAGACTTGTAAGGTATATGCTATAGGAGATAGGTGTATGGTATTGCTGACCGGAGTCCCGAACGTCAATGATAGCCAGGTTACTGGGGGTGCTGGTGGAGAGGAGCAAGGCTGAGAGAGCATCCCGGCTCATGCGGGGAAGAGTTGCGATTGTGATGGCGGACATGGTGAATCGCAGGTGACCGAGTTGATTCTCTAGTGGTTTCAAAAGCGAGGTCGTCACAGCAGTAACCACGAATATTAATTGAAAGTTGAAGTGGTCGTAAATTAAGCAATGAACTCGGTGCTGTCAAGCAAGTAAAGTATGACTCAATCACGTGATCCTACTTTTCCGATCTGGAAATTTGGAGCCAAAGTCTCCGGAGATTTCAACACCGCAACCCCCATCCCCCATCTCATTCCCCCAAAGCCCTCGAAGGTTCAATTAAGGAGAACCGGAAGCGATTACACGCCCGGAGACCCTCTCCCCCCCCCTCCACACATCTTATCACAATGGAGATGCGCTCCCTAACGAACTGCCTCCGGTCGAGGCCGACATCTCTCCTCTACAAGCAACAACCGACCCTCCTCGCCACCCAATTCATCAACAAACCCTCTATTCGCACCTATGCCAGCAAACCCAAGGCTCCTGCTGCACCCAGAAATGCTCAATCTCAACCCACAACGCAAGCGTCCTCGGACTTTGACGAGATCCTCTCCAAACTCAACATCAACAACCGCGAAGCCGCCGAAGGCTCGCTGCGCAACCGCTCCGAAGATACGCTCTCACTCGCCCGTGCAGTCGGCATGTCCGCGGAAACGGAGAATTACCGGACTCCTGTACGGCGGGTTGAGTTGAAGTTGGGGCCTACTCTTGGTCGTCAGGTGCATGTTGAGCCGGAGAAGGGTACCGATTTGGCGAGTGCGCTGCGGATATTGCACTTCAGCTGTAACGCGAATAAAGTCAGAAACCAGGCCCTTGGCCAGAAGTTCCATATCAGACGGGGCCAGGTGAGGAAGAACTTGAGGATCCATAGGTGGAGGAAGTTATTCAACTTCTCGTTCAATAAGACGGTTTCTCGGATTGAGAAGATGAGGGCACAGGGGTGGTAATTAGTTCCTCGGTCTTAATGGGGTGTCACCATGGTTTGGATGGGTGTGTATACAAAATGGAATTTTGTCCTGATCGACGTCGAAAGGCGATCGCACGCTATCATACTCACCTGAAGCGGATGTCCTTTCTGTCATGTATACTACGTCACTTGATTAGTACTTGGAGTTAGCTGGCTACAATCAGAATGGGATCTATATCCAGTTACTGTCTGCACTAAATACCTCTCTAGAACTAGCAGTCTAATCCTTCTTTCCAGCCGTGAATCCACCATACCCATATCCATACCCTCCTCCGTTGCTCGCCATTGAGACGTTGTTGGCGGAGTAACCTCCATACCCGTTGGCCTTGCCACCATTACCATATGAGATTCCAACTGATCCCTTTCCTCGAGACGGAACACCGAGGATCCCGTCACTTCGCCAGCCCCGTCGCCGAGCCCGCTCCCAAAACAAGGCCACGGCTGCCCCCAACGACGCAGCTAGGGCGAAGAAAAACAGCTTCGAGAAGAAACCCGCTCCTCCAGAAGACTCGCTGGCAGCGGACCCTCTAGATGGCCATCCGATGCCGCCTCCACCCTCAACCCAGCTCACGTGGAATGTAAAGGTGAGAGGCTGCCCACGGATAACCTTTGTGCCATGTCCGGCGGTCCAGGGCTCACGGGCAGCTTCGGCAACAGCAGCTGCCTCCTTCTCTTCATCGGATGATTTCTTCCCGCTATTGAGAAAGGACACTTCAAACTCAGGGACTGAGTATGCAGTACCGGCCACAATATACCCGGGCGCCACTTTCTTCGACTTCCGCTTGTTCTTCTTCGGTGTCGACACGATGTTATGTAATAACACGTTCATGTCCGTCCAGATGTGGAGATGGCTGCGCTGTAACGTCCCCTGCAGCGCGAACGTAATTGGAGTATAGGGGGGCCCTTCCTCGCTCAGCGTAGACAGCTGGGTGCCGGCGGCGTCTCCTTCACGTGCACTGTCATCCCGGCGAAGGGTCGCAGACGGGAGGAGAGGTGCCGTGGGCACACGGCAGCTCATGGGCACATCGGAATGGACGTAATACTCAAGAAGGTGGTAGAGCTCATCGGGGACGGAATTGATAGTGCAATTGACAGTCTCTGTGACACCGTAGCGGAGGGCGAGGGGGAAGGAGCTCTCCTTGCAGGTTGGGAATGGAATGTATTGGAGTTTGCCGAGACTGTCAGTGATCTGAAGGAAATCGCGTTAGTTCCAGATTATGGGCTAGCCCAACAGCCGAAAGCTTGAATACGGCATAAATGTATGGGCATCTGATCAATAAGGGTGGGGAGGTATTACATGTTCTCCGGAGTCACTGAAAACGGGGTAAGCATTAGCATCTATCGAAAAGTCATATCACAAACAAACAAAGGATCTTGCTCCACACAATTCTCAGGAATCCTTCTTATTACTTGATTACTCACATTGTCCGATTCAAGCATGTCACCGGCATGGGCTGTCCATAATTATACCCACCTGGAGAGGTGCTAGCCGAGTCACCTCCGGCAGCAACCTGCACCGCAAAAGACGAAATCAATCCATAATAGGAGATCGTATTGAACAATTGAACAAGTCCACTCTTTACGAATGGCATGTTAAATACTCACAGCCGCCAGCCAGGCGGATGGGCTCGCTTTTTAGCGTCAGGTAGGAGTTGGACAAGACAGAAGAGACACGGTGGCGAGCCGCCCAAAGAAAACTAAGGCCGAGTTTGGCTAATCCTGCCAACTTTGGAAAGGCAAGTTCCATCTCCCTTTCCCCTCTATTCTCTATATAACACCTATCTTGTTTACACTGGCTTGGATAAAGAACAAAATTTATGGGGAAAAAAAAATTACTACGCATATCTCATTGAATGCGATGCTACTTATTAACAGAAAGATCACTCTTCATGTCCTCATCAAAGTATGTAGATAATTATACTCCTTTTTGTTGGCTCACCTTATGACAGGCTTAAGCCAGGTTGGCCTTCTGCTTGAAGGCAAGCAGCAGGCCACTGGTTGAAGCATCGTGACCAGCGCCAGCGCCAGAGGTCTCCAACTCCTGCTGGATCTTCTTGGCAAGAACCTTGCCCAGTTCCACACCCCACTGGTCGAAGGAGTTGATGTTCCAGACGGCACCCTCGGTGAAGGTGAGGTGCTCGTAGTACGCGATCAAAGCTCCGAGGGTGGAGGGGGTGATCTTCTGGGCCAGAATGGAAGTAGTGGGGCGGTTTCCAAGGAAGGTCTTGTGAGGGACCAAGTTGTCGGGGGCACCCTCGGTCTTGACCTGCTCGGGGGTCTTGCCGACCATCAAGGCCTCAGACTGAGCAAGGAAATTGGATGCGAGCATGCGCTGGTGCTTGCCGCCCTCGACGGGGTTGTGCGACTCAGCAGCCATGATGAAATCCGAGGGGATGAGCTTGGTACCCTGGTGGAGCAACTGGAAGAAGCTGTGCTGGGCGTTGGTGGCAGGTTCGCCGAATAAAATGGGGCCAGTAGTGTACTTGACGTAGTCACCAGAACGGGTGATGGCCTTGCCGTTACTCTCCATGGAGAGCTGCTGCAGATAGGCGGGGAATCGGTGCAGGTACTGGTCGAAAGGTGCAACCAGGTGGGTCTGAGCACCGAAGAAGTCACTGTACCAGACGCTCAGCAGACCACCAAGGGCGGGGATGTTCTGCTCCAAGGGGGTTTCGCGGAAGTGCTTGTCCATGGCTTGGGCACCAGCCAAGAACTGGCGGAAGTTCTCATAGCCGATGTAGAGGGCAACGGAGAGACCGATAGCACTCCAGACGGAGTAACGACCACCCACCCAGGATTCGAAACCGAACATGTTCTTTTTGTCAATGCCAAACTTGGTGACCTCTGCCTCGTTGGTGGAGAGAGCAACGAAGTGCTTGGCGATATGAGATTCATCCTTGGCAGTTTCGAGGAACCATTTCTTGGCGCTGTTCGCGTTGGTGGTAGTCTCTGCGGTAGTGAAGGTCTTGGAAGCGATCAGGAAGAGTGTAGTCTCGGGGTTAGAGTCCTTGAGAGCCTCGGCAATGTGAGTTCCATCAATGTTGGAGACAAAGTGCAACTTCATGTCTGGGGCGCCGTAGGGCTTCAGAGCCTCAGTGACCATGACCGGACCACTAAACAAGTTGTTAGTACCGCCGAAGCAGACTACTCGAGACGCCGAAGCTTCAACGCAACATGGGTGATGTGAACTTACAGATCAGAACCACCAATACCAATGTTGATTACGGTGTCAATCTTCTTGCCAGTATAACCCTTCCACTCGCCGCTTCTGACTTGCTCAGAGAATTCCTTCATGTGCTCCAGGACGGAGTTCACTCCCTCGACAACGCTCTGGCCATCAACCTGCATGGGCTCGCTGGAGACATTGCGGAGAGCAGCGTGGTAGACAGCACGGTCCTCGGTGAAGTTGATGTGCTCACCCTTGAACATAGCATCGCGGAGCTCCTCCACATTAGCCTCCTTGGCCAGCTTGACCAGAAGGGAGAGGGTCTCCTCGGTGAGGAAGTTTTTAGAGAAGTCGAAGAGGATCTCCGAGTTGTCCACGGTGTTCTTGAAGGTGCGGCTGAACTTCTCGAAGCGCTGGGGGTCCTTCTCGAAGGCCTCCTTCAGGACAATGTTACGGCCCACGGAGTTGTGGTGCTCCTGGAGCTCCTTCCAGGCGGGGAGATCGGTAGCCTGCGAAAAACCTGGCATCGTGATGGCTTTTGCTTCTTGAAAATCTATAGCAGAGGTCGGTGATGTCAGTGCGGGGAAGCTCTCAACAGCCAAAAAATCGAGAAAGGAGAGGACAAGAGTGCTGTCTGAGAAGACCTTACCTGGATATTATAAGATAAAGGCACCAAGACGAAGGGAAAGATGGCTGGGAGAGAAACGGAGGGAAAAAAGACAGCGGGAGTTGCGGAGGGGCAGATGACGCTACAGAAGTGGGCAGACAAACAATGGCCTGAATCATATGGCGTCAACCGGTGTGCTGGGGTCCGGCTTTTGGAGGGGCTGCGGGGCCCTCGAGAGAAAATGGAAGAAAGCAAGTCACCTATCCGATTTACTTTACTCAGTACTTACCAAGGAACCCACGACCTGTCTAGACTACTAATCCTTTGTCAGGGCTTATGTGCTTTTTGACAATTATTAATAATGATATGATAGTCATGACGATCGACCAAAAGAAAAAGAGGAAACTATCAACAACTCTGGAGCTCTGGACCCCGTGGCACTACTGAGTTCGATTGTACGTTTTTGACAGCTAATCGTCATAGTGTCTCACCCTTTCTATAACTATTTTTTTTATCTTCTTTTTTTTCGCAACCTCCCGCGATCGGGTAAATTGCCTTTTCCTTTCTTAAAGGTACTCGGAAATCATTGACCGGTAATTAAATCCAGCATGGAAACTCTATCGATCTACGTCTTGATTGAGTTTCTCCGTCCACCGGGTAATTTATTGCTATGAAAATCGACGGGATCGAGACTCATCCTTTCCCCTTTCAGAATGCTTCTAGAAACTGCAGGAATCAAGCCATACGAATGAATACCTGTATAGATACCTTTTAATGTATTGGGAGCCTTAGAACAGTGGAAATCAACATAGCTAGTCACTCCAAACAATTATAGGCTCATTCTCTCCTTCCTGTACCCATCTCCACTCCACTTTGTAACTCTATCCCGGAGAACAAATACTTGCAAATTCGAATAGAACCAAAAACCAGTGTCGACACAACGAAACTTCTTTCTGCAGGCATTTCAATTGCAAACACACAATTACCACTTTCAGAAACAAAGAAATAGTGAATTTATGGAAGATAATCACATCCGTCTCTCTCCATATGTGTTAGAAAAGGCAAGGAAAATAGGGTTATCAAGTCCTAGCTCTGAATAGACACTTAACTTCGGTCCGGAAGCGGCCACCACAGAGCCACTCAAGAGGGTTGGAATTAGTACTCAACAGTGGCATATAAGGAGTATGGTCTGAGGCACATGAAGGCAACAATGCAGTCAAGGATTGATGTTATAGATAGCTGTGCGGAGTTACTTTCTGACGAAAGAACATAGGGCTAAAATCCCTACAATGATTGAATTCCTTGCTCTAGAAAGCATAAATAGGACGGCAGAGCTCTGATATGGAAACAGATGACACTTTCCGGTACATAACCGGTCGGACTCAAACGTATGTCAAATGAATCTAATTTATACAACTCTGCAGCGTATATACACTAAGACTTAGACCCCCTTCTCATATATATATTTCTAAATATCGTGCTACACTGTCAAGGGAACTGAATCGCAGGACACCTACCCGCTAGCCGTATATGGGTAAGGGTTTCTAAGGTCATGTCTACTTGTTTCCATTTTGGATTTGATTGGCCATATAACGCGCCCGGAGAACATATCGACTTACCAGAGAGGTTAGAAGTTATAACAATAACACAACAACCAGCCGTGTTTCTCTCATTTCCATCACTAAAGAAGTGCGAGTTTCAATCAGCTTATTGTGAGTATGTTACTTGGGATCCAATAGCAATTAATACCGGCTTCTAGGCAGTCCTCTTTGCTCTCGATATATTCCTGCCCGTGGAAGACAGCTAACATCCACGAGGCTGAAAACTCGAAGAACACCTTCGAGAAAATATATTCCCTTGTGCACTACATCTGCTGGCCATTTAACCCGATGATCGCAGTGTGTCCATGTGCCACGAAATTTCGACGCAAGCCGGGCTTGGGCGCTTGTACTTTCCAAGTCTAGTTGGTGGACGATAGGTTACCTGTCAGGGTCCAATTTCAAGCCGAAGCGATCCAGAGATAGCATAATGGAAGGCGAAGGACATCCAGCTTTGCCAGTCCTCCATAAGCAGTGGCCACACTGCTAGAGTCATCAATACGCCAACGGCTGTGACGGGTTTTATATTGCTGTCCGACTCCTCAAGCTTGCTCCATGGCTCTTTACGTTTCTTGTCAAGTTTCGGGGGAAACAACTTTTGGTTTTGCTACTGAATTTTATGAGACAGACTTGGAATTATCCCCAAACTACGGCGCTGAGTGCGACAGCATACTTATGCTATCTCGTTATTCAAGAGCGAGATCCTGGGCGCATTATGGCTGCCTTTCTGAAATCTCAAGGGATCTTGATAACCTATGCCAATCCGACTGAGACCAAGTTGATGTGTTGTCTGATGCTATATATTTGTTGCAAGCTTCTGCCGCAGGGTTTTGTTGTTATACCCCCTTGAATCGGGCTGGCGACAGTGAAACCTTACAGTCTACATACATAACACTCGGAATATCATGTTTTCCACTTGATTATAGGTATCATCTTAGGCATCATCCTATTCCTTCAGTTCAAATGTGACAAGATGTAAAATTTGATCCTAGATTTCTGCATCGTAAATTTCATTTTTACTTGCTAACACTTTCAATACTCATTACTATAAACAACACCATCCCGAGGAAGACCTATAGACTACCACTCTCCAGTCCGCACCATCACGATGACGTTCCCAACCAACGCTACTGTGCCACTCACGTCAATTTCATGCTATGCTGAATGCCGTTCTAGCGCGTCACAGCCATGTACCGACTCAAACTCAAAGCCTTCAGGTGCCTTTGGATGATGCGCATCGGACGACATCGCGTTCCACAGACGAATGCCACCAGTGGCGACGGTCTGACATCAAGTAGCCTGGGGAAGGAGGTATAAGAATTACAAGTTCTTCGCGCAATTTTTTCCTTTCTATTCCGACATTTGCAATTCTACTGTACACCGTTAAAAGACAATTAGTTTTCGGGGAGTTTCCTGGCAGATAGCTACCACAATGTCTTCCGCCGAAGATCGGGTCAACGCGATGCGTGGCTACAAGGCGTCAGTACCCTTACCGGTCAAGTATCTGAGAGTACCGACAAAGCTAACATGGATATACTACAGCACCCTCAACAATCCTAGAGTCTCCGATGAGGCGAAGCAGAACGCTCAATCGATGCTTGATCAGCTGGGCGGTGATCAACCAAGCGAGGACCTATACAGCGCGAGAGGTGATCAGAACAAGGACCCGATGAGAGTCAATGCTGGACTTAAAGCGTGAGTATAATTTCCAGTGGATAATCAATCTCTTGAGTGGAGTAGACATGTTGATGTTGACTCATGTCTAGTGCTGCACATAACCCTAATATTTCAGACCAGGGCAGACGTAGTGCCGCCGATAGGGTTGGTGAGAATCCGGAAGAGTAAAATGGGTGCTTTGCGAATGTTGATGTTTTTATTATCATGTCATGGGTAAATGAGAATAGTAATTGATGATCCTGTGTTATAGCTGGGGGAACATGGTACTCCTCGCGACCTTCGACATAAAAACTTCTGCTGTCTTCTTAACTCAGCAAATTAGAAAGAATATTAATGACTCGTAGACCAATTTGTTATATGTTTTGCTTTTTCCTTCTCGTTTTATAAGAATCAATAGACTTTTAATCAAAGATTTCAAATAATCGCTTTACTGATATTGTGCACTGAAGTGTCCAGGAGGTGCCTCTGTTCAAGACCCCAACTCTGTAGAACCCTAGAGAAACAAGTTGAATATGATATCCACAACCTCTATATCATAATATAATTATGTGCTCATCGCAACAGGAACCTTTTGAAGAGTGGACCCATGAGGTAATCGTGATGAACCCTAAACCACATCGCCTCCACAGTAGAACATCAATATGATCGAGTAGAACCAAGATCGTCAATGCTTAAACCAAATCTAGAACACATAGATATCCTTAAAATAGAGGTTAATACTCTTACAAGCCAACAACAACAGGCTCTCCTCGTCCTAGGTCACATCTGCGTAAGAGGCGGACGCCACATCGAGCCACTGGTTGAACATAAACATGTAGACAGTATACCTCATGATGAAATCATGTAACAGTCCATCATACAATATAAATCTGATAGAACCCCCCCCCCCTTTCACTCAGGATAAAACAAAGTCAATTAAACTCTTAAGCTATACTCCTCATCAGAACTTAAATACCACACAGCAGCAAAAATGGCCCACAATCAGAACCCCGGCAACTTCGCCAACCGCCCTCACGAAGAGGTTGAGAATATCGCTAGCAAGGGAGGCCAGTCCAGCCATCAGGGTGGTTTCGCCAGCATGGATGAAGCCAAACAGGTATGTGCATATTCTACATAATATCAGAGTTTGTGACCGAAGCGACCGCCCTAACCTTTCCCTGCAGAGGGATATCGCCTCCATGGGTGGCCAGGCCTCGACAGGCAGTTTCCGTCCTGGAGACCCCAGAGCTAGAGAGGCGGGACACAAGGGTGGGCTTGCATCGGGTGGGAGCTTTGAGCCTGGAGATGAAAGAGCCAAGGAAGCTGGTCACAAGGGTGGAAAGGCTACTGGACACCCGGAGGAATAATGGCATGATATGCTCATGAGTTGAAGATCGAGACTTGTATGATAACGACGATACCGTCTATGTGTGTCCGATGGACGTATAATATGTGACTATTGAATGAATGAATTGTCTTCGATAATATTTTATCTTGGTCGCATGTATAACTTTTGTTGCTGGTGTTCGTGTAGTTGCAGATTTTCGACGTCATTAATTGGTTGGTAGGCCATTGCTGTTTGGTGCCTTTACCTTCCCTTTTAGGATCCATATAGTCCTATTTTCCCCTTAGAATGTTATCTAAATGTGCCTAGGTTCATGAATAAGCCTGCAGAAGTATGTATGTGGATCTGTAGAGCGTGGGAGTTCTTTATTTAGACATATATGTACTGGAGAGTCGAGTATGACCGGATGAGAACTTCAAGAGACAGTCATAACCTAATTTCACCACTAAATAGAGTTTACAGTATAAGTCAAGTTTTAGAATAAAGCAAGAGCCCAGCAAGTACTAGACAGAGTCCATCCTTTTTTCCATTCCCTTTTCATGTCAATCTACTGGAGTACGAGGGAAGTAGGGCTTGGGCGCCAAGAGGGAGTACGCACGGGCCATCCGAACTTTGATCATGTCGGTCGAAGTGTCGCGATCTCCTCCAAACCAATTCCAAAGTCTCTCCCAGATCGAGGTGTGTTCGTGATAGCGGTTGTGTCTTTTCTTCGTGGATGCTACTTTATAATCAATTCAATCTGAACTGATCTATCCCCCCCCCGACACTCACATCGTCGACTTACCCTTGAAGCTTCCTAATTTTTCTCGAGCCGACCTCCAACCACTGCACTCGAGCTGCGAATCCGTCGCAATGTACAATCCCTACCAAGGTACGCAGAGTACACCCCCAGGCAACAACTTTACACTCCTCCAGTCTATATAGAGATTCCTAACACACCCCTAAAGCTCCAGGTCTATATGGACGGCCTCCTGATTACGGAGCCTACGGAGCTCCTCCCGGCATGGGTAAGTGCCACCCAACCCCCAACAGTGGGCTACTTCTGTCTGGTATCATCCTAATGTTCACTTCACAGCTCCTCCCCCCGGAATGTCCGCCCCCGGAACTACTCCGCCGCCTGGGATGCAGCAAGCGAATGCCCAACAGCCAGGCCGACCAGCCGGCTTCCCTGCGAACTTCCAACCGCCTCCGAATATGCCTAACATCAATTTCTCGGCCCCAGTGATTCGCCTGGGGACGTCGGGGCCCTCGAAGTCAGCTACGCCGGATACAAGCAAGGAACGCGAAGCCCCGGGACGCCGTGCAGGGCTGGGCTCATCGAATCTAGAATCTCAGCGCCAGAATGTGCGAGATGCGATGATGCAGCTGCAGCCTCCTACCAGGGATGAGATTGTGCGGACTCTGTTTGTTGGGGGTATTACTGAGGGGGTTGGTGGCGACGAAGGCGTTGAGAGGATACTGCGGTCTGCTGGAAATCTTAGGCGCTGGATTCGGGCCACGGATGCGGATGAGAAGCCGTGCAAATTTGGTTTTGCAGAGTATGAAGATCCTGAGAGTTTGGGTACCGCCGTGGAGGTACTACAGGACGTCGAGGTGCCTTTAAAGAGACAGACGCCGTCGGAGGGTGGTGAGAAGGAGGAAGGTGAGATTGAAAAGGGCAAGTTTCTGGTACGTATTGCGCGTGTGGGGGAGCTACGTGTAAATCTAACGTGGTTTAATAGGTCGTTGTTGACGAGAGCACCCTGAAATATTTAGAGCAATACGAGGCTAGCAAAGGCGAAGAGGATCCCGCGGAGCGGCAAAGTCGCATAGACGCTGCACGTTCTACACTCTCTAGCGTTCTCTCTGATTTGTTCCACCCATCATCTCCCACTCAGAAAGAGGCAGTTTCGGCAATTGATCGCGAAGGGGACTCCACAATGAAGGATGCAGAAGGCCAAGACGGTACTTCTGCTGAAGTCGTCACTATCCCGATCACGGTTGAAGATGAGCTGTCCGATATCCCTCCGGAAATGAGGGAAACGGTCGCCAAGGAGATTGCAGCCTTCCGTGAGAGAAGCAATCGTAGAGATATTGAGCGTTTGAGGAGAGAAGAGGAGATTGAAACCATGGAAAGAGCGCGGAACTCGGGTTCTCGTATCAATCGACTGGCTTCCCCTCCACCTTCAGCCCCAAGCGGACCTGCTGCCGGTGCAAACGGGATTCCTCTTGGCCCTCGGGACCGCAGCATGCCGAATGCGCCATCCGGTCCGAAGGGATTTGGTGTACAGATTCCGAAGGATTATCAGAAGGGGGTGTCGTTTGTTAACGGAAGCTCTGTAAATGGCTTTAATCGTGAAGATGAAGAATCAGATGCGAGCGATGAGGAGCTGGAACGTCGCCGCCAAGAAAAGAAGGATGCAGAACTTGAGAAGCAATTCCTCGACCAAGAACGCCGCTGGCTCAATCGGGAGCGGAGCAGAACTGCAGCTTTGGAGCGAGAGAAGAAGCGGGATAAGGAAGAGGAAGCCAAATTACAAGAAGTACGCGAGGAGGCGGACAGGCAACTTGCGGAGTGGAACGATGATACAGAGGCTAGCCGTAAAGCTCATGACTACTACGCTGATAGAGGAGCGTGGCTACGCAGCCGTGCAGCTTTCCGAGCACGTGAGGTCAGTATGGACGAGGCCGACCGTGCAGCCGAAGAGCGTGAGCGGGCTCGCTCTGTTCAACAACGGGAACAGGCACGTGGTATGGCAGACGACTTCCTTGCCCGCCAGGCAGAGGAGCTGGAGACCCGGACCCAGGCCCCTAGAGAGCCTCAGCGCTTCAAGCTCTCCCTTGGAGCTGCGGCACAGAAGGCTCAGGCTGCAACCAGCCGCCGGACCGTTGCCGAAGTCGAAGGTCTGCTGGAAGACGAAGAAGAACCGGAAGCAACTGCAAGACGCCCACTCATTCCGATAAAGTTCGATAGCGCTGCGGAGGCTGCTGGACTCAGCGAGGAGGAACGTGCCCAAGCTGCCCGACAACTGGCGGCAGAAATTCCCACCGAAAAAGAAGGATTATGGAAGTGGGAAGTCAAGTGGGAGTTCGTGGACGAGAACGTGGTCAGCGAACAGCTCAAGCCATTCGTGGAGAAGAAGATTGTTGAGTATCTCGGTGTCCAGGAGCAGATGCTGGTGGATGTGGTGGAAGAGCATGTTCGAAAGCATGGAAATCCCCAGGAACTGGTGGAACAGCTAGAGGAGGTGAGTATCCCTACTGCAGCTTTGCTTAGGTCACAAGATTGGATCATGTCTAACTTTGGCTTTTTAGGCTCTCGACGAGGAGGCAGAGGTTCTAGTCCGCAAACTTTGGCGAATGATCATCTTCTTCTCCGAAAGCGAGAAGAGAGGTCTCTCGGGATAAAAAATGGCTGGAGGCTGGTCGACGCCCAGATCAGAGCGACTCAATCAAGACTTAGGAGAATAGCACTCCTGGTTCACGATACAACCATGCATTATTACTTGAAAGCTCTTAACACTTAAATTGATATCCGCCTCTCGGAGGCACAAATTACATTGCATTATGTATAAGGAACAGTCCTCCAGCTTGTTTGTCGCTAGCGAATGTAAACATAGGTAGAGACAACCAGGACTCCTACGTAGCGAACGAAGTATATCTTCACTTGAACGTATAGTAATCTATCTATAGCCGATCGAAATGTAGGAACGGAGATCTGCCGCCGTCTCGGCGTTTACTAAACCATTTTCTCTTCAGGAACACGGAGGCAGTCCGACTGTCGGATCGCTCCATCTGAGTGGTGGAAAAACCCATCCCATGGAATGGATGGATTCTTCCACCAATGATATTGCATTCCCCACACCATCGGGATAAATTGACCGGCGCAATCCAATGTATGTCACTCTCTCTAGCCTGGAGGGAGGAGGGGTGACGCTCTTATATCTTGCGCCGTTTACCCCCTCCGTGACTAGAGTTTTACTCTGTGATTATTTCCTAGCTTGTGGACGAGACGCGGTTCTGCTTCACCAACACTTAGTTGCTTTGCATCTCTATATCGGCGTTGTATCTCTATTTCATACATTGCGTTGCGTGACATCCCCGCACTCTTTAAGAAAAGCAATTGCAATTCTTCCGTCTATAAATACGACAAGAACATTGCTCTATTTCCCCCGAAGTAACCTAGTTACCTTTATTTCTCTCCCTTTATGATAAAAGATACCCTACACAATGGTGAAGATCACAGGCTTTACTACCCGGGATGTGCGGTTTCCGGTAAGTCAAAGACTGTCAATGCATGCGATGCGACTACCCTTCAATAACTGACTTAGTGTACAGACATCTTTGGATAAGACTGGCTCCGATGCCATGAATGCAGCGGGTGACTACTCCGCAGCATACTGTATCATCTATACTGACTCCCCACATGCTGGACATGGCATGGTAAGTACATTGTGCACGAGCACTTCTGTACCCCAGGCATCTCTATCGATAAGAACATCACTGACATCTTACACCAATAGACCTTCACTATCGGCCGTGGAAACGAGATCGTCTGCGCCGCCATCTCCCTTCTCGCCCCACTCGTTGTTGGAAAAGACCTGGACGATCTTACAGCCAATTGGGGCAAGACATGGCGGCACCTGGTATCCGACAGCCAGCTGCGCTGGATTGGTCCCGAGAAGGGTGTCATTCATCTCGCCCTCGGAGCAGTTGTCAATGCGCTCTGGGACTTGTGGGCCAAGACGCTCGGCAAGCCTGTCTGGAGGATCGTGGCGGACATGACACCCGAGGAGTTCGTCAGCTGCATCGATTTTCGGTATATTACTGACGCGATCACGCCCGAAGAGGCAATTGCTTTGCTTAAGGAGGTAGAGAGTGGTAAGCAGGAGCGTATCAGGGAGGCGGAGCAGAGCCAGGCTGTGCCTGCTTATACTACTAGTGCTGGATGGCTTGGCTATGGTGAGGATAAGCTGAAGGCTCTTTTGTATGAGAGCGTTCAGCAGGGGTACAAGCACTTCAAGTTGAAGGTCGGGGGTAACGTTGAGGAAGACAAGAGGAGGTTGCGGATTGCTCGCGAGGCTATTGGTTACGACAAGGGTAACATTCTGATGGTGGATGCTAACCAGGTGGGTGGACATTGTTGCTATATCCCCAACCTCATTTGTACTAGTACAGTCCTAACATCAAAGAACAGGTTTGGTCCGTACCTGAGGCTATCACCTGGATGCAGGAGCTCGCTGAGTTCAAGCCCTGGTTTATTGAAGAGCCCACCTCCCCCGACGATATTCTCGGCCACGCCGCGATTAAGAAGGCCCTCGAGAATACCCCCTACGGCCCGATTGGTGTCGCTACCGGAGAGATGTGCCAGAACCGTGTTATCTTCAAGCAGCTTCTGCAGGCAGGAGCCTTGACCGTTCTCCAGGCTGATGCTTGCCGTGTCGGCGGTGTTAACGAAGTCCTCGCTATCCTCCTGCTTGCTCGCAAGTTCGGTGTCCCTATCGTCCCACACTCGGGAGGTGTTGGGTTGCCTGAGTATACCCAGCATCTCAGTACTATCGACTATGTCGTTGTCAGTGGTAAGAAGAGCGTGCTCGAGTATGTGGACCATCTGCACGAGCACTTTGTGCACCCCTCTAGCGTTAAGGATGGTTACTATGTCACTCCTATGGAGCCCGGATATAGCGTGGAGATGAAGCCGGAGAGTATGGATGCCTATGCTTTCCCGGGTGAGGAGGGTAAGAGTTGGTGGAAGACGAAGGAGGCCAAGACAATTCTGGAGGGCCCTAGGATATGATTAGACCAAAGCTTGATGTATATTTCATGTGTCTCATGTTAATAATTATGTAACGAAAATAGCCGTTGCTATGTTAGCCCTTCTATGAAAATTGTTCCATGTTATGTGGTTCTATGATATTCTGTAGAATGCTATATAGATACATGCCCACTCACGGGATTTGTATAGTACAATGTGGGAGCCAGTGCAGCATTTGGACGCAAACGCGGATCACCCAAAAGGTAATGATTTCCGTTTTACATAAGCTTGAAGCTATCCTGTCAAACCTGAAAGCCATCAGAAAATGACAAGATGGCGGCTAGCCATGCCGATTATTGTACCCATGCCGATTATTGTACATCGATAGGACATGGGCTTTCCAATCTCGGCCAACTAGTGGGGAGAAAGGAAGCTGATAGTAGAGACTATGTCAAGGCTACCTAGCGGAGTAAAGGGTCATAATCTGATAAGGGCGGGCTCTATCGCCACTGAATGCCAAATATCTTCAACGCTTGCCCAACTCCAGGCTTCTCGCGAGCTTGCTCAAGGATAATACGAGAGTGGCCTGCATTAGAGTATTAGCTCGTATTGTATACGTTTGAAGTTCAGGTGATACTAACCCTTTACATCCAATGCAAGAAGCTGGTACTCCCACTCGTTTTTGTCAAGTGGCTTAATCATATGGACGTGTACAACTCCTTGGTTACGTGGTCCTTCAACCTGTGCACTGACGGTTAGCTATGAGTATATTTACAGAGAAAGGATGGAACGCACATGGAAGTTCATCCGCAAATGTTCCCGACCCAAACGGTCTTTTTCGATAGTGGTTCTTATCATCAGTCAGCGTCAAGATGCAGCATAAACCATGAAAATCTAGGGCACCCACGCAATCGGACGATTCCGCGCCCATTTATTCCAAGTACTTTCTCCATATGACTTAATTTCCCTTCGGTCTCCCAGAAGGTCCGTACACCGACTATCGCTCAAGATGCGTTCAACTGCCTTTTCGTACTGCCAAGTCCGGCTATTCGGGGAGAAAACCTCTGTGTAAAGTAAATAGAACACGCCACCCTAGTCACAAATTAGCCTCTATACCCAACACGCATTAAGTACCGTCGATCGGCAACAAGTCGCTCATCCAGGTCGCACTAACCGTCAAAACTGCACCAGCTATTATCACCACGAAATTCAACGACTGCTGCGTAGCGCGCGCAACTTTCTCCCGGCCCGTCAGTTCGCCCCACTCGTATCGCCCATCATCGGAAAGCACGGTTATGTTCCTCCGCCTTGGGGTCGAACCTGGCCCGGATCCTCGACCGAGATCACTCTGAGTTGCGTAGCATCGCACCAACTCGACCGTGCGGGGAAATCCAGGGCGCAATAGAAGGGCAGACGGTGCCCGGGATAAAGACTGTATGGGTCGGAGGTATGCACTCATTGTGGTATATGGGACATCACCCGGATTCCCGTCGGATCAGACTGTATCGGATGGCAGTCGTGAGCATGGGAGATGATGCTGAATGATCTCTTCAAACTCCATGCGACTTCGAGCCGTGGTCGGCATGCCTCGAGAACTTGGCTCATGTGGGGAGACGGGTGGGTCACGTGGATGTCTTCTACTTTTGTGAAAATTTCCGGAAAGGGTCTCAATAGGGATGTAATTGCAATACAGCTGGTGAAAGATAATGAGAAGATTCCCATGTTGATTATTGTGTTCGATACCATCGTTGGGTGTTAAGGTACCAATTGTGGATTTGATCAAGAGAATTACAGGGAAATACTCATCGTTTCATTGTTTCCGATCTCATCTTTGCCCCCTTTTCCTGTATATGCCCAAGAGGAAACTTTAAAGTTACAGTAATTTGTAACTTCCGGCCGGGAGACCAAAACGATTTCCGACCACGTTCGCTCTCCCGATTGCATTTTGGATCTCTCTTCCTCCTCCCTGACTTCCTAGACTGCCTTTGTTACGACTTCACATAGGACCGGTCCTGCCCTTCCCGTCTCACAATGAGTGCCAGCAAGGCGCAGTCTCAAAAAATCTTTGAGAAACTCAAATTAAAGCCCGCAAACAAGGTGCGCGCAACCCCTCTCCCCTCGTCTAGAAATTGACCGAGGACGCTGACCTTGTGCTTCATAGATATGTTTTGATTGCGGCTCGAAGAATCCGACATGGTCATCGGTGCCATTCGGTATCTACCTCTGTCTCGACTGTTCGGCCAACCACCGTAACCTGGGTGTCCACATCTCCTTCGTTCGCTCCACAAACCTCGACCGTATGCACCACCGTTTCCCCCTAAGACATGTGTCTTGAGATCGGTACTAATCCAGGCGTGCAGAATGGCAATGGGAGCAACTTCGACTTATGAAGGTTGGTGGAAATGAGTCCGCCACCAAGTATTTCCAATCGCACGGAGGCTCCGCCGCCCTGGCCAGTAAGGACGTGAAGGGCAAGTATACCTCCAACGCTGCCGTGAAGTACAAGGAAGAGTTGAAGAAGCGGGCTGCGCAGGACGCTCAGCAGTGAGTTTAATATAGACGATACATATCATTCCACTGCTAGACCGCTTACCCTACCCTTCGCAGATACCCTGGTGAAGTTGAGATCACAGACGTTCCCGCTGGCACTTCGTCGAACGGTTCCAGCACCCCTGCTGGTGATGCTGAGGATGATTTCTTTTCCTCCTGGGATAAGCCCTCGATCAAGCGCCCAAGTAACCCCCCGTCACGCACAGGCACTCCCCCAGTCGTCAGTCGCAATGCGTCTCCGTTCCTGAACGCTGGCGCAAACGGAAACGGCTCGCGCTCCAAGTCTCCTCTTTCGGGCTCCGACAAGGAAAGTTCCCCTGCCCCGGCTGCTATCAGGGCTAGCGCTACTGCCCGGAAGACTACGACGACTAGCACTGCAAAGAAAGGCAGTGTGCTGGGTGCTAAGAAGGCGCCAAAGCTGGGAGCGAAGAAGATTGGTGGAGCTGAGCTCATCGATTTCGACGAGGCAGAGAGGAAAGCTAAGGAAGAAGCCGAGCGCATTGAGAAGCTTGGATATGATCCCGAGGCTGAACAGGCCGAGGCCGACGCCAAGGCCAAGAGCACGATTACAGGAGCTACACCTATTGCTGCCCCTACGCCGATTAGCCCCAGCAGGGCTAGGAACTCCCACGAACGCAATTCCAGCGATGTAGAGCGCTTGGGAATGGGTATGGGTAGGCTAGGATTCGGCCAGACCGTTAGTTCCAAGCCTGCTGCGCCGAAGAAGCTAGGCTTTGGCTCTGTTGGCCCTACCCGCACAGCTGCCGATGGTGGGTTCATTCTTATCATCACTTTCCCGACAGCAATTGCTAATGAATGACACAGAGGAGGAACTCACCCAGACCAAGTCTAGATTTGGTGCCCAGAAAGGTATCTCGTCCGATGAGTTCTTCGGCCGTGAAAGATTTGATCCCGCGGCACAGGCGGAGGCCAAGGAGCGCCTCAGACAATTCGACGGTGCCACCTCTATTTCTAGCAACTCTTACTTTGGCCGACCTGAAGACGATCTCCCTGCTGGAGACGATACATACGGAGACCTAGAAAACGCGGCAAAGGACTTTGTCCGTCGATTTGGCATGACCGCAGGAGACGACCTCGAGAATCTTACGCAGCTCGTCGGAGACGGTGCAGTCAAACTGCAAGGTCAGTCATTGCTCCTCCCCTGGTTGCCAATCTCCTACTAACTATTAAGCCTAGGCGCTATACGCAACTATCTGAACAGCTAAATTTGTGCGCTCATCGCCCTAAATCGATCCATACCGCGGCAATATTTCTCAATCTTCGCCTTCGAACACCACTACTTTGCCATGATTAGCCAGTACCATTGTCTATTCACCCAGGTGGCGTTTTCATCTCCCTGTCCCTTTAGAAAGATATCCTTATGAACGGAACAATGACCCACGTGAACTTCTGCGGACTAGAAGCTGTGTCTTAGCCTCGCTGGGAAAACGTTCGGCTTGTGCCCCCATCCTATAGTTCGACTGACTAGGCCGGCTTTGCTCTTGTTAATTGTTTTTGATTCTGAGTTAGTTGAAAATTGTTTAAATTGGCATCTTCATTGAATAGTCACTGTGATTTGCTATGATTCCTGTATATCCTTTTCTCATAGGTAGTGTGCAAGGCGTTTTTTTTCCTTAATTAAAACAAAATAATTCATGCCATAGAATGGGCCCTTCCATCTAACGACAATGCCAGCCTTGGGTTATGCACTCTACATAAAGGGTATGAAGTAATTAAGGTTAGGCCATACTATGCAAGGTATACCTAGAAACACATCCTAAACGAGACCAAATATATCTTCAATATAATCAGCGCCACCAAGTATAAACGAGAAAGCTCTATTACTTTTATATATATATCATGCAAGTTGATGATGATAGCTAACCTACAAGAACCCCCAATATTGTTGAAAATATACAAGAGCCAAACCAACAACCACCTTTTACGCATATCCATCACTCAGTCACCCCCCCGATAAATCCCATCCGCAACCCTCGCCACCTGCCACATCTCCCGAACATCATGAACCCGAACAATATCCGCCCCTCCAGCAACACTAGCCGTAACAGTAGCGGCCGTGCCCCAGTTCCGCTCACTAGCCCTTTCAACCCCCGTCAACCGCCCAATAAACCTCTTCCGGCTCGGCCCCATCAACCACGGAAAGCCCTCGAGCCCAGGTACCCCAGTCCGGAACTTCTGCAAGTCCCGCAGGATGGCCAGGTCGTGCGGCTGGTTCTTCGCAAACCCGAGCCCGGGGTCGAGGATCATCCGCCAGCGCCGGATGCCGGCTGCTTCGGCGGCGGAGATGCGTTCAAGGAGTTCGGCGCCGACGTCTTGGATGATGCCGTTGGGGTAGTCGGTTAGCTGGGTCATTGTGGAGGGGGTGCCGCGCATGTGCATGAGGATGACTGTTTTGCCGGTGCGGGCCATTGTGGGGAGCATTTCGGGGTCGAGGAGGCCGGCAGAGACGTCGTTGATTATGTCGGCGCCGGCGGCGCAAGCTTGCTCTGCTACCCGTGCCCGGTAGGTGTCGATGCTTAGAGCGATGTTTGCGGCCTCCGGGATGGAGGTGCGGATGTGCTTGATGGCGGGGATTACGCGGGCTAGCTCTTCGGTTTCGCCGACGGGGTGGGAGCCCGGGCGGGTGCTTTCGCCGCCGATGTCGATGATTGTTGCACCGGAGGCGATGAAGTTGCGGACTGTGTTGGTTAGGGCTGTGAGGTCTACTGGGGAGTGTTTGCCGCCATCGGAGAAGGAGTCGGGGGTTAGGTTAAGGATGGCCATTATGTGGGTTTGGCGTTTGGGATCTGTGGAGTGGATGGCGGGGAAAAACTTTGAGATGTAGGTTGTAGGTAGTGGAGTTGGGTCTGGTGGGGGGAGGGATTTGAGATGGGTGAGGTAGGTTGTGTTGTGGCCTGGGAATGGGGGTTCTTCGTGCGGGATGAGTCTGGTGGTTTGTTAGTTTCCTATATGTGATATGTAAGAGGGAGGTCACCTGCGGTACTTACTGGCATAGAGGTCGCAGCACGAAATCCCGTTCTAGCATTAGCTGGTGAGGGATATTGAGGCGGTCATGGGAAAAAATCTGTTTATCGTAGAGGAGGATGTCAAGATCGATGGACCGGGGACCCTTGTCTATCAACTTCTTCCTTCCCAGTCCGATTTCAATCGATTGGAGGGTATCGAGTAGCTCTAGAGGCCCTAAACTGGTTTCCACCTACTCGTTGGGGAGTCAGACAGGATCCGTATAGGCCAAACTATACTAGATGGGATCCGACCTCGCAAACTGCATTCATGAACGGGTCTTGATCGAGGACATACATCGGAGCCGTCTCGAACAGGGAACTCGTTCGTTTGACTCTGATATTCGCTCTCTCCATCTCGGAACATGCATTCTCGATCATATCAACCCGCTCTCCGACATTGCTTCCCAAGGCTATAAAAGCCCGGTGAAGCGGAGGGTTACACGGATTCATTCCGGTGTTGAAAGAATTAATTGAGCTGTTGGAAAAGCTCCGGGCATCTAGAGATCCATGACTGGGATTACCTATATTGACCCGGGACAACGCCCGGTAATCGGTCACTCCGAGATCTAATACGCTGTGCATTAGTTTCTTTGGCTACATCAATCTGATATTAGAAAAAAAAAAACTTGGTACAATGCGATGTTCAATTGAAAAGAGCTTTGGTTGTACGTGGCAGTGACTGTAGGTCGGAGCTGATCACAGAGGACTCTTAAGACAAGCAATTGGGATAACATACTCGTACTAGAGATAGACAGATTTCTATCATGATGTTAGACTAGAGGGATTATCATATATATCACTTAGAAGGAACCTGCCTTGTTGTCGTCCTACAGACCGGCACACAGACCTTTCTGTGTCGCGGGAGCGAAAGTAAGCCAGACGGCCATGACCCAGCGCTTCGAGTGGTTAAGTTTAATAATATAGCATTTGGATGCCAAATTCCAGGCAAGGCCGACCTCATGCTTCTCTGACAGCTCTCCAGACGTTGGAACTCCTGGCCGTTGGATCTAGATTCTAAAGTAGGCTATGATCTGTAAAGTCAAAAAAAGTTCGGAATATACGTCATGGGCGTCCGAGTGGAAATCAGCTGATGCACGACACCTAAGGCATAAACGGATCCAAAAACCCCACCTGGGAGGAGACTTCGGCCCTAATCCCAAAATGTGCCGGATATTATGGGGAAATTAGGTTTAGCTCGGAGTCCCGTGTTCAGGTTGCAACCGAGGCTTGTCATGTTCACGCTTCCTCCTCGGTTCTCCATTTCCCTCCTTCTCCCTATATTTAGCTCTTCTCCAAACTCCCCACATGTTATTGTCTCCGATCTTGTTCATTCCCTCTGTCTTCCTATAATCTGTCACTTTTCATCCTATCATTCTATCTATAACCATGGCTTCTCCTCGTAAGTTCCTGTCGCTTTCGTACACTGCTATCATGTGATTGGAGGCTGTGGAGGCTGTGACTGCGACTAGAAATAATTTGTCGCTAACCGGTGATTTTGACAGAGAAAATCCGTACTACCCTCACTGATCTGCTCAAGATCAACCACCCCGTCCTGCTGGCAGGTATGAACGTGGCCGCCGGTCCCAAGTTGGCCGCAGCGGTCACCAACGCCGGTGGCCTTGGTGTCATTGGTGGTCTCGGCTACACCCCCGAAATGCTCCGCGAACAGATCGCAGAACTCAAGAGCTACTTGATCGACAAGAATGCACCTTTTGGTGTTGATCTTTTGCTTCCACAGGTCGGAGGAAACGCACGAAAGACAAAGTAGGACCCCATAGCCTTACCCCGAAGAGAAGCCGAAATGTTAATCATGTTGCTTTCAGCTATGACTACACTAAGGGAAAGCTTAACGAGCTCATCGACATCATTATTGAGTGCAAAACTTCTTTATTCGTTTCCGCCGTCGGTGTCCCTCCCAAAGCGGTCGTGGACAAACTTCATGGTGCTGGCATTCTGTGCATGAACATGATCGGCCACCCCAAGCATGTTCAGAAGGCTCTTGATGTCGGTGTCGATATCATCTGCGCTCAGGGCGGTGAGGGCGGTGGTCACACTGGCGATGTTCCGACCAGTGTTCTCATCCCTACTGTTGCCAAGCTGTGCCAAGGCAAGAAGAGCCCCTTGACTGGTAAGCCGGTGCAGGTCGTCGCTGCGGGTGGTCTGTACAACGGTAACTCCGTTGCCGCTGCTCTTATGCTTGGTGCCTCTGGTGTCTGGATCGGTACTCGTTTCATCCTGTCTGACGAGGCCGGTGCTCCTGTTGCTCACCAGGAGGCCGTCCGCACTGCCGGATTCGAGGACAATGTTCGCACTATCATCTTCACTGTAAGTTCCTAAGCATACCCCAACCCATAGGTGATTGCTAAACAGGTTTTAGGGTCGTCCACTCCGTGTTCGCACCAACCCCTACATCAAGAACTGGGAGGAAAACCGCCAGGATGAAATCAAGCAGCTGACCTCCAAGGGTATCATCCCCGTGGAGCACGACTTGGAGAACATGCCCGATGACGTTGATGATGAGACCTTGGACAATGCTCGTCCCTACCTGATGGGCAAGGTTGCTGCTGTTGTCACCGAGAAGAAGCCTGCCAAGGCTATTGTCGATGAGATTGTTAACGACGCGGCTGAGCTGTTGCAGTCAGGCTACAAGATGCTCGCTAAACTGTAAATATTATTTCATTGCTAATGGCGCATTTTCGATGTGAGGACGGTCATTCATTCATACGAAGGATGTATATAAATAGTGATGTTCATGACCGCACATATTAGTTAGCGTTCCCTATTCCAGTTATCTTCCAACCTTGACCTCTCTCTTGTCAGAACCACGCATTGTAAACTCAACCCCGGCATCTGCAACTATTTGCGACCACAATACAACAGACCACAGAAGGCTAGAATAATTTCCCTTGGATTAGACATGAGAATCTACTTGACGGATATCTACACACCAAGCAAACATAGACTTCGCCACCTTAAAAGAACCACTCCCAAACCACAAATACATAAACCCGGCCCGCATACGGAAACCATCTCGGCAAACCGCTTCCCTCCCCACCTCCGAAGTAAACCTGACAAGACATAATACACCAAATAATGGATCCATACCAATTCCATAAATAAATAAATCCAGAGGAATCAACGTCCAGCAAAACCGACCGAATGCCGCTGACTCATCGGAAGCAAGCATGAAACCCACAACATTGCCCACTATACTATATAAGTAATTTCCCATCAGAAATTTTGAGTACAATGAAAACACGCAGTATAATATCAGTCTATCTCTTCATTAAAGAAGAAAGTGTATACAATTTACATAACCAAATTACGGTATATTTACCGCTTAATTGGCGCTGGATAACGGCAAAATCTCGCCGGACAGGTGAGGCGCTGGATGTGGGACTTTCGGGGCTTGAGATATTTGCCTGCGGGTGGAGCTTATGGGTCAGGAGGTTGAGTTGATCCACTTGAGGTTCGAACGGGTTAGGCTTTGAGGGTGGTATTTGGTTGCTGGTGGAGATAGTTTCTATGTAGTTGGATTTGTATTTTGTTTGATGTGGTTTGCGGTGGCGTAGGGGAGGAGGTGGCCTACGGGGTGTAGATGCTGGGGAAATGTGAGCTCTAATCTTAAAGGTTGAAGGGGAGGGTGTTGGGGAAGTGCTTGGTTAGGAGTATAGGAGGGTGATTGTGAAATGTGCGTGAATATAAATGCTAGTATATGATTTGAGATCTTAGTAAAGTTGACGCTGGGTGGTTCCCAGTTGTATTCTGCTGCTTGTTGATGGATCGAATGATAGGACAAGGTGTAACCTCGCCGCTATTTGATCCTTTAATAGAAGCCGGACTTAATCTGCCAACCCCAATATGAAATACAAGGTTTGACAACGTATTATTCTCACCGTTCCAATAAGAGACGTATCCTAAAACAGGAAAGGACACATCGAAAGCCAGATAGATGAGTGGCCAAAACGCCCGATGTAACATATGCAGACGTGGCCGACAAGTTGTGTGTCAAGATTTAGATGCATTCAAAGCTTCAGAAAATTGCTACCTAAATGTGCATTCGTCCGTCATTATAATCTGTTTGAATGCTTGGCTTGCTTAATCCGCATAAACATAGATATTCTATTGAGATAAGACCAAGTAGTCAAGATAGTAACTTCCGGTGGACTCGGGAGTATCTACACCACTGAAGGAGATAATGCCAGAATGAGAGACCCTAGCCCGCACAGTATCCAATCATTGTCGAGTATTTTCGCGAATGAAGTCATCCTAAATATTCCTCCAATCTCAACATGCATGGTTAGGGCTGCAGCTGCACCAAGGAGAACCAACTTAAGCTTTGTCTGCTAATAACCGCATGTCTTATCAGAGGCGGCGATTCCCGCACTGCGATTTGCGGCTAGAGAGAGATCGTAAGTTTCCGATGGCGTGGGGTAATTGAGAGATCTGGAGAAGGGATACAGAGATGGTCCCTGAATCAGACTACTAGTGAGTTAGATCATCATCTCCCGGAATGAGGATATGTCTTTATCAGATCAAAGTCCCAACACAAGTCAGCATCTTTGTTATCGCCAAGTAGATATCAAAGTCTTAGATCAAACGAAAATGAGTCTATGGTGTGTAGGGTAATCTAGATTTTCTAGATTATACAGAGTAATGCCCGTATGTTGACAGGCGAGTCACCGTATGTGGGATAATAAGAGTATGATAGGGCTCCGTCGGTGTTGTCCGATCCCCCCAAAAAGAGCCATCGTCAGCAGGGTCTAGCAATATCAGCCTAGTCAAGAGATAAGTATCGATAGTCAGAAGCTTGACCAGCCGTGACGATAACGGTGGGAGAGTCGTATCAATCACTACAGGAAGACCAGGTACCGTGCCTATCAGCAGTCAAGGTCTTATCAAAAAACCATTGCCACTCGGTTCCACTTGGTTTACAACCAATGATGAAGATTCCAGTGGTGCTTGGTGATGTTTAGCCTTGGGAAGAAATTTTCTATCCACCAATGGATTGGTCCGCGATGGAGCTGGTTGAGGCATGATTCGTTGCTGGGATGGTTAGGGCTAGGCACGTGTGGGGCCCCGACGGGCTTCTCGAAACAAGTGAGAAAAATGCTTGACCTTCATTTGGGAAGACACGAGACATCAACGAGCGGAAGTTACGCGGTCGCGGCAATTCTGAGATCTCGTCAGGTCGGGTGGGCCTTTCAAACGATGTGTGGGAAGAATTTGTCCCTAGTCCGAGTCCCCTCCCGACCACATATTTAGTCGTAGGCTGCCCCCATCTATTGACGCAGAGAAAAAGAGAGAGAAAAAAAGAAAGATGTGAACACTAGTTTGATTATTTCCATCCCCCTCTGTCCTCCCTACCAAACCTACTTGGTCGGTCTTGGAGCTATCTTAGCTCTCTGATCTACCCTCCCCTCTAGATCCTTGAATCTCCTCCTTAATTGGTGGGGATATTCATCAATCAGGAGGTCCTCGTAAAAATACGACTCTTGTCAACCAGCACGATGTTTGGAAGGAAAGATCAAGACCTCGAAAAAGGTCCTCAGGTGGTGAAGTCGACTTTGGACACCAGCAGCGATGGCGCCGTACCCGGAGAGACGTTTGTATATGGTGATTCACTGTATGCGAAGCTCCAACGACTCGCAGGGAAGATCAACATTGAGCAGCGAGGAATCGAACGGGTACCGGTAGAGGAACAGACGGATACGTCTTACTTCAATATTGGCAGCATGGTGTGTTTATGATTCCATTGCGTTACTTTCGTCTATGCCAGATATTGGCTGGCGTTACAAGACCGCGCGTCCAACTGACCCAACACGCAGTGGTTGGCGGCCAACATGGTAGTCAGTTCTTTTGCCATTGGTGTCCTTGGGAAATCACTCTTCTCCCTTGGCTTTGTCGATGCCATCCTTGTGGATCTCTTCTTCAACCTCTTGGGTATCATGACGGTGGGATTCTTTTCGTGCTTCGGCCCTCCCTTCGGCCTGAGACAAATGGTGCTCTCGAGATTCTGGTTTGGCTGGTGGGGAACAAAATTCAGTGAGTATATCTGAGTGCATTATTTTCTGCCTTATTGAAAGGCTAGTCTCTAACCCTTCTCTAGTTGCCTGCTTGAATGTCTTGGCATGTATAGGTTGGTCTGCGGCCAATGCAATCGTTGGTGCTCAGCTCCTCCATGCGGTGAACAACGATGTCCCGGGTTTTGCAGGAGTCTTGATCATCGCCATCTGCACGTTCGTCATCACGTTTGCCGGTTACAAAGTGGTCCATATGTACGAGTATTGGAGTTGGGTTCCAACCTTCATTGTCTTCATGATTGTGTTCGGCACATTCGCCCACTCCGGTGACTTTGTCAACATTCCCATGGGCGTCGGGAAATCCGAGCTCGGTAGCTGTCTGTCCTTTGGCTCAACCGTCTATGGTTTTGCCACCGGATGGACCAGTTACGCGGCGGACTACACGGTGTACCAGCCCAGGGACCGCAGCCGCCGCAAGATCTTCTTCTCGGCTTGGTCCGGCCTTATTGTTCCTCTCCTTTTCACCCAATTCCTTGGAATCGCTATCATGACTGCCACCAGCATCGATGGTGGGAACAACAAGTATATGGCTGGTTATTCGGCTTCCGGAAACGGAGGTTTACTTGCCGCTGTTCTTGAGCCTCTGGGAGGATTCGGCAAGTTCTGTCTTGTGATTCTCTCCCTTTCCATCGTCGCCAACAACTGCCCCAACATTTACTCCGTCTCCTTAACCCTCCAAGTTCTCAGCCGCTACTCTCAAAGAGTTCCTCGATTCATCTGGGTTTTCGGTGGTTCCTGTGCCTCTGTGGCCATTGCTATCCCAGGATATTCCCACTTCGAGACCATCCTCCAGAACTTCATGAACATCATCGCCTACTGGCTAGCAATTTATTCCGGTATCTCGCTCACAGACCACTTTTTCTTCAAGCGTGGGTTCGGCGGATACCGCATCGAAATCTACAACAAACCCAATGAGCTTCCTCCTGGCATTGCCGCCGCCGTTGCTTTTGGCTTCGGTATCGCCGGTGTGGTCACCGGCATGAGCCAGTCCTGGTGGACTGGCCCCATTGCGAAGCATGCGGGTGCACTACCTACTGGTGGTGATATTGGGTTCGAGCTGGCTTTTGCTTTTTCCTCGGTATCGTATATCTTCTTGAGAAAGGCTGAGCTGAAGGTATTTGGCCGGTAGTTAGCGCTATTTGGATTTCCAGCGTGGGGTATGGGTTTGTGTATACGTTTTTATTTCTGATTATGTCTACTACGTCTTTGTTCTTAACGGCATTGACTGTTCTCTGGAAGAGATAATTGGTTGCATTTTCATGATACCGCGAGTCATGTATATAGTTGTTTGTAATCTCGGAGCGGATATACCTACGTGTATAGGTTGCAGAGAAGATCATTTAATAGTAACTGAAGTACGTCTTGATATGGACTCTGGATTATCTCGCTTCTAGCGTATTCTGGACTGGTGTACGCAACGCCCAGGTGATGGGTCGTTGTATTTACCGAGGCAGTGTTTCCACTTTTGAGCTGGGTTTGTGTGTAAGGAAGCTTTGTGGGCTGGGGGTCCTCGCACTTGTCGTTCTAGAGACCCTGTTAGTGTATTCAACGCGAGACGGAATTCTCACGAACCTTGGTAGACAACAACCTTTCGTCAGTGCTATTCTAGTCCTCAAAGATCATCCCTGCTGCTATTAGTTTCAGCAGCAAAGTAGCTACCGATCTCACTTCCTTTTGCTATTAGGGCGGTTGTTCAAGAACCGGTCATTATGAATATGTCCAGGGTGTTCGCCAGCCTGGGAATTAAAAGGTATCTCTTCAAGTGCCTTAATTAGAGCACCCTTAACCACGGCAAATTTCCCACCAGCGGGAGCTAGAATCAAGATATGAGAAAATTCCTCTTGAAGATACCTGCGAAGGTAGGGGCTCTGCCCAAGCCCCCCCCAAAGAACAAGTTTACCTTCGCCGCGTTCCCTGAAAACTGCACCTGCTTTCGCACAAGCTCACAGATCGTTTCAGCAATGGGCTCGAAAACCATCACCAGTTCATGTCCACGTACTCGGAGACATTGGTTATCAATACCACAACTGCTATTCTTTGTTTCCGGCATACTAACGAGAAAATCCAGATCCACATCTCCAGTAAAGTCAGTCTTTGCAAAATTTGTAAATGCCGCCATGGTGACTAACATGTCTAGCTGAAACCTACCTTATACGTGCGCCGGTCGTCCCCAGATCGATAGCCACGATGATGCGTTCTCCGCTCGAGGTGAAATTTATATTGCATGTTAAAGGTCTGTCCTGTGGAGGCATGATTTGTGGAGTGGTAGCCTCGATTAGGTATTTACGTATAGTGGAGGGAGACTGTCAGGTTAGGCTGCTTTATCACTGTACAGAATGTTAACATGCAGTTTGTAGATAGTGTAAGGATGAACGAGTCGACGTGTTTAGTTAAAAAAAGTCCATGGTACCTTGCGAATGAATCAGATCAGGGAGAATAGAAAAGACGAATAATCGCGGACAGACAAAGGCATCTCCGGATAACAATGGTGGGAATGAAAGGCCTTCTCTCCTTTATTGTACATAGTCAAAGCGTCCACAAAGACACCCCTAGCCCCCATTGGTAGCCCTGATTGTCCGCTATTTCCCTTTTGTGGTTCGTTTATAGCAAGCACAAGTTGAATCGCATCACACCAACTGTAAAATGTCTTGTTTACACCTTTGTGGTGTTGCTAATCACACATTTGATATGGAAAACTTAGGTAGCTCTTGATTCGGTGGTGTTTCCCATCAGTAGTAGTAAAGGATACTATTACTATAGTGTGACACTCCTCTGAGATTTGTTTCCAAATAATTAGAAGTAACGTTGCAAGGCTACATGGAAGCTATAGAATACGTGTATCCCAGAAGCCCTGAAGGTTCAGGGAAAGTTCTCATTATTGAAGCCAAGTTGCCAGTCTTGTTGAAAGAAGAAACATCAAGAAGAGAAACCGAAACATGAATGTTAATGAGAAAACCTGTAAACGCTTCCTCTATCCTCCCCTCGCCTCATGTAAGGGGTATATGTCCAAACTATATACTTCCCACGACATGAATGCGATACGTATCATCAGTGTCAAAGCGCCTTGCATCAATTCCCAGGCTCAGGCTCAGCCTACACCTCTGAGAACAGACCTTCATAGCGTGGATAACAACTGCTGCCTTCTGGACCTGGAAGCGGTCCCCTATCTCGGAAAAGCCGGCTGCAACACTAGGAGAAGGACACCGATAGGTATATCATCAGGTATACCAGTATACTCCTGTGCTTTGACAAATTAATGGATGTAAATATCGAGGATGTCGAATTGGCTCAGATCACTCTTGCGGACAATGACATTTTGAGCCCATTTCACGCCCATACCATTTCCAATCGTATGTATCAAATGCACAGCTGAGTACCAGTGCGATATTTTCACACGGTTGTAATATATCTTGCTCAAGGCTTTCAAAATACTGTTTCCAGCTATATTACCCCTCAACTTGGAAGCATTCCAGAAAGTCACGTATATTGGCAGCTACTTCGTCACAGTGCAGTTTCATATTGTGCTTGTGATGTCGAGTAGTTGCGTAAGCCCTGATTATCGTCGACCCCCATAGGTCAAGGCTTTCCGAATCTATTCATGTTATATAACTCTCTTATAAGTATTGCAAAGGTCACCCACCTTTGTTTGGTTCCACTATGGACACCCCTTTTTCAATAGTTGCCAAAAGATCCAGGTCCGCCGGTGCGCCCCAACCACCAGAGTGTCAAATAACTTTCTCCAAACAGCGTAGAAGACAATGCGTGCCAGAGGTCTCATTTTGTGCAAGTTCAGGCTCTAACTTGAGATTATCCTGCAGATTCGGTATATCGATGTCGATATTGCTGCGGCAGGCCTCACTATAAAGAACGCCCGCAAACGACTTGATAGGAGGGAGGGATGCTAACCAAGTTATGAGACAGTCGTGGAGGTCCAAAAGCTCTGCATGCGAGTTCCGTTTGTCGGCCCGTATACGGACTGGTCTGGTCCTGGCAATATCATTTGCCTGCTGGTGAACTCTAGCCTCTAACTTTTCAATGCGTTGTTTTGCCTCATTCAATGTGTGTTCCAATTTCTCGATCGTATTTTCCTGGTCCACGATGTGGCGGCAAATAAGTTCGGTGTCCTCTCGAAAAGCAATGAGCTTTCTCTTTATAGTTCTCAAGGTGCGCCCCGCCGCGCTTTCGTTCTAGCCGTCGTCATCTGCGCCCTCATTCTAAGCTAGGGCATTGATTCGGGCCTAGAGGAACACGTCCCTATGTCAGAAATGGTCAAAGCCATAAGAAGCAACCACGCGGGCTTTTACTTCACATCCATGGTTTAGCCGTCGTATTTGAGAGGTCCACCCTGTAAGGGAAGTCCACAAAGAAGCTTGGAGATGATGCTCCGAAGAACTCGATCTGATAGTTTTCTGATGTTGGCCGTGAACCTTGATTCGGCTCTTATGAACGTTGAGCTCTGTTTTACTATGGTCTGTTTGATGTGAAATATGGGTAACCTTTGTCCGTTGATCGGTGTAGGTCACCTTGATCTCATTGGATAATACTCTCATCCCTGAGATCAAAATCAATACACTAACTCTTGAGACTATGACGGTGAATTTCCTTTCGCAGGAGATATCCATTCTGGCCATCCTATATGCCAAAATTAACATTACGAAAGGGCTCTACCTCATGTGAGATGGAGATATCACCTATCGGGAGAGGTATCATCGTGGCGATTGATTTTGGTACGACTTTCACGGCTGTGGTGTGGTTTCAAGTGAACAATGTGTGTTACCCTAGCTTTTACCTCTTCCCTCTATTCTTAGATTTAAAGGCGCCCTGATGAAGACTCTTGGAGAAGAATCTTTTGGAACACAGTGAGTATCTAGTCATAACACCCACGCGGTAATGTATTGACTGAAAATTTCCGGATATGAAGCAGTTTGTATGTCTGCGCCTGGTCATCGGCTTATGTGAGAAAGGGCGCGCCCCAGTCTTCCGAGGTCAAGATGGCTAATTGTATCATCATATTGAGTACCATATTTGTGTAATATTCTTCCCCACTCATTTTGAATACGCCCTTTAGTACAATGATAGGAAGAGAGGAAGCGTAGAGATTGGCTACGATTATTGTCGGTGATTCGAGAGTTTTTATTTTTTTTATGTTACGGAGTTGCTTTATAGATTGGGTGTTATGGATATGTTCCCATTTTCTTTTCCTACTGCGGTGGGACCTAGATTGACAAAGCCACGAATATGTCCCAGATACTTAGAGAAACCGTAGAATGGTTGGCACTAAATCCTTTGACAGACCAAACGTAAACAGTACCATCTCCCCCTCCCCAAAAAGATTTGGGTCTCGTATACTTCGATCGCGTCACGTGAGAGATCTCTTCCAGCATCAGCCACCGCCTGCGCCACAAGCCTTTGCCGCGCCGAACAAATCCACAACGGATTCGCCTTTCGTTGAAATCTCAAGAAATTCAGCAACATTTGCAGATCACCACATAAGCACAATGTCCAAACTAGCAAAGTAAGTGCGAACCGATCCCCAATAAATTCTCCGTCGCAGGAAGTTCCCCTGACATCAAATTTTTGCAACCTTTCGCAGCCGCGCCGACTGGGCCGACGACGAGGAGTTCGATGACCCCTCCGCGCTCCCCGCGCAACAAATCACGACGAACAAAGATGGCACCAAGACCGTTGTGTCATACCGCTTTAATGACGAGGGCAAGAAGGTGAAGGTCACCCGCCGGATCAAGACTACCGTCGTGAGGGAACATGTCAACCCCCAGGTTGCGGAGCGGAGGTCCTGGGCCAAGTTCGGTCTCGAGAAAGGTCACGCTCCTGGACCGTCGTTCGATACTACCTCCGTCGGTGAGAACATCGTTTTCAGACCCAGCGTCAACTGGAAGGCACAGGCCGCTGAGGCGGAGAAGAATGGTGGCGAGAAGGGCAGCGTGAAGGATCAGCTCAAGGACAAGAAGGTCAAGTGTCGTATTTGCAGCGGAGAGCATTTCACTGCCCGTTGTCCGTTCAAGGATACTATGGCGCCTGTCGACGAGTCCGCCGGTGGCGAGGGTGCCGCTGGTGCTGCGGATGAGGCTGCTGCTGGTGGTGTCGGTGCCGGAAGTGGCAGCTATGTCCCTCCTCATCTACGGAAGGGTGCTGCTGGCGGCGGCGAGAGAATGGGCGGCAAGTACGAGAAGGACGATCTGGCGACTCTGAGAGTTACAAACGTGAGTTTTTTCTTTCTCTTTTTTTTTTTTTTTACACTTTGTTTCCGGTTTTTGCTATGTATAAGTCATGTCGATTCTGACCATCCAACAACAGGTGTCCGAGTTGGCGGAAGAAGGAGAACTCCGCGATCTGTTCGAGCGCTTCGGCCGCGTCACCAGAGTCTTCCTTGCCAGAGACAGAGAGACCCAACGAGCCAAGGGCTTCGCTTTCATCAGTTTCGCAGATCGCAGCGACGCCGCACGCGCTTGCGAGAAAATGGATGGCTGTACGTTCCGATCCCCAATCTACCCTCCGACCCCAAAGAGAAAGAAGAAGTAAAAGGGAAAGGAAAATAAAAAGCTAACAAATCTCTTTTAGTCGGTTACCGCCATCTTATCCTCCGCGTCGAGTTCGCGAAGAGAGCAACTTAAACCACCTTCCCCTCTCCATACCCTTTCTTCTCATTTCGGTTTACGACACTTTTGGATCTTTTGATCAGGCGGGCTTCCATCATGGCTGAGGAATCTTTTCTTTGTATTGTATGATCTGATCGATAATGATGATTACTGAAAGGCATCCTAACCGTGTCATATACATTTGCGTTTGTCGATTTCCATACAAAGAAAAGTACGGTTCTAGAGGGGTTTCTGATTTTTTTCTTCATCTGTTCTTTAATTCATTCCTACCAATTTCAAAGGGAAGACGATAGACGGGACCTAGTATTCAAAAAAGAAAGAGAAACAAATCAGACTAGGGAGAAAACAAAAGCAGACCACATATAGCTCAACCCCAAAAAACCCTAACTCTATAGACCAGACCCCCTTAACAACGGCAGCTGAGAAAACAAAGGAGCATCACAGCCCAACCCCCATCAACGAAAGACAAAAACAGAAAAAGAAGAACTCTATTCTAAGGCGCGAAACTGTCGTTCTTCGAACCATGGAAGATAATTTCTCACGAGTTGCCTTCTTCCGTGATTCGTGTACCGTATCTTGACGAACCTAAAGCTTCCCCTGGTGACTGTACGACCACGGGGCTGTAAACCGTGGCAAGGGGATTAAGTTTTATGGGGATATTGACACGTTGAGAACGTATGTGGTTAGTAAGGGGTCGTGTAAATATAGGATTCGTACGGGGGCGTGTGTGTTTAATTATAGAAGAGGGTGGAATCAGAATGGGCTTTGAGGGTCATGAACTGAGTTCAGGTGAGATGGAGGCTTAGATTCCGGGGAAGCTGAGAATGATTGACGGTTTGTCTTACGCATACTTTGGAGATACTTTGTTGAAACGGATGGGGGTGGTTTCAGTCTGAATACCTTGTAGGAGGGAACACGGGGAGGGTTTTCGGCGCCCTTGACTTCCCTTCCCTCCTCGACTGAGGTTCTGGAAACTGTATACGAAAGAGCCTCGGGTAATACATTCAGGGGGGTGTAGTAGACTGACATGTATCAAGGAGAAAGGACAAACGCCTTTTCTTTCTTGGGAACTTTCGCCACCTATCGTACACACTGTCAATCACAGGTGAACTCCAGCGGCCATGAGACATGCGCACGCAACGGTACACACATACGCGGGAGAGCGTCGCGGATATTTCTAAAACCCTCACCGCAGTCCCGCGCGGAAAGAAATTACATGTACGGGTAGATGTACACACACCGGGCCAGGGATTTCTTGGATACAGTCCCTAGGGTGATGTCTAGGCCGGTTTCGTCGGCCGAACGATGAAATGGCGGTATAGCGTAGCATCACCGTAACTAGCTGGGTGTAACGCAGGGTCAGGACTGCGAGCAATCTGATCAGCTTCGTATCTTCCAACCAATGGGCAAGACGCTCGGTGGTACTGAAAGGAACGTAAAAGAGCCCGGGTGCAATAAGCCCCGGTTACATTGCAGGCGGACCTATGGTTATCGGCCTCGTCGTCGTCATCACTTTCGTGGATGGTTCTGAAGACGGGCGAATCGTCGATATTCCAAGTCACGGCCGTAGCCTGTTGGTCCTTGAGCAGGTATCCAGGTTGGCCTGTGTCACTCGAGCGCTCTCCGGACTGGTAGCTGTCATGGAAGAGTGAGAAGCTCTGAGTTTGGGCGGAAGTCAGCATGGCGGCCCGTCGAATAGGTTCTCATCCTCAAATGTTTGAACTAATGCCGCTAACGTAAATAAGGTCTAACGGTTGTCTCTTCGTTGTACACTGGGTCAAGTCCGACTAGCCCAGCCCTTCACTGGCTCTCCTGGTCGATTGGTTTCAAGTCTATTTTTCGCCATGGAACGATGTCTTTGGGGTTCTTTCTTAGCGTAATAGGGGTTGGATTAGTGCTGTAGATGCGAGTTTGGGCCTCAAGAACGGGGTGTCAGCCTCGGGTCCAGCGTATATAGAGAACAGGACAACTTACGTCTGTATTGATTTAAGGATATTGTTGAAGTCGCGGTCAAAACGCATGCTGTAACCTACACTATACAATCACCGTTTCTATTCTGAGCCTCGAATACCTTCAAAAAAGCTTTTTGAATGAGATTGTTGAGGGTCAGCAGGTTTTAACGGCGGAAATTGACATCCATTCAAGTCGCACAAGCGCAAGACCGGATTCAGCAAGGACGAAATAGGAAAAAGGAATAAAAAAGTTTCTTTTCTGACAAACAGACCTAGATGTATGCTGAACGCCAGCCACGGGACATTCTGAAATATCAGACTGTCACGCGTAAGGAAAAGCACATGGGCAGACAACCCTCTCTTTCTCCATGTGAGCAATGTTTGCTTTGGGTAAAAGAGAAAAGATCCGGGGTGAGAGAGGCAGGATTGCTTCTAAAACTTGACACTCTTCCCTTACGACCAGTAACAGACGCATTATTTGGAACGTAAGTCTCCACTAAATGTTCATGGGTCTCGGGCGTAGGGTCGCAATGGCAGCACACTACAATTCCAATTCAATATCTAAAGCCCACATCGATCGTTGCCATACCCGAAGCTTTGATCGATATGGCCAAGAATTCTACTATACCCCAGATAGAAGAAGAGACAGGCCCTCGCTCAGAGGTATTTCGGCGGGTCATTCGGTATAGGACATATCTTGTTTCGAGAAAGCACGATGAACTTAGTAGCCAGCCGGGTGCAGCCAGTGTCGTAGGCATCAGCCGTTAAAAACAATTGTTGAAGTCTAGGCTGATGGTAAAAGAAAAGTGTGGTGAAGATCGCAATCACGGCAGAACGTTCAAGCTCCAGAACCATCAATGGGTTTCTCTTCAAGCGTGGAGACTGCAGGGAATCCCGGAAATAATGCCCGAATGGTCTGGACTCCCGATACGCTCGATGCTGACTCGTGGGAGGCACAAGATGTGCCGCCTTTTTTTCGATGGGCCCTAGAGTTTCCACCGGCCAGCTGCAGCTGCAGTGAATGAGTATCTGACTTCTCTGTCCGAGTAAATTAACATGCGGTTGTACAGGAACATTTCAGAAAAAAGGTACCGGTCTAGTACCGGCCACTAAGCTGGATATGGCAAGAGAATGCTGGAGGATGTTTATCCACTCGTGGGGACAAGAGACATTTCTAAGTGGATTGGGGATCGTTAAGTTAGCATATCGGTAGTAGTAGCCCCGAGGCCAAGGCTAGCAAGGTATTGCAACTTTCCCATATGAGTAGGAGACTAATGGCGGGTCAAAGTTTGGCCTAGAAGGATCAAACCTTAAACTTTTTACCCATGGAACTTGTACTGGATCTCTCCGGCCACCCACTCTGATAGAGACAGAGTAGTAGTAGTAGTATTAGTAGTAGAAGAAGAAGAAGAAGAAGCAGACAGATGGGAAAGATAATTAGAATTTAGAAAACCAGTATCAAAATTGATTACATAGTAGAGGAAGGGGAAAGATAAACTTTTCATTTTTAATCAAAAAAAATTACATAAAATAAAAAATGTGTGACAAGAAATATTAGGAGGGGTGGTTAGTGGATAAGAGTTGAGGGAGGGTTAACGATTAACCTTCTTTTTTGCAACCAAGGAAGGATTCAGAATCCCTGTCCTTTCACTCAGTGGGTAAGTACAGAGTATGTATGTAGTTAAAAAGGCAGGGCTTTTGAGAATTGGTTACATAAGACGATCCTAATCGGCTAGATCCAGGAACGTGGGTCATTCTAGTCCCATCGAACAAAAATAGAAGACAACAACAACCCAGAAGGGAACAGGGGTTCCACAAAAGAGCGACGCCTGTGAAGGGAAAATAAAATGAATAACTGCAGGATTTAAGGAAAAGTCAAGGATGAGGGAGGGACCGTTAAGTAACTGATTTCATTGTTCATGAAAGAGATGGAAGGGAGTTTGAGGGAAAATGTTGGAGCTTTGGGAACTTGAAGGTACTAACGGATACATTACCTAACTTACTTCTAATCATACCGACTAGCCTCGTTCAAGTCAAGCGTGAGTGCACGTGCCAGATCCGACTCATGGTGTAGCCTTTCCTAGCTAGTGTCAGTGCGGTTCCTTTGTGTTGGAATCAACGTGGACACTAAGATACGTACGAGAGGTAGGGGGCGAGGGGAACATGGATGATTGTCAACCTGAGAAGGTAAGTAGGAAAGAAAAGATGAAAAATCTCTTACCAAAATCATTTCTCTTCGTGCATGCGGACTGGCTAGGTTTCTCCTTCTTACCACATTTCCTCAGATTAGTCGATTCACCTACACGCTTACACCTTTTCCTATCCTATGATTTCATCTCATATGCATCGCTATGAATTTGTTTTTTACCTCGTCGGGGGCCTTGCTTATTGGTCATCGTTGGCCTGAAATGCAACCTTTCCACCCGCCACCATCTCCGAGACCCCTGTACGAGGTTACTCTGGGATTCGCGCCGCATCCCGCGAGCACATAACATCCTGCACGACATTAACACCCCCTCCATTAGACACTCTCTATTTGACAAGTTCAGGTTTTTTTCTGGTAGCCAGTCGAGAATTGATCTAAACAGGGACGTTTGACCAATCATCTTGTTTGGCCTCCTTTTTCAGCGCCATGCATATCGCATTTGGACCAACTAGCTTCCTGCACGGCTGGATGATCGGATCCGCCACAAGACGATCTCCAAAAAGGACAGAGGGGGTAGAGGGGGAAGAAGAACGCAAAACAAAACCGAAAAAGAAAAATAAGAAAGAAAAAGAAAAAAGAAAGAATAATAATTAACAGGATGGCGCTAATCTAAGATTCCAATGGAACTTCTTTGTTGGTCTCACTCCCCCGGTTTGTGGGGCCCAAAGCTCGATTCTGGAAACTATGCTGTGTACGGGAAACGCGTCTCTCCACATTAACCTACTCTTAGTAATTCGGACTACGCCGACAGATGTGACTCCCATTACCTCTAACGGTACAAGGTCTTGGAGGGGATATTGTGGGGAGAAAGAGGGGGGAGTGTTGGGATTTGGAGAGCAAGTCAAGAGTAAGTGCGGTCGGTCATCAAGTTCGGCGGTTCAGACCTGGATTAGTCCCAAAATTACCGAATATCAGACTTAACCTACAATTCAACGGTATCTTGTTTGACACGGATGTACCTTCTAACATAGGGAACCTACCGACCAACCGGTAAATAGGTACTCTACATATGTACCAATGCAGCCTGCATGGTTCAATCGGCTATTCGTCGCCGGTGTCGGTGAGCGACCGACCAGTGCTAATAAAAAAGAAAGCAAGAAAAGAAAGAAAAGAAAAGAAAAAGGGATAAAAAAGATAATGAATTTTTTTTTCTCTCTTTCTCAGATGTTGGTTGAAACCCGTCGATCGCCTGATCTCTCATTCATGCAGGAGTTAGTGCTCGTGCCTCGAGCACCCGAAAGTTCTTTTGGAATGGCCCCAAAGAGGCGTCACATCTAGAACATGGATACTCTCAATGGATCCACAGGCCCCCTGCCTCTCTATACTAACATTTTTTTTTTTTCACTTACGTCCTTCTACCTAGGACTGTTCTGTCATGGTTGGTTGGTAAGGTTATTGGTTGTCTGCGGCTGCCTAAGCTCAGTAGTGTCGACATGCGACTGGGGTCTGCACGGGAGTTCCGGGGCCATGATCGTCGCTACTAATCCTTTCTAGCGCCATCTTAATTTATTTGGCTGCACTCTGCCGTTGACCGGGTGTTCACGCTAGAACAGCTGACTTTACCGACACTGGTCTAGGGAGAGCAGTTCGGCCGGCCGACTAGTTGAATCATGCCAACACTAGGGTTCATTTCCCCTCGGAACTACTCAAAGTTTGTGCAGCTGTCTGGAGTGGAATAAGATGGACTGTAACATCGATTGTCGGCCAATGCCGTGCCTCTCCAACGCTCTGACAGGGTCCAGTGCCTCTCGCGCTATTTCGGCTGATGCAACAATATTCTCCATGACGGATTTCATGCTTCATTTCCTTTCCAAGGAAAGCTAACAAAAAATAATTTTCAGGATTATTTTCCAAAAGAAAAAAAAATAATTACAAAAAAGCCAAGACCCAGGAAATAAAAACGAAAATCATCAGCAAAGAAAAATTAGGAGCCCAAAAGGCCCCCAAATAATCCTAAACTCTCTACACATGGACCTCCTTCTGCTGTCACCCATTATATTGTTATTGTTAATGCGATCCTTTTTACTTATTCGTATCTTTCTGTTATATTTGTCTAGTTTTATCCTTTTTTATTTTCTCTCTTTCTTTTTACTTAATATATCCATTCTATGAGTCTGAATGCTACAAGATTTCTCTTGTTTTACGGGGATTGACTATTACTGGTATTATCATTATTTTTGGTTGGCCCTGACATGGTTCAAATTTCACAACAAACTCGTGGCAGAAGTGGTATTCATCTTCAAGCTTAATTTGAAAACTTGGAGCTATCAAGGCTTGTGCGCAACGCCGTTCTGCAGATAATTCCGCCGCATACCTACAAGGGTCATACATCTGGACGTAAAGGAGGTCAGGCTAGAAACGGAGAAAGCAGACGTGGGTGTGGGTAAGGGGAAAGGAAGGGAAAAAAAAATAAATAAAAGATAAAAAAATAAAAATAAATAAAAATACGAAAAGAAAAAAAAGCCAACTTGACTTGAGGAAAGCGTTCCATTCGGTATCTGGGAACAAATATCAATCCGACAGATCCCTCGATCTTCGGACCAGGTTTTTTCATTCCCAAGTGACTACACTGCCTATGACAGAGGAAGCTAGAACCGACACTAAAACCCTTTCCATCAAGTCTCTTAAAGAGAAGCGGAACAAAGACTGGCTGTGATCATCTTGATGGTCAAGCATTCGGGGACAATCGCTATACATAAAGAGGTGCAGCTTGAAGTCATATTCTGCAGCAATAAATGCAGGACGGTTGTCGACTCTGACTGAATACCGCACAAATTCTGGTATGCGCTTCTTCCTTTCATAGTCATCTTGCTCGATTCCTTCTCTATTCGTTCTCCACTTGGTTTGTCGTCAATCTTTCTCTTTATTTTTACTTTTTTTTTAACCCTGTCTCCACGAAGGAAAAAAAGAAAGAAAGAAAGACATGTGGCCATATTCTTCAGATCGCACTCATTGTATACCGTTGCTGGTTTCCCCCTTCCCTCTTTGTCTTGAAACGATCTTATACTCTATATTACAGGCTGTACAGTACACCGATGTAGATGTACAGCGAAGTTGTCTGCATGGATCACATCTCTATCTCTACTACCTACTTCTACCTGTTCCTCGACCTTCAGCAAGCAAATGATCGCAACTGTCTGTATTTATGGATAACCAGGATGCAGTGATGCTCTGAACCAGGTGGAGCGGGCCATGTTTTCTTTTCTTTTCCTTTTCCCTATTTCCCTCTTTTGTTTGGTCTGCTTCTAAACTATTCGTCAAAAGCCCCCGACCACTATTGCCCTTGGCCTCCAGCTTTCTGTCCACTATTTCCATGATCCAACGTTTCAATCCGCCCGGCGCTTGCAAATCCCAGCCCGTTTCTTTGTTTGATGACGCTCTTCCTAAAACCACTACTATATGCTGGTGTTTCTCTCCTGAAAAGTGCAGCGTCTCATAGGCTTCCCTCGTTGGAAAGTGTTGACATTGTTTTAGAGCCACGCCACTCTGCCAACTGCTTTGTGAAGGGGAATTTTACGCCGAATAGGAGCGGTGGTTGTTGTTTTTTTTCGCTGTTTGGTTTCGGTTTTGTTTTTTCATCGAGCCGCAGGGTTCCAAGTCCAATGAGCAGATCGTTCTGCCCATCTTCCCTGACACCGTTTTCACTCTAATATACCCCTGTTCAGCGCCATCAGAAGCCTAGTGCTCCTTAGGCGTCGGTCTAACAGCTTGGGCTGGTCTCAAGGAACCTCTTGATTGTCAAACCAGTATTTACCTCTTTCTCGGGGGAGGCTTGCAAATGAATCATTGTAAGTATTATGATTTTGTTTACTTCCGTACTATTATTAATACTGTTCCTTATTATGGATGATTTTTTTTTTCTTTTTTGAAATTGGGAGGATTATTTTCCCTTTGATGTGAACTTTCTTTTAGTTTATTTAATTTTTTTGATGTTTTTCTTCCCTTTCCCCTTTTTTTCTTTCTAATTTTCTCTGGTCTCTGTCTGCCTATCTGACTGTCTCTCTCTCTCTCTTCCTGCCCGGTTATCCCGACATCAAATTTACAACCCGTGACCCCCCTTCCCCCCCTGGAGGCATTGCTTATGACGATTGATCTACATTTGAACGTTTATTTTCCCGTCTCTTTGGTATTTGCGTTCAAGGAGTTCTTCTGTTACACAATCCTGGTATTCTTCATTTCCCTGTATCGATATGACATCAAGGTGTGTTGTCTCCTTGGCCGTCCAGGATGGGGACCCTATCTCCATTCTGACTAGCAAATGTCCGATTACCTTCTGTACCTTTTCCACTTTTTCCTTCCCACTGCTGTCGTGCATTCGCTCCTCGTGTATATCTGTATTGTGGCTCCCCCATCATTCTGATCATGTTCCTCCTCGCCAGCATCAACTCTCCTGCAGAATTCTTTCCAAATGGACGGTCCTATTACCACCGACAGTGACTATACAGGGGGGCAACGCCCGTTTTCTGGGCCAATCAGCTTCCCCATGGATGATGAGGAACAAAGTCGCAGAGGCAGTGCCGTTGGACATCCTTTGGGCCAGCCGGTCTCGATACCTGCGACCAACGGTTTGAGATACAACACACAGCAGTCTACACTGCAGGATGTACCGTAAGTTGTCTTTTAATTCAGACTGCCCTTTGTGCTCCACTTTGCCCACTTGCAGTTCCTAGTCACAGCATCTCATTTTCTTCTCTTTGGATGAGTTGAGTTGTTGTGCGGTGCTGCATTATTTAAACCTTTTTCGGTTATGTATGATTTCCTCTTTCCCTGCCTTCTGATATCTTGGTTCTTTTCTTTTCTATTTCTTTTTTTTTTTAAGAAAAATTTAAAGGAAATTTATATGATTTGGTTTGTGTCTTATTTTATATTGTGAGCTTCGCTACCTTTTCCTTACTTTACTTTTCTTTTCTCTTTTCAAAAAGTACAGTGCTACTTGCATGCATTAAGCTGCCACTCCTCGGGTCATGCCTAGGATCTCACTATGCCCTTGCTATTCACTGCAGCCCTTCCCTAGCTCACTTATATGGTTGTCATGTACTCTTGCAATGTGTTGGTGGGAATCCTGTTGCTCTTCTCCTTCTATCATCTTGTTTTTTTTCTTCTCTTCTCCTGAATTCCATCCTTCCTCGTTCGTCTTATCTGTCACACATGCATTGGACTGACTCAAGGTGGTATTTTTAGCTTTGCAACATCTCCAACAATACTTATGAGTCCCACTGATTCCTGCTCTGGTTCGTTGTTTCCTTACTCCGCTATCCCATATGATAAATCTATATGACTGATGCATTCTTATACAGAGACCTTCTCTCCCGCATCAGGCTCAATCTACTCCCATTCACCGGGATTGCCATACGACAGAATGCCGGACTTCAGGTCCCATCGGGTACCTCCTCTGTAAGCCACTGTCCTTTGACCGCTTTGTTGATATGCATTGATTGATACGGAATGCTGTGAAGTCAACCACCTACCGGGATTTCCCTTTCTATGCAGCCGCAGAGTACGACAGTATCTGGAAGTGCTGGCCTTCTAGGCAGGAATGACAGCTATCCGGGGACATACACGCTTCAACGTGGCACATTTCCATCGCTCTCGAGCATTAGTGATATGTCTAGAATCTCACAATATACCACTACTCCGCGGGTTTTGGAGAGCACTGTCGACCGATCCTCGCAGAATTTGATTTATGGACAGCCAGGGAGCATGTTACTGGAGCCGGTCCAGCGCATGCAACCATCGATGACGGAAGCTCCTCCTTTTCACGATACCAACATCCTACATCCAATCGTCTCTGGCAATCAAACCATTAAAACAGAAATCCAGGCCAAGATACATAAAGGATTCTTCCAAGTCGATGACAAGTGGACCTGTTATCGGCGCAATTATTTTTCGGTCTCGTGTTCATTCTCGTTGCACCCATGGGCCCATTCGCCTCTCTACCTCAAATTCACAGATCAAGGAACCGAGCGTGTCCTGTCATTTTCCATGTCAATATCGGCTATTGTGAACGCACAGTTTGGCGAGGTTCGTGAGCTGGTCCAGCATACGCCAAAGCGAGATAAACAATCAGAGAGAAGACCCGGAAGAATTGTTTTGCAGCCCTGTCAACCCCCGTCGCTGGTTCTGAACCATGGACCAGGATCCGGTAGCAGTCAGCATGCGTTTGGCCTCGCCTCTCAATCAACAGGGATGTCCATTGACTATAACAACTCTTATAACAGTGCTCCGCCGCCCTCGCAGCCTCCAACCCAACATACGTTCGAGCGCATCCAGTTCCAGAAGGCTACTGCCAATAATGGAAAGCGTCGGGCCCAGCAGCAATACTATAACCTAGTTGTCGACCTTTACGCTGAAGTCGCAAATCCAGTGAGTACGGAGACCCAATGGATCAAAATTGCCAGGAAGCTGTCGCATCCAATGGTGGTTCGAGGCCGCTCCCCGGGCCATTACAAAGACGGCCGGCGAGACAGCTCGACGAGCATGGGTCCCGATGGGGGAAGCGGTGGCTCGGGCGATGGTGGTGGAGGGGCTGTACTACATCCAAGCATCGGATCGGCTGTACGGTCTCACTTGGCCCTCATGTCGTACGACTCTTCGCAGCGCGGCGGTCCACACTATGGTCGGGCTGACTACAGCCAGATAACAGCATCCGACCAGTCCCCATTGAATGGAAGCCCGCACATCTCATCATCGTCATCTTCGGCCTTTGATATAGGGGTTTTGAATGATACTATGGATCCGATGGACCCCATCAAAAGCACGTCCAGCATTGATTCGTATCAAGACTCCGGCTTTGGAATACTGGACGGCCGAAAGGCTGAAAGTCAGTTCCGCCACCATTTGCGCCCTTTTGAGTATGACTCTGTCTCAAAGCCTAGTGAGGAGCCTAGCACCAGCTTTTCCGAGCCATATGATTCAATGGTATCCATGATGCCAAACGGACAAAGCGAGCCTTCACCTTTCCTGAAACACCCGCTTAGAATGGGGTCCCACATGTACCATCATTCCACTACAAGCAGCTATGACCCCATTTACTCCACTCGCTCCAACAATGGCAGCCATTACCCTCGGTTCCCGAGCTCTCAGAGCCTATGTGCTTAGCCCTTTAGCCCTGTTTGGTGCTCCTTCCTTTTACCCCTTCCTGTTTCTATTTTCATAATTCTATATGAGTAATGCATTATCGGTTGATATTCTCTTTTTGCCGTTTCTGTTGTACTGTTGCTTTCTGCGTCATGACCGGGACGAGACGAGGACTGGAGGTCCGTGTCTTTGTTCATTTTCTACGACACGCTTTAGGTCAATGATCAGCGAGATAGACCACCACCTTGAGGTGATTCTCAACTTCGCTTGCCCAAGCTGAATTGCATGAAACTAGCATGATCTTACCGGTGTCACTGTTTTCTTTTTTTATTTTCTTGCCGCCTTTCTTTTCCCCCGCCTCCCCTTTTTTATTCTGTCTTTTATATTTTCCTTTTATTCAACGAGGTAGGAGATCTACAACATCCTTTGTCGTTCCGTCGCCCCCACTGCTACTTCCACCTTCTCATTCTGTTCTGATTCTTCTATCCTTTCTTCTTCCTCCTCCTTTTACTTTTCTGACTTTCTTTCTCCTTTTCTTTTCTCTTGTTTCTTTTTTGCTCTTACCGTACCTTCTCTTTTCTTTCCATAACCTGGTCCCTCGATCAGGTTCATTTACTTCACGCCCGTCTTCTCTGCCTCGCACAGACGAGGGACAGGGCCATACCAAAATTCACATGTAGATGTTTGAATTGGACAATGTCACCGACAGTTTGGTTAAGCTGTGCAGATACCGCCGTAGCCGTCGGCGGAAACCAATGATAAGAGAAAGAACACGAAAGCGCTCTAGGGATGGTTAAACGGAAAATGTCTATTAGGTTAGGATAAAGAACATGGACCTAAATTGAGAATTTGGGTCAATCGCTCATTGGTTCATGCCCGAGTGATTTTCTCCGATATGTTGCCTTGCTTCAAGTACCCAGAACTTCCAGTCCGCTGTCAGGGTCCTTGACAATACACGCGATTGTTTCCTACTATCAGTGGCTAGGTTTGCTCATAGAGAGAGTATAATAAGGAGCACATCGGCTACGTGTCGGCCCCTTAGGTTCTGAATTCATCAAATAGCAGGTGTACCTATTTAGAGGAAAAAACAGCAAAAAAAAAAAAAAAAAAAAAAAAAAAAAAAAGAAAGAAGGAAAGAAGAAAAAGAGAAAGACAAGGGACCGACCACGCAGCCAAGTAACACGATACAAGGAGAAAATTTTTATTTTATTATTGTTTGGCATATTCTCCTCGCCTTTACCCCCTTTGTATTTGAAAAAGAAAAAAAGAAACCAAAAATAAAGAACAAGCCAAATAATTGCATCAAACAAAGTTGGCAGTCGCATTAAGCGGCTTTTGGAGTGAAGCACGCTCACCTCCTTTTTTTTTTTCTCTCTTTGTCTTTGTTGTCACATCCCGTCATGTCATGTCATGTCATGTATGTACAGTATGTAAGGATGAATGAATCAGCGTTGGCTGTCTGTAAAAAAAAATTCAACTGAGGATTCTACTAAGTATGCGCCTTATCTCTTGCTCACCGCACTACTATACCGCTAAAATGCATGCCATTCATGGAGTCATCCACTAGACAATGTGAATTTGACTACTAAGAGATGATCGCCAATGGACTCATGGGGGATCGACCCAACAGGAGTTGAAGCCCAATTAAGACAGCGGAAGGGAAATCCGACTCAGGTGACAGTATTAGGTTTGGAAGGATCAACAACCCGATAGAGGGAGGATGGACTACTACCTAAACGGGTAAGCAGTTGGCTCCACTGCTCTTGCTATGGCTCCACTTTTCACTTCGGCACGTTCCGACCATTCCAGTCGATCATCTAGTCCATTATTATCTTACTATTTTCTCTGTTTTCGGTGCGTGGTTTTCCTTTTGCATTTTCTTTCTTTCTTTCTTTTTTTACCTTTTTTATCTTTTCTATTTTTGAATCTTTCATTGAATGAACGACTTCTTTGACACAATCTCACTAGTTTCAGCAACTCCTCCACCCCCAGCAGGAAATCAGGCGTCAACAAACCTCACGCTCCTGTAAGATGTGCAGGAACAATCGTTCCATCACACATCACTTGATTCTTGATTCATCCATTGAATCTATAAACCACCTAGAAAGATGAAACTACTAAACGCACAGATACTAATGGCTACTCAGTTACTTCTAGCGCTTCTGGGCAGACTTCATGCAATAACCCTCCTGTAGATTATGCACGTCGTACAAGGGGTCGACCCGGCGGAGTGAGCATGCGTGTGAGACGAGGTGTGGACAACCTTGCCAGCCACAAGAGATCGGCAACTGCGCGACGAAAATAGCTGTTTTAGAAGGAGAAAGAAGCAACCAACAAGGAGCGTCCTCTTCTTTGAGAAGTGTGGAGGGGGTGCAACCGTTGCATCCACTCTGCGCAGGCTCCAGGACACTAAACGTCCAGGGTTTTTTTGCCTGTCTACGAGCAACAGTTTGGCCTCGGCTTACCTGAGTCCCTGAGACCCTTCCCTACCGGGTACAGCCTGTATCCAGGGTATGTACGAAGTTCCACTGATGTGCTCAGGGTGTTCTTGCCCGGTTGGACTGTTCAGCACGGCATACCCGATCCAAAAGCCAATGGACATGCATCACAAGGCTGGAAGATCCCTCCCATGTCTGCTCGTGCGGATGTCCACTGGCCTCCCGTTATGGGATCAGATTCCAGCTTTCTCAGAGCCCGAAAACACAAACCAGGGTTGTCTGAGCCTAAATCCTTGGATTTGTACGAAAGTTGGTCAACCGTGCGCGCCTCTTTTGGGTGAAATTTGCTATTCAATTCCAGCGGCTCGCTTTCATCACTGGTCTTGGGGAATGCCGCCAAGAAGATTCCTGAGGGGACAGCCATTCCTCCGAAACTTTGTTGAGTCTTTGCATCCTTGTCTACAGTCTGATTTACATGAAATCTTATTCGCACGATATTGGTCAATGCCCAGCTGTACTGACGCCCTTACGGTCTTTCCTGCCCGCCTCTTTGTTCTCATCCCAACATTCCATGCATTGTATCTCTGTTTCACGAAACGGTCTCCGGATGTTGTGTTGCGCCACACAAACTTCTGACAGCCCACAGCACGCGATGAAGAAGAGGTACGGTCGACAGGCGCCTTGCTTGACAACTGTGAAAATCCTTCTTCTTCCGTATTCACCTAACCTTCGTTCGCTCCTCCCTGCGTCCGTTCGTTGCCGGTTCCCCCGTCACTCCGCCCTCAAATGAGCGGCCGCTCCCGCCCAATGCTCCTGGAGCTTTGGCTTGGGACCCACGGTCACACGATGGACTCGGCCGACCAAAGTCCGGGCATTCATCACTGAAGGAGGTAGCCTGCAGCTAAACTCTAGACCTCCCTCCTCATTCGCACTAGGGCCTCCTTCAGTGACCATCTTTATCCACCCGCGAGATCCGAAGTGCCATCTTGCGATCCAAGTCTTCCTGCTCCTCCTTTGTTGGAGCCATGCCCATGGCGTTTTCCACTTGTGGCGACACCCAGAGGCCAATCGACGCCCAAGCCATCACACCGACTCCGAAGAGAGCCCTTGTTTTCGGCGACAAAGAACGGTAGGAGCTATTGGCGGGGCGGAGATTAGCCCCAGTTGAGATAGTGGTTCTTAGCCAGAAGGGTATATACACACCTCCAGAAAGTCATGACTGTAGGTCCTTGAGTTGTCACGTACGTAGTTGGTGAAATGTGTCAACTCCTTGCCTGATGCTGTCGGTAGTCACTTAAGTTAGGTAGAGTCCAACCATTCCTGGATCGGTTAGTTTAGACGACGGGATTGAATCCCGGCTATGCCTCAGGCGGGTTTAGGTTGGGTTTGGGTCCTCTCTTTATATTTCACCGCCTTTGGTTCTGCCACCGGCAATCGGAGCTCCGTCCTCCGCTTGCCGTCTTTGTTTTCACTTTCCCGGTCTTAAAGGTATAGAACGAGCCAAGTATAACTTCACTTTCTTTTTTGTTTTCTTTCCGTTCCAGCCGGTGGGCATGGGGAGGGAAAATTCAATTTATAGATTACTATATTCTCGCCAATTATAGCCGTCCGTTGATTAAGTGCTCGCCACTAAGGCCTCAAAGTATATTATTCAACAATCCCACTATCAACAATCATCTATAGAATTCCTAGAAACCAGCTTCTGACTCAATCACTATAATAACTCGTCTCAACATAACGAGTGAGCAGTATCCCATCTATTATAGAACACAGACTAAGATTATATCCCGCAAAAGGAATACCTTGGTTGACTACATCTCAATTCTATATACATGCTCCCTCAACACTAGCACGCAAGGTGCTATTTCGTTGAGTACTACAATATTTCGACGCCCACGGTCTCAATTATGTCATGACATCTTTTCTGAATGCAGCACCATTGATAGAGAAACTATCTCAATGCTAGAAGACCCGAACAGCACCACACCCAGCTTCCCTGGTTGGTGCCTACATACTCTGCTAACAAATGGTACTTACACTACGCATGGGATATATTGATGTGTTGAGTGTGAGAACAGGGACTTCTATCAGAGATGGTTCGATACTGGTTTTGAACTCCGGAACAGGAGTCAAGAAAGCAAGAAAGGATTCTCAGCTACCCAACAAGGACCAAATGTACGCGCTCGTCGTTGTTGTCCTCGGATATTCCATCATCCATACATCAATAACTCAAAGGGTTCACAGTCGGCCATCCGATTTCGATACGCCCCTTGTCATTGAAGCATACCTAAGCCGGCATATTCTGCCATCTTTGTGGCCATTGTAGAGGAATATCCGAGAAATCAATGAGCACATAGACCGCACCCATTATATATAGGGCATTGAGCCCTAACTATGAGGTTTCAGGATTTCATTGTACACATAAAATATACGCTTTGTCCGACTCTTGAAGAAAATAGAAGCATAGTCAAGTGAAAGACAATATACAATATCCGATACCTTTACAAAACCATTGAAAAGACATACATAAAATTCCCGGTCTCCATCAAATCCCTATATACATCTCCCCTAAATTTCCTACATCCCCGACAAGAAAAACCGGAACTCACAGCCCAACCCTACAGTATCATAAAGATGGCTCCCCACAGAATCTTCACCATCCCCGAACTCCTCGAACAAATCCTTCTCCAAACCGACCCCCAAACCCTCCTCACCTCCGCCCAACAAGTCTCCCAAATCTGGCACACCCTAATCATAACTTCCACCCCCTTACAACAATTCCTTTTCTTCAAACCCACCACCCCCAGACCTAAAAACAACCCCCGCACCCCCAACCCCTTCCTCCCCAAAATCTGGTCCCGCCTCTTCCGCAAACGCCTCACCTCCCACCCCACCCCCTCCACAAACTATCACTACACCCTCCCCCCGGCCGACCCCCTCGACGAAGCCCTCTTCCTCCACCCCACCGCCACCTGGCGCCGCATGCTCGTCCAACAACCCCCCACCTCCTCCATCGGCGTCTTCGTCCTCGACCCCTCCTGGATCGCCTGCGACGGGGATGATATCTCCCCCGTCCGCATCTTCCAGGCTGAGGTCGAGTTCCTGACTCTGGAACATCTGCATTGGTCCGCCATGGTGGGATGCTTGTTGCCGCTGGCTAGGGAGCTAGTATTTTGGGACCATAAGGATTATTATAAGAGGCGAGAGGTGGTATGGAAGAGGGAGATGGATCTTGCGTTGCACAGGTATGGTGGGGATTGTGATTTGACAGTTTTCACCGGGGGGAATTGGGATCTTTGGAGGGTTTTGGGGGGGATTACGTATTGTTAGCTTTTATTTCTTTTTCGGTTTGCAATGGGCTGGGTGGCTATAGCATAGTACGTACATATATATATGCATAGGTGTTGGTGTTGTGATATTGAGTGGAGGGGGTTGAATAGGTTCGGTATCACTTGTTTCTTCCTAGATCTTCTGGTTCGTGCGGGTTCGTACTTTCTCGCATATATATTAGGTTTGAGGACCGGTATGGTGTACACAGGTTAGGGTTAGGGCTCCATATGGACTTCTTCAGATCGACATATGCCCGTCTGATATACATAGTACTCTTAACTGTCAGTTACTGCATGAGTAGTTGCTCTTGGGCATCATGTTAGGAAGACTTCCAGGGTGTATATATGTCTACAGATGTGTCTGATCAGCAATATCGTTAATAATATTCAGTATTCAACCCGAATAACGCATTTCTACCCTCCTGTGCGCTTGTCACACATGGATGGAACTAGGATATCCTCCTTGACAGTTGTATTATTCTTTCATTGCGTCTTCTGATCATGTTCACCTATCGTGATACCGTGGTTGTCCTTGAGCTAAGAGCACCTCTACCGAATCGCAAACTTTTAGGCTTAGACTTGTAATTGACTCTTACGATTGTATGAAATTCCGTCAATTGACACCGCGTCTAAACATTCTGGGTAGATCCAAGAAAATACTAGCCTAGCCAAAGCTGCTCACCAGTAATTCATATAAGATCCTACTGAATTAACCACGTCTTTCACGCAGCCTATCTTGTCCAGCGTATCTGAAGATCTATCCACGTCTTCTGTTCGTGTTTATACCTATATTATTGTCTCTCGTTAACGTTTTTCAACCCGACTAGAATACCGAATCACAGTTTTCACCGGTATTCATCGCCCATAAAAAGCCAGTCATGTTGTTCAAGAAACTAGAGTTCCTAGACACAGAGAGTTCTATGGCCCCAAGGGACTAGGATCTGTCGTGTGAGGCTCATGTAGGTTTCATGATAGTGGCACTGCTAACTCATGAAGATGCCTTAGCGCTGTCCCAATCAATGTCAAATCCATGGAATCTGCTAATAAAACTTCTTTACCATAGTCGCAAGTTCTGCAATTCGGCAATCTTTCTCTGATGACGGACTGCCATAACTCTAATGTCACATGGCTTCGTGCCATTCCGCCATGAGTTTTTGATAGCTAGATGTCCTCCATGACAATGTCCTCCTCATCAACTTCGTTTCAATCCCTCCCTTTCGATCTCGGGGGCCAGTGCCCGTTGGCCCCGAATGGCACGGCAATTATGGCTATGCGGATGATTAGTATGAGGAGGTATTATTATTAGTCAACGCTCATCTTTTGTGTGATGGGTCTTGGTTCAGGGATTATAGGATCTTACATTCATGCCCTTTTTTTTCGCTGCTGTTGATGTTAGCTCTGCGACCTCCAAACTTTCTGTCCCTAGACAGTACTCATGGACCAAAAAATGTGTTGCCGTGCAATCCCAAGCGGAAAGTTGGATGGTTTGTTTGTTCACTGTTGCACCATTACCCATATGTCCGTCAAGCTGATCAATAAAAATCGCTTGATCGAGCACATTCTGTCCACGGCCATGTCCCTCGTTGAAATATGGAGAATCTGGCAGACAAAAATGTTCTGTATCATCAGATCTGCGGTTCCCCAAGCTTAAGTTGGCTTTACGGTCTTCCATTTTTAGATGTAAGTCCAGCCCTAACTCACGCCGTGCGACGGTACTCAGTTATCATCCCTTCAGAGATGATGGTGAAGAGATGTTTCTGATTGTAGGGTGTACCTCATGCAAGGACAGCTTTTCGAAGCCCTCCTTCTAGATGCGGGATTAATCTAGCTATTAGACACTCCGCAGGCCCATACACGCTATGACAGACTTTGACACTTACTCACGCCGTCACTACCGCCACGGTTGTGACGTCTTCTATAAGCTCCAGACACAGCGACTAGCTGCTGGGCATTCCTTCCAACCGTCTTTCATGGCGATGCTTGCCATACTGGCTTCTCTACCGTGCTAGCTTGACTTTCTACCGCATGGCTTTCATATAGCCCGTCGAGTAATTTGTTGGGTGTGGGTTTGAACTCTTCTCGTGCTACCTCATACTGTAAGCTTCACCAGCTGCTTGTGCTTAGGCGCGTCGCGCATGATAACGTTGCCATCCTAGGAGAACATCGGATTTGTATCCTTGACGTTGACCTGGGTGACTAGGGGCATTATTTTTTTGACCATGCCGATGACCCTTTCCCCTGGGTCCTCGAGGCCAGCGAGAGTGCGATCCATGTCATATAACATGCCACGTAATCCCCAATCTGCCATTCCGCCTTCTTGTATTCTTTGAAAGGTTGTGAGCATTTTCTTCTTCCCCCTGTCACTCTAATCGCAAGCAGCTCTTGTATCTGTCCAAGACCGATACTTCATACTCCCTTGTTGCCCTCATGTTTTAAGCTACCCCAACCATAATCAATCCACTACAATACGCACGTCTATCGCACCAGTGCGTTCGATAATATCGGCGAACAGGTTATTGACTCCAGTTATTTCCTCTGGTTAAAACCCAGCAAAATCGTTGTCAACGACCAGCTTCCCTGGTGTGCGAATTAACACCCCGGGATTCCCAGCCGATCGTAAGGCATTAGGCGCCCACTGAATACAGATCGTCATGTTCTTCCATGGTTGCTAACAGAATCAAGCCAAGGCTGCCGTTTGAGTCGAAGTCATACGTATGAGTAACGTTTCCTGCAGTACTTCGACTACCAGGTACCGAGATGTCTCAAAGCGTTAGAGATATTTAGCATTGGGTGTGCTCGAGCTCAATTGTCATCGTTCTTATAGGCGGAATGGCATCGCCAATTAGCGCCTTTTTCTTTTCGTCTATGGACAGCGTATCGGGATACATACGGCCCAGCTTACTTCGAGACAGACAAATCATTCTCATGATTACCGGTAGCGCATGGTATTCCTGGACGGCACCCAGGTTGCCCCTTGAGCTGAGGCTCCCCTGGACCCTCGGTGCAGGGGCATATTCTCCACGTCCGCCCATTCCTTATACTCGGGGCTAGAAGCCATAGCTGTGCTTTGCCCTCTGTGCTTCCAAGCTCTCTTCGTTCTCGTTTATATCCATGTTGTTGTTGTTGTTGTTGGTGGTGGTGTTGCTACTTCCCTCCACTCTCGGCCGTAGTAGAATCTGGATTCTGGTAAAGAAGAGCGAGGTATCCGCAAAGGTCCAGCGCCCTGTTGAAAATTGGGCGTTGCCAATAAGGACCAGTTAAAGTCAGTATTCTTGACATTGTAGTCGTATGGTTTTACCATATAAGAGTGTGGGTCCACCCTATTGCCTTAACAGAGGGCTTGGAGAAGTATTGTTAGAAAGGTAGATGATGGGACATGAGGATTGTGAGTTGCTTCGGCTTTTATTCATGGACAACCTGCAGGTCAGAGTGTCTTGCAACCTTGGGCCAGCTCTGTACGTGCATGGTCTGGGTTCATTGGATATGTCCAAGTTTGCATGTCGCTGGGTATATCGAAATCTGGGATTTTTCCTTCTTGCACTGCCATATTTGACGCATTTTCTAACACAAAGCTGCAGATTCCCATCTGCGCTGCGTCTCTCCACCAGGTATTGAACGGTGGACGCAAGTCGAAACAGGGGTATAGGATGGCAAGCGTGAGGACGGAGTGTCGACGATAATCAGGAAGTCGGAACGTTGTCTCGTAGCGGTAGCCGTGGCAGTAGGTGTTCTCCCGTATTGAATGATTGAATAATGGGACGGAGAGAATTGAATAACACAGTAGTTCTCTGAGGACGGTCCCCAGCAACCACCATCGTATACGTGGATGCCGAGCGTGTTGTATGATGGCAGTACAAGCCATGCCGGTATGGACCTCGCTAGCGGTTCCCCCTCCTAGGCTTCTAGCTATAATTGACTATGTACCTTTTGCAGTTCGGAACCCACGAGGACGTAGCATCCTCCATAAACACAGACATATGCTTTGATATCTGGACCCCGAAGAAGGAATAGAGACCCGTATAATGTTCTGGTGGCGCGTACATTGCCAGACGCATAAAAATCGTGCAACCAACTTGTCGCTCGTTCCGTGCACGTCTTGTGCTGAATAGCGTAACCTAGCAGACCGTGTCCTTTTCCTTCCCTAAGATAGCCGCACTAGGTGCCTTGGCATACAGCTTGCTTAGGAGGTTTCTATCTCTCACTCCGGCAGGAATATAGTAGAACAGGCAGATATGGAGACGCTGTGGGACTTGGATTATGACGAAGAAAAAAAAAAAAGAGATTTTGTGCTTTGGATCTTTTTCATGACTTGATAGCAGGTGAAGAGGTTTTCACCGTCTGTACAGTTGCAGGGATTAGGGCTCAGAGAGATGAATGACATTTAGCTTCACTCATGGTAAGGGAATACTGTACTCTTGTTCTCTATAGCATTGCTAGAAGGTGTATGGACACATCACCTAGGGTCATTGACGGCGCTAGAGTTACTAATCTAGAGGCCAACTAGGAAGCAAATAACTAGGGCAGGCGTACATTTATTCATCTCCATTTCATTATTCTCTCCTAATGAGAAGATAGCATAGACACATTTTCAGTAGCCGTCCTATGATGGGATATTTAACAAAACGGAAACATTAAGAAATAAACAGCTTGAACAAAGGAAAAGGAAATAATCGCAATCCGAACTGACAGTATGATCGACATCAAAACAAAGCAGGAACAGGGACAAAAATAAAAGAAATATAGGATAAGATTATGATGTACTTGGCTTTAGCGTAACGTCGGTGACTCCATCATTTATTTCTTGCCGTAAGCACGGTCAATGTCTTTCTGGAAGTGATTGACGATCTTCTTGCGTTGGAGCTTCTGGGCGGCTGTCATGTATCCCTAGAACACGTTAGTGATGCAGCCTCAATCAAGAGAGAAAGTAGCAGTAGCTTACATTATGGGGGGTCCACTCTTCGTCAGCCAACACTACGCCGTTAACAATCTCGATTCCCTTGAGACCACCAGCACGGCCAGCAGTCTGAAGCTGCTTGAGGACAATCCCCTGTAGCTTCTCGTCGTGTATCAATGACTCCAAAGTATCTCCCTGGATATTATTTTCGTGGGCGAGCTTCTTTAACGCAGCCTCAACCGGGACAATGATAGCAATCGGCTTGTCCTGATCTTGAGCGGCGTAGACGCAAATGTTGCCGACAAGGGGAGACGAACGGTAGACAGATTCGAGCTTCTCGAGGGCAATGTATTCACCGTTAAGCGTCTTGACAAGATTCTTCTTGCGGTCAATGATCTTGAGATGGCCGTACTTGTCAAATTCGCCAATATCGCCCGTCATGAACCACCCATCTTCGGTATAGGCACTCTTGGTTTCTTCCTCATTGTCCCAGTAGCCCTTGCTCACACTACCTCCACGGATAAAGATCTCTCCCTGTGGGGGAACACTCTTCGTCGAATACCCAGCGTCAGGGAAGTCAACGAGCTTCACTTCAATGGAGCCAGGGATTTCACCGAGCGCGTTCACATTCCAGGCCATTGGGTCATTTAGAGCACCCATAGCTGACGTTTCGGTGAGACCATAGCCGCCGATCATAGGGGCAATCGCCATGGACAAGAAATGTTGTGTATCCTTCGAGATCGGACCACCACCGTTCATCATGATACGCAACCGACCGCCGGTCGCCTCCTTCAACTTCTTGAAGACGACGGCATCAAGTAACGAAGAACCTACACCATAGCCAGGGAACCCGGTCGTCATCAAAAAGTTTTTGGCGGCCATAGCACCCCAGAACATGCTTCTCACAATAAGGTTGTTCTTGTTCAAGTTGTTCAGCACGCCCTTCTTCACCGATTCCCAAACAGCGGGTACACCGACAAGAATCGTAGGCTTGAATTCACGAATGTCACCCTTGCAGTTACGCATTGAAGCGTCCGAGAGCGTGCGCGGGTTTCCATAACCCATCGTACCACCCCAGATTAAACAAAGGTTCTCGAACATGAACTCGAGAATATGAGATTGTGGGAGGTAAGTCAACAACGCATCTGAGGGGCCGATGTACGGTCCGACAATTGCGTTGATACCAGCGGCTACTCAACATTAGTTTTCTCTTCACACATAGAAAAGCGGGGTTTCGGGATTATTTACTGGCAGCGATGACGTTTGCGTGCGTAAGAGGAACACCCTTTGGTGGGCCAGTAGATCCAGAGGTATACATGATGCAGCAGAGATCTTCAGGAGCTGGTGGGACGGGGTCCACCGGGTTCTCTTCGCCCAACTTCCGGAGCTCCTCGAAGCTAATGACATTGATACCTTCATACTCATTCTTCAGCCTGTCCAGGTCCGCCTGCTTGGGCTCCAGGTGGGAGTTCCAGATGACATGTTTGATAGATGGCGCATCCTTCAGTACATTTGCCACTGAGGGGATGAGGTTGGGATCGCAGAACATGGCAACGCTGGATGTTTGGACGATGGAATGCTTCAAACCATCCTCGCCCAGGGTGTCATATGCGGTGACGATCGTCATCGACTGGGATCCGGTTCCTGCTCAGAGTTAGCATTCGGACCACCGTCGCAAGAGAGGAAGCTATCACGAACCATGTGACATGGCCAGCCAGTTTTCACTGAAGAAGATCCATGTTAGCGTCGCCGCCAGAAAATTTACGTTCAAGAAACCCAATCGCACACTCACCTAGTTGCACCGTAGAGATGGATTTTGTCGTTCTTCTCCAATCCAAGCTTTCTCAGACCGGCGCCAAGTTGTAGAGCCACTTTCTCGTACTCAATGAAGCTCTTGTAGCTATAACCGCTCATCTCGAAGTACGTCCACTTCTTGTCGACCTCCTTTTCGACCCCGTCGATGACCTTTTTTACCTTCTTGTTTTCTTCGTGGGTCTTGATTAGGCGGCGACTCGCGACAGCCTTTGCGTTACCGAACACACGCGCGGAGCGTCGGAAGACATCGTATGTCGTTGCAATATCCTCCGCAGGCTTCAAGATAAGTCCATCTTTCGCCGCTGGTAAGCGGCGCGGGACTGTCTCACCCGGCGCAGCCTCAACGCCAGGAACCTCAACAGAAAAGGGAGGCTTTTTGGACATGCGCGGTTGCAGATGGGGAAGCTTTTGCTGTGACATTTTGGCGGCGGATCACTACAGTACAGGGGTACAAACACAAAGGAAAGCTGGGAGAAAAGAGTAACTGAATAATTTTTAAAGAAAGTTAGTTATCTATTTACCAGGGGAGAGATCCTAGGTGTTCAGAGTCCAGCGGACTGGAAACGTGCGAATAAGGTAAATCCACGGATCCCTCCAAGGTGGCAGAACTCAAAAACAACTTACGGATGATTCAGTCGTGTTCACGACGGTAGGGGAACACCAGCGACACTTCACTCGGGAAAGTATAGAATGAAGGGAGTTGGAAGGGATTGTGCCGGGAGAGGACGTTCGGATAAGTAGGAGGAATGCGGGGGAGAAATACGAAAGGTTAAAGAAGAAGAGGAGAAAGGGACGGGGAAAACAGTAGCTTTTTGGAGATTGAAGCTCTTCTAAGCGGATGAAGTCACTTTTTGAGGCTAGGCAATTGGCCAAGGCGGTCTAAGCACCCCAGATGACGTTCAATGGCTTCGGAACTTGATTGAGACGGTACTTCTTCAACAATGTCTACCTCACAAGAGATTTTATAATTCTCTCTTACAGTATTCCCCCCTTGATTCCCAATTCTCTCTCTTCTGATGGCGACCGGGACATGAGACACGAGCCCTCCCCTGATGGCACACAGACCTCGCAACGGGTCTCCATAGTGATACCAAATCGACCTAAAACTACGGCTAACTCGACTTGATTGACAAGGTTGTTCGGATCTCTCTCCTCCTTGCTGCATTTTGCCGCGGTTCAAAATACAGGAACAATCCCAGCTTCTGACAATGTCCGAGTCATCTGCCGGGTAATTCAAACAATAGACCAGTTCTTCTCTTTTCTGTCTCATTTTGTGGTCAACAAAACCCACGATACTTGTGTCGCTACATTGATCTTCGGAAGGAAGCTGTGCTCCGCAATTTTTTTTTTTTGTTGGGACTTCCGCCCAACGTTCGAACAGCTCCGCTGACTCAAAGAGTTTTGACTGTACAACGAACCCGTAACCTCCTCAGGCCTTGGGTAGTATACTGTTACGGCATAAAATAACAATGATCCATTACTCGCTCCAAAGGACTAATGAAATGAACAACTTCCCAAAACTTCATGCATTACGCATCCCGTGACTTGATGCTCCCTGTCCAGGAAGTGGGTCCCCATTAAACCACATCCACCAATGACCGTGTGTCCCGATCAACGTCCCCAAAAGTTCCTCGGCTGTCATACACTTCCAACTCTCTATCTATCAGGTACAATCCGTTTTCTTCCCTGGATTCTCGTCCACGGAGAGTAGATCAATCGGCACCTACCCCCGACTCAACTTTAATTAGCTACATACCTCCTCCTCCCTCTCTCGTCTAGCTATAGCTATCACGTCTATTCCGATCGGCACGATACATCCCGCTACAGGGAAAATCCTAGGTATCATCACAAGACAAACAACAAAGGATCTGGACCAGGTAACCGGAAATTCGAGACAAATCTTACCTCCCTCGGAAACAGCTCCCCGGCCTTAGTTGAACCCTAGAAAGCTCGAGCCTCCGATCTGACCTTCCCTAAGAGCCTTAACCTTAAGAGCACATCAGCTTCACCATGGAAGAGCTCACCACCTTCCTCACATCAATTGGCGAAGAGGTAGAAGATGCCGAAGAGGGTATGTTCTACTATATGAGTCGTCCCCCATCATGTCATCTAAATTCCTATGCAATTGTAGCCCACGTACTATAGAAAGAGTGCAAGAGAGAAAAAAAAAAAAAGGAAAAAGATCATGAGATTGTTGCAATTTTTTTTAACCGAACGATACCTAAGAAAGACGCCAACTGCTAGCTGCGTGCACTAGTTAATTTTCTCATCCTTGTTAGAGTGTTTTCTTCTCTTCGCGCAGGAGATTCCCTCGGCCAATCTGGGTTTCGTCGATTCACGAGCTACCTCCGTCGATGTAACCATCCACGGACAGGACTATACGATTCATCAATCTCCAACATTGCTGTCTTCGTCGCGCGCGGGTGGAACTACAGGCGCAGGTAATTTCTCCTCCTGTTTTGATTTTTATATTATTTAATTTTTTTCCCCTGCCAGTGTGACTATCACGTTCACGTCCATCTATCTACCTTGACTTAGCTTTATCTCGGAATATCTACTCTACTTTACCTCGTCCTTAACTCCTATCTATCTACACATCTCTCTTTCCTATCTATCACCACCAACCAAAAAAAAAAAAAAAAAAAAAAAAAAAAAAAAAAAAAAAAAAAAAAAAAAAAAAAAAAACTAACGAACCCACAGTCCTCTGGAAAATCACCCCCCTCCTCGCAGAATGGCTAAGCAAAAAAACTAACCCCCTCTGGCACCACGGCTTGCTCACCCCCTCCTCCCCCGTTGTCGAACTCGGCTGCGGAATCTCCGGCCTAATAGCCCTCACCCTCTCCCCCTCCATAACCCACTACATAGCCACCGATCAAGAATACGTCCACCGTCTCCTCCGCCAAAACCTCGCCGCAAATGTCCGCACAACCCCTACCCCCAAATCCTCCAAATCTACCAGGGGCAAACAAAAAATCCCCAAGGCCCCGTCAAGGTCCAACATCACCTTTACCACGTTGGACTGGGAGACTGATGCGCCGGAGGCACTGAAGGATTGTATTGAGGGTGAAGGCAATGGGGCGCGGGATGAGGATCGCGGGTTCGATGTGCTGATTTCGTGTGATTGTATTTATAATGAGGCGTTGGTGGGGCCGTTTGTTAGGACTTGTAGGGATGTGTGTCGGTCGAGGCCGGTTTATTGCGCGGAGCGGGAGGGGGAGGCGCGAGAGAGGAGGAGGCCGACGGTTTGTATTATTGCGCAGCAGCAGCGGTCGCCGGAGGTTTTTGAGGTTTGGTTAAGGGAGGCGTTGAGGGTGTTTCGGGTTTGGAGGGTGAGTGATGAGGTTTTGGGGGGCAAGTTGGCAGCTGGGTCGGGGTATTTGGTGCACGTGTTGGTGTTGAGGAAGGGGGATTCGTGAGGGGATGGGCAAGGGTAATGGTTTTTCCATACTACGGCTTATAGCTGGCCTTGGAGCAATCACTGGGGGAGTAGATAATCAAGCAAGTCTATTTGTCTGCCGATGTAGCGGACGCTGGACCTGTGCGTTGAGCACGTCACGGAGTATTCAAGGTCAGGGGGCAATTACCGTCATACCTTGACCTGGTGATTTTTTTTTTGGCAAACAGGAAAACAAACTTCACGGCATGAAACATGATATATTTGATTTGTTTGGCCACTATCAAGGCTCTGTTGCAACATGCAATGGGCGGCTAGCGATATTCACAAGGTCCATTAAGTAACATAAAAGAGATGCATAAACAGCATGCAGGATCCCAATGAAGACATGGAAAAGAATACAGCACCAGCATCACAGCAGTGTTTCCCGGTGACCGACAAGGGTCACCCAGGGCATAGATATAGATCGGTTTATATCGTGAGTATCGACTATGTGAAATCAAAATGACACAGGTAAAAGGAATAGACGCAAGTCGGCCAGCGCCCAGGGAACAAAATGACCAGCAATGATGGAAAAGACATTACATTACTAGAAGGAAACGGCGATTAGAAAAAAAAAGCATTAGACAAAAGCCACCCAGGAATGCATAGAAGGGTATTCACGCAGCTGCAAAGGAGACAAAAAAGCTAAAGCTGATGCTCGTAGGATGCAAATGCAAGTTCTGCGTATTTTAAATGGCGCAATAGACCGTATTAAGAATAAGATCGATTGTTATTATTTTGATTCGGTCGTATCCTTCGTCTCACTTAGGACTTGATTTCGTTCATCGGGCCGGGACATTTCCGCTTCCTCAATAAGAGGCGGCTTGTGCTCCGGGGATGTTTGCGATAGAGGCTCAACCGGGCGAGGCGGGATGGAAGCTACTCGCTCCCGGGGCTCATCTTCTGGATCGCGGTCGATAATGGAAGATATCGACTGTTTTGTAGAATTATTGAGTTTCCGTGCCTTCGAGGGCTCCTCCAAGGGGTGGGGGAAAGAGAGTGGCGGGGCTGGTAAAGGCCGATCTGCCGCCTCTGTCTTCACGGGAATTTTCCGGCTCTCCTCATCTTCCGATGCGGACGAGTATTCCATCTCTTGGGGATAGCCTTCGGGATCTGTGGGGGCCGAATCACCACGACTTTCTTCCGTCGATGCACGTTGTACGGTAGCCACCGGCGGAAGAGGAGCGCTAGGGTCATAGACAATCCCGCAAACTTCCAATGCCCTCGATTGACTACCCAGACTGCGATCTTTATGCTTCTTCGTCAGGTGGCACATGAAACCATGAAGAGTCACAAAGTCGGCCTTTCCACAGCCAGAGACCGGGCATGTCAGATACACTAAACTACCATCCGACGGCCGCTTCCACAATGCGCGTCCAGACGGGTCGTGCGCTGCAGGTCGTCCGTGGCGTTCACCCCAAGCCTCGACATTTTTTATGGTGTATTTTTGCTTTCGTCGAATCGTGCCGGCTGTGGGATCATGGGGAATATGCTGAGGTGGAGGATGAGGTGGCGGTGCCTGCACAGGCGGCGGAGGGATGGGGCGAGGCTCTGGAGGACTTTGCTGCTTGAAGAATGCAAGGGTGGTAGCTGCATTGGTCTCTGATAAACGACGGGGCGGCGTCGGCCGAAGCGGCGGAGAGTCCATGCTTGCATTATACCCCAATCCCATAGATTCCCGCTTCAATCGTTTCCGTTGCCTACGAAGTTCCTAGTGCGCGAGCAAATATCCCATGTCAGAAGTTATGTCTAGAGGGTGATCGAGTCAATCGCAATGTCTCATAGCATACCTCTTCTTCGGCTTCGGCACTCTCTGTCATCCTACGGAATTCTTCGTCCTCTCGCTTTCGAATAGCAAGGAGATGGCTACGAGCGGCCATACGAGCCGCTTCTTCATGTTCCAATTGCCTCAAGCGAGCATCAATCTGATCTATATGAGAAGGATGAGGAGCTGGGCCTGGCAGTCCTGCTTCTTGCATATGAGGTGGAGGAAAAGGACGGAAATGAGAATGATTCGGCATCATTTGCTCAGGATGCACTGGCTGGCTCGGGTTCATTGCGATTGGATGGAAACGTGGCAAGCTCATATTGACATGGTGATGTCCGGGGGCATTGCCGTTGAGACCATTTTCGTGAACGGGTGCCACAGGCGGTGCAGCAACCGTCATGATGGACAACTGAAGAAGCAACTAGGATTAGCGAAAAAAAGTTCTTTTGTCTTTTCCTTTTACTTTCTTTTCTTCAGTCCGGGAGTTATGCACCATGTAAGTAAAGTTGGTGATGAAGCGGGAGAAATCAGATGGAAGGAACAGTGACAGGTGCAGAACCCAAAACCAAACATAAAAACGAAAAACAAAATCAAATAAAATAAAATAAAAATTCAGACAAAGCAGGGGAGTAGAAGACAGAAAAAGTCGGAGCTAGCAAAGTCAGAGGAAAAAAAAAAAAAAAAGAGAGAGAGATCCAGCCGTGACAGAATGCAGGGCGAGGAAGGGTTGAATATAAGAGGGCTAAGAATGATAGATAAGCGGGAAAAGAAGAAAGCCAATGCTAGTGTCAGAGAAGCATGGACAATAGGTAGGGATCTGACAAGGAAAGCCCGAAGTGCTCGAATAAGAGTCAAGACTTACACTTGCAGCAATCGAAGGTAAAAGAAAGTACTTCCCAAGAAGAGGACGAAGAAAAACAAACCGCTAGCGTGCTGCACTGTGCCCGTTTTTCCCCCCCTCAAGAAAAGTACAGTGACCAGGAAATTTCCCGTGGACCCTTTTCAATGATGGTTTCTTTCGCCCAGTCAAGGTTGAAGAAGTGGTAACGGTTAAGCAAGGGATTAAATGGATTGGAAGTCAAGACTGCGATGATAAATAGGCGGTAATGCTAATCGAAGATGGCAAAAGTTTATCTGTTTTCCTTTTTTTTATTTTTTTCCCTTATTATTTCTCCTTAAAACCCTTTTGTGATTCAAAAGCGAGAGAGAGAGCAAAAGAAAAGAAATAGAAAAGAAAAAAATAAAAGAAAACCAGAAGAGGGACAAAAAAGGCAAAAAGAAGAATGACTGGCTGCAATTGGGACAGCTCTAGTCAGTACTAGTAAACTCGGACTAGGTACAAACTTGAAAAAGCTACTAAATTGAACCCCGTTTTGACTTTTGCGGTCAGTTCCAAACAAACAAGTCCATGGATCGATGTTGAGCTCCCCTATCAAATGTAGTAATAATTGTCAATTGAAGTCAACAGCCTTACATGGTGGGCGACGGAGGGTCACACAAGAAATGCAGATTCATTACAATAATCATAGACTTTCATTCTTCTTCATATCTATAGAATTTATACTTTACTTAAAAGATTTCGACTCAGACCTGTGGAAGGATTTTTCACTTCATCAGGTTCATCGATCTTAGTTGATCTGGATTTTATTTTTCTTCTTTTTTTCTTTTCATATCAAATACCAATTCTTTCTGATTATGATTACATTGATTAATTATTACCAAGTGTTTTGCCCCCCCAATCATCCAATGTGCTGTGGTCTGTTGGACCCCCTCCTAATAAAAACCCACTTCTGTCACACTAGTGACAAACACAATCAACTCATTGATGTATAGTTTTTTTTTTTTCTTAATTTACTTCCCCTAGTCTAGGATCCGAGATGTACATAGTACAGATTATAGACTGGGCGCGTGAAACCAGCAAAAAGAAAAACAAGAAAAAGGAAAAGAGTCAAAAGCAATAAATATCGAAATTAAACCACACACCGTTTGATTTCCCAATTCAATTCCAAAACAGGAGCAATAACGGCGCTCTGATTCAACAGATCAAATGATTTATTTCCTGGAAACGGGCAAATTGAACTGACGAAACTTCCTGAGGCGTTCTTCCCCTTCCATAAAGAAGAGGGAAAAAAGAGGACGATAAACGGGCAAGAAAGTTATTTCTTCTAACATGGTATTTTATTTTTAGCCACCCTGGGCCAATCACAGCCCAATGATCTACTACCTATATGTAACATGGTTAAATGAGGAGGGATGTGGAAGATCATGGAAAATTAGTGGGTTGTGTAATGTTCCCAAGTGGATATTATATCGTTCGACGTACTAGGCGTAGACTGTCCTGCCACAAAACAGTACAGATGAAACCCTCTGGGGTGAAAGAAGGGAGGGAAAATGTGGCTACGATTCTACCCCTATCAGGGCAAAGAAAACAGGTCACGGGAGGAGAAAAACAAGTTACCTGTTCCTTAAGGGATGAGAAGAGAAAATAAAAAATTGGTAATGTGTAATAACTAAGTGGGGAAAAAACCCAGAAAAAAATCCAACTGGAGATTCATTCTCCATAGGGAGTAGAAAAAGGTGATCAGCAAATCAGAAAGGACGAGAACCCCATCGTAAATGACTATTCCAGGTGGCTCGCCCAATGAGTCTAACCGGGAGGAGTTTCCTTTGCTTGGGTCATCCAGAGATTCATGGGTTCAGGAAATGACAGTTATTTCTAATTTAATTAAATTGTGATGATTGTAAAGTCTGGATCAGGACCATCGTCTCTCACATTGGCATAATTCAACACCAAAAATAAAATAAATAAATAAATAAAATAAATAAATAAAATAAAAAAGTCATCTCAATCCCCTGAACCCATCCAATTCATGTTCTAAACTCCCCCTCAGTTTCCCCTCCAGATCGAAAATCAAAAAGGAAAGGGAAGGAAGAAGAAAAAAGAGTTCCACTTTATAGCGGCCTCTCTATGACAAGTCTTTCCCAACAAGCATAGAAATTTCCTTGACTTGAGCTCCTGACTGCAGTTGTGTAAAACGTTGATTTGTTTCTCTACTGCAACCACTGCTGCACGTCTCCCAGTGGAGACCTCTGTAATGCTGGTAAGAGGGTACAGCTAGAAAGAACATACATCGTCAGCATTGTTGTCTTCCACCATAACATGCAATCATTATAAGGGAACGAAGCTACCCAAGACTCGATTGGCCAGTTCCACCCATGATAACCACCTAACCTATACCACCCACCCGTTATTATAGCGCCGCAGGATTATGTCTACCCCATATTTGAAGCAACTTGTCCAAACAACAACGGGGGTTCTGGCCCGACTAGTTCACCATTGAACTATATTAGCAGAAAGCCAGAGTATAAACAAGAGGTTTGATAAGTCCAAAAAGTATTGTCAATCCTGCATATCTTGCTCCACCATGTGTATCACAATCCACACTTACACATACACATTTACACACACACTCTCTCTCTCTCTCTGCAGTGTCAAACCCACACACTCACCCCTTTTACATTCCAATAAGAAAAATCCTTTTTTTTCCTTCCTGTTGACGGGGACTTGGGTTTTTATTTTTATTTTTTTTATTCTATCCCATTTTATTTTTTATCTTTCTCAAACCCCGGGGCCCATCCCACCTTTCCCCTCCCTCCCTCTCTCTCTTTCTCCCTGTCTGAGGGTTCACATCAAGGAACTTGGCAAAAGCCAGCACAAGCCCAAGTTGTAATGTATGTACATGCAATTTGCATTTTAGGATTAATAAACTACCTAATTTCCAAGGCAGAGATCGATATATACCCATCCTCCATGCAAGGAATTCCATTACTATTGGAAGGCCACGCAACAACTTTCTCATTCAAACGGTGAGAGATGGAGCTCTTTAGATAAAAAAAATAACAAACCCCATACATAACATGACAATATCTAAACACCCCTCAACAAAAATTAAAAAATAAATGATTAACATCAACAGATCATTGACAAAGTGGAATGGAATGGCGGACTTTCGCAACAGAATGGTGTCTTTCAAGGCATTAATCTGATTCGTTACCCAGCGGAACTAAAATACTGATTTTAATTAGAATCGTTCTGCGATCATCAGCAAACTAGTGAACAGCTGGCAAGGACAACACGAATGTGTCCCTAAAGGTTGGGTCCACTGTGTTTTAATCGGGATTTAGTTCGTGGGGACTAAACCGCTTCGGTTGGGTTGGTAAGGTAGGTAGGATTTCGTGGGGAGTAAGTACATACTACGAGGAATGTATGTACTCTTTCTGTACCGGGTACATATATGCTACTGCACATGTATGTGCATATATGTATGTATGTATGTAGGGACAGTTGTCTAGCAGATTTTAATTTGGAAAGAGGAATATCAACCGACAGTTCAGCAGCCATCGTCCCGTAGGGGGAGGAAAAGAAACAGGGAAAAGCAAAAAAAAAAAAAAAAAAAATAGTGGCTGCATTGGTCGTCATCAAGGTCGACTAGAACAGGCGCACCCTCGGCCCACTTGATGAGAATTCTGAACGTTTCCAGAATGCGGCTTTGGCTAGGTTGTTTGGAATACCCAGTCCAGACATATACTGTTTCATAGCAAAACGGCCTGCTCGAGAAAGAGCTGGTTCAAAGAGAAAAGTAAAAATGAATTTTTTGAAATCGAGAGGAGAATTTCCTAATCTATTAACACATGCTCCGGATAAACCCTTTTTCGTGGTCCCCAGCCGTTAAATGTCATTAAAGGTACAAGTGTAGGCAATCCCCCGAATCCGTGGAGATTGCCTCCAGCAAAACAGAAAAAGAGAAACGTTTCAAGTATGCTCATCCAACCCAAAAAGGTATGAAGGCAACTGGGGATTTGAGATCCAGTACAACGAAAATAAACAAGAACACCCATACACCGAGCAGAGGGCTGAGAAATCGAAGCTATTGGTATGTATACATATCATATGCGTGTTAAAACAATGATGAAGGGAGAAATCTCTAGACGAGACAAAGGAAAACACAAAAGGATATAGGAGAGGTACAGAAAATCAATCACCCACGAGCCTTTTCAGGGATGGGATCAATCAGTGGTGATACAATTAGGCCTTGTTCTCGCCCTGGTTAGACTCGCCGGCCTGGGATTGCTGCTCACTCTGAGCCTTGTGCATCTTGTCGAAGAGAGACAAGCTGGCGTTCTGGAGCTCATCGGTCTTCTGCTTAAGCTCCTCGGCGGTGGCAGTGCCCTCGCCAGATTGGTTCTTGACGACGAACTCACGGAGGGTGGAGATCTTCTCACGGATCTGCTCAGCCTCGGCCTTGTCAAGGCGGTCCTCAAACTCCTTGAGAGCCTTCTCAGTGTCGTTCAAGACGCTGTCAGCACGGTTGGCAGCCTCGATGGCAGCCTTGCGCTCTTTGTCCTCGGCACCATACTTCTCAGCATCCTCAACCATGGACTGGATCTCGGAGTCAGAGAGACCAGAGCCGGAGGCGATGGTGATAGACTGGTCCTTGTTGGTAGACTTGTCCTTAGCGTGAACATGGACGATGCTGTCAGCATCAATGTCGAATGTGACCTCAATCTGAGGAACACCGCGGTGGGCAGGGGGGATGCCAACAAGCTGGAAGTTTCCAAGCAGCTTGTTATCCTTGACAAGCTCACGCTCACCCTGGAAGACCTTGATCTCGACGGCAGTCTGGAAGTCGGCAGCGGTAGAGAAGGTCTGGGACTTCTTGGTAGGGATAGTGGTGTTACGGTTGATCAGACGAGTGAAGACACCGCCAAGAGTCTCGATACCAAGAGACAGAGGGGTGACATCAAGGAGGAGAACGTCAGTGACCTCACCAGCCAATACAGCACCCTGGATAGCAGCACCAATAGCAACAGCCTCATCGGGGTTGACAGACTTGGCGGGCTCACGGCCGAAGATGGACTTGACGGACTCAGTAACTTTGGGCATACGGGTCATACCACCTACCAGGATGACATCCTGGATCTCGCTGGCCTGGAGGTTGGCGTCCTTCAGAGCCTTGCGGACGGGCTCAACAGTGCGGCTGATGAGGGGGTCAACGAGGGCCTCAAGGTTGGAACGAGTCATCTTGAGGTTGATGTGCTTGGCACCGCTGGCATCAGCAGTGATGAAGGGAAGGTTGATCTCGGTTTGGAGCGAAGAAGAAAGTTCGATCTTAGCCTTCTCAGCTGCCTCACGGATACGCTGGATAGCCATGCGGTCGCCGGAAAGGTCGAGTCCGGACTCCTTCTTGAACTCCTGGACAATGTGGCGAACGAGGTTGATGTCAAAGTCCTCACCACCAAGGTGGGTGTCACCGTTGGTAGACTTAACCTCGAAGACGCCCTTCTGGATCTCAAGAACGGAGATATCGAAAGTACCACCACCAAGATCGTAGACAGCGACGACACGGTCAGCCTCCTTTTCCAAACCATAGGCAAGGGCAGCAGCAGTAGGCTCGTTGACGACACGGAGGACGTTAAGACCAGCAATCTGGCCCGCATCCTTGGTAGCCTGACGCTGGGAGTCGTTGAAATAGGCGGGAACAGTGACAACAGCGTTCTTAACGGGCTTGCTGAGGTAGTTCTCGGCAGTCTCCTTCATCTTGTTGAGGACGAAACCACCAATCTGGGAGGGAGAGTACTTCTGGCCACGAGCCTCAACCCAGGCATCACCGTTGCTGTGCTGAACGATCTTGTAAGGGACCTCCTTGATGTCACGCTGAACCTCAGCATCGGTGAATTTGCGACCGATGAGACGCTTGGTGGCGAACAGGGTGTTCTCAGGGTTGACAACAGCTTGACGCTTGGCGGCGATACCAACAAGACGCTCACCATCCTGGGCGAAACCGACAACGGAAGGAGTTGTACGGGCACCTTTTGAATGCAAGTTAGCCGCAAAGTTCACCAATCATATGCCGAGCTCCCAATGACGAAAAAATTTTTCACATACCTTCGGCGTTCTCAATGATCTTGGGGGTCTTGCCCTCCATGACAGCGACAGCAGAGTTGGTGGTACCTAGAGGTCTCTGTTAGTCACATGCCGATATAGAATGACATTTATGTACGGAACATACCCAAATCAATACCGATGACCTGGCCCTTCACCTTCTCTTCACCACCCTCCGTCGAGTTCCATCTCCGGAAAGATGTGCTGGGGACTCTGAAAGCGGGAGCGCGAGTGAAAGCAGTGCGCGGGAGCTGTTACATGCGCAATGCAAGTTAGTTTCGATCTTGAATGCATAATGGCAAAGTATGTTTTGCAGGGGAAGAGGTCACCTACCGCGCGGCTGATACGCGATGAGAGCATTGTAATTGGGAATTAAAAAAGACAAATAATACACAAATTAAAAGGAAATATAGGAAACTCCGATCGACTCAATCGAAGGGAGTGATGGGAGATGGATGAGGGAGAATAGGGTGGGTTAAGAGGATGAGGAATGATTAAAAGGAGATGATGGTTTTCAAGTCTTTTCTGGGGGAGAAGGAAACATAAAAAGAAGGGAGACTGGCAGTAGTAAAAATTGTCACGGAGAGCTTCGGCCCGTCGTCGAAGTTGGTAGAATCGCAGCAACGTAGCTGGCCATCCAATGAGTAACCGAGCAGCCCTTAGACCGCCTGGGTAACCGAGCCAATCGGCTTCGCCACCCACTAGAGCTATGTTTTTACGCCCGAGAAAGTCCCATTTTACGGGTGACTAGGAAGACTCCGTGGCAACAGAGTGGAGGCTTTTTGTAAGTCACGATGGATCTTTTCATGAAGAGATCATTCAAGGCTTAGTCTATCACTGGTAGAGGATTTTGATGTAGAATGATTGAATCAATTGCAAGCATACCTGTTGGTGACTACGTTCTTCTTCCCTCTCCTTACTAATAATATGTATAGCAGGGAGAAGGCACCTAAGGATAGAGTATCTACAGTGCAGAGATTGAATCCCAAAAAAAACTTGTTGATTCCGTTCATCGGATCATTGCTCATTCTCGACACTAGTCTAAAATGTGTACTTGTAGTTCTCAACACTTGATACCCCGTGATAAAGTCTGTCTACGTATTTTTACACTACCCTGCAAAATATTGCTTTTTGTTGTTTTAACCACTCCCTACAAAGCAAAGCAGAATATGATGCGGATTCTTCTCTCTCTCTCTCTGCCTGTCCCCTATTTCTTTGATCTCTTTCTTTATACCTTCTTCCCTTTGAGTTGTCACAGGACTTTCCATCTTTTATTTATTTTATTTTTATTCTTCTTCTATCTTATCTACCCGTCTGATTTCATCGTAAGCGCTAGCTGTTTCTAGAAGCATCTGTTCAAGCTCAACTGTAAGTCATGGACTAGAACCTGCTAAACACCCGCGTGTACTTCTTTTGGTCTAAACGGTGTAAGGTTCGATGATTTATTGAGTATGGGCAGTGATCTATCCAGATATATGTGTCGAATAGCTTTGGTTTGGGATTTGGATACATACATATAGTTATATGAAATGCGGTTACATATTTACTATGTCCTACAACAGTAGATGAAACCCACCCTTCTGACAACGCACGTGAGAAAATTAGATTCATGTCCTGCATTGCATGTAGCTAAATTTGTTCAGTTCAGAAAAGAAAGGGAGTAGATCTATATGGAGCTTTGCCTAGGCCCGCAGAAACTTTGGGTTACCATGATAGCTTACTCTTTTCGTTATTCTATAAATTCCATGAACCGGACAAACTCAAGTGGTGTTGCTATCCAATTGACCTTTGGCTTAATATCATGATGCATGCTCTCCTGCTCATACTCCCTTCGTTCTAACTAATAGGTATCAACCCTATTTAACCAATAAAGTAGATGGAAAATATCCCTATAACACTGTAAGTTAGTGTGCTGGCTTTGGATTAGGTGGTTTGTCCATGCTCCCCGCTATGTTTGCCCGTGCGATCAGTGACTCTTAGGGCAGCACTAACGACAGTAAAGGCACAACTGAAAAGTAAGAAAAGAAACTTGAGAGCACATTCGGGTCACTGAAAGGCTGATATATTCTGTTCCATTATGGATACGTTAATATAGTTAGTATACTGAATACTAATGAGCCAAGAACACCCTTAGGCCCGGTGGTGGTTTGGATTTGATACTATACTGCTAGTGGCCTGGTGAGAATGACGGGGTGCAGCATTCTGAGCATTCTCACGTTCTGCACGGATCGGGCGGATACATGGAGACTTTTGATATAGAAATAGAACTATCCTTGCATATACTGTGGCCTGTGCCCTGTCCCAAACGCCTGAAGCCAATGCAATGAGGCAAAATCAACTATGCACAAAGGGACACATCCGTGGAAGTTATGAGTAATGTGGTTCAATGATCAAGCCAGAGAAGATGGTGCAAAGGTGACAAGTAGGAGAGAGAAAAGAAAGGAGGCGCAGAAAAGAATAAGAGGGCGAGATCCGTGAAATCCTAAGATATGATGATGTGGGGGGCCACACATTAAGCCAAAATCTGACAATGAAGGAGACAGTAACAAGTTGAAACAGTGACACCATCAGAGTACACCCCTCCCCTACTGTCAACATGATAAGGCATGCAAAGAAAGATCGATCCTTTCGCAGAAAGGACACCTGATCGTATTAGGAATGACGTTAAACAAAATCAAATATGAGAATAAAAGGCCCGAACTCGGTTGAGAAATCAGACGTTCAAAACAGAAGGTTGATTTAGCGGTAATTGACAACGGGGAATGTTTTCCGGTCCCCAATATTGATCTGGTATTCAAATATACCGTCGACAGTCGCGACGTACCTATGCAAGTCAGCATTTATCGTTGTTAATGTATGCTTGGAACCTACAATGTTCTGCCATCTGCACCCCATCCAATTCCAGCAGTACTCCCTGGTTCTTGGTCTCTGTGTCCACCCCCCAAACTTCGGTCTGGAAGTTCGTTTAAAATGTTCCTGATCCAACGGGGAGAGCGGGTGTTTTCGATGCCCAATATCTGCTGTCGATATCGCGGGTTGTTTCGGCTACGTGTTTCATTATCCACTTGTCGCTGTCTTCGAAGGCGCTCTGCCGCCACGTTGTTTCTCAATTCCGTGCTCGAGACGCGCGGAGGATCATGTCGGCTACCAGCCGCGTTTTCTTGTCTTTCAGCGTGTCGGTGACCGGAGCGAGATCGCTGATGATTCCGAGGCCGCGGTATTGAGTCTACGGCGGCAGTAGAATAATCAAAATTAGCAGATGGACGCCCTAGAGTCCCATAATTCTGATATCCTACGCCCGCTTCATTGCCACTTGAACTACTTTGGTCACTCGTAGATGAATCGGTAGCACGTTGACGATTTTCGGGAATGATAGATTGTATCTCGGAGGGCGAAGCAGTCCAACTAAGTGTAATGCTTGGCTGTGGTTCTACGTTTGGGACTCCTGCTTCTGGCGTTCGATTGCGTGTTTCGGAATTGCTCTGAGACAAGATAACAGAAGCTTGACGTCTTGCATTGTGCCTGCGATCAATGGCGCCTGATTGTGCAGAAGAACCCTCTCGCGGTAGGTCATGAAGCGAATCTCCATGGCGAAGGGGCGAAGTGGGACGAGAGGTTCTATTGGACACATCCGTAGGACCTTGGAATCGCAAGCGTGGTGCAGGATGCTGTTGAGGATTAGTTCTGGCTCGCCTTTCCGTTAGGCCCTCTTCCAGTCTTGACGTCCAACGGGCCGTGTTCAGAAACTCTACGATTAACCTCTCCCTCTCTGTGAGGTCTTGTAATAGTGTATCGCGCAACGGCGGATTGTCCGATACCTCTCCACCCGGTTCATTCGGTGGCGTGTCAGTTGATCCTAGGACGGCCCGTTGCCCTGAGTCTGCGCGGGATTCGGGGCTGAGCCGACCATCAACCTCGAGTTCTAAGCCCACTGAATCGTCCAACATAGGGTCAGTACGGACTTTCTCTATCTCGGGGTCATCTTTGTCCAAATGAAGGATTTGCCTGCGCAGAAAACCCTGGCGAACATCTGCAATTCCAGCCCGGCCCTTGTCTTCAAGCCACACCAGAAGGTCCCAAGGCTCGGGCGCAAAAGCCATACAGCGCACAGCACCACCGTTACAACAAAGCCTTGAAGAATTAAAATGGCAGATTATCGAGTTTGTCTCATTTGGCTCATGGGCAGCGTCTCGGAGGGTTTTGACATCAAACACGGTGATAACCCCGGATTGAGACCCAATAGCGCACAGTCGACTAAATTGAGAGAAGGCAATAGTAAAACAACAACGATCATCGGCTTTCGTGCCGATGTCCATTTCAACGGAGCGAAGAGGATCCCAATTCCAGCCAGTAAGCTTTTCACCGCTTTCTGCCAAAACGGTTGTATCAAAGTCTCGGGTAATATCATAGAAATATGCGCGGGTTTCGTCACCAACTGCGGCCAAAATAGTAGAATCCGGGGAAACAATTGCATAATTCATGCATGCTGGGTGGTCGAGGACTTTGAGAACCTTCGAACGGGTCAGGGAATAGACTGTGACGGTCTTATCGTTATTACTGGCAGAAATCATCAGTGTGTCAGTGATTTGACGGTAGAATGTGACAACAATACCTGAGAATGACGATGTCCTCATCTGCTAAGCCCCTTTCATCACCAGGTAGCCGATGGATGGTCACGGAGTTAACGATACTGCCGCCAAATTTATGCAGCTGGACATCCGGCAACTGCCTCCTGTCGGCATCCTGTACCGATTCCGGATCATCGCCAGACAGCCAGGATTGGGATATTCTTGTAGACGCACCGAGATCAATCGGCAAGGCGCTGTCTACGGCTGAAGGGTGGGAAGTCGGTGTGTCATCTCGTACGTGTACTCCCTGGTCGGAGATCTTAACAAAAGCACATTCACCGTTGTCCGAACCTCCAACGCCGATCCAACCGTAACCTGCGGCAAGACATTTCGGCTCGAACGGAATAACGGCGAGAGATTCTCGTTTTCGTGATGTTATGTGAATTGAGTATATCACTCTGTCGACGACAACATAAATCCTGTCGGGGTCGGCGGTGCTAATATAGTTGCGAAGTTGCTGATGGCTAAATGACCGTTAGTTCAACCATCCATGACCATTTTGCGCTTGGCTAGGACACTAACAAATTTGGGATTTTGAAGGGAAAGAAGCGTCGCTTTTTTGAGAGGATCAGAGACTCGGTTGAATGGTACCTAGGATCGCAACGCGGCGCGTTAGTCGAAGATAAACTATAGGTATACATCGATCACTCATCAGGAGGGCTAAGACCCACGAAAGCGCAGAATCCGTAGTCATGGTGAAATCGAGACTAGACTAAGGTGACATCGTTCCAAGTTGAGTATATCAATTATTCCCGTGAGATAGCGGCTTTGGGGGAGATGAGAGTGACGGAGGGGGGTGATAGACAAGCCGAAGGGCAGGCGAATAACAGAACTTAGGTGGGAGGGATAAGGCCGTCGAGTCGTCAACGTGGAAGTAGAGAAGTGGTAACCAATCGGAGAATGGTTATGGTTTCTCTAACGAGGGTATTCGAAATGTTGGGTGGGCAGTAATCGCTGGAAGTAGTTAATTAATCTTGAGCTCTCAGCCTAAGACAAGCAAGAGATCACCGCTCTTACTGACAACCTTGTCCAGTGCGATCATGACTGTGGGAAGTCATGGGTGGATGACGTAAGACTTAAGACACGGTCGATCCGGGGAATGCGATCGAGTCATTGCGATTGAGTCCGTTTTGGTTCGATCTCGGATTTTCGACGCATGCGGTAAGTTATTCCTGCTCCCATGTTATAGAGTAACTGAAAGAGGGGAAGAGCGGATCTAAACAAAATGGCCCTGACTTTAATGCGACTCGTTCAGTTCCGAAGATAACTTTGATAGGTATTGTTGCCTCAGGTTGATGAATCAAGGTCTTGTGTATGTAATATACTTGTTTTCGTCTACCGAGGATCGACAATTGAGCACGTGCCACGGTATGCAGAGTATCTGAGGTCTCAACTTTTTTTTTTTTCTTTAACCTGTTTACTAATATATAATTCGTGCAAGTTGGTGATCCTTTCGGTTTTCTCGTTCTTCTGTAGCTATTTATATTATCTCGACCTGCTCGACCATACCTGCCAATGGACTCAACTGACTCGCTATAATTATGGATGAGATATCTCTGTCCAATAACCTTGCTATTATGACCTTGAATACCGTCAACGGTGTCTTTATATTTCTCTATGAGTGGAGGTGTTACCTCATATCTCCTGGCTTGGTACAGACCCAATCTTACAATTTTTCAAGCTCAAATACAGCTCGATCTCTCTACTAGTTAGTAGCTGTATGTCTACCCGCGATACCCTGTATAAATTCCATGCAGGACTTTCAGGTAGAAAAAATATCACCCTCTAGATATTTAGAGAATCGATGCTATGGTGTAGCTCCCTTGGAAAAATTTGGAGGTTGTATACTTAGTAGTAGTAGTAGGAGGAGGAGAGGTGAAGGTTCATATCGGCATATAGAACCAATCCCCGCCATCCACCTTTAAAATAGAGAAGAAACGATGAAAAGGGGCCAGAAGAAGCTGCTAGAGAGAATTAGAGACAATGGCGTTAAATACGATAAGTATGTACTACTACTAGATATCTAGTGTAGAGGTTAGTACCTAAGACTGGGATTTTGGCGCGAATCAATCGTCTCCACACGACGTCAGCGTTTTGTGTGTTCCGCCGCTAAACACCGCCAACGAATGAAGTGTCTTTCCTTCTTCACACCTCACTTGTGAATGTTGGCTATCTTTGCCCAGCTAACTGCTTCTGGGTCATTCCTGCAGAATCCAATCGTAAACGCAAGTGATACTGTACTATCTCAGTACTGTCGTGGATATTTGCAACGATCTTGTGCCTGAGACGTACTTAAACTACTGGTATAGGAAAGGTTCTCTGAACAAACCTTTGATCATCTCCTAATGGCGCAGGCGGAAACTCTTGCTGCAACGCTGGCCAAGCTGAGCTTGAATGCGCAGGACCTTAGCGGGACGGCGTTTGACGCGCGACTTGCGGAGGAAGAAAGTGGTCAGTATCAGAGCCTGGGTCCTCGGCCAAGAGCCCGCCAAAGTGCCGCAGATCTTAAAAAGGAGCTGGAGACCGACTTCCTGACACCCTCATCCCAATTTAGCCCTGAATGGCTGAATCGGTTGCAAAGGTATGATTGACCTCTTATCATATACTTACATTTTTGAAGCCCCACCTTAGCTCTTTCGTCTGCTGACAATTTTGCAGACGATGGGATGTCTCTTCAGACTACAAGGACCTCTTTGAGGTCGCGCCAACCCAAACACGGACCATTGTTCGTTTTGACCGTGAAGGCCTTGAGGGGCGTGTTACTGGCTACCATGAAGTTACAGTTCCTGCCACCAGTGCAAATGCTAAGAACTCAACCTCTCTGCTTCGTCGACCAGCTGGTCGCGCAGAATTCGTCAGAGGCGCTGCTGGGTTCTTTCCCTTCGCCCCAGGCGGACTGGATGGTGTCGAGGCTATCGCTGAACTGGAATCCGAAGCACAATCGGCAGAAGGCTCGAGACCGGGCGGCAAGCAATCTGGCCTTGATCGGATCATCAACTTTGGCGCCGAGGGTGGCCTCTTAGAAGTTGCTCCAGGGTTTAGTCGTGGCCTAAAATTCGAAAAAGCAAAGTCCAAAGAAGCTGCCGAGAATGACCAAGAAGTCGAACATGTTCTCCAGCAGGAAGAGGCCGACCTCCCGGTTGAGAAGGATGACACGGCTTCGGACGTTGGAGGGGTGAAAATCGATGACGATGAGTTGAGTGGGGATGAGGAAGATATCGACTCCTTACTACCCGTTGAGTTCCCGGCATTAGAACCCCGCGCTCCTCTGTTATCGGGCGTCCAAAAGAAAGGTGGCAGGGAATGGGCCCATGTTGTGGATGTCAACAAAGACATTCCCAATTTCAGCGAGCTTGTACCGGATATGGCTAGGGAGTGGCCCTTTGAACTGGACACCTTTCAGAAAGAGGCTGTTTACCATCTGGAAAGTGGTGATTCCGTATTTGTCGCGGCGCATACATCGGCTGGGAAAACAGTTGTCGCTGAATACGCCATTGCTTTGGCTGCCAAGCATATGACAAAGGCTATCTACACATCCCCTATCAAAGCCCTCAGTAATCAGAAGTTTAGGGACTTCAGGACTACTTTCGATGATGTTGGTATCCTGACGGGTGACGTCCAGATCAACCCAGAGGCTAGTTGCCTAATCATGACTACTGAAATTCTCCGAAGTATGCTTTACCGTGGAGCAGACCTGATTAGAGATGTCGAATTTGTGATCTTTGACGAAGTACATTATGTCAATGACCTCGAAAGAGGTGTCGTTTGGGAAGAAGTAATCATCATGCTCCCTGATCATGTCACACTGATCCTCCTGTCTGCCACGGTCCCTAACACCCATGAATTTGCCTCCTGGGTGGGTCGCACAAAGAAGAAGGATATTTATGTTATTTCGACTGCAAAAAGACCTGTCCCACTTGAGCACTACCTGTGGGCCGGTAAAGATAAGTTCAAGATCGTCGACTCAAATAAGCGATTCCTAGAAGGTGCTTGGAAAGAAGCAGATAATGTCATCTCTGGCAGAGATAAGATCAAAGCTCAAAAGGCTGCTGAGGCTCAGGCTCAATCCCAAGCTCAGAGAGGAGGTCAGCAGGGAAGAGGTCGCGGCCAAGCTCCTGGTAGAGGTGGCCCTCGTGGCAATTCGCAACGCGGAGGTGCTCAGCGTGGGGGTGGTGGCCAGCGTGGGAGGGGACAGCCAGCCCCTCGGGGCACTGGGAACATTGCTCGTACAGGAAGAGGTGGGGGACGTACAACGGCTGCACAAGACAAAACTGTCTGGGTACAGCTCGTCCAGCATCTTCGCAAAGAGAACCTGCTCCCTGGTTGCATTTTCGTGTTCTCCAAGAAAAGATGCGAAGAGAATGCCGACTCACTTTCGAATCAGGACTTCTGTAATGCTTCGGAGAAAAGCCTGGTACATATGTTCATCGAGAAGTCACTTACCCGACTTAAACCTGAAGACAGAACGCTCCCACAGATACTTCGACTTCGCGATTTGCTAAACAGGGGAATTGCTGTTCATCATGGAGGCCTCCTACCCATTATGAAGGAGATTGTTGAAATTCTGTTTGCTAAATCATTAGTCAAGGTTCTCTTTGCAACAGAGACGTTTGCCATGGGACTGAACCTGCCTACTCGTACGGTAGTCTTTTCTGGGTTCCGTAAGCATGATGGTAAAGGTTTCAGGGATCTGCTACCGGGTGAGTATACTCAGATGGCTGGACGTGCCGGGCGAAGAGGTCTTGACACTGTCGGCTACGTGATCATCACTAGCACAGGTAAAGATGAGGCTCCCCCTGCCGGTGCTTTGAAGCGGATGATCCTCGGCGAACCAACCAAGCTTCGATCCCAATTTCGGCTTACTTACAATATGATCCTGAACCTCCTGCGTGTCGAGGCTTTGAGGATTGAAGAGATGATCAAGCGCAGCTTTAGCGAAAATGCAACGCAAGCTTTGCTTCCGGAGCATGAGAAGCAGGTTCAACTATCAGAAGCCAGTTTGGCGAAAATCAAGCGCGAGCCTTGCGATATCTGCGACATTGATCTTGTAGCCTGTCATGATGCAGCTATGGAGTATGGGAAGCTGACAAGTGAGCTTTACGTTGGATTGCTTGCCTCGCCCGTCGGAAAGCGTCTCTTTTTGCCTAAGCGGCTGATCGTTTACAGAAAGGTACGCTTAGCAGACTTATCTTCTGGTTTTCCATTGCTAATTACTCCGCAGGATGGGTATCGGACGGCTGGTATCATTGTCCGAGAAGGAGTTGGAGGAGGACCTACGCCGACCATACAGGTTCTTGAAATCGGCAAACTGAGTGGCAGACGCCATCCAAGTGACATTCTTCCCTTCCTTTCTAAATTCCGACATCTATTCCAGATTCTGCCAACCCGTGGGGCAGATATGACCTTGAAAGTGTGCAAGATACCGCTCTCCGATCTTGAATGTCTCACCAACACCATGGTAAAGCAAACTGGCCCAACATGGTATCTCAATATCAAAAAGGGTATGTAGACATTGGTCATGCTACTGCAAACGGAGCTAATGAGTTGTACACAGAGGCCATTAAGTTTGCCGATAAAGAGCTGTCGAAGTATTGTGGATCGTGGACAAGCACGGCCTGGGATGAAATGGATTGGGCTCGAATCAAAGAACTGCAAGTGAGGGATATACTAGAAAAGCGACAAGCTCAGGCAACAATTGCTGAGTCCTGTAAATGCTTGCAGTGTCCGGACTTCTTGAAACATGTATGTGAACGCCCTGTGCCTGGAAAGCCAACCCCGCCCATGCTTACAATCAACAGTTTGAAATGCAACACGATGAATGGCAGGTCAAGGAGAATATTTCACAGCTGAAGCAACTGATGTCCGATCAAAATCTTCAACTTCTACCAGATTACGAGCAGCGTATCCAGGTGCTGAAGGAACTAGGATTCATAGATGAACAGTCTCGTGTGCAGTTGAAAGGGAAAGTAGCGTGTGAGGTAGGGTTTGGTATCTCCAGGAAGGTGACTCTGGCCTTTTTTTACTAACGAGTTGGCTAGATTCACTCGGCTGATGAGCTTGTTTTGACGGAGTTGATACTTGAGAACGTCTTGGCTGAGTACGAGCCCGAGGAGATCGTCGCACTACTATCTGCCTTTGTCTTCCAGGAGAAGACCGAGAATGTCCCTACACTGACACCTCGCCTGGAAAAGGGCAAGGAAGCGATCGTTAGGATTTCAGAGAAAGTCAATGACTTCCAAATTCAATACCAGGTCATTCAATCTAGCGAAGACAGCAACGACTTTGCCAGCCAACCACGATTTGGACTGGCGGAAGTTGTCTACGAATGGGCGAAGGGAATGTCTTTCAACCGCATCACCGATCTCACTGATGTGATGGAAGGCACTATCGTTCGGACGATTACTCGTCTGGACGAGACATGTCGAGAAGTGAAGAATGCGGCGAAGTTAGTTGGAGATCCGTCATTATATACTAAGATGCAACAGGCACAGGAACTGATCAAGAGAGATGTGATTTTCGCAGCATCTTTGTACATGTAGTTAGAGAGGTGACTAAGATTAACCACGTGGATATTTATTTTTGTTTGTTTGTTTGGATTTCAGATGCAAAAGGCTCTTGTTTTATTTATTCTTCATTCACATACAAAGAGATTATCTTAGCATGTTATCGAATAGAATACTTCAAAATAAAGATTCCCCTCCCCGGGGTCGAACCGAATGGAGAAGCGTTTCATTTCATTCTGCCGGCAAAACCGACGCAAACCTTGGATCTTTCGAGCTAGTTTGGGAATTTTTCCTTCCTTTCCGGGGCAAAATATTCAGGAGAAGCAAAAAATTCTCTTACCGCGCGTGGCGGCTAGCCCTCTGATTAGCTGTCATAGGCGCGGGGCGGGCACCGCTTGAAAATCCACGAGAAAACCAAACCAAACCCAACAAACCCGATGTGCACTTTTGCACTCTACACTTTCCTACTACAACGTCTCCCCGCTACATATCTCGCCCGCTTTTCCTGTCCAACCGGGCATCTTACTACGTGACGGGGCACTTATAATCCGGAGATTGATTTCTGTTTGCCGGGGGTTTGGTGCGAGATGGATGTTACAGCTCTTCGGGACCGCATACAGTCAACGCTCGACCCAAATGCGGATAATCGCCGTCAGGCTGAATTAGATTTAAAATATGTATGTGGTATACTTGTGGATGGATTTGATTCTGGCCTATACTCATACTCCTTTTTCCGAATAACGTAGGCCGAGACACAGCCCGGCTTTATAAATGCGCTTCTGGATATTTTGCAAGGGGAACAAAATAATGCCGTCCAACTCTCGGGTACGTTTTTGTCAGCCGGATTTTTTTTCTACTCTCCTTTTTTGTCTGAGAAGTATATCCTAACGTCGAGGCGGTTTGCTGTAGCCGGTGTCTACCTGAAGAACCGTATTACCCGTGGTTGGTCTACCGCCGTCGAAGAAAATCCACTGCGCACACCGATCCCTGAGGGGGAGAAACCCGGCTTCCGCGAGAGGCTGATTCCGGCTTTGGTATCAACGCCTCCGAACGTTCGCGCACAGCTTGTCCCACTTCTCCAGAAGATCCTCCAGCATGATTTCCCCGAGCAGTGGCCGGGTTTCTTGGATATCACCCTCCAGTTGTTGGGCACCAATGATGCAAGCTCGGTCTATGCTGGTCTGCAATGTCTGCTGGCCATCTGCCGTGTGTATAGATTCAAGGCCGGCGAAAAGAGAGAGGAGTTTGATAAGATTGTCGAGCATACGTTCCCCCAGCTACTCAACATCGGCTTGAAGCTTGTCGACGAAGAAAGTTTGGAGGCCGCTGAGATGCTCCGGATTGTCGTCAAGTCCTACAAACATGCTATCTATGTGGGTGGACTGGAATATGGAGAATGGGAAATGATTCGGATCGACTGACAATGAATAGTTCGAGCTCTCGCCGTTCCTGCAAACACACCAGGCTACTGTCGACTGGTGCACACTGTTCCTTAGAATTATCGCCAAAGATCCTCCTGCAAGTTCTATGCTGGAGTCCAAGGAAGAGAGGGAACTCAACCACTGGTGGAAATGCAAGAAGTGGTCGTACGCCAACTTGAACCGTCTATTTATCAGGTGAGTACTTTGCGTTGCGAGACATTGGCACTATCCTAATTGTTATAGATACGGAAACCCCACTACAATGACCAAGTCGAGCAACCCTGATTATAGCCAGTACGCTAAGAACTTCATCGCCAACTTCGCGCCAGAAATTCTCAAGGGTTATCTGCAGGAGATTGATAAGTGGGTGTCCAAGGGCCAGTGGCTTAGCAACCCTGCCCTTGCCTACACGTTGGTCTACATGGAGGAGTGTGTCAAACCGAAGGCGATGTGGGACCATCTCAAGCCACATATGGACAACTTGGTCGCTCATTTTATCTTCCCCATCCTGTGCCAATCTGACGAGGACATCGAATTGTTCCAGACCGACCCGTCTGAGTATCTTCACCGCAAGCTGAACTATTACGAAGAGGTATCCGCGCCTGATGTTGCAGCAACGAATTTCTTGGTTGCTCTTACGAAGAATCGCAAGAAGCAGACGTTCTCGATCCTTACATTTGTTAACGGTGTTGTCAGCAAGTATGAGTCTGCACCGGACGACCAGAAGTTGCCAAGGGAGAAAGAAGGTGCTTTGCGGATGATCGGTTCTTTGGCCACTGTGATCCTAGGAAAGAAGAGCCCCATCGCGGACCAGGTCGAATACTTCTTTGTCCGTCATGTCTTCCCTGAGTTCCGCAGCCCCCACGGGTTCCTCAGGGCTCGTGCTTGTGACACTCTGGAGAAGTTTGAGCAGCTTGATTTCCAGGACCCGAACAACCTTATGATCATCTATCGCAACATTCTTGAGTCGATGACCGATTCTGAGCTTCCTGTCAGAGTTGAAGCGGCGCTTGCTTTGCAACCCCTCATCCGCCACGATATTATTCGCACATCGATGCAGCAGAACATTCCTCAGATCATGCAGCAACTTCTCAAACTCGCCAACGAGGTCGATGTGGATGCCTTGGCCAACGTTATGGAAGATTTCGTCGAAGTGTTCTCTGCTGAGCTCACTCCGTTCGCTGTAGCATTGAGCGAGCAGCTCCGTGACACATACATGCGTATTGTTGGTGAGCTTTTGGAAAGAAACGCTGCCAAGGGTGATGATGAATACGGCGACTTCTTAGATGACAAGAGCATCACTGCCCTAGGTGTCTTGCAGACTATTGGTACCCTCATTCTCACTCTGGAGAGTACACCTGATGTTCTCTTGCACCTTGAAACAATCCTCATGCCCGTGATCAGCATCACGCTCGAGAACAAGCTCTACGATCTATACAACGAGATCTTCGAGATCATCGACAGCTGCACCTTTGCGTCTAAGTCTATCTCGCCCACGATGTGGCAAGCTTTCGAGCTTATCCATAAGACCTTCAAGGCGGGTGCCGAATTGTACCTGGAGGACATGCTGCCTGCACTTGACAACTACGTCGCATATGGCTCCGAAATGATGGTGCAGAACCCAGCGTATCTTGCGGCCGTTGTCAGCATGGTCGAAGACATCTTCCGCGATGAGAAGGTTGGTGGTGTAGACCGGATCTGCGGTTGCAAGCTAGCAGAGACTGTGATGTTGAACTTGCGCGGCTGCATTGATCAGTTCCTTCCTCTGTTTATCGAGTTGCCAATGCGCGTTCTCGACGCCGACGAGGCGAAGACCAAGTCCTACCGCATCCACCTGATTGAGATGGTCATTAACGCTATTTATTATAACCCTCTTCTCAGTCTTCAAGTTCTGGAGGCTAAGGGCTGGACGAACAAGTTCTTCAGCACCTGGTTCTCCAACATCGACAACTTCCGGAGAGTCCACGACAAGAAGCTGTCCATTGCGGCTATTAGCTCTCTGCTGACATTGAATGCTGGCGACGTTCCTGCCAGCGTGCAGCAAGGTTGGCCTAGATTGCTCCAGGGGGTGACCAGGCTTTTCCAAACGCTGCCTGCTGCACTTAAGAGTATGTTTCTTCCGTTTTATTGACAATAGAATTTATATTTACAATATACAGATCGCGAGGATGCCACGAAAGAATCAGACTTCACCTTCGACGAGGAGGAGGATGAGAACGACGAGGATAATGACTGGGATGGCGAGGTTGAGTGGACCGATCAGGATGAGGCTGAGACTGGTCTCGATGGCGATGTTCCCGATGAGAGTGCCGCATACCTTGACTTCTTGAATAAAGAGGTGAGGGATTTAATCTCCCACGTAACTTGCAAAAGTCTTATTGACTGACTGGGTAATTAGGCTCAGAAGTTTGGCTCCTTCGCGGACGACGACGAGGACGATCTAGACGAGGAAAGCTTACTTGAGACGCCACTGGACAAGGTCGAGCCGTATGGCCTATTTAAGCACGTCTTTTTGGGTACGTGCTATCCACTAGGTATCGAGGTCTTATCAATTAACTGTATTGCAGGTCTCCAACAAGAACAGCCGCAGCTCTATGAAAACCTGACAAAGATTCTGAACGCGGAGGAGCAGCAAGTGCTACAGGCTGTTTTCCATGAGGCCGATGCCAAGGCCTTGGCTGCTGCCAACGCGGAAGCCGCTGCAGCTCAGACCAACGGAAATTAAAAAATATAAAAGAATTAAAAGACGCCAGCAGATCGACGAAATGAGCCAGTTGACTTCTGTTGGATGCCGATGACGATATAAAAGATGCTAATCCAGTTTGAATGTCTGTTTTTATTGGAGCAGCTTTCGCTTTTTTTGAGATATCTCAGGTCGCCGGACTAGTAGAGCGACAGGCTGGATACGCTATAACGCCTTTTTTCTTTTCGTTTTCTTTTGTTGTTTAGATCATTTCCTTTTTTCTATGACACAATCATTGCGGTTGTCTATGACCTTGGTTGTCGTTTCTCCGAATGTCCCCAAAAGTCTTCTCTTCGCTATTCCTCATGCCAATTGTACTCCACGCATTCCCAGACGCTGATATCCCCAATTAATCCCGTCGGTTGACCGATGCCCATACTCCAGACCACACGAATCGTTTCAATTCCATGCTTGGGAGATGACCAAAGACCAATTCATAAAGAAATATCAAAAGAAGCCGGAAATCATATCCGTTACGGGTTCCATCTTTTCATGGCCGACCTCGCATGTTAAATTAGATCACGTGACAATAAATCAAACAGAACCAAACGATCTGATATATGACGCAATGACTGGCCTCCCTCTTCCTTCCCTGTCCCTACATATTAGAGGACAGACAGATGTCCGACCACTGAGATAGGGTTCAACAGGTCAGGTAATATACCATATACACAATGTGCCATTGCATCACAGCCCCAAACAATCCCGACCTCGACAGTCTCGAAAGCGAACGATAAACAGTCCACAATCCACCAGTGGAACCAGATACCAGATAGACGTCATGATGATATACCACAACGAGCCCAACCCAGTTTGAATCATTGCTCCTGAATTACTTAAACTCTTCCAATTTCCCCCTTCTACACTCCTAACCTCTGATCTGAAATTAGGTATCTGTCTCTCCTACCAGAGAAATACTAGGTACGAGAAACCCCCTTAGTCCGTCTTTTAACCTAACTAACCCCCCCCCCCCCTCCCCAGAATCCATCACATACAAACAACCCTTCTTTACCTCTCCTACTCCAATCGATCGAAAACCAAAATAAAAATGTCCGCTCCCCGCTCAGGCCGCCAGTCCCCGCCACCGGAGCACCAAACCGGCGCCCAGCAACAGGATCCCCCTTCTTCCGGCCACACATCGCAGGGAATCCATAAGGATACGTCAGGAAGGTCTCAGGTTGAAGGGCTTACGAGTAACCCTAAGCATCCCTTGGAGGATATTGAGGCAAAGAAGTTTGAGAAGGGGCCGGGGAATACGGTTTGAGTTAGTATGATTTGGAGGTTATGATTATATGTAATTATATGATGGGTTTATTTTTTGGGTTGCTGTTAATGGAATGATTGTTCTTGGACCCTTTTTCCCCCATGGTATGGTATGTATGGGTGATGGGTGTGATTTTATGTGGTAGTAGGGGTAGGTAGATTTTGTATAGATTTCCTACATCAGAGAATGGGGGGCCGGTTTAATTCTTTGCGGTATGTCTGGCCTTGTTGAAGGTTGCTATCGCATGATATGTCATTATGTTGTGGCTGTGGATGGATATTTTACTTGTAGACTTAGTGATTATGTGTAGATATATGTAATTTTGGTAGATCGGGTAATTGCCATTCTGCAGGTGGGTACTAAACACAGTGGTATTCAAAGAACAACTGATTAGAATAGCAGCTATTTTCACAAAAGCCTGTCCCAGACGGCTTGTTCAAACGTGCACGCCAGAACACAAAAAAACAACAACAGTAGATTTAAATCAGACACCATCCCAATTTAATTTCCGTATATCCTTATCCTTATGCCTTGGGCTCTGCTGGCGCGGCAGTTCCGGCAGGCTGAGTCGCCGCAGGTGCTGCAGCAGCGGGAATGGCGCCAGTGGCCTCTGCACCGCTGGCAGCTGGGGCCCCACCCTCCTGAGTGGTCTTTCCGGCCTTCAAATCTGCCAGGCGTCTGGCCTCAGCGTGGATGTCCCGCACCTGCTTATCTGTCTGGGAGTAGAAGTCACGAAGCTTCCGACCCGATGGCGTACCAAGAGCCTTTTCGAAGTAGGAGTGGAGTCCACGCCAACCAGAGGCAGCCTTGTCGCTAATCTTATAGCTTTCATCGATTCCTCTGGCGCGGTCCGTGGCATGGTACTTCTGGTCAAAGTTGGAAAGGGCCGAGGTGAAGCGGCTGGAGAAGCCATGCTTCTGATCGAGAGAAATAGCCTTCTGGATAGCGTTGTCGCTCAGTACATAGCCATGCGCAAGGTATTCGGCGACAATCCGAGATTTGGGCTTGTCTTCCTGATCAATCTCGTGGCTGTTCTCATCCTTCGCTTCTCCTGCTGCTGCAGCGTGGGACCCGGCGATGTCATCGAGAGTCTGGGCGGCCTGGACGTGCACGGCAGAGCTTCCTAGCTGGGTCTGGTCCAGAAGCAAGGCAGTCTTGGCAGCTCTGAGGTTATAGTCAGCGAGTTTGATTCATGATTTGTTCCTCGAGGGGACGTAGAAACGAATTCCAAGGGTCGGTGGGCTAGTGCGGGGTTGGACTTACGCTTCCTTCTCAAATGTCACCGTTGCGGACTTGGGAGCATCTGGCTCGCCAGAAATTGGAGTTACAGAGATAAAGGTAATCTTTCCACTAATAAACTATCAGTCAGTCCCGTAGATTCCCCAGAAGAACACAAAGCGGGTGATCTTACCAGAAGCTGAAGAAGTCCTGGACTTCCTTCTCAGTGGTGGTGGGCGCAATACCCGAGACATGGACTGTGCTGCGTTCAGACATAGTAATGATAAAATGTGGATTTTGGTTCAAGTCGGTGTTTTTGAGAGGGGTACAATCGAAACTGCAAAAAGATTGGAAATGATTGCCAGGGGAAGTTCAGGTCTGGAGTATTTATTTTGGTGGTGCAATCCAGCCACAGCTATGACGTGACGCATAGGAGGGGCACAGTGTTGCACAGCCACAGTGGGGAGTCGTCATCCCGCATGTGAACTATGATTATTTTGATAGCTGGTGCCAGAAGGCAGAAGTATTTTCCATAAAAATAGCTTTTACTATTTTTCGCAGAATAGATCGGCGGGCAATTAAAGCAAACAAGTGAAGGGAAATGTAAGAAGGTGAGAGAAGATGAGTCGTTAATTCCGTAGCACTTATCTGAAACCAATTCTTGTTCCCTTCCTTCCTAAATAACAAAATTCAACAATGATAAGAGGGTCTTTTCGCTAATTTAACTTCGTACCACCCGCTCCTGTTATGGAAGCTTTGTCCAATTCATCTGTGTCTGTGGAAATGGTGCCAGTTGCCGTTTGATTTGTCGAAGCCGACTCTCGTTCTCGGTGCTCTCTAAGGATCCCCTCGAGATCTCGAACACGGCGCCGTAGTCCTTCATTTTCGCGCTTTAGTGCCTCCAGCTCCCCACGCTGTCGTGCTATCTCATCCGGGCGAGAAACAGAAGTAGTTCGCGACCGTTGTTGAGAGAGAGAGTTGCGATGGGAGGTGTGATTCGAAAACTGATCAACTTGCGGCTGCTGTACCGATGCTGTGGGAAACAGTGGTAGTGCTCCTTCCGACTGACGAAGAGAGGTCAAGGATGGCTCTCGACTCCGACCTGGACGTGACGAAAGAGGAATATCTCGCAACGGTGCGATCCCAGCACCGCTTCCTGTTCTTGACCCTTGGACGGCTGGAATGTAGGAAGCGCTCAGGCTTGAAGATGAACGATGCCGTCGTGATGCTGTGGGATACGCCGAGGCATTGAGGTAGGAGGAAGAGTGCAAACCATCTACCGGGTCATTGAGGGTAGCTGAGGTGGAAGAAGTTGTCGATGCTACAGAAGCAGTTTGTTGTCGAAGGAGAGACAGCTCTCTCGATAGGCGATTAACCTTAGCCCAAGTTAGTATAGCTGGATATGTTTAAAAATAGCCAAAAAAAAAAAGCAATACCATTGCCTCTTGTTCTTGTTCAACCATTGAGTGAATGTCGGACGGTGTAAGAGGCTTTGGATGGCGCAGAGGGCCTAGAAGTATCTCAGCTTAAGAGCTCCAATCCCGAAGATAAGTTCTCCAACAGCTTACCGGATGCTGATCTTACGCTATCATGATCATTTTCTCCAGGAGGAGAACTCCCGGAATACGCGACCGGGGCAAGTGGTAAAGCTGGAGGACTCATCATTTGCGACGGATGTCGAGAAGAGAGCGGTGACGATGTAGTGGCTGGCTGCATGGCTGTGGCAGCACGGGGCCGCGACCTTGGAGAAGAAATGGACATCGACACCAATTCTGGAGCCATGGTTTTCAGGGGGGCTTCGATGGAACGCAAAAGTGGAGCAAATGCGATGAGGATATGAAAGAAACACGGGGCGATGGGACAGTTGAAGTACTAAGAAGCGAAGGGGTCTAGGTTACCATCCAAGAGGAAGAGTTTGTATATTAGAGTGACGACAAGAAAGATCCTCTCCCCCCTTGATTGAGATTCCAAAGGGTCAAAGCATACCAAGCCCAGGGTCACTCTCGGAGTTTGAAATGAGAAAGAGGAAAAGAAAGAAAGGAAAAATCTTAGCCAGAAACCTTAGTAGTCGTGTGGAAGCATGAGACCTGTCAACATGACGGAAGGTCTGGTGAAGTTTTTATATCCGTCTTGGGACTATTGTTAAGGTTATGATTACTTTTCCGGAGCCAAAGCTTTATTTAGTCACTAGTTGACATAAACAATGAAACGACAGGGTTGAGAGTCCTTGAAACAGTGCTGTCCGAAGATCCGCACTAGGATACTTGTATCAAATGGATTTGGTTGGTCCTAGAATCCACCAGCATGTAGCATAACCTGTCTCTCTCTATACGGTCGCTTACCGGTTGGCTATGAGAGGGGTATACGGTACTATTAGTAGCAATATTAGGATCTATTTTGGTAACCATTCCCTGCTAAAGTAAACATGATATATATTTTTGTCTACTTCGCCCCGTCTCGACGACGTTAAATCCAACCGCACCGCAACCATAATACAAGAAGGCTTCTTATTTTAGAACAGGTCGCCTCAGATAAAATCGTTCCACATTTACCCCCGTACAATTTTGATAATGCATTATATGTTATCGAGTATCTATGTGCTGTAAGACAAACCCTTGCAGCCACCAATCACGTGGAACCCGGAATCGGCTTACCTAACAGGGCATCAAACAAACAACAGAAAAAACAACTTGAATCCGGGGTAGATACCTTGCCATAACTGAAATAAAACGGACCATCAGATCTCCACAGTTACGTTTCAGATTCCGTGCTTGACTTCATCGTCCATACCTTCGCTCACCCCATGGCCCCTAACAACATATCCGCTACCCCTGCGCACATTCCCCCCTTCGCAAGTCCGCTAGCTCCTTACATCAAAACCCGCCAGGAAGCCCTCCGCATTCGACAGGCCCTAACCTCCTATCTCCGATCCCAACTTACGTTCGCCGATGATGATCCGGATCACCCGAATTCCCATGCCCAGTCTCATCTCTCCTTATGCGTACCTCAAGATGCCGTTATCGATGTGAAACCTATCCCGTCCGAGCTGACCGGCCTAAGAAAGGAATACCTGCAGGCGTTGCAGGCGAATCTGAATGCAAAGAAGGAGTATCGTGCAGTGTCCGAGAGACATATATCCAGAGTATCCCAGGGGGGAGATACTGCTGGAGTTGGCACACGCGCTGTTGATCCGAACACAGAACTAAAGGCCTATCTCAGACTGCTTCGTGATCGTCGCCGACACGCGAAATTACAGATCACAGAACATTATTTTGAAGAACTTAAGACCCGAAATTCAATCAAACCCGAGGACTTTGATAACACGGGGAGTCGAAGCAAACAGTTTGCCCTACCAACGGATCTGAAAGAAGGTCAAAATGACTCTTCCTCCGGGGATGAAATTGAGAGCTTGTTACACAACCTTGAAAGGGCTGTGGTACGCGCGAGAAGTCAGCTGGATAGAGAAAAGAGTCTGCTGGAGGAGCTGAGGGCGCAGCATGAGACTGGGAATGGGCCTGGCAACGATGGAGTCCTGCCAGGTGTGAAGGTTGCGGCACTACAACAAACACGAGACGCTTTGGTACAATGGGTAGAGGAGAAACTGATGAGTGTTGGTAGCAACGAGGAGGGTCTTATGCAGGAAATTCCCCCTGAGGAAATTGAGAAGTCAGACCATTTGCTGGAAATTCAGAAAGCACAGGTTGCAGAACAGTATGCCGCCTACGTGGATGCTCGTAAGCGTCTTCTTGATGCAGCTTCTAGGGCTTGCCAGCCGGTTGGGACCATCTCTGAGCAACCTGCGAGTCACCCGACAAAGCAAAGCAAAGCCACTCCCGAGGAAACGTCATCCTTGGAGCCGGTGGAGCTTTTGTCCTTTGTGGATGACTTCCTCCTCCCACTTTCCAAATGCCAACGAGCACTAGCTTTGCAGAAGTTCTACTTGGCTGGAATTCTCGCAAAGGAAAAATCTACGACCCTTCGCATGCTGAATCGTTTGAGTGATGAGAGCCACCTGCTTCCGGAGTACCCTATCCTTGCTCGCCATGCTACAATCCCAACGGAGCCCACCAAACCAGATGAAGTCGTTGCGCTAGCTGAAGCATGGGCATTTGCGTCCGAAGCGGCAGGGATGAATGAGCGAGAATATGTAAAACAAACTATCGAAGAAGGCATCGAAACCGCACAAGATGCGGAGAAGGTGTTGCGGGAAGTATACGATGTATTGAACCAGGACCTAGAGGAGGTCCTGCGAGACCAGGGCAAAGAGGGCAGGACAGATATATGGGCACATGAGGCTCAGTCCTCCAAGTCGCGCATGCGACCAGGTGGAAATGGCAAGCGGGCTAAAGGACCGTGGGCTAGGCTTGACGGACGAATAGGAGTTACGGACTGATGGACCCATATGACAAGAAAAGTTAGTCGCGACCAACCAAGGGGTACTAAGTACATTTTATCTAGCTTGTGAAGAGTTCATGAGTCAATGGCAAATCCTTGCAGGTATCGTAGTTCCGACAATAGTAAAATGAATTATATGGTTCCAAGCGATGGCGTGGGGACTCCGAATGCCGGTGTTCCCGTGCTTAGCTGCCATTAGCGCGGTAGCGAGCGCTCTGTAGCGGAGACACCATCCAATTGATACAATCTGCAAAAAGGATTGATCTGCAATTTAGTTGAAAATTTTTTTGTGCGAGGATTTGCAGCCAGCGATTAGGCGTTTTAAGACCATGTAGAAGGGATTTTGCTTGCAGACTCAACCACTGATGGTGAGGATCAATTTCAATGGGTAATGATTAATTATAATCTCCAATATCTCAGACGCTGATTATGAGTTATCATTATTCAAGATCCATAGTCCCCATACCCGTTTCTCCATAGTAGGCCATTGACTCATTCAGCTAGGCCGAAGCAGGTTAGAGTCGCCAGGAACTAGAGCAGTTAGTGTCTTTGCGGCTCTGGTCTCTGTGATCTCCTGAACTTACCCTAATTGAGGGATATGATTGGCGGCATTATCGGGCGGTGGTTCTCCCGCCTCCTGATGAGGAAAAGAAATAGAGAAAAGAACAAAAAAAAGAGAGGATGGCTCCGCACACCGGAGCTCTTATCGGCTCTGGAGGTTGGGGCACTTTCGCGTTTTCGGGGGGCCCATGTCGTCTATCCTGGCCTTTGGTCTCCAGAAGAACTCACTTGTCCATTGACTCATCGCCCTACCCAGGCTTTTTTAACCTTTCTTTGGAAACTTTTCTTCCTTTCTTCCTTTCTTTATCTCCATTCCCCTCTACCTACTTCGTTTCCTCCCCTACTCCCTGGCCGTTCATCCTGTCTTTCCTTTAGTCCTCCCCTGTGTCCCTGGGCGTGTGGCGTAACGCAGGATAGTAGGGTGCCAAAAAAACTAAACCCATTCAGCGAAATCGGCAGGATATCCCTCGCGTCTTTTTCTGTGAATATTACCGGAAAAGAAAGAGAACGAACTAAAGTCAATTGGTTTTCGGATCAACAGCGCCGTGCGCAATGGTTCTCTCTACTCGTTGCGGGCAGGCCACGGCCTCGCTTTTGCGTCAGCGTTGTCTGGCCGAATCTCGCCGTTCCACACTTGCTCTGCGTCCATTCTCCTCTCAAACTACTGCCCATTCGACGGCATCGAGTCTGCGATTGCAGCAGAAGACGCCTTCACCATGGCGACCGCAGCAGCTCCGCTCCTTCTCTAGTGCAATTACCCGCTTGGCGTCGGAGTCGACAAATGCCCCCTCCGCTGAAAGCTATCTTGCTAGTGGAGTCGTACAGCCAGGTCGCAACCTGGTCGACGTGAAGAAGGTACTTGTGATCGGTAGTGGCGGTCTGAGTATCGGACAGGCCGGAGAGTTTGACTATTCTGGTAAGTCGCAAAGTCTAGTATATATATTTCTCCACACAGCCTAGTTTGGTCTTCAACCCAGTTTACCAATTGGGACAACCACTGCGTCCGTGCAAATGAACATCCTATGTTGGTGTGACGTGGTTTGTATTAAGTGAAAGGAAGTGAGCGCAGTGGGGACAACAATTGGGTCGAGGCGACTGCACTATCATGTCTGAATAATAGAAGCTAATGCTGGCTTTCGAATGGTATAGGATCCCAGGCTCTGAAGGCTCTCAAAGAAGCTGGTGTGGAATCTGTTTTGATCAACCCTAATATTGCAACGATTCAGACCGATCACAAGCTTGCAGATGAAGTCTATTACCTCCCCGTTACTCCGGAATATGTGACATACGTCATTGAGAGGGAACGACCCGATGCTATCTTCCTTTCCTTTGGTGGACAGACCGCCCTGAATTTGGGTGTGCAGATGAACCGTATGGGTATCTTTGAACGTTACGGCGTGAGAGTCTTGGGAACGAGCATCAAGACTCTGGAGACTAGCGAGGATCGTGATCTTTTCGCCAAGGCACTGAACGAGATTAACATTCCCATCGCTGAATCCATTGCCGTCAATACTGTTGATGAGGCTCTCAAGGCCGCAGAGGAAGTTGGTTACCCCATTATCGTCCGTTCTGCATATGCACTTGGTGGTCTGGGTTCTGGATTTGCCAACAACCCCGAGGAACTGAGGAACTTAGCGTCCCGCTCCTTGACCCTTGCTCCCCAGATTCTGGTTGAGAAGTCTCTCCGAGGCTGGAAGGAGGTTGAGTATGAAGTTGTTCGTGATGCTGACAACAACTGTATCACTGTCTGCAATATGGAGAACTTTGACCCCCTCGGTATCCACACTGGTGACAGTATCGTTGTTGCTCCCAGTCAGACGTTGTCCGACGAGGAGTACCACATGCTTCGCACAGCTGCTATTAAGATCGTCCGTCACTTGGGTGTCGTTGGTGAATGTAACGTGCAGTATGCCTTGCAACCCGATGGTCTGGACTACCGTGTGATTGAAGTCAACGCTCGTCTCTCCCGTTCTTCGGCTTTGGCATCCAAGGCCACCGGTTACCCTCTCGCCTACACTGCTGCAAAGATTGGTCTGGGCCATACTTTGCCTGAGCTTCCCAATGCCGTGACAAAGACTACTACCGCCAACTTTGAGCCTAGCTTGGATTACATTGTTACCAAGATCCCCCGGTGGGATTTGAGCAAGTTCCAGCACGTCAACCGGGACATTGGAAGTGCTATGAAGTCGGTCGGTGAGGTCATGGCCATTGGTCGTACCTTTGAAGAGTCCTTCCAGAAGGCTATTCGCCAGGTAGACCCTCGGTTCCTTGGTTTCCAGGGCGATAAGTTTGAGAACCTGGATGACGTCTTAAAGAACCCTACCGATCGCCGCTGGTTGGCCGTCGGTCAGGCTATGCTCCACGAGAACTACTCTGTGGACAAGGTACATGAGCTGACCAAGATCGACAAGTGGTTCTTGTACAAGCTACAGAACATCGTTGACTGCCAGAATGAGCTTAAGGAAATTGGCAGCCTCTTCGGCATCCAAAAGGAGACCATGCTTAAAGCGAAGAAGCTTGGTTTCTCTGACAAGCAGATCTCCCTCCTTGTCGGATCGTCTGAGGACGAGGTTCGTGCTCGCAGAAAGAGCTTCGATATCACCCCATGGGTGAAGAAGATCGATACTCTTGCTGCTGAGTTCCCTGCGGATACCAACTACCTGTATACTACCTATAACGCCACTTCCCATGACGTTACTTTTGATGACCATGGAGTTATTATTTTGGGAAGCGGTGTCTACCGTATTGGAAGCTCCGTTGAGTTTGACTGGTGTGCGGTTAACGCCACTCTTTCTCTCAGGAACATGGGCAAGAAGACTGTCATGATCAACTACAACCCTGAGACCTACTCTACTGACTTCGACACTGCTGACAAGCTCTACTTTGAAGAACTCAGCTACGAGCGTGTCATGGACATCTACGAGCTTGAGGCTGCCAGTGGCGTTGTTGTGTCTGTCGGTGGTCAGCTGCCCCAGAACATTGCTCTTCGTCTGCAGGAGACTGGTGGCGCCCACGTCCTTGGTACCAACCCTGTTGATATTGACAAGGCTGAGGATCGTCACAAGTTCTCCCAAATCCTGGATAGCATTGGTGTTGACCAGCCTGCTTGGAAGGAGCTTACGTCAGTTGCTGATGCAGAGCGTTTCGCCGAGTCCGTTGGTTACCCCGTCCTGGTTCGCCCTAGTTACGTCCTGTCTGGTGCTGCCATGAACGTCATCTACAGCCAGGATGAGCTCAAGGAAAAACTCCTTAATGCTAGCGCTGTCTCTCCTGACCATCCCGTCGTCATCACCAAGTTCATCGAAGGTGCTCAGGAAATTGATGTTGATGCCGTCGCTTCGAATGGCAAGCTTCTGTTGCATGCCGTCAGTGAGCACGTTGAGCCAGCCGGTGTTCACTCTGGTGACGCCACTCTTGTTCTCCCCCCAGCTTATCTTGATGAGTCGGTTATGGGCCGTGTCAAGGAGATTGCCGAGAAGGTTGCTAAGGCCTGGAACATCACCGGTCCTTTCAACATGCAGATCATCAAGGCTGACCAGGAAGGTGCTCAGCCTGAGTTGAAGGTCATTGAGTGCAACCTTCGTGCCTCCCGTTCCTTCCCATTCGTCAGCAAGGTTTTGGGCACCAACTTCATTGACATTGCCACCAAGGCACTTGTTGGCCGTGACGTTCCTGAGCCTGTGGACCTTATGGCAGAAAAGCGTGACTACGTCGCTACCAAGGTCCCTCAGTTCAGCTGGACCCGTCTTGCTGGTGCTGACCCATTCCTTGGCGTCGAGATGTCCAGTACCGGTGAAATTGCCTGCTTTGGCAAAGACTTGGTTGACGCCTACTGGGCATCTCTCCAGTCCACCATGAACTTCCGTGTGCCCGAACCTGGTGAGGGCATCCTTCTTGGTGGAGACATCAAGAACCCTGCTTTGGCCAAGATCGTTGAATATCTTCAGCCTTTGGGTTACAACTTCTTCGCTGCTAGCTCTGCTGTTAAGGCTCATATCGAGTCTACCGCTAAGGAGGATGTTTCCGTACAGGTCATTGAATTCCCTAAGAAGGATAAGCGTGCGCTACGCGAGGTCTTCCAGAAGTATAACATCCGTGGTACTTTCAACCTTGCTAAGACCCGGGGCAAGACCCTGCTTGATGAGGACTATGTTATGAGGCGCAACGCCGTTGACTTCGGTGTTCCTCTGTTTATGGAGACTAAGGTATGTTAAGACCAGCATTTTTCTTGTATCCTCTTCACTGGTGCTAACTTTGTTCTCTTGTAGACTGCTCTCCTCTTCGCCCAGGCCATGAGCGAGAAGCTGCCCCGTTCCGAGGGTATTCCTTCTGAGGTCCGCAGCTGGTCCCAATTCGCCGGCGGCAAGCTGCTGTAAACCAGCATCTACAACAGCGTTCAAAAACAAAAGTTTTGTCGACATAATAATCCCCTGATTTTGTTTTATTTTCGAGGCACGGAAAAGCCGTTTGGCGTAGCGGATAAGGCTCAACATTGATAGACTTTTTATTTTGCCTTGACATTGGGCTCTCTAGGCTGCCTTTGCCGGGAAATGCGGCCATGGTGGAACCTCTTTGTTTCTATTTGTTCTTGTTACCCATTTATGATTCTTTCCAGTAGGCAGGCTTTGTGCTTGAGCGAGAAAAGCATCCAGTGAGCCTTTCTGAATTGATAGCCATGATTCAATTGTGTGTATACTTCGTATCTTTTTGGATATTTGATTTGTCCATTTCTATAGTGAACAACCAATCAGTAAGGAGTGTATAGACTGACTAAGCATTGGACCGCCTTAGCTTTTTGTGGTTCGGACTTTCCATGTCTTTCATAGAGTAAGTTTATACAGCTTTGAAGTTCAATGGTAGCATGTCTTTAGAAGCTCCTCTCTCTTCCGTACAAACCAGAGCCACCCAGGGTCCGGCACCCGGTGGATTGGGGAGAGGTCTTTTCGCGTCAGATAATATCAATATTGGAGAAGATGTTCTACATATCACCAGTCCATTTGTGGCTGTGTTGGATACTCAGCGACTGGGTGATACGTGCTCAGGATGTCTTGGGAGCTACCACTTACAGCAGCGCTCTCCGACTTTGAATCGCTGTGCTGGCTGTAAGGTGGTGAAGTATTGTAATAGGGTTTATACTCCTTGCACCCTCTCTCCACCGTCATTAACACTCACTAATACGTACACCAGGCCTGTCAAACAAAAGATTGGAAATATATTCACTCTCTGGAGTGTCCGATCTTTAATAATCTAAGTCCTCGCATTTTGCCAAGCAATGCTAGAGCCCTTCTGCGGATAGTCCTGCGCAGTGGTCGTAAGAGGTACTCCGACGAGGAACTAGACCTCTTCTTTCAACTTGAGACTCATATCAAGGAAATTCGCGATCAAAACCCTGCCCAATGGGAGCGTATTGCCCTAACGTCTAAGGCAGTCAAGGCCTACTCTGGAACAGATATAAAAGAGGAATTGATATCAACCTTCGGCGCCAAAGTGAGCATCCCAAACTCCGAGAGCCTCCATCCTTGAAATCTTTTGACACATCCAAGCTCGAATTGAACTCATTCAACCTCACCAACGCATTCTACGACCGCATTGGTCTCTATATACACCCTTACGCCGCCATTCTCAACCACAACTGTAACTACAACGCTGTCGTCGGATTCGAAGCCGAACAACTATATATCAAAGCCATCCGCCCGATCCAAAAAGGCGAGCAAATCTTCATATCCTACATCGACACCACAAACCCGGTTCATATCCGCCGCAACCAACTCCGCGAGCGGTTCTACTTCGACTGCGAATGTCCCAAATGCCAGCAAGACCACCTTTCCAAACCAGACGATAGCCCCCAAACGAGCCATGCACAAAACCTCTCCGCCCTAAAATCCGCAGAAAAGGATGCCTACGAGTTTCTACACGATTGCCCAGCAGCTTCGGACTTGGATCCCAAGGAAACCGCCGCAAAACTTCAATCTTATATCCGATTCCTCTCACAGACTTACTCATGGCCCGTCACCAGACAACCACTCGTTTCCCTCCGAGACGAACTCATCGTTTCGCTGCTCTCGGCCAGTAATAACAACTCCGCGCTCGTCCAGTCTGCGATCCGATATCTCCGTATCGACCCTATTGTCTATGAAGATAAACGTCACCCCATCCGTCAGCAGCACGCGTATACAATGGCTAAAGTAGCGCATGCAGCTATTGCTATGAATACCGATATGACTTTGCTGGCTTTGGTGCGGCCTCTGCTTACGCTGGAACCGAGGCTTATTGCTTGGTCTGTTCTGAGTCGGCTTGTTGAGACGCAATCTGAGGCCTGTACTGTGCCGAAGTTACAGTGTATGATTAGGTCGGATTTTGATGATCTGAATCGATGGTTTGCACAGCACGGTATGGACCCTACGAAGAGGGAGGATGATATATGGAACGAATGGAAGAAGATTGAACTGCTCGTGGATGCGGCGCTGGGGGAGGGGTATTGATATGGCGTGGCTTTGTTTTTGTTTCTCCTGGGGTATGTAGAATTGATTTGGATGCTGTGAAGCGCTACGACTTGTTTTGGCTATGGGACACTACCTCCAGCATAGTTTATGGAGCAAGCTATTTCCGCGTTGTATCAATAAGGATTGATGCACTAGGATTATGGTAAACGATTTTATACCCGTTGTCTAAATCTACCGAAATACACATCTTCGAGTGTGACCTTGAGTATATTGAGCGCAAATAATGCCAATTAGGATAGTAAGATCAAAGGCTACAATTACGAAAGACACGTGGACAAGAGGCATAATACACAACACGAGCCGCAGACGAAGTGTTTGAAAGAAAAAGAAATCGTTAAATTAGACCCCGGTTCCTAAATAAACAGTGAAAGGAACGGGTAGTCTTGCCTCGTCCCAATGGAGCTAAGGACTAAAGATCTCAGGATCGGAGTAGGAATCCGTGGTTCGTTCATATGCCGACAAGACCTTTATATTGAGATGCAAACAGCTGACCCGCACTTGGCATACAAGTATGATGATCCCAAATAGACGCAAATGGTATCCATCGTTTTTGATTTCTTCTCCCAACACAACTGGACGCCCATTCCTCCACGCGACACCCCAGAAAGCTTTTCTTCTTTACTTGAGGGGAATGAAACGAGAAGAGTGAGTGGCACCGATACCAGGACGACCGTGCTTGACGGGCTTGCTGTGTGGTTGTTAGACGGTGATCTTCACGTAATGCAAAGTTGAGCAAAGGCGTAACATACTAGGAGATGGAGAATTCTCCAAGGTAGTGGCCAACCATCTCAGGCTTGACTTCGATCTGGTTGAACTCCTTTCCGGAGTAGATACCGATGACGGAGCCGATCATCTCGGGGACGATGATCATGTCACGGAGGTGAGTCTTGACGAGGTCGGGCTTCTCGTTGGGCTTAGCCTCCTGCTTGGCCTTACGGAGCTTCTTGATGAGGCCCATAGGCTTGCGCTTCAGACCACGGTTGAACCTACGGCGAGCGCGGGCGTGCACGACATCGCGGAGCTGTTCGGAAGAGAGGTCGAGGAGCCTGTAGTACGTCCACATGTCAGAAAGACGCCCTTGCAAATGTTGTAACCTGATACGCCCGACTCCCACGAGAATCAAACAGTCGCGAAATAGATGCCATCGATGATATCGCTCGTTCGGAGTCGGGCTTAGCTGGTAGCGGGAATTTCAAGTTGTCACATACTGGTCGAGATCAATACCGCGGTAGGAAAACTTGCGGAAGGTTCTTCTGGCCTTGATAGCTGTAAACCGATAACCAGTCAGCGCCCTATTCGATCCATTCTTCGGTGATTTCCAGTTGCATCGCGTATATCGGATTCAAATTCGCCCCTTCGCTCCAGACAACCCATAGCTTTTTATATCCACATCATGCTTCATGTTCCATCCAATACGAATCCATCCAAGCGACTTGCATTCCGACATCGAGTAGTAGGGAAGGGAAAGGGGTTTCACGACAACGTACCGGCAGCCTCCTCAGCGTTCTAACAAAACATAGGTTAGTATACAAGACTTTGATCAACATGTCATGCTAGACGGATATGCACTCACGTATTCGGTGTCAGCCATTTTTGCGGGTGTTCCTCTCAAGGTCGCTTTTCGAACAGCACTCGAAAAGCGAAGGGACAGTGGGTTGTCGTGTCGTGTCGCTGATAAACGTTCGTCGGGCCAAATCTTGTGCTTGACGCTGCGGTTGGGAGGTGGGCTGAGATTCGCCTAAGCGACGGCTAGGGTTGTAAACCTAGACACTAGACCTGTTGTGGATTGCTTGATGTAGGGTTGAAGATCTGAAGCCCTAACTTTATTTACGAATAGGGGAATTTAAATGGACATTTGAGATTATCGCTGCTATCATTGGCTATTGGTTACGATGGTTCTGCTTCTGGTTAACTGGGGCTTAAAAGGGCCTAACTCTTTCTGATATGTAATTAATGGTTGCAGTACAATTTCGCGCCCCATAATTCATACTCGAAAGTCAGCTTACGCGCATCTACGTGATATGCAAGTCGTGGAGGTCAGATAATCTGTATTGGCTATCAACGAGCTTTTTCAGCTCACGCATGCAAAATTCGTAACTGCATCAGAGTAGCCTGAGACAAGCAGATTTGACCGAAATAGGCCATTTTCCTCCCAATACTGCAAATGACTGCCAGATTTCTGTTCCCCCATGAGATATCACGGAGTTTTTGAGGGTCGTACGAGTGAAGGCGCTTAGTCGAAGAGACCGAATCCCATGTCCTCGTCGGACTCCTCCTTCTCCTCCTCCTTCTCCTCCGCGGCAGGGGCGTCGCCACCGGCAGCAGCACCGCCAGCAGCAGGGGCAGCAGCACCAGCACCACCGGTGGGAACGGTAGCGAGCTTCTCAGCACCCTCAGAGATCAACTGTAGTGAGTAGATTGTCAGTAGACATTCCAAATATCTTGATCATCTGATGCAATACGAACCTGCTGGATGTCCTTGCCCTCGAGCTCGGAGAGGAGCTTCTGGAGACGCTCCTCATCGGCGTCAATGCCGACAGAAGAGAGAACGCCCTTGATGTCCTCAGCAGAGGGGCTGGTGTTGCCAGCAAGGGTGATAAGAAGGTAAGCGGCAAGGTGCTTCATTTTGAATCTGTACCGATTAAAACCCTGTCAGAACTCGAGTACAATTTAAATCGTGGGCATAACAAAGTAATGCTCTAGGTCATAAGCACATACTGATTTGTTTAATAAGTGAACAAGAGAATCAATCGATTTAACCGCAAGTTGGGCGGAGACTGAAACGTCGAGTTCGCTGAGGGTTAGCGATATGGATGGAGGAAAGTCGAAGATTCGGATCGCCAAAATCGCAAGAAAAGTGCGTTGCGGCTGGTGGTTGTGGCTCATGGACCCAAAAGTTCTCTAAGCGAGCCTGTGGCGCATGACAGGGACGCATTCAATTCTTACTAAGAGCCTTCCGGATGACTTGGTCTGACACGTGACCGGTTGCTTCTAGAAGACAGGATGGCAACTGGCTGCAACTTATTTAAACCGCCGGCACTCTCGTCTTGTCGACTTCTGGGTTCTATTCTCTGCGCATCTCACGGCTTCGACGTCTCTGTTTCATTCACCCTAACTCCTTTGGCTGAGCTAGGGTGACCAGACGGCTCGTCTCGAAGTCTCAAATATTGAACCTTCAATTCTCCCGCAGAAGAAGTCATGAAGTTACCCCATCACACTAGCCACCGACGGTGAACCTGGCCTCAACACTACTTCTCTCTGCGACTGAGATCTGCGCATTTGGATTCGCTTTCAGCGCCAAGATGAGCGTAAGAGCGCCTTAATCTGTTATTGCTAGTTATGATTGCTAACTTTTGACGTAGTTTCTCGATTCCGTTCTTTCATCCATAGAGACGGGCAAACCGTCTCCCATACCGCCAGTGACTGCCACACACTCGACACCCATTTCCTCCCTAACTGCCAAATCTGAGGCTCGTAGGCCCAACACGACCACTCGTGATGTTGCTGAGCGGACAAGTAATGCTGCAGGTACGAAACGCAAGGCCGAGGAACAGTTGCAGCGTCCTCAGAAGCCTCTTACCCAGTCATCTACTAGCAAACAACCCCTTTCTAAACCAATGACGGCTTCTTCGTCTGCGGTTTCTAAGCCTCGTCCCATCGCTACTCCTGCCGCAAAGCCTGCATTAAAAAGCAGTGTACCACAACCGTCAGCATCACGGAAAGCAGCTCCGGTGTCCTCAAAACCTCCTCCGAGAGGGTCATATGCGGAAATCATGGCAAAGGCAAAGGCACTACAAGAAAAGGCCCCAGCGCAAGTGGGCATGTTTAAGCATCAGGCAGTTCCTAAGGAGAAGCTCAGCAAGACGGAACGGAAGAAACGAGCAATGGAAGCACAAGCTAAGGAGAAAGATGCACGGTCTGGAAAGAAACCCGCCTTCGCACCCAATTCAGGTATCAAATCTGGCGATGGCAAACCCTCCAGGAAACGGGAACCTGAAGAGCTTTCATATAAGGGCACTTCACGGCCGACGCCATCTACGGCGGTACCGGAATACAAAGGAACTGCTGGCATACCCGCTCGGCGCCCTCCAGACGACCGGAAAGCACAGGTTCGAGCGGGCAAACGATCTAGAATGGATGAATATCTCGGAACGGATGAAGAAGACGAGGGAGATTATGCAGACGGCTATGATGACTACTATTCGGACGCATCATCGGACATGGAAGGTGGCTTCGACGATGTGGAGAATGAAGAAGCAGCCGCATTGGCAGCCGCCAGGAAAGAGGATGAAGAAGAATGGCGCTTGGAGCTTGCAGCCAAGCAAGCGAAGTTGGAACGCCGCAACAAGCTCGCTTTATTGGCATCTCGAAGACGTTGAGGCTACAAAGCAGTCTCTTTTCCTTCCTTTGGTTTTCTTTTATCCGTAATTTCTGATAAACTTCTTCGGCACATTTTCCTTTTGGCTTGGAACGGAGCATCAGCGAGAAATACCCGTTACATATGACATCTTTTTTCCCTCTTCTTCCACACTCTTGCTCTATTTCTTTTGTTTCAGGGCGAATTTTGTTTTACGATATGTTTTTTGGCTCATTTTGTGCATTAGCGAGCGTCATGGTGTTGATAGATTGGGGGGCAACGCTTGCCTGATTTTTATTTATATTTTTACTGGAATGTTCGTATTCATTGATTTGCGTCTTCATCCCTACTATGTGGAGTCAGGGGCGTCATCCTTACATATATCGGTTCCTTGTCTTGAATTCCATATTTACTTAACGTCCAACGTATAAATGGACAGCATTCTTTATCAGCCCCACTTACTAAGTAGTAGTAGGCGGTGACATCACAGCTTCTCTACCTTCTTCATCTCTCTTTGTTTTACTGTTCTACTCTCCTCTAACCAAACATCATATTCTATTGCTGGATGTGTTAATCGTACTCCCTTCAATTGAATCGGAAAGTTTTGTAACACAGCGCATCATGGAGGTTCACCATATTACGACATCCCCGAAGATTCTCTTCAGTAAGGTGCGCAAGATTGTGCCGCCTATGCTGGAGAAATTCCACAAAGGTCTGTCTCTCTTGTGGCGCTTGTACCAGAATATAAGGCCTTTATATTAATGGTAAACGCAGGCCAGCATGGTCGTGTTGCAGTCATTGGAGGGTCTCTAGAGTACGCCCACTTCTCCCTATCGGCCAGGTACCCGCTATACTGACTGATGAAGCTACACGGGAGCTCCATATTTCTCTTCCATGGCTTCTGCTAGACTAGGTATGTGAGCTAGAGTGATATGTACCGATGAAATAACGTTGACTAATCTGTTCAGGTTGTGATATGGTAGGACGCCTGAACCCATCTCACCATTCATGTGACGGTTCCTGACAGCGAACAGAGCCATGTTATCTGTGAGCGATCTGCAGCTACGGTAAGCTTATGTCGTGTCATTCTAGTTTGCTTACTCCCTGAACGTCTCGGCTGACCAGTTCGTGCAGGTCATCAAGTCTTATTCTCCGAACCTGATGGTCCACCCTTTGCTACCAAGCAGCGAGTCCGTACAAGATCCGAATTCGATTGATGCGCCAAGCCTTGCTAGTCCCATCATTGACATGTTGTCCCGTCTTCATGCCCTAGTAATAGGACCGGGGCTGGGTCGTGACGGGGTAACACTGAAAGTGGTCACGGAAGTCCTGAAAGAAGCGCGATCTCAGTCGATACCGTTTGTTTTGGACGCTGATGGACTGATGCTTGTTACTGAGCAACCAGACCTTGTTAGAGGCTACAAAGATTGCATTTTGACGCCTAACGTTAACGAGTTCAGCCGTTTGGCCAAGGCGTTAAATATCGATGTCCCAAGCATCGCGCAGATCGAGTCAGATGGAGGCGACAAGACGAGTCGAGAAACCGAAGCCTGCGAGAAGCTGTCACAAGCTCTCGGTGGCGTGACAATCATCCAGAAAGGGCCTCATGATGTGATATCAAATGGTGTAACGAGCATTGTCAACGATATTGTTGGAGGATTGAAGCGCAGTGGAGGTCAGGGAGACACGCTCACGGGATCGTTGGGCACGCTGCTGGCCTGGCGAGCAGCTTACCACAATGGACTTTGGGATTCGGGCGAGAAAGACAACCAGAAGGAGGCGCAGAGTAAGCAGGAGATCCAGGCGGAGCTTGAGTCATCGGACAGAAGAATGTCTCCAGCAACGACACTCCTGCTTGCTGCCTGGGCAGGTAGCGGAATTACTAGAGAGTGTTCTCGCCGCGCCTTTGAGGCCAAGGGCAGGAGCATGCAGGCTAGTGACCTCACCGACGAGGTCCATGAAACTTTCCTAAAGTTAATTGGTGAGCCAGAGCAATCGAAGATGCGCCTGTAAACTACCTTCGTGGCTTGCAATGTATCGTTCCAAATAGCCATACACTTTGATACAACATGAAGTTGGGGTTTAGCATATCGTAATTTAGCTTTTCTCTATGTTCCGCCATTCTCTATCCAAGAACTCTTCGTCTAGAAACACTATAAATAGTACGTTACTCTACTGTCGCCAATCGTCAAGGGAGTACATCAATCACTCTGAGCTAAATCGCTGACAAGTATAGTTTTGCAGATGAAAGAGGAGTTACCCGGATCCCTCGCTTCGAACTCTCCACTATTCGCCAAGTTCCAGGATGGCCCTCGTCGATATACGAGAGCGGCAGCGAAGACGTCTCTACTGAGAGCTGAACATCCCGTCAGGAAATGACTATCTGTTCTACCGGTCCATTCATGGCACAGACATGACAAACCTATGACAAAGGGATATACAGTGCTGACACCTCAAGACTGACAAGTCAAAGCAATTCTCTACCACCGGCGTCATCTACGCATTAAAAAGTGCCACGTCGGAACACGCATCCGGGAGAGAGATAGCGAGTCAAGACTAGATAGTTAACCTATCTAGAACCAAAGTTCAATGTCCACCCCACCACATATCGTCCCAGGCTAATACTTCCAGATCTGAACTCGACGCCTTGTCCCATGTTTCGGAGCTCGTATTCGATACCACCAGCCTTTTAACTTCCAACTCAATTGTTGAGTCCGACAAACTCTGAAATCGAAACTCTGAAAGCAATGTCTGCACAAGGAGGCATGTCTTGGGCAATACCGTTCATGTCTTTGCTATTTCCCAACCTGTTCTCGTGATACTACTTGGAGGCCTGACAACCCGTGGCTGACTTCCATTTTACGAGACACCCCCAATGTCAAATTGTCTTCTGGGTGATATAGGCCCCCAACATAGAATAAAAAAGGAAAGGAAAAGTTATATAAAGCACGATAGTATCACCATTCTCAAGATGAAATAGAACACCAACACCAAACAAACAAAGCTCATATCAAAATCCACATACTCTTCAAAACATCTATACTCATCCCAATACCTTCCTTCATAACAACCAAAATGCAAACCCTCTTAAACCTCACCACACTCCTGCTGGTGACTTCTTCCCTTGTCTTCGCAGACCCCGCCAGGCCCGTCTGCGGCACCTGCAACCCTCTGTCGGGTCAAAACAACTGCGACATTACGACCTCCTGCATTAACACGGGCACCCGATTCCATTGTGCCTGTCGCGCAGGATACAAGGCGTCGAAGAACAATAACGACGTCACCAAGCAGTTCCGGTTGAACGTGCCCAATTTCCAGTTCCTGGTGTTCACTCCCGAGTTCACTCAGTGTAATACGCTTTGTGATAATGCGTCCGGAGCGGGTCCGGATCTCTGTGCTGAGGTGCCGATTCAGTTTCAGTGTCCGGTGTAGGCAGAGCCTTTGTGCTCTTCTATAAGGGCTGTGTTGGGAGGGAGGACGTGTAGTGTGATAATTAGGCGGTGCTGGTGAGATTGGTGGTTTTTGTCCGAGTTAATCTACGTTCCTTTGGGTTGGCCTTAGCGATACGGTCTCACTTTGTCATTCCTTAATATTAGCTCTGATTGGAATGTTATGTCTACTCAACTATTTCCACTGGTTATATTGGAAGATGTAATGAGGTATATATTAGTCCCAGACTCCATTGAGAAACTCTGCACCATAACACCCGTGCCAAGTCTAGCCTCTCGAAAGATCATCAATACGGAACGATAGCCAAATTCAGACGACATGATTAGCCCTGAATAGCTCATGGCAAGTAAACATTAGATATTCTTTTTCGACGAGCACTATGAAAAAACACCCTTCTTTACATAGCCATTTCCGCATCGCCACCAATAAACATCAGACGTGTGCCATTGCCATTAACTTGCCAGACCTGGAAGAGTAATATATTAGCTGCCGTCGAATACAAGAGAGAACTGGGCTTGATTGAGATACTTACTCCGAGCTCGTCATACTCATCGACAGTCATCGTGAGCTGGTCTTCAGTGAAGCCCTTGGCAAGGACTCGTTCTCTGATCCTCCGCATATTGAGTTCACCGTCTTCTCCTACGGCTGCGGCACCACTCTCCCACATGCTGCGAATGAGGTGGTAGATCTTGCTGCTGGGTGTCTGATCCGCACTGCCCTGGCCATCGTTAGACAGAGATTCCCTGCTGACATCAACGAGACGTAAGGCCTCATCCACGTCTTCTGTAACAACCTCCTCGCTAAACCGAAGACGAGCGAGCGCCTGCGAAAGACGAACAACACCCAGTAAGGTACGTGGGGTCACATGAGCGAACTGCTTCTTCTCACTCTCATCGCGCTTCTGCTGCTTCCTCATCCTCACGTATGCTCCAACCATGTAGTCTGAGACAGAAGCGGGAACGACGGGCCGGTAGGTGCGCGCCTTCGCAATATACTGGCGAACCTCATGAGGCGTAAACATAACACCCGCATCCTCGCTTTCGGGGTGCTTGTTATGCATGTGAACGTAAGTGACGTGGTGTGCCAGTTCTTCATCACCATCACGAGATGGGGTGTCGAGAATGAGGAACATGACATCGAAACGCGAAAGCAAAGCGGCAGGGAGGTTGATGTTCTCGACCGGAGACACACGTGGGTTATACCGTCCATAAAGCGGGTTAGCCGCCGCCAAGATAGACGTACGAGCATTGAGAGTGGTTGTGATTCCTGCCTTGGAGATGGAAATCGTCTGCTGTTCCATCACTTCGTGGATCGCGGTTCTGTCCGAGTCATCCATTTTGTCAAACTCATCAATACAACAGATACCATTGTCGGCCAGGACCAAGGCTCCTCCCTCTAGTACCATCTCGTCCGTTACAGGATCTCTCATCACAGCAGCCGTGAGACCGACGCCGCTACTTCCTCGGCCAGTAGTGTACACACCTCGAGGAGCAACCTTAGCAATATACTTTAGCAACTGCGACTTGGCAACACCAGGATCACCCATTAAGCAAATGTTAATATCACCACGAATGTGCATGCCGTCACCCATCTCTTTCGTAACACCTCCGATGAGCAGAAGAAGCAAAGCCTTCTTCACGTCAAGGTGGCCGTAGATCTCAGGGGCAATAGAGCGTGCCAGGTACTCATACATGTTTCCAGACTTTTGATGTTGTTCGATTTTGCGAAGAGTCCGGCCATCCATCGCCGTTTCATCGTAGGACTTCTTATGTTGGGTTATATGTTGAGCCTCCATGTAGGTGTCGGTCAGCAGCCCAGCACGGATAGCTCTGAATCCGGTGTAAGGAGTGGGGAGGAAGATTCCTGCAATATCAACCACATCACCAGGATTTAATTGCCGTGTCAAACTGCCATGGCAGTGAACGGTCATTGTTCGGGGAATATGGCCGACGGGGACCTGGTCTGCCATTTCCTGGACCTTCACTTCTTGGAAGGGAACAAACTTCGACGCACGAGTAGACAGGAATAGCTGTCCCTTAGAGTTATTCTGTTGGCACTCATTTGACTTACACTCTGTCATGGGAAGGTATGATTTCGTAGTGATTGGCTGGAAGACCTCAGATCCACAGCGATCACAGGTGTAGGCGTTAATTTGGACAGCCGGCTTGACATCGGAGACACGGGTAGTTATGCCACGGACAGTAATTAAACTACCTAGATGTTCCGCTCTTACATTTCGAACTGCAAGGGCTTTGGATTCACGTTCGCTGCTTGACCCAGAGGGAGTAATAGGCTTAAAGTTCAAGGTGTATCGACGGGTTAACTCCGGGGGGAATATAGATGGCTCAGCTGCTGTGTCCATGTCGGCTTCCATAGCCATGGCCATGGCCTCGTTTCGCTTCTCACGCTGGGACATGATAACATCAAGGACATCGTCCTTGAATCTATTTTCAATCAGCCGAAAGTTCCTCTTATTCAAGGACTTGATATCGTCGCATACGTGATCTCCTTGGTTTCTTTAGGCATGACAGCATCAGCCGCCTGTGAAAGAACATCAACATAACGCTTGGTGTTCTTTAGCACAGATTCGACAAGTTTGAGGTCCGTCTCCTCCGGGAGTGATTTCTCGAACTATTATGATAGTGTTAATCGGGTATCAAGAAGCAAGAGCTAGAGTACCCACAGTAGCTAGATCATCCAGCTCAATCAGGATATTTGTGCGTTCACGATCTGCTATTTCTTGGAGAATCTGCATATATTTGACTTTTGGTTCGCGGCGCCTGCGGCTGGATCCTTCTCTTTGAGCACCATTCCCATCTTCTACATCATCCATAAAATCATATTCATCGCTGGTGCGGTCTCCATCGACGTGCAAGTCCTCAATAGCCTCTGTCGCAGCGGAAACGGAAGCTGATTCAAAGGTTTTGAAGTGCGTTAGGAAGTCCTTGAAGGCATCCAATTGCGCTGCATAGTCGACAGGAGCGTGGTATTGAAGCAAAGCCATGATGCGACACTGGGAAAAGCCAGTTTAGATTGGCAACTATCTGGCAAAGTGATGCGAATGGCGACAGTACTAGAGTCGCATCGACCGGGGGGCAGAAAGAAGCGGCGGGCGTACTCTTGGTGATTTCTCGGAGAAGTTGGTAGTGGATCAAAACTCGGAACCCCAGCAACCGCAACCTGAGGCCGCCCAACACGTCGCGACGCGAAACTAACGCGCATCTCATTCTTAAAATGAGCCTAGTCTAAAAATGAACTAGTTCAATATGCACGTGTATCGGAACGGAATAAGCCTCGGCCCGAATTCTATGAACCGGCCGGCTCGGCGCACGGCGCATGGCGGGCGATTGATTGCGGAGTCGATGTCCGGGGACATGAACAGTTGCGGCCTCCTCTCTTCTTCAAGAGCTCGCTGTTACTTGTGAACAGAAGGTATCTACCCTTTCAGCGCCTGATAATGGCGCCCAAGAAGCCCTCTACCACAGCAGAGGTCGCCCTCGTACCTTTGAAGAACTGTTTAGTGAACCTGCCGCCATCGTTGGTCACACTACTTGTCAATGCCAACACTGTAAGCTAGCTCTTCGTCCGCTGTGGATGCCAATTCGCTTGGATTAGCTGATACCCCGTTAGCCTGCGCAAAATGTGATTGTCGAGCTGCAATACAGGCCTACACCTGGAAAGACTGGAGCCAATTCAACACAGCGATCATGCTATCTGGGGTGGACCGGGATGCCAAGCAAGCGAAAGCTTGCACCCGTTGTTGGAAAGGATGGTATCAACAGTGGCCCCTCTTCTAGAGAGCAGGATATCTCTATTGTTGAGTTGGACTCCACATTTGGGAGAGTCTTGGGCCTATCTGAAGGTCAAAGAGTATGCTCATTAACTACTATGCTACGTGTCTACCAGGCTAACGTGCTGTCAGGTCGGGATATTCATTCATTTAGACCCTCCGGTAGCGCATACTATCAATATAGAGCCCTTGACTCCTGAAGATTGGGAAAGTATGGTTAATGCTCTCGACCCTTCTGAGATTGTGGTAACTAAGTCATCTTGTTTACAGTCATCGAGCTCCATGCGACATTTCTAGAACTTAATCTTCTGTCCCAAATCCGGGCTCTACCAAATCCTACATATAGCACGGCTCAGCCGGACCATATGCACCCTCTTGCGCTGCATCTTTCCCCGACGTCAACCGCCAATATTGTCATCACGTCTCTCACACCCGCGCCAGGGGACACCTCTCCATTTGCCAAGATAGCACCTGATGCCGAAGTTATTGTTGCCCCGAAAGTGCGTCCCAAGAATACGAGAGGAGCTCGAGGGGATAGTCGAAGTGTTACTGGGAGCAGCCGGAGAAGTGTGGGGGGGCGGAGTAGCGGAAGTACTGTACGGCCAAAAAGTGGGAAACCTGACTCAACAAGCAGAGGCTGTCTCTATTTCAGAGGTATCGACCGGCAGTGGCCTGACCAGTACTTTGACGGAGAATTGGAAGATGATAGCAATGAGGGCTTCCGCGTTTGGGTAGACCCCGACATACTTGCATCAAACGAACTTCGTGGAGCTAGCTGGGCGTGCATCAACATCATTCAGCCGTCCGGCTTGAAACCTCCGCCCGACCCTCAACAGCAGTTAAACCAAGCAGAACAAAAAACAAGCGAGGCCGGCGTACCTACAATGAAACTAGTTGCGAAATTGCTTCCGTGGGTAGACGCTCCGCACACTCAGCACCTGGCTATGTCTACGCTGTTATGTTCTGCTCTTGGTGTTGAGGGTATGGTAGGTGGTATCGTTCGTGTCGAAGCAGCCCCTCCGCCGTTGCAACGGTCGGCTGTCAAGTCACTCAAGGTCTATCCTTTCATGGCTGATGCATCAAAGAAAAAAGATGGGCTGAAATTCGGTGCTGACACCGCGGCGGCGAAGGATGCACTAGCTGAACGTATAAAAGTAATATACAGCAGCCCTGGCACGGAAAAGGGGTTACTATCGGGGCCTCTAACGGATGGAATGGTCCTCCCAAAGACAAACAATCACGCGACAGTGTCTGCATTTGACGGCGCCATTATCCGATTTGATCCTCCCCTAAAGACCGCCTCCGAACCAACATTCGGGTGGTTGCAGGGATCGGAAGCTAAGCTACCACTTGAAATCCAGTCTGAAATTCCTCGGCCCCCAGATCAAGACCCGTCCCCTATGCCCACAGAAGACACAATACCTTCTAGAGCACCCGAGATGGTGGGCATCGACAAGGTCATCTCACAGTCTCTTGATAATCTAACTAAGTCATCATCAATCCTGGTGACCGGCGGTCTTGGTTCTGGAAAAACGAAGCTTAGTCACCTCCTGGCACATCGCGTTCGTAGAGACTACCTCTTCAATGTGAAATACTTCTCTTGCCGAAAACTCGTCACTGACGAGACCCGGATCGCCAATATCAAAGAGACTCTGAACCGCCTTTTCATGTCCGCTTCTTGGTGCTCTCGCCTAGGCGGGCAGTCAGTCGTGATCCTGGATGATCTCGATAAACTGTGTCCGGTAGAAACGGAGCTGCAGGTAGGAGGAGATAATGGCCGCAGCCGTCAGAACAGTGAGGTGATCTGCTCGATAGTGCGAGAATACTGCTCCGTGAATTCTTCAGTAGTGTTGTTAGCAACAGCACAGTCAAAGGAGTCGTTGAACAACGTTATAGTCGGAGGCCACGTGGCCCGTGAAATCATTCACCTGAGGGCTCCGGATAAGGAAGGCCGACGAAAGGTGCTGGAGCAGCTGACGAGTCAAGACAGAGGTGCTAATATCACGACTAACGGTCATGCACGAGAAGCCAGTGGATCTACCCAGGGCTCATGGTTAGATCCGTCGAATCCAGATAGCCGCCCGAGTTCTGCTGGAGCGGATGGTTTTGTCTTAAGTCGTGATATAGATTTCCTCGAATTGGCTGGCAAAACGGATGGATATATGCCTGGCGACTTGGTTCTACTCGTCTCTCGAGCGAGGAATGAGGCTCTAATCCGCTCTGTACAAGAACTATCGGGAACCTCGAAGGCGATCACTCTTGGCGCTGACGACTTTGAGAATGCGATTAAAGGCTTCACACCGGCCTCCCTTCGTAACGTTACTCTTACATCTTCTACTACAACATTTTCCGGTATTGGTGGCTTGCACGAGACTCGGCAGATGCTTTTAGAGACTCTCCAATACCCTACCAAGTACGCTCCCATCTTTGCACAATGTCCTCTGCGTCTGCGGTCTGGCTTGCTACTTTATGGCTTTCCTGGTTGTGGGAAAACCCTTCTGGCCAGTGCTGTCGCAGGCGAGTGTGGCCTGAATTTCATAAGTGTTAAAGGCCCTGAAATCCTGAACAAATATATCGGTGCAAGTGAGAAAAGCGTACGGGATTTGTTTGAAAGAGCTCAAGCCGCTAGACCCTGTGTCCTGTTCTTCGATGAATTCGACAGTATAGCGCCTAAGCGTGGTCATGATTCCACAGGTGTCACAGATCGCGTGGTTAATCAGCTGCTCACACAGATGGATGGCGCGGAAGGGCTTTCTGGAGTTTATGTTCTTGCCGCTACTTCTCGACCGGATTTGATTGATCCTGCACTGCTGCGTCCGGGTCGTCTAGATAAGTCTTTGCTCTGCGGTATGCCGAGTCACTCAGACCGTGTCGACATTATCAAAGCTGTCAGTAGCAAGCTGGTGATGACCGACGAAATTGCGACTCGCCTAGATGAAGTGGCCGCGCGGACAGAGGGCTTTTCTGGAGCTGATCTTCAAGCCGTTGTCTATAATGCCCATCTTGAAGCCGTCCATGATGCTCTCGGGGATCGCACCGCTGATAAGCCAGCAGCCAAAAGCAACACCAAGCAATCAGCGAGTACCAGTACCAAGTCGTTCATCCAGTTCCTTTACTCCACGTCAGAGCAGGGTAATGGAACAGTATCCATGCCTCCACCTGCAGCTGTTGCGGCCAAGCTTGATGCAATCAAGAGTGCTCGGCGGCGCCAGCGGCAGATTGAGCAGGGCACAGCCAACACCACGACTCCTGCGACGAATGAAACCACTCAGGAAGAACCTCGTCAAGAAATCGTGATAAGATGGGAACACATGGAGCGATCACTTAGCACAACACGTAGCTCGCTCAGTGCTGCAGAGCGACGGCGACTTGAGGCGATATACCGCGAGTTCGTGGTTGGTCGGAATGGCGAGATGCCTAATGGCGAGGGCGGCCGAGAGATTGGAGGGCGAACAAGCCTGATGTAAATGCATAGTTAAATATGTACTGTACATTGATATTCAATAGATCTATATAGACGGTTGTACATTATTGTATAGCTACATGTAGCAATTTTTGCAGGTACTGCACTGTCAGTAGTGGAGGTTTGTTCAGTCATGTTGAAGAGGTATGACAACGTCAAAATGTCAAATCCCCATTTGGAACCCTCAAGCAAAAGAGACACGAGAGTCACGAAACATCCAACCTCCAAATTAAGCCTATAAAGATATCTAAAAAGAAAAAGAGGAAAAATAAGACATAGCGTCTCTTCTTACAAGATGGTCATCCTTGTACAGGGGCCATGCTAATCTTCTCTGTATCGTGTCAGTTTGAATTAGATATCACTTAGAGTTGATTTGTATACTATCATTCGATTCATCATGACATGGCCAAATTGGTCAGCATGCAAAGATTTATGGCTCTGTGATACACGTATCATAATGAAGAAACAGAATTATGTTCTGGGTTATCTATAACTAAAATTTTTTTTTTTGCCTTTGAAATATAGTATTGTACGCTAGATAAAAGTAAAGCAGCACAACACTCAACTAAGCCCGATAGTTTGTCATGGCTAGAGTTGCTTACTGTCAACTAAAGGATATCTTCCCAGATCAAGACTACCCAGTCAGAGTCAACGCTGACCGCACATGGCCATTGCATCGAAGCAAATCCATGCATGGGGCTGGGCAGTAGCTTGCTTTGTTCTTCGGTTCGACGTCCAGAGCTGTCATGACCAGGTCGAAAGTTGTCTCAAGGACAGTGCAATGAAAACAGCCAGAGAGCAGGTTATTGAGATGCTATATCAACGGTTTCAAGATATACAGAATATACAACTAGTAGATCTAGGTAAGTATTAACCGGTTTCACATTAAATAGCCATGTGCCGGTATCTCTCGTATTAGAAAGAGAGTACATAAACAGAACTTCCAAGAAAGAGAACCGTTTGGTAGCATATTAGATATAATCTCGAGTTATACAACCATCATGGTAATGAGGATCATCCATAAACAGTCGTCGGAAAGGTCCTGGAACAAAAGAGGTTGAAATACAACTCACAGAATCAGAAGAGATGCGAAGCTTGGTCGACGGTGTTATTAATGGATATCGAACACCGCCTAGTCAGACACTGCGAGTGCGGTGGAGATTATGGCTTTTCAAGCGAAAGGACTAAACCCGTTGTCAAAGAAACATGCACAGAGGGACTGAAGAAGTATTTTCTATCCATGCCGAAAACTTTCTTCAAGACTTCCTCAAGAAAGTGCTCATACCTTCTTTTAGTATCAAGGATATAGACCAAATTGGAGAATACCCCTAAACATCAAAAGCAGACCGGTGTATACTTACATATTCTATGGCTAGAAAGCAATTTCATATATTCTAGTTTTATACCGGACACCGTGTTTGCTTATCCAATCGAAAACGAGGCCATTGGCGCCAAAGACCCCCAAAGTCGCCCTTCATCTCTTCATTAATGTGTTTGAAATACTGGTAAAGTAAAATATTCCGGATTTGCTGTTTTATACACCCAGGATAGATGTCATCATGAACATGTGTCTTGCAGTGAGCCCAGTATCTGTCACAAAAGAATGCTTCTGCACATAACAGGGATATGGATATGGTGTATTCTTCATATGCTCAAAGTTCGGCATCTGGACAAATATCTTCCGGTCAATGTCAACGGGTGTAGAGCACGAGGCGATGATTTTTCTTGGATTTTATTCGAAGCTATATTCATCAGGGACTGGTATCCCACACTACACCACAATGAAGTGACGAGTCCCATGACATCTAAGCGACGTCCCAGATTACAATTTCCCAAATAGCTCAATTACCTTAGTAGACAGCCCGACCAGCTAGCCAGTAGGCAGATAGATCAGCTGGCCAGTTGCCTAAGCTGACTGAGGCTTCGTAGACGGAGTGATTAGTCTACTGCCCACCAGTCGGCCTGTTGAATAAGGGTAGGAGCAATGCAATTTTTTTGAATAGCCTAGACAGCAGAGTCGGATTAAATACTTCAAGTCATCTGAGGAATTTCTGCATACATATACATGTGTGGTTGTCGGTGCTGGTACCAATGGGGATATGCCTTTTTTATGGCAAGCTTTTTAAGCCGTGCTCAGAACAGCTATTAGTCTTATTCCAAGACAAATATACAACAAGTCGTCTGGGTGGCGCAATTGGTTAGCGCGTTCGACTGTTATCAAGAGATTGATATCGAGAGGTTGAGAGTTCGAGCCTCTCCCTGGACGTTTCTTTTTGCACCTTTTTTTCTTGTGTTTCAGAAGTTGTTGTTTTCCACCTGATAGGCCAACTGCATGCTTTCTTTAGCATCATCATCAATATTTATTATGGGCTATTATGGTGAAATTAATCCTAAGTCCTTAGGGTGGTATATTTGTCAACTAGGGATAAGGTGTGCTAGTCATTCAGTCTTTCACCAGTCTAGAATAGTAAGACTAATCCAGGGCAACCTGAAGAACATTTTCAATAAATAGATAAATGCCGTCTCTAGCGGAAATCTTTCTGATATGTACTTAACATCTACGGAGTATGTGTAGTGCTTGTACGGTCTCCTCAGGCAAGCAGTTGGAGAAAACCATCTAACTAGGTGCCTCCAAAAAAGCGGGCGTTTTCACAAACAGAAAGATAACACAGGACAGACTAACTTTCAATCTCTCGATTAACAGTCGAGGAGCTAATTAATTGCTCTGCCCAGATGAACTAGTTATGTTGCTCACGTTCCCTAGTAACCCTATTAACCACAAATGAAAGAGCAATCTTTCGTCCCATTGAGTAGACATGCTTGTGTATATATCAAGTCTCGATACTATCTCTGTACACACCATATCCCTATCTATTCGGTATTTTTTTTCGACTTCATACACACAATGTCACCTATACCTATAGCACCGAATGTGGCTATATAAGCTCCTAAGCCATGATTGTTTAGGAAGCAATCATGATAGGATTTTCTGGCCTATGTGGTACTAACGGCTATGGGGACTATCAAGACTACACAAGTTCAACTCAATATATACATGGTATGCCGTATCAAAGCAATAAACCCCACCCCCAACGCGCTGACCACAGCCCCAGTGCTCCAAACTAGTCAGTACGATCCTCCCCCAGTTCCTTCCTTACAGCAGAAAATCCGAGAAGGGGTAGACAAGCTAATTTACTCAATTATGCCCATCAACAAAACTTATGTTTTGAGCACATTAAGCAGATATATCTTGCCTGTTACTCACATAGTTCCGATACTCATCATAACCTAGGAGTAGCTGAGACACGTTCTGGCAAGACCTTCCCTTCTCAGTAACTACTTACTTCTCGGGTTTGGAGGCCTAGTTTTAGAGCCTATGACACTAAACCCATTCGTCTTTACAGGTACTGTGGTAAACAGATATGTAAACGCCCCTTCAAACTGAGGACTCCCGGGTCTTGGCGTGAGACAAGTTTGAGGATGTCTCTAGACGAGGCAGGTGAGATATGTACCATAGTTGAAAATATTCATGTGCATCATACGAGGCGTGAGCCGATTATGAATACGCTCTATGTCGCTCGAGATTGATACTTGGTATTGGGTTGTGTATAAGAGGTGATGTAAGATAGCAAGTTAAGACCATATTATAGAATAGCAAATATGTAATATACCCGAGAGCAAGACATCAGCCAGGTGTTCATTTCATCTACGTTAAATAGCTCTGGGAAGATTGGGTCCGGATACCTCTTAAAGTTGAGTGTTCTGGAGTACAGGGTATGTTACTCGTGAGGAACCCAGGGAGATAAATCGTGTGGAAGACTCTAGCTCCCAGGGCTACATGCTTGTATACCCAATTATAGCCCAGGGAGAAGTGGTGAGTGCATGATTACTTTTGGTGGGGGAGGTTTGAAATCAATTAGTTCGTAGATTGAACCGAGGGCTGGGTTTAAGGATATACGATCGTCGCTATAGGAAGCTTTTAGTAGAAATTTTCAGTTATACTAATCCTTTAATGAGATTTTCAATATCTCAGGCATAAAGACGTACTTAATAAGAGTCCTCAATAGCTTGATATGATTCGATGTTTGGTGTTTTACTGTACTGGATGAGTGAGTGGAGGACTTCTTGTAGATGATGACCTTAGTTTTCGGAATTAAGAATTAAGGCTCCAGGTAGGCTCGTTAAATTACCTTGGGCATTTGCGTAAGTGCATTGAGCAATCATAAGAGGCCCAACATAGTATAAAAATTCCTGAGGGGCTATCTGGAGTTCATCTCCACGAAAATGATGGTCTTATTGTGCCCGTCTAGACTCTCTTAAGCACTAAAGCTCATTGTGAAACTTATTTCCGCGTACCGGTCGGATCATCCAGCTGGCAAGCCCAATCAGAACTGCCAGCTGGAATCCTCAGCCAACAAAAAAATATACTTCATAGTGCGAACGAAAACAAAAGCAAAAGTATAAACGTCCAGGGAGAGGCTCGAACTCTCAACCTCTCGATATCAATCTCTTGATAACAGTCGAACGCGCTAACCAATTGCGCCACCCAGACGACTTGTTGTTTTAGGCTTTTAATATAAGCTTGATAATGGGCTATTATAAGCCTTGAGTTACGATGGTAAGTCAAAGACGAAACCTCGCGACGAATCTTCGATCACAGGGTGTCTAACTACGCCCTCTTCCTGTTAGGTAGTTTTAGGGCCCTTCAGTTAGACTAAGTCTCACATCTTAGTGGATCAGTATTTTACTCAACCATTCTATTAGTGTACTCTTCCGAATATGTAGACCCATCACGATGCCTCCAATATTCTCTCCATTTGCTTATTCAACCCAGCTAACTATTTACAGTATAATTTTACTTTACATGACAGAAATATAAGGCCTTGTCAGCGGATATTAATCTCCAGGATTAATAATCTACCGCCAGAAAATATGGCTTTTTTCCTTCAGATGGTCTTTTAACTCTTGGTTCTCAATAATATAGCTACTGTCACAAATTAGATCAACTGCTTGAAATATGCCAGTAGAGTATTTTCTCTAGCGCGACGCTCCTCTGGCCCGAAGCTATTATATAGGTCAGACATTTACAGTACTTCAATAACCTCACCTGTTGACTCAAGACACAAGTACACTACAGGGTTGTGTCACGGATCGAATGAATGACGATTCGATCCAGATGGTCTACAGTAAACCCAGGGTCGAGAGGAGAATAGAAAATACCGGATAGGCAATCTTGTATTTCAAGCAGCGTTTCAGAAAAATACCACAGCACTGCTTTCTCTACGATTCGAAAGAGATATATCTGCCCTGAGGCTGACTGTGACCAGCACCTTTCATTCAATCATGTTCCATCACGGCTGACTGACCTAGCTCTATTGAGTGTAGTCGGCAGTCGAGCCACTAAGTACACCCTACATACTTACATAGTACTATACACAGACTCAGAGAGGTCGTTTTAGCAAATCCCAGAAGAAAAAAATCGAGCGAGGTGGGCCCGGGAAAAACTGAAGCGTCCAGGGAGAGGCTCGAACTCTCAACCTCTCGATCTCAATCACTTGAGATAACAGTCGAACGCGCTAACCAATTGCGCCACCCAGACGAGTTGTTGAAAGCGGCCTTTAATACTAAATATGAGCATAATCATATGTGACGTTCAGGTAAGGCACTGTTATGTAGATCAGGTAGCTAGAATACTACTAAGCAATGGAGTCGCATGAGGTAATGTGTAGCACGAGCAAAGTCCGTTCGGTATACTCTTTGTACCCATTTGACGGAAGATAGCTAGGGACAATTTGTATATATATATATATAATATGTATGTGTGCGTGTGCGTGTGAGGCACCTCAGGGAGCATAGATCAAATGCCAGTAGCAGGACTTTAAGATGTCGACGTTTAGGTACTAATAATATAATCTACGAATATACTCTAATCAGGTAGGATATGGTATGCCGAAGCTGTGGTCGAACCAATATGCCAGGATAAGTACCAGTGCCCTATGTTCCAGATGTGGAAAAAGATGCCCCGAAACGGATTGCGTTCAATCGGTTCCGATATCCGAAGATATGCGGAGAGACGGTTATTCCTTATCAACGCCGCGCAAGCCGAGGGCCGAGTGCAAACTCCTTTTGTTGGGACTGAAATCATTTCTTGCATCTTTATTATTAGTCTACATCCCTTCATGACCTCTCATTTCCCTACCATCCTCTCCCTCCTAGTTGATTCGCCTTTTCTGTCAAGTCCCTAGCTACAGATCATTCACCCCATTCCCCCATCAGCCTAACCCCAAATTTCCCCGCACTGTTATCATGCCAGTCTCCTCACAATATCCGCCGGTCGACATCCCAAACGTCGACCTTTGGACGTTTCTATTCGAGCGCAAAGATAGAGCCTTTCCCGATGATAAAAGTAGGTCCGTCCCTTGCTTGCTTTTTTTGAACCTCTCTTCGAACAACGCTTCTTTACGTCACATTCGCGAGCTAACTATTTTATCAGTCATCTACCAGGATGCTGACACACAGCGTTACTACACCTACCAAGGTCTGAGAGATGCGGCACTCGCCTTCGGGATAGGGTTGAAAGCTGTTTATGACTGGCGCAAAGGGGATGTCCTAGCTCTGTTCACTCCCAACAGCATTGATACCCCAGCGGTGATGTGGGGAACCCATTGGGCTGGAGGTGTCGTATCTCCGGCGAATCCAGCCTATACCACCGAGGAATTGGCCTTTCAGCTGCAGAATTCGGGCGCGAAAGCTGTAATTACCCAGGTTCCTCAGCTACCGGTAGTCAAAGAGGCCGCCAAGCGAGCCAACATCCCCGAGGACCGTATCATTCTCATTGGGGACCAGCGCGACCCAGAAGCCAGGATTAAACACTTTACGTCTGTACGAAACATCTCGGGGGCGACCAGGTTTCGCAAAACTAAGATCAACCCGGAGAAGGACTTGTCGTTCCTCGTCTATTCCTCGGGTACTACCGGAGTTCCAAAAGGTGTTATGCTTTCTCATAAGAACATCGTCGCCAACTCTCTTCAGTTAGCAGCCGGAGAAGCTGGGAACCTAACTTGGAATGGAGGCCCCGATGGAAAAGGAGACCGGCTGCTAGCGTTCCTGCCATTTTTCCATATCTACGGTAGGCTCAGCTAATTCTTACCTATAATTCGGAAACACTGATAGACTAATTAGGCTTGACCTGTCTCGTTCACCAAACTCTGTACCAAGGCTACCAACTGGTTGTTATGCAAAAATTTGACATTGAAAAATGGTGTTCTCATGTTCAGAATTACCGTATCACGTTTAGCTATGTTGTGCCCCCGGTCGTTCTACTGTTGAGCAAGCACCCCATTGTCGACAAATATGACCTATCCAGCCTTCGTATGATGAACTCGGGTGCTGCCCCGCTCACACACGAACTTGTGGAGGCTGTGCACGCACGGATTAAATGCGGCATTAAGCAAGGCTACGGTCTAAGCGAGACCAGCCCAACGACTCACACCCAGCCCTGGGAGGAGTGGCAGACAAGTATTGGATCTGTCGGTAAGCTGTTGCCGAACATGGAAGCCAAGTACATGACCATGCCTGAAGATGAATCAGAGCCGCGCGAGGTGGCAGCCGGTGAGGTAGGGGAGCTGTACATGAAAGGCCCCAACGTTTTCCAGGGATATCACAACAACCCATCCGCAACCGCCGATTGTCTTTCGTCCGATGGATGGTTCCGTACCGGAGATGTAGGCTATCAAGACAAGAACGGAAATTTCTACATCACGGATCGTGTCAAAGAGCTCATCAAGTACAAGGGCTTCCAGGTAGCCCCGGCAGAGCTAGAGGGAATACTGGTAGATCATGAGGCAATTGATGATGTCGCCGTTATTGGTGTTGAAAGTGAAGCCCACGGCACTGAGGTGCCAGTCGCCTACATTGTACGGAGTGCGAAGAGCAAGGCTTCAGGCATTAGCGCAGAACAAGAGGCGGCAAACATCATCCAATGGCTGGATGGAAAAGTGGCGTACCACAAGCGACTCCGCGGCGGAGTACGCTTTATAGATGCAATTCCTAAGAGTGTAAGTGGGAAGATCTTGCGGAGAGTGCTTAAGCAGCAAGCCAAGGAGGAGGCAGCGGCACCCAAGGCCAAGCTATGATTGAAGTAGACCAAATTTCGATACAAATGGGCATCACGTATATAGGTACTAGTTCATGCACCCTCCATTATACAGCCAATATCAGACAAATCATTAGGTCAATTAATCTTAAGCTGGCCCAGTGGGACCAGAGTATCTTGCATATATGTGTGTTTGTTAATAATCGGATGTCAGCCTTAGTTAGTCCTTGCCATTCATCATATAGGAAGTATGCATATTGTAGACTATGTTTACGGGAAGAACCGCTTCACCATTGCATCTACATCCTCCCCTTCAACCGCATCCACCTTTTCTCTTGCTACTCGTTCCACCGCATCATCAATCGGCTCATCCCCATTGATCAGGTCATACCAGCCGTTCGTATCAGAACGAGCAAGCAACCGATCCGCCACAATTGCCACATCCTCTCTGGTCACTTCGCCCCGACCTTCTGTCTTACCCAGCTGCACCTTTCCCGTTGCCGGTTTGTCGGTCAGAGTGCCCGGCCGCAGACAAATAGCTTGAAATGGCGATGGATAACTCTGCTTGCGCCGAGCCGCAAACGCAGTCAGGTACTCGTCCGCTTCCAATTTAGCCTTCGCATACGCGGGAAGAACGTTATAAAAAACGTTCTGTAGAGACTTCCAGCTCTCATCAGATATCCAGCTCGGCTGAACACGCCGACTACCGATCCAGGAAATGAGGAAGAACTTGGTCACACGGGGGGAAGCAAACGACGCAGAGATAAAGTGTTTGGCGGCGCGTTCGTCAATGGCAAACGTCCGCTCGGGGCCCCCTTTACCGCCAGCACCTTGGTTGCACGTTAGCCTTGTGTTTGTCACACTACAGGACATCTTATGAATGGCACTGGTGTACCGAAATTGGGGTGTTGTGGCGCATACCGGCTGACCATACTACATAATCCGGAGACACAGCGTCAATGACCTTCTTTGCATCTTGATCGCTCTTGACATCGTCTAGACTGGAGATGAGGACATTCAGTTTGCCCTTGGCGCCTTTGCCCCGCGCGAGAATCTCATTCTCATGTTCCGGATTGCGGATCACGCTGGTAACATTCCAGCCGCGGTTGAGAAGGAGTGGGGTTAAGTGGAGGGCGATTTTGCCGTGACCACCGAGGAGAAGGACTTGCATTGTGGATTTATCTAAAGAGCTTAAGCTGTGCTATTAGGATGAGAGGCCAACTGTGCTTCTTTTAGTGAGGGGCAGCGACTTTATTGTGCCTCAGGCAAATATCGATGCATTAATAATGATGTCGTCATTTATTGTGAGTGCCTCAGGTATCGAGCCGGGCATGTCCCAGTTTCTCAAGGGGTGAGTGATTATTGAATGATATGTTCAATTGATCTCCTGATCCCCCGCGTCGAGTCAGGTGAACCGTCTTGCTTTGCTATCCCTTGACAATACCATTGCCATCCTTTCTTCACTGTTGCCCAGGTATCAGAGCTAAACCACAGAGCATTTCCCCACACTCATACTTCCCGGGTTAACCTTTTCTGTTGAACACAACAAGAGCCTTGTTGAACCTTACGCCGGATAAAAAAACCCAAGAGCAAAGGGAAAACTTAATTACCTTCAACGGAATTACAGCAAAGGATGAAAGAAAATTCCTGACAATCATCAACGAAGCCTTGGTCTGATTATTGACCGCTCAAATCCCACAACCACCTTATCTGAAACACCGAGCTTTCGGTTATTGACCGGGGAAAAAAGGACCGCACACCTAAAGTTTGATCGCAGTCGAATTGATCTGATTTCTGGTTAGTGGGGGTAATCATCCATGGTTTTTGTTATTATTTTCGGCGGGGATTCGGCGGGGGAAGTGTTCTAGACTTCTTGTCTAATTTTTCTTGCACACTTGCTTTGTAGTCTAAGTCTTGGAATTGTTTAGACTAAATACTATGAGTTCTGGAACTCATGTCATTTTAGCTAATGTCAGCAAAGCCCTTTTTAATTAATCGAAGGTTTGAAGGGGGGTGAGATGGACCCATCCGATCTTGGGGCTATTTTACCACGCCTCTTTTGAGGTCTCCATATCCAAGGATATTGAACTATTGACGAGGATTTCGTTGACCTTGTGATTTAAGTAGAGGATCAAGATATTGTACTCTGTATGTATGTATGTACCTATGATGTTCGGTAGAACGGATCTCAGCTTTCATTAGGGCTATCCAATCCTTAGTAAATTGTCTTCGACCCCTTCGAGTTTAGTCAGGGGCATCCACCACTGAAATCTGGTCCGTCAAAGTGACGGAAATCTTAGTAGTGTGTTTTTGAAAGAATGTATTGCTTGATTGGCTGGCATCATCGAGTACTCCGAACTTACTTTTTGGCGTGCCGTATATCGGCACTTCGAGAGAACTTTGAAGTTTGAACACACTCAATAGGATGGAGATGGAGTATACAAATATACAATCTCTGCGGATACTGTCGGCCAGGATTCCAACTGCGCGCGGTATTTTATCGAAGCGGTATGTATAAGCTAAATCACTAAGAAAACGTGCTAAGCTCTTTTCTAAACACACATCGGACGAGGGAATTAAACCCCAGGAAATCACTTCTGCCTAGGGCTACGCACTACACTATAAATATACAATAGATGTAGCCTCACCGTCTGTTTCATATGGACGGCCTCAAAGACAGTCCGTGGTTGATGAGGCTGGATCTACGCGATCTAAAAGGCGGTAAATGCTGGGATAGAAGCCAAGAAGACCAACCCAGGGCTGTGAACCGTATGTTCCGTGACAACCCGCATCTGTCTATGAGGAGACTAGGCCGACTCGGTATGCGTAGCTTAATTGTAAACTTGGTTTCTAATTATATCTAAATTAATAATGATTTTTCGCTCGTGTTCTTCGAGAAATTAATCTCGCGAGATTAAACATCACGTATTCATTTCCCCTCTTTTCTCCTCACGCGAACGACAATGGCTTCACAAGGATATGTCGTTCAATGAATCTAGATCCACTGCGATCTTTGACAGTCCCGTCCCGAGCCCTGTATGGCATGGTCCGATATGCATAAACAATAACCATGGGTAGTATCTAGCGGGTGAAGCAGGAAGAGAACAAACATCTTGCTTTTTATCTACCTCAGGTAGAAAGAAATATACGCATACCCTGGACACCTCTAGTTATATATATATTTTTCATCTCTCTTCGCAACAGGCGCGCATCAATTCTACTCCGCCAATCTCTTCCTTCCTTCACCCTCATTCAATATCGGCCCGATCCACGTAAATCCCCATCATACCTTAGGTATACTACCCACCAGAACCACCAATCCCTGTAGGGCTCTCGGAATACAAAACCCGCCTGGCTGCGTCGACAGGGATGTGCTGCATCTCGCTTACATACTGTAGTATCAAAGCAGCACCCCGAAAACATTCCGGAAAGCACCCCTTGACTACTGCAGTGCCTTCAAGCCTTAGCCAAGAATGGCCGGAATAAACGAGGATCTGGGAGTCTGGCTATGTCTGTCCAGTGGGGGTACATGTTCTGTTGCTGGCTGGCAGTGTGGGCCATGACATGGCTTGATGCGGTCGGTGCATGTCTCCTCCTCAGGTTGTTGTCAGGCGGAGAATGTACAAACATGGATTACGGAGTACAGTGCGTGGTGCGTCCCTGTTTCTGCGCAGGAGCTTTGGGAGCTATGGGCGCTGCCCGCGGGTGACCGTGCTTAATCTCGCATAATCTTCCGTGGTATTAGGATGTATATGGTATTATTGTATTTTTGTAAGCGAAAGGAGTAGGGATTTGCTTCACTATAGAAATGCTGTCTAGATTCCGTATCTGAAGAATGAGTTGAATGAAGGTAAATGCTGTACAAGTAGGTCGCGTTTTAACTCATTGGGGCGGCTTGATCGACCCTCTGAGGAAGTTTTGTGTCCATTAAAGATGAATATCGGATTCCTGCAAGGACGATCGAAAATTAGAAAATAGCTCTTCAGACATCATAGATGGATGATGTATATAAACAAAGAGGCTCATGGCTCTTCTGTATTATGTTTATCCGACTGAAATCCAATCTTTTTCCAGATAGATTAACTCTGCGGCAAGAGCTGACGAAATTTGCCGGGGAAAAGGAAAGGAAAAAGAAAAACACAAATACGAAAAATGAAAAGAAAGAAAGAGCAAGAGGCATTGAGACGTGCATGGACCAATGATGTGTGGCTATTCTATAGAGTCAATGGCAGCTGTATAAAATATGTATTATAAGGTGGTCAAAGTGAAACCGCAGGAATGATTCCCAATGCCAGGCAGTGCAAGATCAATCTAATCGCCTTAGCTGCATGTTGATTCTGCAACTGTGGCCCACAAATCACCCCTCTGGTCAGCAGATGGCCACACTATCTTCTAGGTAGTACCACTAGAATAATAATGAATATCGCTGCACTGGCTGACTTGACTTGGATGTTTGTCCGACCTTGAATAAATAGGTAGGCCATATTTTGAGGGTTGAGCTGAGTTTACCACGGAGAGCTAATATACTTTAGGTAATTTCAACGGCTGCCAGTCGATTCATTACACAACGACTGTTTTCTGTCACTTCTAGTGCCTAAAAGTTGGTGCTAGTCAAGGCTTGGTTAGTGATTGGAAGCTTTTGACCAGCTTACAATTCAGGGCTGTCCCTTTGTGCGGCCCACAGGTCTGTACGGATCAAGTCTCAAGATTCCCCCCAAAAATTTTTTCTCTCTCTTTTCTTTTCCCTTTTATGCTTTTTTTGGCTGAGCCAGTTCTCCTGACCTGGGGACTACTCCCTGTCTGATGCTCTTTAGCTCTCTTTTTGCTGATGTGGCTTGCGTATTGCTCTAGGGCTGTTGTAAGTAATCTCGTACTCCAAAATGGTTTTGTGGAATCTGGTCGGCTCGATTTGGAATTGTGTCGACTTCAAGGGTTCTAAAGGAAGGCCTTCCATGCTACTTGACGCATCCTCGTCGTGTAGAATTGGGGGTTTATTGATGTTCCCATGCACCGAAATCTACTTGTTTTGAACTTACTGAAAAGAGCGACAGCCGATTACAATGTCGCAACCTAATCGAACCGTATTACTCCGTGGTATGTGCAAGTAAGTAAGTATACCTCCCCGGTCCCTACCTTTAATTGCCCACATAATCAGCTATCAACTAGGGTGGTAAGCCGGAGATTAACCTCGGGCATTTCCTATGGGTATTACGCAGAACAAAGAATTATAAGTACTCTTGGAACATCAATTATCCACATCTAATGTACCCCATACTTGGAAAAAGTAATATGTTTAAATCAAGATGACGTCGTTTCACACTCAAAACCTGATTGTAGTGAAGCTTGGAGTATTTAATTCGCGATCGAGTCAAAGTTAAAAAGGAAAAGAAAAAGATCGACTCCGATGAAATTATCCAGGCCGAGAGAACCTAAAGTAATGATGAGACACGGCAATGAGATGATCGTCTCCGCTCGTCCATATTTCCGGAACTCATCTAGCGCTAGGAGTGTATCATCAAAGCGACAGGTCACAATTATTGAAGGGTATGCTCTCTATACTCAGCTGATCAACCCTAGTCGATCCCGTTGCATCTCCTTTCTTCAGTGTAGGACTCTCTAACGTACTCCTTGGAAGGGGGGCGTTATATCTAATCTACTACACCTCCTTCTGTCACCACTTCGCGGCTCCTTGGGCGTATCCTCTAGACACCGAATCCATGGTCCTGTATACGCCAAAAGGTGCTCTTGTGGCTTAGGCCCTCAGCCCAGGTCGATCCACATCCCGTGATACGCGAGATCAACTACCCTAACAGATAGCAAGGCCATGAACATTGTCATTCGTGGACTCCAACTCGAGTCTAAAACCAGGCGAGGAAGGAGCCGAAAGACACAACAAAGGGCAGACAATAGATAAAACCGACTAAGGAGTCTACCGTTCGCTGTTCAGGAGGAAGAGTATATATCAAACCAGGGCTTGTCGTAGGATTCTCCCTCCCTTAATAACCATACCAACCTTTAGTGGTACAGAATGGTACCCGAAATGAACCTGGCCCCAGATTACTGGATCCGATTCGTGGTTCATGCGGGTGGGGCCTGCAAGGGGCACTGGGTCCGAGGTACCGTACGGTAACCGAAATAACAACCATGGTTTCTTGTGACAGTTTATTATTTTTCTTATTTTTTTCTGACTATAGAGGGAGAGAGAGGGGTTGAACAAAAATCCCACCTTCCAATTAATATAGAGACACCAAATGTTGGTATCTTTACCTGTCCTTGCAAATTGCCTTCCAATTGTCGGATATATAAATTTGTCTGTGGAATTGTAAAATTATCAGTGGAAATTTTGGAAGGATCCTACCATTAATCATATAAAAATAATCAAATATCATCAGAATTAAAAGTGTCGATCGCCTTCCAAGGCTTTACCGACGGCCCCTCTGGGTCCAATAATTTGAACCACTTTTGTCCGCTCTGGACTGTTCCTCTGAGTAAGTACGAAGTGACTAGTAGTAACAATCCACTGGGACTGGTCGAAGGCTCTAATTCCTGGCTCAGCTGTCCTTCTGTACAGCTCATGTCCTAATTAGAAAAAAAAAAAGGTGTAAATTTTTTTTTTTTTAAAAAAAAAAAAACAAAAATAAATATTAAAAGAAAGGGAAAGTTAGAGACATACCCGACGATCGAATCCAGATCCCTTCTTTCCATCAGCTCTATTTTTCTTTCCTTTCGCGTCGCCTTGAGTCTTTTCTTCTTTTCGAGGTCACACTGTCCTTCGTTTCCTACATATTTCGCTTCTCTACATTCTGTTGAACACCTTCGTTGGTGATTTCACTCTCTCGGTATTCATCCAGCGGTTCATTCCCCAGTGCCATTCGTTCTTTGGGCCCAATCAACCTCCAGACTCCATTTTGGCATTCCGCGCCCGCTTGTCGACACTGCAGCCACATTCCACCATTACATGCAGACGGTTGATTCCTCCAATCCGACCGGTATTTTCAGATATCTTAAGTCCAGCCTCTCGCACGCTTAGCCAAATTCCTTGTCGAATCTGCACATCACGCCCACTATTGGCATCTCGTCGTCGAACCACGCCGCGGTTCCTTGGCGCTCTGCGGAGCAGCTCCATCTTTCAGGGGATGAGCCTATGATCGGAAAGCTTTGATACTTCACTCTTTCTGTCTAGCGAATTGTTCTACTTCATAAAGTCGCTCGTTTGTCATTTGCCGTTCGTGCAACTTAGCACTGCATCTGGTACGGCCTTTGTCAGTGAGTCGCAGGGCCCATCTGATTTATCGAATCACATAGCCCTTTTGTGGCGAGGCTCCATGATTACTAGTGATATACGATTCTGACTTGTAAGATTAACCTAGTATCACCGGTTTACATGCATCGACCCGGGCTGTAACCCCTTTACGTGTCAATTTGGCAGAAGTCGTCGATACTACTGCTCATCCCACCTGCTTCGAATTGCTCCCTGTTTGGCATTGACCTTTTTACACGCATCGCCATGAACCGATTCCGCAAGAACAAGAAGGAGAAGGCCAAGGAGGATGTTGAAGGCACCGACAGCATCCACAGTTCCCTTGGCTCCAAGTTATCTAGGAAGAGCAAGAAGGAAGAACCCGAGGAGGTGCCCGATCTTGATCTGTCGAGTGTTTTACCGTCCAACGATGACTTCCGTACGAGCTTACTTATGCCAAAACTATCTGCGCGGTTCAGCATGTTGAGGGAACAAGACGACCCGGCCTCCATTATCGGCAAGGCAAGTGATGATAGCGTCCTGTTTCCGAAGCGCGCCTCCCGATTGAACCTCTTTGGCCACAATCCAAACCTGCTCGCGGATATCGATGAGGTGTCCACAGATGGTAGTCGGCCGTCCTTTAACCTCGGCCGAGACTCATTCGCCTCCGGTGTTGATGGTTATGGTACCGACGATGACCGTTCACACAAAGAAAGCATTATGAGCAGAGCTCGTCGAGCCGACGGTAACAATTTGTTTGGCGGGCGTCAAAAGGTATACAAGATCCCCGCCAAGGCATCATCAACCGTTTCCGTTTCCGATGCTGGAAAGATGGGTGGCCGCGCGGTCTATGAGCATGATTTATCCTTGTCAGCTTTTCAACGATTGAGGCTGAGAGAAAAAGAGGAACGTATAGCAGCCGAAGAAGCACAACAGGATATTTATGCTCACGAATCGGAAGATGCTCTGTCCAGCATTTCCTCCACTAAGCGAACTACATTCTCCTCAACAGCCTCAGGGCCAACCGCCAATGGTCGTACATCAACTTCAGCTAGTTCCATAGACGAGCAATCATTCCCCGTATCACCGTCCCAGGAGAGCCCGGCTCCATTCCCCAAACAATCAGTGCCTGGGATGGCTCCTGAGCGTGGCTCCGTCAAGTCAAGGCGCCTGTATGGCCAGAGTCTAGCCCAGTCCGTCCAGAACCAGCAGAATTCTACACTTCATCGCTTAGAGAGTCTTGGCCGTCAACGATCTGGGACTGCAGAAATTCCTCGTTTGAATCGAAACTATTCCAGAAGCGCCACTAGTCTGCGCGATAGGATACAGAAACTTCCGATAGCTGAGTCGACAACTACCACACTTCACCATACCAGCCCGGCGCCGTCGTCAACATCTACGCAGCATACCAGCGAAAGTAATATCAAAGAGCAGAAGCCTCACGAGGCCCCTAATGGTGGGCTCCCTCCGCTAAGTCCCCCGGCTAGTGAATACGACGAAAGTGCTGCCTTGATGGCTGCTTTGCAACCCGAAGACCATGGCAAAGCTACGGCCTTAGGGCTTTTCAATAAGCCCAGAAGCCAGTACGATGAAAACCAGTTCAGTCAACGTCAACTTCAGATGCATGAGGGGAGGAGTACGCCGCCACCGTTGACGCGGCCCTCGCCACCTGGACGGGCTACTCCCCAAGGCAATACTGGACGTCCAAGAGGCCTCTCAAACACAAGCTATCGGCCACGAGCTGGTTCTGCTTCCTCTCACTATAGCGAAGCTCAGCGCCCGATTATCCCATCCTCTGCAGCCAGTGTTTATGAGTCCCCTCGGAGAAACATGAACAGTACTTTCTTCGCCAACATGAGCCCTAGTGAATCTGAAGACGAAGAGGCTGAGGCAGTTCTTCAGTTGGCCAATGGTGTAATAGAAGATGATTTTGTGCACCCCGCCTTTCGGTCGGAGACACCACAGAAGCCATCTCCAGCTGTAGGTGAAGGAGCACAAGAGCAAAGCCCTCTGCCTGAAGTGCGATTCTCAGACTTGGGGGATTTGAAACCCATAGCCGAAAATGACGCCGCCGAGAAATCTGCCAATCATGTGGATGCTATTCCTGAGAAGCCCGACTCCCCTACTTTGGGGCCTTCGGGTTTGGGCCTGAGTGGTTTAGTTCGTACTCACTTACGGCACGACAGCGACAAATCGTCCATCTTCCCGCCACCTTCCCCTGGTCTTCCACCAAGGCTTTTAGATGACGACAATAACACGGAGTCTCTCATGAAAGGTCCCGACACAGTGGATCCTATTCCACAGCAGCATGCGACCTCTAGACAGAATGTGGATCCTTCAGAGCTTCTGAACGGCTCCTCCTGGCAAGGTGAACTGGTGGCGAGACATAGGCGCCAAGCTAGCACTGAAACGCAAAGAGAGCGCGAAGAATTTGAGAACGAACTAGCGGAGCGACGGAGAAAGGTGCAAGAGAAGTTGAAGGGCATGGCTGAGAATGAAAGCAGATCAGCTAGCCCTGTCTCGGGCCGCCAAACCCCAGATTACACTCACGTCAAACCCGGAAATGCATTTTCCTTGCTGAAGAACAAGTCCGGAAAGCACAGTTTGTTCAGCAGGCAAGACCAAAGGAACCCGAAAATGCTCGGCCTGGGTAACGCTTCTACCCCAACATTGGCATCTGATGACCAATGGCGGGAGGAGGAAGAACGACCATCATTTAGCTTTGGAAAACACTCCAACTCTAGCTCTCCCCATGTCTCCTCAGAGCGGTCAATACGGTCCCGGATGGCGGCTTTTGGTCGTAACAGTCAGGAGGACTCCCGTGAGTCGAGCCGTAGCCGTGGAGCATCCCCCAATTCAAGTTTTAGATCTCAACGGGATCGCTCGACTTCTGACGCCTCCGGCCGCTCTAAGAGCCGTACCCGGCGGGAGAGAGATGACTTAGGAACCTTGGAAGAGGCTGCTCCTGCCGATTCATATGAACACTCTGCGTACCCAGACTTCGACCAGCGCGGCCTGGCATCTGTGGCTTCTTCCACCCGTCCATCTGTAGAGGTCAATGATGCATCTACATCTGTGTACGACCGGAGCTCCTCTGCTGCATCTGGAAGATATCGCAGCGGTAGTCGGTCAGGAACACCAAGTTTTGTCGAGCGATCTCTTCATCCTCCCCCTGCGCTCAACCCACAGATGATCGGTGCCCCTCCACGGCCTTCACCCATCGCCCCTTACTCTGCCAATGCTACCCCGCCGCTGCACGACATGTCCCCTGACCCGTCGTCTAGCTCGGCATCTACTTCGACCACTAGCCTCCCTCAGCGGACTCCCGGGCATACCACCCTCCAGAAGCGCCCCGTGGATAAAAACCAGATCTCCGAGCCCACTTTCGTGTCTACCACCTCTAACGTTCCAACCGTTGGCCTTCCACCAGGTGCAAGCCTGAGCAATGGCATGGCAACCCCTCCGATCCCTCCAATGAATCCCCGTCGCCGCCGTCAAACCACTACACAAACAATTCTTGGTGCGATCAGGGGCGATAAGTATGAGTCGCAGTACGCGCCATCGACGGCCGGCAGTGTTATGGAAGAGCATAGCACATTTTCCGACGAGGGCGAAAGACGGCCTAGAACACGAAACAGGTTACGTAAAACTTCTAGTGAAGGCGGAGACCTGAACGCCAAAGCGAGGCATCAGCTCATGGCCAGTCCGCCACCAGCAATGCCACCTTATCCACCACCTCAAGTCCCCATGGATGGTGGCATGTTCTAAACAATAGCTGCTTGACGGCTCTACCATCACTCCCTATCCCTCTTCTATTTTCCTTACATCTCCCTCCACCTTCGGATTAAATGTATTACTTTAACCTTTCCGATCATTCTATATTTCCCTTATGTCAGCTCTGGATACCTTTTTTTGATTACCACTTTTGCTCATGATGATATACCAACTGCGTTACGTTGAGCGGACAGGACTGTCTTTCATTTGCCTTTAATCTCTGAGCCATATTCTTTCTTTCTACCATAGCATTTCCCTTTTCTCATATGCATTATTACAAAATACCTAGATAGGTCAATAAAATGATCTTAGTGTATAATCATAGCCACATATAGAAGAGGTCAAATAAGCATTATTCTTAAGCCTTTTGTCATTATCAAGAGAGGTGAGTGCGACCTTTTAAGGTACTACCTACGTAATGTGGCTGATGGTTATTGGTATTCACGCGCTTGCACAAAGAAAGAAAGAGCAAAGCCCTTGCTTGCATGGTACTTCATATAATCATTCACTGATATTATCGTTCGTTGCATTTTGTGCTGTGTATATTTAATATATCACGTGCATAATATATCACGTGGACCATGAAGCCCTTGTGCTATTTCTGTCAAGATGTGATGGCTAAGAGTTTGTATACATAGTTGTATATAGCCTTTAAGCTCTGAAATCCCCATGTACATGGAATCAATAGACTATAGTTCGGAGATTAGCTTGTGAGAGTTTGAACACCCACAACTGAACTCAATTCCAAAGATTTGGTAAATAACATGCCTGAAGGGAAATCGGACTTGACTATTGCAATTTCTGCAAGCATAACAACATTATCGTTGAGGAAACACAAGTGAGAACAACAGCAGTCAAACAACATAAATGCCCCACTGTATCTTCTCTCCTCTCCTCTTGCAGACCCATCTGTAATCACACTATCTCCCATCTCTTTGTTATCCTTCACAACCTCTTTGAACTTTCCTGAGCGAGATATCAGAACTCATATATTCCTTCGCTTTCTCGATGTTGTGATCAGCTATTGGGCTAAATCAAAGAGAGAAGTGATGAAAAGCTTGAGTAGAAGAATCTCGTTTTGCACTTCGGAATTACCTTCTTCTGTCATGTCTTTTGACTCTGTCTTTGATATTATGCGTGTAGGTCTCAACTCTGGCGAGTCGAACTCTCTTCGTAGAGCCAACTCCTCCGGGCCTTCTTTCAGAATTGTGGATCCTCCGCAGGTGGATGGTTCTGCCGAGCGAAGGAAAAGAAAATCCGCACGAAAGAGAGAGAAGAAAAAACGGAAGGCGCAATGGGAGAAAGCGACAAAAGACAAGGTTCTGCCTCAGGGTAGCAACGATGTCGACATCGGAAACGCGCAGCACTCGTCTTCTAATCACGCGACCATGAGCTCTGCAAAGGTTATGGATAACGTGTCACCTGTTATTGTTAAGGGCCTTTTTAGTGGCCCTCGTATAGCGTCCTGGGAAGATACGCCCTCGAGCCACACAGTTCATTCTTTAAGCGGGAAAGGCGAAGTACATGATGAACAGCCTCAGCCCATCCCTAATCACGTCGAAAATGACCCCGTCGTCTGTCTCTTACACGGCCGGAAAATGTGCCAGTTCGACCTCAGCTGTTGTGTCCATCGGCCCACGATTAATTGTGCCTGTCCACCTAGGTGGTCCTGCTGTTGTGCTCATCATTCGGGAGATTGTTGTAATTGTGTCTTTGCCTCCGGGCTTTCTGATCATGATGAACATGCATCTAAGCCTGCATCAGATGGCTTGAATCAGACCCAAGCGAGATCGATCAGAGGGACAAGTGTAGTAGACGCTGATGCGGGGAGTATTAGAGGTGAGATTACCTTATAATGTCAAATATCTCATTTTTCCAGCACTAAATCATGCGCCTTTTATAGACAGTTCCGGATATCAGACTATACCCACTGAAATAATCAACAATGGCAAGACAATCAACGATGATACTGACCCACTCTCCGCGCATCTGCTTCACTGCCTGGAGGCGAGCGAGTTTTTCGACTTCCAAATTATCTTAAGATCATCCAAGGATATATTTATGCCTATCACCTTCTATACACACAGAGCGGTGATCAGCCGTAGCAGATTCGTGGCTAGCCTTTTGAGGTCGTCGAATCAGGGAGAAGGCTGCAACGAGATTGTTGCCATTGGAGGAGAGAGCTTCTGTATGATCAAAAGCTTCGAATATGCACTGCAACACTTGTATGGGAGGCCGCTCCTGACAGCAGAACAACTTAGGTCCACGACTTTGTCTACCTATGGCTATTCGGAAGATAACGTGGAAAAGTTACACTTCTCACTCACTGCAGCCATGGCAGACTTTGCTTTGAGTTATGCGGCGTCGGGGGCCTTCTTTCAACAAGAGGCAGTCATAGAAAGGGGCGTTAATCTGGCTATCGATCCCATTAGCTGGAGTACTGTCGAATATATTCTTAATTTCGGGATGAGCGTCACAAAATTTGCTGTAACGCTTGATCGCACCGCTCCGGGCCTGAAAACTGGCAACTATGATGCAGCAGAAGGGCTTCAAGGATGGGCTCTACGGTTAGTTATTTCGGCTCTAGAATTCGTCGCCAGACATATGGGCAAGGATTTCCCTTTGTACATCAAGGCACAAAGAAAGACTCTACCAAACCGAATCCCAGACAGCCTGCAGAGTATTCCCGGCACGGTGCTGCGCAATCCCAAGCTAGCAGAGGTGAAGTTTGGTTCGCTAGCATCTCTTGACGAAGAGAGACCGAGCCAAGAAATCGATATACCCTCTGCAATGCTGATATGCCTCCCATACGAGCACTTAGTGGAGCTATTTAAGGCCATGAAAGCACGGGATATCTTAACGAGAAACCTTGCTCAAGCGGTGATAGCAGAGCGTGAGGCACGGCGCCTGCAAGCACTTCAGGTCTTTGCAAAACAGAGCATCAAAGATGAGCTTAATGTTCCTGATGAAGTTCGAGAACTGGGGTATCAAGAGACTGTTGGTACGAAAGAGGCGACTTCAGAAACACAGAACCCCAATATCACCCTCAATAAAGAGTGGGTCGGTCTGCCTGTTATAGAAAAGAAATTATACCGCAGAGGAGTCAAACAAGTGGCCAAGAAGAACAAGAGAAGAAAGAGGTAAGAGAACATTATGGTCTTCTTATGTACTGTCTATCACCCAACCACCCAAAGCTGATAAACCTTTGGACAGCGTTACCAAAGAGTGATGTGTATTTTGGCGAGCAGGATGGGATTCGGATGACGATTGGGTAGTTGTCATGAAAGGAGAAGCACAGTTTAATAGAGATAGATGACACGTTATTTGGCGGTAAACTTGGCATATCTTCTCGCTTTATTCTTACAGGAATATCAAATAGCCGTACTGCTGTCCTTTGTTTCTTCTCTATAGACTAGTAATGGAAACGTGATGAAATTTAATGTGAACAAGAGCTCTACTACAAAACTAAGGATATATGCGATGACATCTACATAAGCATTAAGAAACAACAACATGCTCTGTAAGCCAGTTGGTGATTCTAGTTTAGACATGCCCCATGTCGCGAAATACTCGTAAGCATAACTAATCGACTTGAGTAGGATGTATCTCTTAAGAACGTAATTCATAAAGGATATATATAATCTATATAGAAAGTTTACAGAAACATAATCTATCCAGGCTCTCCAGGCTTTTTATACAAAACTCACTTGAGTCACCCACACCCACTATAGAAAGGACATAACACATGTACATAAAGCGGTTGTGCGCTTAATTGTTTATTGCCCCACTTATTATGGTGTAAGTGTGGCGGGAGGATAGGCAGCTCTGCTTTCCACCCCCAGTGCCATCTGTTCTAGGAGATTCTAATTAGGTAGACTTAGGCATTGTCAATGGTTTTAGGACTTGTCGGGGAATCCGAAGTCAACACCGAAGGGGGGATAGACGAAGCGCTGGAATGCTTTCCTGGCCGCAAGATCATCGGAGTAATTGGCAATGGTAGCAAGGTCCGATTCGTCGAGCTGAACCAGATTGCGGTTGTCCTCGATACGAGAGGGAGTAACCGACTTAGCAAGAACAGATGATCCACGGGCAACTGTATTGGGTGGTCAGAGAATGCTACGGGGCTTGATACGTGAAGATAGGAGGAACGTACTGTGCCAGCTGAGAAGAACCGTGGCTGGGGAGACCCCCTTCCTCGTTGCAACCTCTACAATAGGCTCGGCTGTGAACAGCGGGCTACCGGTACTTCCCAGAGGGCTGTAGGCGGTGATGTGAATACCCTTCTCCTTGCAAAAGTCGACAATCTCTTGTTGTGGGAGAGATGGGTGGTTCTCAATCTGGTTAACTGCAGGGACCACAGCAGCCTCGGGAAGCAGTTGTTCCAGATATCTCTTGCTGTAGTTCGAGACGCCAATAGCCTTGACCTTTCCTGTTGCAAGCAGTTTCTCCATATTTTTCCATGTGGTGACGTGAGAATGCGAGTGGTCGATGTCTCGTGAGCCATCTGCAAGCTTAGGGAACAGAGGGTGGTTACCTAGCAAGTCATTAGAACCAGGATTCTAAACTGCCAAGAGAAAGGGTATAGCTAACCCTTGGGGTTCATGGCCAACGGCCAGTGCATCAAGTAGAGATCAATGTAGTCCAAACCCAGGTTCTTCAGACTCAGATCCAGGGCTTCTTCCACCCGGGAGTGGTAAGTGCACCACAGCTTGGTGGTCACGAAGAGATCCTCTCGCTTCACTTTTCCGGAGGCCAGAGCATCCTTGATTCCCTTACCAACCTCCTCTTCATTCTGATAGCAGAAAGCGGCGTCGATGTGTCTGTATCCCACCGAGATGGCGTGGCTTACAGCCTTCTCAACCTCGCCAGGAGCCGATTGCCAGGTTCCTGGGTAATCAGCACAATTGTCGCTAAATTGAGCTACATCGGAGCACTACATACCGAGTCCCAATGCGGGGATCTCTGCTCCAGTGTTGAGCTTGATTCTAGTGTCGGCGACGGTCATTGTGTAGGCGTGAGTGTATAGACTCGTTCGCAAGATTCTTGGGAATCAAAGGGGGGAATTGTATGGTTTGCGAATTGACTTGAGGAGGGAAAATAAGAGAAACAAAAAATACGAAGTGAAGAGAGGTGAGGGGTAGAGGGGTAGAGTACTAGTAGTAGAGTAATAGAATACTAGAGGGGAGGCGGATTCATCAACAAGCGCCGACGCACTCGCCGTCAATTGTCCCGCCGTGGAAACGAAGTTCCATCAATCACAACGTTCCATCGGGTCAACTCCACGCGAGGAAAACCTCCCCCTTAGTGCCATCTCCATAGTAAGTGTTATTCGCAAGGCATTATCATCCATTATCTTCAAATTTCCCTCCCTATAATCATCTAAACTACCATTATCATATACTCACTCGGTCAGTGAAAGATCATCCTACAGAAAGAGGATGAACAGTGCAGATGCAACCATCGGATACCGTTTCTCTTTCCAGAAGATCCAATACCCTATACCCGATATGATCACCTCATGGGATCCACCCTCAGGAGCACATCTTGAGAGACCCCAGTACGGGACAATCTCCAGATTAGGCGACTCGATTAGAAATTTAACCCAGAGGGCGACTTAGTTCTCAAGCTGCCGGGTCGACACCGGGGTCAGTGTCAGGAAGCAATGGCCATTCACGATGAGCGTGACGTTCGATTACCATTCAATTTATTCAAGAAGGAATGCAGAGACGACAAAAAGGGCAGTTAATTGTAATGTGGCATACCAGAAGAGAAATCTGCCCCGGCGGCCAATGTTCTTAGCCTTCGGAAACCGAAATCCTTGAGCTCAATTCCCCCCACAGTCTGTTTGGTGGTTCTCCACTGTAACAACTTATCTCTGGTTGGCTGCAGATCTGTACCTCAGATTCTCCCCGCGTCATGCAGGTGTGGAGAAGATTTCCAGAATCTCTGTTGATAGTGCGGAAGCCAGAATCCGACCTACACACAATGAGGGCATCATGCGGGCGCCACCACACCGTCGGATTCTGGGGGTGTAACGTGCTAGGGCTTATTCGACTACGGGTTCTAATCGGATACTGAATTTCTCGTAGATCACGAGGATCTCCCTATGGCGTCCATCCCTTTAAATATACGCCTCTACTTTCCTGGAATTTTTTTTGTCTCCAGCAGCAGCCTTTGATACCCAGATCTATCTTGATCCAATCTCCTTGAGAGGGAAAACAAAAGAACAGAGAAAAGCTAAAATATATCTTTGATTCACACAATGGCACCAGTCGCTGTCGCCCCAGAAACCCCGGCGTTCAACACTAAGCGTGATGGACAGGCCCTCGAGGATCTATCCGACGCCATCGATACCGTCAATGTCCTCAAGCAAAACATCAAGCAAAATGACAAAGACATCTACGCCGAATCCGAATTCGACAAGAACAAGGACAAGACCAAGTTCCGTCAATACGAGGACGCCTGCGACCGCGTTAAGAACTTCTACAAGGAGCAGCACACCAAGCAGACTGTCGCTTACAACCTGAAGGCGCGCAACGACTTCCATTCTAAGACCCGCGCGGAGATGACTATCTGGGAGGCCATGGAAAAGCTCAATACCCTCATTGACGAATCCGACCCCGACACCAGCCTTTCCCAAATCGAGCACCTTCTTCAGTCAGCCGAGGCCATTCGCCGCGATGGCAAGCCTCGCTGGATGCAGCTCACCGGCCTCATCCATGACTTGGGCAAGCTGCTCTACTTCTTCGATGCCCAGGGCCAGTGGGACGTCGTTGGTGACACCTTCCCCGTCGGACTCGCTTTTGACGACCGCATTATTTACGGCACCGAGTCCTTTAAGGAGAACCCCGACTACGGCCACGAGATCTACAGCACCAAGTATGGTATCTACAGCCCCGGCTGCGGCTTGGACAGGGTCATGCTCTCTTGGGGTCACGACGAGTACCTCTACCACGTCGTGAAGGATCAGTCCACCCTGCCGGACGAGGCCCTGGCCATCATCCGTTACCACTCCTTCTACCCCTGGCACAACGCCGGCGCATACCACGAGTTGATGAACGACCACGACAAGGAGATGCTCAAGGCTGTTAAGGCCTTCAACCCCTACGACCTGTACAGCAAGAGCGACGACGTCCCCACCGTCGAGGAACTCAAGGTATGCCCCCCCTTACTATTCCCCTTAAGGCCCAATGAAATCTAGCTAACACACGCTGCAGCCATACTACCTCGAACTGATTGACGAGTACTTCCCCAAGAAGGTCATCAAGTGGTAGATGTGGTATTAGGGGTTGGAATGTCTTGTTATTAGATGACGCACGTGTGACCTGTTTTGTTTTGGATATATTTGTTCTGTTCCTGCATTTTGAAAGCGATGACTCACGAACCAAGTTTTGCACACCCAATGAACTACATTACGGCCCTCATAAGAAACAGGGCTTAAGTGACCGATTTATTCATAATACCCAAAGGAGATGAATAGCTAGTTCCACTCCACCTATTCCAACCCTACTTACATATATACATGCACTAGAAACATTTACAAAATCCAAAATCGTCACTTAGTATACATCATAAATTTCCCATACATCCTTGGCTCTCCAGCAAAAACCGAGTACCAGACAAGAAACGGAATATTACTAAGAATAGCTTATTGATGATGATACAATATTGCAGCAGAAACGCTTGGCATTGAACCTTGTTGCCGGAAACGAGGTCCCGGCATTGTCGGCGATCTACGACAAATCGGTGTCTCGGGTCCGCTCACTCGTTGAAAATTTAAACTATGGACTGTGCCCATCGCTTATTTGAGACATAGTTGAATTAACTAGTGCCTGTGTGCTAGTTTTGATCACACATATTCTTCGGAGTCGACTTGAGCACGTGATCCTAGAGATGATGATTGGATGAGGTTGACTTAAGATGAGAAAACAATGGTGTAACCTTGGCTATCTTATTGGTGAGATCTTTGTGGGTAATATTAGACAGGCAAGTCTTAGAAGAAAAGAAAAAGAAAATGGGAAAAAAAGAAGAGCAAGACCATAGATCCGAGCCCTGTATTTTTGAACTCTTAAAATCGCTCTTCATTTTTATCATCATTAAGTAACATATTCTAAATCAAGTCGTTAAGCATACATCTAGAGATGAGACTTCGCAACCCGGCTACCCGCTTCATCGAAGAAGATCTTCTCGCCGGTGATAAGCGATTCTTGGAGCGCAGCTCCGATGCGGACGGCCTGGACTGCACCATCAAGTCTCAGTGGGACAGGGGTGTTTTCGAGGCAGCAAGCGGTGAACTCATTAGCCTCGGTAACGAATGCATATTCGAAGCGATCGTAGTAATGCTGAGGAATCTCCCGACGGATACCGGTGCTGTCGTAGATGTTGACGAGGTTTAGGGCCGGCTGTGTGTTGACGCTTAGCTTGCCCTGGGTGCCAATAACCTCAGTAGTGTCTTCTTGACCGGCCGCCATCATGCGCGAAGCGTAGAAGTAAGCGATCTTGCCGTTGTGAAACTCGACCAAACCAACGGCATTGTCCCGGTCATTATGCTTGCGCAGGTCTGGCTCAACAGCCGTGATGCCAACGGCGGACACAGACTTAACCTTGCTATCTTGACCGAAAAACCAGAGGGCAAGATCGATATCATGGATGGAGCAGTCAACAAAGATGCCGCCAGAGAATTCAGCGTAGGCGACGAAGAACCCGCTGGGGTCCAGCTTGTCACAAGTCTGGCTACGCATGACTGAGGGCGAGCCAATTACGCCGGCGCTCATCTTGTTGAATGCATCCCGATATGAGGCGTCGAAGCGACGAGAAAACCCACACATCACCTTAAGGTGAGGTTTCTTGGAGGCGGCATCAAGGACAGTTTGGGACTAGAAACAGGATTGTTAGATACCTAGGGATCGATTGATGGACATAAGAGCAAGGTACAGAGGGTACATACAATCTCAACACTGGTCGACAGGGGCTTTTCACACAGAACGTGCTTGTCAGCATCAATGGCCTTGATCGCTTGTTCAGCATGGACGGCGGTGGCCGACGCAACCACGACGGCTTCTAGACCTTCGTGGCGGAGCATGTCATCGTAGTTTTTGTATAACTTTACGCCATATGGTACAAGGTGAACCTTAGCCCATTCCAATTCAGCATCGTCCGGGGAGCTGGCGGCGACCAGCTCGGCACGGGGAGTCCGTTCGAGGAAGTTGAGGGCATGGCGCTTGCCCATGCGACCAAGGCCGGCACAGCCGATCTTTAGCTTAGTAGCAGACATGGTGGAAATGGAAAGGGGATATGTGAGGTGTAGGAAAGGATAGAACGTATAAGGATAAGGAGAGGAAGTAAAGATGGAAAGATGTGAGAATTTATTCGGTCGGTCGGAAATCGTGGCGTAACAAGAGGTAACGTCGGTATACTTGCCCTAGCACTCGGGATTCAAGGAGGGAGGAGCCGAGGGTTGGTTGGAAAGTATGAAAGGATAAACCTCCAGTTAAACAAGCGAGAGGAGGTAGGAGGAGAAGCTGTAGCTTGCCAAGTCAAAGACAGACTGCAGGAGAGTCAATTGCCCCGTTCATCACCGCTTCTACCCCGGAATCCAGACTTGATGGTCTGGTCGGAAAAGGAGTTCCTGAGGCCCCATCGTGAGCAGATCCCCACAGTAATTGTGCCGGACGAAATCCGATGAGTACTCAGATCTAGTGGTTCTAGAAAATAGACGGCAATAATATGCCCAAGCGTAAAGAAGGGTACTTTACTTGTAAGATGGGGAGGCTGGGGAAAGCTACGGTGAGGGTTGGGGTAAAAGTAGCTCCCTCCGCAATTTAATACGTACCTTTTAAAATTTCCCAATGCTATAACCTACTACTTTGTGCCATTTGCTTATATATGGAAGACTTACTGCTTTTCACAGCAGCATCCGTTGTAGTGTAACGGCTATCATACCTGTCTTTCACACAGGAGATCGGGGTTCGATTCCCCGCAACGGAAGATTTCTTTTTTGGATTATCCTTCCTTCCTACTCCCCAAATATTCTTACACGCTTTTCGTACTTTTTACTTCTCTTGCTTCTAAGTTGATTCGGGTGTACTATATATATATATTTGGCTCTTTACTAACGTCTTCACAGCTTATCTTCAGCTGGTCCTGCCTCTTACTATCTCTACTGGCTTATACTCTGCAGCTAGACATTTCGGACTTGAAATATGTACTTGATATGCTGTGGTATCAACAAAAAGAGTGCATCGCTGTGTACTTCGCCTGCGGAGTAGAGAAAACAGACCTAAAACATCGCGCGTAACGGGATAAAGTGGTACTATAGTAAAGCCATAGCGCAGAATGGAAATCCCCTCTCAATGCTCAGCCTCGGCCTCAGCCTTTTTCGCTTTCTTCAGCTTTCTCTTCGCTGCAACGTCAACCGGGTCCACATATCCATCCCCCTTCATCCATGCTAACGCCTTCCGTATCCTTGGACCTTGAACCGCATTCGGTCTGCTCTCTAAGATGGAGCCCAATAGTGCCCAGGAAAGCACGACAAGGAATAGGTCGCCGCCTTTCCATCCTTTCCATAGCCCGCGCTTGACACCCGTCTTCCAAGCCGAATCCACGGCGGCTCGGAAAAAGTACAGGAAAATACTCCGGCTATTCGCCAGGAAAGCAAAGGGCATACCTGCAAGCGCACCGCTCAGGAAGAAGCGTTTCGTGGGCAAGACTGAGCGGGGGAGCAGAGAGTTCCAGAGGCAGATGCTACCCCACGCGGAACCGACAGACGCAGAAAGGACAGCTGTAAGTGTGATGATTTTCTTCGAGAGGGCATTAGCCGACGTGATGGGATTGGCCATCAGCTTCTTGAACTTCAGTACAGATAAGGCCAAGGTGACGGTCGTTAGGAAACGGGCTAGGCGAGGGACTGAGAGGAGAATATTCTGCAGGAAGGCTGTGCCACAGCTGGGACTGCTTGGATGAAGCAGTGCGCAAGACAGGGTTGAGATAGATGGGTGGGCAGGGCCAGTGATTGGTGAGATAGATTTGACAGCTGACGGGAGGGTGTTGAGGTCACCGGGATGTAAGATAGGCGAGACAAATGCACTGATTGAAAGATTAGATGTAGGCTTAACATATGCCAGGTGTAGGTGACGAGTATAAACATACGGCCAGCGCAGATCAGCGACAGTTGCAAGCGAGTCAACTACGTCCTCCTTTCCCGGCCAAGAAAACTCCGCGGGCAAACCCTCAGGGCGGTCGTGGATGTAGCCCCGGGAGAGTCTAAAGATGATATTTCCTAGCCACTGCGAGCAATCAGTATGCAACTTTATAAGACGTTCTCAGATCAAACCAACCTTAGGTGTAGCCTCCCGATCAAAGACAAACGCATGGAATAGCTGTGCACATGACAAAGGCATCAGCAACCAACTTCCAAACCACAGAGGCCGATTCTCGAGCCATCCTTTCCCGTCGATAACATTGAAAAGGAACTCCAAGCTCCGAGTAGATGTCCAGATTGCGGCTGTCAGCCGCAGCTGATTCTGAGGGCATATCCCCAGCGCAAAACCAGCCAAACTAGCCCCAACAGCGGGCGCATAGCGTGATGTTAACGCTTTAGACACTCGGGGGTTCCGATTACGGAAGGGTTGGGCGTCATCTGTGCGAAGGTTTGCGCGTAGTCGGACGAAGAAACGATGTAGAAATCTGTGGAGGAGGAGGACGAGAGAGAGTGACGCCGACAGGCGCAAGTTGGGGGAGCGGAGGAAAGAGGTGTGTGGTTTCTTCCTACAGATTCAAACGAAAATGAGACGTAAGTGTTAGCCATGAGACGAGGCCTTCCAAGTCCACTCAGAGATTCATTAATTCGGCTGAAAGCTTACTTGGACAAGTCACCTCGAATCCTTGCAAGTATCCACTCAACTAATTTCAGTAAGGCGCCGGAGACGAGGAAAACTCGAATAGAGGCGCGAAGGGCCGCCTCATTGGGCTTGTTCTTGGAGCGAATGATCGCTTCATATCTCGATGGGGAGGGGAGCTTGGACTGGACCCTCACAGGAGCGCGCCGAACAGCATGCTCGTGGAGGATCTTGTATTCCTTGGCGCTGAGCGAAATGCGGAGAGCTTCGCGAAGAACAGGGTGGACGTGGGCGTGCACGTCAGGGTCGGGTATGGAACTGGATTCCATCATGCATCAAATGTGCTTGGAAAGGATCCTACAATGCACACATTTAAATATACATTGTTGAGGGTGGAAAGATGTTGACTGGGGATGGGAAAGGAAAGATGGGGCAGAATGAGATGGGAAGTCCGGGGTTGCTCGTGACCTCGGCTATAAATCTTTAGCTGGTTCTTTTGAATTGATCTGCAAACTGCTGAAGCATATCCCTCCTCACTAGACAATTCCCAGCAACAGAAAAAAAAAAAGGAGAGAGAAAAAAAAGAGAAATGGATACATTAGTGGACATACTATATTATACTGCTCAAATCTTATGTCCCATTATCGGTGCCATATTGGGGAAATAAACCCCAGCAGTTCATTCACATGCCAATCACTTCGGCTTAAGGCCAAATCACATAATTATATACAACAGGCATCAGAATCACTTCTGGCCCATTCATCTTCTTTACCTCTTGGCTTCCACTACTATGGATCGCTGTCAAACTACGATTGGATGGTAGTTGTAATGTACAGACAGTGCTGGTCGGTACCCTAACTTCCGTGCCCTCCTCCGTCTGCCTAAGATCAAAGCACGCCCGGATCAAGCCATACGGGCAGCCAACTTCTCCTTCAACAAAATTGAGCTCGCTCAGAAGTGGCGGGCGCAGCGTCCAAGTGCGATACGCGCCGCCGACAGGCATCAGGCCGAACTGCGGCGCAATCGCTTGATTAACCATAGTGCGGTCATGAGTGCCAGGATTATCCAGGGATGTATAGAAGGCGTAGGGGTATTCGGTCTTATCGGAGACAAGTAGGTGAGAATTGTAGACATCATAGATGCGTGCAGCCCAGGCCTCATACAGGATGGCATCTTCGGTAAAACCGAGCTCCTTTGCCATGATTACCACGTTGCGCAGACAGTGGTAGTAAATCGTGGTCTCGATATTTGCTTGATGATTACCAAAGGCTATATCATAGCCCCAGTCGCCTAGTCCATGCTCAATCAGGCCACCTTTGCGCTCCTTTGTCTTCATGTACTCCATGTACCGTACACAGGGCTGATATACCCGGGAGTATACGTGGGTAGATCCGTAGTAGCGCTTGATCAGCTCGGGAAGGAAGCAAACTGCACATCCCCAGGTAATAGTGTCATGGAGAGGGCCACATATATACCGAATCTCCAGGGCCATTGTGGGTACCAGACCGGTTGGCTCTTGGGCATAGATGATATCGTCCAAAATACTGGTGTAGACAGATTCCATGTCACGAATATACAGAGTAGCAGGTGCGAGAAGTGATGTGACCTCTAGCCGCCCAAACTTCTTAACCTGTGGGCACTCGGTATGGTAGCTGACAATATTGCTAGCAAATGTCCAGTAGCAGGCATTTTGGTTATCTCATAGCTCAATGGCTATGATATGGCTGCTCCTTCTCAAGATCAGTGTTTTCGTGATGGCTCATTCTTTTATCTCTTTTAGACGCCCCTATCTGTCTAGGAATACATTAAACAAGTAATATCTCAGGGCGTTTCCCTTTGGCTTTCCAATGTATCCCGGGGTTAATACTTGTCGCTGGTATCTGGTTTTTGAAAGAATCTCCTCAATGGCTTATGAAGAAAGATCGCCCTGAAGAAGCGGGGCTGGTGCTCATGTCTCTGACGGGGAAAGAATCCCGAGTTGGTCCAGCTGAATTCCGCGAAATTCACAATGTTATAATGGCTGACCGTGCAATGGGCGAGACCACCTGGAGGCCTATCCTCAGCGTCGTCGACTACTTCTCGGTTGCGGTGTCCAAGCTTTTGGCCCTTTCTCCGCTATGAACATTATAAACAAGTATGAAACTCTGCCCATTATACGAGGAGAAGCAGTAATTAACAGCGTTCTAGCTATGAGCCCACAATCTACAATATCCTAGGAATCGACAGCCAAACATCGCTTATGATCATCGGTATCAGTGAAGCCCTGTCAGTCGTCTACTGCACCATTAGTTTCTATATCCTAGGTAAAGCTGGTCATATCGAACCTTTGCCTGTGTCGGCTGCTGGCCTTGCGGCAGCATTACTAGTTAATGCCATACAAGCCCTGTATCTAAACGAAAGCAACACTAACCAATTGCATTCTATAGTGGCCATGAACTTCGTCTTCAGCTTGTTCTACACCCCATTGGGAATCATTTCCTGGGTTTACCTGCCGAGACTTTCCCGTTGAGGTCCGAGCCTTGGGTAATGCAATCACAACTTTCACTAATTGGACGGTCAATTTGGTCTTTGCCCAATTTTCACCAAACGCTCCTGAGTCTGTGGGCTTCAAATACTTCTACTCTTATTCGAACTTAACATCATCTCCTTCGTGTGTTATTTCTTCTTCTACCCAGAAACCAAGGGCCGCACACTGGAACAGATGGATAAGCTCCTCGGAGACCAGGTTGTGCCGCACGCAATGCAAGACCCAGAAGAAGCCGCGGCTGTCATGGAGAAAGAAAGAACATTGGCGAGCCACTTGGAGTTCAGAGTGGACAAGACACAGGCATAGTTGACGTCCTCGAAATCCTCTAGCTAAACATCTATGTCAAATTACACTACATACTCCGAGATTTACGCACTACAAGATATATAGTCAATTCAAGGCAGGTAATTCTCATCCCTTACGAACTTCTCGCACACTCGCTATCGCAGAACTTCGTAGACCACAATCCCCCAGTGCCACCATATACTGTCTCTTATGTACAACCCATCAAGACCCACCCGTAATCCCCAGCCCCAGCTAAACTCGGTCAACGCTACGTCGAACACACCAGTTAATAGATTGAAACAACGAGCTAATCCCAAGAAAGCCAACTTGGGAAAAGGCTTCGAGTTTAATGGGACATTCTAGGTCAAAACTAGGGTAAAGGCTCTCCCGACCCCGGCTACCTGGCTCGGAAAACCCGAAGCCCCCCCCACCCTTCCGAGGATGGCATAATCATGTAGAGACATGGGCTAGATATAGGTAATATGGCATATTCTATTTGTTAATGATTGATAGGTCACCGTAATATCGGTCGTTCTGTGGTCCCAGACTCTGTTCCTCCCGTCGGAGGGCCTCTGAGAGTCAAAATTAAGCAGTCAAGGTAGCCCAAGTGGTGCGCAACTGCTCTAAATGTCGCTTGGCTCACCGCTCCCAACACGAGCACTGGCCAGTGGGATGTGAAGTTACGGTCTTCCTGGCTGGTCCGATAAAAAGAAAACCCACTGGGCTAGTTTGTTGTGTCGTCTCGTGATTTATACCCCTTTCGCGTAGACACGAGTGTGGAGGAGCTTAGCAGTAGCGGGGCCGAGTTTCTATGGAGACATTTTTCGGTACTTGGACCTCTGAGCGTATCCTAATATCTAAGGTTTAATTTGTTAGTTTTCAGTAAGCGAAGCGGCAGGTATTCTTGTACGGTATACTAGTAGATCGCCGCATGAGACGTCAGATGTTATTATTATGAACACAGCTCCCGACTGCCCATACCCGTGGTATAGCAACGGGAATCAATAGAACAGAATAAGTCTACAGGCTGAAAATGAAAATAAAAAAACAAGTATTAAACCCGAGCCATGCAAAATCCGTCATATCGCAACATGCGCCGTCATACTCCTAGAGACATATTCACCAGAGAGAAACAATGTTAAATGATCACCAGAAACTGCACCATCCAATCCAGTGCTGACATATGTTTTCAACGCTAGTTGCCTGCGCAAGGAGTTTATCAACCTGATCACTGACATTGAGCTCTTCAGAGGGCTTAAAGTCCCGACCAGTTAGTTTCTCCTTGACTCGCGCCAGAACTTGCAGCGCTCGTGCATTCTGTGCTTCGCGGGCCTCGTTAGGGATGCCTTCCTGAGCGTCGAGAATGCCGCCTTCAAGGATGGACGGCCGCCGGTGACGAGAGAAATTGCTGGGTTGAACGCCTTGCTCAGTGTTGATATTACCAATAATTGATTGCCGGCGCTCTGATGAGAATGGCATCCGATCCGGCGACTCACGGATTCCTAGACGCCAGTTGATCAGGGGATCATGAATGAACTGTAAGAATGCAGGTTAGATTTCCTCTTTCACCAGAACCAATAAGAGACCGAATTTGATAACTTACAGCTTCCAGAACAGCCATCAAGGAGTCTTTGTTCTCTCTTAGAACACGCATGACAGCCTCACATGTGATCCGATAACTTCCTTCAATGTTGCTGACTTCCATTGCAAAAGTCAACATCCGAGTCAGTCGGAATGGAACTCTTTCCGGATATTTCTCCCGATGCATTGCAACTTCGAAGCAGTCGCCGAAATCAATGTGGACCACCTTTCCAGTAACTCGATCCAATAGAAGGTTGGATGGGTGACGATCGCCCAGACCCAGGATGTAACCCACCATTGACATGACACCAAGAGACCGAGTGTAATTTGTCCGTCGCTCAAGCCAAGATTCTGAACTTTTGCTCTTAAGCCACAGGACTCGGTACAGATCCTTCCCGGTGGTGTTGTCCATGGCATATCCAAAGACTTCCACCTTCTGCATGAGAGTAAGGTTGTCATAATCCGGTGCCATTTGTAGCATGATACGGTGTTCAATATTCAGGAGAATACGGCGAGACTCTCGGTATTCCTTAATCAGTGCATGTAGTGTGTCACTATTCGAGACCCATCCCAAGATACCAGAGCTCTGAGATAATGGAATGGCTGGGAATCGCTGTACCGAAAGATGACGTTTAAAGCTCTCGCTATCATTGTCAAGGAGCGTATTCACGAGGCCGAAGAGCTGCATAACACGCTCGTCCTGCCTGATATCTTCATGTCCCTTAAGTGCGTACATGTATGAATTGCCATCGCTACCCTTCAGGGTCATTCTGCGTGGCCGTTTCTTGGTTTGAAGGACATGAAGTATAGGGTCAAAGCTCATGATACGGATGATTGGCCTACCGCTTTGATAGGTGCCCGGAACGGCAAGATCAAGGTCCACACAATCTTTGAGTTTGGGAGAGACATATTTCAAGTCAAGTGTAGACAATTGCGGAAGTTGTCGGCTTATCTTCCGGAAAACGGTATAATAAAGATCCCAAGCCTGGTTCAAGTCGCCAATCTCCTCGGTTTCACGGTACAACATGCAGTAATGCTTCGCCTCCGCAAGATCACGCCCAAAGGCCTGCGCAAAAGATACTTCACGTAAAGTCTCAGCACCTTTGTCAAGCATTTCGTGGAGTGGCGCAAGAGTTGCAAACATTCCCTCAACATTGTGGTCGCCGAAATAGAGACGAGATGCTTCTTCCAAGCCCTCGTGCCAGAGCTCGTGCCATAACACGGCAACACGAATCAATTCATGGCTTACAAGATCAGCTTGCTCGACTAATCTCACACTGTGCTGCCGCATACTGTCCATGATGCTACTCGCGGACTGTGACCGTCGGGTAACATTTGATTTCATCGCAACAGTCAATGGATACACCAGTGCCTGAGGATGGGCCTTGCCAACCTCGGCAAGCAGCCGATGAACAGCGCTTCGGACCCGAATGTTCGGCTGATTAATTCGTGCAATGAGTTGAGGTGTAACCGCGAGCCAAGTATCGATATTGATTGCCGTGAATCCTTCTGTAACAACGGCGTTCACTTCCTGGTCGCCACCATGAGTAAACCAGAGAGTAAGCAGCCTTAGAGTATCTTGCAAAGATGATGTCGACGACAATGAGATAGACCTGAGGAAGCCACGAATAGCGGGTATCACATGCTCCGTGACAATGTGACCTGGAACCATGGCCAGCGTCGCGCCATCTTTGCTGGCTTGGCTTGCAATTGTTGTAACGACTTCAAAGTTGGCTAATGCCCACGAATGCCAAGCCTTGTAAGAGTCGCGGTTGTACTTTGTAGCAGCAGAATATGCGTTAAGGACCTCCCGGACATGCTCCGGTTTCCAATCCCCCTTTTGCAGAGCAGTTTGCCACTCACCCTGTCTAAGGTAGCTCTTAGCAAGAAGCCTTCTAAATTTAGCCACATCCCCAATGCGCTCTCGCAGACCCATCATATCTGCGTGGTTTGTGTCTTGGATGCCGTTGACGCCATTGATACCATTATGTTCTGACTGCGAGATCATGAGAGTATTAAACCTCGTGAAGTCTTCAGTGAGACCCGTAGTGAACTCCTTCAGCATCTGAAGAGCTTCACGCTGCCGTCCAGTAGCCCAACTGAATTTCAATCGAGCATAGGTGACCTCTGGAGGAGCAACGGCTCGGGTGCCGTTGTTATCCGAGACAACAGTCTCGAGCGATGCTAGAGACCGCTCAGCAAGACCCATTCGATTGGATTTGCGACAGAGATTGGCGAATTTTATCCACATATCAAGGTTTTCTCGGGGGGAGGTAACCAGTGCTCTAACCTTGAGCATGCGTTGCCATACTTCAACGTTTTGTTGGCAGCCGAGTAACCGTTTGTTCCATGTTTGGCGCATGGAATCTTGCTTTTCCGGATCGCCAACATTCTGTTTGTAAGTAATGATTTCCTCAAGTTCAGCGAGCATCTGAACACGGACGACGACATTGTAGGCACGGTTATATGATTCACCCAGCAACGCCGAAAGTTCGGTGTCGAGTCCATTCCGCGCTTTCTCAATATACATTGTTGCCTCCTCGAACTGGTTCCGATGAATGGCAAGAATGGCACCAAAGAATGACCGGTCTGGGGACTGTTCTTTCATAACACCCAGGTAGGAATCCATCAATTCCCACTGGCCACGACCCCAGGCAGCAGCAGCTGCTAAAGGAGCAATTGCTCTCCGATGTTCCAATGAGGCCTGATTCCACTTCTCTTGGGCGAGATCAGAGAGTACTTTCCACTCGCCAAGGGCATGCAGACAGCGCATTTTGCCCATTGTAACGCCAAAAGAATCCGGATCTACCTTCTCGCGCCGCTTGTAGGCTGCCAGTGCCTCCTCCCAACGCTGAAGCTTTTCAAACCAGGTTTCCTTAAGCTCTACATCCCGATAAGCTTGGGCTTTTCGAAGAATACCAATGGCAGCGTCAGACTGTTGAAGCTGGTTGTTGATGGTGATCAAAGCCTCAACCGCGCCCGAATTTTGATCCTGTTCGAATTCAAGTTCTTTATAGTGGAGAGCCTTTGCAAATGCGTGACATTTGGCGGCGTATTTGCCAAGCGTGCGAATGTCAATGGGAAGAGCTTTATCATCATGCTCCATGAACTCAGCGAGGTTGAGTAGAACTTGCAAGATCTCAGGGGGTATATTCGGTGATGTGAGCGCCTTTTCGATCGATCGAACGAGCTCTTCTTGGTACTGATCATACAACTCAGTCCAGCAGGAGACGAAGGCAGCATTGAAAAGGTCTCTTGCCAATGGTTGGTAAATGCCAGCTAGACTAGCGCATGCACGGAGAGCTGGAGAGGGAGATTCTTTCAGCAGTTCAACACTGAATCGTCGTATCCATTCCTGCCAGTCCTCACGCGTTGACTTTTGGGACGCATCCCAAGCATTCTTCAAGTGCTGCTGGTTGACAACCATCTTTTTCTGGCCTATCTCGGCATAGTTAGCATCATCCGCCAAAGTAGCATAATTCTCGTCGGGGTTGAGATCCTGCGGAAGTGGGTCTCCCTTTTGTAGCTTCCCCACCAGAATATGATAATTGACATGGGTGATCTGATGACGCTTCAGAACCTTGTTCAGGAGATGTACGTAGTGACTGAAATCCTGACCCAATTGGAAAATGAGAGCACAGATACAGTCCATTGCAGCCTGTCGCAACATTCGATCGTTGCCTGCAACAACGCGAGACAAGGAATGGACCATTAGAGATGCAAAGTCAGATACATTGACTTGCCGTGACAATTTTGTAAGGCTATCAATGGCGGCCTTCCGGATGCTCTGTGGATTTTGGGTTCGGTCAAAAAGACGTACAATAGACGGAACGATAAGGTGCATGTACTCCTCCCCGCTAGTGCCAAATATCAAGAAGGCGTGAAGTATCCTCTCTGACGGCTGTCGGCGTGGTGTGTTGTCCTTCTCAAGAGTATCCAGCATCATTGGGATGAGACCAGCAATGTATTTCTTGAACTCGCCTTCTAGAGACTTGGCAATTGCCTCCACAAGCAATAGTATTGTGGCTTGGACTTGATATGAAGCATCCCAGAAATCTCGAACAACTTCAATAATCTCAGGGAGGAAAGCTCGGATGTGCTGCCTTACAATATTGACTAAAATTGCCATTTGGTTGAAGTACGACTCCAGGCGACTGGGGGGTGATCCTCTGATGACAGCTATGAAGCCAGGAATGATTTGTCCCAAGAAAGGCACACACTTCAAGCCCAATGTTTTAAAGATAGTGACAATTGCATCAATCACCGCTGAATGATATTGAGCGAGGGAGTTTTCGCGTAGTATGTTTTGCATCAAGGTATTGATGACCACCGTCGGGTAGTATTCTTCATTGGAAGGAGTGAGCCCTTGCATAATAAGGGCCACATCAGAGACCGTCTGAACTTCGTTGATATGATGAATGTCTGGCACAGTCTCGCTTATCTGCTGATGCTTGTATGGATCTAGGGCACCGAGAATTCCCAACAGCTTGATGGTCTCCTTGCGTAGAGAGCCCGTCTGTTCCGTCTTGATTATATTGATAAGCACGGCGAGAAGATGGGGATATTCTAGGTACGGATCGATAACATATCCGGAGTTGCTTGCTAGCTGGCCCAAAGTGCGCAAGGCTGCCTCCCGTTTGGCATGGGAAGAGAGGTCCTGTAACGAATCCAAGATGACGGGCATCAGCTGTGGAAGGTACAGCTTCATCTCACCACCCCCAACATTTGCAAGTTCGCCAATGGCTTTCAGCGTAGTCGAAGCGACACCAGGGTTAGTATCCGTCGCCTTTGGGAGCAAAGTGGTCACCATGGGATCGACATAGGACCTGATAAGTTTTGTTGCATTCGAGACGAACAGGCTAATGAGCTGGGCACACTCTTCTTTCTGGCGGGCTGTGCTGGCGAATCCAAGGCCAGTCAAGAGATTGACTAGCAGTTTCCGCAGTGGCGGGAAAACATAGGCTGGGTTAACACTTGAGAGGCGCCCAATGATGCAGATAGCAGCTTCTCTGACGGAAAATACTTCGTCGTTGACTGCCAGGAACAAACAGCGAATATTCTCAGGGCGTGCAAGATGGCGGTCGAATTTGCGGTCCAAGGACCACAAAACCGTACGCCTAATCTCTGAGTCTGAATCGCCAACACCAACAGTCAGAAGCTTGTCAATGACTTCACTAACGACCTGTATTGAATGACTACTTGTCTGATTGATAATTGGGTCGTGCACAAACAATTGACAACATGTAAGTGCCGAAGCTTTCCGAATTTCCGAATTATCGTTGTCGACGTAGTTGATGGCAACATCGCGAACGAACTCATTGAGTATGTGACCAGAGAAATCGAAACTTCCCAGGGTGTGGAGTGCGAGTGCTATCTCTGCATCCGAATGCAGTTCTTGCGGGGCGAAATCTTTGGCAAATGATGGAATAGGGGGCAACCTGCTCTCTGGGCAGCCCAAAGGTCTAAACGGGGCTCCTTTAAGAATCAAACTTAGCATATCCAGAAGCTTTTCTTGGATAGTAGGCTTGATTTGTGGTATAAAATGCGCCATGTCGAAAAGCGCCTGAGTCAACGATTCACTTAGTCCGCACGCAAATATCGGATCTAGCAATGATTCCATGTAGTTGTTGAGCGCTGGTCCTACCGCTAGTGAGAGCATGCTAATGCACTCGAACATTGGTGCCTCATTGACAACAGCACGATTTCGCGCTTTCATGGCCAGGCCCTCCCGAATGTAAATGATGATCCCGTCGAGGTATTGCGCAATAGCAACACCGACAGCGTTAGCAATCTTTCCTATAGCTATGAATGCTTCATTGCGCTCCTTGTCCCTTTTCAGCTGCGCTTGAAGGTAGACCATAAAACGATGAAGATACGTCTCTGTAAAGTCAACGGGGGCGTAGCAGGCAAGAATAGGGATCGTCAGGACGACCTGAGCACGGATCTTCTGGTCACGGTGATCTTTGAGGCGAAGAACAATTTCACAAGCATTCCTGTAATGTTCGTTCATAAACATGGCACCTTTAAGGAGGAGTTCTTTAAGGACCAGTAGCGACCCATGTATCCAGTCTACATTGTTAGACTTGAGGCCCAGAAGTGCTTCCTCGTATATACGTGCGAACCAGGATTTTCGAACCTGTGAATCTCTAGCGGCGATGATTTCGAAGCATTCCCGGACTGCTTCGGCAGCAGTTTCTCGGATAAGTACTTTCGGATCTCGAAGCGCAACCCAAATGAGCTCGAAGATTTGAGGGACAAAGCCGTATAGAAGTGTTGGTGAGCCTTTGGCAAGCTCACGGATGACAAGTACAGCAGCAACCCGGCGACTTTCTTGTCTTTCAGATTGAAGCCACTCTAGAGCCGATTGTATTTCGCTCTCAACAAGCTCCGCAGTAAGAGCTCCACCCGGCTTAGCCAGGCGGCCAAGAGCTCTGGCGGCGTATACTAACACCCCATTATCATTGCTGCGAAGAGCGCTCCGAAGATAACTGGCGAATCTAGTAGTTTTCTGGGCTGCATCTACTCCATCAAAATCAATCAGGCGATCAAGCGCTAACAGGCCACCGATTCGTTCGTGTGCGTCGCTGCCTGTAACGACAAGTTGTGCAATGCGCTGACTAACAGCATTATAGAACTCGAGGAATTTCTCTGGAGGCCAATCTATGATAGAAGAGTAGGAATATTAATATCGCCCGCGCTGAAATTAGAACTCAAGTGTTACCTCGTGAGATAGCAAGGACATTATCGTAAAGCTCGTAAGCAGCTCTCGCCCGCGTCTCTTCATTCTTAGACTTTAACTCAACGAAGAGTCGTTGAGTGACGTCCGTAATAGGACCTGCTTGCGCCATTTTTGCGGAGCACACCCCAGGGTGGACATTTGAAGTCAACCTCTAGGGCATGTACTAAGACACGAGTTGAGCATGAGATATAGAGCAGTTGATGGGCGGGCGTGAATGATGTGGGAGGTGCGGTTTGAAGGCCCGGGATGGTGCACGGGCCACACCGGTTCTGGCCTGGGGCATCTTCTTGGCTTGCCTGTACGCCTTATTTACGTAGTAGGAATAGAATAGTGTTCCTTCTTCAATACCCTTTTGGATTCCTCTCTAGTAGCTTATAATATTCAATGCACCATCTCCTCATAGTGATGGGATCTATCTATCTATCTAGGCATACTGCCTTGCCATTCTGGATCTTCTTAAAGATTTTGTTCTCTCTCGACCCTGTCCAAAGACAAAACTGGTTGTCCAAGTTTCCCCACGTCCACACCTTCTGCCAGCCTTGCATTGACCAAGGATGTCCACACACACACACACACACATACAGGCGCGGAATTTGGTGCTTGACATTCCTGTAGATCACATGGTAAGCGTATCATGAGACCTCGTTTAGGCTATGATACACGATGCCCTTACATGGAGCATCGCCTATACATTAGTGACTTCGAACTTGCCGAAAGGTCCACTAATCTAGAAAAGTGAATTGAGAATTCAAATTATCGCACAAAGAATATAATACTAATAACCTGCTTCATACCACAAATCACAGAGGCACAGAAATAGTTTTACATTTATCGTCCAATGGTCTAATCGTACAACCAACTATTCTCTCTGCACAAAACCATGCAAAAACGGAAAAAAGAGCAGGAAAAGTATGCCCGTACTCTCTCATGAGCTAAGAGTCTTCATAAGGCTTTTAGCGACATCCTCGGTGGAAGACTGTGGTTGCGGTTCTCCCGAAAATGAAGGTCGGAAACGTGGTTTATGCCTATCCATTCTCGGGACGAAACGCTGGTCGCCACGAGCAACATCGGAAATTGTTGTCATGGACGGTTTCTTGTAATCCTCAATGTTGTAAGGAGCTTTAGCAGTGGCGCTTGCCCTGTATGATGCCAAGCCAATTCTACCCTCCGAGTCAACCGAAGCCCGGATAGGAGTAACCCAGTACTTGGCACCACCGGGGATAGATGCGTCAAAATAGGCCAGGCCTGGAGGAGAGCCCTGTTCGGCGAAGGTCATGGCGTTCAAGTCCTCCACGGCGATACCACCAACACCAGCAATAGCCTTGGAGGTCTTGCCCTTGAACCTTCCCTTTGGTCGCAAGATACGAGCCTCCACTGGACGCTGATACGCCTGAGGGCCAAATTTGGGGTGATTATAGATCAAAGCATGCGACCTTGTGTATGACAGACCAGCGGAGGGATGTGTCTTCGGAGGGCCGGATACAGCATATTCAGCCGAAGACAGCTTGGTGCCGGGTGACTGGTAGTATTTGTGTCCAATGCGGTCACTTGGTACGGCCGGGGGAGACGGGAGGTCCAACAACTCAAATACCACGGGACCAAGGGAGAATGGATCTGTACGTAATGACTTGAGATAGGTCTGGAATTCCTCTTCTGTAACCTGTATAGGCCCAAGGGTCTCCAGATCCTCTCCGTTATCCTGAGCTTGCTTTCTTCGCTCGGTACTCCGCTTTTCAAGGAAGCGTTCGCGGAGCCTTTGCAAAAGCTCTGGCTTATTATTCCGTACTTTTTTCAGGTAGGCGTTGAATTCAGCTTCCGTCTGTCCAGCCAGCCAAGGCCCAGCGTGCCTAAATTGTTTGGCACCGGTCTCTCCGAGTCCTTTACTAGTGTCTGTGTTGTCGACATGCGACTCGAAGGGGCTTTGGTGCCTGGGAACAATACTGGTTGCATAGTTGACCTTCGAAGGTAGAGAAAGAGGCATATGGAGCTCCTGGAATTTCTCAAGAGTGACCGTGTGATCGGCCGCGGACTCAAAGTCGGTGACATGTTCAAATGTGTCGAGAGCCTTCACCCTTACGATCGGTCTAGATGATTTAGCAGAGGTAGATTTTGCCGGCAACGGTCTCTTGAGGCCCCAATCTCCTCTTGCTAGCGATGATCCCGGGGTAACGATGGACGCTCGGATAGGATGGGGAAGGGTCGCAGTGTCGGACTCGAAGACGACCTTAGAGGTGGGTGGATCTTGAGGCGGTTGCAATGCTTGGGGAAGTGCAAACAGACGAGACTTCCGCAGCAGGTTTGCTGTGGGGGATAGTCTGGCTGTTGCCATGGCGTTCAATGGGCGATTGCGACGTCCTGGTGGTCTTTCTCCGGAGCACGCTGGAGGAGAAAAGTTGGTCGCGGTAAACCATTAGGCCCGGCCGCGCCAAGCCTAGTGTTTAGTCCGGTCAACCGCAGCAACACGAAGTGCAGTCTTGGTCTCAATACATACTCCATACTCCGGCATCAGCCTTTTACACAAATTATACGCAGCGATAAGTGACTAGCTAAAGTTCTCGTATTTGTTATTATATATTGCTTCCCAATGGATTTTCTTAAAGATACTTTGTGTAGCACAGTTTCCGAATGCCATCCATTGCATTTTGCGGGTCACAGTATGTTTATTGTGCTATGTCCCTAGTAAGTATAAGATATCTGAAGGTTTGCTATGATTAACCCAGTCTTCTCTTACTTCTCTCTTACTGTCTCCCTTATCTACCGATATACATATCCAGCATTGATGTATTTGGTGCTGCGTGCTGCGTTATGAGAGAATGCACAATCTGTCTTTTTCAAAAATCTAACATATTTTGTATATTTACCTATTCTCTGTTTCGAGAAAAAGTTCTTATATTCTTGTCAAATGCTGTTCGGCTGTTATATATATCATCCTATAGTTATTCCCCAAACTTATATACCAACTTCCAAAAGTGATTTGACAGTATCTGCCACAGAGTCCTTCAATGATCGGTATTGGATGCCTAATACCTCAATTGATTTCTTGTTATTGTAGCCGTAGACATCGCCTGGTAGATCGCTTGGTGAATCCTTAGGTGGCAATTTGTCCTCAAGTTGAGGGTATGTTTCACGGATTATATCTGCGAGGTCCTTGTTCGTGTATAAGCCGGCAACGAGAAAAAACCGTTGTCCACCTGCTTCTGAAACTTCAATTGCCCTTACGTGGGCCAGTGCAACATCATGGACATCTACCCAAAGGAACGTGCCAGTTGGGGGTAGTCCGTCTTTATTGTTACCCCGGACCATGTTGCTAATACGACTGTTGGAAGTATTAACGGCATCTAGGGAATTCAAGTAAGGCACGACAGGCCCCAAAACAAGAGGAGGGTTAATTGTCGCTATGTCGAAGTTGGGCTTTTCCTTTTCGACAAAATCCCAGGCAGCCTTCTCAGCGAATGTCTTCATGTACCCTCGTCAGCATGTGTAATTTCCGAGACAATCATATAGAAATCTTACCTTACTCGCTCTGTAGGTTTGAGCAGGATCCATAGCTTCCTCCCAGGTCACAGGGTTCCAAACCTCCTCGCTGTAGACCTTAGCATGTTGCTTGACGTTGACAATTGCAGCAAAAGAAGACGTGACCACGACGCGTTTTACTGTCGGAGCGTAGACTTTGATTGCCTTCAAGATACCTGTTGTTCCCTTGATGGCCGGGTCCAGGAAGTCCTTTACCGGGTCCGACACGTTGTAATGGAAAGGAGAGGCAGTATGGAGGACATAGTCGAAGGGTGGGTTAGATTTGACGGCCTGAACGGGGTGACTTTTAGCACGGAGCAGTTGGGGTGCGAAAGAAGTGAGAGAGCTTACTTCATCGAATGCGCCTTCTTCCGCAACGTCTTTTACAATAACGTACGAAAGTTTCTCCTTCGGGGTGTTGGGATGTGCATTCAGAATCTTTTGTCCTTTATCCTCGGATCTAACTGTGACTACTGTCTCGTATCTATTGAAGGGTGCGAGTCAGCTCAATTGACCAAGGCAACAGCATCACGGCAGCCCAGATCTGCAACACTCACCCACGCTGCAGCAGGATGTCGATGATATGGGCTGCGATAAATCCGCTGCCGCCTGTAGACGATTGTCAGACACTGAAACACGGTAGTTATAGGAGTGAATAGCATACCGGTCAAGAGAACTTTCACCATGGTTGCAATTGCTGATTGTATACTTTACTCGGTTCGACTTTATTAGGCCGAGCTTAGGTCTATGGTGATAGGAGATAATGAGGAGGGTATTCACCTTTATATAGTATTGAAACGAACTGGATGTACCCCTCCTTAACCCCATTTTCCCCGACTGCGGTCCACCAGCCCAGTTATCGTTTAAATGTGATAGGGTATTCGAGTACCTTAACGGTCTGATGACAAATGTAGGCTATAGTTTGCGTCAACTTTTAGTGGAATCACGGAGTCATTAGCGGAGCCAACACTTAACTCCGATTGTTCGCGTCGTGAGCATAGATAAGTAGTAAATTCCGCGGCTACTTCCTGCATATGTCGTCTGCGATATCAGAAGGGTTGGAACATTAGGGCCAGAATAAATCAATAATTTAATTTCTTCCCGATATCGATGACGTCGAGATTCGCGCAAATTCCAGAATAATAAATTATTAATATGCGACGTAGTTGCTCTGCTTGTGGTTATATAACTTCAGAGGACTAGTAGTGAATAAATAATATGGCATATGAGGGAGGGGTAGGGGGTTTGCATGGACAGTCGTGAGTAATAGCCTCAGCAATTTAACTGGGGACCATCTAAGACTATAAATGAAAGGATGTTTTTGATTTTGTATATATTACCTGACATCTGAAAGCATAAATTCGGGCCATAGGCAAATAGAGGGCCCCTGGGAGGGGTACTTTTCACTAAAATAGAGGGCTTTATTTGTCTAGATACGGAGGATCTACTTCATAGCCCGGGTATCATCATCCTGCAAACGCGCAAACCGTGCAAGTAACGAGTCTAATGTTAGATTCTTGGGAAACAACTTTCCATTTTTTCCTTCTTTCTTTTCTCTCTCTCTCTTTTTTTTTTCAGAATTCCTGGGGTACGTATCCTTCGATGGAACCTCCTTTATCATCTCCGGGACGCATTTCCGGTGCGGCAACGTGCTCATAGGGTATATTATCCTTCTCTTGGATCTGAACATCCACTCGCCCGGCCCGTAATGCTGGGTTCGCATCTCCACGTTCCAGGGCTAGTTCATGGGAGTGAGAACCATCGTGAACAGAGAGGTTAGACATATCACTTGTCAAATCGCTCGAACCTGGCGTGCCAGTCATGTGCAAATTACCCAATTGACCAGTAACTTTTTCTACCGTGGCTGCTTTGCCCTTCCCTCGCTGAGTCCTCGCTCTCCCTTCCTCAAGCAAGAGTAAATTCTTACCCCGTGCGTCATCGGCACGCCTTTCCCACACAGGCTCCTCGGCTAATTGCACCCGTATGTACAATGCTCTTTCTGCACACTCATCCGAACACCACATCTCAAGCTTTTCTCGTGGAACTATGTTCATCTCCCGTCCCCGACCACCAGGCCCGCTTCCTTTGGCACCCCACGTTATACGGTAAGTCCCCCGAGAATCGTCCTTACGATGCTCGCGAGGGCATAGACCATATCCACATAGACCTTCGATATTCCGTTCCTGGATTAAATTATCATAGTCTGCGGGCTGGAAGGGTATAAGGGCAGATTTGAAAGCCCGGGCATCTTCGGGTGACGGAGAGGCAGGATCGGCCGATGGGGAAGAAGGAAACGTGACGAGTTCGAGAATGCGACTCAATATAAGAGATTCGGTGTCTTTCTGAGCCTGAATACGGTGCGCATGATGTAGAGCTATAGCTAGATGACGTGGATCGGCGTCTGGTTTGGTCGGAGGGCCCTTTTGCTGGCGTGACACATTGCGCTTTGGTGATGCACGGCGCATGTTCTGGGACATCTGAGTGGAAGCAGCATGAGCCGAGGGAAGGGAGGTCTTCAAATTAGATCGACTGGCGGACATGCTGTTGTATTTTGACGTTTCAGTGGTGTGAAGGAAAGAGAGATGGTTGGCGGGTTGGCCGGTTATGGGAGGTGAGGTGGTGCTTTTCGGGTCGGGAGGCAAACCCCAGATTTATTTATTCAGTCCACGCCCATGACGAAGGCTGGATAAATTTAGGAAAAGTATTCGTGGAATGGTAGAATGAGAACAAGAATGGGTGCCAGGTGAAGTATGAATTGACCGCCACTTTTAGCAATCAGTAGGACTGCTTTGCCCCTCCACACATCTAATTTCCCAAAAACCACTTGGGCAGTTATCTATGTACCTTAGTGAGGTTGTGGTGGCAGGTCTTTGAATATTATTAGCCGCTGATCGCCCCGTGGTGGAGCAACTTGTCCCGCCAAAAGGTGACGACCGTTCCTTACACCTCCGTGTCTCCTCTCGTTCCCCCTTCACTACTCTCTCCCATACTATTCCCCTCCCTACGTTTTTCTTCCTTTCCTTGGCATTGTTTCTGGATTTGGTATCCTGCCGGGATTTATTTCCCACTGATCTCAGTAAGTAATTCAACTTGAACCCTCATCTGTTGGAGGCGATTGCTAGCCTCAGGGTTTATGCTGTGACGTACGTCAAACCAGGCTGACATATTTTCGGTTGCTTCTTTCTAGTTATCCTGGAATTAAATCTCCTATTCCCCGCGAAGCATCCCTACATATGCCCCTTTGCATGAAGGCTGCATAAATCGGTGCTTCACTACGTGCAAACTGTCTAGTGTCGGTGTGGTGTACGCTCCTCTACTATTTACTTACATACCGTCCCACATCTCCGCGACAGGGCCCGGCTTGCCAAATGTCTAGCCCACCGTTCACGGTCAAATCGGTCTTCGAGTATTCGTCGAGCCACGAGGATGACCTAACATTTGCAATCGGCCAAATTATCACCGTCACTGCGGTAGAAGATGCGGAGTGGTACTATGGCGAATACACAAATGAGTCGGGCAGCAAGGTAGAAGGCATCTTCCCAAAGAACTTCGTGGAGAGGTACGAGCCTCCTGCTCCCCCACGGCCGACGCGCCCAAGTAGAGCAAAGAAGGAAGCCGATGTCGCCCCTCCTCCCGCCCCCGTACCAGTCGAGATTCCGGTTGAGAGCCATCCCCCGCCGGAGACCGAGGTAGAGGATACCCCTGTGGCTGAGCCAAAGAGCATCCCCAGACCTCCCCAGTCGCCTCCGCCTCCTTCAGAAACTTCACCTATTGATGTTGAGTCCCCGCCCAAGCCAGCACCTGCTCCAGCGTACCAGCCGCCGTCACCCGAAGCAAAAGAGCCTGCTCCAAAAGCTTCGCCGAAGCCCCTACCCCCGGCAGTTGCTGATAAACCTGCCGCGTCATCATTTAGGGATCGCATTGCAGCATTTAATAAACCGGCGGCACCCCCGATTGCGCCTTTTAAGCCGGGGGGCTACGGCTCGGGGGGCTCTAATTCGTTCATTAAGAAACCGTTTGTTGCACCGCCACCTAGCAAACATTCCTATATACCCCCAATTAGGGAGCCTCCCCCAAAGGTGTATAGGAGAGAAGAGGATCCAGAGCTCCAGGAAGGCGTTCTGCGCGAGCCGCCCGTTTCTGAGAGCCGGCCTGCCCCGAGCGAGAGCACCGACGATAAAGAGCAAGACCAACCCAAGCCGACAAGCTTGAAAGAGCGGATAGCTCTTCTGCAGAAGCAGCAGCTGGAGCAAGCTGCCCGTCATGCTGAAGCTGCGCAAAAGAAAGAAAAGCCGAAGAAGCCCCCTCCGAAGAAGCGCACAGAGTCGCATGAGGGACCCGTCCCTACAGAGGACTCGTATACTGAGAGGCCGGACTCTATGGAATCTGCACGGGACCATAGTGTTGACACTGTGAAGCCCGAGGCCGTCCCTGTGCCACAGCCACCACTGTCTCCGCCCCCTGCACGGGACACGACGAGTGATGCCAACGACGCTGACGACTCTGCTGCTGCTGACATTGAAGATGCGGAGGAGACTTCTACAAGCAAGGAGGACTATGACGAGCGTGCTCGTACTGAATCTCGTCGTGTAATTCAAACTCAGGATCAGAAGAAGGAAGGAGGTGAGAAAGATGAAGAAGATAATGAAGAGGAGGGGGCGGAGGAAGAGGAGATCGACCCAGAGGTGAAGCGCAGAATGGAGCTACGTGAAAGGATGGCTAAGATGAGTGGTGGAATGGGTATGATGGGTTTCTTTGGCCCTCCTGGTGGGATGCCTGTTCCTGGTGCGGCTCCTCGTAAGCCAAAGGCGGCTACGGAAGAGAGGAAGGATAGAGACGCGGAGCCCATTTCGCCAGCCGCTGCACCACCGGTTCCCGTTATGGCTCTTCCGGGAATGAATGCCCCCAAGCCAGCTGCTCCTCCAGCGGTGGAAAAAGAGGATGAAGGGGCCCCAACTACTCCCTTGGCGGAACAGCATCCTGCGGAAGAAGTCCCTGACGTCGAGGAAGTTGTCCAAGAAGAGCCTCCTCGCCCTGTGCCATCTGACAAAGCACCAGCACCTCAAGGTATGAAGAGCGAGATTTAAAGTTGATTTTTATAATGGTCCTTGGCTTACAATACGTGCTGTGTAGACCGTCCGGCACCTCCTCTTCCCCCTCTGGAAACTCGGCCTGTTCCCCCTCCTATCCCACAGGATCAGCCCCTATTCCCCCGACCGGTTCCTGAACGTAAGCTGAAAAGTCTAATCTCATCTTAATTGCTTCGCTCATACTAATTTTAACCGACTAGCCCGTCAGGTTCCTCCTGCGAAGAACTCCACGTCCGGCGACCCGGGTGATGAGTCGGATGATGAGCTCTCGGTGCACGCCCAAAACCTGTCTCTGCATGCTCCAGCAGCTGACCAGCCTGCATCTCCTCCATCTGCCCCGGCACCTCCAATTCCTGACCATATTGATTCCCGTCGTTTGTCAACCTACGATGCCACGTCTCCGAAGTCACCTACACTTTCTTCTGAGAAGAGGCTTAGTCGCCAACCCCCGCCAATCCCAGCAAACCCACCCATTCCATCGCAAACTCGGCCACCTCCTCCGCCTCCTGGTGATCTTCGTCGTAGGTCAACCGCCGATAGCCGTGTTAGCGCAGCCTCGCAACCTCGCCAAGCCGGTGAGGAAGTGGAAGGTGAAGTCACGGAGTATGACGGTGATTATGACACAGACATCGCGTCTGGGGCAAAATTTAAAGATGCATTGAAAGCCCATGGACGGGATTCAAGCATTGATGAAGGTACCATGACCGATGATCATTCTCTTCAGTCTCCACGAAGTCCCCATGAGACCCGACTTCCGCCACCGCCTCCTCCATCCGCACCCAGAGCAGTCCCACCACCGCCCCCTGTTCAACCACCCAGAAGCGCTGGCAGAGCTTCTGTGGAGTCTCCCAGAGGACCCCCACCGCCCCCCCCTCACAGAGAGCTGTCTTACGGCGGCGATGATGATGAGTACGATCCTTACCGTTACACCGCTCCCCAACATGGGGTGCCTCCCCCAAGAGCGCCGCCTGTATCCGCGGAGCGACGACCGGTAGTGCCACCCACTGCCCAGCCAGAGGATACGGGAGATGATTCGGATGACTTGTACGAAGGATCTCCAGTACAGTCACCGCCGCTCCACCCCGTTCCTACATCACCTGAGAGGCGAACCTCCATGGCACCTCCACCTCCACTCCCCAACATGCCTCCCCCTAGCGGTGCTCCTCAAGCACCTCCCACGTCACGGAGCAACCGTGCATCGCTTGATATTCCGAGAGGCCCGTCTAATTTGCGGAGGTCTATGGACATAAGCCGTCCTTCTGTTGATCAGGGTTACATCGCTATGGATGTTGATTTGGCAGAACGCACACTGTGGTGGGCACAACCAAACACTCCGCCACCTGCCTTCCAAAATCGGAATGACGTTCTATTCGATTTTGAAGATTCTAGTTCTGTAAATCACAGCGGCAACACCGCCATTACTAAGGATGTCTATATCCTATTCATCGACTACTCTCAGACTATAATCACTGTGACCTTTGATCCCCGGAATCCCTCCGATGCAAATTTGGAGCAGCGCCATGAAGCGCCTCCTCTTCAACCTCGTCAGGATCAGCTCGAGAACGCGCATGTCCAAATTGGCACACGCATCGCAGCTGCTGTGAATGGCATCCAGAATACAACTGTTGCAGATGGCACCCCATTCGGTCTGATTCAACACCTTCTCAGCCCCCTTTCAGATGCGCTGCGGCCTGTTGGCTCACGTGCCTACGGTGCCTTGGTCTATTCCAATCTAGCCAACGCCTCCGTGCAGCAAAATGATGAAATCCGTGCCGGTGATATCGTCAGCTTTCGCAACGCACGCTTCCAAGGCCACCGTGGAACAATGCACCAGAAATACAGCGCCGAAGTAGGCAAGCCTGATCACGTTGGCATCGTCGTCGACTGGGATGGTACCAAGAAGAAGATCCGCGCCTGGGAACAGGGTAGGGAAAGCAAGAAAGTCAAAGTAGAAAGCTTCAAACTCAACGACCTGCGCAGTGGAGAGTGCAAGGTCTGGCGAGTAATGCCTCGAAGCTGGGTTGGCTGGGGCAAATGAGTTGGAAGTGCGGCTAGATTCGACTGATGAATAATACGTGGAATGGTATGGGAGGCATTCTGTTTTGTTCATCGTTTATCTTTCTCTTCGCAATCCCTTCGGGGAATTATATCGAAAGTGCAGGTGTTTGAACAGAAGATGAGTAAATGATTTGATTCTGGTATATGCTAATCTCGCATAGTACATCCATGAGCTGCAGCCATATCTACTGGGTTGACTTGTGCATGACTCTAGCTCTTATGTTCTGCTCAGCTCTTTGTATGTATGTATTGATGTTAATCACTATGTTTGAATATGTAAAGCTCTTGCGTTATCTGTTATCTCTTAGTAGTGGCAATTGAATTATATCACTCTTCACTTCACACTACCCCAACTGGAATTATAGATACTGAACTAAAGGAGCACTTCACACAGTATAGTAAGCCACAACCTTAACAAATGCACTGAGTTTGCTCATTTACAAAAAGACCCCGCAAACTCCAATCTACCCTGAGAGTACACAAGCTCGCCGCCTCAGGCACAAAAAGGGCAACAACGTCGGCCCGGTGGCAACACCATCTTTCCCATTCGGGAAGCTCAATCCAACTCCTGACCTAAAACCACCCTCTCCTCTCTGCCCCGGGAAAAATAAGTAAAACCCAAAACCAAAATGGGCGGCGATCTAAATCTTAAGAAGTAAGTCACCTTACCCTTCCCACCCCAAAACCCTCAAGCTAACCCCACCGCCAAAAGATCATGGCACCCCTCCCTCCTCCGCAACCAAGAGCGCGTCTGGTCCGAAGAAAAACGTGCCCTAGAAGAGCGCAAGAAGGTCGAACAGCTTCGTCGCGAGCGCGATGAAGAGCGCCAGATTCAGGAACTTCAGCGCCTGCAGGAGGGCTCGGGCAAGCCGCGGCAGCATAATCGGGTCGATTGGATGTATCAGGCGCCGTCGAGCGCGACGGGCCATTACTCGGAGGAGATGGAGGGGTATTTGCTGGGGAAGAGGCGGATTGATGGGATCTTGTTGAAGAATGACGAGAGTAAGAAGTTGGAGAAGGGAGCGGATTTGGTGGGGGCGAATGCTGCGCAGCAGCCCGTGGCGGGGAGGGGGAATCCGAGAGATATGATGGCGAAGGTTATGGCGGATCCGTTGATGGAGATTCGGAAAAGAGAGCAGGCAGCGTATGAGAATGCGGTTAAGGAGGCGGCGGCGAGACGGAAGTTCGTTGCTAGGGAGGAGAGGGAGAGGGAGAGGGGGCATAGAAGGAGGGACGGGGAGGAAGATTCTCGTCGGCATCATCGAAGGTCGCATCGGCGGAGGTCGAGATCTCCTGCTGAGTTGGATCGGTCGTCGCATCGGAGGCGCAGAGATGAACGGGATGGTCGCGACCGGAAAGATCGGGAGCGCAGAGATAGGGATGATAGGGATTATCGTTCGAACAGACGTGGAGACCGTGATGAGAGGGATGATCGGGCTTCTCGTAGAGGCTCTCTACATGACCGATCGCCTTCTCCTCGGCCTGACTATCGCCATTCTGACAGGCGCCGCACGGATGACAGGAGCAATGGCTATTCTAGGGATCATGATCGGCGTGACCGGTCTTATCATCACAACGACAGAGACAGAAGAGACAACTGGGGTCCCAGAGACTCATACGGTCGAGACCGCCCTAGTGATGCCGGTGCTGGAGCCGCGAATCGAGCAAAGGAACTCGAAGAAGAGCGCAAGCGGAAGCTAGAAGAGATGCAGTCCAACGCAAACGACATAGAAGAAACTCGTCGCCAACGGATTGCTGATGTTACAGCTATGGAGGAGAAGCAACGTGAGGAAGACGAGAAACAGCGCTCCGAACGTGGCCGGTTTGTTTCAGGCCTGCATCGTCAGCTGCAAGAGGACAATTTGGATGATCGAATTAAGCGTAGTCGCGGTGGGCTCGCTCGGATGGAGGACTGATATCTTTTTTTGTCTGTTTCACTAAGTCACCCGGGAGTGCTTATTGTCTCTTATTTTTGCATCCAGCGTTCTTGGCGGTTCTTTCTGGCGTTTCTATCCAAGGTTATGTGCTGCTTCATTTCATGAGAAAGTCTCCTATGGGCTACGTTCATTGTAATGCATTCAGTGGACAAGTATGATATCCCTTAAAAGATGATAACTATTGAAGGGGATCACCACTTCCACAGGACAATCTTGTCTCCTATATTGTTTAAATTACACTAAGATCAAGTTGTATATCGAAGAGTGTGCTGAGCAAGATCTGATTGTCAGTGAGGTTTCACTGTCAATAGGTCACTTGGCAAGTTGTTCGAAAAGCCCCGCCCCGTGAGGATAATGAGATCCCATTACCAGTTCTCACAGAAGTTGTAGAAACTGAAAGGCTTCTGCGAAGAGGAGAGAGGGAAGTACATGATTAAATGGTATCACAAGTCTGCATTTGACATCTCTCGAATTAAAAAAAAAAAAAAAATAGAAAATCTAACCAGAAACTTAGGTAGGCTATATTACAACAATAATAACTCTCCCGTAGCTGCTCCACCAGCAAGCTGGGGCTGATACACTTGTTGCTGATTTTGGGTGACAACATACTGCGTCTGCAGTGCGCCGCCGCCTCCAATACCATTCCCGCGACCACCTAGGTCCAGCGCTGCCATCTGCTGAGTACCGACGCTATTGAAGTAGGAATCAGCAGCATTCACTGCTGCATTCATGTCACCTGGTGCCGGAGCCGCGCCGTTTGTCGCTGAGGTAGGCGTAACAACTGTAGTGGAAGCCGGGTCAACTTGGTATTGCCACACAGTACTTCCATCATCATTTTGAGATTTCTGTAGGGCAGGGCTATATTGTAGTCGCCGCGTACGCGCGGAGCGGAAGACTTGCTGGACTGGTTTCAGGTAAACAGTCGCAAGGGTGCCGACGTTCAGACAGAGCTCTTCCAGGGTTCGAGAGTCCAGCTTCTCGCTTTCTGCGCTGATCGGGGGCTTTTGACCCATGACGACCTGTCGTGCAGTTTTGGGATCCGTCGACAGAAGACGCCAATACATGTAACCTCTGTCCCGGAGGTCCGGGTCGTCTGTTTCCTCGGTACACCACTTGAGCACTTGGGGTACTAGCTGCTGGCCCTTTGTCGGGCGTTGAATGAAGAATTTGACGGTTGCTGTCAATAAAGCGAGCTGTACTTCTATAGTCTCATCGTGGAAAGTAGCTAAGTAATCCTGCAGAAGGCCGTCTGAATTCTCAATGCGGTCGGCGTATTGCCCGATGATCCAGATAATTGCGGCCTTCGCCTCAGGCTCGTCTAATTCATCGATATTTTGAATGATGCGGCCAATAATGCTTTCATACTGATTGGGGTACTTGCGGAAAATGTTGCGGATAACAACGGTTGCCTCCTGGACAATGTAAGGGATCTTAGCATTGACCAGCTCGAGAAGAGTATCGATGCATTGTCGCGCGGCAGACTCAATCTTAATCGCTAACTTTCCAATGGCGCGCACAGCTTTACGCACGAAGTGGACATCAATTTCGGTCGCATACCTAGACGTTTCTTAGTTGAAGACATTAGATTTACCGGGTCCCAACTTACTCTCTTAATTCTGCCAGTACGACAGAGATGTTTTCTTCCGTTGTTAACATGAATATTAATTCTAGCTTCGTCACTTTGACGTAAATGGGATCGTTGTAGTTACAAAAGAACACCCGAATATCGTTTCGTAAAACCTCGGGCCTCTTTTGTAGTATCAGAATTGCATTTCGAAGCGCCAGGTATTGTACTTCTGGTGGCTTTGATAGGAGGGTGACAAGAGGTGGTGATAACTTCTTAGCCAAGGAAGTAACATGCCTCTCATCAGCAATATAGTTCATGAGATAGAGGATGACGCGGATCGAGGTCAGGACAACCGCGGAGTTCGAATGGGATAAGCGAGGGGCTACTCGTTCTGCTAGCAAGAGTGCTTCTGCGGAATCTTGAGGGACATATGACATTAGGGCCTCCAGAATGTAGGTTTGACCCCACCTGTACTGTGTTAGAAAATTGAACAGACTCCGGGAGTGAAGAAACGTACTCAGAGCAGTCAGGAAGGATCGAGACCAGTTTCGACGCACTCGTGTAGTCTATGGTCAGAGAGATAGTCTCACTCCGGCCCCAAATATCTACCAGAGAGGCGAGCACACTGGATACAACCGTAGGGTTTTCGTCCTTCAACATGTGGTTCAACCTGTCGATCAGATCGGAGCTCTCAACCAGCTTCTTATCATGCTCATAGAGCTTTGCGACACAGAATGCGGAGGTCTTGCGCACATATGGATCCATGTCCCCCATTAACCGCTTGACAGGTTGAACAGTCGCTTCGACGAACTCCCGCACATGGACGTATGAAATAGTTCGTAACGCCAGGGCTCGCACAAGTGGGTTTGTGTCTTCCATATCCTATTGTACATAGGTTAAGCCAAGCAACGTTGCAAATTTATTAAGCATGTGAGGGCTCATACATTAACGAGGATAGGTAGTGCCTTCAAGGCAATGTCGGGTTTCATTCGCGAGTAGTTGACTAGGAAAAGAAAGCACCTGTGACCAAACGCAAATGTATTAGCGACTATTATCCATCACAGAATGCGACACCCTCAATGCAACATACATCTTCTTGATTTCCAAGCTCGGCAAGTTCATACAATCGATAATATCCGGGAATAGTGCCACCATATCGTTATTGCTCATAGTCATGTTTGCGACGATCTTCTTGAGGGCAATCTTTTTGGCGGAGTAGTTCTTGTCCTTCTTGCCGCCACTATGGAGTTCTTGTCGCAACTCCGCGACTTTACCCTGTGAAGATCGGGAATATGGTAAGCCATGCTGAGTTGCATAAGGAAGTACACTAAGTAACATAAGGTGGGTGTGATAATTTCCGATGAGTGTAGGTTATAAGGAGCGCCTGGGGGAAGCCGTAGGGCATGAGGAAATGATATAGTATAGAAATCACGGTCTGAAAAGGCGAGAGGTTAAGAACGAGAGGGGACCAGTTCATTTGAGGGCTAAGCCAAACCACATATAAGGTAGGCTCAACCAACATGAGGGGATGAGGGGATAATGATAAGTGGTCTGCCAGCCGCCGATCGATACGGCTTGAACTCCGACGGTGCAGCACATAAACAAGACGAAACATACCCTAGCGAACAGCTTCGCATCTCCTCCGCTGGAACTCATGATGGCACTTCGGTGAGCAGATGAAGATTTTCTCCCTGTTCCGTGGAATGATGCGGGTTTTTCTGTTCAAATCGCTTCTCCTCCTTCTCGGAGATCAAGATCGCATAGGCTCTCGTAGAGGACGAATCGAAGGACCGATTGCGTAGCAAGAATAGCTTCGAGGAATTCTTAGCTGGCCTGTTGCTCCGATAGCTCCATGCCTTCTATTGTCGGGTAGACTTCAGTGGAATTGTCAAACTGGCACAGGCAACAACATCTAAGGGGTCGTCTTGTTGCCTGGTCCGGTCACTATGTTTAGAATTTTAGAATTGACTGCTTCACAGATTTGAGAGCAGAATTAAAAAGGAGAACAAAACATTGATGGGAAGTGAAACCGTTTGGCGATAGTTCGTCCCTTAGCAAGGCGAGACTCAGGAGTGGATCGGTTGCCGCCAACTCCGCGCGCTTGTGGAGAAATTCCATTTATGATCATCATCATCATCACCACCACCACCACTCAACCCTTCCCTCTTCCACCTTTGGGCTTTCCTTCAAGACTCTTAAACAAAATTTTGAATTCTAGTCACCTTTTTGTCGCCATCTTTTCTCTTTTCCCACCTTCCGATCTATCATGGCCTCCCGACCTCTCAACCCCGTCCCTCCACCGCAATGGGTGGTGGCCTTGAACTCCCCTGCGCCGAAGCCTACAAAGGCAGCGTCCAGCATCCCCGACCCCCCGGGCTTCACTAGTAACAAAATAGGAGGAAAGAACGTATGTCATTTCAGTTAAACAATCACGCCTTCGAGAACGAGTTCAACTAACCACCTGCGACTTCCAGCGCACGCAACAATCCGTATCCACCGCCGCATCCAAACCCGTCGAAACCGATACGCTGAAGGTGAAGAAGGCGTGGGAAATCGCCCTCGCACCGTCCAAGCAAATTCCAATGAACGCGATTATGATGTATATGTCCGGAAACAGCCTCCAGATCTTCAGTATCATGATGGTCTTCATGCTCTTCAAGGGTCCAATCCAAGGCTTGATCAATACGAATACGGTCTTTGCTAAGTTTGATACGGAAACCACACGGGGGAAGCTTCTCGGGGTGAAAGCTGTTTATGTGTTGATGCAATTCGTGCTATTGGGGTTGGGAGTGTGGAAGGTTAATGCCATGGGACTTTTACCGTATGTTACTGCTGTCCCTCTTTGCGTTCTTCTATTAAGCCCAGCTTTGTCTCGTCGATTTTTGGATGATGGTTTTGGTTTACTAACGCATTTCTTCCTGAATAGGACCACGAGTTCGGATTGGTTAGCTTGGGAGTCGGAACGGCAACCGCTGGAGAGGGCTTATTTTGCTTTAAGTTGATCGGTGATAATAGCTCAAGAAAAATAGATACCAAAGCAATCATGCGCGCGCAATTCAAGATATACCACACTATGTTGGAGCATATGTACAGCGATGGATATTCGCACGTATAATGGCAGCTGGGCCTTTTGCGATGACGACCGTAACTCCGTGAGTGTACATTCCTTTCTGTGAGATAGGATCATAGAAGCTGTTAGTGAAATTTGCGGGATCTATATATACTCGCGCTTATTGGGGTTTGCTAGCAGCTCCATGAAAGACAGTCGGTCTAGCTCATTACGTAGGATAATGTCACAGAGAACCTGGAAAAAAAAAAAAAGGTAGAGCGTGACAATCTCGAACTTGCGCTGTTAGGACTAGAGTTAGCAGATCCTGATTCGAGAGGTTGTATGTGAGTACTTTAAAATGGTGTATAAGGTCATCACTATGGTCACTGATGATGGGCTGCTAGTCTTAACATCACGATACCCAATATCTCTCACAAGATTGTGAGTAGTCAAGATAAGCTGCATCCTATCCAAAGTCTTTACTTTCTGGCCCTTACTGCCTTTCGACAAGCATCGAAGAAGATCTGGCAGAACTGCCACACGTCCGCATATGTATTATATAGAGGCGCTGGCGCAACTCTAATGACGTCCGGCTTTCTCTCATCAACTACCACTCCGCTCTCCTCCAGAACCTCTAAGACACTGTCTAGAAGGCCCGAGCCCAAGCGTATACTCAGCTGGGCGCCTCGCTCAGCTGGGTTCGAAGGTGTGATAATAGAGAAGGGCTTGTCCTCCGGAGTAGCGTCAATGGGGTATTTCACGAGGAGATGTTCTAAGTAGCCCGTGAGGTTCAGGGACTTTTGGCGGATCTCAGCCATTGATGTCCGATTGAAGATCTCGAGGGATGCTATCACCGCGTTCATATCCAAGACGGACGGATTCGATAGCTGGAATCCAGCTGCGCCTGGCTGCGGCACGAATCCTGTAAGCTGGGTTAGTTAAGAACAAGTGAACGGTAATAAATTTCGCCTACTGTTCTCCATCCGGAACCGAGTCTTTTTGTCGTCACCCCACCAGCCAGACAACCGCGGACGAAAAGGCTTATCCTTGGAACCGGCCTTGCCCATGTCCACTCGCCCATGCTTCTCATGGACGAACAGTCCAGCCATTCCTCCCGGTCCACTGTTGAGATACTTATAGTTGCACCAGACAGCAAAATCCACGTTCCAATCGTGCAGTCGTAAATCGACATTGCCCGCCGCATGAGCACAGTCCCAGCCGATTACGATGCCCCTAGAGTGGGCATGAGCTGTGATCTTCTCGATATCGAAGTATTGTCCGGTATAGAATTGGATCGCGGAAAGGAGAATAAGAGCTGTACTTGAGGCATGCTCGTCGATCACCCTGAGGATTTTCTCGGTATCCAGGATTGGACGATCGAGGTTCTCGGGCTCAATTAGAATCATAGCATCTTTCGGATCCAGATTATGGTGTTGGATTTGAGACTCCACGGCATACTAATTCGCATTGGCATCAGCACTATCCCTTATCTTCTGTCAGGGAAGGAGTGAGGTAGGTGGGCTTACATGGTCACTTGGGAATGCTTTCCCCTCGATAATAATCTTATACTTCTCTTTAGTTGGCTGGTAAAAGCTTGCCATCAAGATGTGCAAGTTTGCCGTTAATGTTCCCATTACCGCCACTTCACTCTGTAGCGCTCCCACAATGGGAGCCATGAGTTTTGACCCAGCTTCATCGACATCAACGAACGGGGGAAGTAGTTGATCATCGTGTGGCGTGAAGTGTCCAGTGACGCCTTTAATTGCCCAGGTCCGTAGATAGTGCTCGAGATATTTCCGGGTGTTCCGAGGCTGGAGACCTAATGAGTTGCCGCAGAGGTAGATGCTTCTTGGGTCGGAGGAGTCGTCAATATCTAGGTTACAATAACAAATACAATCGGTCAGCGGTATGGGAATCTGTGGTGAAACGAGGACATACTCCCATTAACATTCAAAACCCTCCGCTTCAGGTCTTTCTTTGACGGGATAAGGAATTCGTCCCTGAAATGACGCAGAGGATCTTGCGCATCGAGGGACCCGGCATACTGACGCGTGAAGGCTCTGATATCATCATGGTAGGAAAGTGGGGGACCCTTTTTGATTTCTTCGACGTGCAGCCGGGATTCCATGTTGCATAAGGAACAAATTTGGGAAGTAGATAATATACAGCAGGTACGGAGTACTTCAAGTAACTAACATTAAGACTTCAACGCAAATCAATCATACGAGTCAATGGAGGAGGTAGATCTTATGCAGATTGACATAATCAAAGCTCGATCATGCTGCATTTCGAAGACCCACCAGGGCAAATCTGTGGTCGGATTAGCTCATACCTCCGTCCCCCTGGAGTATTTTCGACCTTCTTCCAGTCTTACTCGCCCCTCCTATCATGTTCTGGGTACAGGAAGTTGACTTCGACTCTTTCACAGCATCGCAATCACTCTATTCCTTGCCCTGAGATTCTTGGTTTGTTTGTGCGCCATGGCAGTCAACTCTCTGCACTATTCACTGCCCACTAGCCAATCAGAGGGGAGAAGAAGGGAACGATACCTCTAATAACTACTTAATTTACTATGAGAATCCTGGTACAGTACACATCCTCATTCTTCTCGACAATCCACATAGTAGCACAATAATCTCCCCCCTGTTCCTGTACAGAAAAAGGCAGCCGGCCTAAAGAACGCTTTACTAATCCGACTACTAATCTACCTCAACTGTAGGAAGCCTTCTTGTATGTGTAAGAGGATAGAGCGAAAGTCCACTAGCTATCTCGGGCTTTTTCAAAAGTACACCTCCATAGGTAAGCGTAGGTGTTCGAGTTAGTTATATTCAATAAGAATAGGAGAGAATACCTTCAAGAGTACTAAGGCGTCGCAAGTATAGGTAGTAGATGACCCTCATTCATTTATTATTATTAATAATAATACTACTATATATATGCATATATAGAAAGGAAAAGGTACCTAATGTGATGGACTCAATTTTTTGCATGTTTTCTTCTGTCAACCCCCGGTCCCTCAACGGATATGAATATGGGGCTTATGTTCTATAACGATGAATGACCCTTCAGCCACTTACCTTACTTTCATTATACGATCTGGAACTTGTTTCAGAGCCGAAGAAAGACATTGAGAAATACTACTCTCGAAAGACGATAAAAACGAAAGAGGAAAACAATCTTTCAACGCCCCTTGTCGTCTCATTTCTAGCACACTATGAGGAAACTGGTCACTCCAAAGTGATTGTGATTAAACTAGCTTGTAGGACAAGGGGACAAACAAGTAGTTAAGCCAGCACGCTCTCTCCTCCCAAGGGATATATGCCAAGGAATACAAGGGGCTGGTACCCTGTCAATAGCACATACAGCTAACCCATATGACAATAATACTGTGTTTGGAAGAGGTCCACCCCTTCCGCCTCCCAAAATACATTCTCCTTCTCTGTCCTCTCTAGGGCTAGGCTGGTTGATGTTCCCACAAGCCCCCCCTTTTTTTGAGACTCTCATTCTTGCATACCGGACTCTTTGTTTGAGTTGCATAAACCTCGGGTTGAGCATCGCACTATTACCTGCAGTGTCGCCCGAGATGCGCGAACTCGATGTGGTACCTTTTCACCGACTAAGGCCGGGGATCAGGCTGCTTATGAGTAGATCCTTGCTCAGAGGGTAGGTGGTCCTGGCAGCTTTGCAGTTGACTTGGCTGTGGCTACAGAAAAGCGGTCGACGATCGATAAGTCGACTTCAATACGTAGTATGCTACTTAAGGGTACTGTAACCAGCAGTTGTAATACTCAGGATATGCCATCAAGGGTCCAAACTCCGTGAATTGTTGGGACCCAAGATACATGTCCTATCTTCATGTCATGTGATTACTTAGATGGAGGCTTGGGTTAGAGTATGTACAGTACTTGTGCTCATGCATCGAGTCACGTCACAGGGAATCTTGGCGTCTAAATCAGCATGATAAGGAACCTGGAAACTGTGGTTCATCTATCATCTAGGAAAGACGCCAAAAAAGGAAAAAATAAAAATAAACCAACGACAGATCCATTAGAAATCAGTCATTGCTGGTCCATTTAGGTAAACCATGTTCTGCAGCACGGTACATACCGATTGGCCAGGTAGGTTGCCACTAACTCCATGGTCTGGTATGGACCCTTTGTTCTCTGCCATACCACCGACCACGAGAATTGCCAAAACGCCAAAGCTTACAATATATTAGGTTGAGGCTCCACTGCGAATGATATCTCGTGGTCGGTGGAGAGTAAGCTACCGTGTGATGTCTAGAATTGGAAAGCAGACTCCGGAACCATCGCGGAGCCAATTCGCCACTTTTATGCCACTCGTGGACCCGAGTTTTGACGCCCTCACTTCTTCAAGGGAAGGGAAAGTGCCGAAGACGACTGACGTAGCATCTTGGCCATTCATATGTGGGTTGAGTATACGGCACGAGCTTTAAAGAAGTTGAGTCCTCATGACATATACATAGGAGTAAAAGAGTTCATCCAACCCTCCCGTGTCCACCAGCGTTAGATCGGGGCTGGCTGATGTAAGATCGGCGTCGATATTAAAAATTTCTGGCATATTGTGTGGAAAAGGGTTTGAATGAAAGGTCAGGATTTGTGTGGGTGGGACAAGGAAAAGAGAGCCTTAAGAAAAAACTCTCATCGTTCGGCGATCGACCTTTCGGTGATCTTTTCCGCCTATTGTATGAATTATAGTTTTCAGTCACACCGGGGGCGTTCTCATAGGCTTGTCCAATCATATTTCTCCTTGCTTAGTTGCCAGTCAGGTGCTGATTGTCTCCCAACCTGTTTTTGAGTTGGTTTGTTTGCTAGGTTTTAGTTGCACCCTAACATACAGCACAAGCATAGCCATCGGTCGCATGGTCGCTCCATTTCCGGATACGCGTGTGCCCAATAGAGGCGGGAGTATCCACTAGCATAAGGAAGGCCAGGTTAATCATCCATGCATAACATCATGTCAATATTACGTCTGTTTTGCACACCAAGACTCGGGATTGACGCCACTCAAGACAGCTGCGCGTCTTCGCTAGGTACCTCGTAGTGATTCTGGCGACGGTATGAGGAATTTTCGATGTCAAAGCCAAGAATCAACGAGGATCGGTTGACAAGTATCCACTAAACAACACCCCTGGCCAATAAAACAGGCATAGGACATCCTTCCCCAACGGGCTGCATGTGCATCGACGGCGGCCGTGGTCCGGAACTTCCTCTGGAGTGCAGAGGCGGAGTCGGTCGTGGATTGCTGCTCAGGGACCTGGAGTCAAAGCAAATTCCCATGCAGTGGCTGGGCAGAGACTTTTTGCCCACGAGTCAGAGATCTGATCTTAGCCCGCAGAAGCTGGTTTTCATATATGCTCCCTTACAAGCACCATTCAGCAGGTTCCCATGGATCTTAACCACGGTTCCAAACTGTCTGATAATAGCTGTATCGAGGCCTTTCTGCAACCTTTTTTGAGTAAGTAAAGGGGGCCTGTTTCACCCACCACCATTTTTAAATCGATTGTCTTCTTGTGTTTTTTCTTGTCCCCACTACCCCTGCGAAAGGAGACTCCTTAGCCACTGATAATCGATGCCTCTTCTTGTAATCTGCACCTGAAGCCTTTCGCGTCGATTCTTTGTCTTTGGGTTTGGGAGACGCAGCTTCTTAGCAACTACCGACCGCTAAAGGTATTACATTACCAACGCTCTCACAAGCCATGGCTGCTATGCGCAGTGCTCAAGGTACTCGTCGACATCCCTGAAGGCGTTGAATCACCGTGAGAGGAGCTAGAGGTTAAAGCTGGTGGGGCTTCTTTAAAGTCGTAACGACTTTGATGTTGCCCAACGCTGTGAACATTCCTGCCGGATGATCGATCGATCTAAAAATAATTTTGTCATCTGTTTAGATCATTTCCGATATCCTTGACTGAGCACACCGCAGACAAGGCAGATTTAAATCCCATATATTGGCGATGATCCTTTTCTTATCCCCAGAGAGTATATGTGCGACTTAAAGATGTCTTCGGAGGATCACCTTCCAGCGCTCGCTCCAGGGCCTCGCGGTCCAGTCAAAAAACAATCCTTCACTTTGATGAAGCCGAGGAAAAACTCCACGGCCTGTCTGCCGTGTAAACAAGCGAAACGCAAGGTAAGACGAACAGAGGCTCTGCCCCTACCACCGAGAATGAGGATACTGCCACGGATCGACCAATTTATGAGGAGCTTTTGTTCTGCTTTCTGCTTGTCTCCATGGATTCACCACTGACATCTCTACTCCATTTTGTAGTGCACCGGACGCCCTGCACCCTGTAAAGCATGTCAGAACACAGACGCTGAATGCGTCTTCGATGAAACGCTTGACCTTAGGCGTAAGGTCGCTGCTAGACGCACTCTCGGGGAGCTGGAGTACTACCGAGGTTTGCTATATTCCTTGCTAGAGTCGCTCCGCTCGCCGGATGAAGACAAGGTCAATCATATATTAGAGACCATACGCGGCAATACGTTTTTATCCAACGTCGCCACTGTTGTGGATGCGCCAGCCGACATGAGTGACGCGGGCTCTGAAAACGCCAGAACCGTAGGGACCGCGGAGGACGCCATAGCCCAACAGGAACGTTTGGCTGCTGATGCTCAATCTCGGATAACCCTAGAAAAGCTCTGCGATATCCCTGTATTCCATGTGCCAGCTCAGCCTTGGACGGCCGTCACCGACGATGACCATCTCGTTTCGCATTTGATCTCTATGTACTTCACATGGGACCATCCTTTGTCACAGTTAGTTGATCAGAAAGTGTTTTTGAGACATATGAGAGAGGGCAACAAAAACACAGAGTTTTGCACCTCTTTCCTTGTAAATAGTATGCTAGCAGTTGCAAGCGTATGTATGATGTTGCTGCATTTTCCTTTATCTGCTTGATTAGTAGTCCATTCTAACTTGATTAGACATATTCTGATTTCCCGGAAGCCTTCGCTATTCCCGGAGATGTGGCCTCCAAGGGGGCGAACTTCTTCTATGAAGCAGAACGTTTGTGGAAAGCCGAAGAAGGTCGTCCATCCTTGGCCAATATTCAGGCTCTTGCCCTATTGAGTCATGTGTATGTGTGACCCTCATTGTGTTATCAACTTGCTGTGGCGATGTCATTGACAGTTTACAGGCTAAAACTGAAGGGAAGACCAAACATTAGCTGGCTGATGCTCAGGCAAGCCGTGCAGCTTGGACAAGATTTCGGGCTGTTTCAGGCGCCGAGGACAGAGCATAGCAAATGGAAAGACATGCCTGTCGATGTGCGATCTGTTGGAATGAGCACTGCCTGGGCGTTATTCGTTCTCAACTCGTATGGCTCTTTGGTGGCATGTCCATTCTGTGGTTTGACTGACTCTGCTCTGCAGGCAAGTATCCATGGAATCTCGGAAACCCGTGAATCTAAGACCCCCGATTTTCCAGCTTCGTGGGAGAGACACCGTCGATGACGATGTCGTATGGATCCCCTATCCTCGGTCGAATCATATTGAATATCTAAAAAAGCCAGCATTGCTCCGGGAGATAATGATCCAAACCGTGGACTTCACGGAACTAGTTGTCAACATGCAAGACCTGCTGTTTGACAAAGCGTTTGATATGGCCATTGGCGACCTACGTATAGCGGTCAGCGCCATGTACACTCGGCTAGAAACGTGGCTCAGAAACCTGCCCCGTCCTCTGGGAATCGACAAGGAGAGCGTACAGGTTCCTCAAATATTGAACTTGCAGTAAGAGTGAAGCGTCTTGGCCAATTCAATTGCGGTATATTGACTATGGCCGTTGCAGTATCAGATATCACCATACAATCATACGGTTTTTCGATTTTCTCTTGAATCACGAAGATTTTGTCGCCATGTCGCATCCGACTCAAATTGACCAGGCTAGATTCATCCGACTCCAATCAGCAAAGCGAATTGCTGATTATCTCCTCCTATACCATGAGGCCTATGGGCTTAGACATGTCCCCGGCCAGATGCTGGAGCCTACCAATGCTAGCTCCCTTATCTTGCTCACAGTTTTGGACGACTGTGACGATGACCTCAAAGAAGCATTCGTTGAGTTGTGTCGGTTCTTGGTGGCCTTCAGCAAGAGGTTCTCCCTGGCGAAAGATATGCTCGCGGATATAGAATGCACAGCCAATTCATTGAGCATCAAGCTTCCACCTGAAGCTGGTGCGGTGTTGGACCACCGAGATTTAGAATCGTCCCAGTGGCTCTAGCTTGGTCTCTTTTTTATGGTATGTATATCGTCTCCGAACTGCTGTAGCAAGCCGGCGGCTTACTTATCGACAATGTAGAAAGACATATTCATTGACGCGGGTCAAGGGGGAGAGGACGTTATGTGAGAAACGTATGAGAGAGGAAGCGGCGGAGGCCAGTCTGTCGGTCAAACAATTGTGTACTGTGCGGAGCCATCTTGCGTGAATTAGCGTTCCACCCCAACCGTTCCACTCCAACCAACCTGTCATTATACGATACTCGGTGGTGTTTCACTGAGTATGGTTAACCACCTGTCAGTAACTGTGACTTGAGCAAAGCTGGGGTCAGGCAGTAAGGGGATTCATTTCTTTTCGTAAGGGGTTGCTAGCGGACTTGTCTTAGGTGCACTTGTGGATTGTTGAAATTGAGATCAGAAAGTGATCTAGGAAAGAATGGGAGGGATAAAAAACAAGATGAGGTGGGCAACTTGGAGGAAAAGAGACTGGATCGCCTGCCATGGGTCTATGAAATGATAACTGGATGAAAGGTCGGCTGGATATGTTTTCCGGAAATGCCTCATTGGCCAACAAATGATCCCCGGGGATGGTCACTGATCATGGACAGCCCTCCTTGCAATTGGTAGGTCTTTCTTTCGGAGAGTTGGCGGCATCACTACTCTGCTGCAGTCTCCTTATCTCCTGGCATCGCCAGTCGCAGGTTGGGGCAGCACACGACTGCAAATGGCTCCATCTTCTACGACTATACTATCGGTTAGCCCACAACGGGGTGATCCAGCGGCTCTCGGTACTCCAATATTCAAGTGACCTTCCACCAACTCGCATATTACAAGTTACGGCATGCTTGCCTTGCAGGTCATCTCGGTGACTAGAACAGAGATGTGGTTCCAGGCTGATCTCCTACAATATTTCATATATATGCCATAGAGTAGTTCAACGTTGTTCTAATTAACAAACCAAGATATGGAGCGAGCTGTATCCAGACCAATTTATACTAGTTGGTTAGAGTAGAGTAGTGCAATGATTGACACGAAGGATGCTCTTTATCTTTTTATTATTATTCTCTTTTTTTCTTTTTTGACAGGAGCTAGTTTTAGTTGTAGCTTCAGGAAAGTATCACAATATCAATATCTGGCGAAATAGGGAGAAATATCTGTGGGGACCAGACGTACAGTGAGTACCAGTTCGGTAGGTAGTTGGTAGTTTCATTGCTACGTGAGGTTTTCCAACAATCCCCTCTTTCATAGCTGACTCATCAGTTTTTGTTAACTAGTTATGCGCAGATAAGATAAGCACAAACCCGGGCCAAGCGAAAACCCTCAAAATTCAACCGCCGAAACAATCGAAATCCCACACGCCGACGCCGAGTTACCCGCCAGACGACGTGCCTACTCTCCTTCGCCCTACTCTCAGTCGACCGCTTACTGGATTATTCCAGTTCCATCCCGCAGACTTTTTTTTTGTCAACATGTCGTACGAAGACCGCGCTAATGCGCACCCTAACCTGAACGACGAGTCCGATGTTGAAGAGGAAGCGCTCGTTAACGACTACCGCGAGCAGGTCAACTTCGACGATGGCATGAGCGAATTGGACCGGACTACATCACTTGGAACTGGCTCTCAGACACAAGACCTCCAGGCACAACTTGCCGCTGCTGCGACCCCTCTTGAATACCAGGCCACATTGGAGACCAAGTTTGCAAGCTACGACAACTACTGCAGCCTGTTCCACTACATCCTCAACTCGGATGGTCCTGTTGAACTGGAAGTTCCTTCTGTATGTTCTCACTTTTTTTTTTCTTTTTTAACTGGATGTTTGGGGCTGTATGTACTTTGCTCCGTGCATGCCCCAGAACCCCCGCCCAACGTGTGCGCCCAGCCCGTTGCATTACACTGTACTAACGAATCTCTTTATTTGAACAGTACTATTGGGCTTGGGACGTGATCGATGAGTTCATCTACCAATTCGAGTCATTCTGTCGTTACCGCAACCGTGTCGCTCGCAGCGGTTCCAACGAGGAAGAGGCACAGCTTCTGCGTGAGAACCCGAATACATGGGGTTGCTACTCCGTGCTCAACGTTCTTTACTCCCTTATCCAAAGGTCCCAGATCAACGAGCAACTGGCTGCCATCAAGCGTGGAGAGGACCCCCTAGCGTTCGCTGGAGAGTATGGCTCTCGCCCGTTGTACAAGATGCTCGGATATTTCTCCATCATCGGACTTCTGCGTGTTCACTGCTTGCTAGGTGACTTCAGCCTTGCCATCAAGACTCTGGACGACATCGAAATGAACAAGAAGGCTATGTTCGCCCGTGTCATGGCTGCCCACTTCACCACTTACTACTATGTGGGTTTCTCCTACATGATGATGCGCCGTTATGGTGACGCCATCCGCATGTTCAGCCACATCCTGGTCTACGTCTCCCGGACCAAGAACTTCCAGAAGGGTGGCAATAGCTACGATGCTATCGCCAAGAAGAACGACCAGATGTACGCTCTGATTGCCATCTGCGTTGCTCTCCACCCCACCCGTCTCGACGACACCATCCACTCCGCCCTCCGCGAGAAGTACGGCGAGCAGCTCAACCGTCTCCAGCGCGGTGGCCCCGAGGCCCTCCCTCTGTTCGAGGAGCTCTTCCGCTCTGCTTGCCCCAAGTTTATCAGCCCCACTCCCCCTGATTTCGACAATCCGTCCATCAACGTCGACCCCGTCGACCACCACACGGCTATCTTCATGGATGAGGTCAAGAACACACTGTACAACCCTACCATCCGCTCTTACCTGAAGCTGTACACCACCATGGATCTGCAGAAGCTGGCTGGCTTCCTGGAGGTCGAGCCCGAGAAGCTCCACTCCTGGCTGTTGGTGAACAAGCAGCGCAGCCGTCAGGTTCGCTGGGTCGAGGGCGGTCTGTTGGAGGGTGAGTCAGTCAGTGTCAACGACCTGGACTACGCTCTGGAGAATGACCTGATCCACGTCAGCGAGACCAAGGCGGGCCGCCGTCTGGTGGACTGGTACCTGAGGAACCTGGCCCGCGTCTACTAAGGCGTCCGAGCTTTATAAAGGAATCAGGCGACCGCGCACTCGAAAGAAAGAATGAGATACGTGCTGTATACCCGTATACGCACATATGGAAGTAACCTTCGATAACACGGGATCCCCCCACCAGCCGCAGGTAGGAGAAAACAGAAGCAACATACCGGGAGTGAGGGAAGTAGCAGTGGAAAGACAAACAGTTGTGGTGAGAGAGGGAATGGGCAAACCCAACCTCATAATCACCTCTCAGTACCCCAGCAATACCATGAATTTTTTCTTATTATTATTCTCTCTTGTTTTCACCCTTCCCCACTATTTTTCCTTTTGCTTTTTTATTTTCGTTGTCCATGTTTTCATCAGGGTTACAACCTTGGACTCTACTCCGATTACAGGTTTGGGGTGGTTACAAAAGTCTAGAGGCTTGTTTGGGGCGTATTCGATGCTTAACTATACTTGATTTACTTACTGTTCATGTTCAACATGTGCATAACATGCACAACAACACCCAGAGGATCTAAATAGCAGAGGGCAAAAATGTGGTAGGAAATTCGCATGATGAAATAGATGATGACATTTTTTTCCAATTCACACCAAAAAAGAGAGACTGGGGGTATAGTAAAAAGTATTCTATCTGCAGAAACGTATGCTATACAAATACAGAGACATAAGATAGCCATTCTAATCGGTTACATCAAAGCTAGTACCGCAACCACAGTTGCTCGTCGCACGGGGATTGTCAACGATCTTGAACTGACTGCCAATCAACTCCATCGTGTAGTCCACTGTACTTCCGTAAAGAAGCTCCAGGGAAGGCTCGTCCATGACGACCTTGGCTTGGCCGGCGCTCTCAGGCGACCCTTCTTCGGGGGTGTATTCCGCTTCGAAGATTGTGTCTTCCTCGGCGTCGATCTTCGAGGCCGCTTCCAGGGACATGAGATACTGGAAGCCGTGGCAGCCTCCGCTTGTCACTGTGATGCGGAGATGGTGGTATGGGTTCTCTTCTTTTGTGGCGGATGGGGATGAAGTGGGATCAGTGATTTCGCGGAGACGCTGTGACAGTCAATATCATTCCGAATAAAAATAAAATGTGAATAATCCAAAAAAAAAAAAAAAAAAAAAAAA